TAAAAAGGCTAGCCTAGCTATAAAAACTTATAAAAGCTACTTAAAAACCTTAAGCATGTATAAAAGGCTTTAAAAAATTATTATAAACTAGTTAAAATAGTGCTAAAATGCCCCTAGTTTAAAAAAAAGTAGTAATAATTTTTTACTTACTAGGTTTTTATATTACTAAAGCTAAAGGACTAGCGGAGTAGTTACCTTTCTTTTATATTTTAAAAGGTTTAAAGGTTTAATAAACTATTATTATAAATAAAACACCTTTTAACAAGATTTAGACTACCTATGGCCCTAAAAATAATATTAAATTTATATATTAAAAACTTAGGTAAAAATAATTACCTTTTTTTTTTATTTTATATAGTTTTAAGGTTTAACAAACTGCAACCTAAATAGCTCTAGACTATTAAAATTTATAAGTTATATTTATAAAAGCATATTAAAAAAAAAGAGTCTTTTTTTAAAAATAAAAAATAAATAAAATATTAAAGTGGTATAAGGCCGCTTAAAAGCTAGCTATATAAAACCTTAAAAAGGGGCGTGAATAAAAATATAAAGCTTTTAAAAAATAGAATTTAAGATTACTATAATAATAGGATTAGTTATATTAAATATATTTTTATTATATATTTTTTAATACTTTTTATTAAAAGCGGCCAGAAACTTGCCAGTGGATAAGTAAAGCTTATTAATAAGTATAAAAATAGTATAACATAAGTTATTTATAAACCAAACTTTTACCAGCACCTTATTAAAAGCCTTAATAATATTTTTTATATATTTATTAAATATTTTTTACATGCTTATATATTTTTTTAAGCTCTTGTTAGTGGGTAAGTATTATAAAATATTAATATTATTATATATATAAATAAGGATAGGCTTATACTTATTATTATTACTATAGCACTAAACACATGCTAAACCCAGATCTTAAAAAATATAATTATAATAAGGCCCATGAAGGTTCCCCTTAGGAAACACTACTAGTTTATTACTAGTAGTAAAAATTTATTAACTATTTTTATTTTTTATTTTTTTATTATTATAGAAGATTGCCTTAATATATTTAAGGTATATTTAAAAGTTATTAACTATTTATACCAGAAGCTATTTAAAAGGGGATAAAAAAAACTTACCTTTATTAAAAGGGCGGGGCCGGCTATAATAAAAGTAAAAAAAGTTAAAGTAAAAAAAATAAAATTAAAAAGGGTAATTATAAAGGGCATGGTAATACTAGTATTATTATTAGTATTATTATTATTATTATTTAAAATATTTTTATTTAAAATACTTAATAAGTAAAAAAAAAATTAGGAAATATATTATTAGGCTTAGGAAGCCTGTAATAATTATATATATTATTTATAAGTTAATTAATAGCAGCCCGGTAAAAAATAAAAAATAGTAATAAGATAAATTACTAGTTTTAATAAGTTTTAAGTTAGCATGCTTTAATATTAATATATTATTATTAAAATACTTTTAAATAGGCTACTGCAGGCACGGGAATACTTATTATTAAAATAAAACCTTATATATAAATACAGGCTAAAAAAGGGATTATTTTTAAAATTAATAAAATAAAAAAATATTATTTATAATTAGCTATTTACTACTACTTAAAAAAAAGCCTTAAAAGCTTTATTTAAAATTATTTAGGGGACTTACCACCAGGGGAGTAACTAGGCAGGTAGCTAAAAAAAAATAATTTTTAAAAATAGGGGGCCCTTAAGGTTTTATCTAAACCTTATTTTTTTAGTTTTTAATAAAAAAAGCTACTAACCATGCTTTTTTAATATTAATAAAGCGCAGCGCTGCACTAAAAAAAGGATAATTTTATTTAGGCATAATTAAAATAAAAAATAAAAAAAAGGGGTAAAATAAAAGCTAAAACAAAGTTATATAATTTAGCTATACAAAAGTAATTTAAGGTTTAAAGTTTTAAAGAAACTAAACTTAGGTTAAACTAATAAAAAAGCTATTTTTATAGTTAGGCACCTTTTTAAAAGTAGATAGGTAGTAAGGTATTTTAAATAAAGTATTAAATATTATTTAATATTTTAAACCAAGAATAATAAATAATAAAAATAGTAATAATAAAAAACACTATTATATTATAATATAATAATAAGTTAATATTATAAATTACTTATTTATTATTTTTCTAAAATAGCTAGCGCTAGATCACGGATAATTTATTTTTTTAAAGGGGGAGAAATTATTAGGGCTAATATTAATCTAGGTCATGCTATTAAGTAATATTTAAGGCACCTAGGTTATACTATTATAAAGTATTAATATTACCCGTGCGGGATACCTTAGGTATTTATTTAGCTTAATAAACCTTATTACTATAAATTATTATACAAGACTTAATATAGCGTTAAATTTAATATAATATTAGGTTTAATATAATATTAGCTTTAATTAAAAACCTTAGCTTAGGGACCTTAGGTTTTAGGCGCTATTTAAGTAATAAAATAAAGGCGTGCTTTACACTAAATTATCTTAATAATTAAAAAATAATTATAAAAAGCATAAATATAAAAATATTTAAATACCACCTACTTTTTAAATAAGAATAACTTAGGGAATTACTTAAAGGCCTTAGGCCTTTAAATAAGGCCTATATAAAAAGGCTAAAGGCCGTGGTGTATCTAGTTCTTTAAGTAATTTTTTTAATTAAATTTATTAAGGTTTTGAATACTTTATTCTTATTGGTTAAAGATACTTTGCCAAGCTTTATTATTATTAGTAGAGAACATCTGGGTGCTAGGGCGCCCTTACATTAAACTCCTAATTATTGTTATCCTTTAGTAAAGGAAGGTCTTAACACTTAAAGAGCTTGCCTTTTACTTTGCGGCCTTTTTAACTATGTGTATCCTAATTTTTACAAGCCTCTTAATACTTATTGCCTTCTTCGCAGCAAATAACCTTTTAAATATATTAAACTAGCCTCTTAATTTAGTGTTAAATAGTTTTTTAAAAAAGCTTTTTTTAAACTTTATACTAGGTTACTTTACTAGTTTTTTTATCCCAAGGCGCTCCGCGTGAAGTTATATGCTTTTTTATTTAAGCCTAAATAAACTTAATAGTGTTAAGATTTAGTAAATTACTAGGCTAATTTATAATTTTTTAAACCTTTATAATATTATATATATACTTTTAAATTTAGTGTTAATAAGCAGGGGCCCTATCTTTAAGAATAATAGTATTTAGTTATTTAATTATATATTTTTAGGTAAAAGGGATAAGGAAAGGCTTTAGGATTTTTTATATAAATAAAAAAAGATATTAATATTTAACTACGGGAGTTAGGGATAGCTTTAAGAACTAATTACCTAATATTAATACTAATTAATCCCTTTACCAGCGCTTTTTTCTAGCTTACTATTAGCCTTATTTTACCTTTACTAAGGCCTTTGGCCACCTTTCCTTGGGTGTAAATTAAGTTATTTTAATATTATATTAACCTTTTATTTAGCCTTTAGTATAGGCTTTAGCTTATAATTTAACTTATTAATTTTATAGGCTACTTAATATTTTTACTAGGCTATTTTTACTTTAAAAATATGCAAAGGCCCCTTTTTATTATAAGTAAAGTAATTTTATACTATAAAGTTAAAATACCCCTTTTAACACCTTTAAATATAAGTTTAATTATGTTTATTTTTTATTATTTTTTATACTTAAATTAACCCGCGGCGTTGGCCTAAAATAACTAAAGTTTTATTAATAAAAATTACGTATTTTTAGTTTTTAATAGTCTAGTTTTAATAAGCTATACAAAACTTTAAGTATTTAATTTAAGTAACTTTAGTTAGACCGGGTTTGTAAAAGGGCTTAATAAAAAAAAGTTTATATTTATAAAAAATTTATAAAATAAAAAAATAAAAAATACTAGCTTTAAATATAAAAATTTTTAAAAACTTCTTGCGCCCTAAGTAATTTGTTATAATTAAAGTTATTATAACTTTTTAAATATTTTTATTAATTTTAATAGGCCTTTTAGAGCGCTTGCCATTCTTAATAAATTTAATATATACTTAAAAAACTTTAGTTTTTTTTAGCTAATAGCCCCGGTGTTTGCCTTTTTTAATAATATTATAAATAGTATATATAAAAAGTTTTAAAAGCCTAAAGATTTTTACCACACGCTTGCTAATAATTTAAAAAGTTAAAACTTGTACCTAAACCTTATTAAAATAAAACCTACCTTTAGGTATTATTATATAGGAAAACCGGCGTTAAGAATTAAGAAAATTATAAAAGGGGATTAGGTAGTTAATTTAAGCTAAAAATTAGGTTAAAATACTAAGAATTTATTAAAATAGGCCAAGTTATAATATAAAAATAGTATTATAAAGTTTACTAAATTATAAAATATAAAGTTATTAAAAAAGCATGAAAAAGTAATTATAAAAAAGTATTAGATATTACTATTTCTATGGTAATTACCATACATTCCTAAACACGTAATACCAACCCTTGGCATTCTTGGCGTGCGGAAACTTTTGGTGCACGTCTCCGTCCACGCATTCAAATGAAACGCAAAGAAACTGCCGTGAGAGGAAATCTACCTAATATGCTACCTAGTCTATCTAACGCAACCCAGATATACAAATCATCATCATAAGCCGGCCATTACGCGTCTCTCATACCTAACCCGGACGTGACTGTATCAGTCCAGGCCCGAATTTGGGCGCCATGATTGCAATGTCCCACCTCTTCCTTCCATATGGATCATATGTAAATCTCCCGCCCGAGTTTACATAGAATAGATGCTTCCAGATTCAGCTGCCTGCTGTTCCTCCTCTTATGCACCCAGGCCGGACCGCAATGCCATTAATCAATAAGATAAAGGTACTCGTAAGATTGAAAGAAAGAAAAAACAAGGCAAGTAAATAAAACAAGATGATAATTTTATACGCCCTTCGCCGTAACCGACAATGATAGATATAAAGAAAAATGGGAACGAGGATGCAGAGAGAACAGGGATAGATCTAAATCTGATATACAGAACGGAGCTTCTGCGCAACGGGCGGGGAAAGTTGAGACATGAACGAATCGAAATCGGGTATCATATTTTTATAACCTTGGAGGACCTGTTGATTTTGATTAATAAGAGGAAGCGAAAGGGTAATTAGAGTGCAAAGGTACCTGTTGGAATGAGCTTTGGATGTCGTGGTATTCATCTTGGTGGAGCGACTTGCTGGGGAAGTTGGCGATGGCCCCGAAGTAAACTCCAAGGGATGACTCCATAGCCGCTGGGTTCTTCATCACGACCTGGTTAAACCCGAGGAACGCTGAGGCCTTTTCCCGCGTAAAATCAATTCGGCCCATGGACTTCAGGAACGGGCCGGCGTACTCGGCCAGGCGAGGCGCAAGCTGGTCCGAACAGCAGATTCCGAGACGGCCAAGGGCCATTGCAGCGTTTTCGTTGACCGAGTCGATGATCTCCTCGTTGTTGATGATGGCCACGAGCCCGTGGTACAGCTTCTCCGCGTACGGGGCGAGCGCGGCCTTTTCGTTCACAGCGATCTCACCGCAAGACCAGCAGGCGTTGTTCAGCACGCTGAAGCCGGTGTGGCGGTCGTCGTCTCGGATCATGTCCAAATCCAGCTGCTTGATCAGGGCTGGCATGATGTTGTTGATGAACGGCTCCAGTTGAGGGAAGATGTTGATGGCACAGTCGCCAAGCAGAGCGTAGGACGACTGCCGCACCTCGTAGTTGGGATCCTCCATGCAGAAGCAGAGCAGATCAAAGAACCGCGGTTGCGAGTTAGCGATCAATTCGCCGCTCTTGTTGGGGTCGATCGCTTGGATGATCGCGCTCAGCAGATCCAAGCTGGTCACCAGGAAGTCCTTATCAGGTTCGTCAATGGCGTTGTTGTTCACAGATGCCATGTATTCCTGCAAGTTCGTGTAAATTATCTTAATACACCGTTGGAAGAGAGGCGCTGCGAACTGAGCAAACGCATCCCCATATGCCGCTGCGACGTATCCCAAGCATTCCAAAAGAGGGAAGAGCTCTCGAGATTGGTCGGACACCTTGTTGTAGCGGTCGATGAGAGCGGGCATCAGGATGTCGATAAGATGAGGCTTCGCCAGTTCGCCCATGACGCACTCGGCGAGCGTTTGCACACAGTCGTAGAGAATGTACATGTTCCGGTCCTTGTACTTTCCAAAGCAAAGCACGAACTGGCGCAAAATAGGTTCGCAGTAGGGGATCAAGTTGGCATCCGACTTCTCTTCCAAGCTCGCAAACGCCGAGGCGGCTGCCTCTTGAACCTTCTTGTTTCCGTCAAGCATGCGACGCAGGATGCCCTCCATCATGGGTTCGAAGAACCTAGCACGCTCCGCAGGCTCGACGATATGTGAAGCCCATTCGGAGTAACGACCGAGACACCAACAAGTAATTTGTCGGACCACGGGTTGCGCATCGTTCAGCAGCGAAATGAGATACGGAACAAGTTCAGGAAGGTGGGGAGTAACGGCGTCCATGCAGCCGTCAGCTACCGCACCCAGTGTCAGAACAGCAGCCTCTCGCTGCACCCATTGCTCGTGACGGAGAGTCTCCTTCAGATAAGGCAAAATGACTTCAAATATGGGTTCGTGGTATACATTCGAGAAAACGTCCAGCGCAGCGGCGGAGCACTTGCGTAGCGTCCATTCATCCTCCGGGTCGTCTCCAAATTCAGAGTCTTCGATCTCACCTTCGCTCAAATCATCGTCCTCATCCTCCGGCGCCTGCGCCGACGCGTTTCCGTTCTGTTGTCCCTTCGAAACGTCCATACGCCCAGCTTTTGACCTGGCAAACTGAGGTTTCAGATCCTCTTCGCGATCTTCCACATCGGCATCGTCGCCCTCTCCTGCAAGCCGAATAGCCTCCTCCTCGTCATATACCATGCTCTGCAGGAGCACTGGGACGATCTTGGGCATATGAGGCGCCAAAGGTTGTTGTAACGCAGCCTGTTCACCCGCAACTAGCCAAAACTCAGCCGCATCCAGGTTCAGTTCTGGGTCGATCTGGCTCTGCTGCTGCATGATGATGTAGTTGACCAGCCCATCCATGTGAGGAATGAGTTTCTCTGGAGCAAAATCCACGAGCTGTGCGAAAGCCTGGCAGACCGTGCGCTGGACATCCAAGGAAGAGTCGCTGGATAGCTGGAATAATTGCGACAAGAACACGTCCATCTGCGTAATCAGAGAGTTGGGCCGGTGCGGGAGGAAGATGAGAATAGCCTTGACTGCCGACTCTCGGATTCGGGAGCTCTCGATAGAGCTGAACGATAGGAGCTTTGGGATGATGACGTCCAAGGGGCACTGCCCGCTGTATTCCCGCTCAAGGATCTTGCGGTTATCCTCGCAAACCTTGAACAATGCCGACATGGCGGCTTCGCGAGTTGTCGTATTGGCATCTCCGGCCGGGTTTTCAACAAGCGTTAGCAGCTCGTGGAGGACCTCGGGCCACGCCAATAGCCCCGCCATTGCGATCAACTCTGTTATCACGATACCAGCAGAATTCCGCACCTGCGCGTTGTCATCGCGGAGACCGATAAGAGTGGCAGATCGGATATATGCGAGGGATTCCTGGGGAATGGTGTTGTATGCAATGTGGATTTTCAACTTCAGATTCATCGCCGCAGCGGCGCGGACAACGTCGTATTCGGCCGGTTGCATATTCAAAACCGCTGGTTTTTGCGGGGTGCAGAAGAGGTAGGTTAAATAATTAACATAGTCTGGCGATGAGGTTGCTTGTACTAGCATCTATCATGGTTGCAAAAACGCTCACGTCAGTTGACCCTCTTCAAGAAAAATTTCCAGACCGACCGAGCGCAACAGGAGCAAGATACGGTCGCAGACAGGGGGAAGCATGACATGAAATCGGGTAGCAAGCTTCGGATGAGACATCGAAGCAAAGCGGAGGAAGTATATCGACAGGGAAATGAATACGAGAGTGCAACGCACCTGTTCGGCTTGCTTCTGAGCGGCGCTGTTGTGAGCATTCAGCGAATCCCTGAGGCAGTAGGCCAGCTGCCCCAGTGGCCCCTCCTCTGGCTGCCACTGCATGGTAGAAAAAGCGAGATAAAAGAAGCGGCGGGATCAGCCGGTAACAATTGAGTCCCAATATTGGGAAAGAGATGCAAAATTAAGGAGAAGAAGGGGGAAGGGGAGAGAGGAGCCTCTGGGAGACGGTGGTAGGTGGTGGACGTTGTGTAGGCCCAGTTGAACCCCGCTGTGTCTGTGGTGGGAACGGTTTTGCTCCAACCCTTTCCCCAGAACCAACGATGCCGCTTGCTAAGACCACCGCTCTGATAGAGCAGACTAGAAATAAATCATTGAAAGGCATTAGATGAACCGATAAAGAGAAACGCCGCTGGTCAGCGGCAGTGCGCACCGGGCTGGCAACAATGGAGTAAGAAAGTTCAGCGTCAAGTGAATACCACCTTCATTATTACAAGAATACAAGCAGGGCAGTCAGACTCTTAGGGCAACTTTCTATGGCTTCTAAATAAGGACAGTTTTCTCCGTCTGTCTTCTTCGTCTTCTTTTTCCTCCTCCTTTTTTTTCCCATGTTGGGATTATTTCTTTCCTATATTATCTCTATGCTGGACTTCAGATGCAGCACCGCGCTCGGGCAAACAGTACTGTAACAAACGGGCCAAATTCGGTCGACAGTCAGTTAAGCCTGACCACCGCAGGTGACAATAAAGAATCTCGGAACCCCATACAGAGAAATACTCTTCTTGTTGCGCGGATAAACTTTGTATATACAAGTCTCATCTGCTGCTTCATATATATTGACAATTTTCCTCGTTCTCCAGTGTCTATTTGCTTCTTTGGCTATCCACGAATAGCATGAAGCTTATAGCTAAGCCCACACCATCTTCTTGATATCATGAACCAAATGCTCCAGAAGCCCGGTCCGCTTCTTCGCTTCGGCGAGCGATATTATCTCGGCTGGTTCGACTACAAACGGCCGGGACTCGGCATTTGCCGTCGTTCTCTGGCCCGCCTTCATAGCATGTTCGATCTCTTCGCAGATATTCTGCACCCAGTCGGTCTCGCTCACAGTTGCACTCTTTCTGCGTTGTGTTTGCGTCACTGAATTGGACAATGGAAGAGCCTTGAAGGCCATGATGCGGGTTTTGTTCCGCTGCGAGCTCGTAAACCACGCAGACATGTCCCATTGGTTGTCTAGGGCCTTCGGGTCGACCTCGCTTTGAAGGGAACGCGTGTTAACACGCAGGGCATTGTTGTCGCCTTCGCGGAACTCGATAACCAGTCCGAAGTTTCGTTGCTCGTCTGATTGCGCGTCGGTCAGAGTTGATGTGATGTAAGTGCCGTAGTTGATTCGTGTTATTGAGCGCAGGTCGATCCGCTCAAATGACAGCACCTTATCTGTGTTCCAGTCAAAGCGGCAGCTGTAGACAGCGGCGTCAGTGAGTAGCAGGACAGACTCTTCGAATGGCAATGTTCTAAGTGTGTTTGGCTGATGCGGCGTCAACAATGTCCAGCCGCCTAGAAACTCCTCAGACTGGTCACTGACCACTAGGCGGCAGCTGGTATCGATGGCATTCTGCCTGAGCTTCTGTACTGATATACCGGGGTCTGCTGACTGTAGCTCTGTTGCAAACTCCTGGAACACCTGTGTAGAGACATTTCCCAAAAGATAGTCGACGCATGCCTGCGAGAAGTAGTCGTTGACAATGTTGTTGTAATACCGAGACAGCGTTAACCCAAAGTCATTCAAAGCTCCGCGATAATCTCGCTTCCTAGTCCTGGTATAGTCGCCCTTCAAAGCCGCCGTTGACGAATACTGCTTGGAAATAGCGTCTCCGTTATCCGCCCACAAGATGTTAAACCACCTCGTCGAGGAGTCACCACCTAAATCAATATCAATACCTTCCTCCTTTAGCTCGCGCTCAAGGGCCCATTGCCCAAAAGCGCACTGTGCGACTCCTGTGCGGTCAAGGCAGTCCATGCAGTTGGTACGCACAATCCCCGTCTGTTTTTGAAGAACGGTGCCGTTGTTTACGACAATGCTTTTGAACTCGCTCAAGGTATTTTTGAGTCTGCCAACGAGCCGGCTCACGTTCTCGAACTTCATCCCACGGCATTCATTGTGAAAATCAAACCATTCAAACCCAAGCGGTACGCCATCAATGCCGCCGGACTGGTTCAGTTCCTGAGCATACTTCTCATACTGCTCCCCAATCTTCAGCTCTGGATTGCGCTTGTCAATCAGGGAAACAGCTTGGATCTTGCCGTAGCGTCGGCTTATAGTACGGAAGTGCCGCTCAAACGCAAATCTGTTGGTTTCAGGCGAATGGTGGAGAACAGGTACCGGTTTGAAGGAGTATGGAGACTGCGAGAAATATAGCGGAATGGAACCGCGCAGCTGAAGGTAAGAATAAATATTATGGGAGGAGTCCCAATCCGGTACAGAAAGAATTTGCTCCGTTTCCACAGTGTTGGCGGTGTTTCCATCGTCATCCACGCCCCGACGAAGATACCTCAGGCCCGGGCGTTTGACAGACCGACGTGAGATCAGAGTGAGGAGAAAATTCCGTTTTTCACCAGCTGTCTGAACGTCCTCCGCTTCTTGCTTCTCGCCTAGGATGCGCGCCTCGGACGGCTCTGTCTCGGACGACGGTCCTGACTTTGCAGCCACAGTGAACTCGCTCTGACCCACGAAGCCCTGGACAAGCGGTAAAACAAAAGGATGCGTACCCGCTGTAATGAATGGAAGCATGAGATGCTGGTTCCAGAAGTACTAGAGCCACGGTGATTAGTTTTGGTAACGGCAGGAATGGGCTTCACACGCACCAACTCATCTGCAGCCTTGTGCAATGATAAACGCCCGTTTAGGGCCATGGCAGTCGGCTGAGCGCTGACAGGCCTGGTGAGGTCGTAATCATAAGAGAAAAAGAAGTTGCGCGAAGAGAATATCAGCTTCGTATACCGCAGCAACTTGGGTAACAGCTCTATGGGCTTTGTGTCCACGGGCGGTTCTAGTTCGCTCCCTTTCGAGGACTCGCCATCGCTCGCAGATGCAGGAAGTTCTTCGGTGTTCGCCGCAGAGGCCGAGCGAGCTGCCACAGGATTCTCTTCCTTGAATTCCACCATGGGTATACTCCCAGACTCTGCCTCGACCGTCTCCAACTCTGCGGTGCTGAGCCCAGGTAAACCCATAGCCTTCCGTGATAGCCAGTTTGCCGCAAAGCGTCCGAACCGGAGTTTCTTCCCTATCATGTTTTCTGTGATGTTGCTGCTGATGCTGTCGTTTCTGGGGTGGCATGACCCCTGGACCGGCGAAGCAGGCGCGGTATTGATGTCTTCTGCATCGCTTCCATCTGTCTCTGCATCAGATATATCTGTATCCTCCGACGGTGTGTCGGTGTCGTCACACTCTTCCCCCTGGAGAATGTTCTCTTTCGCTTGTACTATCGCACGACTGGCATCTTCGTGCGACGAGGTAGGAATAACAGCGACATTTGCAATGCTATAAATCGGCTTCCCCTGGATCTGGGCAACCTGCTGGCGCTGGGTGATGGTAATGAGGAACGAATATGACGCAACAGTCAGAAGGCCTGCATTGACCGGCCATGAACGTTAACAGAACAATTTCTTAAGCCAATGAGGGGTGTGTCTTTACCAACGAGTCCATAAGTCTCAAGGCCCGCAAAGTCCTTCCTTTCACTTAGGTCTGATGCGGGACCAGGCAATGACGAGATGCGATTTGTTTTATAGTCAATGCGGATAGACGAGGAATCACCGTTACCATTGTAGCGTAGTCCATTCCCCGCTGACTGGAGAATGAGTCCATCAACCGCTGCGAAGATGACTATCTTCCGAAGCAAGCCAGGCATATTGTTCACATTCCACTTAGGTCTTGGATGTGCTGCCTCGCTTTAAATTTCGCTGTGGGGAACACGTTCGGGCAGCGAACAGCCTCAGGAAGTGCCAGTCCGTGACTACCTAACCAGTGCGGTGGAGAGACCAGTATACAGCCTTCTATATATTTGTATACATCGTTTTCAGCTCGAAGAAGTGGGACAACAGAAGGGATTTAAGTGATCGTGATGGGCTGTTTTGCAGTTCACATGAGGTCGTCTTGTGTCATGCCCCCACCCGAGTGCTGATCCTCGCAGGGACAGAGTATAATAGACCATCTAGTCATTACCCGCGACAAGGCCCTTATTGCTGTTACTCGGTAGGCCACAGGCATAATCTGCTGAGTTATCGCAAGATTCAATCATCCCGTTACATATCATCCAGGATTCACGCGCCGGTTATTCTACGCGGTAACCTATGACGTAGTAGCCAGGTAGCAGAGACAACACGCTTGTAATCTATCTCAAAACTGGCATCGATGCATAGGTATATACAATTCAAATCCTTATCACAAGCATTAACGCCTGCGTTTTTGCCCAATAATGGTAAAGTCATGCCGAAAAATGGACCACCGCAACTCCGGCCAAAGGGCGTCAGTCGGCCGCTGAACTGGACCCTAGTCGTAAAGTTTTTCTGCCATCGGGAGAAGGTAAAAGTACAAGGCACCGAAGCCGATGAGTGCCAGTCGGTTAGAACGACTGGAGTGTGATGGCAGATAAAGAGAATTGAAATCGAGTATGAAAACAGACACGGGAAAATGGCGTAACAAACTGTCATGGGTAAAGCCAGCGCAGCCAGCAAGACAGCAATGAAATCATGGGTCGTACTATAGATCATCGTTCTTCTTCCGTTGCTGGGATGTGCGATCTACCTCCTCATTCCTCTTGAAGGTAGGGCCGGGCTCACCATCACTTTCCTCGGTCAGCTCAGAGAGCCCGAAATTTTGGTTCTCGACATCGTAAGAGCGGATGAGGCCTTCACGGTCACCACGCCCGCTCAGGAAAGCGATGCTGGAAGAGCTCCGGCGGTGCGGTTCGCTACTCCTACGCGCCTGCATCGACCGACGAGTCTGGAAGCCTGCAATTCCGTCCGTAGGAACTCCTTCGTCGTCATATTTTGCGTTCATCATATGTCCGTCTGGGTCATTTCGTGAGATATTCAGGAGATATACGCCGGAGAAAATGATCAGAAAGCCGCAAAGTAATGATATGGTGTTGACGGCATCAGTTGTGTTGAACCCTTTGAACAAGATAAACGAGGCGCAGAGAGTGGCGGTAGTAAAAGTGACATAGTATAGAGGGTTGACGCTATGGGAATTGTTAGCTAATTCAGTCTGGCAGGTAAAGCTACTCACATCGAGGTCGAGAATTCGTTCAAGGCCTTGTTGAAATAGTTCATCTGCGTGAGAATGCAGAAGCCTGTGACGATGAGGAAGACGTATGTCGAAGCATGGGTGAACTGGTTGTGGCCTCCCAAAGTAAGCTTCAAGGCAATCCCGAAGGCCTTGACGGACATGACAGAAACAGATCCAACGGTGGAGCATATCGAGATGTAAATCAAGGGGTTTCTCTTTCCGTATAGTGGAGCGACTCGGTATATCATCACAGTGGCAAAGATCGCAACGGCAAGGCAGTAGATCAAGAAACCTAGGTCAGAGAAATCAATGGTCAAGGTTCTTGTACACGAGATTCCTCCGAGACGTACCAGGCTGAAGCGCATATTGCAAAATTTCGTCAATTGTCTCAACTGGTTGATCCGGAGGCGCATGTAAGACAATGACGACTGATCCAAGCAGGCACATAGCGCAGCCCAGTTTGCCCAAGACACCAAGTCTTTCTTTGAGAAAGTAGGACCCTAGGACGGCACTTTTCGGTGTCAGCAACGCGCCAATTTACGAATCATTTCGCCGGACTCACCCAATCAAGACGCTAAGCGCGCCCAAAGGTGTCACAAGGATGGCGGGCGCAAATGCATACGCCGCGAAGTTGGCGGCCTCCCCAATAGCCACTGCGATGTTGTTAGTTTCCCCTTCGCGATTACTTAACGACAGTTGTTTCCGTACAGGTGCTGACACCAACCCACCATGTCGGGCTCTTCAGGTATGAATATCCTTCTCCCTCAAATCCATGTCGTTCTGTGGCGTGATTTAGACCCTATGCGGAATAAATGAGTCGCTCGCCTCAGACAAACGTAGGTATCGACAGGCGGGGAGAGGGAAAGCTGATCGGGTATGAACGCACTATTTTGGTAATGACGAAACTTGTGCCTAATGGCTAGTCAGCGCTATTCAACAGATGGATCGCTGGAATGAAGTCGTACCAATCGCCATCGTAGAAAGGATGGCCAGCAGAAGGCCGATATACCTGTTGACCGAAATGTCCGTTTAGAATGCGGCCGCCTCACGCAGGGTACGGGAAGAGGCAATGCGATGCGTACTTGTCTGAGATCATCGTTGATGCGCTGTAGGAGCTGATTGCTCCCCTCGAGTGAAAGATCCAAGGCTAGCAGAAACTCGAATGAAAGCGTGCGAAACAAGGGAAAGATCGCAGAATGACGACGTTCGTCCGGAGCTGCAACAAAACACGGGAATCGTTCGGAATGAGGACGCGAGTCGTATAACAAGGGCGGCGATGAAAGGAATGTAGCGGCTGAAGACCCTGCAGCCTAAAAATGAAACGGGTAGACGTTGATGAGCACTGGCGATTGCTTGGAGGGACAAGTCGATCTCGATGGTGGTCGATTCGGAGGCTGGCTGCGGCTGTTGCTGCGCTTGCGTGCGGTGGGGTTTGCTGGCGCTGGTTCTGGACGCGTAAGTGGCCCAAGCGAACGGAGACGGCGGGTATGATAGTTCAACAAGAGCAGTACTCGCTCTGTAAAGAGTAGTAGGAATATAGAGAATCAAAGCGAGAGACAAAAGCAACAAAACGAGGGAACAAGGGCCAAAGGACTAGGAAGGGCGGGTTTCAGAAGGCCAAAAGTCATTTGCAAACCGGAGGGTCGCACCACTAAATAAGTCACATAACAAAGCTGATTGTCTGGGATTCGAGGCCTACGCAAGCCGGGACCAGGCCCATACAGAAATAGAAATGTATTAGTTGGTAGGATAACTTTGCTTATGCTCCCACGAAGATCATGGCCTGCGGCTTAACATCTACAATTCGTACATGGTGCCACTGATTACAAAGTATATAGCTGCTTCTCAGATTTATCAAGCAGTTTTTCTCTTTGTAAGAAGAGCAGTCTCAGCAACTTTTATTGCCCCAACAGCTCCAAGAGCCCCCTTCAAAGGCCAAGTTTAACGATCGGCGTTTCAACCTCAACCAAGAATAGCTGCAGGTCCCGGCGACGAGGCTGAGCACCGCCCCAGTAGCGTCAGTTCCAGTTCGTTCCGGAAAAGAGTCTACGGAATATCAGATACTCAGAAATTAGAAATCTGACTCAGTGGACTTGGTGCATAGGATGATGAGCCAAGACTGTCTACCCTCGAACCACTGCGTTAGGTGGTTTCAGATCTACCCCAGGCGCTCTCTTCACACCTCCAAATATTCCGCACTAAAGGTTGGTATCAGATGTCACGCATCATTGGAGTTTCGTCTCGCAGTACTTCTTGCACCTGATAGAAATAGTGCTTGGGCGGGATCATACAAATGCCTCATTGGAGTAATTGGAGCAGGACCTAAGGGAAATCCTCAAGGACCATAATAAATCCATTCTATTAACCACCGAATGGTACAACACCTATACCGGCAACAACACTCCCTAAGCTCGAGCGTTTACACTATACTCATCACAACTCAATAGCACAATCAGGATCCTCCATTTCCAGCACACCATCTAAGGATGTATGGTACAGGAATGAAGGTATGCTTTTGCCATACAGCAAGGTTGAAGACCCCACGTCTGATGGTAAAGAATAGCCCCGGATACTCCTTGCGCCTTGCGCACCACCAAACGCCAAGCCATTTCCCGAGGTATCGCTAACGTAGTGACAAGGAATAGGAAAGAGCAACAAGAAAAACGGTATCAGGAGAAATAAGGAAAAGGCATGAGTAACACGCGCTTATCGGGAGCGCCGGTGGTACAAACCTTGAGTGGGCAAGCCCGTGACTGCGAGCCCCACGGCGAACGGCGTTGGAAGGGAGGTAACCCCCTGACTAGAAGAGAGGTTAAATGTTAGATACGTACCTAAATCGATAGAAAGCGCCACAACGTGATTGTCGCGAGTTAGATCCATAGAAGGACGAGAGATGCCACTCGAAGTGGCTGAGGCCTCAAGGGCCAGCATGCATAAGAACGCTGGAGTTGTTAGATTGTTTGACACAGTCCCATAGAGGGATGTGCGCAGGAAACGGGGAATATCGTAAATGGTCACATGAGCGATCTATGACGACCGAGAGCGCTTGACTTCCGGAGTTGTGCTTTCAGGATAGTCCAGTTCGTCATCGGGCTCACGGAAGCGTTTGCCAGAAACGTGACTGGCGGGTGCAGTTTCTTGGTCTTGTTCAAAGTCACCTAAGTCGTCCGCAATTTCTAGGTCCAGGTAATCCTCTTCATCTTCGAAGGGCAGGTCGCCTCCCTCGTTGTTGTTGGAGGGGAGAGAAACGGTACTCTCCGGGGCTTCCTCGAGTTCACTGGGCTCATTTGCCTCGCTGACTCCAGTCAGGTCTGCGGCGTTCGAGTCTCTATCAGTATTTTTCGCATCGTCTGCCGCATCTAGTGAGTCATCTACCACGGGCTGGGGGTGGGACTTTTCTGTTGAGGTGCCGTCCAAAAGTGTTTCCGCCGTCATGAACCTATCCTCTAATTGAGATTCCAGGCCGGTGGTACCCTCGTTAGGAGCATCAGTCTTCACATCCTCCCCCGAGGGTGGTTGCTCGTGATATGATTCTAGGTCATGAGATCCTGTCGTATGTTCCTCAGAATATCCGGTGTCATCCGCCTCGGGATCCTCTAGATTGTCAAGGGGTCCTGTAATGTGGACCAAAGAACCTTCTTCAAGATGAGCCTCGTCATCAAGATGGTGGTCTCCCTCATAGTAGTCCTCGCCGTGATGCTCATCATCATCGTCATCATGAGAATGTTCGTCGACTTCACCTGGTTCTAATCGCTCCTCGGATAGATCCGTTACAGGTAGGGCCTCAAGTGTTCCGGTAGATTCTGACTCTCCTTCCTCAGAGTTTTGAGACGCCGCGCGTGGTGACGCATCATTTTGGTCTTCCAAATCAGTGGCATTGGTAGCAACCTCCCCATCTTCGGCATTTTCTATGTTGTCGGTTTCCTGGGTGGCCGAAGCATCATGCTTGAGGTTAGACGAGTCCTGGTCAGGAGGGGGAAGCTTCGACTTGGGTCCAATGGAGCTTCCTTCATCGTCGTAATTATCCGGCGTGTCTTGTTGCTCCTTCGAATTGAACTCAGGGGCGTTCTCTTCGAATTCTGCAGCTCCTTCCGCGTCAGGGTAGATTTCCCAAGACTGAATCTCGGACAGACCCTTCCCCTCGCTGGCAGCTATCAGAAGATCCGATAGTTCCGCAGCAAGGGTTAGTCTCGTACTAAGGGTGAGGAATAAGGCTTCCGGTTCTTCAATGCCGTCATTGTGGCAAAGTTGCAGGTACACGTCTACAATTTGTTTCAACGTAAAATTATGTGTCTCGAGCGAATCCTAGGCATATTCTGTCAGCATAACGTGCACGAAAACAAGTACTGGACGGCTCACCTCTGTCAGTTGAAAGTTCAGGGTTTCAATATCAATGACTAGCACCTCGTTCTCCGTAATGTGATTTTGCAGGACTTCGCGGCAAGCAACAAACAGTTTTCCAAAAGACTCGTATGCAAGACCCTCGTCTTCCAGGAAGAAAGTTTCTGAAGCGTCCCCTTCTCTTGGAGGAAACAGCGAGATCTCGTTGTCTTGATAGTATACTTTGACCGGGTAGAGCGGGGATGCGTCGGTCGATTCATGGGCTTCTTCAGTTTCCTGGTCATTGGACTCGGATATTTGTAGCTGCTCTTGCGATTCCACTTCTGCCTCCTTGCGGGCATCGTTATATGGTTGGATGCTAGGTTGATCTCCGTCTTTCACCTCATTCTGAATGTCCTCGGGAATGCCTTGATGATCGTTATGTACCGGTTGCCATTCGGATTGCTCTGTTTGTTCAGCCTTAGTACTGTCGACAGTCTCCCCCTGATCCCGATATTCCACTTGGCCTGTTTCTGCCTCTTCAACCGGCTGTTCGCCATCCTGGCGCTCCACAGACTGGTCGGAGTACAGTTGTGCTTTTGGTTGGGACTCATCAAGGTGTTCCTTTGCCACCTCTATATGAGACTCAGAGTGATCCTTATCGGTATCCTCGGGCAATTCTTTGTCGTTTCGTACCGCTCTTGGAGCTTCTTCACTGTCCGCGTGTACTGAGAACTCGGGCACTGCATTTTGGTGATCCAGGACTGGCGCATCGATATCTTCTTCATATTCGTCTTCTAGCATCTCAGCCTCGTATGTTTTTCTCTCCTCGTCCGTCTTCCCATCCTCGTAATGCATGTCGATGTTCTGATTCTCCTCGGTGTATTCGTCGGCGTCTATCATGGAAGGCTCGGCTGCATCGTCAATCATATCTTCATCGGGGAATACATCTTGACCATGATTCTCGCCGTGAGAGTTATCCATGTAGTCATCCGCTGCCGTCATGTCTCTGTCTGCATTCGAAGCTTGGTCCTCCATAACATCGATGTCGATCTCAAAATCATCGCCGTGCCCATGGTAAGGAGACGCCATTTCCATCGTATCATCTATCGTAGGGGCCTCCATGGTGGCAAATGTGAAGGACGAGGTGGTTGTCATGGCTTGGAGCGATGGTGAAGGGCGCGTTCAAAGTTTTGAGAGTGGCGTTTGAGCCCAACATGCGTCGGCCGTGCCGCGAAATGTCTACTTTCCGGTATAGAATGTTGGAAGAAGTCGGATCGATGCCCTGAGAAAGAGAATAAAGAAGTAGTATTCTACCCAAATATAGGGATGTCGCTGCCGGCTTTGTTCGATGGGAACGGTTGTGTTTCGGGCAAGTCGTGGTAAGCGAGGGGATAGCGCGGTGCACGGGCCAACGGGGCCGAAGAGAACAGCAAAGACTCCAGGACCTCCGCCGCCGGTGGAATATCTACGTATCTGTCTTCCCGGCACAACACGTCGTGTCTCCTTTCGCATCTCTAATTCCTGGTAAAATCTGAGTTATATCTGCCTGCATAGGGTTTTGACTCTGACAATTCTATCATGGTGGGCCCTATTCACCCTCGTCAATGTAACCAGTCCTGCTTACCGTCCACACAATTCAGGTCGTTCTCGCCGCGTCAATATGCACCCGTGGGGGCAAAGCAGTACTTTCGCGCCAATTCCGAGAAATAGCCCGCTCTAGAATTGAAGCCCTACTCGCATCGTTCCCAAAACTCGCGGATTCCGGAACCCAGCACACAACTGTTGAGCAAGACAATGTCCGCTTCGTTTACCAGCCCCTCGACGAGCTATACATCGTCCTCATCACAAACCGTCAATCGAACATCTTACAAGATATCGACAGTCTTCACCTCTTTGCGCAGGTGACTACTAGCATCTGCAAGAGTCTAGACGAGCGAGAAATCCTGCGCAATGCATTTGAATTACTTAGCGCATACGATGAGCTGGTGACCCTCGGATATAGGGAGAACCTGTCTCTCTCTCAGATTAAGACATTCCTGGAGATGGAGAGTCACGAAGAGCGCATCCAAGAGATTATCGAAAGGGTATACTATACCAGAAATTCAGCGTTCGACGGGGTACTGATCGATTGCAGAACAAAGAGCTTGAGGCGAGCGAGGAACGTAAACGGAAGGCCAAGCAGCTGGAGATGCAACGGAAAGAGGCTGCTCGCAACTCACGCAACATCGCTCCTCGAACCCCATCCTACCCCGTCTACACGCCGCCATCGCGTCCTGCTGTACCTGACACGTATGATAGCTATGAAGCGGAGAAGAAGAAGACGTTCGCCAAGTATGTCTTGACTACACCCCTTTCGTTCCTAGCGTTTCATCTAACAGCTATGCCCTCGTCAGGCCTTTGCCGACCCGAGGAAAAGGAATGCAGTTGGGTAAGAAGTCGAAAACCACGGACATCTACGAGAAAGTTCGCGGTGATCTCGGCCCGGAGGCGGAAGAGTCAAGTCCTTTGGTAACGCCGCAGACTTCAACTCCCGCTGCGGAGAGAGTGTCTTCCGCTCGTCCTTCACTCTCTGCCGACCGCGAGCCGATCCATATTACGATTGCCGAAACCATCTCCGCCTCTCTCACGCGTGATGGCGCGCTCAAGTCCTTTGAGGTCAAGGGTGACCTTCAACTTCGTATCAGCGACCCGGCGTTCACGAAGCTCAAGCTCGACCTTCTCGCCAACCCCACTCACGGCGCCCAATTCCGCACTCATCCCAATGTCGATAAAGCTGCATTCAGCAATTCATCTATCATTCAGCTGAAGGATACATCTAAGAGGTTCCCTGCCAATAACTCGATCGGCGTCCTCCGCTGGCGCGTTGCTGGCTCGGGATCTGACAATGCCGATGTTCTTCCAATCACATTTACAGTCTGGCTCAACAAGGGCTCAGACTCCACTACGGTGACTGTGGAGTACGAGCTCACGGGCTCTGACAGCCTTCGGGATGTCGTCGTAACTATTCCCTACAGCACGGCAGAGCCGGCTGTCTCAAGCTTCGACACCGTCTACGAAGTCTCAGGCGACAGTCTTGACTGGAACATTGGAAACGTGAATGAGGACAACGCATCGGGCAGCTTTGAGTTTGAGTCATCAGCCGATGACGAGAACGAATTCTTCCCTATGACCGTGCGGTTCTCGAAGGCTAGTCCATTTGTCGAGGTCGACGTCACCGACATCTCCCTTATAGAGGAGGGAGAAAGCACCGGATACTCCAAGGACATCAAGAGTGTCGCCGAAGGTTATCTTATTGAATAATTTCTCTTATCACTTACTAATGACATTCCCGCCGCCTTTCTGAGTACGAGCTTCTGCCAGTTGTTTAGATTCTGTTAACAAAGCCTTTGATCGAATGGTATACTATCTTATGACCTCAAGTTCAATCCCTTTTGTGATTATATCTTGTCTGAAGATTGCGCGTCGAGTGCCTCTGGTTGAGCCCGGACAGCTGACCGAGTTTGGCTGGTGACTCTACTGCTCCTCGCCACTACCATGCCATCGATTCACCATTTCAAAATCCCTCATGATTACTCAAAGTTTGCAACTGTTCTAACCTTGCTGACTACCTGACAACTCTTGTCGAATCAAAGACAAACGAGCATTTGTCGGCCGGCCGAAGTGGCCCAGTAAGTTTGAGATTGCGCATATAAAATCCAGGTACCTTGGGTCAGGCCAGGTAAATCAACTCTAGTCTGAGGCTGTCATTTCCGCCCGACAGTAGACCCAATCACCCTTCGATTCAGCTGCATTCAGCAATGGCCTCCTTAAGTTGTTGATTCTATACAACGACAGGAGAACCAAGGACCGCTTTGAGAGGGGCACGTCAACAATCTTCTAGCGTATTTTCGACTAATCTTGTTAGTTTTCGAGTGCAACATGGTCTATCCGTGACGTTGGTGACTAAAGTTTTCAGCATAAAAGGTCGTTCTTTCCCTCTTGGAATCTGCCGATATTCCCTGACCACAGCAAATGTCCTCCGCTTGACCAACGTAGAGTCCTCTCTTTGCCAGAGCGCAGCGTTCATGCAGCATTATTATCACTCTACCGAATTCAGACGCCCACACTCCCTTCTCAATCCAGGTACAATTCTCGCAGCCGCCTATTGTGACGGGTATTAAGCCCAGTCCTAATCAACTCATGGTGTTTTGTAGTGTCTAGCAGTCATCTCTTGCCTTCGGGCGTTATGAGCAGCATGGGCGGCGGAGTGCTTATTCCGCCTCCTTTTTGTGGCAATGTAAGTGGTGTTGACTCCAGGTGCAAAGCAGCATGAGCTCACACTATACGTCTCTTTCAGAACAGCGGATCGCCAAGTCTCTCCAGACCAGCCAGAATACCGATACCAAAAAACGATTCAATGCTAACTCCGAGACGCACTCATCGACAACATGTGGGCCGAGCCTGCGAGGCTTGCAGAATGAAGAAAACGAAGTGCACAGGGGAAAAGGATGGTTGTAGAAATTGCAAGAATGCTTCAGCGCCCTGCAGCTACACCGACGGAAAAAGGGAAAAGAGCAAGAAGTGCGAGCGTCCTTGCGATCCAATCCGGGAGCGTTGCCATTGCAGCTAATACTAGCTTAACCTTTACAGGCAAATGGCGGAACTAATCAAGAGGGTCGAGGAGCTTGAGAACGCCGTGTACGGGCTGAGCACTGAGCTTGGAGAGTCCTTCGAAAAGCTGCTGGCTCGCGGTACTGAAGCATATGTTGGATTGACCCTTTTCCTCCTAAGCGACCATCACTAACTTGGAACTAGGTCCAGACCAACAACGAAGAGAATCGCGGTGGCCACCAACAAGTGGATTTTGCTGGATCGTTTCCGGGCCAGCTCGGATCAAGACTCCAGGAATTACAGGGCAACGAAGTAAAATGCGAGAAGCTACAGGATCTAGGCACCACGATCCCATTCGCAAACGACTTGTCGTCGACCCCATCGCCTGATCAGTCCCCTCAGCAGGTTGTTCTATCAGACACTGCACTGCTCCCGCCTATGCTCTCTGGATTACAAGGCACTGCAACCATGATGCCGAATACCCATTTCAACCAATCTTCAGCTTCGACAATGCTAGATGCCGAATCGTACTATGGTCCTACTACTACCACGTGGAGTCACTTTGACCAAAGGACCTTTCATTCTAATCCTGAGTTCGACGACGTTGTTGACTATTCTTAACTCTAGTGCGCGACATTTTTGATCTGCGCATACTTCGTTGTTTTATGTATGCGTCGTACTTGTGTCGCCCTTGCTAGGTCAAGGCGCTTTAATTTTTACTATGTCGTCACTCCAGACTGATTGTTGTGTGTGCTCTCGGGTTTATTTTATCTTTTGTTATTCAATATGCATGGTAGCGATTATACCTTTTAAGGGTGTCGCGTAGGCTGTATGGGGTTGTTCCAGCATGACTCCTATTCTTCCCCGTCAATTGCATGCTCCAGAGTTCCTACAGCAAGAGTGGTGCTGCCTTGCTTCTCACTAATACGGTCACGGAGAGCCTTATGGCTTATAGCTTGGACGTCACAAGGTATATCTACCGCTCGATTATGAACATATGTCTATAAGAGGGGTATCTAGCAGCAAGAGCCATCGAATAACCTGACAAACCACACTTCCTTCACGCAAAAGTCCAATGCACTCGAGCATACATCTCAAGCCTCCCAATTCCTCTTCTTAGCTGTAAACAGCAACCGCGCATCCTCCTCGCGGTACTCTGCTCCAAGACCCCCCGGCGACATCAGAGGTATTCCCGTAACCCTGGCCAAGCGAAGATCAATGACTAGCGCTCTACGATGGGCACGATTTGCCCATGATCCGTTAATATGAGGCCAGTTGCCTCCGCCTCCGCCTCTACATCCGCTTCCTTGCTCGCGCCAGTAGCTCAAGTTCACACCTAGGAGGCCCCTCTCGTCGCCGACGAAGCCCTCAATGCAATCCAGAGAAGGAAGAAAGCGGCGCCGGATACCACAGGCTACATGGTTGGAGTCGATCTGGTAGTCCGGGCACTGTTTGAGCTGCGAGATGATGGATGCGATATCGGTAGGGCGCGTGCCTGCTTCTGACCCCGATTCGGCGTCGGTGGCTTCGATGTCTGGGTTGAAATCTGGGTCTAAAAGGGTGGAGCCGATGAAGATTGTCTTTGTGCGGAGGGAGAAGAAGCGCGTCATTTGGCCGAGGTGGAAGGTGTCGCAGGCGCTCGAGTTCCCCAGGCCGCAGCGGCATTGGTACTGTCGGGGTACTGATGACGGGCTGGGAAATATGCCGGCTTTGGGGAGCGTGGGTTCCTCAAGTGCGCCGTAGATTCGGAGGAAGTGGGCTTGGAGATCGGTGATGGTGTTTAGGACGCTTTGGCGGCGGTAGTAGAGTTCGTCTGTTGAGAGGTTAGCAAATTATACTTCGGCGGGGTGCTGGAGAATACCTTCTAGGCCGTCTGAGAAATAGTGCCAGCTGGGAGTACCAGGCTCCGTGCCTTCGAGTCCATTCACCCAGTTTCTGGACCCCGCAACAACCAGGGCATGGGTTAGCATCTGAAAGGTGGTCCGCTCGTTGAGGAATCTGGCTATAAATATCGATTGCCGGATTCGACTCTCGCTTAGCTTCAACATCGCCGATGTGAACCTGGTCATTGGTAGCTTTGGCTTTCCTAGAGTATAGCCAGCCCGTTTGAGGCTGTCCCGAACAGCGTCAGGAGAGTTGAAGGCATCGGCTAGCTCTATCAGGTCCGCAATAAACGACGGCTTTTGGGATCTGGCTTCTGCAGCAAAGCTCTTCTTCTCTTCATCGTTGAACGAAGTGTAAGACAGCGCTTGGAGAAAGAGTGCAACAGTGTCTGGCCCTAGACGTGGTGACAAATGATTATCCGGCAGCCGCATAGTTGGGACAGCATTCTGTTCAGACGTATGATTCTCTGAGAGTCCAGCATCTCCGTTCGCGGTAGATCCTACATCGAGGTTACGTAGTTCCCTCTGTTTCATGAAGTCCCTGCCCTCGGAAAACTTGTTGGGATCAAGGAGAGCACGAAAGTAGGGACTACTCTGCATCAAGCCCTCACTGGAAACTCTCCAACGGGTCCTTGTGCCCGTATGGGCACGGCTCGAGGACGCATACTCCAGGATCAGATCGCCGCTGCTGACAATAACTTGCGTATTGTGGTAAGATGCGTCGTGCACATGTGCACTGGCCACGAGATTGGGCGTCTCTGATCCAGAAGATACTTGCGTTACGCCTTCGCCATCAGAAAGCGATATATCTTGGGTTGAAGCCTCGATAACTTTGGAAGATGGAAGAGGCGGATATTCGGAATCCATGACCAGCTTGCCGCTTCTCAGCCTGCTCGTAGCTCATCAACCGGACCGAACAATACTATATCCCTCAAGGTAAAGTTTTCGGCGACGCAACGCATTTATATAAGTTTTATGTGCGCTTCGTTTTTCTCGTGCATAGAAGCCTCAATGCCAGAGGTACAGGCAGTTAATCTCATCTCATCGAGGCAGGCTTTCGGCTTGGAAGTCCTTAGAGTCGGTGCGGCATATCAACGGCTCTTGAACTATTGCCCATAGCTCAAACAAGGAATCGAAATTGATAAAAGAAGTGTTGGCGGGGGTCTTGGAGCGTGAGAACAAAAGTCGCCTCAACGTCATGTGACTCCCAGCTCCACCATCTCAAACCTGTACACTCGGGCAACAGTACATCCATGCCTTGTATGGTGGACAAATGCAGTCAACCTCTCGAAATTAGACTGGTCGGGGCTAGAATTCTCAAGCGAAAAAGTTAAACGGCCATGACCCAAGCGGGAGGCCTTCTCTGAGAGCAAAGATTACGCACTAAATCAGTGACTCTTCCTCGACCCAGCATAGATGTTTCTTGTTTGGCAGGAATTTACGGCGGGTAGGAAGGTGACGCAGGCAGAGGCTAGGCTGCAGTAGGCAGAGATCCAGGATACGATACAGGGATAGGTGCAGGTCTACCTTATGTTCGAGGTATTTACAATCTTGCAAACTTTACCCAGAGCCCTCCCAGCCAGCCCCCTCCGGCTTTCTCCTCCCAATTATTCACGTCTCACTCTTCATTCCTCACTCTGCATCTCTTCTCATTCCAGACGCCTCTTAACTCTCTGCCTAGTGGCTTCCTCTCTCAGACCCAAGAATGTCTGATTCTGACCTCGATTCTGATAAGGCTCTGGAGGAGGCTCTGGAGAGATTGGAAACTGAGAACGGTCGGAACTCTGAGGATGATACTCCCTCTTCAACTTGGCCTTGGTCCAAGACTGCCATAGCTCAGGCATTTCGCGAGATTGGAAATCATATGGACAGTCCCTTTACGTGTGGGGGCACCATTGATATTACCGACCATAAAGATTCCAACAAGTCCGGTCACGATGTGGCCGCAAAGAAGACTTCTCTTCCTGTCACTGTTTACTGGCGTGCAGATTCAGTCTCGAAAGCACACTGGCTAACCCTACCGGTTCAAAGCACTTCGGTGCTCCGGCAGCTTGTTGACGACTGCGAGCCGGCAACGTTTGGCCGAGGACAGGAGGATGTCCTTGACCCTAAGTACCGAATGGCAGGGAAGATGGATACTAACAACTTCTCGACCCTGTTCCATCCAGGTGACTTTGGAATCATCGAGAATATCGAAAAGGTTCTCCTACCCAGCGTTAGCACGGAAGAGCAGTCTGACCTGGGGTTTCGGAAGCTCCATGCCGAGCTATACAAACTAAATGTACGGCCCGGGCTCTCACATGTTTGCAGGTCACTAATCTGATTATTTTGCACAGGTATACTCCGGTCCGTCTGGTCTTTTTCGCAAGCATGTGGATACTCCACGCTCTGAGAATCAGGTGGGCTCTTTGGTCGTTTGCCTACCTTCGAAGTTTAGGGGAGGGAAGTTTACCGTCCAGCATGCCGGAAAGATCGTCGAATTCGACTGGAGCCCTCTTAGCGATTCTGCTATACAGTGGGCCGCTTTCTACAGTGATTGCGAACACGAGATTAACACTGTCACTGAGGGGGAGCGGATAACCCTGACCTACAATCTATATGTGACAGAGCCGGTAGTACCGCTTTCTTGCTTGAACAGCATCATTCAGCCCAAGTCGTGGCCTCTATATGGCTTGTTGGAAACTCTGATTGCTGAGCCTGGTTTTATGACCTCAGGTGAGCCCCATAAGCCAACTCTTGAGAAGTAGAGGACTCTAACATGCCGTCCCAATTCAGGTGGAGTGATGGGTGTTCCATGCACCCATGCCTACCCCCATACCTCTCATAGCGCCAGCTCTATGCTTCCGAGGGGCCTAAAAGGCGGTGACTTGATGGTATATTCTGTGCTCAAAGCTCTAGGTATCAGGGTCAAGGTACTTCCTGTCCTAGAAAAGCCTCGTCGTTATGATGATCGTGAACACAAGGGCGAGGAATTGGTTGGAACGGACCTCTGGGAACTTAGTATTGATAGCTGTTCCGAAGTCCAGGAGAGCAGCGATTTTTACGAAGTGAGTACATAGTGCAACCCCGTGCTGGAAGCGATCCCAAACGTCGAAAGTATTGACATGACACACAGGTACTAGACTCCGCCTGGCCGGCTTACAGAGCCAAAGGCATCAAATGGATTCCTGGTCATAGACATAGCAAACTGGCTCTCACTCATATCGCTTATGGAAACGAAGCCACCATTGGCACTGTTTATTCTTATGCTGCCATTTTTGCCGTGATTCCGCCGTTCACTGATCGGAAGCTTGCGGCAAAGTCGGGCACATGCTGTACATGCTGACCACCCAACCTTTCTCCCCGAAGCATTTTAGGCCAATGAGGGAAGTCAGGGATTTCATTACCTCAGAAAATTGTTTTTTTTTTCTTGATGTTGTCTAGTTAGATGAAAATAACTGACAACCTGAAATGCAATCAATTAGCGAATATGAAGAAATAGAGCTAAGGCTATCTACTCTATCACGAACGCCATTGCTGTTGGTATATGGCAGAACATGGTCAGAGTAGGCATACCACATCATAAGCACTTTGGGCTATTTATACACTCTAGCCTGCACCTAGCCTGCATATAACCAGGGCCCACCTGTCATTATAGTTGCTCTACGGGTACGGCCATGGTCCATAGCATAGGCATGGCCTGTAGCGAGTATCCATGCTATGGAAATAGGTTCTGTCAATGCTGCAATAATCTCTGTATATGCTATCCATATCAATATACATCGGGCTAGGTGTATGATTGAAAGGCTACTTCTAATGCAGCATGCGCGACTGGACAGGTAGATCTTCCCTTTATGCAGACCAGAGTCCATTTTCCGCCACCGGGCCATTCACAATTCCCGGCAGAGAGCGGCTGTGTGTAACTATTAATATATTTGAGGTCCAAGGCTGCGAGTTCTATCCAATAGTAGATGGGTCTATATATTTAATTCAGGCACTAGAAGTAAACAGCAAAGAAGTATATATTCCGATTCAAGCCCCTATCCACAATATCCTTTTCCGACAATCAATGTATATAGTATGTGTATATCGTATGTGAAGTGCACGAAGCAGGACTTGACTTATCAAGGTAATGACACAAGAGGAATATGCAAAATATTAGGCCGGCGTTGACTCGTCTTCGTCTCTTGCTTCGGTGTAGCTGCTGCCCTCTGGCTAGCGTACGCATCGCGGGCCCTCACACTTTGTCGGACAAGTGAGTATAGTCTGTAGGCGAGGGGATTTAATGAGTCTGGGGGTGGCTCTGGGGTTTCGGCTGTTGTCGGTGTTGCTTCGTCGAGCTGCTGGTCGTTTGCCGAGACTAGCTTATGCGGAATCACCGACAGCAACGCTAGAGGTTGAGATGGGTTGTCGTCGATCCCATCAAGGTCATGAGCCAGCTGATCTTGCTCGGCTGTTGGCAAGGAATCCATCAAAGCGTCAAAGCCGAGGATTTCATCTTCACTTTGAGAGACCAGGTGCCATGGTTCGCCGCATATGAATCCAAGGACGAAATCTTGGTTGGCATATGCCGCTGCAACGGTGCTCTGGCGGTATTCGGGAGTAAACGGGGTGTCTGTGGCAGAGGGGAGGCAGAGAAGAAGGCCACGAGCGAGGAGCGGAGGTGGAGGGAGGTCGGTATCAATCGCAGGAGGCGGTGCTACTCCGAAGTCCCAGACGTCCTCGGGCTCGTATGACTCGGTTTCATTCAGCGCATCAGTCGAGTCTTCGGTGTGCTGGGATATCGTTTGAGTGAGTGAGATGGTGGAGGCTTTCCTGGGAGGAAGCGCCAGATTGTTGTTGTCGCCTTCTTCTATCGCATAGTGTGATGGCACACGTTGATGGTTTGAATCGCCGTTCGTCTGAGCCCCGAAGGAGTCGTACCCACCGAATGGGCGGTTGGAATTGGTGTCCGCTGTGATCTCCGTCCTAATAGTCTGGACGGCATCTGCAACGGCCTCCCTGGCAGCAGCCTTCAATGTCGGAATCAAAATGTCCGCTGCTTGGTTATTGACCGCTACCCCAGAGGCCCAAGCAGTTGAGAGATTCGCCCACGAGGCCGGCTTCACCAGGCCCTTGGTGTACTTCTTGCGGGTCAGGTCAACTAAGGTATTTCTCACTTCTCTCGACTCCGCCTCTTGTCGGCCAACGACACCAATAGTTGCGTTCAAGATTCGACCGCCTTCCCAGATCAAGAACGCATATCGTTTGGCGAGCAAAGTCAACTGGCGGATGGTGTCCTCGGACCAGTCATCGATGATGTCTGCCTGAACCTGCAAAATGGTGATATATGGGCCGACGAGCGAGGCTAGGCGAAGAAGAGCGTCCGTGCTAGTGACGGTGTGAGCTGGAGCCACGCAAACGGGTAGTCCATAGGGCAATCCCTTTTTGGCTTTGGCTAAGGATTGAATATAGGCGATCAGGCGATTGCCTGGGAGAGCCGGAGCGCTCGCGGCAGGGGAGTCCATTGCAATGACGTTTGAAGATCGAGGGTAGTGCCGTTACAACAGTATAGAAGACGGCGAAGTATAAGGCGATTTCCCTGTCTATTGTTCGGACAGAGAGAGGAGAACGAGGGGTTAAGAAAGAAAAAAAGAGAAAGATGCGAAGGAGGATCTGAGCTGAGCTAGAGCAGGACTAAGCTGGCTAACTGATCCTGCGGGCTCTCCAGTCTGCGGCCAAGAAAAGGGATTGACAGCTTGTCAAAATCTCCACCCAATAGCACGTAGTTTTGATGACTTTGATCACTGCAGCTTGCAGCTTCACAAGGTCACTGGATGGCAGATTGATGCAATACGATAAAGATGAGCGAGTGTGTTATTTGAGGCCAGCTTATCAATAACAAGAGACCCTCTGGAAATTGAGACAAAGAAAGAGGCCGAGGCGGATGACCCCTGGAGCTTATATAACTGGCCAACCGCCCACAACAGATACCCTGAGATCGGGAATCTGGGCATCTCTGTGGCTTTGCAGTATCTTCTCGGCGAATTGCTGTCTGTGCTCTCCTATTCCGCCTGGATTCTGCAGTAACCTTGCTTCTATGTATGACCAATGTTGTTCTACATGACCGGTTTTTTCTCTCCTCAGTCTGCCTTGCCATCCGCCTCCCAACAAGCTGGATATGGGGAATCCAAGCAAGCGTCGTTTACCGGGGCAGTTCCGGGCTAGTCTAGCTTGCATAAGATTAATTAACCAGTGGGAGATCGCCCAAAAGACGTTCCAAGTTCCAGCTCTCTGGACTCGTCTAGCCTCACTTTGTCTGGATAAATGCCTAAAAGCCTCGGTAGGGCAATTCGACCCCGATCGTCCAGTAGCTAGTTTGGCCAGGGTTCAAGGAGGCTGAATGATGGATTAACAAATGAGAGATTGACGGTTGAAGACACCGTATGCCGTCAGTTTCATAGGCAAGCTGTTTACTACAGCCGAGGTATAGCATATTATTCAGTACGTGGTGCCATGCCCACTCCCGGGCCAGCTCAGGGGCTTTCCAAATCGGGTTAGCTGCGCCCAGACTCGACTTGTGCGCCTGATCCGCTCCCCAGACTTCAATTCTTCGAGGCCTTCTCTTGTCGTCCTTTGCACGCAGGAAACAGTATCAGTTATTGTATCTGCAAGGTCAAGTATTTGCGTCCCTGCGTAACTTCTCTTGCCCTCTTTTTTTCGGCATTATTCGGGGTTTTGCTGCTGGTGGCCTTATCCTCAAATTCTTCCTCGGAGCCTCCGGCGCCCGTCCCTGAATATTATTTTTTGAGCTCACGCCACTTCCCGGCCTCAACCCATTTATTGCAAGCTCGCCACCGCAGCCCGTCACGGACTCGCTATTCGACTTGTTCAGCTTTCTCCTGTCACCCCTTCTGCGACGGCTTCCTGGCCTTATTATCCTCAATAATCGCTGCCGCCTCTTCCGCGACGACGATGCCTGGACGGATTCTGCCCACCTTCAGCCCAGAGGAGGTTGAGTCGCACAACAACGCCAAATCCTGCTACGTGACTATAGGCTCAAAAGTGTACGACATCACTTCGTTTGTTGATGATCACCCAGGTGGTGGAGATTTGGTTCTCGAATACGCTGGAAAGGATGTGGCCGAGATCTTGCGGGACCCGGTATCCCATACCCATTCCGAATCAGCGTATGAGATATTGGAGGATAACCTGGTGGGATTTATCGGTACGGAATCCAACTCAAAATCAGCAAACGGGTTCGCTGCGAATGGAGAGCCGGTTTACGCCACCACCGGGATGTCCACAGCGGAGGATCTATCAGTGGAAACAGACGCCAATCAGGACTATCAGAAGCACCAGTTCTTGGACTTAAACAAGCCTCTCCTTATGCAACTGTGGAATAGCGGATTCAGCAAAGAATTCTACCTTGAGCAAGTCCACCGACCACGCCACTACAAAGGAGGTGAATCTGCTCCCCTCTTCGGAAACTTCCTCGAGCCACTGAGCAAGACCGCCTGGTATGTTGTGCCAATTGTGTGGGTTCCCCCAGTCGTCTACGGGACATGTCTTGGAGTTTCCGGTCTGGGCCATGCTCCCGCCGCCGCTGGCTATTGGATGTTTGGGTTCTTTCTATGGAGTTTGATTGAGTACCTCATGCATAGATTTCTGTTCCATCTCGATAAGTACGGTTCATTTTCTTCCCGGCTTCTACAAAGCACTAACCGCGTCTAGATACCTTCCTGATAACCGGGTCGGAATAACCCTACACTTCCTTCTTCATGGCATCCACCATTACCTACCAATGGACAAGTACCGGCTTGTTATGCCGCCCAGTCTATTTGTGATTCTTGCTGCGCCATTCTGGAAACTTGCACATGCAGTTTTCTTTTACAACTGGTATGCTGCTCTGCTTGCGTACTGCGGCGGCGTTTTCGGGTACATCTGTTATGACTTGACGCATTATTTCCTGCACCACCGCAAGTGAGTTCACCCCTCTTACTGCTGGATGAATTGCATCTAACAATGTCCTAGCCTTCCTTCCTACTACAAGGGGCTCAAAAAGTACCATCTTGAGCATCACTTCGCTGATTTTGATAATGGCTTTGGTGTTACCAGCCGTTTCTGGGACCGGGTCTTTGGCACTGAGCTCGAGCTTCCTCCCCCAAAGGTTCTGAAGACCCAGTAGGCACTCATGTTCCTCCTGGCCTGTGCGTTTTCAAAGCCGTGAACCTGTTATGTCCCCGGGGGCTCTCCCATCTTATGAAATAATGCTACAATGGGTTTCGTGGTTGACGTTAATGCTTGCACTTTGAGTGGGAAAACCGCCCACTCTCTTTCAGTATATCATTCCCACTATGTATACCTACTCCTGACTTCTTGGTGTAGGGCTGGTTGCTTGTTTGGCAATCTTTCCTTCTCTTTTGTCAACACCACGACTGTATATGATATCTCAATTAATCATAATAGGCTACTTGCTGAATCAAATCTGAATATATCATCAATAGTATCTGAGTGCCACCATGTTCAAATTGTTATGGGAGTAAGGTAAATTTGGGTTCCATGGGTTTGTTCAAAGAGGCAAACGCCAAGATACACGTGACTGGCATTAACAGCGTGCTGGATCTCATTTCTCTTCCACTTCATCTCACAAGGCTACTCAGACACCACGAAGTCAACAGCTCGTCATATCTCCATCACTCCTGCTCTCGGACATCGCCTTTATATCTTCCTGGTCTACGCATCACGCCCGATCGCCGACACAAAAAAAGTCAACCAAGATCTTGGTTTGAAACAGAAGGGTTCGCACACAATACACGCCTGGTTCGCCTTCGCGCTCTAACGAAGCCAAAGTGATCATAATCCTCTCCGATCTGTCCTTTCTTCCTTCTCGTCAACTTGCCTAGGAAAGCAAGATTCTCAGATCACAAATACCATGTCAGGTCTCGACGTTGAGGCTCTCCTTGAGTCCACTGCCGCCCCTACTACTCAGCAACCCGACGACCGCTCGAAGGCCGAAAATGGTGACCGACGTGATGAGCGTGACCGCTCGCGCGAACGGGACCGCAAAAGGCGGGATCGCAGCCGGGACAGACGCCGCTCTAAAGATGCCGACGGAGATGATGACATGAAGAGCCCAAGAAGCGAACACGGCAGTGCTAACGGAAGCCATAGAAGTAGGAAGAGGAGCAGGAGCCGCGATAGCGATCGTCGGCGGGCTCGTCGTGACCGTCACGGCGACGATTATCGATCGAATGGTGATTTCTACCGTGGCGGCGGCCGCGCTCGCACCCGATCTCGATCTCCTTATGATGACAGATACTACCGTCCCTCGGGCCGTTCCCGCCGGGATGAGCGCGATGAAGAAAGGCGTCCTCGCCGTGAACGTGAAACTCGCAAGCGAAGCGACTCCAGAGATAGAAGCCCAGAGCTCAACGAGGACGAACGTGACCGGCGCACTATCTTCGTACAGCAACTCGCCGCACGGCTGAGAACCAAGGAGCTGATCGCCTTCTTCGAAAAGGTCGGACCAGTCAAGGAAGCTCAGATCGTAAAGGACCGTGTTAGTGGAAGGTCTAAAGGGTGAGCTTCGTGCCCTTTCCCTTATGCTTGTTGTCAAACCTAACAAATTCATACTAGTGTCGGTTACGTCGAATTCAAAGACGAGAGTTCCGTTGCGCCTGCTATCCAGCTTACAGGACAGAAACTTCTAGGAATCCCCATCATTGCACAATTGACGGAAGCTGAGAAGAACCGTCAAGCCCGCAATTCAGAGGCCAGCAGTGGCAACAAGCACTCTGCACCCTTTCACAGGCTTTATGTGGGTAATATTCATTTCAGTATCGATGAGAATGACCTTCAGAGTGTCTTTGAGCCATTTGGCGAACTTGAATTTGTTCAGTTGCAGAAGGACGAAACCGGCAGAAGCAGAGGCTATGGTTTTGTGCAGTAAGTTTTTGACTCAAGACTATTTGCCATTGGTTTGGTACTGACTTCGATGTTACAGGTTCCGTGATCCAAACCAGGCCCGGGAAGCATTGGAAAAGATGAACGGCTATGACCTTGGTGGTCGGGCGATCCGCGTTGGCCTTGGCAACGATAAGTTCACCCCTGAGAGCACTCAACGTACCCAGAGCCAGAGTGCAAACCAAAGTAACTTCCAGGGCTCTTCGTTCTCAGGCTCTGGCGGACGTGGTGTACAAGCTGGGGGCACCAACAATTTCGATCGTGCTGGGGGTCGTGAATCTGAAAAGGGAACCGGTGCCAGTGCATTGGATGACACAGATGTTGCCGGTGTGAACTTCAACAACTTCAGTAGAGACGCATTGATGAGGAAGCTTGCAAGAACAGATGAACCTGCTGAGCCTTCTACAGACGACAAGCAGCAGAAGATACTCTTGCCGAAGACTGAAGCGAAGCCGTTGCCAGTTAATGTCAATATGGCGAGTCGGTGTGTTTTGCTTCGCAATATGTTTGACCCGGCTGAGTTCGTACTTCCCACCGCTTTTCTAATTCTAAAGTCGTGCTAACGAAATCCATAGGGAAGAGGGCGAAGCCTGGATCAAGGAGCTGGAGGATGACGTCCGCGCTGAGTGCGAAGAAAAATATGGCCATGTTGTTCACATTGCACTAGATCCGAATTCCCAGGGCGACATCTACCTGAAGTTCGACCGCGTCCAGGGCGGAGAGAACGCAATTAAGGGTCTCAACGGACGATTTTTCGGCGGTAAACAAATTACTGCGCAACCTGTCGTCGACGCTGTTTACAGCAGCTTGTTTTCCCGAACAAAAGCGATCTGATCTCGCATTAGACCCATCTATTATCCACCGACCTACCTACCGCAAATTATCGACAATGGTAGGTATCCATCTATTACTATATGCTAGGTGCGACTTGTGACCGCAGGGCCTGCCGGACTACAACGCCGCTCAACCAGTCATTATTCTTGAAGCTTGGACTCGCACCGTGCTTGGTCTTGTATGACACTACCCCTGGTAGGTGCTAGTCTCTCGACCTCTTGCTTCTTACGGTTTCGAATGCCGAAAGGCTCGATGCACAATGATTTGTTTATAGGGCTCTTACATCTGTTTAGCGTGAAATTCTCCATCTAGTCTTAAATTCTATTACGCTGCGTATGTTTAATTCTAAAAATGGAAGACTTCGAGTTTTCCGTGTTCTCCATGGCAACCTATCCATGCACGCGTCCTTTAGCGACCTCCGGGACGAGCCATCTACTACACAAGCTGTCCAGTATCCGCAATCTGGACTAGAACCAAGGCTTGATTCAATTTCAGCTCCCTCGACAATGATATTCTCCACAACTCTGGCTTATGGGTTCTCATGCCAATTGTCGTGGGCAGGAAAGTTAGTTGATTTTCTGCAACTTCTGTATACTGAGCTGCTCAAGCAAGTATACTCGGAGCGTCCGCCATGATAATGGTCTGCAGAGCCCATTCATGTGAATGTACAGGATAAGATACCTTCTTTGTGAATACATGCCAGATGGTTAAAGGTACAAAGTGGCAGGTTTGTTGATCAGTAAAGGAAAAGCCCTGCACGTACGTACTACAGTAACACAGTGAGCAGAGGCTCATAAATCTAAGAGAGGAAAAGATGCAGCAAGTAAGTTAAAAATGCGCTCACAGCAAGCAAGCCATTGGTAATATTAATTTCTTGGACCTGAGTTGCCTGGGATCTCCTCCTTTCACTCTCTTTCCACTATTTCGTCTACCTTGCGTCTTCTGTCTTCTTAATTTGTTTTCTGTTCTCTCTCCCATATACTGTACAGAGCAGGTTCTCTCCACAGTATCTATATCTTTGGCTGCCCATCAGGCTATTGACAAGATTCTTCTTCACGCTACAGAGTGAGTAGACAGAAAAAAACTCATCTGTGTTCCCTCCTAACCATCTCTAACGCCTTCTCAGCTGTCCACCCAGATGCCTTCTGCTCAGCTCCGATCTCCAACCATGGCCTCGAACACTTCCAGCTCAGATCGCGGTAGCCCAGGGCCGAGCATTCATTACAAAAGGCTCGGCTATGGACAGCAGCCCAGTTACAACGACAACGATCCCTCCGCTCTTCCAGAGATCGAGCATCTCCGCCGCGAGCTCGAAGACGCCCGTATACGCATCGATCGTGACACCGGTGTCATCAATAGCCTTCACGAAAAAGTCACCCAGCTAGATGAGCTTGTCAAGAAGCAGCAGGTCACGATCAGCAATCAGAGCAAGACGATTTCTGATCGTAGACCTCTGAGGAAGCAGCAGTCGCAGATTCATGCACAGGTGCAGTCGCACATGGCCATGGGGTTCTATCCAATGACGCCTAGCCACCACCATCACGTCCATCAGTGCCAGTACCCGGGGTCTGGGACATCGGGTGTTCCACCATGCAGCGGTGCAGTGTGCGTTGTGCATAACACTTTGTCGCCATTTGAAAGCCAGACTTCCCAAGCCCAGAGTCAGGCGCAGACTCCTCAGTCAGCGTATTCGCCTGAATATGCTTCTCAAGGTGGTACTGTGTTCGATCAACCCCCTCCAAAGTTCGAGATCCCGCTTGGCGCGCATGGTTCTTCCACGCAAGTTTCTTCGTCTGGTCTGGTTCCAAACTTTGGAAGACCGTCGGACGTATTCAGCCCTTTCACGTCTACTACCGTTTCTAACAGTGTCGATCATGCAATTCCGGCTAGTTCAAATGGCGCAGCTGATTGCCATAAGAAGATGGCGGATTTCTCCAACCGGTTCCAGGCCCTGATGCGCATGTCTGAGATCTTTGGCCAGACACATGCAAGCTTGCCGAATATTTTCATGGACAGCCACATGGACGACCATGTCAAGGAATACCTCATGGCGATATCCAGGGGAACAAAAGCCTCAGACCTTCTCGGAAACGCTGCGACACGTGGTTTCTTCGTTGCGAAGGCCATAAACTGGTATCTCGTCGAGAAAGTCTTGTGCATGACCGCTATCAGCGGCTTTGACGCCTCTGTTGATGTGGAGATCAGTCAGATCCAGAAACAGATGGCTTCCAGTAAGTCTGCTCAGCTCACTTGCGCTTCAAACATACTAGCCCTAACTAACCTTTACCAAGGCACTCCCATCATGCGCCACATAATGCTCACCGCTATAGCAACGCACATAGCAGCCATTTGCAAGCGACCCGGTTTCGCGGAGTACAACCAGCAAAACATCCAAGTTCACCTCCACCGACTTTGGGCCTATATTGGTCCTCTCGGCCATGACGCACCGGCTAACCAAAACAGCTCGATGTGGAACGACCTCCACGCCATAATATCCGAGGCCCAGTCACTCGCTACCGACATGTACTCCATGCCTCTGGAGTATCGATTCGAGTTCCCTGAGCAGAGCGAGCCGTTCGATCCGCAAACCATGATCAACCGTGACCCTTGGGTTCTTGCGGATCCGAGTGCTCTACAGAACACGGATACGCGTGTTCGGCTGGGCATCACGCCTATTGCACGGGTCCGAGATAATTCTCAGAGCCCCGGTGATGTGCAGATGGTTTACATGGGCCATGTGTTGCTGAAGGGTCCCAAGAAACAGATGCTTTGATTGCTTGTTCGCTTGCTCGCTTGCTTACTGCTTGCTTGTTTATTCGACTTTTTTTTCCTATTCAGTGAAAAGTTGCCGATGATGGCGAGGACTGGGGAATAGACAAAAAAAGAGAGAACTAGGTACGATCCAGAATGGGCGTTATCTGAGCCGGTTATTTGTGTATTTGTGGATGTGATTCATTGTGGTTGTACCTGGGATCGGAAACTGGGGACTGATTTCGTGACTCGCCGTTGCTATGTTGTCTTTCCATCTTCGCGTCTTCGAAGGTCTTCTTCTTATCGCATCTGCTGTAGCTCGTTGAGTTTAAGTGCTAGGAAAATTAAGGTTTCACCTCACCAGAACCACGGTGAGGTTCCAATGTGTCCAGCTTAGCGGGCCCCTGAAGAATATGCCAATCCTCGTAGGCTGGTGGCGCATACGGTACTCTGTATAGATGGGGCTCGGGATTTTCTTGTGCAAGTGCAAAGAGCTATTCCCATATCATTTGAAATGGGGGTTGGGGTCAAGAGGACTAGATGTTCTAGCAAGTCCCCGCCGAGCCTAAAGAGGTGCAGTATGAGATTCCAAGAACTATTGTTTTAGCTCATAAAGCATAAAATGTGAGTTGTTTTTCAACAAATGGGGCTGTGGTTTAGTGGTATAATGTTCCCTTAGCATGGGAGAGGTCCTGGGTTCGATTCCCAGCTGCTCCACTCTTTTTGTTTTTGGACCTCTCGCTCCACTCTTTTTGTTTTTGGACCTCTCAGTTATGGCCCTACCACTCAAAGCTCCATACCTCCTTTTCTTTTTGTCTCTTTGCTGTTGGTGACCAGGCTATGCACCCCGTGCCACATCCCAAAGCAAACTATTACTCCATAACCACAAGCTCTACCTTGTCAGAAGCCTTCCTAACATCTCTATCGCGCTGCGACTCCGTGTCCTTGCGTTGACTACTGCAGGCTGCCACCAGTTTTTACCTTGCTACTCGTCACTTCGCTGAGCACGACCGCGTAGTCCTCAAACTCACAATGCTCTGCTTTGTGTGGGTGCTCCTACCCGGTCCAGGTCTTTCCATCATCCTTCCACATCAGTACGAGGCTGCATGTGAGCAGTTGCTTGATCTTGTTTGTCTAGTCCGCAACCTGCGCGAATTATCCTCCGGTCTTATTAATCCTACAACCTCGAGGTTGACGCAGCTACTCTAATCCCTCGGCTATGATATCGCCAGGCACGGGATGTTGAAAGTCTGGCCCCCGTTCTTGATATTCGAATCGGGCATGGTGACCAGACAACTCGCCTGCTAATTCTGTTCGCGGCTCTAGACCTCAACGTATCAGCGACCTGGCATCAAGGATGCACTTAGGACAGATGCAGACCGGAGTGGGGGATAGCCTCCCTTCTTCCCTGCTGTTCTCCGTGTGGGTTGATTTCGCAAGGAGATATGGTGCACATCTTGAACTTGCCGGCAGTGCATGCCAGGTGCATCACCGGCACCGGTCTACTCCGTAGGCAACTTCACATGTAATCCTCTGGTCGATCCCAAAGACTAGCCACCCTCTGTGGATTTTTTTCGGGGGACCCAGGGGATTGAACCATGCGCCTTGGAATACTTGAGTCATGGGCCAGCGGGAGCCCGTTGATGGATGCCGATCAACCTGCGGGCACTTATTGCTGACTTTTTCCCTGGAGCTCGAGGGTCTGCTTGCACTTGTGTTGCCATATACGGGTTCGATGGATCGGCATGTCCTCTCGCAGGATCGGGAGCTACAGGGCCGTAAGGTTGGGCCGCGGAGACAGCAGGGGGCTCCCAGAATTGTGCGCGACCAGCTGTCTCTCGGACCTCTGGGGGGGATGTCACACGTAGACATGCACCCTGGTCTGCGGAGTACGGTGGTTGGCGAGCTCGCCGCTTGGTCTCTAGCGCACCATGGTGTGCCGCCAGCGTCATTTACGATCTACCGTCTATGGCCCTCACCGTCCGACATGGATGACAGGGGTGTCGTAATGTGCTTGTCTCTACAAATGTGGCTCATTAATTGAGTGTATATTGCTCTGGGTTATATGTCTACTCAACTTGGTTCAGCGTGCTATCGATTTGCTTGGACCCGCTTCCAGAGTTAGGGCTTCGAATATTACCGTACCTATGGCTGCGAGTTGTGGCTTCGCTATTTCACGGTAATGCTGCTTTGAGCTCCACTTGCTTGTCCACGAGGCCGCCATGTGCTCGTCCGGTACTGTTGCGGGGGGGATAATACAAAAATGCTTCCTCCCTGTCACGCTGTGTGTGGTTGGAGCGAATAGGCGTTGCATGCGGAGCAAAAAATGGAGCAGCTGGGAATCGAACCCAGGACCTCTCCCATGCTAAGGGAACATTATACCACTAAACCACAGCCCCATTTGTTGATTGGATGCTTAAATTTTAGCAATATATTCCTATTACCCACGAACTAGAAGCTTGCCTACTGCATGCTTTTCGCTTCTTCAAGCTTTCGCTGTGACAAGTGCCGGATAAATGGAAGTATGGCTATGGTAATAGCATACTCCTTAATTGCCTTTGTGGTCCCCGTGCTCTGGTGTCTCCGACCATAGAGTGCCATACTGTTACGCCTTGATCGTCATCGCGCCAGTTATATATTCAGAGACCAGCAGCTTCAGTTGCAGCAATAGCCAACTCGGACGACCGCACATCCATGGATAATAGGCGCATATATAGCATATGACCACACGGAGACCACATGTACTGCGACCCAAGAAGCAGGCAAGTCCCGCCATCACAAGGCTGCCACCACCCGACAGCCCTGACCCTTGACCACCACCAGAAGTCAGCCAAATCCTGACACAAAATAGCGGCCAGTTGACTGGACCGGCACGGGTATCGAAGAGCACAGAGTAACAACTCAGCATCCCGTAGAATACACCACGGAACTGACACGTAAACCCCACCCCGCACCAAACATGAGAACCGCAAAGAGGGATGAACCACCACAGTGACCACACCGACACCAACCAGAAGCCGGACGGGGAGGCACTGGAGACCGGGTCTACTATACCCCACAGCAGAAAAGGTGGACATTTCTCACCGACATGAGTAGAAGCGGCCGCTCATCAAGAGCAGGATGGAGTAAGCAGGCGACAAAAAGGCGCGAATAGCCTTGCAGTAGAAAGACACCTTGTACACGATGTAGGGGTGAGCGACACTCAAGCACTCCGATGCCTTGGCCGACATACCAAGAAGAGCAACCTAGCGCCGGACCCATGATCCCAGATACACTGCGCGTGTCCGGCGCTATCATGATCATTGCTCGTTCTTCTCCAACCCAGGCATGCACGCACTCCGCCCTTTGGACCTGGGCCGCAACTCCGGCATATGCAGGGAACAGTAACATGGTATGGCCGATCAATATACGAGTTCGTGGCAACGCTCACGTGTCGAGGGGCTTGTCTGGTCTATAAATTGCCGGATGGGTAAGTTGGCCGAGTATAACGAAGCATTCGGTAACCCAAGGCATACACTGCAAGCTCCCCACGAGGGCACCATAAGCTGATGACGGAGTAGACACCAAGGAGGAGAAACAACCCGCATTGCACCTGCGCCCCAAACGGGGCCTCGGGAGGCCCCCAGGGCCAACAGGAAAGAGCGACGGATCCTTCGACCACCCTGCAGACTGCGATGTAATTGCGCGTGGCTGAACGAAGACGGGACCTACGTTCGTCAAGATAGATAGGGACACCAACCCTCAGGCCCAAACCCACACCGCGGAAGACTTCCAGTCCGCAACCCGTCAAGCACGCCGCAAGGAAAGACTCGACCACCCCGGCAGAACGGATGGCAACTGTTGAATAATGAAGTGCGCTGTTCTAGAGGCTAGAGCAAACACAACACCGGACATGGGAAGGAAGGGCAGACGACCAGACAGGCAAATAGTCCCAGTGGTATCCGCAGGGAATAGACAGATAGGGGTCGTAAGTCTGTACAGTATACAGCCAGACTCGGAGAAACAGTGAAAGACATAGTTGCGAAACTGCTCACCCTGTAAGCATGGGCACTTGGTTAATTCGATATGAAGCAAAAAGATTGCCCAGCAGGCATGCTGATAGAGCAAAAAGTGATGGAGCAGCTGGGAATCGAACCCAGGACCTCTCCCATGCTAAGGGAACATTATACCACTAAACCACAGCCCCATTCCATGTTGGATAGCGAACCAAGTTGACATCACGTGCCAGTAACCAAACCACAATAGAAAATCACTCTGCCGGCAACTTGACGATCTCCGCCAACGACCAAAAAAAAATTTGAACGGCGACATGTCCCGGGATGGAGTAAAAAGAGTGGAGCAGCTGGGAATCGAACCCAGGACCTCTCCCATGCTAAGGGAACATTATACCACTAAACCACAGCCCCATCTGATGCGAAAGGGATCCCAAGTGCCCCTCAACATCCCCGCCAAAGGCCACTGGGCATAAAAAAAGTTCGACGTCTGGAACGTTCGAGATAGAAGCAAAAAAGTGGAGCAGCTGGGAATCGAACCCAGGACCTCTCCCATGCTAAGGGAACATTATACCACTAAACCACAGCCCCATATTGATATAAACCGCTTGGGGCCTGTGAAAGACAGGGGTGCTGATTCCATAGAGCCGTGGCAGGAGACGGCAAATGATCCTTCCACCTGACGGAAGCAGTAGTCTGTGTCCGAGGTGGTGGCATAGGAGCACGGACTGACGATAGCGCTTGCTAACGTGGAGGGTGCGCAAGGAGGCTCATGGTGCATACAGACCATCCTGGGTAGAGTAAATCCCGATACAACAGGGGCTCCTGACAACCCCGCCCCCGAGACATCGTATTCCTCCTCTACCAAAGTAGACGGAGCACGCAACGGGGATGAGCATCTTCAAGGGCCAAGCACAGGGCTCTCAGCCCCCAGCACGGACGTGGGTGCTTTCCTGGTCACTGACCCAGGTAATCGTCGAGTTTGTTCATGGGGTTCACTTTCAGAGACCTCGGCTTTCTGGCGCCAATGACGATACTGCTCTCGGGAGGCATCAATAGTCTTCGAGCGAAAAGTCCATCCTGACATTTCCAAAGTACCTGATCTCAGCGAGCTGTGGTACTGACGCCTGGGATGTTGCTTTCTTCTGCAAGCGTGGTAGCTATATCATGTATTGATTTGCACGAATCCGCTCATCTCCTGGCCGCTTGCTGCTTCCCGTAGCCTTTCCGCAGCATAATATCACACGCAGAATGAAGGCCAGATTTGGTAAAGCGGAGTCAGGATACGGCTAACCGCAGATTCGGGTGCTCGTCGGACGATACAAATGCTGTATGGTGTTGGATCTGCTCGCCACGGGGCCGGGTACAAATGATGTGTAGAAACACAGTCTATGCAGAGTACCCACATTGCTGATAAGTGCTGATGGATCCTCATCAAGAACGCAAGTTGAGTCGACAATGTTTCAGACTCAGGACGAGCCTTCGCGGCACCCGGAGCTGGCCCTTATATTCTCGCGATTCGCGACTCCTGACTGCCAGAGCTTTGCATGACCAATGCCACCGATGACCGATACTGTGGTTCCACCCAGGGAAAGGTAGTGGAGGTCGTGCAGGATTAGTGGCGGACTAACACTAACAATTATTGTGTCAAACGCTGCTGCATTCGCTGAAATCGACCTGGCGAACTGTTAGTACACTGTCGTGACATCTGACTTCAAAATGCAGCGAGTCAGCTGGGAGGTGCTGGCAAAAAAGGAGAATTCATGGGAGGAACCAAGACAGACGCAGGGGCATTCTCGCATTTCAGTCTGGCAGATGTGTCGTTAGAAAGGCGACTGCCGTCCGTTGCCACTGATCGCGCGGGTGGGGAGTCATCATCGTTGGAAGCTAACACTAGCCTGGTAGAAGAGCACCGGTTCCAAAGAACACTGTAGATAAGGCAGTAACAATGTAGTAAGGTATAAGCAGTAATAGAGAGTGGTTTGGCGCACTAATGTTCCTAGAAGAAAGGTAATGAGTGTTGTTGAGGTGTTAAGGAGTGCTTACGGGGTACGGAGTAGAGCTGCGGAGTCGCCGCTTGGGCTCGGGGCAAATAATGTGCCAATGACGTTGACATATTTGAGGCTTCATGGCTTTAGCTTGATAGATGCAAAAATTGCGTCCAATTTCCAACAGTTGGGGCTGTGGTTTAGTGGTATAATGTTCCCTTAGCATGGGAGAGGTCCTGGGTTCGATTCCCAGCTGCTCCACTTTTTTTGATCTTTTATCCTCCAGCAGCTGGCTCAGGCTAAGGACAGACCTGTACTTGTACAGAGTCAGACCGAGTGTTGTACAACTCTTTTTTGTCGCCGCACGAGCCCTTACATTGGCATGATGTCATACTGTATACATGGATGATTTTGGGCACCACGATCATTGTTGAATTGTCCTCTCGCCTCTTCGTACTGTAAACGCAAGCATGACATCTAGTATTGCAATGCTACCCATATACATACGGTGTACGGAGTGTGAATGTGACATACAACCTCCTTATAGCCCCAGGCATTCAGAATATAAGTATTTGTTCCAGATGGTCAACTCAGCATAGTGCCGGCGGCCGCCAGCACTCGAGGAGATAAGAATAGGAACCACGAATTGCCGGGGAGTTTCTCCGTAGCATTCTTCGCTCGGGCCGCAGAAAGGGTATTAGATCAGCCCCCCGCGACAATAATTGGAGCTCAGGATCAACCCCTTCTCTCTCATTAACACGGCATTCTCTACGATTTCACTTGGCGTCGAGGACCGATGTCGCGACCTTCATGACTCTGGCTCCGTCAAAGCGAGTCACTGTCCAGGCCTGGACCCTGGTCGACAGTTACAGTATGTTCGGAGTTCTCAATCCCTTCCCCAATCCCTTCTTATCTCCGACAATCCAATGGAGATTACTCCGTACGAGCTACGGGAGAAACCCCATTGACCAAGACTGGAAAAACGAACTACTTATTCATACTTTGTCTAATAGATTATATTCGTCTTTGCAAGCGTCGCTATTCCTCAAATACGCAGACCCCAGACTCAACGCGGACCACAAAACGACGCGAGTTTCACGACTACTTCGTTACGCATCTTCCCTCATCTTCCCTCCATCCAGACCCAAGAGGCCCTCTGACATCGTTTCACAAACTCCCCCGTTCGGCATCAGTCCCGCATACTGGAGAATCCACAAACTCGCCAGTATCTTTTCAAGCCCTAACCGGCCGCGAGACAACGGTTGTTCGGATTCCGCTACGCAGCGCAAAACATCATTTCGGAGCCGCAACGTCTCGGGGAACTCGACCGTCCAATGAAGATACCTACCAAGCCGGAGTAATCGACATTCCTGCATTCGCGAAGCGGCCTCCAGCCTCTCATACTATTAGAGACCGCGCCGCGCGGGACGTTGCGCTTCGGGAAAATAGAGGCGCGGACAGTGCGAGCGGAGATCCTCAAGTGTTCTATTTTGGTATCTTCGATGGCCATGGCGGGTCAGAGTGCAGTACATTCTTGAAAGAAACGCTCCACGAGTATATCCAAGACACCGCTGCCGAATTCGAGCTTCAGTCGAGTTTGAGAAAGGGCGGGGAGGGCTCGTCTAAGGATGAGGCTGGAGGTGATTTGCCAGTTCGACAGGGCAGCAACGCCTCAAGAGTTCAGAGGTCAGAAAAAACTCTGGTACAGAGTTGGAGAAATCTCGTTGGAGGATATTTTAGGAGATTTGTCCCGCCCAATTTTTCACACCTTGCCAATCGACCCGCAGAGGGCGAGGCACCACCAACGCCAAACATCGACGAAAAAGTCACGATTGAGGAGATTCTTGAGTATGCTTTCTTGCGCGCGGATCTGGATTTTGTCTCCGCCCAGGCTTCAAGGGAAGATGATGAGTTGACCAATGTCTGCCGGCCTCTCTATCAAGACGATATTCTATATGGGCCGAGTCGCTCCAAGTCCTTGAACATCGCCGGTCTGAGACGGTTCAAGGGTGGAAGCACAGCCAGCACTGTGCTCATTTCTACGCCCACACCTGCGCCTTTTTGGCACCCAGCAAGCCCGTCTAGCTTACTGGTATCGCATGTAGGTGATACCAGGATAGTGTTGTGCTCCACAGTTACTGGCGAGGCCATTCCGCTTACGTCTAATCACCATCCATCCTCCCCAATTGAAGCCAACCGCCTACGGCGATATGCAGCTACCTTTGTCACCGATTCTTTTGGCGAGGAGCGCATTAGCGGGCTAGCCAACACCCGCGCATTTGGGGATGTACAATCCAAACGAATTGGAGTGTCGGCTGAACCTGAGCTGCGCCGATTTGAGCTAGCGCCCGCCGAGTACTCGTTCCTGGTCCTGATGTCGGACGGCATTAGCGATGCGCTCACTGACCAGGAGGTTGTGGATATCGTTAAGGAAGCGAAGACTCCAGACGAAGGGTCTCGACATGTTGTGAACTTCGCTACTGAGGTAACCAGAACAGGTGACAATGCCACCTGCCTCGTCGTGCGACTCGGTGGCTGGGAGCGACGTCTCGAAGGGGGGTTAGGAAGTTTGGGAACAAAAGAATCTCGTGAGTTCCGTCGGCAAGAGGCTACAGATCCGCGCAGGTCACGGAGATGACAGAAATTCTGTATATATTACCAACATTTACCTTCATCGCCCTCATTACGTTTTCTTCGCATTGCATGGATTGTACATACACATTGAAAATACTACTACTTATGCGCTCCATTTCTCAGCTGTGCAAAGGCTTGTCCAACAGGGACCATTTTTGAGAGGCGGTAGAATATCTAGTGATGGAACATGGGCCAAGCATAGATACCTACTCCGGACTTGCCAGAAGATAGAAGGTGAATACTTTCAGTCTGGAGGCAAATGCTCTTTTATGGGCTTCGCGTCTCCTATTCCTCGGACCTCTTTCCTCATCATTTTTGATTTCCCCTCATTCTTTTATCTCTGAGTCTACAAGGAAGCGGATCCTATTCTCCCTGGTTGACTGTAAGTGGCTGAACGTTGTCGCTTCAAGCCTACCTTATCGAGCTTATCGTCCCAGTAATTGGAAGTTGTTGGAGAAGGCGATCCTTAAGGGTTCCGCTGACTACGGAGTGCGGCGCTAGCTGATCAACAATATTTTAAGGCTCCAGTGCTCTCCCCATCTGACACTCTTACAGAATTCCAATTCCAATCCATTTCCCCTTGTGTATTGTTGCCTCCAACAGATTTTCATTGCTTGTGATTCTGTTATCCTCGAGCGGACGCGTGCAGCGCCGAGATCAAAGCAGGCGAACCATACTGGTGGTACGTGTCGGATAAGCTCCCCAAACTGACATTTGGCAATCATGAAGTCAGCCGTGCCCTTCTCCATTTCAGGAATAATCATGGAACCCTTGCCCAGGTAGCTAATGCGCAGCTTCAACTCCAGCTTCCGAATCGGTTCCATACATATCCAGTTAGAATAATCTGTCCTCCCGAGGCGAAGTCGCAATTTGTCCGCGGTGGAAGTGCTCGGATAAGAGGTTTCTCCCCTTTTCCACCACCTCATCGTTGCGCCCTACGCCCTCCTTTCCCGACAGCCCCCATCAGCTGTCGGTAACCAATACACTACTCCCTCTTCCCGCCTGATCAGATTATGAGCGCCCGAACTAGAAGACAAAAGGCCGCGCTGGCCGCCCAGCCCGAAGGAAGCGACGACATCTCATCGACGAGTAATGGCACAACACAGAGATCACCAAAACAAAGCAGGTCAGCCACACCGGAAGACGATGGAGTGAAAGAGAACGTGTATCTCTTTGCTCCCAACATAATTGGTAGGAAGCTCACTCTTGGTCGATGGTCGCCGCGTCGCCGCTAACACCTGGAATGCGAATAGGTTATGTGAGAGTCGTGCTGGCGATTGCATCCCTCTACTATATGCCTCTCCACCCACGAACGTGCTCGATTCTATACAGCGTTTCCTGCTTGCTGGATGCCTTGGACGGATATGCGGCGCGGTATTTCAACCAGTCTACCACGTTCGGCGCTGTGCTAGACATGGTGACTGATCGTTGCACAACTGCCTGCCTCCTCGTCTTCCTGAGTTCGGCCTGGCCACGATGGGCGCTCATCTTCCAGTCTTTGATCGCCTTGGATATGGCCAGTCACTACATGCACATGTACGCGACCCTCAGCATGGGAGGTTCTAACCAGAGCCACAAGAAAATCGATTCTTCACGAAGCTGGATTCTATACCTCTACTACAACAGCAGGGTAAGTGCTGCCATACCGTTTGGGACTTGCAGCCCTGAACAAATGCTGACGACGCGCGCATGCAGACTGTTCTGTTCATCTGCTGTGCTCTCAATGAGCTCTTTTTCATCGGCCTCTACCTACTCTCTTTTTCGTCTCCCACCCTATCGCCTTCGCTACTTCTGCCCCCACAAGGTGTCACCGTGGGCGGAACGCCTCCGCCTCCTGCCTCTACGAGCGTCTTCGCTAGCCCCTGGAGTGCTGGGGCGCTCGAGTTGGCCCGGGCCAACAAGATTGACAGCTTCTGGCCCTGGGTGATTACTGCCGTCTCGTTCCCGGTCATGGCTTTCAAGCAGTTTGTCAACGTTGTGCAGTTGGTCAAGGCGTCCAACTGGCTAGTGGAAGGAGATCTTGAAAGCCGACGGAAGGCTCGGAAGGCTCGGAAGAATTAATTCGCTCACAGGATATGAGCTTGCAGTCAAACGGAAATTCTGGGGTATACAGCCCCCTCATTACCGAGCTTCCGAAGTTGACACTCGAGACCCCTGGGTCATTTCCCGCCATCTTAACGGCCTATATCATACTGCATAGTTCTGGCGCTTCGTTCCTTGGTCGGGCACTAGAATCATTGCTATATTCATTTCCACTTTCGCGGCGAGCTCCTGGGTAATGTGATCGCATTGTGGACAAATAGATTGTGTCTGGGCATATGAATTGGGAGGGATTTGTGGAATTGGGCGTGTATATCTGTCACCAACAGGCGTGTGAACCAGGAAGGATTGGAGCGATGGCTATGGTTCTTTTTTCTTTTCTTTCTTCTTCTTCATCTCCTTCACTGGCCCTTTTTTTCCCGCTTCTTGTTGTTAATTGTCTTCTTACCTTGATTTCCTAGCTATTTTAATGTGTTTCTTTAGCTGTGCCTGGTCTATACTGGCCCAATTGGGGAGATGCGATTACCGTACATAACCGCGCTCCGGTGTCGGCGTGGGGAAGACCGCAAATCCACCCCGCCGAATGCCTTAAAACATCGGAGCCTCTCCTAGTCCCAACACCTATTTGTTCTGAGCTTCTTTCTTTGTTTTATTTGCAGTATTTTTGAATCGCGCCGCCAGAATGCCGTCCTACAACATAGTTGTCTTTGGGGGAGACCACTGTGGTCCTGAGGTGAGCTTCGTGTACAACAATTGCTATGGCGCGGAGCTGACGTGCTATACTCCAGGTGACCGCAGAGGCTGTCAAGGTGAACTTTGAACAATTGCACAAGATGAGGGATAACCCGAGAGGCTAATTGCATTTTGCGACTTAGATCCTCCGTGTGATCGAAAAGAGCCGTGATGATATCACCTTCAACCTCCAAGATCACCTGCTCGGTGGTGTAAGCAATGGCCCCACGACACAAACTTGGAGTATATATGCTGATTAACCTACTCCTTAGTGCTCAATCGACGCCACAGGCTCTCCTCTTACCGACGAAGCTCTTGATGCTGCGAAGAACGCCGACGCCGTGTTCCTCGGTGCCATTGGTGGCCCGGTATATGACCCCAGATACCCCGCGATATACTGAACAACGAAGGAAATGAGCTAACTGTGAGTCAATTGTTATCAGAAATGGGGAACTGGCACCGTGCGTCCCGAGCAGGGTATTCTCAAGCTGCGCAAGGAGATGGGCACGTTCGCCAACCTGCGACCATGCAACTTCGCCGCCCCCTCTCTCGTAGAGAGCTCTCCTCTTCGCCCCGAAGTCTGCCGCGGCGTCGACTTCAACATCATCCGTGAATTGACCGGTGGTATCTATTTCGGCGACCGCAAGGAGGACGATGGAAGCGGCTTCGCCCTGGACACGGAACCCTACTCGCGCGCTGAGATTGAACGGATTACGCGTCTTGGTGCCCACCTCGCCCTGCAGCACAACCCCCCTCTTCCCGTATGGAGCTTGGACAAGGCCAACGTCCTCGCTACTAGCCGTCTGTGGCGCAAGACCGTCACCGAGGTCATGGCCAAGGAGTTCCCCCAGCTCAAGATCGAGCACCAGCTTATTGACTCCGCTGCTATGATCATGGTCAAGGACCCCCGCAAGCTGAACGGTATCGTCATCACCAGCAACCTATTCGGTGACATTATCTCGGACGAGGCTAGCGTTATCCCGGGCTCCCTGGGTCTGCTGCCCAGTGCTAGTTTGAGCAGCATCCCTGATGGAACTGGCAAGGTTAACGGTATCTACGAGCCTATCCACGGTACGTATATCCAATTTTATTCCCCCCCAAATCCTGTGATATACTGACTTGAGACACTCAGGTTCCGCCCCAGACATTTCTGGAAAGGGCATTGTCAACCCCGTCGCTGCCATCCTCTCCGTAGGCTTGATGATGCAGTACTCTTTCGCTCTCTTCGATGAGGCTCGTGCCGTTGCAACGGCCGTGAGCAACGTCATCGAGTCCGGTGTCCGCACCGGCGACATTGGCGGCAAGGCTTCCACCAAGGAGGTCGGTGACGCCGTTGCCGCTGAACTGGAGAAGCTCCTCAAGAAATAAGTGGTTTGCACTGAGAGTATAACGAAATATGATATCACAAAAGCACCTACCATATGTGGCGTCGACCATGCCAAATGAGTTAACGAACAATTTGAATAGAATATAATCATCAGAAGCATTGCAGTGTATTATTGATTACCGGTACTGCTATGCTAATATCATTTTGAGCAGTTCATACATAATGTACCTAGCGGGTATCTTAAACCGAGGCGCCGTAGTCCATCAACGCCGAAGAAACCCTAACTCCAAAGTATGTGAAATGCAGTAAGGTGCGATAGCGACGTTGGCCAGCTGTTTTACCGAATTACGGGGTCTCCCATCCAATCGGGCTCCTCTAACCCAGGCACCCTGCCCCTGTCAGTAACCCCGCCATCGCGAGTGTCATCGTCATTAGCGCCGCGTAGAGACTTGCGAATACTGTGTCTGCGGACTCGACCATCTGCAGACGCGGAGGGAGCGTTGCCGATACGCCGACGGTCATCGTCTCTCGCGAAGACCTGGAACCCACGTACATGGGTATCCTTCCCGTTCTGATGGTTCTCCATCACGCGCATCTGGATCACCATGGCTTTGAGCACGCTTCCTGCGTACGGATCATCGTCATCTTCTAAGTCATCATCATCATCATCGTCGTCGTCCCAGTCGTAGGCCTGGTCTTCTTCGTCATAGATGCTAGTTTCGTGGTCGAGACTGTCACGATTTTCGGGATCAGAAAGCATCGAGTCATTCGCGAAAACACTACCCGCAGACCCCGCCTTCCCCTTGCCCTTCCTACTGCGGCGCAGTACTGAAGACTTAGGGACTCGCCGAGGCCTGCGTCTCTTCCGAACCCATCCGCCGTTTTGACCGCCGACACCCTCAAGCGGGACATCCACCCAGCCACACGGCCCCTCCCCTTCCCAAGTCGCGAACTCCACTAGGTCGTTCCCGCCCATGCCAGCTAGGAAGGTCATCTTCGTAGGCGTGTAGCTCTCATCGAGACTAAAGTCGAGGTAGACTCGGATCTTGACAACGGCGACGAGCTTGAAGAAGTGCAATGTAAGTGTATGTGGCTGCGGTCCGTCGGACTGCCAGTACTGCGTATGATCTGGGTTACGGAGCGCGGCCACGCCACAGCCTGGTTTATGTGTTGAGACTGTCCAAGATGCCAGCGAGGAGATTTCACGGAGGTCGCTTGGAAGCGGAGTGGGCGATTTATCTGTGTCGAGAAGTGACTCTGTTAGCTGTGCGTTCTTTGAACCAAAACAAGTGGTAACACACCTCGATCTTGCATCAGTTCATCCTCATCTTCTTCTGGACCCTCATCGTCCTCCATACCCCCTTCAATCACATCTCCCATCTCTTCCTCTGAAAGATCAGCTTCATCTCCCTCGGGATTCAGATCCGCCCGTCCTTCGGCTTCTTCACCATTCAGATCTCCGCCGTCAACGTCCTCATCGAACGGGCTATCTTCGTCAAATTGCTCCTCGCCCTCGTCTTCATCTTGATTAATTATCGACCCCCTCCCTTGTGGCCTCCCAGTGACACCTCTACCAAACAACGAAAAGAGCGCCGCCTGCGCCTGCGCCGCGCGCCGAACCGGTTCTGGAGCCCCTGCTACGTCTGCGGATGGATCAATCGCGCCCCCCGGAGAAGGATGTAGGTGCGGAAAAGGAATTCCTCTGGGGGATGGGGTCTGGAACTGCGACTGTGCAGAGACATGGTTCAGGCGCTGTCGTTGTTGTCGTTGTTGTGGTTGCTGTGGGGGAGAATCTGAGGGAGCAGTGGGATGTCGGCGGAGGATATTGCGAGGCATGACTGCTATTTGCGTTGGGGTTGGAATATCCTGGGTCAATCTAGGATGCTAGCATTGTACCCTCACTGTGAAGAGCAGTTCTTGAATTTGTTTGTTCTGGTGTTTCCTCTGTGTCAGAGCGACCTCTTTATTGCGGGGGAATTCCGCACTGTGTCACGTGAATTGCTTGGAAAATGAAAAACTGCGGAGTGAATGACATGTGGGCTGGAGAGAGATGCAGTGTAAATGGGGATTAAGAATATGGTACATTATCATAGTGTCTGAGCGATAATACAACAACCTAGCATAACGCCAGCAGCAACAGTAGGCTCCCGAGAGCACATATATACATCCTACTCCTTGATATCCACGTATGCAAGTTTCTGGCCCATCTTGATGCGTTGGCCCTTCTCGATTGTCCAATTTAGCCCACCGTCGCGCTGGCCCTCTTTCCAGCCGGCATCAAACGACCTGCGGGTGCCCATGGGAGCCTCGAAGACCAGCACAATGGAGCTTCCCAATTGGAACCCGCCCATCTCCTCACCTCGCTGAAGAGAATGACCCCCTAATGTTCGACTGGCGTGAAGATAAGTAGCTTCAGCGAATCCAGGATATTGCTCACCGCGCTCGGCGGCTTCAGCGGCAGCCTTATCCGCCGCGGTGTCGGTTAGAAGACTATTAGTCCGTAGCTCGGAGTCGAAGTTGATTTTGATCGAGCCTACGTTTGTGGCGCCTACTGGCGTATAGCTGAAGAATCCCCAGCGCCACCGACCCAGAAGCACGACACGCTCGTTAAGTGTAAAAAGACCAGGCAGATGACGCTGCAGATACGGCGACACAGAGAATAGTTCGCCTGCGAAGTGTCGACGGCTTTCAACGACCCAAGGGACAGGGGAGTGGAACCGATGGTAATCACCAGGGGCAAGGTATATGACCACGTAGTAAAGAGCATTATTCGAGGTAGGTTTTGGAGCATACCAAGGAGTACCGTCGCCGCGCGCAAGGTCTTCACGAACCTGAGCTTCAGACGATACTTGAGATTCAGTGGACGCATCTTTAGATGATGATCGTTTTCTTAAACCTGCGCTCTCCCCGGAAAAGAGAGAGGGCAGAGTATATTTAATGCCGTTCATCGTAGCGAATTCTTCATCAGCCGCAATACTGGCGGCATCCTTTTGCGATGGTTCATTATGATGGTCCATAAACTTCTTGGAGTGGTCCGCCTGAGATGGGGTAGCAGAGCCCAAGAGTGCGTCCAAGCTGTAGGTCACACCTTTGACCTGCTCTACTTCGCCTCGCTCTATGAGACCGAATTGAAGAATGCGGCCATCGGAGGGAGCCAGAACGGCATGCGGGTCAGGGTCAAGCGGACGGACGCCGGGCTTTAGTTGACGGTAAAAGAACGCTGCCAGATTGGGATATACGTGAAGATCGGGCTCGGCCACTTCATCGAGGTTAACGCCAAAGACCCATGAGTATAGTTTGAAGCCCGGCACACGCAGATAGTAAGGAAGTTCAATTTCGTTGAAGCGACCCCATAATCGAGACATTGCCTTCAGGGGCAAGGTTGACATGATCTGAACCTGCCATGGCCCGCTAGGTCGGATTTTCGGGCGCGGAGGGGGTTTTGAGAAATCAAAGGATTCTCCTGTCGACTCAGATTCCCTTTCTCGTCGTATTCGTTCATTGCGTTGAGACTTGTAGTAATGAAGTATGCCTAGAAGACCGATTCCTAGACCGACAGGAATGGGATACCATTCGACCTTGGTGTTTCGTAGGGCAAAGCGCAGTCGGGATCCAAACGAGCCTTGGGTGGATGAGTTTTGGTTCTGGTTGTTGTATGTAGGCCGAGACTTGTGGAAGAACCTGACGCCGGCCCTAAGCCGCTCAGAAGAGCCAAAAGACACCATGTCTGACGACGCAACGCGCCCTTTCGAAAGACGAATGAGGTTCCGACGAAACGGAACGGTATAGCTGAACAGGCCAGAGGCCATAATGTGAGCGTCACACCATGAATATCATCCCGCGCGGAATAGATAGCAGGCAAAAGCTCTCCCCGAGACGTGGGAGGATTCGTCAGGATAGGCTCATGTGTAACATGCAATGTCGGGGGAATGATGTTTTTGGGGCATCTTTCACCGCCCGGCAGAATCAGCTGATAGCGATTGTCTCCTTCCCTCCTCCACGGCTCATCTCCGCTTCTCCAACCTCTCATCACCTTATACCACATCATATTGTTGATCTTGTACCTTCGTTTGTCACATACTTCATATCTATATATGTGACTAGAACGTCTCAGGGAACCATTCGGCGATTGCATATGAGACCTCGTCCTCTTTCACGAAAGGCCACTGTTATCGCATATTAACGCCGAGGCCCGCACCACTTACCTGGCCTTTTCGCATTCTCCAAACTCTTCGCATCGTGCAACTCGATTTTGCTGCCTGACCTATGTCTTTGCCCCAGGTGGAGGGCGGAAATGGCCCTGGGGATCTTATTCTCCATGTGTTGTGCCCGTCTATCCCTCCACCGAATCGCTTCACCTTCACCAGCCTTCCTCTCTCCTCAACCATCGCAGACTTAAAAGTTCGCATCTCACAGTCAATCCCTTCTCGGCCTACGCCGGATTGTCAAAAACTGTTATATCTGGGAAAGTTGCTTTCAAATGACGATGTCACCTTGCAGTCGCTTTTCGGACAAATGAATGTGAGCGCAACGCTCCAAATCGTACTCGGGTGTTAAAGCTAACCATGAAACATTTACATAGGGCTCTGAGTTCTCGGTGCATCTTGTACTCCGCCCTTCCCCGGCAAACTCTTCGGACTCCACTAGGACTGTCACAAACGCCTCGTACCATTCTAATCGTGCCGATGCTCCCAGCGACAACCAACTGAGAAGCCCCGAAACACACGCGCCACAACTGAGGTACAGGGAGCCCAATCCCTTGAGGCGGGATGAGGTTGCGCAGTCTTTACACGAGAACGCCACTCGTCGCCTGGCCGAATTACAACACGACAATGCCCATTCCCGGTTTCCTTGGCTGAGACGCTCGCAACTGATGTCGACGCAGCAGCTTCATCGGCCGCCCTCGTATATGCCAGGGCCAATGGGCACAGCTGCCCCAACATCATTACCCTTTGCCCCTCTGCCAAACCTCCCGCTCGCGGACTTTGGGGATGACATTCAGCTTCCCGAAGAGACCCGAGCGCGCCTGAGGCTGCTTAAACAGTATATCAGCCTGGCAGAAGAACAGATAAATTGCGGGATCGCACCGTCGTTAGACCACGTAATTCAGTTGCGCACGCACCTGTTCAGGTTACTCGACGATCAGCTTAGACTGGACCCGTCCGAACGCGGCGAATTCATTGAGCCATTAATCACCAGGGTTTTTGACATCTCCACTCGTGCGGATGAGCTCCGTCGGCGTCATCTGTTCCCCGACTCTCGCTTTTCGAATAGACCGACGCCTCCATTGTATCTTGTCTCGTCACCTAATGGCTATCAAGCCGTATGCGCACCTTCAGTTGGAACGGATGGAACGCGAACACCAGGTACAGTTCGTACAGTCGAAACAACTGAGGGGCAACAAGCCAATTTACAGCCAAATGCAGATGCAGTCGTTATGGAGAATGTCGTCCGCGCGGCCGTACTGAACCAGCGGCCTGTAGCTGATGGCCAGTTCGGCTTGGGACGAAACCTACGACGTCTGTGGTTGTTTATGCGGCTTTACTTTTTCTGTCACATGTTCAGTCAGCCTGGCTCCCAGACGCGGTTGCTCTATGTAACTTTATCTGTGATCGCCGCAATTCTCTCAGAAACTAGCGTCCCAAACCGGGTGTACGAGATGATTCTCGTTCCTGTTCAGCGGCATCTGGAAGGGCTAGTACATTTTACACCGGAGGAGCAAGTACCGCCGCGCCCACATGGTGCAGAAGCAACAAGCGGCAGAGCTGCAACTGATCGACAAGTTGGGGTACATCCTGGTCGCGACGCACGACGAGCAGGCGGTCTATACCATAATCTACGAAGAGTGGAGCGGTCAGCGGCTCTCTTTATTGCCAGTCTAGTACCTGGCGTGGGAGAGAGGCATATTGAGGTACGGAATGCTGCCGAGGCTGCGCGAAATGCTGAGCTGGCGCGACAGGTGGAAGAGAGACGTCGGCAGGAAGAAGCAGCAGCAGCAGATGCAGCGACTGCAGAGGAGACAAGTGGTGAGCAGCGTGCTCAAGCTACCACCGAGGCTGAAGCGAATGAACCTCAACCCGTGATACCCCAAGAAGTACACTGATCGTGCTTTCCTTTGCACTCTTTTAGTCATCTCGTACCACATGCTGTACACAGTTTTGGTGTTACTGGTTGAATTAGCGTAGGCATCATTATTCGACTTTATATACATACAGAAGAGCACTAGCGTCATGGCCGTCAAGGCACAAACTAGATGAATAAAATTTCTACTCTATCAAGATCGGGTTTATACAAATCGGCAGACTCTATAACTTGGTTCCCAATCTCATTTCACCCTCCGCCGAACTCGCTGTGTCCGCCATCGGCCCAGTATCAAAGGACTCCTCTCCGTTGAAATGCCAACCTCGTTCCGCACCACCGCTCAAAAAACTACAATCGCCATTCTTCACGCAATTCCAACCACCTCCCACCCCCTTTCCTCCTTCCCACTGCGGTACGACTGTCGCCCTCGGATCAGTAATTCTCGTCCCCCCCGCCAGCGCGCCATCCCTCCTCTTCTTCACAGCAGACTCAAGCCCAGAGTTGGACCAATCTCCCCTCCGCCGGAACGTACTCAGTCCCGCCGTAAACACATAGAAATCTTCCTCGCTCGAATCCCCCGGCATATGCCCCGTCAGCACGCGCCCAATGGCAATCAACGGTGCCGCATGCGAGCAGATTAGAATGGCCTTGCTGGTCCTCTGCTCGGCCGGTAAAGAGGCCTCTAGCTCGGCAATTTCGGCGTCCACTTCGCGGATTATCCCTGCCAGCGCGGTTGCGAGGCGGTTGTGTAGTTGCGGGATTGATTCGCCCCGTGTGGAGGTGTAGAGGAGGGGAATGTCGCGGGTAGTGTTTAGGGTGAATGGCGGTTCTTCCTCGTTGTGGGGGTTTAAAGTTGAGAGGAGGGTTGTGAGGGTCGGCGGGGTGGGGTGGTGGAAGAAGGTTGTTGAGCCGAACCATTCACTGTGCTCAGGATATATCCATCAGTTTTCAATCCCCTTTACGCAAGCAGAAGGGAAGGAAGCAAACAAACCCAAGCCCGTTCTCAACCCTAATTTCAAACTCCGCATTAGCATCTATGCCTCCTGTGCCCCCTTTCTCGTCTTTCTCCTTCTTTAATGCCTTCACAGCCGGCTCAATAGTTTGTAAACATCTCCAGAAAGGACTCGAATATACCCGGAACGGCTTGGGCGCTACGTCCCCGCTAATGATATGCGCCGCGAGCTCGTGCGACTGTCGAACGCCATGGGATGTTAGCGCTGGGTCGGACGGGTTACCCGTGGGTGTTGAGAACTGGCAGCTGTATGTGCCGGTTTTGTGGTCTATTGTCCAATTGAGGCGATGCTGTGATATTTGTTAGAGAAGGGTTGGAGACAAGATGGGGTAGGTTGAATAGGCTTGGGTTGGTGCAAAGGGACGTACGCCGTGACGGGTTAGATAGACTGTGTCGAGCGGCATGGTGTAAATAACCAATTTTACTACAATGCCAGATGCCTAAGTTGTAGGATTGGTGGAGGATAAAGAGTAGAGGCAGGGGTTGGGAGCCCGAGTTGCGGGGGATACTGATATCGGGGCTGAACCTCGGCCCGTGATAAACACCACAAAGTTCAGGAACGGACTACAGAGATCTACACCGAAAATATACGAAAACAACAGGTTGCAGGATTCAGACACGGTCATAGTAACAACTACTATCGAGCGTCTAGCATAGGTATCATCCCGTCTTCTCGCCAAGAAGTACAGTCGTTTTCAATTCACATCCATGGCAGATCCATATTTCCAGTTTTCATAGGATTTTTTTTGGTATCTAGTAGAAGAAACCGAGGAGCTTGCCAGCAACGTGCTTGCGACGAGCCTCCTCGTGGTCCATGATACCAGCGGAGGTGGTCAGGACGACGAAACCGAACTGACGAGAGGGAAGGAGCTGGACGGCCCAGTTCTCGAGGTCACCGAGCTGAACGGGGTAGCGGGGGTTGATGACACCGCACTTGTTGAGACGGCCGTTGAGCTGGATGACGATCTTGCCGGAGCGGTGGTCGTCAACCTCCTCGAATTCACCGATGTAGCCTGTAGCAAGAAAGATCAGTATGGTGTATCGGAGATTTAAAGGTTTGCCCAACGCAGAGCTCCAATGTGAAAAAAAGAGAGAAGGGAAACTTGTAAGATCTCCGCCGTCGCCCATCTCGTAAAACAGACGACGGGTTTAATTTCTCGGGCACTTAAAGGGCAGAACTTGTAAGGATCGAAAGCGACGCCTAGTTATCAACCCGAATTTTTGGCATATGGAGATCCCACAAGCCCCCTTCCCTCGTTTCTCATATCGAATAGCTCGGTATTGACGACGGCGAAAGACCCTAACGTACCGTGCTTCTGCATGACGCTCAGGAACTTGATGATGACCTTGGAGGAAGGACGGATGAGGACCTGGCGCTTGCCAGCCTTCTCAGCGTTGTTGATGGCGTTGAGCGCATCGTTGAGGACGGAGGTCTTGACCATATTGTCGGTTGTGAGGCGAGAAGAAAGAGATTCTCAAATCGAGTAGAGATGAAAACTGGAGATGAGGTATCTATATTACAAGAAAACCCTGAACCCCAGCCAGTGGGGAGTGGGTTCGCAAAAAGTCAGCCAACTAGTCCCGAGGCGCAAAGAGTGCCCTTATGGTTGCAACAATCAAAAGGGTTCTTCAGCCCGTGCCGTAATGAGAGATGCGTATCACGTTGGAGAGGTTCTGGCCCCATTGAGTCCTTCGACTTGCAAGTTTTGCATCAATAACCTTTTTCACCATCTTCGTTCAAGGCTCGTCGACTTTTCTCCGGTCGCAACTCCGGTGAATTGGGTGACCAGAAATTCCGCGGTGATTGCTCTCCCAGACTAGCTTTTAGGCTGGAGAAGGGGGGTAGCTGTAAGCAAAAACATACCTCGATGGACGGTACCGGCGGTGCTGGAGTGAACGAAGTTGTCGAGGCCAGGACTCAGGAGGCAGATATTACCGGCGGTGGAGTTGAGATTTCACGATAGTGCGGCGCTTAGGGCTCCCGCTCCTTACCCTTATCTGCACGTGACCTCTGATAACAGCGCGAACACGAAGTCCAGGTCGAGGTCGTCAGTCAGATTTTGTGCTGAAGAAACGACTAATAATGAAAAGAATTATTGGGTATCATTGTACTTTACAAGAGTATGGATTCATGTGCTTATTCAAAGTGCTATCATTCTCTATACAGGTTCTTTTGGGTAGGGGATCAGGGTCAGATTATACTAGCATGGGTCAAATACTTCATGGCGGTGTATGTCTTAGGGGTTACATGACTTTCGGGCATACATGAGTTAGGGGAAAAATGTGTGAGTCTAGTGATAAAAGGGTAACAAAAGGTGAAGAGTGTGGGGAACATTGATTGATCATGCATTAGGACATGTCATGACACAGGAAAAGCGTCCGAAAAGCGGGGATGCCCATCGGCAGTGGTCGTAAAGGCAATGGGGGGAGGACAAAACGTCAAGGTGTGGGGGAGGTAGTGTTGGGGGGGGGGCGAGTAGTCGGGGTATAGATGGTGGGAGGGGCATGTGATGGGGGAAGAACCGCCATATTGCTGTACAAGCAGTCTGAAAATTGTTTGACTGCTTGACGCTTTTTCAGGACACGGCATTTGAGTGTCTCATTAAGAGGCCCTTCAAGACAGAGACTACCTCTAACCGCGAGATAGCCTCCCAGAACATAGCACGCCTCGTTGGGTGATGTTGACCCGACAGTAGGGATATATGCTTGAGCAAGAGCGTCTTATGACATTCCACCACCCTGCATGTTGATCTGGTTCTTGACCTGCTCACGGGCCCAGCGAGCGGTATCAACGGTGCGGTCACCATATTCACGGTTAGTCCTGGTTTCCCTCACCAAGCTTGTGACCCACTCGGGGCGGAAGAAGGGGGAGATAGAGCCATCGGGGTGTGCATCGGCAAGGTCACCAAGGACACCCATGGCCGACCGCATCAGACCCTCGCTGCGAGCAGTCGGGTCCTGGGATATGAGACGGAGAAGCTCGAAGATGGGCTCAATGTATTCTTTGAGAGATTGCACTGGACATCAATTAGCATATAATTGCAACTCAGACCGAGAATAGACGAACCTTGCGGTGTGCCCTTGAATGCAATCAGAATACCACCCCAGGCATCCATGATACCCTCACGAAGCGAGATAACGTAGTCCAGCATCTCGATAGTGACATCGTTGCTAGCAGTAACCAAGGAGGCCTGCTTGAGCACTTGACCCACAACACCCATGTACTTAACGAACTCCCCTCCAATAGCCTGGGCAATGTCTCCAAAAGTTTCGAGAATAGCAGGCTTGAGCTGGTTGGTTTGACTCTGCATTGCGTTAGATACTAGAACAACGTAGATAAGAAAAAGATGTCCTTACGCCCAGGTTGGTTATCAAGTGGTTCATGAAGTTGTCGCAGTACGGCAGAACCTTTTCGTTCAGCCCACGAGAGATATCACTGACCAAGCCGATGGCCATGGCGCAAAGACCAGCCTCTTCGAGGTTGGCAAGGGCGTTGTTGAGGAACGGGCTGAAAGAATCCATGTACTTCTCAAACTCTTCCTCGAGAGCGCCAGCAATAGCACTCACGGTGGCGAACACAACGTCAGGAACACTGGACTTCTGGGGGACAGTAGAGAGAATTTGAAGCATGATTTGCATGATGCGGTCAGCCTGGGGCTTGATCTCAGCCTCAAGGCGTTGAACAATAGCCTGGTCCAGTTAGTATTCGATCATCAGAACAGAACTTCAATCCGCTTACAAGAACAACACTCGTGATTCCGGTCTGCATCTCCTCGAGCATGATGCGGTCTTCAACGCTGATGACCTGCTGCTGCATATTGATGGTACGCTCCAGGCGCTGGAGGATAACGTCGGAAAGGTGAGCAACCGTGGGAAGGCTGTCGTTGGCAGCATTTGTCACGAAGGAGTTGAGAACTTCGTAGCCAGCGGTGCGGAGCTGGTTGTCCGCATCTTGTCTGTACAGGGTCAGATTTAAACTTGGAGTGTAAGAATTGAGAGACGTACCTCTCTGTGAGCGCAAGGAGCGACTTGACGCTCTCCTCAAAGTATTTCGAGATCGGGTTGGTCTGCGCGCCGACATCACCAGCGAAGCGGTCGGCGACATTCATCAAAGCCCAGCAGCACGAGTTGGCAATCTTAGGCGAGCTTGCAAGACCGTTGAAGAGGCAGGAGATAAGAGGTTGAAGGTGAACATCGGGGTCAAGAGTTTCGGAGCAGAAGTCGCAGACACGGCCGAGCGCGTAGGCAGCGGAGTCGCGGACCTGGACGGAGCTGTCTTCCATCATGCTGACGAGCACGTGCAGTGCCTGCTTGACCAGAGGCTCAAGAACCTTCGGGTCGGGGCCATCCATGATGGCACCAAAAGCAGCCACCGCAGCATCCCTGCGGCGCCAATCTTCATTGCGGATGTTCTCCTCAACGAACGCAAGAACAGGCTGAATGACCTCGGCCTGGACACATTGGGCGTAAAGTTGAAGAGCCTGGTAAGCCGCGCGAGAAATGTTGTACTCATCATCACCGGCATCTTCATCCTGCTTGCACATAGCCTGCAGCAGAACCGGGACGACTTCGCGGCAGGCGATGCGCGCAAAACCGTACATGGGGCGGACATCGGTCAAACCCTCGGCTTGGGCCTAAACATGATTAGCGAGGGCTCATCAAAGCAATACTGATATAGGCATACCGCAGCGTTGTCATCTTCAATAGCGATCTCTTCTTCGCAAACGGTGCACCAGAACTCAATAGCAAGCTTGGCTACATCTTCCTCATCGCTCTTCATTCCCATGATACTCAGACCAAATAGAGCCTTCTCCATGTAGAAGCTCATCTTGTCGTAGTAAGCGCCCATGATACGGTTCAGACAGCCGAAGGCACCGGCCTGAACGCGGAGGTCCTGGGCCTGCGTAGCCTCACACACAACCTGCATGATATAGTTCCGCTCGCCCTCATTTTCCATGTTCGATCGCACAAAGTCCACAGAGTCACTGAGGGCCTTGATGGCGGCGAATCGGATGTCCATGTTCTCCTCCTCACGGCGAGCGCCCTGAACGACTGCCGTAAGGATAGCATTAGAGTGTGCAGCCAAGCTCTCGCGGAGCTCGACTTCCTGAGATTCACAAATGAAACCAATCGTGACCAAGGAGGCCTGCTTCATTTGATCCGTTCCACTCGCTACATTCTGAACGAGAATCTGCATCAAATCCGGCCATTCATTCTGAGGCAGCTCGATAGCAGCGATCGAAACGATAAACTGAGCCGCGGACTGACCGGCGCGCCCGTCCTTGGAGGCGAGCGTCTTGAGCGCAAGTTCCTTGACCTGCGCCTTGATTTCTTGGGTAATTTGCTGGCGCCATTTTTGTTGAACCTCGTTAAGCTTTTCTCGATCCCTGAAAGTGAAGGCGTTCTTTAGGGCAATACCGGCAGCGGTTCTGATGTGAGATGCGGAGTTTTCATTCGCGAGTTCCTGACCTAAGGTGACGAGATATCCGGCCTAAAACAAAAGAGGGGAAGAGCGTTAGCAGGCCAAGCTCGGCGATTCTCGTTCCAAGAACGAAGGACAGACGGAAGAGGAGTAAGAGGCGTATACGTACAAAGTCAACGTCGGCGGCGTGAGCCAACTGCTGCTCAGCGTTGGAACGTGTGTTGGCATCTTTTCATTTGAACGAACCAAATCATTAGCACGACCGCCCCTCCGAAAACACACTCTGAAACGAGGCCACGGATAATAAGAACCTACCTGGCGAGATGGTGCTCTCCAAAACCTGAGTGACATTCATCTTGGCTTACGGACAAGTGACCCAAGCCAGGGAGATGCGAGGAAAAAGAAAAGAAAAGGGACAGGGAGGAGGGGAAAAGAAGGAGAGGACCAAAAAAAACTCCTCTTCCCGATTACAAAGAGAATAAGAAGAGACAGGAAGGATGGGAAAACAGTACAAGAGAGAGCCCACGGCAAAAGAGAGAGTGTCGCAGAGGGGGCTGATTAGCGGGTGGTGGTGAACTGGGAGTTGGTTGATGCTGAGAGGGAGGAAAGCGGGAGTTGTTTTTGTGGATTCCCAGCTTATGACGGGGAGCGGACTGGACGACGGCGGGACTCTGAGGCATGCACCTTTGGGAGGCCTGCCTACCGCAACGCTACTGGTAAGCTGACCAGAAAATCTCCAGAGCTCTCTTTGGGCTCTTTGCAATCCCTAGAAAATTAAACATGATGAATCAGTGAATCAGGACGCGGTCGAATTCGGTTTCGTCCTAAATACCTAAGTTTAAGGCTGAGGCTAGATGCCAAACCGTAGGAGCAGCGAATAGCAACGAGAATGGTAAGATCAACGAAGACCAAGCAGCTCCTTGGATAAAGATGGTTTAGGGGACCTCTTATACCGCAAAGAACGATGCTCTTGAAGAAGGTATACTGCAAGAGCCCATCTTTCTGATTGACGCCCAGATGACGGATACATCTAACTGATAGTCACGTGACTTTCCGGACAAAGACACATTCACTTTCTTTGAGGGTGAAAGGGCGCCGCGAGTTCTAAAAACAGTCTCTATCATCTCCTGAGCTGAGTCTCTACAGAATATTGCCTTGTTTACTCTGGATACATTAAAGGAAGCCCCAAATACAGCTATTAGACTCCAGCCGGGGCCTGAATTCCGAGCCTGTAGTTACACGTCGTCTAATCAAGAAGTAGATCCTAGATTTATCTGCTGCTGAGGGCGGAAGCGGGGCAAGAAACAGATTTCCTCCATACAACTCGCTCGCTGCTTGTTTGGAGAAAATTTTCCGATCCCCAGTTTGCTTGTTGTGATTTTACCACTTAAGAACCATCCCACTTTCCAGCAGACATGCCCTAGCAACGGCCCACAAGGGCGCCAGAGAATCCATTCGAACTTCAATCTAAGGAAAAAGTTTTCCATTCCATTATTTTCATATTTATTTTGACAGTTTGATTCGTGAAATAAAACTATGTCATTAGTATACTATTCATCACCCTCCTCATCTTCGTCGTCCCCCATCTCAGCATCAAGGTCTAAAACTTCGTACCGTAGCGCCCCTGCGTACAGCACACATATCGCCCTTCGGCCCTGTCGTCCATTCACTTCGATTTTAACGGGTCGGGCTTTCGGTGCGAACTGATGCTTGACTAGCTGGGAAGACTGGATATCAACGTCTGTCATCTCCTTGACGGCGTCGACGTGGTGGACGTCGTGGTAGTTGATCGTGAGTTGATAGGCAGCTCCTGGTGGATATTCTTGCGGTGATGGTTGGAATGGGAGTTGAAGGATGTACGAGACTCCCACTGGTACGTAGCCAGAGTTAGAATAATAATGCGAGTTTGGTTAGAATTGGAGATATCACGTACCGTTATTTGACCATAGTATCATCAAGTTGTCGCCTTCGGCGAACTGCACCTGACGGATAATGCCATCATGGAAGTTGACTACTCCCACTCGAGCTTCTCGAGTTGAACTGACGCCATTTTCCAAGTCGAGGACCACTCGATAGATGTAAAGTAAATGCCTTGATGTCGCCAGCCTTGAAGCGACATATATCACGCTCAGTTGTTCTCCTCTTTTGACTTCTTCGTAACGCATTGTAGAGTCGAAAACCGTCTTATCACAGTCCCGGTGCAGAGTGAGCGGTGATCGATGCAGGATGCCTCGTTTCTGCGTTACTGCAATCTGACTAAAGACTTTTTCGAACTGTACCCCTAGGCGTTTGGTAAGGTTATTGAGCTTTGGAAGTATCACAGGTGCCGCATCATCAGCTGCCTTGTTCTGTTGTTCCAGCAATTCCTTGAACATATCGTAAAAAGACCGGTTATTTCCCTTGGTAGGGACTAGTTTGTCGTCTGAGGGAACTGGAGGCCTTGGGAATCCCATCATGGGTAACTGCTGGATGTAATTTCGTAGCGAGCTCTTGGTCAAGGCACCTCGGATGTACCTCAGGGTCAGCGGATATTCAACCAGATCGGTTTTCTCCATGAGTTCTTCGAGGGTCTGGGACATGGGTTCTGCACTAAGCATATCGATTTGATGACGAATCCACCGTGAGAATGCATGGAATTGTGTCAGCTCCTCATTCGTACTGATGATGATGTGATGGGCTAGGAGATGGAGACAATCAAGTGTCTCAACGATGGCTTTCAGGTCCGAAGTTTCTAGTCCTAGGACCTCGCTCAGTTTCTGAAATTTGGAAAGGCCAGTGAGTCGGCTAAGCAGAACCTCGCACCGCTCTAGAGCTGGAAGAAGGCACTCGTGCGTCAGCCGTCTGACGATCTCGTAGCCAGTCGCTACGGCTTTCTCCCATCTCTTATGTCCCTGCATTAAGTTAGTATTCGGAATCAAACTTCAAAGAAACAGGAAATACTTGCTCGTTCTCCTAAGATATCCACAAGGAATTCCCTCATAGGCTCAAAGCAATCTCCCGTGACAACCAAATGATAGGCCGCCGTCACAAAATCACAGTGACACTTCTCCTCCAAATCTTGGTTGACACTGCGCATATACCTTGCCGGTAACTCCTGCGCATTCTTCCACTCCATCTCAATCTGCCTCTGTACCTGACAGATATACCGGAGCAGACTCTGCAGCTGGGTCGTCTTATGTGCAAGAAGCGAAAGGTACCGACCAGAGCGTGTAATAAACCGCAAATCAAGCGTCAGGAGGCGCAAATTATTCCCGGATGATGCAACAAGGGCATGAGTTGAGCTGAGTGGGTGAGATGCATGCTGAAGGATGGCACATGGCGCAGGAGACGTAAACAGCACAGAGCCAATCTCAAAGCAGTCAAAGATGCGAAGATGGACAGTACCGTCCTCAAACCCAACAAGTAGAACATCCACTGCACCGCTCGCAGCTTTCTGTGAGGAGTGAAATATCGCGTCAATAGATGCCCGAGAGCTAAAGACATCGTCGCTATCCTGCCTGTCAGTAAAATACACTACCCAGAACCAATCAAAGAAAGAATGGAGAACTTACTCGCTCCCCGTAGACGGCAAGGTACTTAGCCTCGGCAACGAGCTCTCGATATCCAGCAGCGCCAGCTCTCTCGGCAAGTCAGCCTTAAGCAGAGCCGCAGCCTTGGAAGGCTGCATATCGAGCGACAGCAGATCATCAACAGAGAGTTGGCCCACAGCCTCATGCAGCTGACGCCTCGCAACCTTGCTATCAGTAAAATTCACGCCCCAGCCTAGGCAGGTCATCTTGAGGCTCTGCTCTCCACTATCACCATGCGCACGGTAATGGTGGGCTGTTTTCCCGCTATACGCGCTTATGATGCGGACGGTGGAATCCGCGCATGCGACAGCCAAGAGATGGCCTTTCAATTTAAAGTCAGCCTTGCGATGATATCTTTAGACCAAGGGTTATTTAGTGATGTACCGTTATTCTTCCATCGCACAGCCCGAATCTCTCCACTCCCGTCATCCTCGTCTAGGTAAGGGTCGCCCTTGTAAGATCCCCCAAAGACTTTCTGACCGTTTAGACGAAAGACGCCGAGTTCTTCGTCCTCTGTGACCAGGGCAATGAGGTCCATTGACGGACAGTATGTGATCATGTCCTCCTTGCATTTTGCCGGCAGCGACTTCTCCCCGACTGGTGTGAGTTGTGGCTGGGTCGGAGAACCATCTTGAGCCATCTTGAGACGCAGGGTATCTTCTAGTCGATCATAGTTTATAGAATAAGTGCAGTCGCGGATGCGAAGATGCGCGGGCTTATTCTTCTGTTCCTGTTGTTGTTTGAGGAACGTGACTTGGACGGGTGTGGGAATGGGATTCTTGGCGGCGGGCGTCTCGAGACTACAAGCCCACCACCTGAAAGCCTGATCGTATCACCAAGTCGCATAATCCCTTATATTAGTTTGTTCCTATTGATTAGAAAAAAAAACCTAGACAAGAGGATAGTGTTCTTGAATTCATTCTATTGATTAAAGGATATCCGTTCACTAAAGTTTCAGATATATATAAAACCATTCGCTTCATCGCCATGCTAACAAATCATTCCTATTACGCTCGCCATGCTAACCCAAAATAAAAATATATCAATGCAGATTTTCAGACAGATCTGGAGCAGCTCCAGACTGGATCATGTTCTTCAAGTAGCTTAACTCATCGATCATCTCCTGCATCGTCGCAGACTGAGAGAGGAGCATGCTGTACCGACCAGGGTCGTCCGTAGGCGTAATGCTTCTGTCAGACATCACATCCTGGACGCCTTCAGGAAATCGAAGTGTAGATGCAGGAGGACTCGTTAAGCCAAGGCCTTTTAACTCCATCGCTTCGAAGAAAGCCGCGTGGCGCTTGGGGTTGCTTTCGAGGAGGCCCTCGTCTTCCTCGTTGATGTAAAGACCCGGGATGCTTAAGTCTGATGGAGAGAGCGCAATTGTGAGGCGAGGAATGGAGAAATCCACTCGTGTGGAGTCCTCAAGATGAACGGGAGATTTTGAGTCCACGGTTAGGTGTGGGGTGTTCGGATCGCTGGATGCGACATCAGTGGAAGCATCAGACAGTTCTGATAGCGCAATCGCTGGGATGGCTGGAGAGTCCCGTTTCTCATTGAAGGTGGAGGAGGACGTCATAGACTCTGGCGAGACGATATCAGTATCAGCGCTCCATTCGGAGAAACGGCTCTTTTCGCAGGGGCCATCGCCATCGACAGATTCGGTTTCGGTGAAGTCAGAAAAGTGGCTCGCAAGAGCCTCCATGTCCAATGCTCGTTCTTTCTCTTCAAGTTCACGCAGGGCCTCGTCCATGACGGACGAGGGGGAGTTTGGTAGGGTGGGAAGTCTCTTATTCACAACGGCTACCGGGGTGGGTGTCATTGATTCTTTCGGGGACGACAAGTCGCCAGATGGCCGTCTAAACATGGAAGGCGTGGACGGAGTAGAAAGAGGTCTTCTCATAAAAGGTGAACGGATGGAATGGCCGGCATTGTTGGGAACAACACACGGCTGCTTCGGTCGCAGAGTTAAAGGATTTCTGGGTGTAGAGCGATCCGGAGAGTTCGTATTCATTGCTCGTCGTTCTTGAATAGAGAGGGACGCCGAGTCGTGGGTTCCCGCCGATACAGGACGTCTGAATGGAAGGTTTCCGCCATCACTGAACTCAGGCACATGTCCAATAGATGGAGACCGCATGTAGCTATCATTTGACTGACTCCTGGCATGATGACGATCGTCGAGTGGGGGACGCAGGTGCGAAGCTTGATGTTCGAAGACTCCATCTTGATCATTCTTTGGAGAAATATTGGGCGTAGATCCGTTCCATTGACGAAAAGCGGCACGCAGACCTTTGGACCTGGGCGGAGACACAGAGCGCGAAGCCTTTTCCTCACTACGAGGGTGCATGAATTTATGCGCAGTGTGAGCGGGTTGGGACGCGCCGCGGCTGGTGATAGCTCCTAGCGGAGAAGTACTGAAAGACCAATTGGGGGTCGGCGTCTGTAGCAGAGGTGGAGAGGTACGGAGGCGAAGCTTAGGCTTCGGCGGCTCTCGAGGATTCATGTATTTATCCTCAGGATTCATGGTTTGCACTGTTCTCTGAGCGCTCGGGCTTCTCGCTCGCGTCAGATGTGTATCGGGAAGAATAATGGGAACTTGGAGGACATTAACAGGCTGGCCTGGTAGAAAAGGGCAGTGTGTCGTCATCGGCTGGGCTTCGTTGTAGTGCTCAATATCGTCATCCAGCAGATACTAGGAATGTTATCAGATCATTGCGCTTGGTTGTGAGGTTTGAAGTACTAACATAGTACCAGTAGGTGCCCCCCATCTTAAGGCCCCCAGAGCGCGCAGGAAGGGTGTTGTGCACCATTCCATCGCAAGTTATGTTTGTGAATGTATGACATCCTCGCCAATGACCAGCACCGACACGTTTATCCCTTTCCATTACATACGGTTTCGCAAAGTTATCCCAGGAGCCCAGCAATTTCACTGAGCGGACGTTTGGACTCGTGCAGCTATACCAAGGGTCGTTAGCAGCATTCCAATCCTAATAAAGCCAAGCGCACTCACAGCAAGAACGTCATCAGGGTAGTAGAAGTCATGGCGCAGACTGATTCAACAATAAAGAAATACAGAGTCGAAGCAACCCGATATTAGAGACTCAAGAGAGCGTAAATCCGCGCAAGCATAAAGAGCGAACTGAGCGCAATCGATATATCAATCAACACTAAAGGAGTGTTGTCTCTCCAAGACCAGCCCGGAAAGAGAGCGAATGAAAGGAAAGGAAAGAGAGAAGAAAGGAAAGAAGAAAAGAACGCTTTGACGGCTAGAAAGCCAGCCTTGCCAAATGAGCGAGCTTCGAAAACTGTAGAGAACTGTCAAAAGAAACTCAGCCCTCGGGCGCGGCCGAGCACAGATATAGGGCCGCGTAGATGCGACAGCGCACTTGCACACCGTTCGTCAAGACCAAAATAACAACAAACACCAACAAAAGGGGCCAGAACGATCCGAGACTGAGAATCCAGACGGGGGTTCTGGTCTGTCAACGCTTCAGTAGCCGCGCTGACGCAGGGGTATGAGATTGAAGAGCCCTTTATATTGGGCTGAGGAAGCTGAGAGCCAATGGTGAGGGCGAGGAGCTGTCTGCAAGCGCCGACGCTGCGGAGACGACACTTGGAGGAAAGAGGCGATTGGAGGACGAGGATGGAGGTCAGCGCTTGCTGCAGGAGTCGAAGGAACGTTTCGAAACAGTTGACAGTTGACACAAGAGGGCGTTCATACGTGGCACGGGCGAAGGGTTGAGCGATGAGGTCGAGTTATAAGTTGATCAGCGATCGGATTCGGGGGAGGAAAATCGGAGAGGATCGATCAGCGGAGAGGAAAAGACTCAGTGGGCCGTGAGTTGACTGGGACGTCATTTGTCAGTGCGAGACCAAGAGCTGCTTTCAGTTAGGGGACTTACTCAATCCATCATGCTCGATCCATCACAGCGTGATGGCCAGGAACCAAACATGAATCGCGAGCTGAAGCAAAAGGAACTAGCGAAATAGCGAGATCGCTGCACATGGTTCCTGGCTAAACTGAACCTAAAAGAGCGTAGTCTGGGAAACTAGCAGGGCGCTTACAGACTTGACAGTGGAGAGCTGGAAATCACAATCAAATCCGCTTGTTCCTTGCGTCCTGTCCATGATGTCCACCGCCGTGGCTGACGTTTCCAGGACTGGAGATGAAGCTGAGCTCTCCTTTTCTCCAGGCATTGGCCGCATCTGCAGCTATTCATCAATGATCAAACAAATCAGACTGGGACTAACGGACGACGCTCGGACTGGCCGGAGATCTCTTGCCCCCACAGACCAGGATATTATTGAGTCTGCCAATCACATTCGCGACTGCTGGTGCTAAAATAATAGCCAATTCTTCGGTCCAGTGAGGTCATAATATTGGGAGTATACCAAGGAGCTATAGCAATTTATTGTTTCAGGTGTCACCTAAGGTTCGGTGTTTGAGGATTAGGAACTGGAACGTTACTCTGAAGTAAATCGTTTGATTCTCTCCGTAGACTAGCATTGACTTCCAGACAGCAAGCTATGGTTTCAGGTTGCCAGCGCCTACTGCGACATTCTCTGATCAGTGACTAGGCACTGGAAAAGGCAAATTCATAACGCCTTCAAGGCCTTCTTGACACAAAACAATCCAGACCGCCGCACGTAAATTGAAAACAAGAAAGAGTGGAGGAAAGCTAAGAATAGAAGGGGACCAAATCAATGTGAAGCCTTTGCCTTGTCATACTTCTTGTTCACTGCACCCAAAACACACTTCAAAATTCCCTCCGCGTTCAACACATTTCCCCTATCCCCCTTCCAAGGCACCGTATCAACGATGTCCCTTATGCCGTCCAAACTTCGTCTCTTAACAAGCTCATCATCCAATGCCTCTAGATACTTCCGCGCGTGCTCATCGTCACCAACCTGGAAGAACTGGATGCCCACCTGCCACGGCACAGCCTGCACATTAGGGTGATCCAACTGTTTAGCTGTGTTGACTATCACGGTCTCTGCGTCATCCGTGAACTCCCCGTCAGTTATGACTATGATGTTGAGAGGCTTGAGCTCCGACTCGCGGCCCTGGGCGGTAAGGCTCTTCAGATCACGCAGGTAGGGGTTGAGGATCTGATGCAGGCGTGTTCCGACAGGTGTCGCGCCGCTGGGAGAGACCGATTTGAAAATCTCGCGGACACCCGAGGCGTCGGTGACGTTCTTGTAACCACCTGCGTTGCCACCTCCGGATCCGAAGCGAGACTGGTTGCGGTGGTTGAGGAAGTAGATGTCTATTCCGTCGGCGTCCCAGTGAGTGCAGATGGGTGCGATGGCGGCGATGGCGTTTTCGGCTTCGTGCCAGCGTTTGCCGCGCATGCTAGTGCTGTCATCGACGAGAAATACGGTATCGAAAGTGCTGAGGAAAGCATATGCGGTGTCATTGGGGACGATGTCTGTCGAGCGGGATGTGTTCACTGGTGCCACAGGGGTCGTGGTAGCCGCTGTACTGGAGTAGGGTGGTGGTGACCAGACGTCTGCACCAGAGTCCTGACTTGGCTGATGGGTGTTCTGCGCCTGGTAGGGCTGATTGGGCGATCCCACGGACTGCACGTGGGAGTGCAGGGATTTGGAGCCAACGGATCTGCGCTGGGCAGGAACCGCATGCTGGTTATCGTGAGAAGAGTGGCAGTTGCCCATGGCTGTGTTGCTGCTCTGGTACGATGACTGAGAGCGGGTGTGAGATGGAGAGGAGGAGGATGGGGACGTGAAAGATGAGGAAGAGAAAAGTCTTTGCAGAAGAGTCATTAGGAGAGCAAGTGAATAGGTTGGGTGATTATGCAATAAACAGTTCCGAAACCTACTGTAGTCCCTACTGCCTTAGGCTTACCATACATCCACCACGCCGGGCGAGCTATATACCCAATTATTGCCAGGGACAAGGCTCTCAAGGCATTATTCGGCAAGCAAGGTTTGGTTCCTCAAATACTGGTTCCATTTGAAGCAACGTCTAGATTCAGAACAGGGTTCATGCTAAAACCTCTTTTCACGAATTTTGAGGTTAAAGGCTGTGAGGTGAATGTGGGTTGGTACCGGTCAAGTGGTAGTACGAGGCTGAGTTTGGGGGCGGAGTCGGAACTGCGGCCTGCCCTACCGTGACCACCTGCAGAGCAATCAGCCTTACCTAGGACCCATTCCGCTAGTGCATATATTCTAGCAGAAGAAGCATCGTCCGTGACACATGAATTCAACCTTGAAGCAACAGAACATATGTGACTTGTTCAAGATATACCAACTCCTAGACTATATACTTTCCCATTAACGCCCGAGCCCGACGCCAAATCCCATGACATAACACACATACACAGCCTCCCGGTCCCAAGTTCCAGCCCAATGGTATCTTCAATAGTAAAACTTAATATGTGATGGTTAAATGTTCCACGTTGGGACCAAGACCTGGTTGAAAGCGCTTGCATCGCCCCTGGCAGGGAAAATTATGCCAGAATCTGTCTCCTCTAATCCTTCAAACACCCCCGCTTCCGTTTCTAGAACATCAATGAGGGCCAAGGCTTGGTCGATGCCAATGCTTTGCCCGATGAGCCGCAGACAATCGCGGGTCCACATGCGAAGTGGGTGGTCTATAGGTTCCGTGCCTCCGGCCAGTGTTAACGGCCACAGGAGGAGCATTCCGCCCACGTAGCAATAATTCGTGGGAACAGTGAGCTCGGATGCAGTGGATCCTTCTACCCCCAGATGGTATGCAGCACTGGCGCAAATGTCGCTAGCCAGTTCGCGCGTAACGTTGCGAATCCGGGCGCAGTGACTCTGTAACTCCTTGGACATGGCCATCGTCGGAGAGAATGCCGACAGCCGACGGAAACAGCTTATGATGATCTCACAGACAATAATCCGTGCACACCTATATTGATTCCAAGTATGGCAGATCCATAGATCGCGGTAGACGTGGTACTGATTATTGTAGGGAAAGGGTTTGTTGCCAAACATCCTAACCCATTCCTCGACCGAGGAGCACTCGTACGTTGTGTACAAGAAGTCGGGCGGACCAGCCGCAACCCAAGCCAGCAGTTCTGCTTCGATAGCGTATGCGGCGGACAATGTTTCGTTCGCATCTGTCAAGGTCTTGGTTCGGATAAGATCCGCTCGCAGGTTGGAGAGTTTCCCGGCTATGACTATGAGACGATCGCAGTAGGCGTCTATCTGTGGTCGTAAGTACATTGCAATCTTGCTGCATTCTAATAGATCCTTTGGCACATGCATTCCTCTCTGAAGACAGCTGATGATCTTCTCACTGTTAGCTCGGCACAATTTTTTTGTGGAAACTTTGAAACGTACGATCTGAAATCTCAGCTGAACAAAGAGCTTAAGCCCTTCCTCGCTCTGAAGGTGCTCTGGCCCTCGCAACTGGAGCAATCCAGTTGCTCCTATTATATGCATTGTCCACTTTTCGATACTCTTTATTGAACGGCTAGTAATCACCTAGACTCGTTATTAGACTGCGAACACATCTTAAAAGAAAGTAAGCCATACCTCGTAGATAGCCATTAATAGAACCGCTGACAGGGTCGCATTGGCTCTTGATTCCTTCTCGTTGGACATAGCCCGCAGTAAAAGCGTAGTCGCAAGTTCATATTTCTCCGCAGCAGCCCTATCCAAATCCGGTGTTCGTCGCACACGAGCTATCATGGCAGTTCCCACGGATACAAGTGCAGCCATTTGAGCCTGTTCGCTCAAAGTAGCGCTCGGATGCCCCGGCGACTTGAGTTTGAAGTTCACCATAAACATCTCCCCGGGCCATACATTATGCCAAAGAAAGTAGCTGACGGCTTCATTCACAGTAAGTTGCCATGAGGGCTGTACATTCCAGGGCTCGTTTGCTAGTTGTTGAAGATGAAGTTGTTCCTCGTTGATGAGCTTCACCTCTTCGATGCCGTCGTTGAAGTCAATGATGTCACTGCCAGTGTATACTGACGGCACCGATGGCGATGATTGTGTCGGCGTATTCGCTTTGCCGACAAATGAGGATGCGTCCGGACTGCGGCTGCTGCTGCTGTGCGACTCTGGCACGACGCCGGGGGATTTCTTGTTGGACGCGGCGACGGCATGTTCCTTCTTCTTAGAGGCAGCTGTCGTCCTCTTTGTGCGCCGTGACGAGGAGCCATTCCTTGCCTTCCGTACAACCTGCTGGCTCTCATCCCGAAACATAAGTGACAACTCATCCCGGTAGCCGGGGCAGGCCCGGTTCCCCTTAGCGCACTGCGAGCAACTCGGCCGGCCTTGATCGCAACGGATCTTGCGAGATCGGCATTCACCGCAACCTTTACTCGGTTTGCCGCAGAATACCATTTTGATTTAGACTGGTTTGGCGGGGCCTCCGCGCGAGGGCCACCGGAAGATTCGGGGTGGAAAGTAGATACGTATCACGTAGCAGAATGCGAATACGATGCCGACGGGCAGTTGAGAGAAAAAGCAGGAAAGGGTAAGCAGTGCGAACGCAAAATCAGGTGGCTAACCAGTGCGGGGATAGCTCTGACTCCCCTCACGTCCGAGGTCAAGTTTCCTCTAGGGTTCACGGCGGTCGCTAGTCGCCTAGCTTCTTTATCAGACTCCGCTCTCTGTTCTCTCTCACTCTGTTGACCCGTGCGCACTGCGTTGTGACACTGACCTGGACGAGTTACCCCGCCTCAACAGCGGTAACCCCGGACTGAGGAGGTGGCTGGGTCAGGTCAGGGGTAAATATCGCTACTAGTCTGGCAGTTTGTTACCGCTGGACTCACCGCTGTAGGTAGTGGAGGATTTCCTCTTGTACCGTGGAACGATCTTTTCCGTTCCAGCTTCGGTCAACTGAGAGACGATTCCGAGTCCTCAAGGAACGTATACCGGGGAGCGAGAGCTTGTCCGGCATTTTTCTACATTTTAATCAAGTGAATGGATGGATAGAAGGATTATTACAGATATATCAAAAGATCCCAAAACCAAATCTGTGTTATATACAGTTGTTGTTACCGGATGTGAAGTCTCTGCTTCAAAAGCCATCATCTTTCAATTCGGATTCTTCCTCAGTTTCCACAAGCTGATACTCCTCCGGAATCTCGGGCCACTCGTCAATTCCATCCAGCAAAGCCAGCGCCATACCTCCGCTCTGGTGGATTTGAATATGGCAATGCAGCAGGAACGCTCCAGGATTGACGACATGGTATCTGATAGCCATCCAGTTCGGGCCAGTCGCTGCCGGGAGAGTCGCAAAGGTATCCCGAATTTGGGGGGCTTCGAAATTGAAGCTCTCAGGCATATGCTTCGCCGCCTCGGCCACAGAGGTATAGTTCCATTTTCCGTTGCCAGAGCCGAGAACGTAAAACTTGTTGGAGTGTTTGTGGATGGGATGAGGGGGCTGAACGGCGTTGGCGACATCGAAGATCAGGTCGACCCATGTGCCGTTGTGAGTAGCAAGAGTAAAGTTTTTGCTTCCTGTTTGGGGATAGAAAAGGAGTGGCGAATCCATTTCTAGTTCAAGGGGGAAACTTGAGTTTCCCATGGTCCAGGTGTACGAGGCATTGTAGCGCTCGAGGGTCAGAATGACTGTCTGTGCGACGTCTACTTGGGTCACGTCCTGAGGAGCAAACGGGACGATGGCTGTTTCGTCCAGAAGGGTGTGGTTTCCTGTAGGACTTCCGACAAGATTGATTGAAGGCACTGACGGGTGTTGTTGGGATGTGCCATTGCGATTGTGGTATGTCATTAGCGCGGTGCCGTACATGATCTGGTTGAGACCGGTGTTGGCCACGCGAACGGTGTAGTCTCCTCTTGGCTTATCCAACTTCACTAGTACCGAGTACCTAGCTCCGTTGGTGATGGTGATACCGTCCGCTTTGATAGGTTCGATATAGTTTCCGTCGACAGCATAGATGTACATGGGGTGCTCATCGATTGAGAAGGTAATTGTGGAAACGAACGCAGCACTGATTAGATCGAAGCTAGCGTATGCGTTGGTAGCGTCCGGGTAGAAACGCTCTGTCAGGCCAGTGCTCGGAATGCATTCAGAAAAGACTGTCGGAGGAATGGCGCTGAGGTTGTGTGGCCAAGGTCCCTGCGCCAATAGGTTGTTCGGCGGAAGGCATCTGTGAAACCATGAGTTAGAATCGGGCCTGGTTATGGTGCGATGTTTTTACTGGGTCTTACCCTATGTCAGTCAAGCTCTGGTTGCCCAGAACACCCCTCTGCGCAACGGAGGTGTACTTGTCAAGAGTCTCTTGTCCCAGACAGGTCACGGATCCCTTGCCATTCACCAGCAAAGCATTCGCGCACACTGCATCACGTCCCATAGCCTTTTCCGCGTTCCAGAGTTCTTCGGAGGTCAGTTTGCGCACATCCGACAGCATAATAGGAATTGATTCGGTTTCGGCGAGTTTCATAGCTTGAATGTCTTGTTGACTTTCAGAGATCAACGCAAAAGGCCTTTCAATGGATTCGTCAGACAGAATATGAATCGCTCCGTAAAGTCCATCCTCTTGCTGACCCCGGTGGTGAGCATGATAGAAGTAGCTTCCATGATTAGTTGCTCGCCACCTGTAAAGAAACGATTCTCCAGGAGGAATGGGCCTTTGCGAGAGACCGGGGACACCATCGGACCACGGAGTACCCTGCTGCTCCACGCCTGGTACATAGTGTCAGCTCGTCTAATCATTCTGCTAATGTGTACAAAAGAGAGGAGAGATTACCATGAAAATGAACAGTGGTAGGAAGAGGCATCTCGTTGTTGACCAAGAATTCGACGTCATCCCCTTGCTTCAACCTCAGCGCCGGGGCCGGGAACTGGCCGTTAGCCAGAATCATCTTTCGAGGAATCCCAGCTGGTTGGTAATCGTCCCATGTTAGGTTGACTTGGAAGGAGACTGTATTTCCGGTCGCCTTCACACCTGCATCGTGGGCATAGGCAGAGGATACAAGGGAGAGCAGGAGGGCTGGCAACGCCAAGCCACGGCGAAGAAAACCCATGGTGGAGGAGCGGCGAAGGAGCCAGATCAATGGTTTTGGAAGTCAGGTTGCGCGCAGATGGGCGATATCTTGGGATAAATAGGCCTTTCGCCAGATGGGCAGTGGGCATGCATATGGGGCTCTTTGCTGCGAAAATCTTACGGCTGCGCGAGAGCCCTGGCATGCAAGCCCACATAGGGCCCTCCGTCGGCGTATGGGAATCTGATTATTCTGAGAAATTATCCATCACCATAGCTCGAACCTAGATTGGGTAAAGATAGTGCGTCGATCTATTGGATGCATGAGTAAGGGCTGCCGATCATTTCCAGGTGGCAGGAGCCCATGAACAAGCGGGGGCTCTCTCGGGCCTTGACGGAGTCGAAGGATTTTCAGTCCGGCGAGTCAACACCCAGACGATTAACTAATGGAATTCGAAGCCGCTAACAGCGGCTGAAGCCCAAGGCTGAGATGACATTAATGACCTGGTGTCCTGGTCCGACGGCGTATAATATAACCAAGCTTGAGTGGGCCTAAAAAGACCTTAGCAAACGCTTGCTCCCAGCTAAGTCCTGAAAAGGAGAGATCCAGCGCCTCGGCCCTCGATGCTTGTGCACGCCGCTAGCGCATGAGTGTTTGATTTGCCATTTATCCGAGAAGGTCGGTCCCCAAGTCGCCGGCCGAAAAGCAAAAAAAGAGTGAAAGTCCAGAGTCGAGTTGGAGCTTCAGGCATGATGGCATGATGGCATCAGCAGCCGGGCAGCTCGCAGGGCACCCATGGCCAGCTTGAGGCGGGTCGATCGGCACGGAGAAGTTGATCGTGATCGTGATTGAGTTTTGGCAGCATCCAGATCTGTCGACGGCATTGTCTCCTGTCATAACGGGTATTCTTTGGAGCCAGCATTGTGCCAGTGAGGAACGTAGCGAAGACACGGAACTTGAGTCCTTGAAGCTTGGAGGAAAGAGGATCAAGGGTGGAGCTGGAGGAGGTTTGCTGAAGGATAGGTAAGACCCACAGGGTGAATCTCAGCTGGAAGCTTGGCCTTCGGTCCAACTCCGAGAAGAATCCGAGAGTTTGGTCCTAGCATAGTTCTTGTGCTGTACTACAGTCTACAATCGCAATCATTCGGTAAATATTCACGATTCGAAAATTGAAAACTAACAAAGCTGCAGAGGAAAGCCATGAATAAGATATAGTATACATACGGAAGGCACGCAAACGGCGCATTCGGAATGTGCTCAAAATCATCAGTTGCCGACAAGCGATCCGAATGATAGCAGAGAAGGACCCGTATCCTTGTCGAAGAGCCCATCAAGAGCTACTAACAACAAGCCAGCAGGGCTCCTTCGGCTTCGATACCGATTCCTCGCCGGGAGCAGGTTTTCCGCCTGGTACAAACTCCGGCGCATCTCCACGGAGCTGAATGCCTTGAATTAAAGGCTTTCCTTCCAATTCGTACGGATTCTCTCCTCTCCACGGATTCATAAGTGGTGTATGAATGCCGATCTCGACATGAGGTGGCTGGTAGGCCTAACGAGAAATATTCTGTGAGCACTGGACATTTCTACCGTAACGAATTTCGTCTTACCTGATGAGGACTGGGAAACCGGTACTCGTCCAGAAACAGTCTATTCTGATATTCATGGTATTCATGGTCTGCCGACCTTCTGAAAGGCCCTCCAAATCCTCGTTCTACCGCATACGGAACCGGAGGGTAAAACTGCTGGGGAGGCAGAAAGTCGTAAGGCATGGCCGGAGGAGTAGTAGTAAACGGTCTCAGCGGCGGGCTGCCTGCATAATGACCAGCGGGTCGGCTCTGACGAGCATTCCAGCCCCAGAAAGGAGGAGGAGGGTGAGGAGGACGCTGAGGATGATGCGGATGATGATGAGGAGGAGGTAGAAGAGGAAGAGCGTGAGTAGGATCTTGAGGACCAAAGCCATAACGCGTGTTGGGGCGCCCATCGAAGTGACCCAACTCTAGCTGCGGGTTGTAGGAATTTGACGTGTTCCTTGATGCGAAGCTCCTCTTCCTGTGAGAAGAGCCGAATGGTGCGCCGCTCTAAACAAACACAAGTCAGTGTTGCTCTCAATGTCCATGCGATGCAAAACTGGAAGGCGCATCAAAAGTCGCTGAGAGCGATCAAGGCGGAGGGGAGGCATACTGAGCTTCTTTGGTACTTGTGACCTTTTCCCATGGTTGGCTGCTTTGGTTGCTTTGGTTGCTTTGACTCTGGCTTGGGCATGAGGTAGGAGAAAGAAGGAGGAGGTTGTGAGGTCGTCGGTGGTTTCAGTTGCTGTAGAAGTCTCTCAAATAATGCAGGTACGTCTGCTGCTGACATTGACATTGGAAAATACTTTCCAGGCGCTCGAGATGGACGATGCGAGATTAAGTAGAGCTGTCTGGAAGAAACAGTCTTTGGCTTTGTTTCTCTTATTCTTTATGGAAATGGTTAAATTTGTGCATTTGTTGTTTGGGTCATCTTGTGGTGGCGGTCTAGAAGGTGAAAGGAACCTCTAAATATGGCCCACCATTGTTCAGGCTTACATTTAATATATTGCGGATTGTGCAAAGCCCAGAAAACCTATCACCTCACCACTGCTCTTTATACAACGGTACGGGGTAGACTGGTTGTCGTTCTCCTGCTCCGTACGTCCTTCATGTTTACCTAGGATATCAAGACTCCGTTCCAGGACGGCTTACAGGCTACTTAGCTTTATATCTTAATACTGATTAATACCCAGCTGACAGACAGACCTCAAAAAAGAAAGTGCTTGTTTGATTTATGTTACCTAAAGGCTCAATTCATTTTTCTCGTTTGCCCTGGTCTTTGTTGTTTCATCATGGGAAGAAACATCAAATAAGCCGTGGAAGGACGAAAGGGTAAAATGTCTCAGATCCATTCCAATATCAATCCATACCATGTCTCACTGTTGTACCCGTTTGATGATCACTAATCTTGTACCTAGTCGTCCAGCTAGTCGTAGGTATATGCCAGGTATCCGAACTGACCATTCGAGCTAGTCGCGGCACAGTAGCGGTTGCTTTGGGGTTGCTGCAACTCTTCTCTTTTCTCTTTTTATCCCTTTTTTGTGTGTGTGTTTTTGTTGTTCAGACCGAGGTTGGTACCTCCCCGCAGATGATTCAAAGACAAGACTCGATTGACGTGGAAAGCAAGAGAAAGGCGACTCGAAACAATAGAGCGGAGTTTATCAACCGTTATGTGAAATTAAGGTGACAACTATCTGACTCAGTAAGTGCTCCTTGGAAGAAGGGAAACCCTTACCTAGTCCATCTCAATCTGGGCCTGCGCTTCAGCTAGGCTAGTGCTAAGAGTCTCTTCAGCAACCTGCTTCTCGAAGAGTCTCTTCTCTGCCAAAGATTCAGCTTCCAACGCTGCCTTCTCTATGCTCTGGTAGTCACCAAGCTGCTGCTGTAATCTGAGGGCGAGCTAAAGGTAGTTCTTAGTAACAACACACGTATACGACAAAGCCAAGGACTTACACGAATATGTCTGTCCCTTTCCAGCGGGCTGGATGCCTCTCCAATTCTCTTGCAAAGAGTTTCCAAGCAGTGGCGGATGGCGTCCAGGTTTTTGGGTTGTGTAGAGCGAGCCGACAAGTTCGAACCTGCTACCACCTTGACGGACATGGGCTTAGGGGACCGGTTTGACCTCTTTTGAGCATAAGGCATCAGTATGTTATTGATGGCACGCCCCGGGCCGTGAGGTAGCCGATGGGGACTGCCGGTCGAGGCAGTCCGTACATGTGGCCTGCGTGCACGGCTATCTGGAGTAACCGATGGCTGTCCCTTCTGCGCCGGGCTCGCCTTCGTGCGCGTCGATTCCGTATGCGACGCAAACGAAGGAATATTTTCCTCCGGGATGCGGTGGGGTGGTGCCAGAAGACGAGGAACTGAAGGGGTTGGAGTCGTTGGGGACTCCTTGTTTCTAGGGTTCCGAGAACTCCTATTCCAGCTCACACCACCGGAGAGTCGAGTGTACTTTGGCTTCGACTTCGGGCTTCTCTCGTAATCGTTATGAAGATGATGGTTCTTTGCCGTGCTTCTCTCAGTGTTCGGAGTACGGTTCTCGATCAAAGGAATTGGCGCCTGAATGTTTTCCTTCTTGATGCGCTCTTTGTCGGCAGTACCGCTTCGGGATCTGAAGATATTACGGAACCTTTCAAGGTGATGATTGCTCTTCGATTCAGGGAGCCTGGACGTGCCAGGACCCTGGTAGAATGATTCATTGCCCGGAGCGAAAGGCGCGATCTCGTTGAATTTGACGTTCCTTCCGAAATCTGTGGCTACTTTCAAGGGTCCTCCGGTAGTGACTGAAGAGCTGTATTTTGGACCAGAAACTTCTGAGAAGTGCGATAAAGCCTGGAGTGAGGATACCCGGGGCGGATGTGGGCTTATTGTGCCAACTCTGATCACAGTCTCAGGAATTGGCGTGTTCTCTGGTGCACGGTTAGACAGGCTGTCTCCGTGATTGGATTCAACCTTAGCTGGAGTTTCCGGCGCAACTGATTGATTGGAAACCTGGCTCATTCCGCTCTCTAAATGGTTGAAATACTGTTCTGGTATCTTTGGCACATTAGGTTCTTCCTCGGAACGCAAGCTCTTCGAGCTTGGAGAGAATAGGTTAATGAGACTGGGCCTATTGACGAGCTTCCGTGAAAGGGACATCTCTTTAGCACTGATGTCTCTTCTTGGAATGTTGTCGAGAGATAGTTGAGGGCGACAGAAGTTCCGCGTCGGAGTACTTCCTTGGCTGTTACCACCGCTATCTTTGGAGCCCGCTGTTTCTCTCGATCCAGGAGTAGGTACTGCAAGACTATTGGTACCTTTCGGAGTGCTGGGCGTGAGCTTGCCCAAGCGTTTAATCAGGGAAGGGGTCGACCGGTGAGTGTTAGTGTTGGTATTGCTTGACGATGCACCGGAAACTCCTCCCATGATTATGTCCTCGGCGGATGAGGCGATCTTCAGAGTAGGTCCTGGGGAGCGATGGCCTGATGCTCCTAAGATACGCGTGCGATACTCTCCGGTAAAGACAGTCTCTGGTCTGTCAGGATCGCCAATATCTTTGAAATCCCAGCTGCTGCCAGATGAAGACGTTGCAGAAGGGGGTGTCAATCCAGATTCTTGTTCCGTTTCTTGGGTTGACTCGGGAAACGAAAGCGCGGTCTGCTCCGCCTTGGGTCGAGGACGAGGACCACGAGGCTTCTCGACCAGCCGAGCGCTGGTGAGAGAAGGCTCACTTTGCCTTCCCTGTAAAGCCGCACGCAGGTGCTCGGCGCTGCGCCTGTGAATGGGAATGGGGATTGAGCTGCCGACTCGGTTGCCTTTGGTAGCAGAGGTATTGGCACCTGTCTTGAGACCGGCTATCCGAGGGATACGGGAGCTCGTATAGTATTCTTTGTCGTCCCCCGGCGAAGATTGCCGTGTGCCTGAGCTGTCGTGAGCTTTGGTTGCCGGCGACGTGTTACTGTCCTGTAGCAAGTCTTTACAAGTGTTAGCTAAACGTATCAACAAGACTAATGATGGAGAGACTGACCGGGTTGGGCTTGGCCCGCATGATGGATGGACATGAGATTCGGCTCACTTGAACAGCCAGACAATGTGGTTGTCTTCAAGGGCTGAATAGGATGCATTGCGTTGTCTTCTGGGAGTATTAGCTCTTCAATCCTTGAACTTGGACATAAACTGCAGCCCTGGCTGGATATCAAGGAACGAAGAATCACCTTTTTCAATGTCCTGGAGAATAGCAGCATGTTCTTCAGTGCCCTCACCGTTGACGGTTAGTTGCATGTCAGCGGTAGATTGCTCTTTGCAGGAGCCCACTGCCTCGGACATCTTGCTGAAGGCCCTGTTTAGGTTGAAGGCGCGATGTAAGCTGTAGTGAGGTTTAGAGACGGTCTTCTGATTTATGAACCTCAGACTGATTGTAGGGTAAAATGGTAGGAAGAAAGGTGTAGGGAAAGATGAGGAAGGAGATGGTTTGTGTGATGTGTTGCTGGGAATAGGTGTTTGCCATTTGTGTTCAATGTCGCCGTCCAGAAGTGACTGTGTGTGCTGCCTTGCAAAACAAATTGATTAGTCGGCATGGGTCAAACAGGCATCGGTTTATCCTCTTTCTTTTATTCATCACTGCCATTCTCTCTGCACCCCATGACTTTGCTGCAGTGGTACCAGAGGCAGAGCCTCCCCAGTCTTGGACAATGGGAGCCCTGTGTGAGTCTTACTGACTGACCTAGACAGTCCTACCAGTCCCCTAGTGCCTGTGTATCGCTTCAAGACATTGACTGTGCTTTCCAGTATGTACCAAAGGATACCATTCCGCCGGCACGTGGTCAACTCGACGAGAATCCATTGCTTGCAGGGCCCGCTTATATCGTGTTTCATGCATTATTATTCCTTTCCATGAGGTGTCGGTACAACCAGAAGCACATATGTGTTGTGTTCACGGGGGCTTTCAATTCAGCATACTCTGGCTGTGAGCAAAGATAGACAGGCGGTGTATCTTTGTCTGAGCATCCAGAATCAAGCAGCGAACATCCCGGGAAGGCGAATATCTCATTCCTCTGGCAGTCATGTAGTTGCCGTTGGATGTTCCTTGAAGTGGAACTGGCGTGACAAGGTATACTGCGCGCTCGGAGAATGGTGTTGCCCTTGAAAGGCAGTCTGCAGCCGATAAGGCGCGCTTGAGTTGGAGTCTCGATTGCCTTGATGACGGCCTTACCACTCGAGTTTGATCAAGGCGCCACTACGGCCTTAGAATCGCAAGTCAGAAGATGCGTAACTCTGCCTCTTCTGTCACAGGGCAGAGGCATCTTTACTGGCCATAATCGAGCTGGACGTGATGTTGCCGATGAGGATAGAGCGAAAGGAATCATGGGCTTGAAACTTAGTATCAGCTAGATGGTATTTATTCCTAACGAATTGGCTTACTGCGACATGAAATTGGAGCCGATGGGTCCCTGTACATTCTCACTTTTCCAGTGATAGCTAAAAGTCAAGATTTAGAAGGATAGTTTAGGGCACAACATAAAGAATCTGTAAGTAGGAGGGAACAGAAATATGAAGAGAAGCAAATGAGATGGATTAGCTCTATCCTTTTTTCAGTTGTGAGAAGAGAAGAGAATAGAAGCTGAGCTCTCATTTGTGTACAACCTTGGAAGGTCTACTAGCACTCCCGGGCCTGAGTGAAGCGATACTCTTTTGGGAAATTATACTGTGAAATGGATCCGCTGACAATACCCTGGTGGACAGTCTGCTGGCTGGGCAAACTGGAACCTTTAGCACGCATCCTTTGAACTACATCAAACCATATCTCAGTCCTTTCTTATGCTCATTTGTCCACCTAAAAGACTTGCATCTTCCAGGGAGGACCATCTAGAGCTTGCAGCCGCTCATATTCGCTTATACTATGATTTGGCCCAAGCTATAGGGCTAAGGTGAAGTATACCAGGTCAAAATGGAAAATCCATCGCATTAATTAAAGAGTCACCTCCACTAGCACCTAGAAATTCAGGTATATTTTATATCAGTAGGCTCCTCACGTTTCCTTTTCCCGATAGCTTGGTTTGACGAGTTTTGCGCCTCTGGCCCCGTGCTTGTCCACTCGCTGACTTCCCATTCTATAGTAGTTGATCGGTCATCGCTTACCCCGGCGCCGCGCCTTGTCTTCATCAGTCGTCCGAGCCCACTGCCTTCAATCATTTCCTCAAACCAGGGAATACCGTCGGTGGTTCCATGCCTGTAAGTTGTAGCGAGCCCTGGAGTAGAAACATCAGGCGACACAGTGACGGGTAGCGAAGAAGTGCGTGAAGCGCTCGGGACTGGAGTAACCGATACCTGCCTAGCAGACTCAGAGGGTTCAGGCGATTCCGGTTCCTCCAACCCCGGAAGAAGATGCAAGTCCTCTAATATCCGCTGGTCATCACCGTACAGGCTTCCAATTGTCACGGACATATAGTCAGCTTCCTCACGCGGATACTCACTCCAGTAGGTGAGCGGCGATCCACAGAAGCCGCAAAACACCCTCTGCGTGTGCGGCGCATGGTGCGGAGAGAAGATGCGACGGATGTTGGCATGCGTTTCGTCCGGGAAGTAAGACTGGGTATGTGATTCATACCAATTCAGAGGGACTCGGAGCCATGCGGTAAGTGGTGTGCCATACGATTTGCCTGTAACAATGGAGTGAGTTCGCCGGCCTCACAAAATGCGGGCATCAACGTACGATTGTCCCTGCCAGCGTCGAAGTAGACTTGGGCGTGATCGGTCACATCGTCAGGAATTCGAATCAGATATTGGTTTCGTCCACACATGCAAGAGCCACGCAAAGGCTCTTGCTGGTCCATGTTGTTGATGAGGGGAAGCTTTGCACTCCTCACGTCAAAAGGGTTAGCTTTTTCTAGCCAGGACGATGACATGCGGAGATGAGGTCATAGGCCCACGGTATTCAGAATAAAGAGCCAGTTGGTATGCCATTATCAAGCATCAACCCGTGGAAGGATATAGAATGTCGCGATTGCCAGACAACTCAGAGAAAAAGCAAATAACCTTTCCTCGACCTGCACAATTACTCCCGCAGTAGGCCGGTTGATGGTGAGGCCAAAGCTTGGAATACTTCTTGAATCTTCGGGATCATCCTCTGGCTTATTGGAAGCTGACTTAATTATTGGCCGTTCAGTGACCAATGGGCCATCATTAGGAAATGATCGCAGTGGATAAATCATGGCTCTGAATTCGATCGAGTCTTTGACCACGAGTCGAGACTTCTCCGCACGCTAAAGGGATCTAATCTTTGAGATGTCGCGGTTCCTGGCTCGACACCGAGTTTACTTTATCTACCCAGAGTTTACAAAACTCTCTGCTTCCGACTTCGTCTCCATCCTCTCCTTTATCCCTCCGTGACTACCCGCTACCTCTACTCGTATATAAATATCCAGCTATCCGCGTCCTATCTCTACCGTTGCTGTGTCTTTGCCGGTCACACTTACCGTCACATGAGAGCCAAACCCGCCCCTCTTTTGCTACACTCGCTCCAACCCCTGGCTCTTTGAGAAAGCCCAGGCCTACAACATGCCATCCGCGCAACCTCCTCCTATCCTCGCAAGCTCTTCCGAGCCATCATATTCCCCCATCACAGCCAGCGCGTCCACGAATGCAGAGGACCGACACGACCGCTCTTCATCTACACCCACCAACTCGTCCCGGCAGGGAGGCACCAGCGAGAGGGACAAGCCCCGATTGACGGAGCAGGAAAAGAAGAACAACCATATTGCCTCGGAGCAGAAGCGACGCGCAGCGATACGCGAGGGATTCGACCGACTTACAGAGCTTGTTCCGGGTCTGGAGGGCCAAGGGCGGAGCGAGAGCGTTGTTCTGAAGAAGACTGTCGACTTTATCCATGAGCAGATTGAGGAGCGGAAGAAGCTCATCGCAGAGATCGAGCGCAGAGGCGGGAACATCCCCGAAAACTTGCGATCATAGGTCACTTATCCTCTCCGCACATGGGTACCGAGGCCCCGTCGGCGTCCAGGTCAAGCTTTGCATCTTCTCAACCTTTCACGAATAACGACACATATAACTGTTGGAACCACGAGGTGCTGCATACACGGTGTAATGCGGCTTTATCATTAACGAATACAGGCGGAGGGGCTTGTACCCTACCTGTGCCGGGGTAGGCAGGTTGCGAGAGGACACATATCCTCCGCCGCAGTATTTCTCCTTGACTTGCATAATATAGGAGGTTGCCTTTTGCGCATGCTCGATGAAGATTGGTTTCTCAAGGGCTACTCTGTAATGTTTTGGCGTTTGGGAATGCCGAAGACCTTAACTGATCACATCAAGTGTGCGCGCTGCTGTTCTTTTCGAGATACCACCAACGACATTCAAGTCTAGCAAATACTTATATATGAATTTGTGTGACCATGGGCTAAAGTGCCTAGCTCGGTCTTATCAATCTATGCCAAAGTACTCCGTACGCCGATAGAGCACATCGTCATGTAGCACATGTCACCCCCGAGTCCTACACTACCAAGTGACTATACTCGAGTGCTATAGCCGCTTCGTAGATAGCCTAGTCCATCCACTGCGCATTTCTACGGAAAATATTCCTGTCCTGCCAACATAGTGTATATACGTGCCAAGCTTCACCGCCCATTACCTAAACGAGTACGGAGTAGATCTAGGAACAGGGCAACTATCTACCCCACGTCGACTTTCTACGACGAAGCAATTGTCACCTACCTCGCTCATTCCATCCAATTCCAAAAACCGCAGAAAAAAAGGACATTGGAGCCAGGATGACAGACAAGAAAGAACCCCTCCTGTCCGGGATTCCCTCCGACCTTCCGCCCTCATACGAAACAGCGCAACAAACACCAAAGCGTCTACCACCGCCTCCTCCTTTTGCCTTGCCCTTCCTCCAGACACTCCGAACGAAGCGCGTGATTCTCGCCTCGCAGTCTCCTCGCCGGCGCCAAATAATCGCCTTCTTGGGACTCCCCCATATTGAAATAATCCCCTCAGATTTTGCGGAGGATTTCCCGCATACGCAGCCAATAGAATATGTCATGGCGACAGCAACCCAGAAGGCCCAGGATGTGTACGCTCGCGAGATCTTGAACGAGGAGAAGGGCGAGCCGGCGCTCATCCTGGCCGCAGACACAATTGTCGTGGAGCCGCTATCCGGCGCGATCTTGGAGAAGCCGCGCTCGGAGGCGCACCATATCGCCATGCTCAAGAGTCTAAGGGATGCCAGGGTCCATAAAGTTTTCACGGCGATCGTGGCCATGGCGCCACTGAGTAGTGCGCGGGATCCCGGGTACGCGATTGAGACGGCGATCGAGGAGACGGAGGTGAGGTTTGACGCAGACGTTACGGACGAGGTCATACTAGCGTATGTGCGGACGAGGGAGGGCGTCGATAAAGCTGGAGGCTACGGGATGCAGGGGCTGGGAAGTATCTTGGTCGAGGGGATCGAAGGGAGTGCCGATAACGTCATCGGGTTGCCGTTGAAGACTACGTTGAAGGTTATTAAAACGGTTTTGGCTAGGGCGGACGATGATGAGCGACTTGGCTCTGACGCGGAGGATGAAGAGGAGGACGAGGAATAAACATTGCTCGGTTATAATCGGTGGGCGCTGTTATTGGAGATACCCAGAGGGTTGTATATGAAGGAATTATCCGGAACAGTCACATTTTATCCACAGTAGAACCGGGTCTATCCCGAGTTGGCCTACTGATAAAAGCAAATATACAGAGGCAGACGCCTAACGTAAATAGAAAACAATTCTGCTAAAAAATGGGGGAAAAAAGAAAAGGGTAAAAAGAAGAAAATCAAAATATGCCCCGTTCACGCCTTCCAGACCCGCTTGATGGTCTCCGTCAGACCAACATCGTTCGTCTCGAGCTCGTACAGACCGACGGCGGTAGTAAGGGTGAAGCCGCGGAGAAGCCAGTTCAGCAGCGAGGCGGTCTTGGGGACACGGCGCGCAGGGAAGTAGTCGATGATGGAAGCCCTATAGAGCCGTTAGAATTCCGCAGTGGAAATTACGAGAACCGGACACATACTGGAATCCAACGTGCGAGTGCAGAACAAGCATCGAGCAAAGGACAGCGTCCGTGACAGGGTTGAGGGAACCGGCAGCGAAAGGAGCGATAGTGAGAGGGATCAGGCCAACACAGACCAATCTATTAGCGACATCAGCAAGATTCCTCGATAACTGTCGCGATGTGGCATGGTTCGGACGCACCTCTCAAAGGTCCAGTGGTAGCTACCGTGCGAGGGGTGAGGTTTAGGGATGGGAGCCGGGTCGTTCACTGCGTAGAAATGGTTAGTATCTCGAAACCCCCAATGTCCTAATGTCGTGCGCATATCGTCCTTGCCGTCATTGGCGCATTTTCTCTCGTATCAAGGAGCCCCTCCTATGTACAATTGTGTACTGTAATCCCGAATGGGGATCCGGAGGTTCAACGTACTTGTTCCCTGGATGGTCTCTATAACGAATTGTTAGCATCAATCTCAACAAGGGTATCTCGCCTGGCCCCGGCCAAGGACACCACAGTATCCTCTCGCGAATCCGTCAAAGCAATATATTGGTCCACTCACGAGGCTGAGGAGGCAGAATCTGCTTCTTCGCGGAGGCGTGGAAGGCCACGACCTGCGAGACGCCGACGGCGTTCCTGGTCGCCAACGGCGCGCGGAAAGCCGAAAGGCAAGACTGGCGCATGAGAGAAGCCATTGTGATTATTTTGGTTTTACGAAGGAAAGGAAAGCTTCTAGCTGCAGTTCGCGCACCAAAAACAGAAGCTGTAGATGCCAATTCAAAGTCGTGAAGTCGTTCCGGCTAAGGCCTCGGGAGTTGGCTTGGATGCATAAGCACGGCGCATGATTGGTCAGTTTATATCTCCGCTCAGCCGGAATTAACCGACTCCCCGGCAAATCCAAGTTCCAGAGACTACCCATCTTCATACAAGGCCATTGAGTCTAGGACCCTAAGATATTGGATTCTGCCCATTACCCGCCGATAAGCCTAAGGGTCATGGTTTTATTGATAGTTGTCAAGCATATTCTTTTACCCTGTATAAGAGGGTCTTTGAAAACTCGGGAGTGTCCATGTCTATTCGGCTCAAGTCCATAAATCATGGTCTACTTATCCGACTGTCCAGCATCAGGCAGGAATCGGGTAACCTGTGTATGTGTCTCATGAAGCAATCAGGTACCAATATATCTCGTTGCAGGCCATATGAATAAACATTTGAGCTTGTTCCGTTTGGAAGGGAACTCCGTTCACACGGTTGCCATGGTTGTATTGTAGCAATCTAAACCATACGGTAAGTTCATCCCTTCTTCGAGGCTATTGTGCTCAGATTAAGTTTTGATATCATTCTTCAGATACTAAAGATTGTTTTATTTCGACAAAAGCAAGATGCGCCGTCATGATGTCATATCGCATTAAAACTTCAGGACAGCCTTGCCCAAGTTCTTTCCGTAGAAGATACCGACCAGCCCTTCGGCCGCGTTGTCGATACCCTCCGTCTCGTGGATGAGAGTCTTGAACGAGCCATCCTTGATCCACTTCTGCACATTCTCCTGGTGCTCCTTTGTATACTTGTCGCCCATGCCAGCATCACCGACAATGAATCCGCGCATAGTCAGGCGCTTGGTGAGCACATAACTAATGTTCTTGATGGGATATGGTGCAGAGTTGTACTGCGAAATCATGCCGCAAACAACCACGCGGCCAAAGTTGTTGATCGCGCCCAGTGCAGCTTCCAGGTGCTCACCTCCGACGTTCTCGTAGTAAATGTCGATACCGTTGGGAGCCAGGCGAGCCAAAGCATCTGCAGGCTTCTCCTTCTTGTAGTTGAATCCTCCATCGAAACCAAGGTCGTTGATGATGTAGTTGAGCTTCTCGTCCGATCCCACACTGCCAATAACCTTGAGACCTTCGTGCTTGGCGAGCTGGCCAACGAGCTGGCCAACGGCACCGCTGGCAGCAGAAACAAAGATGGTCTCTCCCTTCTTGGGCTGTCCAATCTCGTAGAGTGATGAGTAGGCCGTCAGACCAGGCATGCCCAGTGCACCCAAAAAGACACGAATGTCTTCAATGCCCAGAGGGTTCTCGAGGTGACGAATGCGGGAAGACAGTTCGTCCTTCTCTACGGCGATATACTCCTGGATTGGGAGGCGTCCAATGACGAGGTCACCCTCCTTGTAGGAAGCATTGTTGGAGCGGACGACCTTGGCGATGGTCGCGCTTTCGATAGGCTGGTTGAGGTAGAAGGGAGGTGCGTAAGATTTGATCTCTGCGCTACGCATGCGGCCACGCATGTAGGGGTCGAAACTGGTGTAGAGTGACTGCAGGAAAACGCCGTCTGCAGGGGCAGCGGCGTTCGCGTCATATGCAGCAGGTTCGAGACCTAGGTGTTCACCAGGAACAGGGTATCCATCGGGGATTTTCTTGAAGATGAGAGCTTTGTTGGTGGCCATGATGATATGTGGTTGGAAGAATGGAGAAAAGAAGATGATATCAGGATAGCTACCTACCTTCGACTTACTTTTATAAGCTCCGAGGCATGCTCGACAGCGAAGCGGGGCAGAACCAAAATATGGCCGTAGATTATAAAGCACGATTCCACTTTAGAGAACGTTCTCGAGGAGGCACAGCAGATCTCAGTCGGTGGTTATACCTGAGTTGGACCCGGAAGCGGCACTGTGGCGCAACATCAACCAAGATATGCGCTGATTGACCAACAGGCCATGGCCCATCGTTGGTGATGCTTTCGCCTTGGCCGAAGAGCCGAGGATGGGCTCCATCTGAGCTCGGAGATATTGCTGGAAGGAGAGAAGACGTTCATAACAACAAGAGGATTGCTCCGACGCGTGTGAGGTCAACTGTCCATTTTATTTCAAAGCCAAACCTGTCGGTCAGGGAGCCTTGTTTAGAAGTTCAAGTCCGTTGAATCGACCGCCTCCAGCCTCAAGGCTCGTGGATATGAAGATACAGAATATTTACACCACACGGGAGCGGCGTGCCTGTTGACCATTGAAATATCAGACCGTTCAGGTTTGGAAGTCTGCAAGGAAGAAAAGGCGAGGCTATTATTTCAGCAATAGATTCGGCATACGGAGTATTTCAGTGCCTTTGAAGGGGCGGAGCAGGTTATGTTGCCTGAGGCAGAATTTTCTTTCCCGTGCTCCGTACTTGGTACTCCTCCCTGGCACAACAGCAGGCAAAGTGGAAATGGAAGATCAAGAACAGGTCCAGAATAATCCTCAACAATTTGTACTGTTCTCCAGTAAGCGGCATCAGACGGTCCAGGTCAGCAGCGATGGATAAAAACATCTAGGTCGTTCAGCCAATCATGGTTGCACCAATCTCGCCGCCTTCCAGTCAGCGACTTTTTTGCCGGTTTTGATATTTTCCAGAGATAAGGGCCAGTTTTTTTTCCTCTCCCTTCGCCATCAGCCACTTTCATCCCCTTTTTTTATTTTTCTGTTATTCTGTGCTCTTTCGCGTTCAATAACCTGAGAAAAGTACATTATATCTTCTTTAATCTTCGCAGCCATGTTGGGTGCCTTTCGTCGCTCAGCTGTGAGCCATGCTGTGCGATCCTATCCCCGGACGTTGACAGCAAGATCAACTCCGCAACGCCTTCAGTCACTATATTCATCAATTTCTGGGCCTTCATATACATCGAAGTCGCTTTTTCACTCGTCACAATTCCGATTCTCGGCTCAGGTGAACGCTGTCGAAGAGAATGGCGCCCAGGATGTTGCTCCAGAAGAGCTACCGACTCGGTTCCAGGAGTTGGGAGACAGGAACATTCTCCCAGCCAAACTAGTCCAAAATCTCACGCAGCATATGAAATTGGAAACCATGACCGAAGTTCAGCGCAGAACTATCCCTGTTTCGGTAAAGGGCGTAGACGTGTTAGTTTGTCCAACTCTTTCCTGAATAACAGCTAACCTTGAAAAATTTAGGTTGGCACAGGCCAAAACCGGCACCGGAAAGACCGTTGCTTTCCTCATCCCCGTTATGGAGAAGCTCCTCGGCGACCGCAGTCTTCTTAAGACGAGTTACCGTAACGGCCGGAGGATTGCCCCGATTGATATTCGATGCATCATTGTTTCACCGACACGCGAATTGGCTGAACAGATCGCAGTGGAAGCCAAGCGCATGGTTGGCCAGTCCGGTCTGCAAGTACAGATTGCTGTGGGCGGTACACAGAAACGCGCCGCGCTGCACCAACTTAAACGGGAGGGTTGCCATATCCTTGTCGCAACGCCCGGCCGACTCAAGGATCTACTGACTGATCCCACCAGCGGCGTAAAAGCACCAAAGTTGAATACCTTTGTCCTAGATGAAGCCGACCGCTTGCTCGACGATGGATTCGGACCCGAAATCATGGAGATTCAACAGCAGCTTCCGGACCCGACAGAGGTCGATCGTCAAACGCTCTTGTTCTCCGCCACTGTGGCCCCTGAGGTCATGGGTATGGTTCGTAACACTATGAAGCGTGACTTTGAGTTCATCAAGTGCGTTCGCGATGATGAAACCCCCACACATATGTCGGTTCCACAAAAGGCGGTAGTCCTCCAAGGTCTTGAGAACGTCATGCCAACTCTGTTGGAGTTGGTTAAGAAGAATTACGATCCACAAGGCACATTCAAAGCTATTGTGTACTTTGGATCCACCAGAGAGACAAACGTTACCTTTGAGGCGTTCGATCAGTTGCTTGTTGACCCGGCCGACACGACAAGTGGACATCCTCTTGGTAAACTTTTCCTCGGCGAGATCCATTCGCGCCTGACACAGGCTCAGAGGACGCGAGTCGCCAACTCGTTCCGCAAGTGCCAATCCGGTATCCTCTTCTCCACCGACGTCACCGCCCGTGGCATGGATTTCCCCAATGTCACCCATGTCATCCAAATCGGTGTCCCCAAGACACGCGAGGACTACATCCACCGTCTTGGTCGAACGGCTCGCGCCGGTAAGACGGGTGAAGGTTGGGTCTTGATCCACAATCAACAAATGAGTACCCTAAGGCAACAGCTCAAGGGTATCCCCATCGAGGTCGACCGCGATACTTTCACCCTCTCCACCCTTGATCTGACGAAGAGCCTGGAGACCACCCCCGAAGCTACCGAAACACTTGAACAGCTGAAGTCTGGCTTAGCCCAAGTCAGCCGCTCAACCAAGTCGGAGACATGCACCGCCCAACTGAGCAACATAGCCGGCACTTTCCGTAACAAAGGCGTCCTACGCGAGGCCATCACCAACCTCGCCATCCACGGTTACGGCCTCCGAGAAGCGCCGCCCATCTCTCGCCGCATGGCTGAGCAGACAGGCCTCGACAAAGCAGACGGATTCAACATTCGACAGTCAAGGACATCCTACGGAAACAGGCAGGATAACGAGCGGGGCTACGACAAGTACAATGACCGCCGCCGCTCATTCGACAGCCGCCGTACCTTCCGTGATAATGATTTCAAAAACCGTCGCTCCGGTCGTGATGACTTTGGCGGCCGTCGTGATGACTATGGTGGCCGTCGTGATGACTTTGGTGGCCGTCGTGACCAACGTCGTGGCCCCCCACACCAGAATGTCAACAGGTGGCTCGACAACCGCAGGGATGAGTGGGCTTAAACGAAGCAGGCCTTCATCCTTTCAGGTTTACATGTTGGACTAGAAAACAGTATCCCTGGCTTTAATCATTCACCCCACGCACCTTGACGACATACCTACAGCTTAAAATGCATTGGGCGGCGTTATAAGGAACCTACTCAACTCAACCTCTCGTCTTCGCTTTGTTTGTCCACTGTCTTGACTTGACTCCGCCGGGCCTCCGTTACTCGGTGTCTTGATATTGCCTACTTTGTCTGAAAGGGTGTTTGGATACGGATTTAACTAAGCTGATTATACCATCAACGTTGCAGATGTGTTTATGTATAATAGACAGGATTTTCTTTCACTGTGTTATAATTTTTATTGATTCTCTCAGTTATCTGTGTTTTAAATCTCAATTGCCCTATTTCACCATTGATTCTAAAGGTATCAATCGCAGTCTACAACATAAACGACCCTAACGCAAGGAATGAAAAGAACCCGAAATTTGTACACTGTTTATTGAAAAGTCGAAGACAAGCATCAATCAAAGAACTGCACAGAGAATCTAATATAAAGCACACCGCGTAGCTTAACTGGACGGGTTCCTCTAGGGAAAAACTCTATTCCACCGCTTTTGATCCGGTTATTCGTTATTTTCTTCCGTCTGAGAGGTAGTTGGGTATGTTAGTAGCCTAGATCTCACGGCAGATCATGTCGTCACGAGCGGGACCTGTTCCGATCCACTTCACAGGAACGCCGCCGAGCTCGCGCTCAATGTACTCGACGTAGTTGCGGGCGTTCTCGGGGAGGTCTTCGTACTTCTTCGCGCCCATGGTGTTGCTCTTCCAGCCGGGCAGGGTAACGTACTCGACGTCGACCTTGTTGAGGACCTCCGCGTCGGCGGGGATGGTGTCCGTCAGACGGGTGCCGTCGGGGAGGGTGTAAGCAACGGCAACCTTGATCTCGTCAAAGTCGTCGAGAATGTCGAGCTTGGTGAGATTGAGCGCGGTGTAGTGGTTGATGGATTGGGAGTAGCGGAGGAGGACAAGGTCAAACCAGCCGCACCGACGCTTGCGGCCGGTGGTGACGCCGAATTCCCGGCCAACCTTTTGCAGTTTCTCGCCGTCTGCGTTGAGTTGTTCGCTGGGGAAGGGACCGGAGCCGACGCGGGTGGTGTAGGCTTTCACGACACCGATGATGGATTTGATACTGGTGGGGTTGAGGTGGAGGGCCTGGACGGCGCCGCCGAGGCCGGTGGAGGAGGATGTCACGAAAGGGTAAGTGCCGTGGTCCAGGTCGAGGAGGAGGGCGTTTGCGCCTTCGACCAGGGTGTTGGGCGAGTCCTTGTGCTTGTTAAAGAAGGCAAGTTGGTCGACAATGTGCGGGACGAGTAGCTTTCGATACTCCTTGAACCGCGCAATCTCCTCCTCGACGTCGTAGTCCAGCTGTCCGAACCGCGCCGTGTAACCGGTGTGCAGAGTCCTGAGTTTCCGCTCAAAGAGCTCCTCGTCCAAGATCTCTCCAACACGCACACCCCTTCTTGAAGCCTTGTCACTGTAGCAAGGTCCAATTCCCTTGCCGGTAGTTCCAACCTTCCTACCGCCGAGACCCTTCTCTTCAAGGCCATCAACAACAGAGTGCAGGTCGAAGCAGACGTGGGCGCGATCCGAGATGAAAGCACGGGCCGCGGCGCCCTTGAGGCCCTTCGTCTCAAGCGCCGCAAGTTCCTTGAAGAAACTAGGAACATGCACAACGGTTCCGGCACCGATGAGGTTGATGCACTTATCTGAAACAAGTCCGGAGGGGAGGATGTGGAAGTCGTAAGTCACGTTTCCGTGGACAATGGTGTGGCCGGCGTCTGTCTCGAATTAGAATGCTATCGCCGCGCGTATAGAACGACTGTATGCGATAGTAACACTTACTGTGACCACCCGCAGCACGGCAGCAGAGCGTCGCCTCTTGCGACAGCATATCCGTGATCTTTCCCTTTCCTGCTCTCAATCAGTACTTGCACAGTACTCTTGACGTAGCCACGTCTGTCTAACCCACCTTCATCGCCCCACTGGCTTCCGAGAACGATTGTCACACCCATAATGAACAAGTATATCAAAGTCTATGCTTTATCGAATGAACGAGTTCTCTGCAGAAAAGAAAAATGCGATCAGCCAGATTCGGAAAAGATAACCCAGTTATGCAAGCGCAAGATCCCACGAGGCGGGCAAAAGAGCCTCGGCAGGTGAAAAGACGGCAGATGACGGAAAGGATAGGGACATACAGCAATTGACCGGCAATTTAGGATAGAATTGAAGTGTAAATCACTTGTAAAGTGATTGGAGCAGCAGCGAAACCTTCGCGACCGTCAAAGACCAAAAGCCAGAAAAAGGACGGAGGGGATTTGCGGATGACGGTACATATACCGTCGCCTCGCCCGTGACTCATGTACTGATACTGTAATAGGGCCTATTTTACTTGCTAGCAGGATTGAAACCTGGTACTGTACGTAATTGCCAGCAGGAGCCGTCCCCCACGGAGGGGTGGAGGGGCCAAATCGCTGCCCCCGCCACTGCTGGGAACAGCATCCGGTTTCGGCGCTTGGGTAGGGCTTAGGGGTAGGGCTCGTCTAGGTTGTATACAGTAAAACCTCGCTATAAGACCAGACATGTTACAGGAAGGTCAAACTTCGGGCGAAGGAAAGTAAGCCTCGATTCCTTCATTCAAGGTAGATCTCAAGCCTGTATGATACCGCTGACCATCTAAAACCGATATAATAATACACCAAAAACAACCCTAGGTATAGCCTACCAGCGCCATTCCATGCAAATGTTTAAAGTAGAGAACTATAGTATCTTCCCTCCGCTCCTCACCCACTCCCTCATCTGCCCAAACTTCAGCATACAATCCAGATGCCTCTCCCTCGCAACCTCCCAATGCTTCATCACCTTCTCATCCTGCTTGAGTGCGTTCTTATACGACGTGAAGCCCCGCCGCGGTGCGGAACCAAGGATACCCGCACCTGCAAGATTACCGTCACTTTCATCGTCCGAGTTCTTTTCCATGTCTTCATCGCCGAGGCCGAGACGGATCGAGTCTCCAATTCCGCCGAGCCAATTGGGTGCCATCTCAGTTTGGTTGCTCTTGTGGCGGGAGAGGAAGTGGCCAACCATGCGGCCGTCAAAGGCGCCCCATTCGCGAACGTAGGTGTTCATCTCGGCAATGTATCGGTCCAATGCTGTGCGCGGGACCGCCAACTCTTTGGATCCAGCGCTCATCGGGATAGGCTCCGGGGGATCTGGACGCTTAGGCGGATTAGGGCAGACCAATTCTCGAGGGTGTATGTCGCCCTTTGATGTCTTTGGTGCCTTGGCCCGCGACTCGAATGGAAGTGTAGATGAAATATCTTTGAGATCATCGAGGCCGCCGCTATTTGTGGAGGTAAAGGGAAATACACCACCCAGGTTCTTCAAATTCAAGGAATTGAGATTCGAGCCGCTGGCGTCCTTGCCTGGTTTTGAAGAGGATTTCGACGCCGACGGTGGTATTTTCTCCTTGCCACTGTTTGGCTTCTGAGGCGCCGCTGCTGGTCCAGCTGTCTTGGCCGGCGACTCATCATCAAGATCCATCGCCTCTCCGTCAACATCAGGTGCCGGACCGCTAACATTGACAGTCGATTCAGCCTCCTCGGCCTCTGTTGCGACGCTGGGTTGCTGTGGAGGAGGCCGTGTCCTGGTCCCCTGCCTGGTTGGTTTTCGAGGACTCCGAGTCCGCTGAGAGTTTGGTTGCCTTTGAGTTGTATCAGCAGTCGGTAGGGCATCCGACATGTTCTTGAACTGGAACGCCGCTGCCCAGTCATTCGCCAAGAAGGTTTTCTCCGAGAATGGTTGTGGTTGCGGAGCGGGTTCGGGATTGGACGGTTCGCGCTTCGGAGTACTGCCTGCGGTGGCCCCCTGTGAGCTATCTCGTGTCGATGCTCGCCCTCGATTGTTTGCGCTCGGCGAGTTGCCGAACGGGGTTCTGCGACTAGACTTTCGTAAGTCATCGTGGCTGCTGCTCTTGAAAGTCCCACTCTGAGGGAAATCCTTTGCAAAGGAAAAATCAGCCTTTTTAGAGAATATCGGGGAGTCGGAATTGTTCCTCGCTGAGCTGGCAGAGTCTGAATCGTGCGCTAGGTCAACATTAGCATGACTGGAAGCATGAAATGGAAAAAGCTTACCAGCACCAGAGAACCATCCATTAGTTTTATGGAAGTTGGAAAACTTCTGCTGCTGCCGAAGCCTACTCTTTGGCACCGCCTTGGGCTTGAATGTATCCTCATCCTCGCTGCTGGGTTCACTAGAGCTCGTGGAGTCATAGTTCCGGGTTCCATCGGCCCTAAGACTTGGGCTGGCGCTTCGATGCCGCCCGCTCTGCTTGGGATCCGGACTCGGTGGATTCGTCCGAGGGCGTGAATTGGTGTTCTTTGGTGAGGTCCGGGCACTGTCCGAGCGCCCAAGCATAGAACTGGAGAAGAAAGTCTTCTCACCTCCGGTAGTAGCATACGCACTCCTCGTCCTCTCGAACTCGGGGGTGCTCACATTTTCTTGGACATCAGCAGTCGGTTTCCTTGCAGTTGGAGGCGTGGCGAAGCCGAAACGCTCGGCCCTGGAGGCGTTTCTATACGCCGCCGTGTTGGCGGCCATGGGTTCGTCACCGCCTGCGGCTCTAGGAGCAAATCCTTGCTTCTTCTTTGTAGACTGGGCATGAGACGTGAAGTCGGCGGCGGCGGGTTTAGCGCCGGTGTACACATGCTCATAGGCGGACTTTGGTCTCGCGGATGAGCCGTTCGTTGAGCCGGTCGGCCTGGGTACAGCACCGGGTTGGCTTGTGCGTCCACGAGGGTCGAACGATGACCATCCAGGCATAGCATTCCCCTTCATCTCTTGAAATCCACGATACGCATCCGCCCGAGTTTGCGTTTCATCGCGCATCTTCTCCCATGGCTGCTTCGGCGCAGCCCGTGCATAGCTAGCGTAACGCTGCGCACCTGTAGAAGGCCCATGGTGGAACGACTTGGGGCGTTCAGTGAAGGGCGCCTTTGTATTCGGTCTCGCGGCAGAGTAGCCCGCACTAGGGTCCTTTCGAGCAGGACTAGGCTTGGAAGGTCCATAGTAGCCGTTTCGCAATCGGTCCGTATCATATCTCAACCGCTGATGAGGATCGATCAGGATCTCGTGAGCAGCCTGGATCGCCTGGAATTTTGCATTCGATTCCACCTCCCTACCCGGGTTCCGGTCCGGGTGATATTTAAGAGCTAACCAACGTCAGACACGCTCGACTCTACCACTGTCCATCTTATTCTCCTCACCTAATTTCCTGAACTGCTTCTTGATGTCCTCGGCGTCTGCACTGGGCGTGAGGCCCAAGTCTGCGTAGTAGTCTCTCCGCACGTCTAGCTTGACCATTTTGAATTATTCTGCGTGGCCGGCCCGGGAGCGATCGGTGTCTCGGTGACTGTAAAAGAGCGGATGCCACTGTAGCCTGGTATGTGTCTACTCCTGCTGTACATGACCTGAGAGCCGATCAAAGTGGCGGCGGACGTGAGCGAAGGAGAGCGGGTAAGATACAACGCGACGGCTTCGAAGGGGCTCGGACAAGGTATCGTTCTACGCTTCCAACAACAAGTTAGCCATATATATTAACACTCAACGGGAATAGGTACAAAAGCAATGTCACAACAGCTATTGTCCCAGTCTGTCCCAGTTCCTGTACCGTGAAATATCCGTTTGATGCAAATTGTACCCTATTTCCTGTCTCGGAATGATAATCGGCCGGGCCAGGAACAGCGGTGGCACAGCGACGTAGGCAGAATCAGGAGACCGGGTCACGACGAAGAAGGAATGTATCGTAGACAAGCCGAGCCTAATCCAGCTGCGAAGAGCCGGGGCAGTGGGCCTGATCAGTTCGCGTGGACTTTTTTTTGCTTAGCGTGGAGAGAGGGGGGGTTGTCCCTCGTCGATCATGGGACGGGCTTACCGACGACGGTAAACGATGGATTGTTTGCCTCAGCGTCCGCTCGGTATAACGGTTCTTGATAAAACAACTTAGAGGAAGAGGAGAAGAGCGATTGGGAATCTGAGCGAGAGGACACTACCTAGATGAATGCGCTGTCCCGCGGACTTTAAATCAGCCACAGGGCAGGAAGAGCCTGAAAGACTGGACAGGCGATCCTTGTCAGAAGAATCTATGTTGGTCGATCTGCCGCCAACAAAACCGCCCGCAGCGCAGCTTCACCCTTGCTGCCCAATTTGCATCATCACTGGTCCGGATATCGTCGATTGGCTGCTTATCTAGGCTTGAGCTGCAACCTGGCAGAAATATATACTGCAACCAAAGATATCACATAATGTAGGTATATAACGATAACGACTTCATAAGATCGTTCACCCAGTCCTTTTAAAGCCCATCGATTCTTTGCCCGCGATCCTTAACAGCCAAGGACATGGAGTACATCAAAATGAACAAGAGAAGAGATCTATATACCTGAGCCATGTCCATGCCCCTGCCCTGGCGCCCCGCCACCACCAAAGAAGTACCCCTCGAGTAAATCATAATTAGCATTCTCACTCCAGTCATGCTGGAAATCAACCGCCATGCCAAAGCCCAAATCAATCCCGAAATTATGACCTGCCCCATGGCCCAGTGACTGCGCGCCGTTCTGGTATTTATAGTCCGAGTTCTCGTCAGACCCCATGGACATTTGGCGCTCGACCCCTGCTGGGTCATAATCCAAGTAATCGAGGCCCATGCCAGCGGGGTTTTCCTGCTCTGTAGGTGTTGCTTGATATGTCGAGAGACCGCTGGCTGCAACGACGCTGCCTGGTGATCCGCTTTGCTGGGGGGAGTTGTTGTAGTAGTATTGTGGTTGTGGTTGAGGCTGCTGTGGAGAGACGGGATTGTCGAAAGCGCCGTAGTATTCCATGGATGGATTACGCTGGGGGTTAGGTCGTGCGAAATTTGGATCCGAATTGTCGGCGATAGGGTGGTAGGCCATACCACCGCCGCCGCCTTGCCTCTCAGCGAGTGCACGGCTGTCGCCAAAGAGATCTTCAAGGTTCATGTCGAATCTCGGTACCGGACGAGCCTGTCTCATTTGCATCTGTCGCCGAGACGCACTCTGTCGTTGCCGCTGTCTGCTTGCTGTTGATCTGGAATGCGTCGTACTGGGTTGTCTTTGCGGATTGATCCGGCTCAGATCAACTTGTGGCCCGAACCCAGTAGTAGAGAGGCTCATTTCGACTGTCGCCTTACTCATTCGCTCAAATGCGTCACGGCAAGCTTCCGCGGGTGGGCACTTGTACATGAGGTCTCCAAGTACAGATGTCGCCGCAAGGACTGTGAAGTCCACTTCATCAAGTGTCTAAGAAAGTTAAAATTTGGAGGCGTACAAACTGAAGTAAACATACCAAACGGCTTCGTACGTATGGCGAGTGCCAGATTGCATAAAGGAACGAAATTCCTAAATCTTGTGAGTACTTGACCAGCCTACAGACGCCGGGCTCCTTACCTGCCATGAAGATGTGATGGGTAGCCAGATACGTATAGTTGACTAAGCGCACGCGATGCATCTGGCGATATATTCGTATAACCTTCTGCCCAGCCTCGGCCACCTTGTAGTAAATATCGTGCTCGTCCTCCTCCTCCGGAGGAAGAGGACTGGAAACATCCTCGGCAGGAGAGAGCTCATCAGCCAACTCGGCAGGGACAGTGAGACTTTGCTGATAAAGCATGATAACCGCCTGCCAATAGTTCAGCTCTAGGAACTCAAGTGGAAACCTCACACCGTTTTCCGAGGGCATCGGTGCACTGTTCTTCCACTCTAACAGCCGCCGGTCAACGTCCCTTCGCCACGAACGAAATGAGTCGAATCCTTGGAGAAATGGTGACACAACATCGAGGCGCATGAAGCTCCTGGCGCCATGTGGACCCCGTTGCCGGGCGAATCGGGCCTGCTGGTGCTGCAGGACGTCTTGAATTTCCGACTGTAGTACCCGCAGCTTAAAGTAGTGGAAGGCAGAGTGTTTATAACTGGGGGCGCCTTCGGGCGCTTTAATTATTCCTGATTTTGTGATATATTGGTCTTCCAGGATGGAGGGGAATTCGGTGCTTATGGCCTGGTCACTAATGCCGAACGGACGACCAACGCAGCAGCTGACTAGACGGTCAAAGCTGTAGCAACACCACCACAATCGCCGACGGAAGTCGCGCACCCATTCCCGACGGCCGCGCTCGGACAGCTTCCCTTTACTGTTTTTATTGTTGACATCAGGCGCATCGATACCTGCTCCATCTTCATAATGAAGGCCAAGGTCGACTGCAAGACGCATTGCAACACCGACGATATACCAAAGGCCAGGAGCCACGGGACGAAGTAGTGCAAAGCTGGCAAGGAGGAGAACCGCCTGGAGCTCCTCCAGGGCACCGAAGCCGTCGGTTGTTGAAGATGTCGATAAGAAGGATTCTAAGTGAACAATTGCAGAGGCATGGTATTCTTCTGGCTGATACTGATGGCTCGACAAGCGCTGTCTTTTGGTTGCCAATGGAGAATGGTCACCACCCTCTTTTTGTTCATCTGCTGGTTTGTCTTCGAATATGATCCCGGATCCGATGGCAAAGACGATGTTGAGAAAGTACAGACTGCGCGGTGAGCGATCTTTTTCGTCCATGGAATACGTACGGTCAAGTAGCTCCATAAAGTCCACGCGGTGAACGATGGGTATTTGCGGGTTCGCATGCTCGAAATAGAGATCCGCCAGTCGTTCTGCCAATTCTCTGTCGGGGAATGCCGCGCACTCCATCATCGGCCGTGTCTGTAAACCAAAGAACGAGTCTCGCGCGATGCTACCTTCAGTACCCGTGGCGCTATGGGGTAGACGCTCTTTGGGGCGAGTCCCCCGAGGGAGGTCGCCCGGGACTGAGCTTTTCACGGCGGCGAAAACAACCCGAGCGAACGAGATCCCAGAAGTCGAGCCCAGATAGCGCGGATCCGAGGTTCCTTGCACAGAGACCATCCCGATATTCGAAACGAGATTTTGTATTCGCCAGTTGTCTTCCTTATCTGCAGGATTGCCTTTGGAGTCGTCACTGGCGGCCAGGGGTTCCTTTTTTACTCGCACCATCTTGTCAATTCCGTCGAATCCGGAACCCTCGCCAGCGGCGGATGCATTTGGAGGAGCCGCATATGCTTCATAACCCGCTTCCATCTTGACAGCTTCCTCCTCATCAAAGGCCACGGCCTCATTGAAGCCAATCCCATTGTCCATCAGTACCTTTTCGAGGTACGCAACCCTTGACTCGAGGAAGTAGACATAGCTGCGGGGAATCTCGCGCTTCGTTATTGGGTCATAGCCAACGCAATGAACCCCCGCCTTCTCGCAGGCCTGACATCGTGGTAGTCGCTGATCGCATCTGTTTTTTCTCTGCCTACACCGATTGCACGCAGAGACGTTTCGAAAGGAGGAGGACGAATTCGCCGCGGAGGTAGAGGCAGCGGCTTCGCTAAGTGGGTGTTGCACTTGTTGTACCGGTACGTCTGGCGGGGGAACAGGGCCTGACTCGGCTATGGGGTGCGGGCGTTTTCTTCCACTTCCAGCGGCCGGGGCGGACGTACTGGGGTTCAACATAACGGAGGAAGGTGTGCTGGCCGGTGGCGCAAATGTTCCACCATGTCTCGGCAGGAAAGTCTGGAGTGATTTGTAGTAAGTGTTGTTGTAGTATATTGATCTTGGTCAGCACGCATGTAGGCGATTGATTAGGTACGTCGCTAGTCTAGCGCGTGCTTCACAGCCCTGTAGATAGTGGCAGAGAGAACTTATCGACAGATAGTCGCCGCGATATCGCGTAGTCTGCTTCTCATTCAATGTTTAAAATTCTCCGAGACCAGAGTCAGCGCGAGGGCGATTCTGGCGGCAATGCGAAGCGCAAATGTAGCGCATGACGGGAAGCCCGCAACCACCAGGACAAGGTTGAGCAGAAGAGAATGATATCAAAGTGCCGAGAAGCGGAGAGGAATAGAGATACGCAGGAGCGAAGAACGACAGCCCCGAGTCAGGCAGTTCGCGACAAATCCCTGGACACTGACAGGCCTGCTGCTGGTGGAGATTTCGATTTGAAAGATCTCTTTGCCTGGCTGTACCGTAATCTCCACTAAGATATGCGTGGGGGTAAACTACTCTAGGTACCTCGGTTGGTCTAGCTCAAGGCCCAACGGTTCGCCCAGGAGTTCGGATTTGCGCAATGAGAGTATATATATGATGACAGCAATCCGGCAGTGGTCTGGCACTGATAATAGCCCTCGAAATATGATTTGAGACAATCCCCGAAAGTGGAAAGAGACGAGCCTCTGCACGTGATCCCCAAAAAACAGAGCCACCATTGGCTACTGATAAGCAAATGCGGGACGCAATTCCAGTTCATTTGAAGATGCGATCGAGTCAGATATCGAAGATTCGAAACCCATATCTTGCCATATAAATCCTTTCGATCGGTGACGGTTTTTGATATCAGGATTCGAGTATTTTGGGATAAAAGTATGCTGCCTTAATACTGAGTGTTATCAGACCGACCCCGCACTGTCGATGAAGGCTACTCCAGAGAATGCTGAGCTGGCTGCGAGAGGCTGGTGGCAGATGTGCTAGTAGGGATGGGATACTTGAGCAAACAATTTGGTCAGGCAATAATAACACAATAGCAGCCTTCCCATCTATGAAATTGTGCTTGAATGGTAGTGCTAAGACAACAAGGCAAACTTCCTCCAGGATGCATAATGAAAATTGACAAAGACCCATCAACAAATGCCTCGATAGAACGATTCCGCCCAGACGAAAGAAGTGACACCGTCACTTATGCTTTTGATTCCCAGTACATGCATGCATTCAAATCCAGTCTATTAAGCGCCGCCCAGTCTTGAGTCATGATCTAAAACAAAAAGAGAGGAATGCGAACAATGAAAGAGGCGACGTGGTCGCCGGGTATAAGACGGAGATGTAAACGATAAATGATGTTCATAAAGGCAAACCAACTGCTGATGTGCAGACATGCAGGCGGATTACACACGTACAGGTCTTGAGTCGGCGGCTAAACTGGGGACTTCGAATTCGTCGACACTAGTTCGTGCTGAAGAGAGCAACCTTCGCACTTCCTCCGCGGTGCCATCTTCCTTGTCCGCAGTAAACGAGCCCCGCAGAGCATCCCTGGCGTGAGACGTGTCCGACTCAGGCTTCTCCTCATCAACCAACCGCTGGGGCTCGGACTCCTCCATCCAGAAGCTCTGAATGGCACCGATCAAGCAGACAATACCGCAGGCCCACCACGAGATGACGGAGTATCCGCTATCAAGGCCCTTTGAGTGAAGAAAGCCGGTTACACTCGGCCCAAAAGCGCGGCTGAGGCTGGCTGTAGAGGCGGCAGCGCCGTTGATAGACCCAAGCACCTTCGAAGAGGGCGCTGCGTTGGCAAGCAGGATCGCAGTGGAGGGGAAAGCAATGACATGGAAGGTGATCTTGCAGATCAGAGCGACGTATGCGGCGACCATTTGAAGCTTCTCAGGTAGGAGAATTAGATACGGGACGAGCAAATAAAGTGGCGGCCAAACGAGGAGAACGAAGCGAAAGGTGCGTAGGGTCCCAAAGTGGCGAACAACAAACGGGAACAACCAGAGCTGTGCGATCATGGAGTAAATGCCTTGCACTGCCAGCATCAGGCCGATCGTCTTTGTCGATAACCCTAAACCACCCGTGAACTTGAAGGGTAAGACGGCATCCTCGTTGGATTTGGGCGTGCTCAGGAAGACAGGCATCAGCTGGTCAAAAGACACACTATGACTATGGACATGTCAGCATGCAACTACTTTTGGGGCATAAACATACTATGCAAGGATTCCATATCCGATGATGTTGAAGATAACTTGCTTCGTAAATGCCTTCGGTTTCCCACTGGACTGTCCGGTCATCTGCTTTTCGATGTCGTCATCTTCGGACATATCCTCATCTTCCATGACTGGACCCAAGCGAGGGGAAGTTTCGGTGCTCCGGTAGGCTGGCGGGTTGTCAAAATAGCCTGCATCGGCTGAATCCGCTTTGACATCTTGCACGCGAGAACAGCAGCCAATCAACCAATTGCCCAACTCCAAGCCACGGTCACGACGATGCTTCTTCTCCGGATGGGTCTCCTCCAGGAACAGCAAGCCAACCACGACCCCCGTCACCAAGACGACGACGCAGACCAAGTTGGGCAGCAGAAACGGAAACGTTTTGAATACAGAATCGCCCGAAAATAACCGGGGATAGTTCAGGCACGGTTGTGACAGCGCACCGCCCATTGCAGGCCCAATAATGGACCCCAAACACCAGACGAACGGCATGATCGAGTAGGCGCGTGGTTGATGTTCCTTGACAGTCACGATTTCGGCAACCGTGGTCTGGAGAACTCCGATGTTCCCGTTTAACAGGCCGCCCAAAGCTCGCGCAATCATGGCAGTCGCTAGGTTGGGAGCGAACCCAAACACGATCATGCTAATGGCCGTTCCAATCAGACCCATGACAAGGACCGGCTTCCTACCAATCCTGTCGCTCATCCGACCCCAAAACATACCGGCTGAGAATTCCGCGAAAGTGAAGGACGAAGTGATCAAGCCGGCATATAGGGCAATCTTGCGATCGTTGTCTGTGACATGGAAGGACTCCACCATGTGATAAACGTACGGGAAAATTGACATGAAGGCAATTGGTTCGCATATGCGGCAAAGCGCTGTGTAACGGTCAGTTGCAGTCACTACCCGCACGACAAGTCGGCTTGAATTTTGTGACAGGTATACTCACCAAGCACAAAAAGTTGACGTATAGGGAACGCGGACCAATCATCACTGCGCCCCTCTCGTCGTCGGCCCTGCAGAAACGCTGGTCGTTTGAACATTGTGTCGGTATCAATGAGGTCGACGAATTGTCGCTAGATTTGAGAAATGTACTGCCTGAAAAAGCAGAGGGATGCGGTACGCGACGCGGTATGCGATGCGCAGGTATAGTGAATCGAACTTGACCAATTGTCAGGCGGCTTTCGGCATGTCGCCTCCTGTGGTATGCTGATCTTTATATATTGTGGGAGTTGCTTTTTGTGATCTAACTTCCCTTGATGCTGTTTGCGCGGGAACTGCTAGACTGTGTGACGACTGCAAGGGAATCCGACAACGCAAAACCTTGTTGACGACCGAAGAGAAACAACCCGAGGTGAAGCTGCAAGTGGACTGACCGACTCAATGTAGATAGGCAGGTGTAGTTGACGGTAAAGCGGCACAGTGTGAAGTAGGTGAAGGCGAAAGGTGTATTAAAGTATGAGGAAGAGAGGAAGAGCCAAAGTATTTGAGAATTGGAAGGGGAAAATCTGGGAAGGGAAGATCAAACAAGGGCGGGAAGGAGATTAAATGGATGAAGCCGTTGAGCTTCTCACCAGCGATGGAGCCCATTTTGGTAACAGCTGTACAAAGCACAGGAGGTTGCAGGAGCAAACAGGTTGAGAAATATCAAGGATCCACTGCTTCTCGCTGGCTGGTTTTGTGACTGGGCTTTTTTTTTTATCTTTTTGGGAAATGGCATTTTGATTCCTTGGGACCTTCAGGATAGAATGAGTGGAGGCAGAGAACGAGTGCTGGGATGAATCGCAGTAACCCGACTGGCTGTGGCTAGGAAACCCACCAAGCAAATAATGGGGTACGACAGACGGGGAGCAGGGAAAATCCAAAAAATCGAAAAATAAAATAAACCAAAAAGATTGAGCCTGAAAAGGGGTGGAGCCAATAGGGTTGAGCAATGAGCAGAGGGTAGAGAGCATCAAGTGACGAGTACCTCATTATTTCATCCCGAGTCGGGTTCGTAATTGTTGCCGTTGGGTATAGCATCTGTGCCCCGAGGTTCATTGGCTTAGCCGCTTAGGTATCTTCTGGTACCTCCGGATATCGGTTGACAGCCAAATGCGCCTACGGCTTACACAACAGGAGCAACAAAGAGTTCAAAGAGTGGACTACTCTGTACGTGTGGATGAGTATGGGTAAAAGGGGAAGTGAATGGAGCCGCGGCGGCGATTGACCCATCAAGCCCTGAGTGCCGGCTCCGGGGAACAGTCAAGGAGAGAGTTAGAAGCGCGCTAAAAGGCTGTAAGGACGATCGGCTTTCCAGAAGTCTGGTTTTAGTGTAGATGATAGATCTAACACACTAGCCTCTTAGCGCTCCGTTCCAAGGAAGCTCGAAATGGTCCTTTTGCTCTGTCTCCACGGCTTTGTTAACCAGATCTTAGGACACGTCTTTGAACGTTCAGTAAGTTATATTGGAGTGCGATAGCGGACCAAGATTTGAGGCCAAAGTGGCAGCAAACAGCCATCCCCTCCAAGCCCAAGTGCTTGTGACACCAAAAGGATATATTGAGTCCCTTAAGATTGATTTCCGTAGCAAACAAAGATGGTAAGAGTGTAAAGGCCTTGTTAGGAGAAAGGGGAAAGATGCGGTGAATGTCCGCAATCTCTCAAACAGGACCCAACCAGGAATTCGGTAGACTAAGCTAGAGCAGGTCAGGAGGAACAAAAGGTGACGATCAGAATTATTATTCAGAGACAGATTGAAAACGTGGGTCTGATATTACTCCGTACTGAAGTGAGCAGTCGAGATGCCAGTTTCACTTTGACCGTACACACGGTGAGGGCCTGGAAACGGGGATTTCGTCATTTGCCTGGAGTGGGCCCAACGGGCTGATCGGAGGAAAGATTGATTGACGTCTAGCGTGGGTGACCATGTCTAAAGGGGTAATCGAGACTAGACCAACCGATGCATCACATTCTATTGTTCTTAACTTTCACTCTCGATCAGATACGCCGGGAATCGGATGCCATTGGCTTCGCAATCCCTGGTTGTGCACAATAAGTAGATCGGTAATCCCATCCCGGACTGAGTAGCCTGCGAGCCTATATGGATCGACGCGAGGAGGCGGTGCGGTATTGCAGCATCTACAACTTTGCTGCAGGGATAATCAAGACAGCTTTACAGTATTCGCCTGTCGGCTGTGCTTTCAGCAGGCCATGCAACATGAGCTGTTGTCTATTCATCCGTGCACCTGATTGTCCGTTGCTTTGATATTGACTCTTCTGGGCCTGTATAAATCACCTATATTAGTAAGGATCTGGAATCCTTTTCCATTGGTATTTGACGTCATTCATAAGGCAATGCTCCGCAACTCAATAGGCCTATGGAGTAGTGCGCAGCTCAAATGCAGATCTCATAGTCAACGAATAGCGAGGATTGTGAGGATTGTCCATGGGGCGACGCTCCATGCGACTTGTTGCATGCCGCCCTGTAGACAGTTGGCGTTGTGCTCAGCGACCAATTCATATAGCTCACATGATCCAGAAACCCTGCAGTTGCTAGTAACAAGTCCATAGGTCTCGCACTGATAGCTGCGAATACACTATGGCTATGGGCAGGTTCCTGGGCTTAGCGCAACTCAATCCTGGAGCCACGCGAGCTCAACGAGGTTGAAGAAGAGGGGCAGAAAACAAAAGATCGAACGATGGGCTGCAACCCTGCAGGTGATCTGGCCAAGCGCTTATGGCGGACCTGTCCCGACGTAGAGTGCATGTACTGGTGTGATAGGCCCGCATTGCTATAAGACAGCCGCCCGACTTTGGCAGGGCGGAACATGCAAATGAAGAGTATGGCCTTGTGAGTGTATCCAGATCGATGAAATGGTAAGCGCAATGCTCATTGGGGCTCAGGGATCCTAATGCGAATCAATAGGGAAAGACACTCCAGTTGGAGGCTCGGCTATACCGCGAGACATGCGGCGTTCTTTCCGTAATTCGAGCGGGGTCAATGCAGATATCTCTGACTCCTGACAGAAGGCGCGAATGAGGCAGTACCAAGCCTCTAGAAATTGGACACGTTCGCCTTATCAGTTGCTGGGCCGAAGTTTTGCCCTGCTGACATGCTGTGAGATTGCATTGTATGCATTGCACGCATACAAGCTTGCTGCAATATTATTATACAACCGCAGAGAGTACGGTAGGTCCCTTGGGCCGCAAGACTTATGAAACAGCCCTCATTGCCTGGCGGTAACCGTTGACACATATGTTAGGCCTCCCACTCGAAATGCTGCGACAACAGCATCCATTCGGAGGTGCCGGAAGCGAAAGAAAGACGGCCGGTGCTGTTGAGATGCGCAGGTATGCATGGTTAGGTACCGGTCATGTGAGCGATGGCGAGGACTATGCGCGATTGCTGTTCCCAGTTGACGATTCGAGTGTTTCGGAATCGATGAGACGAACATGCAGTCTGCATGTCGAGAGTCATCGTTGATGTCGGTATCAGGCCACGATGAGGTGACTGGCTAAACTGACTGCTGCAGAGGGAAAGGGAGCACCAAACACGGTTGAGGAGGAAACCCGGCCCGACAGTAAGCGGTGAGAAGCAAACGCTTGTCCTTGACTTTCTGCTGCATCGTCGGCGCGTGTTTATTTCGCCTCCAACACTGCTCATAGGCCATGGCAGCAGCTGGTTTGGGCAGAAACAAAATCGGCGGGTGATTTGACGTTTGTGCGTGGCCTTGCATGCTACCCAGTAAACTATACTCCAAAATGGTCCTTGTCCTTGTCTGCCTTGCAGCAAACCAGAGTCGAAGATACGGTGAGGGCGGCGGCATGGCTGCCCCTCGCCGACTCCCGGAAGAACCGTTGTTCATCCTAACGGTTTATGCAAGGCAAATTACTCGCAAGCTGCCACATTTCATGACGTCCGTGCTGACTCTCTGTTACTAGGTAGTGGTAGAGGTAAGAGAAAACAAACACGGGCAATAATACTCCCCAGTAGCCCTCGGAGCGGAAACGCATACCAACGCCTCTTCCTCTTGTTGTTCTATCACATGGCCCCTTGACAATTCTCCGACTCGCAAATCGGCAGACAAGCGATGATTACCTGGCATGCGAGTCAGCAGTGACGAGCAATGTGTGACTTGACGCCGGACGGACATGCCACTGTAGATCTCGTTCGGCACGTTTCCAGAATCCTTCGTGTTTTCGGGCCCTTGAGACAGCACCCGTCATCACGGGATGTCTAGCCAATTACTTCTTGACTCCGCGCAAGAATGGTGGCAGTGCCGATGTTGTTTTCCTCGAAACACAAAGATGCCGTCAAGTACCTACTGCGACCGATGGAGCCATGTGACGACTGTTGCGGGCTGCTGAAGCAGTGAAGATAGCGCATTGAGTGGATCAAGGATCGCCTGGAATATGCAGCCCACAGTGCCGAACTGTCGGGTCGATGGATGTTCTCGATAAATGGAGCCGTTTTTAAGGTATCGACTTCAAGGCCTCGATATGGTGTATTGAGAGTCGAAGGTTATCCAACACTTCAACCAAGGCTTTGCTGGCCACCTTGGAGTAGGCCGCCGAAAAATCCAATCAATCGACACTTGGCCGCCATACACGCGCTTACTTGACGAGCTCTCCTCCGTAAGCAACGGAGAGCTCGTCAAATGGGAGGAAGCCTTGACGAGCACGACAGGCCGGATGTTCTGGAAACATTCGGTACATATGAGCGAACTCTGGGCTCTGAAAGGACCATGCAGGGTTCGCATCAGTGTCCGGCGTCCGCGCCCCTTGTTGATCTGTAAAAAGTCCACAGATTCATTTGTACGATCTACAAAGTACGGAGTACGAAGGTAACCTTTTTCTTTGGTCCACTTCACAGGAATTGCTCCCCGAGATCCCATTGAGGTATCGCGGTTATTCTTGCTGTCATAGTGGTTAGCAGACCCAACTGGCAACCGTTATCGGCCGACAGTCCGAGGCTCTGTCACACTCCAGAAACACGGAGCTCCCAGACTAGAATATCAGTTGGCCTATCTGGGGAGCACGCGTCCCCGTGCCTATCACTATAACCAACTGAGATAGAAGGCAGACTCAAGAGTCCGTATACATACCTACTGAGTACTGTACTTTAGACCAAAGGTACGTATCTACTCCGTACTCTGAGGTCTGTTCTTTGCGATCTGAAGTTGACTTTTACTGTCAATGTAATAAGTGGGCCCTGGTGGAGAAATAGATCTCTTCAAGAAGTTGAATTTGAACTTGACGGGGCCCCTTGCCCTTGCTTCGTTCTCCGCGCGACATCTTCGCTTCAACTCCCACGGATGAGGTTTTTTTTGGACTACTCAGTAGGCAACATCAACAGCGAAGCTCTCGCCTGGTAGTGGTCGCTGTGTAAGAACAGCGGCGCAGTTGTCCACCGTCCTCTGTGGATGCCAGAATTGGTGCCTCCTGTGGCAAGGCTGGGCGCACCTTGCGGATGGGCCATCGGAAACAGCCAACGTATGCCCCGGGCGGATCCCAGGTCTCAGTCAACCGTGGTTTCGGTGGCCGGATTCAACTTTCCGTCATGCTAGACTCCTCCAGTCTCAGCCAGCCCATCATAATGGGCTTTTGGCTTCATTGACCCCTTTGAGTCTAGACACTCATCCTTCGGAAGTCAAGCACGTTGACCGGCTACCGTCCGCCCCTTTTGATCATGTGAGCAACTAGCCTCCCCCACTTGAAGGATTCCCGTTGAAACGGAGCTGAATTTGGACGATCCTTGTAGACGTCACCGGCGCCTATCTCATCTCACTTTTAACAAGTTTGGAGTACTTCTGCCACAAGGATGGTACTTTTACCCGGAGATTTCCCGCAGTCCCGGTCCTACCGGTAAAGCCGTTCTTCTTTCTGGTAACCTGGTTAGGCCTAACGTTTGGTGTGAACTACTCCATATGTGTCCCTCATGAACGTGGGGCGCCTGTCAATTGATGGATCAAGCAAGGATCAGTTCAACCATTGATGATTGAAGCAGCGAAGCTACCCATGCGTACCGAAATTATACGCCGGGGAGATACAAGTCGCGAACGATCATTCGACATCATCTTCTTCGTGGAATGACAATGCTTGCCTTTCATTCGAGATGACGATATTCTCTAGAGCGCTTGCTGTTGCAAGCTCGTCGAGCCCCCTAATTTATTCCACCCTATCATGATGAAATCACGCGGAGTTTGTTTGCTCCTCGAAGGCCCTGTATATTCTCAGTTGCCCGTCAGAATTTAGACCAAGTGTCGGTCAGCCGGCATATGCAACCCTGCATGCAAGCATTGGACCGATAATCGAGGGCCCAACCGTCTTCTCGAGTGACGCGATGAAGATATGATTCATGATTTTGGTGTAAAGGCAGTCACCAGACCCGCAAATGTTCAATTGAGACCGTGCATTGCGCCAGCATCTGCGTATGCTGTACTCCGTACAAGGTTTGGATTCCTCCCGTCGGCATTAAAAGGTACTCCCAAAGTACCTGTACTTTGACGCTTTGACGAACCGATACACGCATTGATGGTCAGTCTGCGAATGGATAGATATACGGTGAGAGCAGTTTGTGGAACCACGAGTCATGAGATGCAAATTAAGTGAAGTCATGCTGACAAGACTGGCCGCTCGGCGCTGTATTAACCACTGCCACTGGATGGAGCGCGTCTCCATACTCAAAACATTCATGTTGAAATCACGATTGTTCCACTATTGATAAGTGTCCTCTGATTTCATGGACCAGCCTATCATGAAACACTTAGTGTTGGTGCCAGCACTTTGTTCAATGCATTCTATTGGAGAACCGGGCTTACTAGACGGGCACGTTTCATTTATCACCATGGCGCCTTGGACATCACCCGATCTGGGCAGCTGGAATTTGTTGCCCAATTCGAAACATGCCAGCCGTCTAGAAGACTCCAACCCAAACATCGGAAGGATCAGGCAGATTCGGCCGTACGCATGCGGTATCTGAGTACACAGAGCATTCACTACTCACTGTCATGTATATCCCGACATACGTCCGGTCTCGGCTCTTCATGCCACCTGGGCAGACGCGTAGTACAACTATTCCTGTTGTGCAACATCTCCTTTGACAGCACTTGGACCTACCATAGCGGATGATTACAATCGACGAACGCCGAAGGGCCAATGAGCAGTTTTTGAGTGTTAGATCCCTGAAAGAACAATTTGATCAAAGAAACCAGATCTGCTCAATCATCAGTTGCAGGCTTCACTCGTGCTGCGTCAAGCTCTAGGCAACCAATGTCGGGCTCTATGCGTCTAGGCAAGTTTCCATGATGCTTGAAGATGTCCGCGCTCTGCTTGTGGCGTTGGCTGGTCACAATCAACAGCAAAATCACGGCAGGTTTGAGCAAACCTGCACAAAACTTGCCACCGGAATGACGCGAGGCAAGAAACAACTAGAACTCGGGAGTTGATCGAGGATACTCAATCCAGCACCTCGTATCTAGCCATTTTCCAACTTGGAGGAACCTCGTTACTTCTTGTTGGAAGAGAGCCGAGCGGCCGTGGGACAAAAGTACCACCCAGTTCAGCCTCTTAACATACATTTTCCGCCCATTCATACTTCGTAAGACACTTCACCCACGTCCAATAACCAAGTCCCAGTATCTTCAGATCTCTTTTTATTTTAGTCCGGGCCACGTCCGCGGCTGGCGAAACTGGAACTTGAAGACGCCCCTGCGAGTGGCGTTTTTAGTCGACACTCTCGAACCTTGATGATGGATCCAGGAAGTACCTTACATAACGGGGATGCGGAAATCCGATGCGGCAGAAGTACCGTTACAAAGTACGTACCTAAACATGATTCTATAATCGGTGAGCATCGACGCGGAGTCACATCTGGAATGCCTCGCGGGTTTACTAGTTGAACGCTACTTCGCCGAAGGATTGAATGGCCTTCTTCCACCTGTCCAATGCGGCGGCTCTTTTCCTTCATCGAAATCCTGTCAACAGATATGTCGATTTAATCTACTGCGGACAAAGTTGATCTGCGTACGAAAGCGTCGAGGCCTAGACCGCACAATATGCTTTGTGAAAAGAATCGCCGCACCTGAGCTCTCCTTTATTGTTACGGCTTTTGAACCTTGAATAACGAGTCTAGACCTTTTCTCAAAGAGTATCGAAAATGGAGCCCACCTGCTCAGACTGTGTCAGACACAATGCACGGCACGGCGCCACGCCGCCTTACCGGTCTGCTGGCTCAGGAGGTCTTAAAATGAGTTCACTTTGCTCCAGCCTCGCTGGGCATGGAGATTATGAACAGTTGGGCTCTGAGAAGGCGCGGCACAATCCCGTTTTTTTACCGTCGGCTCTGTACAGAGCACATCCTTATGCGCGCAGCTACCCGCAGCAGGCATACCCACCAGGTATGGCTGGTTGGTATAGGCTGGATACACATATGTCTCTGGCCAAGTAGTCCATCAAAGCTGAACGTATCAAGCGATGCGTCGTGGAAAGACGCCTTGCCATGAAGAGTCAGCCCAAATCAAGTGCCTCGGTGGGCGATGCACCTGTTGGTCTATCGTGTCAGACTCAAGTTATCTTGCCGACCCTTCCAAGCCGCGTGGGGGAATCGAGGAGCCACGAATGTTAGAGTCAGAATGCGTCATCTATGTGGATAGATAAGCTGAGGCGAAAGTTGAGGCAAAACTCACTCTGAAACGAGACATCATCAGCGCTAGGTGTCACGATCCCGACTCGTACTGGCACTGGCTTCATCGATGAGCTGGGTAGGATGATTGTCGCGTTGTTCATTTAGACAGCGCCAACTAGAGGTGTAGCCATCTTCTCATTTAGTAAGATTCAGCAGGTCATTGGCAGGCAGCTATGCCATGGGAGTTGGGAGGACGAGAAGATAAGATCTTATCATCACGTGTACGGTAGATAAGCAAATCACATGACATAAAAAAGCCTGGCGGAGCTGGATGGATAGAGCGTCATGGGCGCGACATAACTGTAGAGAACATGAGAATCTTGATTCTCAGCTTGCCCAATTGTTTCACTTGACTGCAGCGCGATTTGGTCATCGTTGCAGGATGAGCGACACCTAGTATTACATACAATGGCGACTCCACGAACGAGCCTCCGAACCTTGACCAACTTGCTCTCCAAACGAGGCGTTTGTCGCTGTCCTTTTTCAAAACGGCCCGGCGCACTCTACATTGCCCGTCGCGCATACACTAAGGATTCCAGCTCAAATGAATCGTTAGAGGAGACCGCCGCCAGCGATCCTCCTTCGCACCTCAACCCGTCTCCCGAAGACTACTCCCGGTTTATCTTCCAGGACAGATGCCGCTCAACAATTCATGCCGGCAGTGGTGGCCACGGCTGTGTCTCGTTTCAGCGAGAAAAGTACATCCCCGAGGGACCTCCGAATGGTGGTGATGGCGGCACCGGCGGAAGCGTCTACATCCAGGCCATTGAAGGCCTCACTAGCCTGCACAAACTTGCTCGGAGTGGAGTGATCAGAGCTACCCGAGGCAAGAACGGTCAGGGTAAGAGCAAGGGAGGTAAACGTGGCGATGACGTCCTGATACAGGTCCCTGTGGGCACGGTAGTGCGCGAATTTGACCGATACGACCCTGTCGCTGAGGAACAGCGACGGCGTGCGCTGGAGAGGAAGATGAAGAAACAAAAGGAGAAGGAGAAGAAAGAGTCGGGCTTGGACATAGAAGAATCGGATGATGTCGACTTCCAACCTATCCGTCACGATCGCTGGGTTCTTTACCCCGGGGCGAATCCGTCGGATTTCCTGACGACCGTGTTTCCGAGCAATCCGCCACGAAGACAGAACATTGCCGCCCTCGAGCCGCGCGCACCTATATACCTGGATCTCTCGCAACATATGGACAAGCCAGTTCTGCTGGCCGCAGGGGGCGTTGGGGGCTTGGGGAACCCGCACTGGGTCTCTCGTGAACACCCTCGGCCTAGGTTCGCATCGCGTGGAGAGGGTGGCAAGCGCTTGGAGCTGGAGTTTGAGCTCAAAATTCTTGCGGATGTCGGATTGGTCGGCAAGCCGAATGCTGGAAAAAGTACGTTGCTTCGGTCACTGACGAATAGCCGGACTCGTATTGGGAACTGGGCATTTACTACGCTTGAGCCCAACATTGGGACAGTGGTCATTGACAACGACAAAGGACGGCCCTTGGTTGAGGTGAAGAACAAGCCCCCGCGGAAACGGTTCACCATCGCGGATATCCCGGGATTGATTAAGGGTGCGCATTTGGACCGTGGCTTGGGCTTAGGGTTCTTGAAACATATTGAGCGAGCAGGTATCCTAGCTTTTGTGGTCGATCTTAGTGCCGGAGATCCAGTCGAGGAGCTGCAAGAACTATGGAATGAGCTCGGAAAATACGAAGAGCTGCGCGATATGGACCCTAGCCCTAATGAGAGCGACGATGACCTGACTTGGAACCCACCGATGCGCGGTTTACCAGAGCTACAAGCAGACCATGAGCCTGGTCTGTCTCAGTCGAAAGACAGGCTTCCCGAGCTTGCCCTTCCGGCTAACCATACAAAACCTTGGTTCGTTGTGGCTACGAAGTGTGATCTTCCCGAGACACAAGAGCGATTCAAAGCGCTACAGGAGTACCTCCGTGGAGTCGAGGAGGGCAAGTATGGGCACCCGTCGGGGTACACCGAAGCTTGGAAAGAAGGGATATCTGCGGTCCCAGTGAGTGCTATGCACGCTCAGAACGTCCAGCAGATCCCAAGACTAGTGATGCAGCTTTTGTAGAGGCTTTCGACAGCATCCTTATGTACATAAAGTGTAACATAGACGTTTCTCGAAACAAATGATTCCCCTTTGTATCCCTGAACAGTAGTGCTATCTACAATATGTTGACCTTCTTGTTGTGTACTAGAAGCAGCTAGTAGTACAGGCCTCGGCGTGCCATTTATTCTTTGACAAAAACTTTACCAACAGACTACCTAACTAATTCACTAGGCAGGAAAAATGGCAGAACACATCATGATAACCTTCTCTCCTCCTTGAGCTCTACTCTCAACCTATTCCTTGATCTTTCTTCCCTAGACCCCATCTATCTCCACTCCACCCACCACGGAAGATGGCCCTTCAGAACGTCCTCGCCGCTACGCTCATCGCCATAACAAATCCCGCCTCTGACGACCCGATTCTTCAGTGCTTCAACAATGACCTTGAAGTTCTTCGCGATAATCTATTGAACAACACCAATGAGGGTCTTCGGCTTGCTGACGCGAACCTACGCGTTTTTCCCTTCAAGGATGTCGGAACTTGCTGGCGGAGACTCTATACAGACGCGAGCATCCTCAAAGCCTGCCTGATCATCTGCGATAACCTCGGACTCGCTGACAGACGTGCGGATAACCATGCTTATGAAGACACAGCTGTTTCTCGATTGATAAAGACACTTGCCAGCTACACTAACGATGGCCTCCGAGTCGACCCCACGGCCCCCTGGCTCTCGTCAGCAATCCACACCCTCGATAAAGCACTGATCATGACCGGCGCGCCGCTCCGTGAGGACGTCATCGAGTCTCTGCTCTCGGCTTTACAAGCCGCTACACGACCCCATAATCTCAATACCGGCGACGACTTGAACAGAACAGACTTGGGTGACAGCCCATCCCGCGCCTCCAAACGACGGAAGCTCTCCCCTCCGCTGTTCCCTCCCGATGCCGTCCCGGCTCCGAGCCTCAAGTATCCGATTCCTCGCGTCTCAGAGCCGAGCTTTGATTACATGGAGGAGCATATACAGAATGTCAAGACGCCGCTGGTTATTACGAACGCGGTGGAGCACTGGCCGGCCATGTCGAGCAGGTCATGGGCGTCGCGCGATTACTGGCTCGATAGGACCTTTGGTGGACGCAGGCTGGTTCCTGTGGAAATCGGAAGGTCGTATACGGATGAGGGATGGGGACAGCGGATCATAGAGTTCAGCGAGTTCGTTGAGAGGTTTATTTGGCGCGATCCGTCGACGTCGAGGACCGCGATGCACTCTCCGGTCGAAAACAAGAATGAGGAATACCAAGATGCCAATCAAACCGGATATCTGGCTCAGCATGATCTTCTCGGTCAGATACCCGCTCTGCGCAAGGACATCTCCGTCCCGGACTTTTGCTACATTGACCCGCCGGCGCCAGATCCGGACACGCCAGTGTATGCGAAGAAGCTTCAAGAACGAGAAGAGGAGCAGAAGAAGAAGGCGGCGAGTAACGGTTCCATCAATGGAGGACTGGACAGATGTACTGAAGACGACGTTGACGACGACCTTCTTAGTCCACCGAGTGACCCAATCATAAACACTTGGATTGGACCTTCCTGGACAATATCCCCTCTCCACCACGACCCCTACCACAACATTCTCGTCCAAGTCACAGGCGCCAAATACATCCGCCTCTATTCTCCACATACTCCGGCTTCGCAGATCCACCCTAGAGGCATGGAAGCCGTCACCTCCACTAAAGAGAGACGGAATAGCAATTCTTCTGCAAGTTCAGGCGTTATTCTGGCTGGCGCAGATGGCGATGACGCCTCAACGGCACGTATGATTGACATGTCGAATACATCAAAGGTTGATGTCGCTGCCATTGAACTCTCCCCAGCTGAGTCGGAGCAGTGGGAGGCTATGTGGCCGGGATTCCAGCAGGCAGAGTACGTGGAGACGGTCCTGAAAGAGGGAGAGTCTCTTTACATACCTGTAGGATGGTGGCATTATGTGAGGGGATTGAAGGCAGGCATTAGCGTTAGCTTCTGGTGGTGATGACTTTGCCATCTTGCATTACGGACTCTTGATAAATGCTTATTAGCACGTGGGTTGATGTACACTAAACTCTCTAGCTTAATAGCTAACGATAATGATACACTGCAAGGTCCATGATGACTTGCGTTACAGTTTAACCCTCGGCCCTCCTAACAAGCATCAAAGGCTTTCCCGCCTCGATAGAATCACCTTGCTGAACCAGGATTTTTTCAACAACAGAGCTAACAGCAATAGACTCCGTGCGCACTGCGATCTCGAGCTTCATTGCTTCGAGGATCACGACAATCTGGTCCTTGTCCAACTTGTCACCTTCTTTCACCTCAACCTTCCATACATTTGCATTGAGCGGAGCCTCGATCGTGGTGACACCAGGGTCTGCCCTTATGTTAGCATCTTGACACCCCCGAGACCGCACAAAAGCAGTAGAACAAACCTTTCAGCATCTCCTCGACCGTATCCAGCGGAACCCCGCGCTCAGCCTTCTCCCTGGACCACCGCTCAAGCAGCTCCTTCTCCAGCAAATCCATCTCAGCCTGCGCCTTCCGCTGCCTCGCCCGGATACTCTGAACTTCCTCCTTAGTCTCCGCAAGCAACCGATTATGCTCCGCCATATCAAACTCGACCTCCTCCCACTCATACTCGTACCTTCCGCTCTGGAACAGCGCAAGCTGCCGCTCATACTCCTCCTCGCTGACCTTGTAGAACGTGATCTGGTCAAAGTCCTCAAACAGCCACGGCTTCTGCGGCGTGTACCCGCGTTTCGAGCCGAGAATGTCCACGCCGGGGATCGTCATCCCGTTCATCTGGTACCCGCCCGGTGAGTCCACTGTATAAATTGCCAGGCAGCTGCCGCCCCACGAGACTTGGCCTGCTGGTGTAAACACGCGCGAGGGGTTCATCTTTGGGCAGTTCATGCGCTGCCGCGGGTCGACGGGGAGGGCGAGCGGCAGGGCCGTGAAGAAGCCGACAGATATGACCATGAAGCTGGCGGTGAGGTAGATGTTTTCGAACTCGGCGCGGGTGAAGGCGTTGTTGCGCGCGACGAAGTCGATGTTGTCCGGGAGGTAGGAGGCGTAGGGGCGCTGCGTCTCCATGTAGCGTTTGATCGCGTCATCCTGGCGCTTGCTCTGGAAGGTTAGGGGGAGTCTGAAGCGGCGGCTGGGCATCTTTGCGCGGCTGAGGTCGCCGAGTTGAGTTTCGATTTCGCAGAGGTAATTGATTAGGTTTTGCTGGGGGATTTTGGTGCCGTTGTAGTAAAGCATTAGGGCTGTAAAAGCGGTTCTGGTTAGTAGGCAACTAGGGCTGTGCGATTAAGACTTACAGTTCCCGCAGCCGACCATGTTTGTTAGACCGGTTGAGAAAGAGATCTCGCCTGTTGCTTCGCCAAGCACCTTTTTGAGTGCGGTGACTCTGTAACGGTGGTTTAGATCAAAGGCGCCGATGCCATAGTCAATCAACAGGTAGTCATCTCCGGCCTGTGGGGTTTAGTAAAGAGAATGCTTTTGATGATACTATGATATCCTCACCTGGCGATAAGAAACAAGCGGCTGGTTGCCTTTCTGTTGAATCTGATGTACAACGCCGGATCCCCGTGTTGAAGCTGTCAATGCTGGCGGCAAAGAGGAGCTCAGAGGGGTTATGGCACCAAACCCTTTCTTTTTCTGACAGCACTGCACAATATCAGCGATGAATCTCTCCAGCTCATTGCGCGCCGAGAGTGCGTCTTCCAGAGAGGTAGCCCTGAAGTTGAGACTGTCTCCAGCCTTGACCTGCCCCAGTTTCCACAAGTCTCCCTTGACGATAGTATGGCTGCTCACAAATCCACCAAGATCTGGCGCATCTTGGGGGAAGATCACTGGGTCATCGCCTGTCCAGTTGATGGATCCGATGGAGTATCCGCACTCAATAAGATTGGAAGGATGGGCGCCGCCCTCTCCTCCATCCGGACGGGCCCATTCCGGCCTAGGGCCAAGAAGACGGATCCCACCTCTCGCAGCGTTATGTGAAACAGTCCATTCTGCGTTGTAGAGCATGTCAATGCTCTCGGGGGTAAGATACCCTTCATCGTACGGTCCTGGCATCGACATAAGCTCCCAGCTGTCAGGGTACTGAGGGATGAGGTGCCCAGGCAGACTTAGCTCGCTATCCAACTCAGGGAGCTGGCCTGAAATAGCAAGATAATCTCCTGATGTAAGCTGTCTACCCTGGTAGCCACCAACACCAACCATAGGCGCAGTAGCTTTTGAGCCGAACCATTCGGCGACGTTGAGAAATCCGCCAAATACGGCTAGATAAGCTCTGCAACCGTTGCCCGTGGTCTTTCCAATCTTCAAGCGCTGACCTGCTGTTACCTTTATCCTTGACCACATGGGTATGGGGGCGTGGTCCAGTTTGGCGTCAATCGGTGCACCGCAGAGTGAGATGACTGCTGGGCCGAGGAAGCGTAGTTCTGGTCCGCTCAACGTAATCTCCAAGCCCTCAAGACCGACAGGATTGCCCACCAGGGCATTTGCAATGCGGAATGCAACAGAATCCATTGGACCAGAATGACAGAAGCCCTTTCCTACTGTTGGACGGCCGGGCCAGTCTTGGATAAGCGTGTAAGCGCCACCAGACACGACATCAATGGCGGACAGACTGTATTCGAAGTTGTTCAAAAACTTGGTCAAGGTGTTTCCGGCGTTGAAGTCTTTGCTTGCGAGAATTTCAGCCAGGAACCCGAGGTTAGTGGGAGGGCCGCAAATCCGTGACCCAGTCAATATGTCCTTCAGTCCTTCAATGGTCTGCTGTCTGCTCGGCGCATGATACATGACCTTTGCAATAAGAGGATCTATCTATTGTTAGGTCCTTCAGCATGTACTTCACTAATATAAGAGCTTACCATAATTCGCGGACACTTTGATTCCCCTGTATACCCACGTATCGATCCTAGATCCCTCGATTTCCTTCCATTCTACATCCTGCAAGGTTCCAGGACAAGGAGCAAAGTCCTTGACTGGGTTCTCCGCATACACTCGAGCCTCAATGGCGGAGCCATTCGGAGCGCCTATTGAAATGCTTGAGAGGAACTCTGCTTCAAGACCCTTTTTGCCTGACAACTGAGCATTCGCTTGCTGAAGCATAAGCTCCACCAAGTCAACCCCGTAGCAAAGCTCTGTGATTCCATGCTCAACTTGAAGACGGGTATTCATCTCCAAGAAGAAAAAGCCACCCGACTCGTCATCCACGAGATATTCAATTGTTCCCGCAGACCCATAGCCAATTGACTCAGCGAGGCGAACCGCGGCGTCGCACAGGCCTTTCCTGAGATCTGGATTCCTAACAACAAAGGGACTTGGACATTCTTCAATCACTTTTTGGTGTCTCCTCTGAATGGAGCACTCTCTCTCGCCGATGGCGATAGCTTTACCCTGTCCATTTCCAAAGACCTGGACCTCAATGTGATGGCTAGACGGATAGTAACGCTCGATGAAGAGCCCAGCGTTTTTAAATAGAGCTTCACCTCTGGATTGTACGGTCTGGAACGATTCTCGGACTTCCTTCTCTGTGTTGCATGTGAGCAAGCCCATTCCGCCACCGCCAGCGGTGGCTTTAAGCATAACCTGCTGAGTGTCAGTAGCGTCCAATGTGAGGCAGGAGATGGGAATGTACGGGAAACCCAAGACTCTGCGCAACAGTGACAGCTTCATCTTCGCTTGTAACCAACCCCTGCGACCCAGGAACTATGGGTACACCGGCTTTCGTTGCAAGTTCTCGCGCTGTGTGTTTAAGCCCAAATGCTTCGATGCTCTCTGGTGATGGTCCAACGAAGGCTAGACCGGCGCTGGCGACGTCCCTCGCAAAAGACGAGTTTTCCGAGAGGAACCCATAACCTGGAATGATTGCGTCTACATTCTTCCGCTTCGCAATTTCAATAATTTGGTGACTCGATCACGGTCAGCAAATTGCTTGAGCAGAGGATACCCAACTAACCCATCAATATATGCCTTGGACGGCGCCCCAGAAAGAAGAACCGCTTCGTCTGCTAAATGAACATGCGTCGATGCAGCATCTGGCTCGGTATAGACTGCGATAGTTCGAATGTTAAGCTTCCTTGGACAAGATCAGCCGCGTGTTCTCGTGGCAAGGCTTCGGTCCGTACTTTGCAGTCTTCAGGATCCGCACAGCAATCTCTCCCCGATTGGCAATTAGAAGTGTTTTTAATGACTCCATGATTAGTCTCTAGTGGGTGGTCGTATCTGGCGAGAGCCGGCACTCGTGCTGGTTATAAGTGGCCACTCCCTCTTTATCTTGGTAGCCCCTCACTCTCACGCTCTCTGCGGGGAAGGCCCCAATTCCACAGGGATGACCCCAATTCCATGATACTGGAAATTGGCTATCGATAGCAGTTCCGGACACTTCGGAATTGCTGTGATTGCACAATGACGCCGAAGACTTTGGGCATTCGGCTCGACGGAGAGGATCGGCACTTAACTGATAGGGACAACCTCCCCGAGTCCCCCACCCCGCCACAACTTCTGAGGAGTCCCCCATATTTCGCGCCCCGGTTCGGAACGAGTTTGAGCTCTGCGTATAAGTACCGGGCCGGACCTCTCGGGATACGAGTCCAAGTTAAACGTGGTCCGCGGAAGCTTCAACAATCGTCATGGCTCCAATCAAGAAAAAGGCTCTTATCAACTGTGACATGGGAGAAGCGGTACGTCTTCACCTCATCTCATGGCCGTCTTTCACATATTATAGCTCCCCGTAACCATCAATGCTAATGCGATCGGTCAACCAGTACGGGAATTGGGCTTGTGGCCCGGATCTTGAGCTCCTTCCATTGATCGACATCGCCAATATCGCATGTGGCTTCCACGCTGGCGATCCTCTGATCATGCAGGAAACAGTACGGAATTGCAAAGCTCACAATATTCTGGTGGGAGCCCATCCCGGTTTACCAGACATCCAAGGGTTCGGACGGCGCGAGATGAAGCTATCCCCGGAAGAACTCACAGCAATCACTATCTACCAAGTGGGTGCCCTTCAAGGGTTCTTGGACCGCGAGGGGGTGCGCTTGAACCACGTCAAGCCTCATGGCGTGCTTTATGGAATGATGTGCAGGGATTATGAAGTGGCAAAGGCCGTCATGTTGGGGATCCCCAAGGGAGTCCCAGTGTTCGGATTACCTGGGACGAACATGGAGAAGGCTGCCAACGACTTGGGAATCGAGTTCCGTGCTGAGTTTTATGGTGATGTCAAATATGATTCTAAAGGGATGCTTGTGATTGACCGGAAGAAGAAGCCATGGGACCCTGCCGATGTTGCAAAACATGTTCGGCAACAGCTTGAGGACCAGTCCGTGACGAGCATTGACGGGGTTGTCGTGCCGCTGCCAATAAAGGATTATGAGGTCTCTGTCTGTTGTCATTCTGATTCCCCTGGCTGTGTTGAGATCATCAAGACAACGAAGAAAGTGGCAGATGAATTCAATAAGAAATATGGTTATTAGTTGGGTTTCTAATATCAAGACAAAGCCTGGGTGTTAGAATAAGGCTTTTGAAGACATGCGCCACTTCCCATTGCTGTCTGTCTGTCTGTCTGTTTAGTAGGCAGCATCTGTAGAACATGCAACGTTCATTCTTCAGGCGAGTTCTGCAAAGGGTTCGAGGAAGTAAGAGCACAATTCTTTCCTCATTTTCTTGCAATAGATCCAGTTAGATCGGCAGCTGTTGATAGGCTTGTATTTTAGTGGTGTCTGCATTCCGAAGTGTACATGAGATTTTTTCGAAGGTGTTGTTACCATTGGATTGAAGAATGTATGCGGGGGATAAGCGAACAGTCCGGCAACCTATCTCGCATTGAGTTGTCACTAGCTCCGACCGGGCTCGCATAGCAAGGTCTAATATGGGCATGATAGTATTTGAACCGAATGTAGAAATGTTTATGTTGATAGCTGACCTGCGTAATTAGGTCTGCTGTGTTTATCGTATTCAACAAAGTTAAAAGCGTCCAGAGACCATTGCATCGACGTCAGACGCATCAGCCAGTCCATCATGAAGAGGAACCATGACGAGTATTAATAGAGTAATTGCGATTATAGCTCGTGTTTGAAACCAGACAGGTGGCTTGATAACGAGGGCCAGGCCGGGGAAGGAGGAGAAAGACTCCGATACCGTTTGCGATGAATCATCGGGCTGAGGGCCTAGCCGGATCAGGAATAGCGCTGTCAACGGAAGGGCGCGCAGGTCTTTTAGTTTCCCCTCCACCTCCACCAACGAGCCTCTATCGCGTCTATCCATGGATCTAGTTCGTGCAGGGGATCTGCTTCTTTCCATCCTGATGGGCTGAGCGCTCGAGTCTTGCACCAAGCGAGCCAAAGCTGAAAGCCACCTGTCGGTCAAGGCCGCAGGAAGCCGCGTGAGCGATGCCGCCGCTATGCACTGGGGGTCGTGCGACCGAATGATCAGAGAGAGGAATACTCTGATTTCTGCCTTGAATCTAGAAGAAGTTGGTAGAAGACGACGCTAGCAGGGTCCGGCATGCTTTTCATACCCCAGACGAAAAACATGGGCCTCTTGACTCTCTGATATCCACCTGGCACCCCCTCCCTCAGCCCATCATCCTTCATCCTCCATTTGTCGGTCTACATTTCCCATTCTCATTCTTCTCGCGCTATTGCTATCTCTCTCCATTCATTGAATTCTTCGTCTAAACCACGTCTGTCGTTGCGACTCTCGTGGAGATATCGAAGCTCTGATTCAATACCTTGAGAACATTGAAAATGGAGTTCTTCGACTTCAATGAGGCTGCTTCGGGCTCTTTCGTACCGGACGACGATGTCGCTTCGGATCACCTCGAAATAGACGAGAACGATGCCGCCGCAAATTATCATTCTCTTCTCCAAGACCAGGCGGAGTTTCCAGATTCTTTACCCGGCCAAAGCGCTTCTGAGGGGTTCATGGCTGACACTCCGGATCCCGAGGGCGTCCACCCCATGGGTCGTGCCAAAGAACCATGCGACTTTTGCAAAAACATGGGGCTGGACTGCTTCATCGCCAAGCGAGGAGTGATGCAAAAAAGTGGTTGCACTTGCTGTATTTCGCTGTACCGCGAATGCAGTTTCACTCAAACCATGCCTCAGGGCAGATTCGCGGGCGTGGACACGTTACATCCCATCTCCGAGAACATATATATCCCCACAGGAGGCTTAACCGGCAAAAAGGCGCTCAAGTCTTTCTCCGGCATTGCAGAAGACGTCGACGCCCGTGCGAGGAAAAGCAGCTCCCGTCTCTCTCGAGAGGCCGTTCGGATCCTCAAGGCTTGGCTCAATGATCATAGCGACCATCCATATCCGACCGAAGAAGAGAAAGAGGAATTGAAGCTACGTACAGGATTGAAGCGGACTCAAATTACAAATTGGCTTGCCAATGCTAGACGGCGCGGGAAAATCCGACCTACACCTCGGAGCAGTTCACCTGTGCCGGGCGCAATTGAGATTCCCAGACAACCGGAGATCGATCACACACTCATGACGCCCTTGGAACGTTGGAAGTACTCTCCTCCCGAAAACGAACCCGCTGCCCTCTCCAACATTTTGCGGGCTTTAGAAGACACATCCTTTGACGTACGTCAGGGGTCCCATTGCGGTCACGTGCGCTCCCATTCTCGGAGGACTGGGTCTAGCAATGACTCAAGTCATACTAACTCAAATGTTTTCGACGCATCCTCCCTTGTTAGCAGCCATGAAGCCAGTCATTCTGCCAGCCATAGCTCCCTATCTGACCTCTCTTTTGCCTCTGCCTTTTCCCATCGCTCCTCCCTAGGGTCATTCGGCTCAATGGAGCGCAAAGAACGACGTCGCCGGCGCAAGGCCTCAACACCTGCAAACACCTTTGCTCAGCAAAAAGTCAAAAGCGCACGTATATATCAATGTACTTTCTGTGCCGACTCCTTCCAGACCAAGTATGACTGGCAGCGACATGAGAAGTCCCTGCACTTGGCCCTCGAGAAATGGACATGCGCACCACACGGAGGTGTAGCCTTCATCAATGGTGCCAATCGCTGTGTGTTCTGCATGGCTGTTGATCCAGATAATGATCATCTTGAGGCACACAACTACAGCACCTGTGCGGAGAAAAGCGCTGCAGAACGAACATTCTATCGAAAAGACCATCTCAACCAACATCTTCGCTTGATGCACAACGTGCGGTTTGATCCGTCTATGGATCAATGGCGAAGTCATACCACGGAGATTATTTCTCGATGTGGTTTCTGCGGAATCACCTTGACAACATGGAAAGGTCGAGCGGATCATCTTGCTACCCACTTCAAGAACGGTGCCGACATGGTCCAGTGGCAGGGTGACTGGGGTTTCGAACCCGTCGTGCAAAACCTTGTCGAGAATGCCATGCCTCCGTATCTTATTGGCCACGAACGCAACACTCTTGATCCATACACTTCCTCGGGACAAAAGGCTGCCCCTGGTCTCGCTGTACCTAAGGATGCCAATTGCTTTGACCGCCTCAAAACGGAACTCACTGCGTATATCCAAGAGAGTGTGCCGAATGGCATCGTGCCGACCGACCAGATGCTTCAAGATCGTGGCCGACAAATAGTATACGGATCTGATGACCCATGGAACCAGACCTGTGCCGATAATCCTCTCTGGTTGAGTATCCTCAAACGCGATGCTGGTCTTGAGCCCGCGCCAGGCTCAGAACATATACAATTCTCCAACCTCGGCATGCAGCGACCATTTGCATCGCAAGAAGGACTCCGACAACCGCCAGTATGCGTCCGTCAGTCATACGGCACGGGTTATCCCAACTCCGGGTTTCAGAGCCCTGCTATCCCTGGAACAGGCCGATCCTCGGCTGCGCCAAGTGTACCCGGTAGTTCATCCGGTAGCTTTTCGGGCAGTGCTGGCATGTTTGCAGCACCTCGACCGTCTGGGCTGTCGGTCGACTGGGGCAGTACCGCGTCAGCCGGGGTTTCGTCTTTCTCGACACCGCTCAGCACGTCTGCCGATCCGTTCGTACAGATGGGCTTCGATCCGGAGTTCCTTCAACACCTGAACAATCGTTATGAAGAGGAGGTCCCGCTGGACAGCTTGCAGGGCCTGGGCTTTGGAGTTGATGATGGCAGCGGCTTTGATGCCATTGACCCTATGGATATGGCGGCTGTAACGAGTGGCGCAACTGCTCCGATACCCATCCCGGCCACGAAGCAACCGGACATGATGATGTCTGATACGGTCCCTCCAGATCTTCACTTCGAGGCTGCGGGTAGAACCGGAATGTGAGCATATCTCGTGCGCTGTGGTGGTGTGCTGGTCACGAGTAAAAGTTTCGACCTGTAGATAGATAATGACATTTCGGGTATATTCGACATCTGACTCTTCTTGTTTCAGCTCTTCTGCTCTCATGGGGAAAGGACTCTGTTTATACGCGCACATGTGCTTACATCTTGGCTAATTTATGGTAGCATTGAGGTGGAGTGATGGCAAAGGGCGTACTGTAAAGTACGACCTCCAAGGGTCTCCGATTGGCTGAGATGGAATCATAGGGCGCAGTTGACTTGGTCGCATTTCCGCTTGCGGTGACAGGTGTTCGAAAGTATTCCGAGTCCATGACTCCTTCCAGTCCGAGCCTCTCCAGTACAAGGCGCATATGCAGTTGAGGCCCCAAGCATGTGAAATGCAGCCAAGTCCGATTCGCAACCGCTTTCTGCCCCAACGTTTATTCAATCTAGATTCTAGACTGCTTTTCTCCCTCCAATCTTTCTATATGAAACCTTTCTTATGCTCATACTGCCGCTAGCCGCCACAGCGGGGTGAATCCCTCCCCTCTTCTTTCTCCTTCAAAAATGATCGTCTTATCAGTATCATTTCCTCCTCTCCACTACTACCCTAGGTAGACTCTCCAACCTCCTCTATCCCCTCCCAACCCTATCTATCCAACCATACCTAGATACCTCTAAGCCCGGAACTCATGACCGAAGTCCCCATGGGCGACACTTCCGGCTGTCCGCCGACTTTCTCGCTCTTCCCACCGTTTCTCCCCACCGTCATCAAGCAGCGTCTGACATCCTCTCGCTACACACTCATCAGAGCCGAACCTACCCCGTCTACACCCTCACAGTCAAACACAATGTCCTTCAACTCGAACACCGCAACAGGGGCTAGTACCCCGCGCCCTTCGTCCGCCGGTAGCGCGAGCACAGCGCGGAACTCAGATGACTCGTTCGGCGAGGAAGATGTTAGGAATACCAACAGGGACATCCTGGCGGTAGGCGCATCAGGGAACTGCGAGGTTGATTCAGGCTTGCGCTGGAACAGAGTGAGTCCAGGTACGTGCCCCTGGGGACCATTCGTCTATGTACAAGCAAGACTGGTAGCTGAATCCAGATACAGCACTCAACCTCCTCCGGTACGCAAACTTCGAAGCCCAACAACCAAATTGCGAAAGCCGCCTCGTCCGCTCTCTGTACCTCGACTCCATAACCTACCTTCTCTCCGCACTCCCCGATGACCTAAGCAGCGACGAAACCCTAACTCTCCGCCGCAGTCTCCCAGAGAAACTAAAGCCTGCTTTCACGCCAGACACGGGCATGGGTATCTCTGGCTCGCCGCACCTGCATGCTCATGCAGCTGCTCCTTATCCCCCGTTGCAACGCTCTTACCTCCACCGTCTTCTTGCTGCAAGTATAATCTACTTCTGCATCCTCCTGCAGTACTTAATGCCCTATATGAAAGACGTCTTGATCCATTTATATCGGTATGACCGCACGCATAAAGTGACGGAGCGAGTGACGGTAGCAGCAATATATGTTGCTGAGAAGGTTGGCAGGGGCAGTGTGAATTTGGGAACGTCGGTGTTGAATATGTATGATGGGAAGCCGGGGAGTGCAATTTCCGGGGCGGCTGGGTGGTGGGTTGAGGGTGTTGCAGGGGGGATCTACGAAGGGCTTGGAGAGGGGATGGCGATCTTAGGGGTTGGGGTTGGTCCTATGGGGGTTGGAAAGGCAGGCAGTAATGGAAGTGAGATTTAGAGGTAGAGGATGTTTGCTTTATAGATGATACAGGGCTACTAGGAGTTTTGGGGGTTTAGTCTTTCTGGTCCGGACTATATATAGTTATCTCGTCAACATGTCAACAGGTAATATCCAGAGCTCAATGAAGGATTCTCAGGAGGAAATGCCCTAAAGGATAGAGGAAAAGTCCGTCTTTTCACAATACTCCTTGAAGGAAGTCATCCCGATGCCAAACTGCATAAGCTATCGTCAGCAAGAAACCCAGTCTATGACATCTTCTCGAATTAGGGCTAGAGCGTAACATAACATACCTGCTCAGGTCTCACCACACCAGCCTCTCCCCCATCATACGCAAACTCCTGCGCGAAGAGCACATTCTCGCCAAACTCACGGCCTAGACCTCCAGGAAGCAACTGTGCGAACGAATCGATGGTATGTTCCACATATCGACCCACCGGCACATTCTGGCTCTTGCACCAGGTCTCGAGGTAGGAATCCCAGGAGAGCATCTCGCCGACGGCTAAGAGGTTCGTGCCGGGCTTTGCGTCAACCACAGCTTTCACGCATTGACCGAAGTCGTTTTGGACGTCGCCGAAGGGGACGAGGATGTTGCTGGGGCCGACGCCTTGAATGATGTACGAGCCGTTGGAATCCTAGAGCGGTCTTCGTTAGTGCTGGCTGGGATGGGCAGCACAAAGGTGCAACAGCCATACCTTCCTAGGCGTCGTCGGCAGACCCCATTGCCAAAGCAGATTATAGTAAATCGGAGCCTGGATTTGCGAAAACTTATCCTTCAAGCCCGGGAGCGACTGCTGTATATATTTCACCACCACGGCCTTCGACTCCATGTGCCAAATACCGCCGAACTTGCCCTTACTCGCTGTCTTCGCGCTCGCCATCGAGCTGAAAACAAACCTGTCCAGACTGTGAATCTTGGCTACGGCATCAGCGAGGTTCTTTCCCTGCGCAACTTCAACCTCGAAACAGTACTCCGTTATATCCTGGCCTGGCTTCTTCTTGGTCATACTCTCGGGGTCCTGGAATATGGTCCAGAAGTCGGTCACGCCGAAGATTACAGTTGCGCCTTGGAGGGCCTTCTCGAGACTGGAGAGGTCGTTGAGGTCCGCGGCCACCATCTCCACGCCTTTGGATGCCCATTCTTGGGCTTTTGGTGAGCTTGGGTTGCGTGTTAGGCCACGGACCTTCCAGCCGGGGAGAGCGAGGTAAGTGTTTGCAACGGAGCCCCCCTAGGATATCACAGCTTGTCAGTAAGGCTTGATCAGTTGGGCTGGATGTTGGAGGAATGGTGATTCCACCTGTGTGCCCGTGATGCCGGTAATAGCTATGAGCTTGGACATGGTGTTGAAGAAATGATTGCCGAATTGGTTGCCGATAAATAATGCAGATGTAGGATGCTGAGTTGTTTGAGGAATGGATATAAACTGTGGGTGCAGAAGAGCGATGCCTTTTGTACCCAGCCTATCATCCATCCCTTCAGGTCATGGCATATTTGCAACGGACTCACAACCCGCCAGCGTTGATTACTATATCAATCAGTTGACAAATTAAGTTCTCATGAGCATTTTCTGCTTCGGTTATCATATAGGCTATTGATGCTTTGCTGAGACATTTCTCGCCGAACTCGGCGAGCTCGGGGAGGACCCGCGTTCTTCTCAACTGAAGTTGACCTTCATTATGCAGCAATCCAATGAGTCTCTTCCTCCGAGCCGCACAATCTCCATAGGCTATCATTTAATCTACACGATGCTCGGATCAATTACAAATCACTGCGGTGCTCAGCGGGTCGGGATGATGCGAGGGGACAAGGCTTGAACTATAAGAACACCTCGATATCCCGCCGCATTTTCAGTGTCCATTATTCAACTCATTCATCTACTACTCAGCAACAGGATATCCTCCTCTCCCAGGTCACCATCATGTCTCTCAAAGCAGACCTCGACATCGCCTACAGCGAGTACCAGAAAGCCGCCCCAGCAGCAGCCCTAAACACCTTCGCCACCGGCCTCAAAGACCTCCACGACACCTTCGACCCCACCAAAGCCATCCAACCCGGCCAGAAACTCCCTTCGTTTACCCTCCAAGACGCAACCGGCAAGCCCGTATCCAGCACCTCCCTCCTCAGCACAGGCCCGCTGCTGATCTCCTTCTACCGCGGCGAATGGTGCCCCTTCTGTAACCTGGAGCTGCGTGCTCTGCAGAAACGTCTGCCCGAGTTCAAGTCAAAGGGCGTGGCCCTTGTTGCCATCTCGCCGCAGCTGCCGGATAGTTCGCTCTCTGTTGCCGAGAAGAATCAGCTCGAGTTTGCGGTGCTTTCGGACGTGGGGAACAAGTTTGCTAGGGAGTTGGGTATTGTTTGGGAGCAGCCGGCGGCGTTCCGCCCTATCTTGCAGGGGTTCGGTATTGATTGGGAGAAGAGTTATGGTGACCAGAGCTTTGAAGTTCCGATTCCCGCTACTATACTTGTTGACGGAGAGGGCGTTGTGAGGAATGTCTTCACCGAGACGGACTATGTGAAGCGGTTGGAGCCTGAGACTGCGCTTGAGTGGGTGAGCCAGTTGTAGTTTGTTGGGCTTCGTAGTCTTTATGCTTGTCGTTTATGTTTCGTGTTGATAGTCATTGTATACATCCACTGATTTATCCATGTGCATGACCTGATGCCAGGCTTTCCTTAGTTCTGCTGCAAGTTCAATGACAGGAACAATGTCCAGTATAAGAGCAGACGACCTTGGCTTTTGCGTTTTGTTCTTACTATTGAAACTCATCGTTAATGAGTTTTGCAAGCTTGATTGAATCCGACTGCCATGCCGTGAAGCGCTAATAGCGCCGCCGAGTTCGGCGAGCCCACCAAGTTCATCACCTGCAGTGTACCCAACACGGCCTCCATGGGATTGGCAGAGACTGCGCAATTAAAATCTGCGTTCATGTGTAGGCTAATGGACTGGTCGTAGCCCGTGCGCATAAAAAAGGAATCGCCATCGAGAGGATAGGACAAGAATAGTCCCAGGTAGATTACAAAACATAACCACTGGGATTCGAACCTGCCCTTGGTGATCACTGTTCCCCCTGTTTCAAGCAGGCTCTAGAGCACTGCGCTCTTGGGGTTGACCGCGTCCGGTCAGCTGGGATACGCTCTGACCGTTGAGCTACCTGGCCATCTGTATTACTGCTTCTCTTTCTGAGTCTATGATATACTTCCGTTCGTAAGAGCCGGGCTGTAGAGACCGTCACCTTGCAGGGGCCAAGGTTAGACCGCTTAATTGTCAGACGCTTCTTATAGCTCGTGCTCGGCGCAAAGAAGAACCAGTTAAGAAAGGCTTGTTCGCATATGGCGGGCGATACAGAGGTAGAGAAAGGGATAAAACACTTGTCAATTGGAGCATTTCACCCCTAACCTTGCGCAGCCCCTGCACGGCCGCTCCCCATCACACTTGACCTTTCGACGTTTACATAACTCGCACGCGTGCGTTTTACCAGAGCCTACCAGTAGTTGACTTCGGGCCGGTATCCCGCCGCTGGGGGCATCATAAGTGCAGGCCAAACCGTGCTTGACACAGTTCTGACATGGGGCTCGTTTGTCGCATTTGACTCTCCGTCGACTGCAGTGGAGACATGGTTGTGGCCTGCTCGAGTATCGATGGCTGCCAGAAGCATTGGGCAAGAATGCTGACGTGCTGATATCCTCCCATAACTTCTCACCGGCTCTGTCACAGGCACAGTCGAGCCAGAGGATAGACTTGAGGATTGTCTTAAGACGGTTCCAGTGAGACATCGACATGTGACAGCTGAGCTCCACAAGCTTCTGGACGAACCATCGTCGTTCGGGGCCGTTTGAGGCTGCTATACTGCCCATGGCCAGAATCCAAACAAAAAGGTTTTGATTATCGCCGGTTGGTGGCGCATCAAGGAGGTCTGTATCAGCTAGCTCCTGCTGCAGGAGAGTTGCAAGACGACCATGTGGGGAGCCAACGGCGGGCATGGGGAAGAGAACGCCAGTGCTGTATATAAGGGCGCTGATTCTGCAAGCCTCATAAAGAGGACCGCGATGATTGGTGTCCGACTCATTGGCAGGAGGCAGTGTTAGAACATGAAAATGGACGAGGTTTCGCAGGTCGCACATCATACGTGAATCCGACACCCCTATCCCACCTTCAATGTACTCCTGAATAACGAACGAATACATCTTCATGCCGTGAAACGCGTAAGCTAGTTCTGGAGGAAGCCCCATTTGGGCAAACTCCAGAGTCCCGTTTTCAAACTGCAACGGATCACAGTTAAAGTTGAAGGCAAGGTCGAAGATTCCATGACCGTAAACTGAGAAGAAAGGGAGCTGTGGTTGTGAGAGAGTCAAGGTAGAATTGACCAGGGCTCGACTAATTTTGTTAGCTGTTTGAGCCTATCCGGACTGTTTCCGACCTACTAGAAGATTGCTGACGCAGCACCAGGGATCTTGATGTTCTGCAGCCCCCCTTTCAATTTTACTAGCTTGCATAAACCGGCTTGGTGCTCCATGTTGGGAAGGCGGGCGCCATGGATGTTTAACCACTGCAGGCCCTGCAGTGGAGGCGTCAACGGGGACTCGGCAGTCCAATCTCGACCTTCGGGTACATCTGCCGTTTCGATCATCATGGCCACGGAAAGAATTGTTGCGTCAGCTACTGCGCTGTCATGTTGCCTCAAAGCCGCATTGACCCGTAGTCTAGCCTCTTGCTGACAGAAGTGAAGAAACGAGTCATCCACGGCACTACCATATAATCCTTGTTCTCTTCTCACAAGCGAGCGCATACGTTTGTGTGTAAGAGATGAGAATAACAAGGCACTAAAGAGCATAGGGCTGTGCATTGATGCCGGTAGCCAAGCATCCAGGTAGGGATTCCTCACACCCGAACTGGGTATCATACGGGGCGTCATGACACTTAGTCCTGATGAAGCTTGTCAAACCAGCAACAGGGCGCAGGCCTGAAGTGACTTACGGTACTCCAAACAGCCCTGAACCTTCTCCGGAGCCAAGGTAGATGGGTACATTCGGAAGGGATCGATGCTACCCTGGCCGAGTCCGTTGAGTAACAAATCTGCTGCATCTCATGCGTAAGCGATATTTTCTTTCTGGTGTGGGCGAAAATCGCACCATCGTTCCTTGGGCTTTGTGGCTGGTAGTCTTGTTCCACCGGATACATCTCATCCTGCATGTGATGCCCGGACGATAAGTCAAGATCCATTCTTGAGTACAGCCGCGTCCAAAGCTTCATAGACTTTGACTGGCATCAGCGGCTTCCCCTGTTTCTGGCACTCGGCTGAAGTGAGAGTGTAGGCCTTGGAGACCCCGCAGCCGCAGCTTCGCCGTAACTCCGATAGGTCACATACAAGCCCATTGTCGCGTATTATAAATCACCAAGTGGGATATCTCTCCGTCAAGGTGATGGGCGATCTTCGGTCTGGCCATTGGAGAGGTGGAGGGTAGAGTGTCAGGCTTATCGGCCGCCAAGCTCCACCAAGTCCAGATCTTCTGGAGCTTCTCCGACTTGTCCCCTGACAGCTTCTGCTTACAGTTCACAATGTCGACGACGAGATTGCCGAACATTCCATCTCTTCGGAGATACCAATTGATTCAGGAGCAGTGAGTACTAGATCTCGGAACCGTAGTTATGGTATCTTACCGCTAGCAGTGCGAGCCTGAAACATGCAGCTCCCCCTGGAGTGTATGTTAGCCTCAGTCCTGGTGATCCGTCTCTCTGGTCCTGCGTGATCTTCGTTCGCTCAGGTAAGTTACCCTTATCCCTATCGGAAGTATATCTAACGATCTCATGGACAGGCCCCTATGCTTCTGCCATTCTCCGATTCCAGATACGGTTTCCCCCGTCCTACCCCGATCGACCACCGCTCGTGACATTCGCTACGGACGTTTTTCATCCTCTCATTGTACCTCTCACCACATATACCTTCAGCACTGGCGTATCGAATGAAGACCCTGTCAGCGCGACGGATGAGGAACGTTTACCCCCGGGAGGCTTCAGTCTAAGACACGCATTTCCACATTGGTTTGGGCGGACGAAACATGTACCGACATCAAGGACCGTGAGTTCAAATGGCTCGAATGAGGGGCTAGCAGAGACAACAGCTCTCAACAATTCTTCTCAAGAGACCAAGGATCCAAGACAACATGAGGGCGACGAAGGGGATAACGGAGACAACGGAGATAAGGGCGAAGAGAGAGAAGAAGCAACGGCTGTTGACACTCCTCCGGCGGAAGTCCCTACTAAAATGAGGTCATCAGTCCCTGTCCTGGAGATCTTGAACTACATTCGCACCTCGTTCGACGATGAGACTGTTCTCGATTCTGTGCCGCTTGAGGCTGCGGGTAACCCAAGTGCATGGCACGCATGGAAAGCTCACCGAAAAGATGCCAACAACATCGCTGAAACAGATAACTCCAAACGAGACAACCCCCAGGCGCGACTTCCGGGTGATTGGCACTGGGATGGCATCTGGGCCAGGCGCGTTCAACATGAAATAGAAGCGAGTCAATCGGATGCGACGCTATTTGGAAGCGCTTCCCGAGGGCCCGATGAAATGGTATTTCACCTGATCCGAATTAGTGGCTTCAGGTTTTGCTGATAGAGAACTGCAGATTCGCTTTCTTCAACTCGACGCTAACACGCTGGAGTCGATCAAACAGAGGTTTATTCCTCCCGTGCAGCAGGCGTCGGAATAAGCCCGCCGCCATATATCTCTTGCTCTTGCTTTAATCACCTATCGGTGCCAGATGTCCGAGTCGTGTAAGACTCCGACTACCCGGTCCCTTCCTTGGGGACACCTTCCAGATTCATTGCCCAACTAGGCAAGCACAACCCAAACCGGGTCCGACAAGAAGACGGCGCAAACGCACAGCTTCGTACATGATCTCGTACCTCTATCCATATGCCGCATCCGAGTATCCCATTTCTATCGTGATTTTACATGGCAGTATTGGATCCGACTGTATAGGTATCGCCATGAACCCTAAACAGAAAACCGCGATTATCGTCGTTGCGCTCGTCCTGGTCCCAATCATCCTCGTGTGCTGCGCGTTTGCCTTAGCCCTTGGCTGCGCCGAGTTCTGGAGCTCGGGTCGCTTTACCCTCATCAAACCTTGGATCCGACGACACCTCGCTGTCGTGCGAAGAAACCTCAAGCCGATCAAACCAGACGATCCTCGTGCCGTTACGCAAGTAAGCGGACCCAACATCATCACGAATACACGGCCTACTATTACGGTGACGGAGGTCTGAATCGAGGATTTGCTTGGTTGTTTCTTCAAGGGCTACGGTGTGTATGGGCATTTATCAGAACATTTCTACGTATTCTGACGTGTACTGGCACACAGTTACTGCTCCCTTTGCGGCTCGTTCCATTCCTAGTCATCATAAATTGTACAACGATTTCGACTGCCGAACCATCGATGCAAGGCATGACGGGATATGCCAAACTCGACTTGGATGGACGCTCTTATTTGCTTAACTTCTGGCCACAGTACGTACAGCCTAGAGCCGTCCATCTCCTTCGCGTTTGCTCAAAGCTGAGGCGTCGGCAGTCATGCCATCAACCTGCAATTATACTTGTTTCGGATATCGGACTCATGGAAATAGCCGCTATGCTGCGCATTACTCATTCGACTTTGTCGCATGAGCGGCCCATATTGCATTGCCTCAAAAGCTCGGACTTCGAAACAAGGATCGGATCAAGTTTGACAACACCAGCGGCACCAACGACGCTGTTCCCACTGACCTTGCGCCTACTCCTGCGATGCATTATTCCTAAGTACCTTTGTCGCTTGACTACTAGGGGTTGATCAGATCGTGTATTTAAATGAACCAGCATCCAATGCCAGTCTGTTTGGGGGATCGTTACGCATTATCACTTGCTAATCTGCGAAATTGATCAGATTGGGGGCATTGACATCCTTATGTGTTTGAGGCGATTTCCAAAGCGGCTCGCCATCATCATCAAACTCAGCCCATTGAAAGAAGCCACAGCCTTCCTTTCCAGGTTTGGACCTCATATAGCACACCCACATGTAGCGGCCCCTACTATCACTCTTACGCTGAACACATTTAAGAACAGCATGTGCCTTACAGCGACACCGAGGGATATTGCGCGGATGTAACGAGTCCCGATACCACCGATACGTGATATTGATCCGCCGATTGCCTGACAGTGGGTGCGGGGAAATGGTCTGCGCAGGAGCAATAGCATGCTTCCATTCTTCTTGCGTTTCAGCATGCATAACCAAAAGAGAGTTATGTGGCAGAGCTATAGATATCTGCCCCTGCGCATCAGCCCTTGTTCCAGCATCCTCTTCTTCAGAGACGATCCTCCGCACCCGGAACTCCCGCTGCACGCCCAGACTTATACTTCCGATGACCGCGCGCGGCCCAAGATACGTGAGGTGGTCGGTATGATACCCAACGCTTTCCGCAGGGCCATCGTAGCAATTCACAAACGCCGCGTTAGGCATCCAGTCCTTCGGCGATTGATATTTGAGTTTCTTGCCCTCCGGGTAGACGTCACGTATGCGTTTCCGGATCTCCTCATTGACGGCTTCCTGGACGCGTGCGGAGATTGCGCGAAGATGCGGGGTTGCCTGCCGAATGTTGGTATGATATGTACCGCCATACGTATAGTCGTTTGTGTGCTGGGCCTCTTCCTCTGCCGTGGAGACGTAGACGCATGTAGAGTGTGGGCTTTCGACGGTCCGCTCAAATATCTGCATTTGGTAGCGCGAGAAATGCTGCGACTCGTTAAGGAGTTCGAGGAGTAGTGCGTTCGCTTGTTCGGGTGGGAGGAAGTTATGGATGATCGTGCACGAGGTGTGAGCGGCGACGTCTTCGGGGCTATATAGGTATAACGTCTTTCCTTTTTGGACTACCGGGTTTCGGAACTTCTTTGAGACGACATCGCTTCCATCTTCATCCTTCTTTCCCGGCAAGACGGCGATGTGTGAGGTGAGGGAGGTCTGGATCGCGGTGGCGGCTGTCTTTGGTCGTTTGAAGGGGATATGCTTCTGCTCTGTGATTGTGGCTGCGGCGGTTTCAACTGAGCCGCCACAAGAGACGAGGATGTCGAGAAGCGTATCTTGCGGTGTGTCTGGGAAGAGGGACACCAACTGAGCTAGCTTTATGTCGGTCGAGGAGTCATCGTCTTCCGATATTGCAGTATGGGGTGCGGCTGGGCTGCATGGCCTTTTGCGCAAGATATAGCGGTCCATGAGGATGTATTTTTGGTGTCATGATGAGCTGGACCGCGGAAGTTGAGATGTCATACCGCACTCATGATGAGAGGAGAAGTTGGCGATGGGTTTGGGAGGCAACTGGGTGCACGTGATTGCTCTCGATGTGACCAGTCACGGTTCAGCTTAGCTGCATGATACTGAAAGGTCCCAGGATGTCAGTAGTCTTATTACCTGATGGTAGACGCGTCGACACCAAATTGTTCAGATGCTCTTTGATACGCGCTCAGCGACGGAGCTTGGAGATGCCTCGGCTCGTCCGCGTCGGGACCAGTCAGTAGCTCCCCGCAATCTTCCACCATCTCGCATTCCTCTTCCCCACCAACACCAAGATCATCGTGATCAAGCTCCCTCGACATGCTTCATTTCCGCACAGAAGGCTTTCAAGGCTATGCGGTCAAATACTCCCCTTTCTTCGACAATCGGCTAGCCGTAGCCACGGCCGCGAACTTCGGCCTCGTCGGCAATGGCCGTCTCTACATCCTCGAATTGACGCCGAACGGCATTATGCCGGTCAAATGGTACCATAATCCTCTTCCAACTTGACCTTTAAAACGTACTAGAAGAGACTAATGATGTGCATGATAGGTTCACAACACAAGACTCCCTCTACGACCTCGCCTGGTCCGAAGTCAACGAGCATCAAGTCCTAACCGCCACCGGCGACGGCAGCATCAAGCTCTTCGACGCGACCCTAAACGACTTCCCCATTCAGCACTGGAAAGAACATAATCGCGAGGTGTTTAGTGTTGGCTGGAATCTTGTTGCGAAGGACTCCTTCTGCTCGAGTAGCTGGGACGGCACCGTGCGCATCTGGTCCCCGCACCGGCCGCATTCGCTCACGACGCTCCCCACGCATAGCTGCACGTACAGCGCCTCGTTCTCGCCGCATTCTCCGGACATCTTATCGTGTGTTTCATCCGATTCATACCTTCGCGTATACGACTTGCGGACTCCGGCGTCGGCTTCGAACCACCTTACATTACAGATCCCGATCCATGCGGCGCCTGTTTCGCCGATACCGGGGAAGCCGGGGGCTCCGCCCGCGGCGTGTCCGCCCTCTGAAGCGCTGACGCACGACTGGAACAAGTATAGGCCGTCTGTTGTTGCGGTCGCGGGTGTGGACAGGACGATAAGGACGTTTGATATCAGGGCTCCGCAGCAGGGGCCGCAGGCTGTGATGGTCGGGCATGACTATGCAATTCGACGGGTTGCTTGGTCGCCGCATCTGTCCAATGTACTGCTCAGCGCGAGCTATGATATGACGTGTCGGGTCTGGAGCGATCAGTCACCGCCTGGGGTTGTTGGGGATACGGATCTCATGCGCTCGGGGCCGTCGCCGGTCATGGGTGCCGAGCTGGGAAGGATGAATCGGCATACGGAGTTCGCGACGGGCGTGGATTGGTGTCTTTTTGGGAGCGAGGGATGGTGCGCAAGTGTTGGGTGGGATGAGAGTGTCTATGTCTGGGATGTGCGTGCGGTGATGGGATAGATGGCGTTGTTTTTTTTTTCCCTTCACCATTGGGGGCTTTCCTTCGTTGGATATTTAGATTGCATGTTATATGATACCTTTATTCTTCCTCGCTTTGGCTATCACTTTTGCATGTTTATTCTTTGGGCCAAGATAGCAGCAGCACCTTAGTTTACCCAGTCAGTCTATCTATTTAAAAGTTCCACCTCTTTCTTTCCGTCTGTCCAATCCTTCCAATCCTCCAACCAAATTCTGGGTATAGAACACATAATATGTATAAAAAAACATCTACCTCGCAAGCCTGGCCTCAGTCTTCTTCCTCTCTGCCTCCCTCGCAGCCGCAACCTCATCCCTCGTCGCATCAAAAGCAACGTGCACCTGGTTGAACGGGTTCTCATCGCTCTTGTCAAACTCCTTCTTGCAAAGGTCAACCCTCTGGTTTCTCCGCAGCCCGGGGTTCTCCGCTTCAATCTCCGGTAGTCGTCGTGCCTCAAACGCCGCATATGCAGCCTTGTAACGACGCTCAGGGTGGCGATCGATCTTACTCGAGTCCTTGCCTGTAAGGGAGAGGGCGTCGAGAGCGTTGTCGATACCGGATGCGTTGAGGGCGCCGGTTTTCGAAGAGGGCGTATCGTCGAGCTGGTCGAGATTCAGAGTTCCCCGAGAAGGCGCGGCGTTCTTCTTAGCTGCGGACTTGTTGTTCTTGGGTTTGGAGGGCTGGGAAGACTCTTCGGCGGCGAGCATGGCGTCGCGCTCGGCCTTCTTCCGGGCGGCTTCGGCTTTCTTGGCTTCGGCATCTTCTCTGTTCGTTTGCAAGGTAGTAGGTTAGTTACTCTTATCTCTCGCGCCTCAGGTTATGGTTCGTAGGAATTGGGATGGCGTACTTCTTAGACGAGCCCTTTGCGCCCTTGGCCCATTGCTTGTCCTCTTCAGCGGCGCGCTTTTGGTCCTCGGCGGCCTTCTTGTTGGCGGCGGCTTCGGCTTTCTGTTGTCCCCAGATAATTAGTTCAGCTTCGGATCGATGATAGATGTTTGTGGCTGAGGTAGAAGTGGTACGCACGCGAGCGTTTCCGGCGGCCTTCTTGGAGTTCTCGCCGGCGGCCTTTTTGCCTCCCATTTTTATGTCTTTTTGTTCAGACTCGCTGTAGTGAATTAGGATATAGCGGTTCCCGGTAGAACACAGGTGATCGGTAAGTTCAAGACTGTAGGTGAGACCTGATTTGGTGAGGGGCAAATTCATTGGCGCTGGTACAAATCAGTTGTTTTATCAGATGGCGGGGTGAATGACTAAGCGGATGTACAGCGGGATCGATGTCATATCATTGCTTGCTTGGCATGTGATCCGGAAAACCCTCATTCCCATTTGGGATCCCCTGTGCTAAATATAGTACAATACTTGTACTTCAAGGTACCAGATGTATGTGCATTGGATGTTCTGAGTTCGCAAAAATTCTACAGTGCTCTCGCTGCTGATAACTGATACTCTTGTGGCACAAGCGGCCAGTCACCAATACCATCCATGATAGCCAAGGCCATGCCGCCGCTCTGATGCATTTGCAGGTGGCAGTGAAGCAGAAACGGGCCGGGATTGACAACATGATACCGTATAGCCAGCCAGGTCCCAGTCGACCGGGGTATAAATGGAGTTGTGTATGTATCTCGGATTTGTGGATTCACAAAGTTGAAGTAATCGGGGACCTCCTCCATTGCTTCTGCGACGGAAGACCAGGTGAATGGACCGCCGCCCTCACCAATAACAAAGTACTTGTTCGAATGCTTGTGCATTGGATGAGGTGGTGGGGTCTCTCCGGACACGTTGAAGACGATGTCGACCCAAGTGTTGTTCATGGTGGACACGCTGTATGGATACGGGATTGCGCTCGCGTTGAACAGGGCCGGATGCACGTCTTCTAACTCCAGGGGAAAGCTTCCTTCCCCTAGTGTCCAGCGGTAGTAGGCGTGGTAGTGATTGATATTTAGGACGATTGTCTGGTCCACGGTTGGCGCGGGAAGTTCCACAGGGAAGGGAACGACGAGAGATTCATTCAGAAATATTGATTGTGGGTTGATGAGGTTACCGGTCTCCGTAATATGCGGTAACGAAGGCCGCTGTTGGGATTGGCGTGAGATATACGACATTGTCGCCGTGCCGTTGATAATCTGATTGGCCCCGTTGTGGGCAACGCGGATGGTGTAGTCTCTAGCTGCCCTGATTTGCTTGAGTTCGATTAAAACTGAATACCGAGTCCCAGCCGGTACCCGCACAGCGTCAACAAGGACCGGCTCAATATAGCGCCCGTCGATTGCGTAGACATATAGCGGATGCTCATCTATGGAGAAAACGAGAGACGCCGTACCAGCCATGCTCATCACGTCACGACTGATATAGCGAGTACGAGAGTCAACTCTAACAATCTCTTCCGGACCGTAGCCAGGTGTACACCCGCTACTAAAGCTCCTAGGTAACAAGCTAGGGTCACGAGGCCATGAACCAAAAAAGGAATCAATAGGAGGGAAACATCTATGGTTCAAAAGGTCAGTTCAAACTCCAAGGGGTATACAAGGTGGACACACCCAATATCAGTCATCGTACTATTTCCAAGGAGAACCCTTTGATCCACTGTGGTGAGATCATTGATTCTCTCCTGGGGCAAGCACCACGCGGAGCCTTTGCCGTTGATCAATATAGCATTAGAACAGATATTCTCCACGCCTGAGGCTACCTCGGCCTGCCAAATCGCCTCTGAATCCAGAACACGCCAGTCAGAAAGCATGAGCGGCTCTGTTTCAGACTCTGCCCGTATCATTGCGGCTATTTCGGTAGCATCCTGCGTAATCAGCCTGAATGGCTTCTCTACCGAATTCTTCGGCTGGATATAGATGGCCCCATAGAGACCGTCTATTAGCTGGCCCCGGGCATGCGAGTGGTATATGTACGACCCATACTCATTTGCTGTCCACTTATAGATGAATTGATTCCCTGGCTCTATTGGCTCCTGTGATAGTCCGGGCGTGCCGTCGGACCACGGCGTGCCTAGCTGCTGGATACCTGGGCAACATTAGCCATGGCCAATGCCAACGCATTCGGTAAGTCAAAGACAGTCACTTGACCGCGGAATTACCATGAAAATGGACCGTTGTGGAGAACGGCATGAAATTCCTCACTCGGAATTCGACTTCATCTCCTTGCTTTATCCGAAGTGTAGGACCGGGGAGTTGGCCATTCGACAGGATAGCTTTGCGCACGATACCCGCAACGTTTCGATCTTCCCATGTCAGGTTCAGCTCGAAACGAACAGTCTTGCATGACACCCAGTGTACCAGACACAGGATGACCAGCAGGCTCAAGCTCCTATGTAGAGTGCTCATTTTTGTTGATTTAGAGCTGGTAGGAGACACCGGAAGACAGGGCGTCTGCTTTTTAAAGGCCTTGTATTTGCATTTATGTGCATGCGCCTATGCATAGCATGGAACATCCTGGTTCCACCGCTTCCGCAAGGGCCATGAGAGACATGGTCAATTTGAGGATATATCCAATAATGTATGCGAAGTCGGCTCCCGCTTTACAGCCAGACATGCCCAGGGGACTTTGTGACCCAACTCGGTGCAGTTTCTAACGAACTACCTTGTAGCCACAGGTAACGGACGAGCTGTAAGGCAAGGGGATATCATTGGTGAGATTGATGTGGCATACTTCTGTTCGGAGGGTAAGATGATCCACAGATTTGACAGGTACTCTGCAGTTGAAACGCCAACCGACGAATCACCATGTAGGAGAACGCGGATCGAGCACACTCTATTGAACCCTGGTAAATGGCGCTCTGTATAAGCGGCGACCGCCTGGTTCAGAGCTTATCATAGTCCGATGCAGCCTCATTCGCAATCTCAGTCAGAGCCTTCTAGATCCTGCGGGTATGTTGCAAATGGAGACTCGCAGACAAGAGATTAAGACTGCAAGCAGATCTTGAAGGGATGCGCATGCAATTTGCTGAGATAAGTTTCTGGAAAAAGCAAGCAAATGCTTGCAAACCAATGCAGCACCGTGCCATACGTGGCAATCACCCAACCTGTAGCGTAGCCGGAAATGAAGAGAAGCATTCTGTTTTGGCCCGGCGCATCACCGCTAATGCTTACCGAAGGGCTTTAAGGGTCCGTTCCCTCGGATGGATGATGTGAGAACTGATAAGGAGTAAGCCATTGTACACTCCGGACCATCCATAGTGAAACCGGTTCAAGATGTCGTCAGCTTTCAAGGAGTGACACTGCGACTTGTCAGGAAAGTGATGATGCTATTTCAGGCAGCGATCCAACTCAACTACTCTCATTTCCCACCATGGCCCTGTCATACCGCACCTTAATTCAAATCTTAAGGAACATGCGACCTCAGTCGGTGCGTCGGGCGGGTTTCCAGCCTGTCAGATTGGCTTTGAAGTTGGGGTGATTACTTGTCACTCGCTCCTTGCCCATCCTCCTTCGCAGCTCTTGCAGCTTGTGGTAGATTGTCGAGGCAGTGAATGCGGGGGTAGCACCATAGCAGGAAAATGGCGCTTTTCAAAGACGGCGAGGGCATTGCTACCCATAGAATCGAGTGTCCACTAGACGTGAGGCATCCTGGAAGCATCAGCTTGTGCTATCAACTTGTCCCAGCCAGCATTACAATCGTAGATGCAGCAGTGGATGTCGGGGTAGTCCCCATGGTGTGTCCTATTGCAATTTATAGGCAGAAACCTTAACCCCTAAGCCTTGTGACAGTTCAAGGTGCTTGGAGGTCGGGTCATGCATATGAGGTTGTGTCGGTGCTGGGAAACAGGTAGTAACAACGAGCAAGACAGGCGATGTAGGTGGGAGTGGGCGTGTCTCAGAAGATCGAGAGTCCTTTCGTTGTACCCAGGAAGGGGAATGGGGTGGAAAGCTTGACGTGGAGAGCGGAGAGTCAACCAAAACTGCAATCAAAAGCAGGAGCCTATCGTGCTTTCGCCATTTACTACCTCAATGCAATCAATCCCCGACTCGCTCAGCATCAGATGCTGATGCTTCTCAAAGACTAGATGGTATTAATACTATCAAAGATTTATGAGGCTAATGCGACAGGAAGGCAACGGCTAGCACGCAAATCCGCAAAAATCCACAAGAGTAGTCCAAAACGGTCTCATATCGGTCGTAAATAGCTGCATAATTCGGTCACAGATCATGTTTCTCGTTGTCGTTATGTTCGTTTGGTAAAGTTAATTCATGATGGTCATTCTGGTGTGCGAAGACGTCGGCCTCGTTCTGGTTGTGGTCATCACTAGCGAGTAAGGTCTGGTCCTCGCCGCCATCCTCGACTATCAATTTTGTGCCCAGAGGCTCAGCTAGTGTCGTCTCGCTGGGTTGAGAAGGCTCTTCTTTGGCGTTATGGTGAACGTAGTCAAACGACGAGGTTTCCTCTGCAGCTGACAAATGCTTCTCTGGCTCATTCTCACCGAGCAGTGCTGTGTGTTCTTGTTTCTCTGAGGTGGATTCAGAGCTCTGAATAGAGAGGTTATCCATCTCCGGTGGTGATAGTCCATCTGTGATACCCTCGCCAAGATGATCTGACTGCTCTTGTTCTTCAGAGACAGGATGAGTATCTTCCACGAGGAGGGTATCACCTTCTAGTAGCTCCTCTCGTTTGAAACCATTGGGTTGAGCCGGTTCCTCGTGCTCCTCGGAGAGAGGTTCAGTATTTTCTGTGAAGGAATCCTCGAAATTAGCGATTTCCATTGGTGGAAGTCCATCGGACGCGATATCGCTGGGAAACGCCGACTGCCCTTGTTCCTCTGAATCGGGGCTGGTATCTTCCACAGGAGGTGTCTCAGCATCCAATTCTGGTAGCGCCTTTTCATCAAACTCACTGAGCTGCGGCTCCTCTTGCTTCTCCGAGATAACCTCTGCGCTTCTAACAGGCGCGGCGTCAGTTTCGGATGGCAGCACCGCCTCCAGTACAGCCATAGAAGGCTCCACCGGGGCAACTGAAACGTGGTCAAGGCCCATAAATGATTCAGTGGCGCCAGTAGATGCAAGTATTACCGTTGAATCTGGGGTTGCAACAGATAAAGTTTGAGAACTCGTCTTCTCCGTCCACGTTTGGGTGGCAGACTGCTGCAGTGAAACCACGGGCGAACTAGTATACTCTGGTATGTAAGAGGGAAAGGGCCGCAAATTTGACTCATGCGAGGCTGATCCAGAGTTAATGCCCACGAAAAAGACCAAGACGCTGAGAAAGACAATGGTAATATTTCGTCGGTCACTGGCCAGGATACGGATATAGTTCACCAGCAGTGTCTGTAGATCAATGTCGTCTGACAGCCTTGGCGTGTACTGGTCCCACTTCTGATTATCTTGCGGCCTGGTGGTGGTATCGTCAGGGGATGCTGGCGGGAGATCTCCGTCATGGGCTTGAGTAACCTGAAGGGGCGTATCGGCTTTTAGAGGACCCGGTGTGAGAGCACGAACCGAAGGCTCCACTGGTATATTCTCCGGTTCCTGCAGCAAGGCAATAGGAAGACCGTTGTCAACGTGGGACAAGTCCTCGGCCAGTCGTTTCTCCAGATCTGCTCGAACGTCGGGCGGCAGCCACAGCCCAACCTCCACATCGACCTTCTCCATCTCTTTCCAGGCCGCGGCCCAAGCACCTGCCCTCATCAATCCATTGGCGGCGAACACTTTGACCTCCCATTTTCGGGTCGTATTCTGCCTCACAACCCGGCCCCCGCAATCCGGACATTCTTCTCCTTCGTCTTCTGTGCTGCTGTCCTCCATTGCCAAGCGGTCTTCATCATCTGACTCGGTTTCGCCACGTCCGATGAAGTGACCATGATCGAGTCGCGGGTGCTGCAGTTCCAAGCTTTCTAATAGTCGCTCTTCAAGCAGATCATACCCGTCTTCTGGATGAGAAATGAGAACACCGCGTTCGCGAAGGACCCCCGAGCCGATCTTTTCCTCGAGCAACTTCCATCTCTTCCAGTACACTAGAGGTAAAACCTCTCTCAGAATATCCTGTCGTTTCGGGTGTCCGATCAACCCTGGCACTGGGAGCGATGGTGACAGCAGAGTACAGTGAAGAAGAACAAGTTGATATTCCTTCTTGGCTTTAGGCTTCGCAATTGCTCCCGTTGGAGAATAGAACGGGGATCTCTTGAACGGCGAGGAACCGGCAGAGCGAATGGATATGTCGGAGACGCGCTGGCTACCCCGGCGTCTGGGCGGTGTTAGGTGGTAATCATCATCACCTTCATCTTCTGTATGCATCTGCATTAACCTTACTGAGCTAAGTTTCCGAAAAGTAGCTTCGCGCTGTCGGATCGTATGAATGGTCCGAGGCGCATGATGATTCCAAGGTTGTGTCATGTAGTCCTGTCCCTCGAGCATAGTTGCCTGTTTCGTTTCGTCCGGTAGATTCGTTAATGTTGAAGCGGGAATAGAGGAGATCGAAGTACGGCTAGATGCCCTAGAGCGTGTCCGACTGAGCTCGCCATCTTCCACTCTGCCAATCGGGGTTTCGACCGGAGATTGATGTCCTGAAGAGCCAGAAGAGTTATATCCACTGTCTTGCGCCGTAATCTGCATGCTTTCTTTAAGACTGCCCTGATCGCTGTGCTCCGATTGTTTCTCTGAATCTACCGGGTCTGGATGTGCCGGGTACGCTGCGGCCGTTTCGTTTAACAGGCTCGAATCGGTTTCTTCCTTGAGACTTGAATGCTGGGGCTCAATTGGCGCCTCCATAGTATTTCGTTGTTATCTGGAGTCTTGGATTGGAATAAGGTGTGTGTTGGTCAAAGCACAACTATATAAATCAGTACTCCACTCAATCGGTAGATCACAAGCGGGACTCACTGTCGCAAAGTTGGTATAGCAAAGTATCAGCAATGAAACTTCGAATGACCGCAAATTTCGAGGCACAAATATGCCAGAGCCCACCTGCATAGCATGGCACTCGATGCATGAGGAGATCAACAACTAAAGCGGTGTTGATCGGTCAGTTGATGCGTCGTTAGCGCCGTGTTGTGCCGGGCAACGGAAGTCAGCCTGAGGCTCCATCTCACATCAATCACCGCACTCATTATCGTCGCTGCTTTATTCCCAAGCCGAATTATAGCTGAAGGTAAAGCTTTAAGTCTGCCAGTATGTGATGATGATTGACTCTTCGAGCCAAATTGGATACATCTCAAAAATTAATCCCCACAACGCCACAACGTTCAAACGCATAGACTTCTAGAACGAATGACTTGCGACCACCGATAGATATACATTGCGTAATTGAACATTTCAGTAGAAGCTCGATTCATGCAAGGAGAATGAGGATTGTAAGCTATATCAAGGATGATATCAATATTGACGGCGCGCTTTTTCATGCTTCAACGCTGAAAGTCATAACAGCCCAGAGACACCTTGCTACCTTTTCGACCGTAACATAGTAATGCATTGCTGGACATGACACGTTAAAGAAGAAAATGCATAGGATGCATGATATGGATGATGAACTTTAGTGAGACGGGGGATGAGTCCCTTCGTCAGGGCTCAGGAGCGGGTAATTTTGGTGTTCGCCAAAATAGCTGAGAACATCTTGTGGAAGATACTCCAGCCAAGGAAGTCCAGTAAAGGGTAGAGGCAACTGATCTTGATGGTGAAGCGCTGACATATCAATATCCTGGCTCTCAATCAGAAGATCACCCGCCTGCGGATTCATGCTAGAGTGAATATCTGAGTGCCTGGACCCCATGTGACTGTCGCTGACGTGGCGATCACTCGTAGTAGATGGTATATAGTTGTATGTTGCGGCATGAGAATTGAGGCTTGTGGATGACGAGATCGGAACAGCTTGGTTATGGGTTGCATGAGAGTTCGAAGGACGCGGCGCAGGATGAGGGTATGGAGAATGCAGACCAAGAAGAGTTGCCTCCGACGTCGTTACCCGGCGAGGAGAAACCAGGGAATCATGAGATATATTGGAAGTACTCCTGTGGTCGTTGTTGCGCGAATATGAGCCTGAGCCTTGCTCGAGACCTGGTGATACTAGCGCATTAGTATAACTGTGGCGATTCTGTAGAGGTTGAGATTTGTTGTCAGGGGAGGGTTCCTCGGCGTGAACAGCGGGCATCTGATAGAGAACGCTAAGGTTAGGCTGTGAGGAATTGGTTGCATTGCTAAGAGACCACCCGATGGCTGAATTAAAAGATTAGTCGATCCTAATGTTTAGAGAATATAGCGGACAGTCTCACCTTGGCTGGGATCCATTCTCGGTGACGGTCTTCCGTCAAAGGGAGAGGCTACAGCAGAAGCTGGCCTTTCTATGGGGTTTGTAGCACCGATTGATTGGCGCCAATTAGACCCGGTCGAGGGTGTTTCCGCGGTTCCCTCCATCTCTTCCTCAGTATATAACAAAGGGTCCACGATTCCTTTTGCCTTTTGGTCCAGGACCGTCAAGATGTACTTTGTGCCTTCCCAATAATTCTCAAGTGACTTCAAAGCTTTGTAGCACCTCTGATAGTTCTCCTTGGCGGCAGACGCAAGAAGACTGTGCTTCGTAGCTGGCTTGCGGTCTGATGAGCTGGAAGAGTCCATAAAGAACCCACTGGTTTGGTTGGCGAGTAATGCTTGATGGGAGGGCGAGACAGATCGCGACGAGGGAGATGAATAATAAGCGCTCTCCATAAGGAAAGCGCATGCTGCTATATACATCGGCTGACTAGTGAAAGGGTTACCGATAAAACTCTTCCCATCCACGAGCTCTGAGAATGACAAGATGTCCGCGATCGTCTTCGCTGAGGACATAGAAAGTTCCCTGCTGTTAGGGTATAGATGTTGCATAGTGCCTCCGAAAGAGTTTAGAAGAGTCGGTTGATGCAAGAGAACAATTACCGTGTGGAACCACTGCAAGGTTATTATTAGCATTACATCCACTGCCCCCAGCAGAGGAAGGGCGCCGTACGAAATGAAGGAGGATAAAATTTGTTCCTTCTTTTGCCTTCACATAGGCTTGAAAATTCGCAGCGTTGAAATGAAGTCTTGGCGATAACCGTTGATATATACCTTTTAGCAAGCGTTCGTTAGTCTGGAGTGAAAGGCAATAAGATTGAGCAGATACTGTACCTGTCAAGTCGCTTTCCATCCCGCTTAGTCTTTTCAGCGTGTCGGGAGTTACATGGTTGGCGTCCTGCATACCGTTTATAAGATCTGTGACTCTTCCATAAAGATGAATAATGCGAATAAGGGGTGGAAAGGGCGATGGCCAGCCGTTGGAAAGCTGCGATCCGGACTGTAAAGGGAAACGGAGCTCTATGTCCTCGTCCCGTAGGGTCACTGGCCGTCCTGTTCCAGATGAGATCACTCTATCGAGGAAGAAAATGCTCCAGAACGTATCCACCCTCTCGCGCTCCCAGGCGCGCCGGTCTTCCACCTCTTGAGATCCCTTAATTGAGCCCGAACTCCCATGAGGTACGTCGTATTCATCTTCCCTCAGTTTTGAGGCTTGTCCGGTCATGACTGCGCTAGGAGTCACACCAGTCCGGCCATAGCTGTAGTCCAAGCCTTGTAGTTTCTGCATCCCAAGATCCTGCGCCATCCGGATAGATATGCCTAGATACATCCACAAACCACTATCGTGGTTAGAACCGAATTCCTCGTAGGCAAGCAATAAACATGCTTGAACAACGGAGAGAGTAGGGAATGCGAGAGAATCAACCAAAGCATTCATTGCCCTGTTTGCAAACGGTTGGCCGCGGTTGGATTTCTGCATGATTGGTTGAGGCTCAGACGCATCAATTGGAGGCGCTTGCGGAGGACTCAATAAGGGGTGCGGCGAAAATCGGGCGGCCAACGCACACACGGAATCCACCAGCATGGTATCAATCTTCTTGTCCTTCAAATCGCCAAGAAAGCGATCTCGCCGCAGGAAGGGGAAGCTGCAGCCCAAGTGTACAAAGAACAATTCACAGAGGTGGGTGACCAGATTACCCACAGGTAGGGCGTCTTCTCTGTCGTAGAAGGGGATAGTGTTGGCATCACGACTATCAGTGTTATCAACAATGGCGTTGAGATGGAGAACGCCGCTATCAAGGAGCTTCGGACTTCGTAAAGGCGAGATTGAGTCTACAAGAGAGGGGTGAGTTAGTAGATGCTGGTTTAGTATGCAGGAGAAACAGGCGAGCGAGGCACTAACCTGATGATAACGATGCATTGCTCTTCCGCGAACCTCGTACCTGGACAACCTGTGAGCAGCATGTCAGTCTATAGTAGTTTATGTATAACGGGGGGTGTACGGACCATCTGCTTGAACCCAGGAACAATGGCCGTTGGCCCAAAGTACCTGAAATAGGGAACATGTGTACGGCCGCTGGAGCTTGTGGTAGTCCGATCTAGGAACAGACAGAGAATAGTGAGCAAAAGTCGAGACCGGCGCAACCAATTTGCCCGCACGACTTACTGCTTTCCGGACTTTCTCCCGCTGCTTGCTGCTCAATCTCTTTTGTTCCACTTTCTTTTGTCGGCCGAAGGAATGAACCCTCAGGTGGACAGTGTCCATCGGTCTTAAAGGGTTCCAGCACTTTGGAGGTTTCACCAAAGGTTCCATCACCTATTGACGCTTTGTTTTGTCTCGCTGGCTCCAGAGACCGATTATTGGTTTTTGAAGGCCCTCGCGAAGCAGTCGGTTCAACCGAGTTGGTGATGGATGGCGCGGCGGAACTATGCGACGCGGTGTCGGATTGCGCTCGAACGTGAGAAGGCCCGTCATAACCAAGGCACTGATGATTGTAGTCGATGCATGTTCGGCACACTGATTTTATTATGCCATATTGGTCAGCTTGCCATGAGATGTTTGCCAGAAGGCGCTGGGGTTTCTCTCACCTGGCTTTTCGCCAGAACATCGTGTCTTGCGCTTGCGACACGTGAGGCACCTGCTCAGACCGTCATAGAATTAGCCCGCCATTTATCCCAATAAGTACACTCGAGAATGTATACAACTCAGTGCGAAAAGAGAAAGGCTTACGCAGCGTTTACTCGTCGCCGCTTTGTCTGCGGTTGCCCATCTGTTGAAACGAAGCGAATTTGTTTAGGAGCGGAAGGATGACTGCCGCCGTTCTTCCGGGATGGAGGAGGGCTCATCGCGAGCAAGCTGTCATCCGTGATCACAGCACATCGGGCATCTGAGCGGTGTCGGAACTGGGGTCGGGCAATCAAGCTTGGGCGGCGATGCGCTTATGGCGTCGCGACAGGAGGAATCAGCGGTCGAAGGAATACGTAACGCGGAAAGTGTCTTGATGGCAAAACCCGACCAGGGGAAAAGTCCATGGGCGTGGCTTGAACCCACGCGATGGTCGGCGAGGTGGTGCCGCTGGTAGAGAATAGGATGGGTGCTATGGAGGACGAGCCGGAAGCCCGGTGGTTCGATGAGGGGAGCAAGGTTAGACGAGCACAAACGCGCCCGGCGGTTGGGTTGACAATTTTGCGATCTGATTTGCTTTGTGCCCTAAATTAGCCTCTCAGCGTTCCAGGATCATGGTTATGCGTCAACCTGCGCCGATTTGTCGAGTGAAATTCCTTTGGGAAGTTGAGGAGGGAGGCCGGGGCCGCGCAGAGCTGGACCGCGAGGGAATTCCGGGGAAATTGGTCTTTGGTTTTGATACCCTAGGCACTCGGAGTATCTTCTACACTGATAGCTCGATTGTAAGACGTTAACCCTCAAGAGTTGGCTAGATTCTCTGTCGAATACCCTCTCTGACCGTTTATCGTTTTCTGGTCATTTTTCTCCAAATGTCCTCTCGTACATCTTCTACTGCGGTATGCATACAAGTGGTTCCTCATACATCAAGGGACGGTCCGTTCTCTTTCTCAACAACCCAGCTCGAATGATTCCGCGGCTCTATCAACGCTGATATGCATATTAGGTAAGAGCTCGAAGTCATCGACTTCTAATTGATTATTTGAGGTGCAGGAGAACAAAACAAAACATTCGTACTGCGGCGGTTCAACATCCCAGCTGCTCCACCACGTATCAAAGACCACCATGTGACCACCACATTTTGACACCCGCTGCGCGGCTGAGCTCCGTTCCTCTCCTACCCAACGTAATGCACAAAGCATTGAACGCAGCCCACCCCTGGCAGATATCCAACGTTAGGGAAAAGTCCTAATCGGATATTCGCACCTAGGCCAATTCTTGCATTTTACAAAGCTGCAAATCGCAGGAAACAGACTCGGAGCAAGGCCGGCTCATTCGCAAGCTTTTACTCACGGGATCAATCGCGCGAAAAGTCCCAGGGTCTGGAGTCTGGACTCGCGATTATCAGGGGTCATGTGAACCGACTGCCAAAGTTCTCCAGAGTGTCGGGCCAGACCCTTGTCACACTGGATGGAGTAACGAGGGGAACCCGGGAAACCCACTCTTGGAGTTCGGACTGGACCCAGAGTTGCTCGGGGAAAGCCCAGAAGGCTGAAGCTCAACCTTGAACCTGACCCTCTGATCAGTGATCACAAGCTCAGGTTTCAACTCAACTCCACCCCACGGCTTGTCGGTGTTCGAATGTTCGGTGTGCCGATCCCAACGGAGATGATGCGATGACAGCTACGAAGGCACTGCCGAAATATCCGTGAAAGTGACCATGAGCGAACGACTAGCCTGGGAAATGGGAACTGCTATTGCGTAATGGTCTATATTACTCTAATTGAGGGGATTTGAAAAATGGGGATTCTACCGACCAGGGGTCAGATGAGCTTTCCAGTTGGACTGGTGTAACACGAGATGATAGCTCAAAACTTCGGCCGCGGGAGCTCAATCGCATCAGTTGTTCGCCCATATGCAAGGCCTCCTAGACGGCTAATCGGTTTCAAGACCTTCAGGTCAACGACGTTCGTCTCCTTGTCGAACGCATCTTCCCGTACCCAGAATCGAACGCCCTCGATGATTGCCAAAACGCCCGTCTTTTTTCCTGGAGTCGCTCTGCTTTCAAACTCCTTGGTTTCAACGACCTTGCCTTCGATAGACAACATCGATTCCTTCACGCGAGCAGCCTGAACGACGGAACTAGGAGCTTGGTGTAGGCCGGACACCTCCCACTCTGATACACCATACGGCGCATTTACTGCAGTTGCGTTTGCGGCTTCGACAAAATGCTCTGAGATGATATTTATCACGCACTCTCCGCTCTCTGTGAGGTTCTTCAGACTGTCCTTGGCTTTTTCAAGGGAGCCAACAAAACCAACCGTGAAGAGCGGAGGATCATGGTTGATTACCTGGGCGTAACTGAACGGTGCCAGGTTTGCCGTCTTTCCGTCTTTCGATTTGGTGCTAATCAGGGCGATTGGTCGTGGGACAACCCCCGAAATCAGGAGCTTATAGTTATTTGAAACAGGTCGGCCCTCTTCGTGGGGGTCGATTTCGATATGGTTCTTGGTCAGGCTCTCGCCACCGTCGTTGCCGCCCTCGCCTTCTTTCCAATCAGGCTTGGGAGGCTTTGAGAACTTGACCTCGGTATCGCGCTCGAAGTCCGGTCGTGACGCCTGAACTTTGTCAAAGTCGTCGCCGGCCTTGAAAAACGCGGACGTGGTGGTCATTGCAGATTTCTGGCAGTGTTTACCAGAAGATGATAGTCCCTGAAATAGGGACGTGCGATTTAGAGATCGAGAAGAGCTGATTGTTGTTAGCACCACCAACCGTCTACGATCGGGATACTCACGGCGCTTGAGCAGAAAATTTGGACAAGGCGCGCAATGCTCTAGGACTAAAAGCACGGCAGGACATATCGACTGGCAACTTGTCCCAGTTATATGGTAGGTAGATAGAAAGTGCGAAGCTTCGAGGTCGAAAGGGATTATCTCTACCTGTAATTCCACGGGCTGCGTGCACATTGGCTCCCGTCCTCACCTTTTCGCCGTGGCATCAAGCCCCATTTTGGCCGTGCCATTGCGACCGCATTGCCGAGCCCCCGGCCCGAAAGTCGCTGGTCTTCCCCCGATAACCCCGCAAGTCATGAGCACCGGAAGTGGGACGCGGGCGCGGCGAAGATAACGTCATTGGCTAAGCTGGCGGTAGAAAGTATGAACAAGATGATTCCTTTAAACGAAGCACCACGTCAATCTGCCATCTAGAGTAGTATAGAAGCAGACGGCGACATATTTCTTGGTTCCGGACATGCTTCTGAACATCAGTTACAAAAATCTGGGCAAGGCAGGCTGAAGCTTCATATCGTGAGGCGCGAGGTACACAGAACGTGAACCAAGTGGGCAGACAGCTACTAAAATAGCCACAACGAAGTAAGGCCTCCTGAAAACCCAATATCTACTGCAAGCCTGTGGAAACGAGTTTCTCACAGAACATGTAGGCCCCATGGTTGATATTCGAGGCTCAGTGTATGCAACCTTGAGAGGAACAGGCTACAGATCTACCGGAAAACTCAGTTCATCGCAATTACTCAGGTAGACTTAATGCTATCACTGCCCAGGTGAGCCTAAATATATTTGCAAGTCTCCTGAAAGATATCATTGACCTCATTGCGCCTCGATCTCAAGCTCGGACGCCTTCATAGCCGGGTCCTCTTTCCTGAGACAGCATTTCCCCCGCTGTCGACTGTCAAGGGTTAGAACAGGAACCAGATATTCTAACCAGCAAATCTGAAATCCGGTACTGTCCATTCAGCCACGCGATTGAGGTCCCAGAAAGCGTATCCCCATTTCCAAGGGCCATGCCAAAGTCCAGTGTTAAGCACATGAGCAAGAAATGCATCATTAATGATGAAGGGGTGACCAGGCAAGGACCAACCGTACAGCCAACAGGGACCCGGACGCTTTTCTACTGGCAGTGTCTTGATAAGATTTTTGAAGCTTTGAATATTGCCAGTGCCGTAACAGTCTGCGGGATAGAGAAGATGTTGGGGATGGAGAGGGTCCGCAAGATTGCTTCCATGAAGATTGAAAGGGTTCTCAAGCGACATCAAACATTCAAAATGCTTGATGTTCGGCCTGATATTGTCGCATATGCAAGTCAAGACTTCCTCGTTTCGTTTGGTCAGGATGCTGTAAACGAACTTGGGACCTTTTGTGACTAATGCCGCCAGACAGTCAAAACGGTTTCTCGTAGCCCATCCATCATCAGCACCGTACTCTCGGAAGAAATCCAGTGGCGAGTGGCTGATATCATACGGTAACTCTAGATGTTCTTCGCAATACTGATCTGCAGCTTTTTCATACATTGGCTCTAGCCTGTCGTAAAGAAGTTGCCATATGCAGCACACTTCCTCTATCTCCCACGGCGGCATAGTGAGAAAGAACAGGCGCATCATATCGTCGGCTGGCAGTGAAGACACCATTCCAAAGCAGGTCCCATGGATATTCCCTGAAAGAGTTACACTCACATATGGCGTTACCGAATATATTGGCCCATATCTGCAGGCGATAGAACCCCCGGAGAAAGCGCCGTCTCTCGTCGACTGAAAGCTTGAGTGGCTTTAGCTGGCTCCATTTTGGTTCTCCTATCCAATCAGGGGCTTTCATGGTTTTTTGATAGTCTTCCAAAAACCATAGAGCCAATTCATGAAGGCGTAATAATTTACCCAGTTCTTCCACGTCTGGCTTGTCATAGATCAATCGTCGACGGCGGTCTAGAAGCGCGATAATCTCCTCCTTGTTGCTTAGTTCTGTAGCACATAGACCTTCTGAGCGGATAGCGGCCATTGCGTCTGATTGTATGACTAGTCCGTCCTGTCGAGCTTCAAGAAGTGTGCGTAGAATCCCATAACGAGTCGCCAGGTACGCATCGTGGAAGACCAGTGAGGAATGAACAGCGGACCTGAGGGTCTTCAGGTCAGACAAATTTTGAAGGACGATAGAGAGGACTTCGACCGGGAGGCTCTGTAGAGTCGCTCCTGCCTAATACGACGGGTTAGTACATTCTACCTTGTAATGATGAGAAACTGACCATGATGGTGACTTGCACCGAGTTTCGCGGATTGTATCAAACCCAGGCCGGACTGTGACAATGACTGGAATGGTAAAAGCAACTCAGGCAAGCAAGCAAAGAGACCTGGATAGGTGCTGGAGGCAAAGTTTCCGCTGAATGAAGAATGTTCCCTGAAGATGACTTCGAGAGCCTGTCTGGTGTTAGAGGAGCCTTTGCTTTCTTTTCGAGTTAGCTTGTAGTGATTGGAAGTTGAACCAGAGATGGCTTGTGTTAAGGGCGCCAGCAATTGCTTAACAACCTAAAAAAGCCAGCAAGCCAGCAAGCAGTTGGCCAATTAAAGCGAAATTCTTGCCTACCATCTCCTACTTTCTTCATATTGATGATCCGTACATACGGTTTCCGTACCCGCTCTTAGTCTTCTGTACAGAGTTTGTTTTTCTAGCAGCAATGGCTATCGCAGCCCAATTTCCTTGTCTGAGAACAATGTTGCTCTGTGCTCAAGATATTGAGGTTCCGGTGGCGTGAAGTGATAGGTTGGAAGGCAGCTAGACATTGGCCGGCTTTATGCTATGGATCTCCTACGCTGCACCAGTTCGGAGAGTATAAAGCTATACATATGCCATAGTTGCAGGTGGGGCTGAAGCTGACAAACATGGGGTAGAATAAAAAGCCGGGATTCCCCAGATAAATGTCAGGACATGGCCGCATGGGCCATGAGGTCAACATATCTGATTTTGATGGGACTCTAGCATAATAAGACAAACCATCCACAGCCCTTTATCCAAACCCAACATGTTGTGCGCAGCATTTGCTCTGATCCTCTTATTCTTAGTACTGCTGTCGAGGGGGAACTCTGAGGTGTCGGCCGCTGAAGGTGGTGGCTCCGCAGTATGCATGGAGGACAAGCGTTGGGGCATTCTACAAACTATAGCCGAGAGATTGGTAGTGCCCAACCATCCATGTCTTCGAACATGAAAGAGACTTTCGTATTTGATCATTTTTTCGTGAATCGAACTGCAAATGTTCGGTCCGTTTATTCTTGAAAGCACAAGTCATTGAGCAGATATGGAAATACACGCAATGATATAGAGAGAAATCAATCGAGTGCCATGTCTGTCTAGTTAAATAGGTTACTCAAGGAGACACCAATCGCTGTCTCGTGACCAGAGGGTCTTGTGACGGGTTGGAGATATCAAGGACTCACCCCTCACTCGGTCCCCTCACTCCACTTTATCTGCCTGTATCAAGCAGGAGCTTCTCCCAACATCGGCACTCGTTCCTTGCATCTTGGAGATTCTCAAAGATCAAGAGCAGACAACAATGGCCACGCAAGACTACGGGATATTCGGACTCGGAGACTGGGAGCTCCAGAGCGGTTCGAAGCTTATCAATGCCCATATAGCTTATAAGACCTTCGGAGATCCAACGTCTCCAGCTATTGTCTATCCCACATGGTTCTCTGGGGGTAGGTTTTATGTCCTGGGAGGGTAACAAGTCCCACTGTGAGAAGTAATGCTAATCAAAGGACCAGCCATTGCGGACAATTTCTGGCTCATAGGACAAGACAAGACTCTCAACCCAGAGAACTATTACATTATAGTTCCCGCGCTGTTCGGAAATGGCCAGTCGACCTCGCCCTCGAATTACCCAATTGAAGGAGAGTGGCCGAAAGTGTCCTTCTACGACAACGTCCGTGCTCAATATCAGCTTGTCACCGAGCACCTAGGAATAAATCACTTGCGTGCTGTAATCGGGTGGTCGATGGGAGGAGCTCAGACCTACCAATGGGCCACACAGTATCCTGACTTTATGGACCTGGCTGTGCCGTTTTGCGGTTCGGCGAAGACATCCCTTCACAACCAGGTGTTTCTCGAGGGCGTCAAGAGTGCTCTGCTAGCAGCGAAAGGCATCCAGTCTGCGGGATCTGGCCAAGGTGGTGTACTTGCTTCTGGACAGACGCTGAGGGCATGGAACGAGGCCGAAAAGGAAGTCGGACTCAAAGCATTTGGCAGGGGTTATGCTGGCTGGTGAGACTGGTCATCTTTCCCGGTTTGCGTGATCCTAAGATTCTGTTGAATGCAGGGGCTTCTCTCAGGCGTTTTACCGGGAGAGGCTGTATGAAAGCGACTTGGGATACAAAGACCTCGAAGACTTTATGCAAAATTTCTGGGAGGCTTGGGCTCTTTCTAAAGGTACTCAACTCCCCTTTGACAAAGAGCTAGCTGGCCTAATGGGCCCCATTATTTAGAACCGGGAAACCTTCTGGCGATGGCGCAAACTTGGCAGAATGGCGATGTCAGCAAGCAAGAGCCGTACAATGGCGACTTTGAAAAAGCCCTAGCAGCGATCAAAGCAAAAACGCTGGTGTTGCCTGCAAGAACTGATCTTTACTTTCCGTAAGTTCACACTATTAACGAAAGAATCAGAGCTGAAACCAGTGCAGGCCAGAAGACTCCGAATATGAAGTCAAAAACATGAGCCCAGGAGTCGGCACTCTTCGTGTTTTTCCGTCAATTTGGGGCCGTAAGTAATGCCCTGCCATGCTTGAGATCCACCTGACATTATTCTCAGATTGGGCTGGGGGCCCTGGTGATAGTAAGGATGATGTGAAATGGCTTGATGAACAATTGTCGAGTTTCTTTCAACAGAACTAGTGGTGGTGGGGAGTTTCTTTCAACAGAACTAGTGGTGGTGGGGAGTTCCTATGCGCTTGACGTGATAATACCAGAAATTCAACATTGAAACCTATCAATGTTGTACAAGTGGCATGATACACTAGTTTTCCAAATAGTATTTGAATGATGCATAGGTAGCAATATTGTCACTGCTCGAGTTGGTCTGAACTAAAATACTCCGTACTCCGGAGATTGAAGCAGATCATGTGATAGTCAATATTAGGTGCCCCCCAGGAGCTGAGTCAGCGGCGATCAAACCCCATCAACCACCTGAAGTCTGAAGCCTTTAGAGTTCGGGCTTTCTCACTGACGCGCTCATCGATCGATTTCACTTGATACCTTCCCTTGACTTGGTTTCTTTTCGGTTGCTCTATTTACTTCAGTTCCTTTCTTGTTTTTGATTTTATTTCCTCTGTTCGCTGCTCCAACTCCCGCTCCCTTTGCTTTCCTCTGTTACTCCAATTCTCCCGGTCTCCGCACTCGGAACTCGCCAACACAAGGCATCAATAGTCGCAATGGCAGCAGCACCGTCCACCGCTCGACAATGGGGTGTTACGCCTCCTATCTCAACCACATTACCGACCGCGCAGGAATTGTCAGCGAACGATGATCTCATCGCAGAGCTCAAGCTTCAGAACAACTTCGAGAGCCCGGCGGAGACTGAACGCAGGTAGGAGGACATCGCACACCTTCTATCTGGCGTGGCTTCTGATCTATTATCTCTCCATAGAAAACAAGTGCTACAGCTCCTACAGCGTGTCATGACCGAGTTCGTCAAGCTGGTTAGTCGCAAAAAGGGTCTGTCTCAAGCAGCAGTCGAGGCCGCCGGAGGAAAGATATTCACTTATGGCAGTTATCGCCTCGGAGTCTATGGGCCTGGTAGGCTATATTTATAGATATCAATTTAGCGACTGTGCTGATGATGCGCTCTTCAAGGGTCGGATATCGATACTCTCGTCCTTGGACCGAAACACGTGGTGATCGATGACTTCTTCGCCGAATTTCCTCCTTTGCTCGAAAGCATGGCCCCTCAAGGCGCGATCGAGAAGATGACACCGGTTCCTGATGCGTTTGTACCTCTAATAAAACTCGAACTGTCCGGTATCAGCATTGATCTCATTTTCGCCCGTCTGATTGTGCCGTCGATTCCCCTCAACCTTGATTTGAAGAACAATGACTACCTAAGAGGTCTTGATGAAAAGGAAGTACGGTCGCTCAATGGCACTCGTGTAACAGACGAGATATTGGAATTAGTACCGCAGCAAAAGACATTCCGCCTTGCCTTGCGCGCAATCAAGCTGTGGGCTCAACGTAAGCGCCGTCCAATGGTCTACAAAATCTGATGCTAACTATCTACGTCATAGGGCGAGCTATTTACTCTAATATTGTTGGGTTTCCAGGTGGCGTTGCTTGGGCTATGCTGGTAGCACGAGTATGTCAGCTGTATCCCCAAGCGACCGGCTCGGTGATTGTGGGCAAATTCTTCCGGATCATGAACAAATGGGCTTGGCCTCAGCCGGTACTACTGAAGCCGATTGAAGATGGCCCTCTGCAGATGAAAATCTGGAACCCAAAGGTAAACACATCCGACAATATCACCTTGTTTGGCCCAGATTCTAATGCGTTGAAAGATCTATCACGGCGACCGCTTTCACCTAATGCCCATAATCACGCCTGCCTATCCGTCCATGTGCGCAACTCATAACATCTCGATGTCCACCAAGGCTGTAATCCTCCGGGAGCTCCAGCGTGGTGGCGATATTGTGGACAAGATCTGGGCCAAGCAGGCAACGTGGAATGATCTTTTCACAAAGCACTCGTTCTTCACTAGCGACTACAAGTACTACCTTGGAGTCACTGCGTCTAGTAGAACGAAGGAAGCCGAGTCAGTCTGGTCCGGTCTCGTGGAGTCCAAGGTTAGACATTTGGTCGGAGCATTGGACCGTAAATCCACAATTGCATTGGCTCATCCATTTCCCAAAGGCTTTGAGAGGACACATATCGTCAACACTGAAGAAGAAGCTGATGCGGTTAAGAATGGCTCCCTCAAGTACCAAGATAAGGGCACCAAAACGGAGACGACAGACGAAGTCAAAGATGCGGCTCACCAGGCTGCGGCTCAAAGCGGAAGAGAAGACACCGAAGTGCCTGCTGCTGCAGACAACACGGCCGTTGATGACAGTCGGATAGTCTATACAACGACTTACTATATTGGCATGGAGTTGAAGCCGGTTGAACCAGGTATGTGTGCCACTTTTCCGTACCTGAACCCACTGACTTTTCACAGGAGCGTCCCGATCTCTGGATATCTCGTCAGACGCCCAGTTTTTTAAGTCCATGTGTACATCGTGGCCTGGGTACCAGCCTGGTGTCAACGATCTCTCCATTACTCATGTTCGCAAGTGAGTTCCTTTCGCTTTTTCGCTGAAGCCTCATCTAAGGTTTTCCCATGCAGTTACGATCTGCCTGAGGACCTTTTTCAGGAGGGTGAAACTCGGCCTACTCGACCCAAGAAGAAAGTTATCAAGAAAGCGCCAGCGGGCGGGCAGAAACGAAGCTTCGATTCCTTGGACGTAAGTGCATGCTTAAAGTCAGACCTTGCTGCGGTGTCTATCGTGCGAGTCCTCTATACTAAATTCAGGCTGCCGCGCGTCGCATGGTGCCCGAGAGGTCTAACTTCTAGTTATAACTAATGTCAACCTTGCTTCTAGGACTCCTCAACTCCCGCTGCAAAACGGCAAGTTAGCGACGCATATGCAACCGCCACCGCCACACCTGCGTGAAGCGTTCCAATTCCGAGACACAAAGTACACAAAAAAATAAGCACGTCGGGGCAGGTCCCCATAAGGTCGTGAGAAAACATCGCGGCGCCATATACCCCCAAATTCAAGGGTGAAACATAATGACAAACCAGACTGCGCTAACTCTGACTATAAGGAACACAGTGACCTAGTGACTCGCCTGATGTCAGATGTTATACAAGGTTGGTGTATCTTCCCCGCTGCCATTTCCTTTCTCTGCACCACCAGTTGTGAAGTCTTTCTCTCGGTCCATCTTAAATGACTCAAATTGGCTACGGAAAAAAACAAAACCAAACCTCTCTATTTGTTGAAGAGACGCGGCCCAGCTCGAGAAGACGAGTCTTCCTGTCACGGCACGTTACTTGCATATATTAGACTAGGCGTCATCTGGCAGGTTATCTACCCGCTGTACGTACTTTGTTGTTGTCTTTCGTTTTCAGGTGCCTTGTAGTTAGGTTAAATAGTTCAATGAAGGTGATATTCTCGTGGCCCACGGGCCACTTAGTCGATAATATTTGTTCCTGATCTTTACATGGTTTGTTGCTTAGCAACTATCTGGCGCAATCCACAATCGACGGGTCTACGGCTTTTCGTTCTTCTGATCTCATCGGAACCATAATACAAGTTCTACCCCTAATTCTATGGCCTACACTCTTTAAAGGAGACTGCTCAGCTCCACGCCTCAACCAAATCACACAGCGTAGATTCACCCCCAACATTCCCTGGAAAGACCACAAACGGCACACCCCTATGGCGGGAGGTCCCCTCATCGCACCTCCAGAGCGGCACGCCCGCTGCTGCCTGTCCAACAATCAAAGCCCGCTTCATTCGGAGACCCTTAGTAGCTGCGTCGGAGGACGTGATTCCACCCTAAGCCATCATTAGCCCCTTTCTCATGGTATCAAAAGAGGAGAATTGATAGGAAGAAATGGATACATACCTTAGCAACAACAAACCGCGGCCGTACCTCAATCCCCTCCAAAACAGCCACCAGCGCCTCCGCAACCCTCGACCCAATCTTCAGCGACGAGAGCTCGTTGTCACCCGTCACAAGGCCCCGGCTCGTCATGACAAGCGTGTCTTTACCGGCTTTTAGATTGCTCTCCGTCTGTGCGATGACATTCTTGACCACCTCCGCCGCGCCGTCCTTTGAGGCAATGAGGTCTTCAACCCGCATCTCAATCACGGAGAGTAGATCGCCGCGCCGCTCGGTGAGTACCTTGAGCTGCGCCGTTGTCTTGGGCACGTATGACCCGGCCAGGATAAGCCCACCTGTTTGGCGCGGATTGGGCAGTTGCAGCTCTGTTGCTGTAATGGGCGCTTTGTACGGGATTCCGAGACGAGTTGAGACGAATGCTGCGCCGGTGCGGTAGATATAGCGGGAGCCTTTGGCTTCGGCTTTACCATTATATTAGCACATCGTCACCATCATGTTGGCCAAGGAAAGCAAAAAAAAAAAACAGGAAAAAGACATACCAAGCAACAACCCCATAACAAAAACATGCATATCCGACTCGGCCGCCGCATTGGCAATCACCACACCACCAGCCGGGAATCTCAGTAGACGATCCCTTACACCCTCAGGCCCACCAACACGAACATCTTCCAATGTCACAGAATGGATCTGCTCCGGCGTAAACCGCCCGGGTGCCTTTTCAAGCACATAATCCCGCAGACTGGAGCTCTTATACCCGAACGTCGCGTCGCGCGCAAACTGCGTCTGTCCCGCGGGAACCAGTTCCTCACCTTCTAGGACATAGTGCACGTCGTCGATTGTGTACCGCCCACCCTGAAAGAAGAACGGCGCAAGAACCCATGTTGGCGCAACTGCATCAGCCCCAGAGCCAGCGTCGAATACGTTCAACGCGACGTCGACTTCTAACGGGAAGTGTCCGCGCAGCGTGCTATCGCCTCTGAGGACGACGTCTAGACTATCCTTGCTTAATCCGGTGTCCAGGGCGGCAGCGAGGACATTCTGGCAGATTTCGCGAATGAGGGTCTCTGCTTCTGCGGGCGGGAGGGCGCGAGAATTCGTTAGGATGAAAAATCCGCGCGAATTGGTACGAAATTCGGCGGTTAGAGTTGGGATGTCCCAGACTGTTAGGACGGAGATATCGTGGCAGGTTTGCGTGCCTGTTGGGTCATCGTCGAGGACGACGAGGCGGCGCAGGTGTGTGGAGGTTGAGGAGAGGAAGGTGGTGATTTGGGAGAGGGCATTGGAGGGATATTCTGGGGGGAGGGAGGCCAGGGTTTGGGCGCGAGGTAGCGGAGAGTATGTAGTCATCTTGAGTGGTAAGTACTGTTCCTGGACTGTTGAAGAAAGATGAGGGATGGTGGAGGCGGTTTTGTATGGAGATGAGGGGTCGGACAGTTCTGCGGGGTTGATCGGAGTTGGTCCGAAGAGTATGGAGAGTATCAAATACTCGGGATATGATGTCTAACAGTCAATTCCTCTCATGCTAGTAGGTCGAAATCTTAGGAGAACACCGGTAGCGCCAGGGCATGTGCAGAATATGTATGATGCAAAGGGGTCGTGACGAAGAGCAGATGCAAAGTCAGGAACAGAAAATCAACCACTCCGCAAACAAAAGAACCAGCGAGACGCAAATGAATGGCTGTATAGATCCAACATCATAAAACATTTAGCGAGATCGGTTTCCCAGCGTCCGCCAGAGCATGAAACCAATAAACCAAAACCGCCATCAGTATATCATGAGCCCGGCACACAAAGAGGCAAAGGATTAGCAGATAGACAGATGTATCAAGATAGACAAAACGAACGAGGGGGTATGCTCAACCAACCACACTGCGGAAACTAAGGGCTTCGAGAAACCCACCCAGGTCATCCTTCTGCACTTCGACCACGCAGTGCTCGAAGCTATCAATGCGAACCCGAGTGTTGGTCTCTTGTACGACTTCCTGGAAGGCGATGCCGAATCGGTTGCGCAAGAGGTGCTTGTTGCCGCGCATGTCTTGCTCATCTTCAGACTCGGATTCGGACTCCGATGACGACTCTTCCTCTTCGGATTCCTCCTCTTCATCTTCCTCGCCATCTTCCGCCCTTGCAGCTCGCTCGGCGGCACGCTTCGCTCGGGCTTCTTCCTTCTCCTTCCGCTTCTTCTCCTTGCCTTCCCTTTTTAGCCGCCGTTCTTCACGACGCTTATGCATGGCAGCGAAATCAATGACACCGCCCCCGCCACCGGTACCGACCACAACGTAGAGACCCCGGTCCTCGTCAAGTCCAGCAAGCACGAGCGGAGTGCCCGCCGCTCGCCTTTTTCCGATTTTGATAGCATCGCCTCGGTCTCGTTCTTGTACGCGGATGGCTTCTGCGACCCACAATGCCAGCTTGGTCAATGCTCCCGGGTTCGTAAAAAGCTTTACGTCAGGGCCGTCTTTGACAACCGCAATGCGGAAGGCCCGTAAGTGTCTGATTTGATGTTTCGAGAGTAGTGATGTGCCCGTTCGAAGGATAGCTCGGTGTAGATGCTGGGCAAGAGGCAACGCTTCCATGAGAAGCGTAGGCGATTCTGACGTTAGAGACAGCGCATCATACGCCGTCCAGAATCGTGGAAGAAGATTCGATGGATCCGAATCAGCTTCCTCGGGGCCAGAACTGCCCTCTATCCTCCTTATCCGGGGTAGACGCTTCGTATCCCATGCGCCTGGGACCTCTTCGGATCCAACCTCCAGGATTGCGCCCACCATGACGCCTACATCCGTCGCCGAGAGACAAGCCTTCCAGCCCCAACACCGTACAAAACCCCAACCTTCCCGTGATACAGCATGACCAGGAGCTTCTTGAGGTACCAGTCCATCTAACCCGTACATTGGTGCATACTTGAGCAATCGTTGCCGTAGAACGCGCTTTAGCTCCATGTCCATATGCGTGTAATTTTGGTGACATTGTGTCAGGCTGATTCCCATCTTTGCCAACAGCTTATGCAACCGTTTACGTCCGTTCTCCGTCCATACATGTAGTCTAGACGCCAGGTATGGACTGTGCAGCATGCTCTCATATAAGGACCAGTGTCGAACGAGGATGAACCGAGGCTCAGGAGACAATCTGATAGACTTATCGGTGGGTGATCGGGCAGTAGTAGGAATGACGCCGGAGATTTCCCCGCGAATGTCGCGGTATTGCTCGTTAGGGTCTGGCGGGTTTAATCGATGGACTTCGTCGCGTAATATTTGCCGTATTCGCTCTCCTCGCTCTCCACCCCATCCCGCTAGGCCTCCAGACTCCGATGAACTCGAGACACCCACGCCGGACATAGTACGGCCGCTAAGTTCCAAGCTACATACCCCGACAATGGCCAGCCAAAGGAGGTCGTTGTCTTCACGGCCCAGTTCCGACGCAAGGGAGTACATGATCGAGGATATAGGCTCGGAGTAGGAAGTACCGGAAGAGTAGTACTGTTGCAATATACTCTCGTGCTTGCGCTTTAATCGAAGTAGCCGTCGTCTCAATGACCGTGCGGATGGCTGTTTTGGCTGCACGGGCGAGGGCGAGTCTGATACGGGGGTAACAGAGCGCGACGAGTTTGAGGAATCGTGTCCAGTGCGCGTTCGTGTTCGGGTCGGTGACGAAGCTATAGAGGAACCCTAGTCTATGTTAGCAATCAATGGGCACCTCGTTCAAGAAAGAACGAGCATACAGAGTTACTCCGCCGTCGCTGCCGAGGCGGCCCATCATCATCGTCGAACTCCTCGTCCTCATCATCTTCCCGGGACCATGACTTGCGCTTCTTCGAGTCCGTACTTGATGGTGGCTCATCATCCTCGTCATCATCATCGTCCGCTTCCTCATCTACCTCGGGCATATCCAATAACGCACAGTAAGCCTCCCTCTCCTTCCCCAACTCCTCCTCAATATCCCCATCATCATAAACAACCACGCCCCCATTTCCACTCCCAAACTTATACGATACCGTAATGCACCCTTTATCCACGCCGCGAGTGTTCCTTCGCGCCGCACCCCCGTCCTGCTGTGCCCCCTCCCCGCCGCCAAAGACGTTTGCCAAGTTCCACGGCCGCCTTGCGTCAAACACCCAGACCTCCACGCCGCCCATATCATCCGTCCCTTCCTGTTCATCATCCCCACTAAGCCCTAATATCTCAGCGAGGTCCACGAGTCCGCCGACTCCCAGACAAACAACCACGCCTCCGCTACCTCCGTTGCTTGTCTGCATGGGCCGCACAAGCTCCTCGCCGGCGCGTGCGAGATCGCCATACCCAGCAACAGGATGGATCTTATGCGGGATGTAGTCGCGTTTTAGAAGGGCGGTTAGGATGCGGCACGCGCAGAGAGCGTCTGGTTCGAGGGCAGCGAGGATCAACACCGGCGGGGAGAGAGGGTGGTGTGAGCGGAGGAGCTGGAGGTAGAGATGGGATATTAGTTGGCGCGGTAGATACATGGTCTGGCTGTCCGGCTAGTGTGTCTGTTTGCCTGTATTAGGCCACGGTCGATCGAGTCGGTACTTTCGGTGGTGGTATATCAACGCGTCGAGAGGACATTTATAAGAATGGGGTAGTAGAGCATAGAGAAGAGAAAAATGAGGGAAATTGTGGTAGAAGACTGAGGCCTCTCAAGGCCCTATAATTGAATAGAGGAAGAACAGAACAGGCCTGGATGTAAAGGGCGGCGGGCGCTTGTGTTGGCTCAGTTTACTGTAAGGAAGCCCGATTTGGTCGCGCAGAGACGCGTCCAGGGCGTGCCGCACGTGCGGAGTCCGCCGCCAAGCCTCCTTCAAGGTTGACAGCGACGACATGCAATTACTTTTTTTTAATAATGGTCTTTTATTTCAGCGTTGACTAATGTCCTGATGTACCGTGGAGTCGATAATTATTGGAATGTCTTCTAAATTTCCTCTAGCCCGGTGGACGAATGCCAGGCAGTAACGGGTATGCTGTACGGAGTAGATGTCCTGAATAGCAGGCTAAAACGAATATCCAAGATTCTATAAGACAAAACACGAGTACAATTGGATCAGGCCACGGTCCCGCCTAAGGTAGATCCAGTGAACCAGATGGCAGCACACGCTCCCAGGATTGACAGCCCGATTAAGCGCTTCTCCCAAGGAGTCTCCTCACTCAACTTTGCAGGACCGACATTCCTCCTCTTGACTTCATACGCAGGTGAGTCTCTTGCCACCTCATGATGGGATGTGCTGTTGGCGGCAGCGTAGTCCTGGGAAAATGCCCGCCATTTTTCGACAAGCTGCGCAATCTCGATAAGGTCCTCCTTCAAGGAACCTGGCTCATCAGCATCGGCCCTCTCAACTTCGACGCTCTGGACGTTTCCGAAGAAGTCAACCACTGTTCGAAGGCGGCCTTCCTGCTCGCCTCCAGGGAAGAGATCCCATCGTACGCCGGGGTTCGAGTGGATCTTCGTTTCATCATACGAATCGAACAAGTCCCCCAGCGTTTGCTTCGAATCCAGGCTTGTTACCCGGTTTTCAAGGAACTCAAGCACATAATATGTCCAGCGGTCAATCACCGCTACACCCACATCGTTATCCGCATGGTGAGAGTAAGACGACTGGTCGAGCTCGCTGGACCCAGTCGCGATGATGTTGGGCGAGTAGAAATGAGTGTACATAGTGTTCGCCTGACATGTGTCGATCATGAACAGCAGCTCATGGTAGCGCTTCTTCTCCCACATTTGACCGAATGCATCCGCCAGATCCCACGCGCCAATCTCCTCAGCATCCTGGAATTTGAGGAACTGGTCGCCTCCATGTCCCGTCATATAAACGAGCACGTTGCTCCCGGCGTCGGACCCCAAACGTTTGCTGCGGGGAACATCCTCGTCCAGTCGGTCGGTCAACAAACGGATGAAATTTTCCACCGTAACCTCGTATCCCCGGTAATCTACTTCAATATTATCGCCGTATAGATCAACCGCGCGATCCGCATTACTGTAAACGGTCCCGGGGAAGGCGTTGCGTGGGTTGCAGGCCATGTCATCGGGAAGCATGAGAATGATCTGGGAGTCGGGAATCCCGAGGCGCTTCACCGTTCGGTAAAGTGACAGGACATTTGCGAGATGGCGATAGTTGAACCAGAAACGGGAGGTTGCGACGAGGACAGCCCAGTTGGATGTGTGTTCTGACGCGACCAGGGCCGCGAAAAGGAGGAACAGAAGGAAAGGGAGGGCTTGGAGCCCAAAGTACGGAGACATGGCGAGACGTAATCAGATCATAATAAGGTGGGAAAAGGAACGGACGATGAGAGCGCAACTCTCAACCAGGGCTAACTAGCTTGCACTGTGCGATGGCGATTCGCTTTCATCATAAATCAAGGGAGAACTGTGATGGTTGTTAGCTGCTGTCGGGAGAAAGTGGCTGTGGCTGTTGTCGGTGGATTATTAAGGAGATCAACGCCAAGCCCTGGTCCCTGTTCTATAAAGGGCACAGGCCGGGGGGAGGCTTTCGTAAATCAAAAGTATGTGTATACTGTATTCCTTACTACTTTAGTCGGTGTACAAGTATGGTTCGTTAGTTTACAGGTCGAAACTCTATACAGGTGGCATTTGACGCCCTATATCACTTCCACCTGCAAGCAATGAGCGGCCCGGCAAACTTTCCCTCGCCAGCTAATCAAAAAGCGAAGGATATGTTAATGACTATAAATGTTATCATCGCTGAACTTGCATGTTAGCTGGTATTAGATGAACACTCGAGTCGAGTACGCACAGAGATTTATGAAGATTCTCCCTACACTCTGTCGAATAATTCACCCAGACACTCACACTTTGCGCTGCAACAGGAAACGTCCCGTAACCCTTCCTATTAATCGTAACCTTTTCTGCTCGGTTCTCTAGGATATCTGTCCAGCATTCCCCAGAATGGCTACGGCCGATAAACATGCGCTTCCGACCTCGGCCTGCGTTGCTCATGATACAAGCAAGACCATGCGGATGGCGGGAGTTTCCATAACGGACGAAGCCTGAGCAGGGCTTTTTTAGTATGTAGCATAAGTATGGAAAAGCTCTGCTCCACGAACCAATGCAGTTTGCCTTGTCAAAGTAGTCCCTCTGCGCCCCATTTGCATACAGCTTGCGTGCCTGCATGAGAACTGAAAGACTGCGAGCGTATGGAGGTTCGGAGGGGCGCTTATTGTCCGTAACAATGCCGTAGAGGTCTCCATAGAAAACGCAGGGTTGTCCCTGGGCTCGAAGAAGGATCAAAGCGTATGCAAGTGGTTTGAAGAATGGCGCGATGGGAGTCTGAAGTAGTCGTCAGTAAGTCACAGATAAGTCACGCCGTTTAAATACCTCGAGTGACTGTCCTGGTTGCTTCAATGTATTCGAATTAACCGCCACCAGAGCATCATTGACAAACAAGCTTACCGTGTCATGGTTCGCGACGAATGTCTAAGTAGCCTGTGATCAGCAAGTCATCAGCTAGCTAGACACGGCATCTTACAACAGCGTGCTCAGGGCTCTTCTGGACAAGAGTGTTTTCGAATATTTGCCGCATATCGGCCCCTTCAGTACGTGAAGTGACAGAGAACCGGTTAAGGAGAGGGACGTCGAACAGTGAGAGCTGGAAATCCATGCGTTCCAGATAACTAAGCAGGATGTCGGTTTCGCCCTTCCAATATTCTCCAACGAAAAAGAACTTCTCCCCTAAAGGGCCGCCACGAAGTGTCTCGATAAAACTCTTCTGGAATGCGGCCGAGTAGTGCTTCACTGCATCCAATCTCATGCCTCTGAGAGGCAGCTGGGTGGTGATCCAATTGCCCCAACGGAGAACATCATCTCGCACCTCTTGGTTGGAATAGTCGAGGTTCGCAAACATGAGGTAATCATAGTTGCCATTTTCCTCACTAACGTCCGCAGCCCAGTCTTTGTTAGGGGTGCTGATCTTGAAGATTGCCTCTTCTTTTCGGGAATCATCCCGGTCGACGCCGGTAAAATGAACCCAATGATACTTCATTGAGCTATACTGCTCGCCACGACCACGAAAATTGAACCCTACCCAGCCCTCAATCTCTTTTGCTGGTGAGAGGTTTCGATTCCGGTCTATCATCCACAGCGGTTATCAGCCAGTGTAACCAGTATAACCAGTGCCCAGTAACTGTATATACTTACCTCGTGGATGCACTTTGACTGCTGGGAACCGCTCCGTGGTGTCAGCCCCAGCTTTGTGGTTGAGCACAGCATCCCAGTAGATTCCAATATCCAAGTCTTGTGCGCGAGAAGCAAAGCTTTGTAATTCTTCCTTGGTTCCCCATTTTGTCGCCCGAGACCCTTTCTGGTCGAACTCGCCGAGATCGTAGAGGTCGTAGATGTCGTACCCATTGCCAGACGGGTTCATTGCCTTGCACCCAGGGGGAATCCAAATGTTATCTATACCCAGAGCCTTCATTGTGGGTAATGCCCGTCGAAGTCGCCGCCAATGAGCTTTGTCTTCCGGGACATACCATTCAAAGGCCTGGAACATAAGTGAGTTGTCGGGGACAATCCATGACGGGAGCTCATGAAGATGCTCAGCTTCCTCTACCACGCCACAAATTTTCGTCAGTGCTCTGAAACAAATGCGCATAATCTCAAATGCATGAAGTCCTACCTACCCTCGATTTCTCGCCGTAGCTGCTTTTTCTTCCTGCGGAAAGAGTGGTCGCATAAGAGACGAAGCAACATTGCAAGTTAAGATAAATCCGATGCTATCCGTGAGAAGACCTAGTCATGCGCGGTGTTGTACGCTTTTATAAGAATCAAAACTCAACAGATGGCGGGTTGTTGAGATGACGAGAATAGTCATCGCGTTGCATTGAAAACGCCTTGCGTGCATGCAAGACACGTCAGCCTAGCACTTGATGAAGGCAGTTTGTGTATCAGCGGCCCATATATTGAACTTGATAGATCCGGAGATTGTGATGAGTAAGGTTCATATTCCTCTCAGGCCTTCGCGAAGGTTGCCATGTGTTCTACGGAGTATAGATCAGAAGCGAGAGATCCGGTACGGTGCGCCAATCAAATTGTTCTGGTTCTGCTTCCGTAATCGCCGCCTGAGGCTCTCGTTGCCCTATTCAACAGCTGGCAACAATAAAATGACGCAGCTGTTCATGATGGGACTTTCTTGAGCTAGAGGTGTTTGGCACAGACTCCTCTGTGCTTGGAGATGCAGGTTGGAGACTTCGACGAACAATCCTCCGAGCTCGAGCCGCGCCCGAGCAATTCCGCCTGGGTATTCCAATAATTGTCGGTACGTAGTAGACAGATGATAGAATCGATTCTGGTTCTGGGTCTTATTCAGCTTCAGAATACTTCCCGATGATGTAACCTCTTAAGGATGTCAACGTTGACCGGGCGATCGGAGTTAGCAGCGGTGGGCCGGCCAAGCAGCGAAAAGTTTTCGGGTGCGGGTTCCCTAGCCCCCGGCCAAGTTGTCGCCATCCCTTCCAACATCCAACCTCCCGCCTGGCTTCAATTTCTTCTCCCATCCTATCCTCTGCAAGGCCTCTCAATTGCCTCCGCTTAATCCGTCTCCACTCTTCACTTTCTCATCTCTCATTTCCGTTTTCTCTTTTCTTTCTTCCCCGTGTAACACCCATCACATACATCCCTCACAATGGCCGCTAAGATCGATGCTCCCGCTGCTGCCCCTGCTCCCCAGCTCTCTGGGCTCCAGCTCTACTCCAGATTCGCCTTCGCTGGTGCTGTCTGCTGCTCCATCACCCACGGTGCTCTTACTCCCGTCGATGTGTAAGTCGCTCTCATTGCGCCTGTTCGCCTCTGTTCGCGCATGCGCGCCTTTCCGAGCGATCCGTCGTCTTTGTTTAGCCTCAAACAAAGCGCTAACTCGTCGTTCTTTCGCGCCGTACAGCGTCAAGACCCGTATCCAGCTTGACCCCGTCACATACAACCGTGGTATGATCGGTGGTTTCCGCCAGGTCATTGCCAACGAGGGTGCTGGCGCTCTCCTTACTGGTTTCGGTCCTACCGCCGCCGGTTACTTCCTCCAGGGTGCTTTCAAGTTCGGTGGTTACGAGTTCTTCAAGCAGCAGTGGATCAACCAGCTCGGTATCGAGTCTGCCTCCAAGAACCGCACTGCTATCTACCTTGCCTCCTCCGCTACCGCTGAATTCTTCGCCGACATTGCCCTCTGCCCTCTCGAGGCTACCCGTATCCGTCTTGTTTCCCAGCCCGAGTTCGCCAGCGGTCTTCTGAGCGGTTTCTCCAAGATCCTCAAGAACGAGGGTATCGGTGCTTTCTACTCTGGTTTCGGTCCCATTCTCTTCAAGCAGTAAGTGTCCGAGCAGCACGGTGGTTGCTTTGGCGGTCTCTAAACTAATTATTCCAGGGTCCCTTACACCATGGCCAAGTTCGTCGCTTTCGAGAAGTTCTCCGAGGCTATCTACGGCGTTGTCGACAAGAACACCCTCTCTGACGCTGGCAAGACTGGTGTTAACCTTGGTTCCGGTCTCCTTGCTGGTTTCGCTGCTGCCATCGTCTCCCAGCCCGCTGACACCATGCTGAGCAAGATCAACAAGACCCAGGGTCTCCCTGGTGAGGGTACCACCTCCCGCCTTATCAAGATCGCCAAGGAGCTTGGTCTTAAGGGCTCTTTCTCCGGTATCGGTGCTCGTCTCTTCATGATTGGTACCATCACTGCCGGTCAGTTCGCCATCTACGGAGACATCAAGCGCATGCTCGGTGCCACCGGTGGTGTCGAGATTGCTCCCTCCAAATAGACGTGAGTCGGTGTTGTGACTGTTTTGGTGTATTATATTGCGCACTAGATTTGCCTTATACATTGTTTCTAGTAGATTTTTCGTCCGAAAAGTCTTAACGACCCTTCTATCTTCTTTAGAAATATACTCTTTGCCAGATGTTTTTTAAGGCTTTGGATTCGAGTACACCCTACCTAGGTATTACCTAGTTCACAGTAGTGTAATACTTGAGAGATCGAATCGCTGACCGCGAGAACAGTCGTCCGTTTTAGGTGCTCAGCGAAAGGCACCCGATCTTATACATCTTATCGGTTACCAACGGGAATAGTTGGCCGATGCAGACTGAGTACGCGCTGAGGAAATGTCAAAGATGTTTTCCCGCCGCCGCGTCCACTTTGACTACGAGATACATTCGATTCCATGGATGTATCTTCGGCCGCCTGATATTAGGAGGTCAAGCCAGAACGATGTATGCGATAGGGACAGATCGACCACGCCTCGTTCCTTATCCTCACGACGATCTCCCCAGGCGCTGAGACGGGGAGACGAGGCACCAGACAGTCGGGTTTCGTGTTAGAATAGTTATATTTTTGGGACAGCAACAGCTCAGCAGCAAGTTCACGGACTTGACTGCCAGGACCGTCCCATAGTATGGCCCCGTGGTGAGTAAGTTGAAGCCCACTAATCCATAAAATGTAGTATGGCCTAAACTAACCCAGACAACGGGCAACATCTTCCCAGAATTGCGCGGGAAAATTACGGTGACAAGAAAGCTGGCCTTCATCGTCCGATCGATAATGTTAGACGTCCCTGCGTCTATATCGGGGCATAGAGTTCGGGTTAGATAACTCATCCTCCAGCTGATTTTCCAGCGCTATTCAATCCATGGGAATCCGCCCTAATCTGAACGAGCCGGGGTCCGCCTTCGCCATCTGCCACCGACGCCCCAGTACGCGGAGAGTCATGGCCAGATCGATGAATGGGTCTGTGTTTTCGCCTCGGGCACAAGGTCGAGCAGTCAGAAGCGCAACGCTAACATAGTGAATGTATGTTACCGATAAAGAGTCGAGGGTCCATGTACTAGAGACCTTTCGGATAAATGGGCAAACCTCGGTTTTGGCATCAATGCCTGTTTATGGGACATTGTCTCCGTGAAGCTTAACGGGCTGGCTAGTTGTCAGGGTAAGAAGGGCTTACGAAGTAAGACTGAACAGACCAACTACCTACCTACCGTTCGGTCCGAAGCCCTAATCATTTCGTGCGCCGTATCTCCGGCCCTCACAATGATTGCTCTCGTCTCGCCATAATCTCCTTAGCAATTGCTGTGATCTCAGAAAAGTATTGCCAATTGAGCATTTCCTTTCCCATGCCATACGCACTGAGTCTCGGTTAGGGCCGGAGCTTTCGTCGTGGGACAATGAATTTGACGTCCCAGAGGTATAGGTATCGCACACCGGGCTTGGACACTTGGCCCTCCTCCTGATTTAGCAAAGTCTTTGCCTTCCTCGCCCAATGATTCGTTCTTGCTTCGGATAAGGCGTTTGCGGCGGCCATCGCCTCCCGCATCGATAGTGCAGCTTGCTCTGGTACGGCGGCAGGCTTCACAGGCAACACCACCCAGACACTGGAGCGGATAAAATTCCCAAGGTTAGCATGCAAGACCTTGTTACACGTGAAGGGGATGGGGCCGCATACCTTGCACTTAAGCCTCCGACATTCTGTACATGCTGCAGCTACCTTCTTCATCCAGGCCTTTGTAACCCCCGCTCACATCGTTTCTGTGGATAATAGGTAGCGACCCCACGGGCAAATCTTCAGATCGTAGTGGATGCCTGGTATCATCGAATTCTTGAGTGGGCTGCGGAGCTTTTGCCTTGCCTTGCCCATGACGACATATCAACTGCGTGATTAGGAGACTACAGTAAGCCATTCCAGCTAAGGTTCTGTTGTTGCTCCTCGTGAAGATTCGTCGGCTCGATACAGCATGCATTACCATGCCATGATCAGAACAAGATAGGCTTACCTAAATGCACAGTCCCCAGTCGCCGACGAAGTGACGGCCGAATCCGCATTCTCACGCGCGAGAAATGCATCGCCTCAGCCCAGGCCGTCAGCAGCCACTTCGCCATGCTGGGTCTTACTGGGGTCAGTCGCGCAGACCCGGCCAGTGACATACAATACATTGCACCGGCGCTCTATATCTGGTTCAGATATGTAACCTTCAAGTAAACGAAATCTTGTCAGCTGATTGCGTTGCGGTCTTCGAAGGCTTCAGCACGGTTTTGGGACAGGAAACAATCTAACTGTCCCTACCCGGATCTTGCCACCACTATCAGCCTGAAGGCCTGGGAAGAACTTAGCGTTCAGAAGAGCGGCTGAAGAAATGGAGGCCTGACGCCTTGAGGGATGTCATCCGAGTCATCATCTAAGGCGAGTGGCTTTGGACCATGAGGTCTAGACAACAAACAAAGCACTATATCCTTTCTTGGACTTATATGCCTTTTAGGAAGAATGATTGCTTACTTTCAACTTTACTCAATAAGGCTCTTTTTCAGCCACCACTTAATATATTTCCAGTTTGCACGACATTGGACAGACAGCGATGATGTGCATTAGACGAAGATTTAGACCCCGCTCGGTGTCGCACAGAGGCTGAGGTCGTCGGACTCCTGAATTCGACTGGGAGCAAGGGATATGCATCTTATCTTGCAAGTACCCTGGGCCAGGTTACGAAAACCCCCAAGTGATGCCATGTTTCTGAGTTCGGAGAATGTTGCCTCGCTGGTGGCTAGTAGATGATGAATATTGCTTGCTAACGGGATAGATAGGCAACCTTGGTTTAGATTAAAATATACTGTGGCTGGCCTAATCACTGACTGAAGATCCATCTGGGCTCCTTCCAATTCCCCTCTTGATCCTTCAACATGTTTTCTACGCATCCCTCAGCCTTTTTTACTATGTCTACGGAGTATATCTTATGTGTGCTTTGATGGGGTATGCCAATGATCAATGTCTTACTATTATCTTGTTCTGCGCCTTGCATTACATCTGTTTACTTGCGGTCGCGTCTTCGGTTCATGGTTCCACCTCCCTTTCTCCAACTCAACTGTCAACTGTCGCTGTTGATTAATAACCCCTACTTGGAGCCGTAGGGGAGCAGCAGAAAACTAAGCACGGTTCCTCGGATTTTCCTGCTTGTTCACCTTACCATGGCGACGATTTCCTATTATCATGAGGTTGGCTCGCCAGCCCGGCCCGTCACCCAACCACCAGGACAAGGCTCATCATCATGGAGATTTATTGCTCCAGCGTCTTCTTACCTGGCACTCGTTGGGTACATAACGGACTCCAGTCATTGTTGAGCCACAATTAACTGACGTCTTCTCATTCTAAGGTTTCTGGTGATGCCCTTGGCATTTGGCAACACAGAGGCATCTGAGGGTGCCCCCAGCCATTTCAACAAAGCCGCGGCAGTAATTGTGGCATCTGTCCTAATCGGAATTGCATACTCGTCTTCGCTTTTGCTCTTCTTGCTTCACTTCGATGAGCCAATGCTCTTGATTCAGTCGTTACTTGTGTGGGTTTGCCTACCTAGTGGGCACTGCACGACTCTCCTGGGGCTAACTTGACGACTTACGCAGTCCTGGAATCATATCTAATGCCCTAGCATTATTCAATGTTCTCATCAATATTCTTTACCGAGATTTAACGCCTTTAAATCTTTTAGAGATCCTGAGTCTAAGCTTATCGGCCGCGTCTGTGTTTCTTTATACACTGGGCGCTCTCTGGCTCTATTCACGCGATGTCAACGAGGCGGTTGCAGAGGACTCGAATGCGGAAACAGTTCTGTTGACGGACGAGGAGATGCAGCGGCAGCAACTGCAGCGCCTTTTGGAGCAGAACTCTTCAAGGAAATCACTGAGCCCTAGGGCAGTGCAAAAGACCTATCGGGTCAACCACCCTGATCGCGTCAATTCTTTTCTACCTCCACCGCATGAAGACGGATATTTTGGTTGAACGACTGCGAGTGCGAAGGTTGCGGAGTAACGGCTCGAGTGGGTCAGGCGTTGAGACCTTAATGATCAGCCCTATATACACGAGGATGGCGATGTCCACGGGTTAGTACAGCTGCCTTGCGAAGAGGCCGGCGATCTGGCATGATCATTGCATACATATTGGAGCCCCTTTTACAGTAAAAGAAAGGTAATGCCTGAATCCTGATTTTAATTCTGAATGCTGTGACTTTCCCTTTTTTTTCACATGCAATGAGCGTTTATGTTTGCTTGCTGCCCTTTTCAAAGACATCTAGGCTACCATCAAGTTCTTTTCTCTAACCAGGACATTGGTACATGACTTTTTCCCGTTATTTCTTGTCCATGCAGCATTATCCGGTCCAGATTGGATTAAAGAAGTGGAGAGGCTACCTAGCATAGCTCGGCTCAAAAAGCGCCTCGGCTATTACCGCAACGGGTTGGCGTGGGTCATACAGCGCGTGAAGACATCTTCGGCATCTTCGAGCATCCCAAGATTTCCCCTTAAATACTTGCTTGATACCTCTAGAATAATTTTGATGTTCTACTTAGCTTTTGCAACATAGAATTCAGGTGTTCTAATCGAAGATGTCAAAACGGGTGACGCTTTTTGAACCTCCGCTGCTGGACTCGTCCAAGGCGCAGATCGAGAACGTGCTGGAGCTAACGCCGGTGGTTGACATTGGGCCTGTCCGTCGTAACTCCTTGACCTGCATTCTTCATTACCTCTTCTAACCGGGATAATTCGTCTCATTCAATAGGATGTTTTCACCAACACCCGTCCCCTCTGGCATCCTCCAGGAGCCCGAGGAATTTACGGCGGTGCCGCAATCGCGCAGTGTCTTGCTGCCGCGATGCGGACCGTCCCCGCCGACTTCGCAGTCCACAGCATGCACTGCTACTTTGTCCTCGCCGGAGACTCTGAAATCCCTATCTTATACCACGTTGAACGAGTGCGCGATGGGCGAAGCTTTATTACACGAACGGTCCAGGCAAGGCAGCGCGGCCGGCCCATCTTCACAACCACCCTGAGTTTCAGTAAAGCAAATACCGGAGGGAAAAAGAAGCTCCAACACGCTTCGTCAATGCCTCCGGTTCCCCTCCCGGCGCCGCCGAAGCCTAGCGAGACACGATTCAACCCGAACGGCGGTGGGCCGTTTGAATCAGCCCGTGACGAAATAATTAATCGTGAGTCTTGATGCTCGGAGGATTTGAAACCCTAAGTGGCGCAGCTTTTCTGACAGGACGAATAGGCGACTCCAAACCCGAAGACAAAAGGATCAGACGCTGGGTGCGATGTAAGGGAAAGATCTCGGACGCCGGAGCCCAGCATGCCCACCTGTCAGCTCTCGCATACATTACGGATAGCTTCTTCATTGGCACCGTCTCCCGGGTACACAACATCCCGCGATTCTCGTCCGCAGCAGAGCTGCAGAGGGCGTTGAAGGCTCTGAAGAATCCATCCGATCTCGACGATGAGGATATTGTACGAGCCCTGAAAGAGCTGAAGGAGGAAGAGGCGGCAGATTTACAGCGCCGGCTGGAGGGCGCTTTAAGTAAGCTCGAAGACCGCAAAAAGAAAGAAGACCACAAGGAGATCGGGATGATGGTCAGCCTGGACCATACCATCTACTTCCATAATCCTTGGAAGTTCCGGGCGGACGAATGGATGCTAACGGAGATGGAGAGCCCCTGGGCTGGTGAGGGGAGGGGTCTTGTCCTGCAGAAGATTTGGGCTAAGGACGGGACCTTGATCGCCACATGCACCCAAGAGGTAGGTTTTCTTCTTTTAGACTGGATGGATTCGAATCCATGTACCTTTCCTTGCAATCGTTCAGGTGGCTGATTCTTAAACCAACCTACAGGGAGTCGTAAGGCTCAAACAGGACGAGCCGATTCGCGCGAAGATCTAGATCTTTTTAGATCTGTTAATTTCTACATAATTTTTTTTAGACTTCTATGGGCGGTATTCTCCTTTTAATTCGAATTTACCGGGCACCGTACAAACCCTAGTCACTACTACGTATATACCAAAGAGTATCTCGCAATCCAATGTGGTATTTCTTTCCAGAACATAGACAATCTCGATGGTTGTTTAAACCATACAGTTTGCGGAAGCCCCTTCACGCAGTACCTATGAGCAGGCTACTTCAAAGTCGGCACATGTAGAACCGTCCTCCTCTCTCCAGTCATCAAGGACTATAACAAAGCTAAACAACAAGGAAACCATGATCAACAGTGAGAATGTCAGATCAGTGCACGCAAGATAAAATGCTTTTGAAATCAGAAAGCCGCCCTCCCAGAGTTTTTTGCAGACCGACGTCAAAAGGAGTAAACAGAAATGCAAACACTCGGCAAATGCAAACGATGATGGTGCGTAGTGCTACAGAACGCCTTCTCCTGCTGCTTCCTCTTCCTCTCCCACCTTCCATTTCATGTCCATTGATTCCTTCTCTTCGCTCAGACATCCAACTTTTCGAGCTTCTCCTCTTGTTTTTGACATTCCTCCTCGTTTCCGGAAGCCTTTCCCAGTTGCTGACGTCTCTTTTCGCAGAATTCGAGAGCTTTTGCACCCCAGATTTCTCTGCCCTTGTACTCACCCACATGCTCCGGCCAGCTCTTCACCTCTCTCGCCAGATTCTCAAGCTCCTGCATCGGGAGCTCATCAAGCGTGGTCAGAAAAGTCTTGACCCCAAACACGATGGTCCCAGTTCGGGGAAGCCTGCGGAAAGTCTGTCTTTCGCGCCGAATAACGAGGTCCTGCGGTGATGGATCCGGATTGTCCTCCGATAGCGTGGTGGGACGGTACAAGATATCGAACAAGTCTTCGTCTGGTCGTTTGACTTCGACGAAGTAGTTGGATCGTTCCATGGGAGATTCGGGCGTCAGACGGCAGAGAAACCTTGGTTTAAGTGATGTCAGTTAGAAGTCATCTTTCATGTGCTCCTGGTTCGACTCACTTGCTGACTGAATTGGCTACTTGCTGGTGCCATAATGGCACTGGATTGTGCAGCCGAGAGATTGTCCACCCAATCCGTTCTGCTACTGTCCAACCCACGGGAAAGAGACTTGCGCTTGCGGCACTATATAACCCAGTTAGCCCTGCGACTCTATATATGCGTGACTCAATCAAGTCCAGATGATTTTTCGCACTCACAGGTAATACTCCCCATCCTCGTTCTTCATCAGAATGCTGAGGTCCTCCATAGTCAATCTCACAGCGATCTCCAACGGGTCCATCTGCCCGGTTCTTTTCCCGCCAAAGACGAATGTTTCGCCCGTGACTTTGTTGTACACTGTTGTCTCCTCACCGTGCTTTTTCATATCGAACATGTTTGAGAATCGCTGGGTCAGAAACTCGACCACCTCCTCCAATGCTTCAAGACACGCTTCATATGACTCTGGTAGGCATTGAAGGACCTTATGTCTCTCTTGTGCAAGCAATTGGCTCCTAACAACATGCTCATCCATGTAGTTCTTGTCCAATGTGAGCCAATTCTCCACGTCTAGCTTTCGAACATCCATCATCACCCGGTACCTATCTCTCCCTTTAATGGGCTGAGCTGGATATGGGGCCATTCGTTTGATGTCATTGCAGCCAGCACGTTGTGCAATGCGCTTGGTAGCCGCCAGCCATGATGGAAGGTCTTTCCTAATCCTCAGGGCGAGAAAGGTAAGCAACAGGAATGCAAACCCAATCGATGCTAGGGTCTTCATTTCCTCTCGGTAGCTCACTGATGACGAAGAAAAAGCCAAAATGCAAAGAAAGAAGAAAAAGAAACCAGATCTCCTAAGAAACTTTCAAGCTCTCTCACACTTCTTCAAGCTCCACAACTCAAACCTGGCCAGACGGCGAAAAGAATCCGATCAGCATGCCCAAACCTTCTCTCCTTCTATGAGGGCAATGGCTCCAATTATAACCGGAGCGACAGCGTCGGGCAAAGATCATCACTTGGGTCATACGATTAGCTATAATTTGGACCTCAACATTCCGGATTCAGTATGCTTGGTTGGACTATGATACGGTCTACTTTTCCCCGCAAAAGCCGCAATTCGCCGCCCCAAAAAAAGAAAATGGACCTGACAGCATCCACATGATCGAGCAGAGTTTCTCAGCTTTGCAGGTCAATCGAGCTCCACTAGGCTTTGGAGTCAATAATTGTAGGAGCCTGGAGGGGGTGGTTGCAGGATCCTCCAGGATATGGATTCTTAGTGGACGAGGAGACACAAATAGTGCCGCAGGTTCACTCTGGCCCTAGATCCGCAAGGCTACTGTAGCTAAGTCGTCACTACCGCTGCAACCGTGCAATACAGGATGTGCGAGGCTAACCCGATATAGTGCAAATTATGGGGAAAGTGCAGCAGCGACTATGGAAAGAATCAATCCAAAACTCGTCAGGCGAGCTCTCGCGTATCCGTCCGTGCGCATTGATTCATGGCAGACCTCGTGAGCTGTGTCCAGGCTCGAGGAACTGAAGGGAATATTGAGTTTCCCTGTCTCATAGGTTCCTGGGGTTCCGTTCCTGTGGAATCAAAGCCCTTAACTCTGTTTTCCCCAAGGTTGACGCCAGGGCGTCTAGGAGCAAAGGAGCAATGGAGCACCATCAGGACCTGATCAAATTCAAAGAAGCAAAGGGGAGAAACGGTTGCTGACTGAATTAAGAAAAGTAGGAAATGGCGCACCAGAGCGATTACTTCGAGGCGCCGTTTTATGACACCCGAGCAACATCCAGATTGGGATTTGTTGAAGATCATACATCATTCTTACCCTTGTGCAACACAGTTCCCTGGAGAGCGTGGGATGCTGCGTGGCCCAACCCAAACTGGGGCTTTGACGGTCACCAGCCTCAAATTATATCAATATCACCTACCGTATAGCCCCGTCCTCTGACGGCGTGAGAGTCATCCTTGGTACGTACTTGCTCCTTGCCCATACGACTTACAGGTGACCGAGGAGAGACATACTCCAAACATCACTCCCTACGGAGTACGAAGGGCATTAGTTTTCAAGCGTCCTGTGGGGGTGCCTGATTATTCCGTGGCCAATGACTGGCCGGTACGATTTCTCGGCGTTGCTGACACTATCACGATCCACGAACTAAGTTCGTGTGGACGGTCTGGAGTCAACACTGACGTACTATGAGGTGGCCTTGCAGGCGAGACCTCTTCGTTTGATTGCTGTGCACTGCCATGTTACTCTCCTCATGCCGGATTCAACTAGAGAGATGCAACGCTATAGAACACTAACGAATCAGCAAGCAAAAATGGGTAATAGGCCTGGTCTTTCACGTTCTATGGAGCCTAGAAACATATTGCGCCGAGGATTTACAATGAACGTTGACTCACAGAAACAGAAGGTCGACAGGAAGGGCGAACGAATCCGATGACCGATCCAGAGTGCGCTGTGTTTTACTCGGCCCGCTGGGACTGGGCCCAATGATCAATCCAGGGGCTTTCAGAATTCTGCTATGGTCCGTCTGGGGTTTTGCGCTGCAACCGCCCCATATCTCGGAAGCGCGCTTGCCGCTGGATATTATCATGGAGAAGGGAGTACAGAACATGTCCGAATGACAATCAATCTCTTCAATTATTCCCATCTGGCGGTGTCAGAGGACGGAAAGATGTTTACCGGTTCCTTGTCGGTATATTCCTTTTTTTTTTTGCTTTCTTTTCCGGTGCCCGTTGCTTGCCGGTCTTTGTTCGGCTTTTCTACATGTCCTCTTACCGGGCTTCCTGCGAAGTGTTTCCCGATTCCCGTGCCATGGAATCCAGCTGGTTTAGTTCTCCTTCCAAGGTTCATTATTTTCCCGGGATCTTGACGGGGTACTCTCTTTGTTGACACCTTGCATTATCCTCTGAAGCACTTTTGAAATCTACCGGGCTCTTTCCCCGAATCCTTATTTGTCAGTTGTTTTGTGTCCTTTCTCGCCGTCCGTCCAGGCGCGGAGAGACACAAATCCTCCGAGGAAATATATGCCCGACAACTGTCACGTTGCTTTTAGACAGCCAAAACTTGTCAATCACGGACACGACCGAACCAAATACGATGCAGAAGCCCATTGGTACCAGCTAGGTCGGTGATTGAGGTAAACAAGTATCTGTACATGGGTCCAGGTCACACCGAGCAGACATAGCCCCGCGATATTACTCATGCAACTGCGCATGGAACATCCCTCTTAATCCGATGTGATCGAGTAGGGCAGGGGCATTCGCAGCTCTATAGCCAAACGGCACTACTCCAGAGCACTGGCAGACACACAGACTCTTTCCCATGCTGGTTTAGTTCGGCTCACGTGGTGGGTAATATTACTCACGAGGAGGCAAGCACCAGCCTGTCGTCCCTCGCCCAGCCCCGGAATCCAATCAGATCCCGGGGAGCCGAGCAAGGATCTCTCCTCGGTGCACGGACGTGTTTTGAGCTGATGCGATGTGATGCAAATTGCAAGGATCTTTCTCCGCATTCTCGACCTCGAGCCTATGGGACTCATGCACGACACGACACAGTTAACGGGAGGAGGCTGTGGCTATGCTCAGGCTATTGACAGGGGGTCTCTTCCCGAGGTCATCGACGTTGGATGCCTGGGATACCTGCAGACTGGGGCCATGTGGAAATCGCCAGGCCGCTTTACTTCCCACCTGCCTAACCAGTTCATGAGGTCAGTGTATACTGACCGGGGTCGCCGACCTGGTTTTGGACGCACGAGCACATGGTCACGTAATACGCACCCAACGCCATTAAGATGGAGTAAACCAGAGTAAATGGTACGGAGTATAGTCCATCGGCTTTACCCGAACAGACCCTCCATACAGTGAGATTGACCCCAGCGAAGGTCTAGTCCCTGGCTATATCAGGCATCATCCCGAAAGACCAACTCATGATCTACAAAGTTACTTCGAGGTACGTCTACTCTAACTGTAAGAAATTCCAACGACTCGCTCGTCCGAAGAAACAACAAAAGCGACCCGATAAAAAAGAGTAAATAAGGCTTTGAGCCGAGACAAATGTATTTGTTAAGGTCCCAGCAGGGCTGCAGAAGCCTCTCATTTCTTTTTTTTGTTCGCGCTAGGCTGTCATAGGTACTCAATCCTAGTCTGGGCGCGGAGGACACTTGTGACTTGGGTTTTGACTGTCAAGACGATCTTACGATCTTCCAATTGGGCAAGTATATCAATTGAGTAAGCCCCGTTTCCTCGCCCTACTCAAGGGCAAAGTTCAGCATCTATTTGTCCTATATTTCTATTATATTTCGTAACTGTTGACATGTCTATTATAACCATTCTCCTACGAATGCCAGCCTAAACGAGACGACCAAATTTCGATAGGCCAATATTGGTTCTCGGAGCAGAGAAAGATGACTCTCTTCTTACCCAATGAAGGTTTGGCTTGGGAAAGAAAGAACAAGCTATATGCTTGCCATTTATTCCGCGGTAAGTATCCATCTGACTTGCCTTCTCGGCCCAAGATGCTCTGTATAACGGATCTGTCCGTCCAGCCTGGTGAAGTAGATTTGTCGTCTAAATGTCTCCCGCTGCATCCATCAATTTGATCTCGAGAAATTCCAAATTATTACTACTGAGGTTTCTGAGATGGAAAGAAAAAGCCGATGAATAGATGTCATGAATCAATAATCATAGCTGTGTAAGATGTATAAACGGTATAGCGGTATAACCTAACTAAGTAGGCAAAGGTATCCAGAAAAAAAAAGATAACACCAAGCAATAAACCGATCTCGCGGCCAGTCAAGTCACTCACTCACTCGTCACTCAGTCAAAGGTAGATAGACAGACAGATGGATCGATAAGTAAAAAAGCAAATCAGGTAAATCAACTAACAACCCCCACGGCGAGACGGGACAGAAAACGAAAGCGGAAAAGATATCTTGAAGTTGGGCTGGGCTGAAGAACCTTGACACGAACGGGAATCCAAAGGAGGAGAGGCGAGGAAAAAGCAAGTAGTAGGAAGGTGATAAAATGGGAAAAGAAATGTCAATGGCTGTATCCTTATCATCAACAGGGAGCGATAAACCGTCTTGGATATAGGGAAACTTCAAACGCCATTCAGTGCAGTGTTGCTGACGGAAAACAATTTCGTGTATGGGATAGTGAGTCTTGAGAAAGTCGAATGCCACACTCGGCAGTCTTCACCGCGCCATCATTCTTTCTTCTTCTCGCATGATTAAAGACGACATCAAGGATGAGATGAATTGGAAAGGCTCCCGCAACAGGAAGCCTTTTTTTGCTTTTGTTCGTTGATCGTGAAACTTCATTTGTTTCTGCGCAAAGCTGGTTTATCTGAACTTTGCACGGCATCGTCCCATGACCTCGCCCTGGCAGACCAGCTCGGCGCTGAACTCACTACCATCTAGCGTGAGATATATGTCGAAGTATACCCGGTAGAAGGTGCCCTGGGGCGTGTCCATGCGCTCGAAGTCGGTTTCAAGATTTTTGCGCGACAGATCTGACGTTAGGGTAACAACTTCCTTGATACCTGCAGATGACCGTTAGAGCAGTGTTCACTAATCAGGTTGTTAGATGTATGGGACTTACGTGGATCTTTGGTGTACTCAGGGCACACGTCTTCGTCGCAGGCGTATAGAATATCCTCGTACATGAGGGTAGCTCCGGGGGCAACCTGGCGGAAGAAGCTGACCTTAACTGGCTCGCCAATCTTCACCCTCTCACCCTTCTGCACGAATATTTGCCGGGTGTATTTGCATCGATCACGGCCGTCAAGACTGGGGACTCGGTACTGCTCAGGGTGGTATCCTTCTTTGAACGGCTGGAGTGTGGCCATCAGGTAGTGTCGACGGGCAACACGGTGGGTAACCACTCGTTCTGTGATACCTGCCGTCACGGCACCCTTGACAATCGCAGCAACAGAGTCCATAGGGCGGACGACCTTGGACTGATACTGCGGCGGTACGTGGAGCTTGATTTGTTGGAAGAGGTACTCAGATGCACCGAAACCACCTACGACGAGCACGTTCTACATTTGGTTAGAATATGGAGTCATTTATCACAACATTGGACACATACCTGCAGGTTCCGGTTCTGCGCTTGGATGGCGATGATTTGGTTACGCACCAACTCGAGGATGCGGTTAACGACAGGTTCAAAGCACTGAAGAATTTCCTCGTTCGTGAAAGTCATGTATCCTTCCTCGATCCCTGCATCAGGAAAGTCGGCTTCAATGCCAACGTCCACTGCCCATTTCTGACCGTTGTTCCGGAAGTCTGCCTTGATACGGTTCTCAAAGTCCATGATACACTTGGCGTACACTTTCCCAGCCGTCCGAGACCCGTCCGGTAGCTTCATCTTTCGGATCTTAGCACGGAGGATGTTGCTGAAATTTCGGTTGAGCGCCGTCGAACCACATGAATCACCAGAACCAGCAGTGCATTCGGCCACGCTGAAAGGCTGCTCTTCTTCAACCTCGTATGCGATCAAATCCACTGTACCCCCGCCGCAGTCAACAATCAAAATCGCATCGCCGACCTTGAGATTTAGCAATCCGGTTTTAGCGCAGAAAAGTGCAGCAGCTTCTGGTTCTGATATTAGCGTCAGGCGGTTGTCGTTCTCGTCCCGCAAGAAACCAGCTTGCAGAGCCGCTGCACGGGTTGCTGCCTTTCCAGCATCGTTCCAGATGGCAGGTACCGTGAGATAGTACTTGATGTTACGCTCCTCTCTTGTGAATACCTCGCCAAGCGTTTTCTGCAACTGAGAGCGCATCGCCTGTCGTAACTTGAACAGGTAGTCGGCCGCCACGTCAATCTCCGACTTTCCTGGCGGAAGGGGCGGCAAGTTGATGGGGTCAATGTATGTGTTTCCGGAAAGCATCAGCTGAAGTTTGAACCATTCGACCTTCTGCACCCCTTGCTTCGGATAACCGGTGGGAGCCAGCGCATTGGCAATGTCGGGTCCCCATCCCACCACTTCCTGGTATTGGTCGTAGTACAAGACAGTTGGAATCTAGTTGCAAAAGGCCAGATGATCAGTTTCATGGTTCATGATAACATTGCCAGATGATCGTCGTCTTTGGGGACCGCCTCCGCCGCAGCTGCGGTGGGGGGAAAAGACCCACCTTTTGTTTGGTGTGAGTACCGGCACCTGGCCATTCGGTGATAATGTCCTCCCGCGCCTCATTGTTGGTCGCAAAAGCAAATGCGACACCAGAGAAAGTTGTGCCGAAATCAATTCCTACAATAAGCGAAGCCTTACTCCGCCCGGCGCCCTCGACTTCGTGGGCGGGCCGAACTCCGTAAGGGACTTGCTGCGAAGGCAACCCTCGCCCCATTACCTGCTGTTGCATACCGTAGACCGGTGGAGCGCCTAGTGTTTGTTGTCCCGGGTAAGGCATGTTGGTGTTGAGCGGGTGCGGCATCTGCTGCTGGCCGCCCGGCGGCATGGGGCTGGTAGGCCGACCAGCGACATTATTATACGTGTAGCTGGGCGGCTGTCCCAGTTGACCCTGATTATTCATTGGGAGACTGCTTGTGGAGGACGAGGTATGGCCGGAGGGAGGAGAACTGGCGGAAGTGGTTGAAGGGGCGGGCGTGGGATTAGACGTCGGAGCAGGCTGCGGCGGCGAGACGAGTGTTCGGGTCGACGGAGTGTCGATGGACTGAACAGGAGGTATTGAGGAGACACTGGTTTGTTGTTGTTTGCTTCGCTTCCAGCTGAACGATTTAAATCGCGAGCTCATCAGGTCCATGTGATGGCCAGAGCCGAAAAGAGTCGAACAAGGAGAGAGGAGAGGAGGGCGAGGAAAGAGGGAGAGGGAGGGGAAGGGCGCGGGACAAAGCTGAAAAGAGCGACAGGACTAGTGCGTGTGGAACTCGTATGGAAGGAGGCAGTGCCTGTCGGAGACTGAGCAGAGTCGTAGTGAATGGGTTTATTGTTGTCAGATTATTATCGAGATGCAGCGCTTAGACCAGGCGGGAATCAGCTCAATCCAGATCGATTAAGCCTGGGCGAGAGGGGGAAAGTAACCAGGGAACAGAAACGACCGAGCGGAGCGATGAAAGAGAAGGAAGTCGGGGCAGCAGAGCGAAGGGATCGAGAGGAATGGGACTTGGGTGCTGGGATTCTGCTTTGAGGCTGACGGGGATGGTAACTGGAACAACGCGCAGGTAGAGGCCTCTGATTATTAATATCGAACTATTTCGCATAATAATGGGAAGGATTCGAGCACACTTTTCCTGATAGAAGCGAAGAAGATGAAGCGGAGAGGAGCGAGAATCAATGCTTGCCAGTTACGAGCGAACAAATGGCACTCGGAGGTTTGTACCATGCCAACAGAGCAATTGACAATCCAACAAACAACAACTACGGAGTACCTTTCTACTTTTAAATCAAAGTTAATTCAGGAGTATTCAGAACGCAACTGGGTTGATAACTAGTCACTAGAGCTCCATTATTTTCTATGCTACAGTTCGACTCGGAGAGATTCAGCGCTGTACCGAAACAGTATGTAAGATACATGTCCAGCACCGTTAGACGGGGCACCGCCCCATGGGACCAGCCTGGTCGAGACTCGAGTCGCTCGACAGGAACTCAGAGTGTCGGATTATCGCAGAGCTGAGGCTGTCGCCAAAGGATCCAGAGTCCCCGTTCGAAGGAAAAGCGACCATGCAGAAGAGCGCGAGGTTTGAAGCAAAGGAAGGGCTCTTGATGCGAGATGGTTCTCAGTACTACCTATGGTACGGAGATCCGACTGCAGTGTCCCAGCCACCAAGTGACAGCTGCCCCTCATTCTATTCTTGTCGTTCCTGGCCAAAACCCATGGAACCAAGCACTGCTGCCAAAGAAAGTGCCCAAGCCAGCCACGCTGCTAAGCCCTGTGCCCACTAGACAATCCGCGTGCTGTGGGTTCCTTTGTTGGTCTGCGGCTGAAGGCTGTAACGCCGATCGCGGGTATCATGTACCATACATACAGTGACAGGCCTTTCTATACGCATCCTTCAAGGCAGACCTCGCAGTCGTTCCTATTTTTGGTTGTTCCTGACTCGAGAATAATGTAGATTATTGTTTTTCTTAAAATGCCTAGTCCAAGCTCTTTCGCGCAATCCAATGCGATGGTCGGTATAGTGGTCGAAGCATGCTGTCCGGGTCTTGGATGTAGCCACATTCCACCCGTTCGTCGGGAGACTCGCGTTGCTCGATCTCGAAACCCATGCGTTCAATGAGAAGGAAAACCTCCTCCTCGGTCAGCTCCACGTTCCCAGGCTCTCCAATGCCCTGATTCTGTTCTTCATCCTTGCTGGAGCTGCCGCCTCCACTGTTGGTGCGCTGATGTCCGTCCTCGAAATGCCAGAGGAGAGGACCGACGTTGATCCAGATTCCGTTCGGCTTCAGGCAGTTTCGGATGGCCTCAATGTAGCGGATGAGGTTTGGGGCAGTGTCGATGAAAAAAACAGTCGCAACGGCGTCAAAGGCATCCTTCTGAGACGGGCTGCTATACAAAACCACAAAGTCGGCCGCAGACATGCTCATGGTTCCAAATGGCGTTTCTCCACTAGCTTGCGCCTCCAGCATTGCAGTACCAGGATGAACATCCGGAATCATAACTTTGCGCAGTTGTTGCTCCCTTGATAGTATATTCGAAAAATGCAGCGCGAATGGGTACAGCTCATGGCACCGCGGGCCTCTAGTATGGTTCAAGACCCAACTGCTCGCTAACAACTGGTGATAGGAGATCTCATTGCCTTCAGCAGAAAACCCAGCCAAAGCAAGCTCAAACACTAATCTCCCCAGCCCAGCTCCAGGAACAAGCACCTTGACAAACTCGCCCCGTTGCAATTTATCAGGGAATTCACGGTCCAAATCCCTCAGCACGGGGCCATAGCATGCATCCCGCTCAGCTTGGCCCTCTGTACTCCAGTCTCGGTAGAACTGCCTGATCGTGGAATGAGCCTTGTTGACATCAGCAGAGTTCGCAACGCCATGCCAATTCTGCGGATCTGACGGATCAGGTCTCGCAGGGAGACCGAATGACTTCAGCCCGACCGCAACGATGGCGTCTGCGATATCGGCATTCACGTCAATAGCATCGTCAACTTTGTTGAAATTGTCCAGTAATGAGAAGGGCGGCTCTGCAAGCATCTGCCAGTGTTTTGTTGGTAGAGCGTAGAACGCCTGGCGCCGCCGGTGAGTGGTGTTCAAGTGTGCGCTTCTCCGGTATTGCCTGCCAGTGACCAGTTAGCGGCTTGAAATAATCACGATACTCATTGGGAAGGACAGGTAATAGGTTCTGGCCATCATGCTCTCCGGTCTCGATTCCAGGAACACAAGTCAAGTTAAGAGGCATCTAGATACCTTCATCTTCGGTCTGTCTCTACCCACCTGAATGAATCGAAGGCTGAGAAGACAACCTTGCGTTCGCCTTCGTCGCCTAATGGGTCAAAGTCTCCAGCCCAGCTACGAGAATCTTCTGTCTCCTCAGGGCACGTTGAAGGCATATCAAAGGAAGACGACGAAGACATGTCGGCGAAGAAATCAAAAGAGCCACAATTGGACTGCAAGGGATGAGATGATGGTATATTATGAAAGAAACCAGATGTAGGATATAGAAACAAAATTGTGAAGCCCTGAATAATTCAACAAGTAGCTTGCAACACCCAGATATAGGAAAAAGCAAAGGATTTGTGTTGGCCATGAAGCAAAAGTGAATGCGGGGCCAAGTTAGTTCTCAGTTCTCTGGCTGGCGGGGAACCACCGCAATAATAGCTCGAATCTCGATTTGCCTCAGCCATTATAATCGGCCAATTCTCAAGCCCAGCCATTGCAACCTTGAGATAAAGCTGGAAACTACCCAAGAAAACCAAAATACGGAGCATATAAGACCAAATATCCCATAATGACCGAAGTTCAAGCTCCAGCTCCAGCTCCGCGAGCTCCTACAGAGCTCTCATTCCCCCTTCCTAAAGCTCTACACACGACTGCGCACATTCACCTCACGGCGCTGGACACCTGCGCAATGATATTCCTGGCGACTTCAACAGCTGGCGAGTCGACAGGGAGTACAAGGCCCATGGGTAGTTTCATTTACGCCATGCCCGACGTAAGTTAATACCTGGTTATTCCTCCCTTACAACTTACTGCTCGCTCCTCACGGCACTATATATTTTTGACGGATAGCTGACCTATATCCCGAGAATAGCGCACGTCGCCTCGCTCCACTATCTCTACAACCTTGTACACCACTGCCTCGACGGAGGAATACGCTACGCGGATAGCTAAGATTCTGGCGCGGCGAATGGGCGTTCCTGTCTACCTCGGATGCAGCATTGACCCGGTCGCTCTTGGTCTGCTGCCTGAGGAGGAGATGGAGGGGCTGACGAGCATTGTGGATAAAGTCATGGCGAAATGGGAAGCCCGTGACAGGTAGCCGGATACGGAGTACAGCGGAGTCGAGATGGGATGCGGTGTCGACGTCGTTCGGGGCTGTTTTCTATTCGTTCTGTTCAGAGCTGGGATCGACTAGGCGGAGGCCATTGTTGATGAGATGGCATGCAGAGTATGCTCACCTTCAAGTATACTCAATATTAGCTGGGTTAGTTGTTTCTACGGAGTAGACGAAATAAGGTAATTTTGTCGTTCGTTGCGTCGCCGGTCGTCGGCCACAGCTCACAGCACGGAGGATTGCCGATGGATTTACCGGCACATTTGGCCGGAGTCACCACTAGACTACTCCATAGAGTCCATACCAGCCACCAGGGGCTGATGATCCTTCGGCTTTGTGCAACTCGAATCAACGAAATTAATGACCGGCGGAGAACACTGCGCCGTTCGGAAGCTGGGCGTTCAGTTACCATAAAGGTGACTATTGCCGAGATTAGATTCATTCACAGGCCCAGCTGGCAGCTGCTACAGCCGCAAGACAGAATGGGAAGGAAATTACTTGAGCGAACTTTTTGTGGCGATGCTGGAATGTACACCGTGTGATAAACTCCGCTACGGAGCAGATACGAAGTATGGACACATAAAGTAGCCTAGAGATTCCGTGGACTGCATCAAATCTCCGAGAGTCCGTGACCATTGATCAGTGATCACTTGTTCAATCGCCCGAATAGTCAAGGACCGCGAGGTGCCCACTGCGCTCCCAGCACTGTGCCCTAAAATCCAACGACGAGAACCCGAACTTCCGAGGATGGGCCCTCCCGCTCTACCTAGTGCTGCAAGGCATGAACTCCGGTTGGACAGGTCACAGACGATGCCAGTCTTGCATAACGGCAGTCGGAACCTCGCGTAGAGATGTTGAAACAAAAAGAGGAATTTGAGCAGCGTGAAGACGGGCGAAAACGGGGCTCAGGCTAAATCTTGACCGTTCTACAATTCCGAGAACAGACCACAAACAAATAATGAGAAGAAAGGAAACGCCGAGCGTGGCCCATGCATGATGCGACTCATGCGAGTCAGGAATTGAGGATCGGAAAAGGAACCGAGGCAGATTCGAGGATCTGATTTGTGGTGGGGTGCCGGATCTCTACTCCGTAGACGGTAGGGCAACAATAAATAGCACCACTCCGAGACTCCGTTCCTTATTGATTGCATAAGATTGGGCCCCTTACAAGGTGCATGAGGTCTCGGCGTCTTGCAAGTTGCAGCGCAGCTTGAGCCTTGACCGGGAATTGATTTCGATGTCTCAGTGGACTCATGACATGACGACTGTCGCCTGTTGACTGTCGGAGTCGGACCGACCCAGAGGAGCGGCCATGTCAATGTGATTGCTAAACGCTGCTATACCACGTGGGGACTCGGAACTCTCGGCAGCTATGCGCATTGCGCTGAGAAGGAAAGGCCCAGGAGGTAAAGACTTCCATGGTTCAAACTACTGACTGAGCTCCGCAACCTTTAAGCATCTCAATTTGTTGCTGTAGAACTGAGGCAGGTTTTCCGCATGCTGCAGCACGAAGGAAAGCTATGACCTGGATCCAACAAGAAATTTTTAATTTCTCACCCGTCTCTTACCTACCTCAGCCTCAAGAAAAACGGAGTCCTGGAAGCTGGACCACGAGTGCGAGGCTGCAAGCTATCCAATACGGCGGATCACCGGAAGCAGCCTTCTACGCCGAAGGATTCGAGTCAAGCCCAGTCCGGTAGCTTATTCCGGGCGTGCTGTCAACTTATCATCAGCCAATGCTTGGCGTTGGATGATGGATCACTTGTGGGAGGGTTGAAACTTGAGGGCACCCGCTGAGGTGGTCTCGAACCAGCAGGATTACCAACTCGACGTCAGGCCCCTGCGCGAGGGTACGGCCGACTCCGTGTGTTCATATGATGCCGCATGAGTGAATCATGCCATGGTCGAGAGCAACAGTTCAGAGAATCGTGTCCAGGCAGTGTCGCATTTTTGTCATGAATGGAGGGCGTAGAGCAACTACACATCCACGAGAAGCGCAAGCCTGAGCTCTGGGCATGCGCAACACCGTACACCATGGTGTGATAAACTCACCTGCTATCTGATCACAGTCCCATGCCTAGTTTGTGCGGGGAACACGGCATATCCGACTTAGCCTAACTCAATTCCGTGGACCAGTCAGGACAAGGCTATTATTTGGCTATTTAAAGGTTGAACCGGGCGTTCCGACTAACAATGGCCATGCAGCGACTTGGCAGGGATTATTAGGTAGCCCTGGTGGCATGCCGTCCGGAGTTTGAATGTAATTGTAGGCGATGACGACCTGTCGTTTGGTTGGAACTAGGTGGGATTAGCCTCGTGGTCTTTGAAACAGACAATGATGTTAATGCTTGAGCCCGCGCCACCAGCAGTAGTGCACCAAGGCCCCTTCCAATGATGCTACTTCTTATAGCTATGTGTTGATTCACCTTATCACCGAATTGTAAGGGAGATATCTCCCGCTGCACCTAAAGGGAGGAGTCTCTTGGGCGGGAAAGTGTCCCCGAGCTTTTAGGTATAAAATGATGCGAGAATGAGGTCATTAAACGGCCATAACAACCACCCGTGCGGCATACGATGTGGATTATAGCGTAAACAGCAAACAGTTGAAGATGATTCATGAGGGCGACTCAATAAGAAAGAAGTTCCACTGTTGCCGAGTGGATAAGAGTAGATAGATCGAAATGTCAACAACAGTACTCCCTCGGAAGAAAGAGCATATCAGTGGCATTCAGCCGTGGTATGATAATGTAGCTAAAGTGAAGTTGAGCCAACAGCAATCTATACTCCAAGGTGTTTATGTCTGACTGTCTGTGCTCTTGTGACGGGTGACTGACCAGACAGAGGGAGTACAGGCAAACGCGTCAGGGCCCAGGACTCGAGAACCTCCAATAATCGGTACGGAGTCGTTGCTTGCTTGATTGACATTGTGACACCGCCACAAGCACGGGGCAGTGGCTCAAACAGCTGCCAGTTGGACGGTTGGACGAACCGAAGGGACCACAATGTCAATTTTGATTGAGATCTTCCAAGGATAGTTTGAAGTTTGAACTTTGGATGTCAGATTGGCGGTTCCACACTCAGCCAAAGCCGCTCAATACAGACCTTTTTTAGCGAAAGATCCAGAGGTGACGACACAGCGGTCATGGTTCGGACAAAATACGGCGACCAAGATGAAGCAAAAGCTCCAGCGTCCTGGGTCAATTGGGGGTTAGGGCCGGGGATCAACCTTCGGGCTCCAGCCAGTCCAGCTCGTCACGGTCAATCGCCGCCAGTTTGAGATTAAGCTTGGCTTAGCTTGCCAATATGCCTTGCCCTCCTCCATCTTACGCAATTTAGCGGTTCCTCCTATGTGGTCCAAACGTCAACGGAGGGAAGAATTCCGAAACGATCGTCAACATCAGCCCTCCTCTGTCGAGCTCTTGAACCGTAGGTTTGGCGTAGGGGTAGAGCGGTCAACCCATTACCAAGATCCCACCCACTAGTAAGATAACAACACTAAAATTAGCCTTATAAGTTTGTATTTTAATAACGCAAACTTAATAATATTATAATCATTTAAACTATAATAAATAGCTATAAATTTACTTTATTTAATAAGGTATTTCTTTTTATTTAAAGCCATTGCATGGTAAAGTTATTAAAAATTTTATTAGGCTAGTTTTTTTAGCCAGTTTTTATAGGATTTTTAACCTTAATAACCTATAATAAAATAAATAAGTATGCAAAGGGCCTGGCTTTTTTAGTAAATTACTTAAAAAGTTAAGCCTTTTTACTAGCTTTATATTTAGCTATAGTTTTAGCCTTATTTTTAGTATATTTAGACCTTTAAGCTAGCTATTTAATAAAGCTATTTAAACCTTTAAGCTAGCCTTGTTAGCGTGTATAAAGGTTTTTTTATATAATTTAACTAGCCTTATTTTATAGCGCTCCTATTTTTATAGCTTTAATATTTAATCTAGCTATTAAATAAAGTTATTTAAACCTTTAAGCTAGCTATTTAATAAAGTAATTTAAACCTTTAAGCTAGCTATATTAGCATGTATAAGGGCCTTTTTATATAATTTAGTTAGCTTTATTTTACAGCGCTTTTATTTTTGCAGCTTTAATATTTAATTTAATTATTAAATAAAGTTATTTAGACCTCCAAGCTAGTTATTTAATAAAGTAATTTAAACCTTTAAGCTAGCCATGTTAGCGTGTATAAAGGCCTTTTTATATAATTTAACTAGCTTTATTTTATAGTACTTTTATTTTTATAGCTTTAACTTTATTTAAAGGCTTATTATCTTATATTTTAGGGTTTTTAAAAGCTATAAAAAAATAAGGTTTGTAAATCTAGCACGGGTGGATTAAATATAATTTTAGTAGCTTAGGGCCTTATTAAGATAAAGTTTTTAAATAATATATTAAAAATTTATTTGCTAATTTAAAATAACTACTTACCAGGCATTTTAATAAAGAATTAATAAAGTTACACGTTGTTAAAGTTGACGTGTTGATGAAAATCTCACTAGTGGGTGGGATCTTGGTAATGGGTTGACCGCTCTACTCTATGCACCGTATTCCTACCTATACGGTCCCTGAAGTATGACCGATATCGCGCTACCGGAGTGCGTGCAGCGGTGATCACTAAACGGGATAAAATAGCGACGCCAAAGCTAAATGCAGGGGATTATGTGCGCCTTGCACTTTGATCGGTGGAGAGCAAGGAAATTAAGAGTCGCGACGATGACGCCCGAGGCCGCGCAGATGGGGTGCAGAGGGTTGGAAATAAGGTAAGCCGGTAAGCCAACGTGGGAACCTTAGCTATTTTAAGTTTGACTGCTTTGCCCCTCGGCAATTTTTTCGACAAGGAGCGACCCGAAAGACAAAGTTGACCAGAAAGGCAGGAGCCAGAGAGAGAAGGGCCATGGTTGCTTTGAGATCAGCAGTCAACGTCCCCGGTTTGTCGTAGACTACCTAGACTGTTGCACATCCGGGCGGCAGTTGGCCATCAAAACGTGGTCTCCGAACATGGTCAGTCCCTGTACTAGGTCTTAGCTTAGAGTTTGTTCTTTCGCGACGTGGGCTTGGAATAAAGGAATGACCCCTGAATCCCATCGCCCTTCAGCCACTCAAGTCGGCAACGCGGTATCCCCGGGTCAAAAGGCTTCTAGAATTGCCCTTACTCCTGTCGGTTGTGGGACTGTGGACCAAAGGTGCGGATACAGCGGAAAGGAACGAAACTCAACGATTCAACGAACGATACGGAGTAGACACGTTGACTTCTTCGAATAATAATAACCCAGGGACCTCGGACAGACACTGCCACTGCCGATCTCGGGATGCGTCTAACCTAAGAACCTTGCCGCGAGGTCTGATCTCGAGGGTTCAATATATTGTAGCGATGGATCCCGAGGATTGGGGTTTGAAGTCAACAACTGGGCCTGGTAAACATCCGTACTTTAGTTTGTTCCTGTATCAAACTGACCAAGTATAAGTTCCGACCTTCACATGATGCTCCGGACTCGCAGTCACAAGAGATCTCCGGAGTAGAATTGGACTCGGTAACTGATTCGATTCGACGGGCGAGGGATAAACGCTGGGACTCCACACTGCACAGTCGACATAGAAATGCTGACTGAAATTCTGCAGACTGCAGCCCCTCCACCCACATTTTGGACATGGTCGAATCTCGATCTGGCATGGCGGCGAACCGGCGTTTCAGCGTTTAGCGTGCTTTCTCTGGCCATCGGGGCCTGCCGAGTTGGAACTGTCGGAGTTGATCCTTGGGCTTGGAAGGACCCTGATGAGAGTCGCTGATTTGACTGAAGCCGAGGGCTGTGGACTGTGGAACGGATGCTCACTAACTTAGTTAGAGTAGCTAGTAGATGCGAATAATATGGATTGGGGCCATTGGGCGGAAGAAATCTGGACAGTGGACGGATGGAAGGATGGATAGACAGACTGAACTCCTGTCACGAGATTCTTGCAATTATTATTATCGTCAAGAGCGAACAATCCCTCTCTTCTCCTGGATAAGCATCAAGAAAGCTTTGCCTGCACTCGGACTGGGGTTTCAAAGTCGCCTGCATCGCCGCCAGAGGCCTGGATGTAGTCCCGATTCTTATTATTCCTTCTGCCATCGGATCGCTTCCTATAACCATCCACCATCATCCCTCCATCCTCTGCTCCATCCCACGCTGTCATCCCTTCATTTCTCCTCTCTCTCTTTTCTCCGTTCTGTCTTTCCTTTCCTTTCCTTCTTTTAGCTTTTCTCTCCTGCCCCTCCTCTCCCACTCCTCCCGATCTTTTCATCAAACTGCCAACTCTTACCAATTAAAGATCGCTTAAATTCTCTTCCTAACCAGGTTACGAACCGACCCTGCCGCCATATTAAGTTTATCTGTGACCCTCTTTTTTCCGGATCCTGGTTCCGGGATTCGTGCTTGCTTCAGCCTTCAGGTCTCCAACCGTCCAACGGCGTCGTCAACTGCCCGCCTGGATAAGCCTCAGTCCCACCTTTCGTTATTGTCAATGCGACTGGCGCTCGCTCCAACTTTAATAATTATCTGGGAGGCCCTTGCTGCTGTCTAGCTCTACTGCAATCTCTTGGGAGGTCCCGATTTGCTCTCCATTCTGGTCGTGCATTTTCCTCGGTTCCCTGCTTCGACTCCCGCCTGCCATTATCCTCTCTCTCGCGTGCAATTACCGCTTCTATCTCATTATTTTGTCGTTAACACGATCATTTAAATCAGCTACCTGAGCTGCATTTCCAGGTAGTTTGGGTCTGAAGGAAACTCGAAGTTTGCTCTTCGTGTTGTCTTCCTATGAGGTTGCGTTTGGAAGACCGATATGCAGCCGCATTACTCCCGTCCGTGGACGAACCCGAACACCCAAGGCGCTCCTTATGAGTTGCCTCCGGTGCATTCGGTTACCTCTTCGGCGCCGTTCCAGCCAGCCCCACAGACGGGAGGCTTTCTCTCTACTCAATCAGCAAGACCCAGTAGCGGACTGCCGATGTCTCACATCCTACAACAACCGCCTGCACCGACGCCTACGGCAACATACCCTCCCTACGACTCTAGCGTTTCTCCATCGGAAGTAGGAGTTGGCCATCTTCAAGATGCACCCACCAATGGCTCTGTAAGCGCAGGCGGGTTTCTCAGGCATGGGGGTGGCCTGGCGCAACATCAACAGCCATTGCAGCAGAAGAGGGCGTATCGTCAACGAAGGAAAGACCCTAGCTGTGATGCATGTCGTGAGCGTAAGGTCAAGGTACCGGAGTACTCGTTGTTCCCGCAATTGGCTCTATGATCTAACTTCTCTGTCGTTCAGTGCGACGCCTCCGAGTCCGCTAGTTGTACGGAATGCACCAACCGCAAGGTTCGATGCCAATTTACTAAAGAGACCAACAGGCGCATGTCTTCTATCAAGTTCGTACTCGGTCTGCCGGCTCGCGGGGTGGGGTTCTATACTGACAAAACGCAAGACAGGTTCAAGACCTTGAGAAACAGCTCTGGTCGACCAGGCAACAACTTCAGCAATTGCGATCCGGAATAAGGTCGGATAACTTGATGGATCTGGACGGGGATGGACCAGGGCAGCTTCAAATAAACTTACCTGACCTCGGTTATAGACCGCCGCGCCGACCAAGGGCTCCTGTTTCCCATGATCTCTCCAATGCTCGGGCGAACCTCCGACACTATGGGAGGGGAATTTGGAAAGTTCCAACGCCTTATCGCCAGTCGGACTCGAAATCGCTTTTGACGGTAGACCCTCCTTCACTTCCGCCACAAGATGTTGCCCATCATCTCCTTGCCCAGTACCATGCGCATATCCACACCACATTCCCCGTCATTCACTGGCCGACGTTCATGAAAGAATACGAGGAGGTATACCGTCAAGGGTCGCTTATAGGAGTGCCTCGCGAGTGGGCCGCCGTGCTATTTAGTATATTCGCGCTTGGTTCCTTGCATACGACAGACCCAAACCGTGAAGAAGTGGGTAAAAAATTTGTGCGAATATCTTGTGGAGTGATCGATGTTTGGCAGGATGACTTCACTTTGGACCAGGCGCGGGCCGCCTTGTTGGCTAGCATATTCCTCTACGAAGTCAACTCGAAATCAGCTAGCTGGGTATGGAATGGATCCGCTGTGAAAGTCGCTCAGGAAATAGGGCTACACCTGGAATCAGGCCCTTGGCCTGTGCTCGAGGGCGAGATGCGCAAGCGCGTCTGGTGGGGAATGTATACTTGGGATAGGTTTGTGGCCTTTGACACCATTGTACTTGATTTGCGACGCTCATTTCGTATAGGATAATGGCTTTGGAAATGGGCAAACCGGTATTGATCAACGACCAAGATTGCGATATCGATCTTCCATGCACTGTCGATGAACAGTTCATCTCAGAAGGAGGCTGTGTGCCCGAAAGCCAGCAAACAACGCCATTATTAGCGACAATTCACGTTGTGCGGTCAATCGGGCAGCTCACTCGTATCTTACGAAGCACAGCAATTGGCACGGCAAGTCTCCAGACCTTCGAACGGCATTTCACCACCTGTTTATCTATATTCCCCGATCAATACCAGCCAACCTCCGATCAGTATATCGAACCTCGATCATTAACCCCGATCATCTACCTCCAAAACGCCCGCCTTATGCTTCATCGACACAATATCTCTCCTTTCTGCCCCCCTGATGTTCGTTCCTCAGCTTTGGACTATTGCGCCTCTGTTTGTCAGGATACCGCACGTCTGCTCTCGCGATGCATGCGAACCTCACCCATCACGGGGAACAGGGATTGGCGTACGCTGCTTGCAATGTCGGGGTCTGCAATGCTGTGCGCCCATCTCTGGCGCTGTACACTCTTACTACTGTTTCGCCAAGAGTACGACGCTGCTTTAATATGTGTCCAAGCCAGCTCTGCGATGAGAGATTCACGCATCATCAATGCAGCTTGCGGGCGAAATGTTGTGTTTTTCCTGAAATGCCTCTTAGACCGTTTGCACCGTCCTGATACGGGAGAGCTGGATGGGGACGAGGAAATGATGGCTTACGTTTCCGGCGACATGCAGGGGACCAACAATGGGAGCTGGGTATGGGAGGGCAGTGAGACCGGGTCGCAGTTAGAGATGGCTTCTGCGCCAAACAGCGCAGCACGTCCTAGTGTTGGGGATAGCAGGCTACCTCAAGAGCCGAATGGCTGGGAAGGCTGGGATTGGGTTGAACAGACAGTTCAATATCTTCTCTCCGAGAAGGAAAAGCGACAGCAAAAAGAAGCAGAGAATCTAAGACCGCCGACAGAACCGTCATACCACGGCAGCGAATCTGCAACTGGAAGTCCTGACTCGGCACCAAATCAGCCGAATTCATCACACTCGCGTATGACGATAGCGAGTATCATATAATATCCTTTGATTCTGCAATCTGCGTCTGCTCTACGGGATAGAGTAAACTCCCTATTTGTGGGATCTTATTTTCGCCTTCGGCCCTGTATAATCTGCACTCTAGCAGTCATTGCATCTGAAATGAGTTTACGTTCTAATGTGATTAGCACCCTTGTACATCATGCTGTCATTAGACTGTATATACCTTTACATCTACTGAAGAACAAACTAGAAGACCAAATTCTTCAAACAGTTACATTGCATAATCATGTCAGCATGAAGACCTAATAGGATAAGGAAGGAATAAGTTGTACAATCAGGTCTCCAGGTTGATACTCCTTCCAAACCTCGCGTAGAGAGCCACCTTCAACTGCTGCATCTCGTCGCGCAAGTCACCCAGTGTCTCCTCCAGCTTGGCTACTTCAGAGTCAATCTGTTCCGTTGAAGACGCGAGAAGCGTCTGCGCCTCTTCCAGCGGGAGATGCACGAACGAGTCTCCAATTTTATACCTGAACTTCATTAGCAATGTTCCGTGAGAACTCTGTCTGTTGGTCATAAACGTACGGGACTAGTTCATCCTCATCTGCGAGCTCTAGCTCAGTCGAGATCTCTTCTAGATCTTCTTTATCTTTCTGCGAACGGTTGCTGTTAGCTCATCCCCTGACAGGCAACATAACCGGCAACAGAAAAGCCACATCGAGAAGCGGGAAAATAAGATGACAGAAGAGAAAGAAGAGCCATACCTGCTTCCCCTTCAGCTTCTCCTCAAGAACGGTCTCGCGCTGGTGAAGACGACTGAAGCGGTTGATCTTCTCTTGGTCCTCGCGGCGCACTTCGTTGTCTTCTGAGCTGCCGATTGCGGCCTCGTCTTCTTTTGAGAGCTGGGACGAAATTAACCACTGGTGTGTTTTCGGAAGATGGGCGACTTACCATGCGAGTGTTCATCATTTTGAGTGATTTGGCTATGAACTATGGAAGTGGGTTGGGGATTGTGAGGATATTTTGTTGTTTGAGTGGAGGTGGTCTGTGCGGGGCTCATTGGTGTACAATTACATAGGGACTCAAGTACTGTAAGCTGGCTTGGCTTATGTTCCTGGGAGTGGTATGTTCAAGATCATGATAGTATGGCTAGAACAGGGGGCTAGGTGTCTTAGACAATTTATTTGCTTATTTGTCTCTCAGCGCACTGCATACGGAGTGACCTTGAGCTGGATGATTTACCATACTGGGCGATTGGCCGGATAAACAGAAGACCGACGTCAAGCAAGCAAGCAAGGAAGCGACACCAGCAGCTCTCTCCGACCAGCTAGGTATCAACTCTCTTTCCAGGCACGCACATTGTTTTTTTTTTAGCGTTGACTTAGCCAACGTCTCCCTCGATCACAAGTCCTTCTCCGTCAGCTGCCTCCCTTGCTGCTCGTCTGAGCTCCGTTCAATCACCGCCCAACACCACAGCGTCATCGTCACCAGTCACTCACTCCGGCCCAACATCCGCAGTCTACTCCGTACCATCTCCGATTCCGACCCTTCCCAAGCTCAATACCCCCCGGAGACTTCTCGCAGCTCCAAAAGATACCAACGATGCGAATACTCTCATCAGCTTTCATCTCCGCCGCCTCTCTACTCCCCAACCTCGCTTCCGCCGTAACCTTCGACTGCTCACAAATTAACGCAGACGGCTACAAATATAACCTCAAGCCTCTAGGCGGAGTTCACGAGATCTTCCATGCGGAGCAAGTCGGCGATCTCATCGTCAATACGACATATGTGCTGAATATATGCAACGTTCTCGGGAGCGCGGCGAACTTCGAAGAGTACAAATGCGGCACTTCAAGGAGAAGTATGGACACTCCCAGAATCATGCGCAGCTTATATATGGACTATAGAAAGTGAAACTAACTACTTGGATAGTTTGCGGGTTCAATCGTACATTGACAGCAGACCACACCAGCGTCCAGAGCGGTTTTGCGTTCCCGATCGCCGGGCTTGAGCACATGGGCCAAGGCGCGATAGATACGAAAGTCACGCGGTTAAAGAATGAGGATTCTGACCGGGAAGGACTGAGAGTAAAACTGTCTGGGGGCAAGTATGAAGAACCCGACACCAAGAAGAAGAAGAATGCGGGTGCGGTTATTGAGTTTGAGTGCGACCCTGGTCGATCAGGGCTAGAGGGTCTCGTCGAGGAGGACTCGAAGCGCCTCCTGCGCGCACGGGAAGAAGGTGAGGATGGAGGCGACGGTAATAATGAAGGTGATGGCAACGGCGAGGAGAAAGAACCGTTCTCCGACGGTTCAGACCCGGATCGAAGTCTACAATTCAAAAGCTTTGGCAAGGCTGATGATGATTCGTATGTGCTGAGCTTGAACTGGAAGACGCGCTATGCTTGTGACCATTACACGGAAGGCCGTGGTTCCTCGTCTAATCACTGGGGTTTCTTTACCTGGCTGATCATCATGTATGTTCTGCCCCTTCATGCATGCTTGAAATCCGCTAATAAGATTTAGCTTCTTCCTCTGCGCCGCAGCATACCTCATCTTCGGCTCGTGGCTAAACTACAACCGCTACGGAGCACGCGGGTGGGACCTACTTCCACACGGGGACACGCTTCGGGACGTTCCATATCTCTTCCAGGACTGGCTGCGGCGAGTGGTGAACACGTTTCAAGGAACGGGGTCGAGAGGGGGGTACAGTGCTGTATGAATGGGATGCTTTGATTCCTCTGTGATGTTTCGGAAGAGCATACGGACGAGAGCAGATTCGTTTACCAACTGGTGTGGCTCTGTCGGTTTAAATCTTTTTTTTTTTTCTCTTTGTACGATGGCATGAATGGTTGTCTTCTATTTCGCATTTGCTTGATGTTTCTTAGCTTGGTACTGTTGTTGGAAAGCCATATATATACCTCGGTAAGATAACAATCAATGTACCTATACGGACCATACGCATCCACATTTGTTGGATCTAGATCTCTATGGAGCCTTTCAACGAGCTTACGCGCAAAAGTACTGCTACTACTTACCCACTTCCCTCCACGGCGTCGGCCGTTGACTCCCGTCATGGCTTCAAGGTTCTGATTCCGAGCTGGTTAAAAAAAGCAATTACTTCCTTCGGACTAGGTAGGTGCTTAGACGGACTAGCTAGCCAGCAGACTAACAGCCAGACTGGAGCTGGATACATTCTCCCTCCATTCAAAAAAAGAAGACGATTGCAAAACAGCGCGAAAACAAACCTCGGTAAAAGCAAACGCGAAGCCAGAAGCTCATGCTGCATAACAGACCCATCAAATATAAATTGATCAAAATTCCAGCGTCAGTGCAAAATTGCGTGATCAAGGGCTCATATCGCGACATCATAATTCCATCCCCATCCTCTAGGGCGAAAATCTCCCTCAGCTTCCAGTTTCTTTCTCGTCATAGTCTCTGCCAGATCCCCACAGATTTCACTGAAAACATTGCTAGTTGCGTTCTTTTCTGGATGAAAATTTATGTTTCGATTGCGATGGAGTGTGGAATCTCTCCCGTCAAAGCTCAAGACATCTCCCCCGTCCGTCCGCTCGGCCGAGTAAGTACCTGCTGGGTATGGCCGGACTCAGCTAGGTGCTAGACTACTACTGTCTAGACTTTCATCGCGAACTGCTTGAGGAAGAGGTAGTCGGCCATGTTTGCGTCGACCGTCTTGCGGATCAGGGCGGCGCCCTCCTCGCCGTACTTCTCGCGCCACTCGGCGTCGAACTGCTCTTCGGATTTGGGGGCGCGGGGCTGGTCAAAGGTGGTCAGCTGGACTGTCTTCTCTCCCATCACGAGCCGTTTTTCGGTGGTGTACTGCTGCAATATGCATGCATGCTATGGCCAACCGGACTTCTCCACCTCCGAGCCTTGTTCTGAGGAGAGGAGAGATTGATGGCGGACCGACGCACTGGCCTAGGCTACGGGGCAAAGGGGCACAAAGTAAGGGGAAGGTAGGGAGAAACTTACATGCTTCCTAGCAGTCAACCCCCTCGAGTCAATCGCATCGTTGTGGAACCCTTTCCACTTCTCGAAGGCCTCCTTCGCACGCTCGTGGTCCTCCTCGGTATCCCAGTTCAGCATGGAGCTCGTGTATGGGATCCCGACGCTGCGGCAGAACGCCTCCATCATCGCCGCGGGGCTATCGAGCATATCGTCCGCGTCGACGACGCAGATCTCCACGCCGACTTTAGCGTCTGGGCTCGAGACAGGCTTGGGCTTGGAAGTCTGGCCGTCCTGGGCGCTGGCGAGGATCTCGTCGGCGTCTGCCTCGCGAGTCGCAACGTGAGGTCCTACCAGACCCTCAGCACGCAGGTACTCGAAGAACCGGCGCATCTCGTCGTACCCGGCCTCAGCGGGGTCGTAGTACGTGAAGCCCGTGATGGCAACGAGGGGCGGGATCGTGCAGCGGTAGTAGGAGGGCACGCTGTAGTGCGGGTCGCGGATAAGGAAGGCAAAGTGGAAGGTTTCCAGGATCTCCTTGGGCATGACGGTAGGGTTTCCTGGTTCGGAGGGGGTACCATATGGGTAGGGTGCTGTGCTGTTGCCCTTCTTTGCCCCGGTACCGTCGGAAACGCCGTTGGCCATGCTGCCGTTGCCATTCACTTCGGCAACGGGGTGGTGGCCGTTGGCGACGGAATCTCCGTTACTGCCAACGGCCGCAGAGGGCTTAGTGGTAGCTGTCTCGGTCCCTACGCCGCGCTTGATCCTGTGGAGGGAAGGGGCAATGCCGGCTGGTTTCCCGTGTGGCGGGAGGAGGTAGTGCAGGATGTCTTTGATGAAGATTCTCTTGCCCTGTTATCATCCTTGTTAGCTCTGCCAATCTGTCAAGGTAGGTATGGAGGGCTGTGTAATGATACCTCATTCTCCTTCCCTTCGCGCTCAATCCTGTCAATGATAGTTTTATACGTGGACTCGCTGAATCCGCTCTCAATGCGGCCCTTCTCGTCGGCTTCATACCGATCTGAGAGCCTCTCAGGGCCGTAGTAAAATGCATCGCCAAAGGGCTCGTGGACACACTGAATGGTGTCTCTTTGAGTCATGAAGACCTATGCAAGTCATTAGAAATCCGCCTGCATGATGTGCAGATAATTCCAAGATAGAGAGGAGAAGAAATACCCGCTCAAAGGCCGTGGAGCAAGCCCGGGGATGGGTTGCAACGAAGATAGGTTTCTGCTGAGACATGGCGCAGGTTTTCTCTGTGATACTCTCGTTTGATGAGATGTAAAGCAAGTATAATCGTTTCACTATCTACCAGGGAGTTTCACCGCCGGCGAAGCTACTGATTAAATGGCCTCGTTTGGTCTGGTGAGGCTTATTGCGGGGATTTATCTGCAGGGTGATGTTGTACGGAATGTTGCCCCGGATGGCACAGCGGTGAGTAGAGTGGTGGAAGAACAAAATGGTGATAGATTCCTATTGAGTCCGAGGAATGGAACCAGAATAAGTTGATGGGTTTGATTTCCAGGAACGGAACAAAGTGGTGCTGAACTGGCTTGAGTTTTATACTTGAGAGAGTCTGCGCGGAAATACTAAAAGGAGGGATACCGTCAGACCCAGCGACTACATTTCTTGTTTGAGTTCGACCATCCGAGTCAAATCGTAAAAACCAGATAAAATAATATTATATTACTGTCGAGATGGAGCATCCAGGACCAGAATTACAGCCTAACAGGTTCGTCAGTTTCACATCCAACTTCCGGCCTGCAGTGGTAGGCAGGTTAATACAGGCGTTGTAAGTGGTTGATAGTGCTATCCACCCTGCACTGCTCAGAGAACTGGCCCCGGATAAGGCGATGGCGTTAGCTGTCACCTAGATTCGCCATAGATAATGATCTTCTATCTTATTGTTAGGGTCCTGATAATGATCTATATAAATCCCGACTCCTCAGGGCTTCCCGTCAAAACTTCAACCACCAGCATCTGGCTTCCCAAGGTCAACCCCGATAACGGCCTCAGTGCGACGAGATACCGTGTTACCCACGGGCAGGATCAAGATCTACAGTTGCTGCTCCGCTTTGGTAGGAAAAGCGTTCAGCGGCAGCCTGTACCTGGCAGTCGTGGGCTCAGGCCAAGCGGATGGGGATTGTGCGTGCCGCGCAGGCGCAGATTCGAGACCGGCAATTTGAAGAGGGGCAACGGCGGTACACACGAAAATCCAGGAAGTTAGTCTCCGCGAGAGTGGACATTGAGGATACCGAACAGGAAGGACTTGTGTATGGTCGTGAAGCGGAGTGGTTAAGCCCTTCAATATCCCTGTCGCCACATTTGGTCGAGACAACTTGCGTTCCACCTCTGACGTCATGAGACGGACAAGGCTCGTCGGATTACGAGGGGAGGATAGGAAAAGGTATACGAGCCAAGTTTCGCATTGAGTCGGAATGACTTGGGGCTGAGAATGCAAGTGTGCATATATCGGCTGTAGCGGTAAATAGCTGGTCATATGGACGCGACATCTGGTATGCCTGTTAAACCATTCAGCTTTCTCGCACAGCTTCCGGATGGGCCTCTGGAGGCTGCGACCGGGGAGGGATCTGACCGGCCAATCTCTGTGCTGGCTTCCCCTGTCATGCGTCGTGGGGTGTAACTCTGCCCAATGATGAGTCTATGTTGCTAACGTGGGGTTGCGATGGGCTATAATTATCGGTGCTATCATAGGTATGGCTAAACCATGAATGGCGCCCTGACACTGGCGGATCAGATCTAAGCTAGCTTCCCTCGATCTGTGCACTCGACAGTCAGCAGTGCTACACGACTCTGTCTGAAGACGCGCTGGTACTTCCTTCACGTACCAAGCCTCTTTGAAGCATACAAAGCCTGTCAGGTGAAGACTGATACTGGCAGCGCGTCAATGAACGGGTGAGAACACCTTATAGTCATATGTGACTCACGTCATTGTCAGCTACAACATGAACAAAGCCGCAAACAATCCGGAGTAGATACAACATGGCCCATCAGTTCTTATAAAGTGTCTGCAAACCAGTACCTTTGGACAGTCGTCTAAACTAGCCTGGTCCTGCCATACCGCCTTTCCCACCGACTGACTGTAGTGCCGGCAGAATCGGATGCTCAGTCTCGGCATTTTCCTCTCCCCTAAGGAATGAAATTCCGCGTTGGGCTATCCAGGAATGAGCCTCGATGATAAGCTGCTAAAACTAGCACCCTCCTTTATGCTCCAACGTGACATTACTTATCTCATTATAATTCTTCTCCATGGAGCCTCCTCAACAATCTCAGCAGCCTGAGCAGCCGCAACAACCCCAACTTTCTCAGCCTCAGTTCCAGCCACCCGCGCAGCAACCGCAACAGCCGCAACAACCACAATCTCAGCAACAACCGCAGCCTCAACAATTCCAGCAACCTCAACAACCTCAGCAACCTCAACAAACTCCACAAAACCCTCAATCTCAGGAACCACAGCAACCACAGCAAGCACAAGCTCCGGGACAGGCTGAGACTCCGCCATCATACGCCCCCTTGCCCGCGCCCCCGGATGCCCTTTTTCGCACAGAAGTCGAAGCCGTACAAGCTGTGAAGGCATTTGCACAAGTCCATCAATATGCCGTGATTACAAAGCGCACCAACAAAGGCCGTGAGGGGAAAGTTGAGGCCATTTATATGACCTGCGACCAGGGCCAGACGTACCGTTCAACCGCGAAGGAGCGTCAACGGGAGCCATCACGACGTACTGGCTGCCCATTTAGCTTACGTATCAGCCATCATAAGACCGACAATCTATGGCATGTCAAAGTCCGCGACCCTACACACAATCATGGCCCCTCGCAGCCAGGCCAACATCCCTCAATCCGCCGTGAAGAAATCAGCCAGAAGACGCAGTATATCAAAGCTCTTCTTGACATCAATATGCCACCAAGCCAAATCCTCAAACAGCTTCGCCATGTGGACCCTAGCACTGTCATCCAGATCCGCGACATATACAACCTCCGTCATCGTCTTTATCAAGGGAAAACACCAACCCCAGCGGTCATCATATCAGACTTCAAGCAGTCTAAGCCTAGGAAGCGCCGTGCCACAGAGGGTTCCGACAATCAATCTTCCGGGGAGGCTTCACTGCCCGGAGCTGTAGAGCCGAATGTCTTGGGAGACGATCAAGGCCTCGCCAGCCCTGTCAGTGGCATACCGGGGACTCAGGACATGCATACTCCAGAGCAACTCCTAATCAATACGCTGTTTTGAGTTTGTAGTATACCGTTTGGCGTTTATGGTTGAATTAGCGCTAGGGAGATACCAATTTGATAAGCCTCCAATTCGATTGAAGCTCAGACGTACCGCTGATTTGACCGCTCTGACAAGCTGGCAAAATACACAAGTCACGTGACTATTGCCTGATCTTCGCGGTCCTTCTGGAAGGCGGTGGAATCTTTGAGTGTCGTCATGCTGCTTTGGGCACCATCATGAAGTCTCCTTTGTATCTTGCTTTGAAGTCATCTTCTTAGCTCTCTCAAGTATATATTCTGTCACCCGTCCTCTTCTTGCTCAAGCATCACATTCGAATCATAGTCTCTTCGTTGTCTAATCTGATACCCTACCTCCTACCTCTCCGGAGATTTTATCTCCCCCACCTTGCATCATGAACACCGACAAATACACAGACAAGGCCAACAAGGCCCTACAAGATGCTCTTGATATCACCATCGAGCACGCCAACGCAGAACTCTACCCAGTCCACCTCGCAGTTGCGCTTCTTGACCCTGCACAAGACGAAGAAGATGGACCGTCACAACACCCCTCTCACGGAGATTCTACCTCGCTATTCCGCCAAGTCGTCGAACGCGCCCATGGTGACGTCCAGCTCCTTCACCGTGGGCTCATGAGACGGCTTGTCAAGCTACCAAGTCAGGATCCCCCTCCAGAGTCTCGCAGCATGTCCGCACCGTTCCGAAAGGTTATCAACGCGGCCGACCAACTGTCTAAAACACAGAAGGACAGCTATATAGCCGTGGACCACCTGATCCAGGCCGTCTGCCAGGATTCACAAATCCAGGATGCCCTTAAAGACGCCAATATCCCGAACGTCAAGTTAATCGACAATGCTATTCAGCAGATCCGGGGGACAAGGCGTGTTGACTCAAAAACGGCGGATGCTGAGAGCGAAAACGAAAACCTTAAGAAATTCACAATCGATATGACGGCGCTCGCGCGAGAGGGCAAGATTGACCCTGTCATTGGTCGAGAAGAGGAAATCCGTCGTGTGATCCGTATTCTCAGTCGACGAACAAAGAACAACCCTGTGCTCATTGGTGAGCCCGGTGTTGGTAAAACCACGATTGTTGAAGGTCTCGCTCGTCGGATTGTCAATGCCGATATCCCAGCCAGTCTATCTCAGTGCAAACTTCTTTCCCTCGATGTCGGCTCGTTGGTCGCTGGAAGCAAATTCCGCGGCGAGTTCGAAGAGAGATTGAAGGGCGTCCTCAAGGAGATCGAAGAATCCAAAGAAACAATCGTTTTGTTCGTGGATGAAATCCATCTTCTTATGGGTGCAGGCGCTAGCGGCGAGGGCGGAATGGACGCCGCCAACTTGCTGAAGCCGATGCTCGCTCGCGGGCAACTCCACTGTATCGGAGCTACGACACTTGGTGAATACCGCAAGTACATCGAGAAGGATGCCGCGTTCGAACGACGATTCCAACAGGTTCTCGTCAAGGAGCCTACTATCGCGGAGACCGTCTCCATCCTCCGTGGGTTGAAGGAAAAGTACGAAGTTCACCATGGTAGTGTACGGATCCTCGATGCCGCCATCGTCGCAGCAGCTACGTTAGCTGCACGATATCTCACAGCCCGTCGACTACCTGATTCGGCTGTCGATCTCATTGATGAGGCCGCCGCTGCTGTCAGAGTAGCCCGTGAATCCGAACCGGAGGCTCTCGATAATCTCGAGCGCAAACACCGACAGCTGCAAATCGAAATTCATGCTCTTAAGCGTGAAAAGGATGAGGCCTCCAGAGCTCGTCTCAAGGCTGCCGAGCAGGAGGCGGCTAACGTTCAGGAGGAGCTGCGGCCTATGCGCCAGAAGTACGAAAACGAGAAGAAACGCAATACGGAGATCCAGGAGGCCAAGGCTAAGCTCGACACACTCAAGAACAAACAAGAGGAAGCTGAGCGATCTGGAAACACCGAAACTGCAGCGGACTTGAAGTACTATGCTATTCCCGAGACCCAGCAACGCATTGAATTGCTAGAGAAGGAACGGGCTAAGGCTGATGAGGAGCGCCGCAACCGTCAGGGCGATGCTGGTGAACCTTTACTGGCTGATGAGGTTGGTCCCGATCAGATCAACGAGATTGTCGCCAGATGGACCGGGATTCCCGTGACAAGACTTAAGACCACGGAGAAGGACAAGCTGCTGCACATGGAAAAGCAACTAGGCAAGATTGTCGTCGGTCAAAAGGAGGCTGTGAAGTCCATCGCAGACGCCATTCGTCTTCAGCGGTCCGGCCTCGGCAACCCTAACTCACCTCCAAGCTTCCTGTTCTGCGGTCCATCCGGTACGGGTAAGACGCTGCTCACCAAAGCCCTTGCGGAGTTCCTCTTCGATGACCCCAAGGCCATGATCCGATTCGATATGTCCGAGTACCAGGAGCGACACTCGCTCAGCCGCATGATCGGTGCGCCCCCAGGCTACGTTGGCCACGATGCAGGTGGCCAGCTGACCGAGTCTCTCCGACGCCGACCATTCTCCATCCTTCTATTCGATGAAGTCGAAAAGGCCGCCAAGGAGGTTCTCACCGTCCTCCTCCAGCTCATGGATGATGGTCGCATCACGGACGGCCAGGGCAGAGTCGTGGACGCCCGCAACTGTATCGTCGTCATGACATCCAACCTAGGCGCCGAATACCTCGCTCGTCCAACCACCAAGGACGGCAAGATCGATCCGCAAACCCGGGAACTGGTCATGGGCGCCCTCCGCAACTACTTCCTCCCCGAGTTCCTCAACCGCATCTCCAGCACCGTCATCTTCAACCGGCTCTCGAAGAAGGAGATCCGGAAGATTGTCGACCTCCGCCTTGATGAGATCCAGCGCCGCCTCGAGCAGAACAACCGGAACGTTATCGTCGAGTGCACCGAGGAGGTCAAGGACTACCTTGGCCAGTCGGGCTACTCGCCCGCGTACGGCGCCCGTCCACTAGCACGCATCATCGAGCGCGAAGTTCTCAACCGTCTCGCCGTACTCATTCTACGCGGTAGCATCCAAGACGGCGAAGTTGCGCGCGTGGTCATGCGCGATGGCCGGATCGATGTCCTCCCCAACCATGAAATCCCGGTCGACGAAGACCAGGAGATGACGGACGAGGATGACTTCGATGCCGTGGCCGAGATGGATGATAGCGGTGACATGGATTTGTACGACTAAAAGTTTCATGTGACATGATGACTTATGATGGATGATGTTTCCCCCTTCTTATCCACTTTTGTGGTCTTTTTTTTTTCCTTTGGAGAAAAGCGTTTTGTCTTGCATTGTTTTACATGTATAGCCTGGAGCGACTCCTTTTGCATATAATTGAACACATCAGGTCCTGCTAAGTGACCTAACTACTAGTAAATAGGTGATTAATACATATACCTTGGGACTTGTAACTTTTCTATCCTTTTCAGATTAAGTAGTTTCGTAGCGAATGATTTTTAAGCAAAGTGCAAGTGTCTTGGTTGAAATAGCCCAGGCACCTTGATCAGTGTCGAGGGTTAATGCTCTGTAAACAAATATTAATGGACTGCATATGAGACTGCTTATAGAACTCGGCTGCCTGATATTGCTCGTTGATCGAGGATACATAATCTACGGAGGGTAAAGGCTATGGACAAGGACAATTACCGAGTAACTTTTCGGTGCCTTTGACGCATTTGTATCAAGCATTATGGCATTTTCATTTTCATTCTTTATATTTTAAAGTTTAGGATTTTTCTTGTCTGGATTGTACTACGGATTGTTGGGGATATTAATCCGTACAGTCTTCCAACCATCCCGATATATATCTTCCTAGCCGAGAAGGAGCATACAGAGGCACAAACCCGACAACACGCTATCTCTCGGCATCTGAGAGACCTTGGTTGCTGGGACATTCATCTTCAATCATTAATTTGAACAGATAGTTTGTTTCAGGTATATGTTGTACTCGGTCGTTGTACACATACCTCGGTCCCACGGGTTCGCCGTCGCAGTGGTCGATATAGGTCGGGTTATCCGGACGGTTACCCTGTACAGAAGAACATAAGAATTGTTTATTTATGAATGTCTCGGACGCGGTGACTCGTTGGAGTCTTGAGTAGAGCGTCGGGACAGTTCAGTTTGATTTGAAGGCATGAAGCTGGTAAGGTATATGTCACTTTTTGCAACGACTGGCAATTCGGTATGCGTCCTAAGCGCCGAAGGACTGAATGTGATAGCATCATTGTAACGGCCAGACAACCACCGTCCACGAGGGCAAAGTAGACCACGAAAATTAGTTGACTGTCTCTGAAACGCTGGCTTAACCTTCGACTACTGCAGGAACAACAATGATGTTGTCTCACAGGTACTGGGTCGAATTTCAAGGTTCAAGCCGGGTTGCGCTCAGATAGCGTTCGTGACAAATACCCCTTTAATGCAGAGGCCTGTGCAACTGCATCGTGCAACATCCGGTTATCCGAAACCCGACGTTAGACCGTCGTCTAGCAGAGGAGATGGATCAAAGTTTGTACTACGCCGTTTAGCGCGGGCAACTTCCTATATACTTTCAACGGCCTGCGCTAGAATCGGCGTTAAAGTATAGCCTCCCCACTGAAATAGCGAGGCGGAGGTACCGTTTAAACAGGAATAGTTACCGAGTCCAGGATTCGGAGTACACTCCAGCATCGTTATAGTATCGGTCGTATATCTATTTGAAGGCTGCGCTTTGGACAGTGGCTGGCTGGCGACTCTTGCAAGCGAGATACTCGGCCTTCGCTTATAGGTGTGAGACACTCGGATAAATAAAGCACTGAATGTAGGACAGTGGACCAAGCGCGCTCAGATTCGGAGGAGACTTAAGCACCGATCGGCTTGAGCTTTGAGACGGAGGATTTCTGGTTCGCGGAGTCGCAGAAAGCTTGTGAAAGATCTTCCGAATTCAACCAGCCCCGGGATCGCGACCGGCAGGAATGTCGGTGAGATCCATGCAAGCCTTGCAAGGTTTCAAGCTGCAAGCAAAGTATCCATTGTCGAGAGTTGTAACTTGTTTGCCTAGTAAAACCCATGGGCCGACTGATGATGTGCAATTCAAACCACCAGGCGCAGTCTAGTCTAGCCTGAGCAGGACCAGGACCGGTGGAGATAAAAAAACGTGGTCCATGGTTTAGAATTTAGCTAAGACGCATAGTCTCAAAGTTGGGTCTTGTCATGGCTCAATCATCACTCAGAGATTCGAAGTGCAGCCTTCGGCCGTCGGGCCTTCCCCATATCACAGTGGGTAAATGTTCAACATTTGATATGATACGAACCTATCACATTGGATCGCCGGTAAAGGGTCTCGGTGCCCAAGGCGCGTCTGATTGTGGAATCTGAAGGTGCTTCGGGTTTGTATGCCGGGGCGAGGTCGGGCTTTTGCTCAGTGCACAGTACATTCCAAATCCATCATAGACGAAGACTCAGTGGCGCTTATTTTAAACGAGGTTCATATGGTCACAATGCAGTATGCAGTAGCCTGATTAGACCTAGATTCTAGATCCAGCAGGGAAGATGATGGATTTTGATTATTGGCGCTTGTCGAATTGTCGGAGTCTCGGAGGCCTGCCCTGTGTCTCCACATGTTTTATGAAGTCAAACCCGTCGTTCTCGAAGAAGTCTATCGCTTAAACCTCGGGAGATGTGCAATGAATTTGGAATTGTCGTGAGGAGCGTGTTTGTGCAGATATTGTATGCCAACTCGAAGCCACAGAGCAGGCAAGAACACTTACTTCCAACCCCTCCAAGGACCAAGAGCGAAGGTGGCTGGCCACGATGTTACATAAGAGAGGCACGTGACCAGCGGGAGATCTGCAGTAAAGCACCACCAGGAACCACACCAAGCGCCCGATCCAGTAATTGCACAGCCGATTCCATGGTAGGAGAATGGAGAGTTAAAAAATCAAAGAATGGAATGATTGCCGATCATCGGTGAGGCATTTTGTTGCTCAGTGGATTCGAGATCCAACGGATTTGACTTCATAGTACAGCGGGGTAATAAGAATGTGATTGTGCGGTTTGATATCAGCGTGCCTCCAACTCCAGCGGGGTAATCTATCCAAGTCTAGTCGTTATGGCATAAGAAACAAAAGACAAATGATGGGGGTAGTAGACAATTATATACAAGAAAGCAAAGCGAGAGCTTTTAGACGAGCCACTTAAGGCTGCGGCTCGTGATGGTGGTAGTGGTCTGGTGGCCGTGACTCGCGCATGACTTCGATTGTGACGTCTTGTCGAATCTGCAAAGCTCGCTCCGAGCCGTCGTCGCTGTGGCCGCGGGAATCGGTCTGCTCCAGGCTGACCGCGGACATATCCTTTTGCGGCGTGACGACAACGCTTCTATTATAGCTGTGCATGGGGAAATCGTCACCCGAGCGTAGGTGAGTGGTAGCAGTTCCGTAATTCTTGAGGCCAGACGGGTTGCTGTTCCAGGCACCCGACCTGTAGCGGTTGGTGCCTCGTTTCGAACCACCAGTCCAGCTCTTGAGAGCGGGGAAGACATCGCGAAGGAGAGACCAGATGAGAGGTAGATTGGTGACGAGAATGGCGACGGTGGTCTCTCGGAAGTACCAGTTCATGTAGACGTACGAAATAAGGGAAGGGACAAGGCAGTAGACTTTTGTGAGGATCGCGGCGACGATGACGAAGATTCCCATTCCGAAAATGACCAGAAGAATCAGCTTCTGCTTGACAGGTACTCGGACTTGCATCAAAAGTGGAAGTCCGATTAGAAGCATGGCGACATCAGCCGTGATGGCCACGCATCCTTGGACGATTTCGTAGTATTGGTAGTTAGAGCATTGGGCTGCGACTCCGTTAGTTGCGTGGATAAGGCTGCAGGAGGGATGAACTAACGGTTTGGAGTAGGCACTGCCCAATAGTTTGATAGCGGCCGGCATATAAGGAAGAGGGCCAACTCGACGGCAATAAACCCAAGAGCAACATAGACGGCGAGGTAGTTAACCAGTTTCCTTTGAGGCAATCCCTCTCTGATAAAGTATTCCAGTCAGATGTATTGCGCCAACGAGGTGAGATGAGAATCCATACGTGATACGAGCATAGATAATCAACATGCATGCCTTCATTGACCATATAGCGAGGATGAAAGCGTGCTCCGAGACGAAGACCCATTTGCTTCCTTTGACTCTTTCGTCGTAGATCTCCGGTGTCAGGTTTTTGACATCCTCATCTGTCATGAGATTCGACCCTCCACCCGATGCAACCGCATTTAGGGCGACGCATAGAATTGTGTACCATATCACGGCAAACACCATAACATAGTCGTCCCATTGGAGGTTCTGAATACCGAGTCGACGTATACGGGCTATGCTGTACGGATGTTAGTCTACCAAGAGCACATTATATTGAGCACACCAGGACTGGGACACTCACAATCGCAGCACGACACCGAGCATGCCAACACCGTAGAGAGTCCATGTTTCTCGGGCAAAGCTCCGGCCGAATTCGGCGCCTAAGCTCGACATCCTTTCGTGGTACAACCTGCGAAGCCAGGTCAGAGGATCGATCGGAGTGACAGCAAGTCCGCCAAGGAGGGAGGTGACGGAGGGCTGGAGGGTATATATGCACGTACATGGAGGGCAGTCAGCGCATGCGAGCGGGGGCCTGACAGATACTGCTCGAAGGATCAACCCGAGATCCTGGTTGCTGTAGTCTGAATGGACAAGAGCGGCTGCACTGGACTCTGGAGGCGAGCAAAGCAATATGCAGAGATAACGCTAAAAAATTGGAAGAAGCAAAAAAGAACATGCCGAAGGGATCACACCTGCAGCAGTTCCATGGCTCCGTCATCTTCTCCAGGAACGCATTCTGCGACGCTGATGCGCTTTGGCTGGCCGCTGAGCCACAGCCTCGAGGGTGAGTGACCCGCGTTCATAATTTGGAAACGGGCAAATGGGATGCTGTCCACGGCCAGGCCTCTGGCATCATGGCGCAACTGCGGACCACCTCTGGGTGTGGAGGATACAATTGGAGGCCAGCGAAGGACGTCCCACGAGAAGGATGGCGAGTTTGCCATCGGGAAAATGGTGGAGCTCGAGGAAATGTCCGCAAAGATTCAAGTCCGGCCATGATTTGGCGCGTCAACGCTCATTGGACGATCTGGCGACGCGCTAGTCCTTGGATCTCCAGGCTCGTGCCCTTAGCTGAACCTTAACTTCTTCCCGCCATTCCCACTTTTGCTAAGATCACCGCGGCCCCAAAGGCACCACTGTGGCACTGACATCCAAGCTCCACTCGTGCAGTTCAGGAGCAGGAGGGATCAGCTCTTCAGTTCTTCTATCTTCCAGGATTAGGAACATCTATGAGATCGGCAGCGCCGAGTCGTGTCAGAATGTCATCCGGTGTCCGATTAGTCAGTTCGGATCCGATGAAGCGTGACCGACACTGTGCAGAGGTTGTATTCTCCAATAATCACCGGAGATTGCAGTCATCCGAAACAATGGCATTATTTATTTCAATATAAAGCTAGACAAGCCGAACGCCTATGGCTTCGGGTTCCAGCCTCGAACCTTGCATGTTCCAGAGTGCAGGCTGTCTCGTGCTTAGACGCCAACAGCTCCACTACTGCATCAGTGGGTCGACCAGCCATCCATTCCATCGTGCGATGCCCTGCCAGCATGAACGCTGTGATAGATCAAATTCAGGGAAAGATGCAGATGCTTTCTTTTTGCCTTATTCCGATCCTAACGCGGCAGGCGAGAGCCACTCAGCACTTATTCCATTGCCTTGGATCCAGGGCAGTGCTTTGATTCGAGGAACCCGGGCCAGCTCGACCTTCACAAGCAGGAACAGCTGCTAATTCTCGAGGCCAGGATCCATTGGGCCAGGATCATGCCACGGCCCCGGGCCAGCCATCCAACCAGCAATCTCCGTCCCCTGCCAATGTCACCGTGCCTTTTGGATTCCAGACTCTTCAACTGCCGTGTCTCGAGTCTCGACTCTCAAATTATTTATTGCTTGTTATTATTGCGCCGCGAATAATACGATAGAGTGTCCTCCGTACGGGGCTACTTTGTACGAGGATGAGTAGTGTTTGTTACGTGTCCGTCTCCATCATCAAGGCTCGGTCGACTCCACGAGCGTCGATCCGGAATGGAGGCGAGCTGAAGTTGGCCTCTGCTCACTGGTGGCTGAAAGGCAGAAAGCCAATTATGCACGATGAAGTTTCCCCCGGCCGATAGCATCATGTGGATGCCGATGCAAATGCAATGTGTGTTTGCTTCGTTGGCTGCCTGCATCATGCATGGCGATCTGCCTTCTCTTCATCCCGTCCACGGGCCTTATCCAAGAGCCCATGCCAATGCCATATTATTATGAAATCTGCAATATGCTCTCGCCGCATGGTCTGATGAACTGATCATGCCACGAGGCCTTCTAGAGTAAATCTAGACTACGCATCTAAGCTTCATTAATCGGTGACACCGGGCTCTAGCATCGGAGATTGACCCAATCTGATAGAAATAGAATCACTCTAAGAAGGTTCTAAAAAACTCAAATCGAAGGCTAGCGCATCGAGATGCCACCTTAAATCCTTGCATGCGAAATTCCCTCAGTTGCACTTGGACATCAAGATAATTTGTCATTATTGTTGTCATTTATATCAAACTCCTACTGAAAGCGACCTCGGCGTTATCCGAAGCCTTGTCTCACATGCTATTTGTTACTCACTGCTCTGGTATTGACATCTCAGTCATAGATCACCAAAGAACAAGATGACTGTCCATAACTCCATGGCCTGGCTTGTCGCTCCCTTCATCCATGGATTTCAGGCAATAGTCCATAGACTGGACCCCACGTTTGGCGGCGAATGCGAGCAGATCAGCCTGGGCTCCATGGTTCCGCCATATCTCAAATTCGCAAGAATAAAGTTCTTGGAGAGTCTCGGAAGCACACAATCTAGCCGCCCGTTGTTTTAAAGCATCCGCCCTCTGTTCCTTGCAAACTTTGTTGTCCTGGGAGACATGAGTCAAGATTCGGGGGCCATCAAGCACGGAGTATGTGCCTTGTAAGTTGCGGTGGGCTCCGAGGCCGGGCGACTCGCTTATCATAGTCTGGCCCGAAATGTCCTAGTCCAGCCCTGTCTTCGTCATAATATAATGTCATTATCATTATAATTATCACGTGCACGGAATCTTCTCTTCAGCACACTCAACGCCCGCTAGTAGTCGTCCTACCCTGCATACCTGTTCTCATAGCCTTTGGACCGGCTCTGGATTCAAGCCGCGAACGCCTGCCCAAAGCAGCATACGGAGAAGATCTGGGGTAAAGCGGCTGTGGTTCAAGTATCCATAAGATATCCATAAGATCTGCTCAGTGCTCAGACTTTACCCACGATCAAGAGCATTCTGTTATCAAATCTTCCGCTGTTAGAGAACGCCTGGTAGGCACTGGCGTCTGCTCAAGCTCCCTCTTCCGGCTTAGACTGTCCGAGGAATTCCTGTCCATGGACCAATGGACATATTGCTGGAAGCCCACTTGGCTCGCGTCGCCACCATAAGCAGGGTCCTTGATGACTATGGTTGGCTAGAGATGAAGTCTCCATTGTCCCACAGTCATGGGCTCCGCGGGCCAGCCGGTCTCAACTGTAAGCACGGAGCTGTGCATCCCTCGCGCAGGTGCATGGTAGTATAAACCCCCATCTCTCGCCTTGCTTCGATGATCGTCCTCCCTTCTTCAACGGTCTTGGGATTCTTTCTTTTTCCCATCCGCCCACCTAGCATCTAGAAGCCAGGACGGTGACGCTCGTTCTCGTGCATTCCCTACATACCGGAGTAATTGGATCATACTTGCGCCACCGGGAACAGAATCTTTATCAGCTCCCGAACCACGTTCTCTACCTAAATCACCTCGACCTCGTCCGCTTCTCACATCCGCAATGGCCAACACAACGGAGAAGATGGCAGTTGTCGACTCAGCCAAGGAGGAACAAGGCTCCTCAATTGACGCCCCGGTCAATGCGTCCGGTCACCGCCAGGAGCTCCAGCGCAACTACGGTCTGCTGAGTATCTGCGCTCTCGCCATCACTACCGGAAACACATGGATTGCGCAGGGAGGAAGTATAGCCACCGCTCTCTCCAATGGAGGACCATCGGGTGTCATCTACGAATTTATCGCGGTCTCAGTCTGCTACTGGATGGTGGCTGCCTCTATTGCTGAGCTGGCCTCGGGAATGCCGTCGGCTGGTGGTGGTATGATTTCTCATTCTATGCTGTTTTGCTTTTAACTGATTCAACGTCTCAGTCTACCATTGGGCTTCTATTACTGCTGGGAAATATGGTCGCGTCTGCGGTTTCTTCGCTGGTTGGTGGAACTGCTTGGCCTGGGTGCTTGGTGGTGCCTCGGTCTCTGCCATTCTTGGACAGCAGACGGTCTCCATGTATGCGCTGATGCACCCCGGGTTTGAGATGAAGGCGTGGCATGTCTTCGTCAGCTTCATCATCTGCACCTGGCTATGCTGCTCTATCGTCCTGTTCCTGAACCGCTTCCTCCCGCAGTTAAACAACATCGGCGGATTCTTCATTCTCTCCGGTGTGCTCATCGTCATCATCGTCGCTGCCTGCATGCCCCATGTCAAGGACATTCCATATGCTACGAACGAGGACGTCTGGCGGACCTGGACAAACTCAACCGGGTACTCTAGCAATGGTTTTGTCTTCGTCGCCGGTATGCTTAACGGTGCCTACGCTGTCGGCACACCCGACTGCTCGACCCATCTCGCCGAGGAGATTCCCCAACCCAGCAAGAACATCCCCAAGGCCGTCTTTGCCCAGATGAGCGTTGGCTTCATCGCCGGTCTACTTTACATGATCGCGCTTTTCTACGCCGTTAACGACCTCGACTCTGTTCTGGCAGCTACTTTCCCCCTTGCTGAGATCTACCGTCAGGCAAGCGGATCCCGGGGTGGCGGTCTCGGCCTTTTGATCATCACCTTCCTACCGACTGTCATCAACTGTGCTGGTTGCTACATCACCGCCGGTCGTACCCTCTGGACTCTTGCTCGTGACGGAGCAACCCCCTTCCCCAACTGGACCGGCCGCATCAACTCGCGCATGCACAACCCTTTCAACGCGACCCTTATCTGCGGTGTTGCCATTACAGTCCTCGCCTGTATCTATGTCGGCTCTACCACTGCCTTTAATGCCTTCGTCGGTTGCTTCGTCCAGCTGTCCTCTCTTTCATACTTCGCCGCCATCCTCCCTCATGTTCTCACCAAGCGCTCATCCTTCGTCCGCGGTTACTTCTGGATGGGTAACATCGGATACCTCTTCAACATTCTCAGCTGCATTTACATTATCGCCTTCGTCGTGATCTTCTGCTTCCCCTTTGCCCTGCCCACGGATGCAGCCTCCATGAACTACGCCAGCTTGATGACTGGCGGTCTTACCATCTTCGTCGCCATCAACTGGTTCTTCCGAATGGGTTCATATGAGGGTCCCAAGTTTGTCCCTTTGACTGACAGGGCCCTAGCGGATGACGCTAAATAAAGAACGATTTTGGTGTGCACAGAAAGGAAGTTGTATGAATAGTTATTATATATGGCGCTTTAGATTGGATGTTTGGGATTTAGCGGTCCTCAAAAGATATGCTTCATGTCGGTCATTATGATTCCTTGTATATATGACATACCTATGGCTGTACCATTCTATCTTTAATAAACTGATGATCCATGTCACTTCTTTATTAGCTTTTGAATTCGAGTGAAGATGGAAGAACAATGCTATGCCTTAGTCACGTGAACACGCGCACCCCCATCGCGCCCGACGCGAGATCCTTCCGCCTCCAAGTTTCGAGAATGCCCATACCACGCAACACCTTGAAGGTCATTTCTCGCCATGGTCTTCAAACCATTCAAGCCTCTTTCAATAAAAAAGCCATCTCAATCAACCGCACCGACACAAGAACCATCTGCAAAGCCTTCCGAAAGCGATGATGGCCCGCCTGCGAAGCGGCCGCGTCTGATTTCTCAAGATACGAACGGCACCGGAAACGCCTGTCCTACAACGAGTCAACGGAAGCCTTTACTGCAGGTAAAGAATGTTGGCGAGGCATCCGCTGTAAGCAGCAACGAAAGCGGGGATGGAAATGCGAGTACAGATTCACCCTCCGGCGTGCGTTACTTCAACGTGCTATGGTATGTACTCCCTTCTCCCGTGTCCAAACTATAATGCCGCCGAACTTTATGGACTAACAATCGCTGGCCTGTAGGCGAAAACCAACTGCGAAGAAGAACAAAACGTGGGACGGCGACGGGATCATTTCGGCGCGCGATGGATACGTCTACCTGCAGGACGTCTCGGGAAGGGATATGGGTCGTGCGATGAACGGATCTGCTCTGAAACCGGGCGCCATACTATCGATTGGAGGGAAAGAGGTCGAAGTTGATACGGAGATCCCAAGGAAGGAATATCTGGCTGGAAGACCGTTCTTGGAGACGAAGACAGAGATACCGACACCGCCATCACCTCCAAGACCACTGCCGTCGAAAAAGGCGTCTGTTTCTGTGCCGACAAGCCGAGAGAGGAATACGTCAGCATCGGAACCGTCCGTGTCTACTCCGGGGCTGGGTAGGACTAAAGTTAAAGAAAGTCGGCCTCTGAGTTTAGCGAGTCGCGGGTTGATTTCGGGCGCCTATAAGAAACCGTTGCTTGAGAGTACAGTTATGCCCGCTGTTTTGCTGGATGAACCTACTCCGCGCCATGACCCCAAGCACCCTGGTGCAGTGGTAATGAAGCGGCCGAGCTCCGTGCCCAAGGGCAAACGGATAGTCGATGTCGTTGTGGATCCTATCCTGGGAAAACATCTCCGGCCACACCAGCGCGAGGGTGTGAAGTTCTTGTACGAGTGTGTTATGGGAATGCGATCATTTAATGGTGAGGGCGCGATTCTAGCCGATGACATGGGCTTGGGAAAGACCTTGCAGACCATCACTCTGTTGTGGACCTTACTGAAACAGAATCCGATCTACGAGGCTGGGCCAGTGATCAAAAAGGCTCTTATCGTGTGCCCGGTCACACTGATCAATAACTGGAGGAGAGAGGTTCGGAAATGGCTTGGTAATGAGCGCATCGGCGTCTTTGTCTTTGATGATAAGAGGAAGCGCCTGACTGATTTTACTAAGGGCAAGGCCTACAGCATCATGATCGTTGGCTACGAGAAACTGAGGACCGTTCAAGAGGGGCTGGCGCGTGGCAATGGTGTCGACATTGTCATTGCAGATGAAGGCCATCGGTTGAAGACGCTTCAGAACAAGAGCGGGCAGGCCATCCAGTCACTCAACACTACGAAGAGAGTTATACTCTCCGGCACGCCTATTCAAAACGATTTGAAGGAATTCTTTGCGGCTGTGGATCTTGTCAATCCAGGTGTTCTAGGGACATTCAAGTCTTTTATTAAGGAGTTCGAGGGCCCTATTGTGAGGAGCAGACAACCTGAAGCTACGGAGAAGGACATTGAAAAGGGAGAGGCTCGGAATGAAGAGCTTCGAGAACTGACATCACAATTTATGCTGCGAAGAACGGCCGATATCCTTGCCAAGTATCTGCCTCCGAAGACAGAATACGTGCTCTTTTGCAAGCCCACCAATACGCAGGCAAAGATCTACCAGAACGTGCTTGCCTCGCCGGTCTTTCAAGGTGTCATTGGAAGTTCAGAAAGCGCTCTGCAGTTGATCACCATCCTCAAAAAGCTCTGCAACAGCCCATCTCTGCTTTCACAAAAAGACGCCGATGGGAAGCCAAGCGAGACCATCACGGCACTCTTATCTTCATTACCACCAAACCTCCTTCGACACTTCTCCCCTTCATGCAGCGCTAAGATCCGCGTTTTGGACCAGCTACTACACCACCTGCGCACATCAACCTCTGAAAAGATCGTGCTCGTTTCAAACTACACCTCCACCTTGAATCTCCTCGCCAACCTCCTAAGCTCCCTTTCCCTCCCCTTCCTTCGCCTCGACGGCTCCACTCCCGCGCAAAAGCGCCAAAGCCTAGTCGAAGATTTCAACCGCCTGCCAGCGACTACCTGCTTTGCCTTCCTGCTCTCCGCAAAGGCCGGAGGAACCGGTCTGAACCTGATTGGCGCGAGCCGTCTCGTCCTTTTCGACGTCGACTGGAACCCAGCCACAGATATTCAAGCCATGGCGCGCATCCACCGCGACGGTCAGAAGCGCCATTGCCATATCTACCGCATTCTGCTACAGGGTAGTTTGGAGGAGAAGATCTGGCAACGGCAGGTGACCAAAATCGGGCTTGCCGATAGCGTGATGGAGAATAAGGATAGTGTCGCGCAGTTCTCGCGAGACGAGCTCAAGGACCTTTTCAGGCTTGATGTGGAGAGTAAATGCCAGACGCATGATCTTTTGGCTTGCGGCTGCGGTGGTAGGGGGTATATTACCGCTCCAGATAGTGACGACACGCCCCTAGAAGAAGACTCGGTAGAACTCAACGAAAACGATGGCAACGAGTCAGATGCATCTCTTCCTGACCTCCCAACTCTTCTGAAAGCCTCCGAAGTGGACATGGAAGAACAAGAGCGTCATCTCGAAACGAAAGGCAGACGCCCTCGTGCCTCCAAGGCGAAGAATAAGAACAACAACTCCGGCAAACAGAAAATCCAAGAGAGTCTCTCTCACTACGCACATATTGACCCGTCTCTTTTTGCCCCGTCGGCGTTGACGTCGGCGGTGCAGGATACCGAGACCGAACCAGGTCTACCAGAGGGCCTTGATCAAGTCCTGGAAGACGAAGTCTTGCGCTCTCTGTTAACGGATGAGGAGAACCGGGTGCAGTTCCTATTCAAGAAATCGACGAAGCCTGAAGTCAAGGATCCTACCCCTGCGGCTGACGAGGACACCAAGTCCAAGCCCAAGGCTAAGTCCAAAGACAGGGCTAAGGTTGGAAATGACGCAGGGATAGGCACGGCGGAGTCTCCCCTTGATTTATCTGACTAGCGATGAATTAGAGTTACCTATACTCCGTATAGATTAATAGAATGCATTCTCAATTATTGCATATCCCAGCTCATCTGCCTCGTTCTTAAGAAATCATGGCTTGGGCAAACCCGGGTTTTGGGTAAACGGGTTGATGTTAACGGGTAAAGCACACAACCCGTGCCAAGACCTTCCATAACAGGCAAATACCCGGCTTGGGTTGCATAGGGGTCCAACTCGCAAGACATTACTGAATTCAAAGACGGGATGCGGAGGCTTGCCTCTGTCGGTCTCGGGCTATACCGTAAGATGAACAGAAAAGGAAAGCGCGACTGGCGCCCCGCCCCGGCCCGTTCCTGCTGTTCACGTCATCTCACCTGCCTCCAAGAAAGGGACCCCTGTAGGCTGTAGGTAACCATTGGATGAGCTTTAGGAAGGTGCAACCCGACTATCGAGGTCACATGGTGTTGTTAAATCTTGGCAGGAGCAGCCTTGGGCGTTTTTTAAATGTTTGACAACCCCGCCCTCCTCACCTGTTGCTCTTCCAATTGCCTTGAGGTGATACCTTTACGAGCAGAAGCAATAGGTCTGTTAGATAGTATATCGTACTTACAGAGACGTATCTACTAGGCTGATCCAACGAGAAAGTAACTCGAGGAGAGTGATTGAGGAACGAATTCCGTGTACATTTGAGCTAGATAACTCTAGGCCAGTTGTGTAATATGTGTTATATCAGGTAGAACTGTGAAAGTCAGCTAATAAGGGTATGTGGGTGTATAAAGTGTGTAAAGTGTATGGCTATAGGTATATGGTGAGAAGCAAGGGCATGAATGAAATAAGTCGAAGAGAAAGACAATTGATGACCCGCCAAAACAAAATGCATAGGCTCAAATACAGCACAACAAGACATGAAGTCATAAGCAAGAGGAGAGACGCGAACGGGGAAAGGAGAAAAGACAGAACGGTCACAGCGACCTTTGAACACTCAGGCTAGTATTTCATCTTCCCAACAAGCCCAAAGGTGTAAGCGGCCTCAGCCTCGCCCTTCATTTGAATCATGTAAACGCGGGAACTTCCGATAGTGACACCTCCTTTCTCAGTCACAGGGGCCCCATCTTCATTTTCTTCGCGCACGGAGACAGCAATACCTGTTCTGGCGACGCGCTCGAAGCAGCTCTCGTCCAGGCAAACGTCAAGGAGGACCTCGCCGCGTGTTTTGCCACGAATGATAATGCGTTTCTCGTTGCGCTGCTCCAGGACTCGTTGCGGCGAGGCAGCGCCGGAAGATGGTTGACTTATACTGTCTGTGCTTACATCAGGGACCGCATCGGCGACTGCAGTGTCTGGACGGCGAGGTTCAGAGGTAGACGGTGGTCGTGAGGGCGCAGGCATAATTGTTAGTCGCGCGGCGCCCATATCGCGCCACTTGGACTGGGTTTCGCGGGCGTAGAGGCGGATCTTAGCATTTGACAGGCCGATTCCATCGACGCCCTTGATAGCTGCTGCGATTCGGCCAATGCCGCCGCTATTGTATCCGCCGGAGCCGGCGGAGCTAGAGTATAGGCTTTCCTCGCCGTCTTTCTTGCGCGAAGTGACGGAGGATCGGGAGATGCTAAACATTTTGCTCGCTCCGCCAAAGCGTTTGAGGGCCGAGAAGGCGCTGCTCATTGTGCCCACGCTGCTTTCGGAGTTGTCCGCTAGGGAGCGCGGGGAGGCAGAGGCGCGGTAGCTCTTTCTGCGGCGAGGCCACCCAAAGAGACCGGAACTCTTAGTCGCACGTTCCAATGGGGCAGGAAGATCGTCCAAGGGCCCTCTAGCATTTTGCAGTGCGATATATGTTGGGTTGTTGGTGCGGGCTTGGTTGATCAGGCCATATAGGGCTTCGCATTCTTCTGCGTTCCGGGAGCGGAACATGATGTTGTTGCTCCAGGTTACTTTGGACCGCGCGGTGGGAGGAGAGCGGATGCTAATGTCAATGGCTGTTCCACGGCGAATTGGGACCAGCGGTGTTAACTCGAGAGCAACGATCGGGCGGACGTTTTTAGCTCCATCGTCGCCATTTGCAAGTGGATCATCCTTCATCTCATAAGCTTCAACAAGTCCAGGGCTTATGATGATCTTGCACTCATCCGGGAAGATGCTATCCCAGGAGCCTTTATCCGACCAAGCAAAAACAGTGGCGATGGCGGAAGACGACTTGCTTGGCTGAGCCGGAACGGATCGATAACCGGCTTGACTAGTCGAGTTTGTCAAGGACAAAGTGCTTAGCTCAGTCTCTTGTTCATCGGGCCTAACAGCACCCCGAGCGGCCTTCGATCGTACTCTGGACGGGATCTCGTCCTCAGAATCCTCGTCTGAACTGTCCGTGACGTAATCCGAGTCAGAATACATGTCATAGCGGCGCACGGTAGAAGTGTCGGAGTCAGAATAAGAATCCGACGCGGTGGAAGGTTCATATTCGTGCTTCAAGGGTGACGATCCCCGCCGCCTGATGCGCCCAGCAGTTGGACTCAAAACAGGGGTGCCTGTCAGGCTAGAACTGGTGGAACTTGGCGAGCGCGAATGGGGAGGGGGCGGTGGAGGCTCATCTCCATTCGACGCGTCAGATTCGGAGCCGGAGCGAGAATGCCTCTTGCTCTTCGTCGGAGTCTCGGGAAGGACACTGTAGTCTAGATCATACTCCTCTTCCGGTTCAGAATCCAGTATATACGAAGTACTACTACCTTGACGAAGCTTCGGAATGGAAGGAAGAACAGCTGAAGGTACGGAGGATACTCGCGGGCTCTCCCCAGTCTCAGTCCCGGTGGGTGTTTTCGGAGTGGCCTGTTTCTGATGGTGCGATGCGGTCTGTTCGGCACGTTGTACTTCATCATGACTTCGAGATGGAGTCGAAGGGGTCGCACCCGTTGGTGAAAGAGGGCTCTGGGGGCCAAGTTCACCATATTTAGATATTCTCTTGGCGCCAGAGCGTTTGAGGCCTTGAGGAGATTTATCATCGCCCATAACGAGTTTTCGCGGGTCCCGCGAATGAAGGATCGATTGGGTATTTGTGGAAGGTTTAGATGCTTCGGACTCTGCAGCATCGTAATCCGATTCGCGAGTGATATCGGTCTGTGATGAGATCTGCGACTCGGTAGCCGCCAACGAATCAGTGGCGCTGGGGTCTGACCACTCCTTCGCAGTCCAGGAGCGTCGTGATGCACGCGAGGATGTTGGCTTCTCTCCAATAGGGATAGCAACGTTAGTCGGGCTGGGAGGAGTTCGCTGGGCCTCCTTGACTTCATTAGGCGAAGAAATCGTCTGTGCGCGTTGTCGCTGCCTTGCGCGCTCGATAAAGCTCTGGGACCGAGAGATGGCAGGTGGAACAGGGGTTCTACCGAGCATTTGGATCCATTCCATTCCCACATCTTCTTCATCAATCTGCAGGGATAAGAGTTCTTGGAAGCGCCGTTCATGCCCTGGGGCACTGCGAATCATAAGCACTATCTCTCCCTTTTTATCCCCATTTCGCGCAGAAACTAATCCAATGTCAATGGGAGGGAAGAGCAACCAACGGTCGGCATGGTCAACTTCGCATATTAGCAAGTCTCCACCAGGGCCATGTTCAGCAGCGTTGTCTCGGAAAAGTATCTCGGCACGACAGTCGATAATCTGGCCACTCGAATGGTAGAGCGACAAGTTAAAAAAGTCACGAGCGCGAACTCGGCGAGTCTTGTCCACGGTGACCTCAGTCAAAGCACCCAGGTTTTCAGGATCACGCGCGCGACTTGAGTCAATAGCGGAAGCCGACTCGTCTTCAAGCCTGGCCCTTTCTTCTCGTGCACGGCGACGGGCCTCTGCCACAAGATTTTGGTAGCTCATAGCAACCTCTTCGGCCTTAGGGGACGGCTCAAGCATGTTGATGCCTTTAAAAGTCTTTGCGAGATATTTCAGGCGTACCAGGGGGCGCTTTAGCAGAAAAGCAACATCAACCTTCTGCCCATCAGCGTCCACAATATCACCGTTCTCATCTCTAGACATCCCATCATCAAGACTTTTTGTATCAGCGTCCTTCGTCTCCTCGCCCTCTTCCAATGGAGCCAGATTGACCACCACGTCTTTGAATCCTAATCGCCAAGCTTTGAGATATTCGCGGTACACCTTCTGGGCGCCTTGTGCCCACTGAAGTAATCCATCTGCGGCGTCAAGTGGAATCCGCTTGTGTAACAATTTCAGCCGTTCAATAGCAACTCCCATGTTCACAATTGGCTTCGTAAAAGTGAGCTCATCCTGCGGATCCGCTGAAGGACGGAAAAGTCCAGCAGCAATGGCCGAGTCGGAGCGGGAGAGGACACAGGTTAAAAGCACCGGAATCACTCCACCCACAAGAGTTCTGAGCTCGCGCATATACTTTGCTTCATCTAGGGATAGCTCCTTCAGGATATCTGCGACTGTGGGGTTTCTGCTTTTGCTGTTTCGAAGACTCCTCGCAGACCGGAGGCTCCTACTTCTTGTGGTGGATGTCGAAAGAACGGATATCAAGTCGTCATGGGTCGTGAGCTTCTTCATTTGAGATGAAACCATAGCTAGCGAGTCGGGATCAACCTTGTCTCTTTCCTCGCTTGCGAAAGTGGTTTGAGAAGAAGTCCTTTTCTTCTCTGTTCCTTCAGATGCTTTTGCTTCCACGCCTCGTGCCCCCATCGACTCTACCGAGGCGATTGTTGACAGGCGGTGGCTACCGGTGCTGGGGGTGTGCTGTTTTCCCTTGTTGCCAGAGATTTCGGACTTCTCAGACAAAGAAGTGGTCCCGGTTTCAGAGGCTTTTTCTTTCTCGTCGAGCTTGCGGTTACTTTCTTTGCCAGTACCGGAGGATGATCGGCTATGTTTCTTTCCGCTGGTCTTCCTCTCACTGGATTTTCGCCTCCGGGGAGATGGCGAGGCGTTTCTCTGCGACCCCTTAGCACTAGACTTGTCATCTTTCGATTTTCGTCGCTCGCCGCTAGACGCAGTCTCTCCGCTCCTATCTCGCCGTACGGGCGTTTTCTGAGAGAGGTCGCTGCTGCCCGAAGGCTCAGGGCTGGTGAGTCGACTTGAATCTCCTTCCGTTGGTTCGTCCACAATTTCGATGCGTTTCTTCCTTCTAGTCTTTAGCGGTGCGGGAATTTCGACATCCGAGTTCTTATCGTCCAGGAATGGGTCCTGTGTATTTGACAGCCATGCTTCGATCTTCGCACCCCGATTTGGAGCTGGCTGCTTAGGTGGCTCCGGCTTCTGATCTGGTTTGCTAAACATCTTTCTCGATTCATCTACAATCTGCCCAAGGATGCCACCTTTGGGAGGCTTCGCTGGAGTGCGCCCTTTTGAAGCATGAGGTGCGCCTCGTGCACGCCGCTTCGATAATTCCGAGAAATCGGCTTCACTGGTCGCCCATTCGGAGTCGTAGTCTAAGGCCGAGTCTTTCTTTTTCGGGCTTTGTGCAGGCTCTGATATTGTGCTGGATCGTTTCTTGTCCGCTGTTGACGGACGCGATGCAGGCTTTGAAGATTTTCCATGGGATGCATGCTCTTTCTCAAGCTTCGATATGATTGAATCGATATCACCGGCGGCATGTGACTTCCGTCGTTCCCTAAGAGCCCGTGGTGAAGTTGCGCGTTCTTTGATGTCGTCTCGGGGCTTTTGCGGAGTCAACCGCGGAGACAGTAGAGGCGGTTCTATATCATCGCCTTTTGCTGATCGTGGCGAACGTATTGGCTCGTTTGTAGTGTACTCCGCGATGCGCCCACGTCTCGGTGCTGGTGGTTTAGATCCCGGCGCCTGCGTTGATGACCGATTCAGCTTCCAATGTTCATCACTAACTAACCGCTTTCGCGGTGTACTCTTGCTTCGCTTCCTTGATGTAATATTTGTAGGCTTCGGTTTCGATTCGGGAGTTGGAACGTTTTCGTTGTCGTCCTCATAGTAGATAACATCATCAGCGGTGACCACTCCGCCGCCCTGTTGTTGCCACTTCCGGACCTTTGCTCGCACGGAGTTGGTATCGTAGAGTCCCAACGGCTTGCCGATATCGAGGGGCTTTGACTTTATCGGCGAAGTTTTGCTGGCCCCGCGGCTGGCGGGGGACTTTGAATTGGCAGGCGTCGGCATTGGGACTGCGAGCGACAGCAATAGTTAGCATACTGCAGTACTTATCCGAGACAGCATGCGACTGCAGTTTGCAGATGTCAAGAACTGATCGTTTTCGTTTGTTTCGTTGCTATCGTTTGCTCTTGTGCCGGTAGTTGAGGCCAAACCGGCGACGTCATTTCCGAAGACGCAATTTGTTTACAGAAGAAAAACACTCACTGATTCAAGGCATACCCTAGCCGAACCGATAACAAAACAAGGGTCTTGTTGCGACTCCAGACAGACAAAAAAGGAACTCAGCTGAAGACAAATGCGATCGTGGGAACAACAAGGGCCGGCGTCAGAAGCAGGGAGCTGAACGAGGCAGAAATCGGAGCGGGCGAGACTCTTGAGGAATGATGGGGGGTCGAATGACTGGCCCAGCGACCGTCAGCTGAAAGAATCACCAGGACAATCCCAGCCAGGACAGGGGCAGGAAACACCGCTCTTGATTCTATCAGTAGAAGTGACCCCTCTATCGCATTATCGATGGTCTCTTTGCTGGCGGTATACAAATCCTGTTGTGTACGAGTCCAGTCCAGTTAGTGCGAGGGCTGCCGGGGAAACCAGCGATCAGCACCAGAGCTTCAGATCAGGCGCCAAAGGAGCCAACGGGATTTTCTCATCCGTCGAGCTTCAATCAATTATATTGTCTCACGCCCCAGGCGCTAAGAAGCTAATTGCTGAATCGTTTGATTCCTCTTTGGCCCTGCAACCATGATCGTGCAGGCGACCACGTCGACTCTCGCCTCACGAGTCACGACTGACCGTTGATCCACCGGCCGGACTGCATGATTGTCGACTGAGTGACCGAATAGAATCGGTTCTATTTCGGGCTCGGATGATCTTCAGACTGTGAGTCGAAATTCGAAGCTCCTGCGCTCTTGTTTTTAAGTCCTCCGATCCTGCTCGGGCAGCAACTTTAAGCTGCCTGCAGGCGCCTCAAGGCCCTCCAGACGTCATTGTCCTGGCCATAACCAACATCCGACGCTGGGTCCGACACGTCACCGAGCAGAGAGGCCTCTGCTAGAGCCATTCATTCGCTGAAGTCCAACGGGATGGATCGAATTTGAGGAGGCTGGAAGATGGAGATTGGAGTCGTGTTGGATGGGGCCGTGGAGGACGAAATCAAGTCCGCTTCGAATCAAAGCTTGGGGTGGAGCAGATCTTGGTCCTACCTACCTCCTACCGTGGTAGCGGTCTAAAGAGCCAGATACTCCGCACATTTACAGGAGCTCACTAGACCGCCAGTATGAATTATGTCTTGATTCAATGGAGTTCTGCGATACTCCATTAGGCGCAATAGTCTAGGGCTGCGGCTGATAATGCATGTTGTAGATAGAGGCTACTATAAACTTCCGGTTCGCGGGACCGCGCGAATTGAATATAATTAGATGCAACACCCTCAGCACTAGACAAGAAAATGTCCAAGATGATTGACTAGAACAACGCGAACACAGCAGAATAAACTTTAAAAAAAATAATAGTCCTGCATCATCAGGCTGCGACACGTGTACCCATATCAAGAAGTATGAACAGCCCATTCAGCTGGTAACCCTAACTGGAACATGTCGGAAGGCACGGTATCAACGGCATCGGCGTAGGCCGAGTCGACAGGAAAGTCATCAAAGATAGCTTGTTCAGAAACAAAGTAAGAGTCTGACAACACCTGAGAACTGGCCGCTTCCTGCCTCGCGAACAAGGCGCTGGACATGAGCTCGGTCAGGATGACCCCATGGGCAGATTTCTTCGCGTCGTCAGACAAACGTCGGAATGATCTCTCAGCTACATCCCAGGCTGCACCCACACGAGGGTCAGTCTGGCGCCAATGGAGTTCATTCAACAGGAATGTCAATGGCACATATTGGAAGTATCCACCAAGCGTCCACTCCCACTTGCGTGAGGCAGTCTCATCCTCTAAGCGTTTGCGTGTATCCAAAATGTCAATAGCGGCATCAAACAGCTGATTCCTGACAGTGTCATCAAGAGGATCGGTTAAGACTATAGTGGTGAATTGCGGACTGTAAAGTTTCATCCACATCTCCGTTATCATCACGTAGGAAATGTGAGAAGCTAGCCAATGAATCGACTCAGTACCGTCACAGTGGTTTAGGTAATTGGATTGAATTCTGTGTTGACATTCTTTGACGGCATTTGCCTTGAGAACCCAGGGTGCGTCACTCTCAACTATCCGTTCGGTGGTCGCAAGGTCATACCGGAGGAGACAGAAGCTCATCGTTGTCCAGCCAGTCTGAGTGATGGGAGGAGTCGTCATGTCTACACTGAGCTCCGAATCGTGGCAGTTAAAAGGTAGTTCAACGCTAAAGGGAGATATGTTGGAGTGGTTGGGTAGGGTTGAGCTTTGGCCTCGGTCATCTCGTATGCGACGATTCAGATACCATAGGTGCCACCGGACGCGCCGTCGCATCTCGGCTCCAAAAAAAGAGCTATCCTCTTCCATTGATACCTCTAGCCGCTCTGCTAGTCCGGCTAAGTTCCAAGCAGACTTTTGGTCATTCTGAAGACGACTTAGCGCGATAAAGAGAACAAGAGCCTGCAATGTTGTCCAGTTACTGGTGGTGATGAACCCGGACCGAGCTAGAGCCTGTTCAGCGGCCAGGCGGTAGGTGGAGAGTGCTGTGCTCTTGGACATTTGTAAGATAGATTGTACGTCTGTTGCATCCATTGCCGAGACGCAAGCAAGATAGAATACCTGCAGCAGAGCGCCTTCACCCTCATCTAATAACGTTGGATCACTCAAGCCACTTCGGAGGATCCGAAATGCACTAGGCTGATGTACCACCTTGATTAGTGGATCGATCCTCTCCAAAAAGGTCTGCCAGTATTTCCGCCCCTGGTCCGATGATGGATGTAATGGTGCGATAGCATGCGCCCAAGTGTGGCTTAATGGGAAAAGCGAGCCATTCAGCGCGTCCGGGGACAGTATCCTGCTAGCCTGAGTGTTGATGGTTTCTGTCAAGTCCGAAACCTGCGCTTCGAGCGCGCGAATTTTATCACGCAGTGCTTGATCGCTAGACGAGCTTGCATCAGGTTTGGTCCGGGCTCGCGGGCATCTGCGAATCGGAGACGGGAAAATACATTCGATGGACCATCGGGAGCAGTTTGTGCATGGAAGCTGCCTGTCACATCGAACCTTTCTTTTGCGGCATGCAAGGCAAGATTTTGGCTTCAAGATGGCATAATCAGGAGGCGTTGAGGCTGCTGAAGGTGAAGATGAAGATAGCGGTTTTGGCGCAATCATGCTGAGGGAACGGTTCATCCTGGCTAGTCTCGTAGGAGTATCTATTTGCATGAGGTTTAACGATCAAAGGAACTATGATTGCCGCAAAACTCGGCGGCAACACTCGTCACTGACTCCCTTTCGACATACGACTGACGTTGAAAAAGTAATTTCCTGGCATTATTTGGAGGAGAAAAGCGCCGACCAAGGGGTGACGTCTGCACAGGTCATCATATCTCTAGATTCAGAGACCAAGATTCGAATACGAGGCCCTGGCGGTGGCTCCGGGGACACCTCGGAAATCTCGCCTTTCTCGGTGTCTTGTCCTATTCTGAGCGACTGATTGGCCCTTCTGGTTGTGGCTGTGTCAACGACGAGATCCGAGCCTCGCAATTCTCGGTATCTTGGAAACCATTTCGATATTTGACTGATGATCCAGGAGAACGACACTTGCTAGAGTTAACTCATCTCTCACCTCACTGCTAATCAACAAATTTGCCGGACAGTGCGCTGGAAAAATGAGGTTGGAATGTATAAAGAGGCCCTTTGCGTCGCCTGAAGCCGGCACCGGGCGAGATCAAATTCTCAAAGCTTTCAAAAATCAAGCTACTTGATTGTTCGAACGTCATGGACCGCGACTTGACTCTGTGGAGCTTCTCATTCTGGATGTGGTGTATGTTTCTCTGAACTTATCCCTTTCAGCCTGGGGACTAATATGAATCCATTCGCATTCGCAGTGTCATTCGCAGCATTCTGCACTGCACAAGAAGGACCTTCACTGAATGGACCACCGCAACTACCACCAGGGATCATTTATGAAGATCTCCACCTAGTACCAGCATTTGCCAAAGCCCATGGTGTGGCAATGGGCATTGCGTTTGGTGTCATCTTTCCCCTTGGTGCCATTCTCCTGCGCGTGATTCGATCGAAGTACGGCCTGTATGCTCATATTGGCTGTCAGTTATTGGCGTATGTTCTGATGATCGCTGGTCTGGCCACTGGGATCCGGGTTGGAAAGATCCTTGACAGGGTATGCGGTCCATTGAATTGATATAACTTCTGGCCATAAGCTTCGCACAGCAGCTGACAATTGTACAAGCTGCACAACAACGGCCATACAATCCTTGGCACCGTTATCGTTGTTTTTCTCCTTATTCAGCCGTTTATTGGGCTTTGGCACCATCATCAATTCAAAAAGACCCAGTCAGCCGGAATATGGACTCATGCCCATATCTGGATTGGGCGAATCTTTCTGCTGCTGGGGCTCATCAACGGCGGTACTGGCCTCAAACTGGCTGACAACACCACAGGAGGAATCATTTCTTATGCAGTAGTTGCGGGGGTGTTTGGTGTGGCCTACGTCGCAATTGCAGCTTTGCGTCAGGGCAAAGTGATCTTGAAGGAAAAGGAGACGACGCCCGAAATGGCGCAGACTTAGTAAGAAATCGCCCGGTAGGAGACGGATGCAGGGCCAGACTGCGATAGAAGGCTTTGAACTTTTGAGGCGTAATACTTGTGATGATAGTTTAATTTGTTGGACTTATCGTGGTTGTTTATGTTCGAAGCCAGAGCAAGGTGTGCCGGGGTCTCAAACGCGTGAGCCGATCAGCAACATGGGAATTCGATCGAGTCATTGAATTTTGTGAGATTGAGATGTAATGTCAGCTTGCTTCATAGCACGCGAGACGGTCTTCATGCTTTGGTAGAGATAAACTGTGCGAGCATTAGTTAGCGGCCCGCAAGCCCATGAGTCGAGGATAGCTTACTGGCTGGGACAGCAATCCAGATAAAGTTCATCCCGAAGTAATAGACCCAGAAGTAAAAGGGCTCAGGTCGACAATATGGCCGTTGATGGACATAATCATCATACATACTGGTTGCAAAGTAGAGCGTATCGCCGTACAGATGAGCCATGCAAACGATTATTTGCAATGGATGACGCAGAGAGTGGTTCGAGATGATCGCATAAGCGACTGCAAAGCATAATGGTCCCCAGAGAACCTGTTTGATCATATTAGCGAAAGATATAATAGCACCACTTGCACAAAACCCCTCACTCACTACTGTAATTGTCTCCATGCAAAGAACTAGGGTGTCGGACGTTAAGTAGCGCGAATCCGAGAGCGCGTACTCCTTCCACAATTGACCGAAGAAATCCTGGGCAGGTCCCATACGGCCATGGTTTATCATGAAATAACCTTCGAAGAAGCAATGGAGCGTGCCCGCTGTATAATTTTAGACATTAGGACCGATTCTCAGAACACGATGGAGTTGGTGTTGGACCCGTACAGAGAACAAACCATAAAATGGCAATTCTTTCTGCTTTCCTCAAATTTGATCGTGCCCAGATACTCAGCATCAACGTAGCTCCTAGAAGAGCTGTACAACCTACGCTTGCAGTAGCTATTAAGGCGAGAACAGACGCTTCATTAGAGGCGTAGTCGATGATGCGCGCGTCAATAGGATAGTAGGGATGCCGAGGGATATCCATAGTATTTGTGCCCTAGGTATCTTGTCTGGTGCTCGCAAAGATAATGACAAGCTAAGATTTGAGAAAGATGTTTCTGCAGGGCTGGAGTCGGCTGCTGGACAGATTCAGAATATCGTGGTGATCATCAACAAGAGCTCCCAAAGGGGGATAGTGGTGATACTTCAGTGCTAACCGTATACAGCTAGTACGCCTTCTAGCAACAGCTCCGACCGGCAACGTCTCCGCAGCCCCGTATTCTGCTGTCGTTGTCAATCGGTCTCCCATCATCAATGCGGCCATTTCACTGATTCTGTCCTACGTGGGAGGTTCCATGGGGCCTTAAATCGTTTTACCTGACGCTTGATAGCGCCATGGACCGTCAGTCAGTGAAAGCGAAGTCCTTGGGACTTGATGTACCCCGCAACCCAGCTGCTGAGGCACCGCCGGGCATCGCGGCGCTCTTCGTAATCCATTTTGATATAAAAGCTGGGTGAGCTCAGACAATACTGGTCTTATCTCTTTGTGCGCTAACCTCGAGTGTTTTTTAGGTACATGGTGACTTGGAAACGCACCATACCCGGTGGTGAGTTGACACTGGTGCGATCGCCGTTGCGCCCTGCTGATAGCGCTGGGAATAGTCGAGATCGAAGGAGCTGTTGAGTACAAGTCATTACCGTCGGGTTTGCACAATGTCTCGGAAGACTTGGTGTATGTACGGAAACTAGACAAGTGTCTCATCTTACTAACCGCATCCTTGACCAGCTATTTCGTTCACGAAGACTATGCCGGCATCAGCGCCTTCATCAATCAGCCCGCGGACGAATCGGAGCGCAATGCAAAGATGTTTTCGATTGGCGTCCTTGTACCGCTGAGCTCTGGAAGGCTGGGCAAAAGCTGGCGGCATGCTTCGAAATTGAAGGAATTAGCCCAGTGAGTAATACACAGCCCTTGCAATTCCTGCAACAAAGCTTAGAAAATGTGTCGCTTGGCAGGCGCTACTCGGAGCATGTGTTCGACACGCACCGATTATCAGAATACTGGGAGACCCACGAGTTATCCGCAAATGACATATCGGCAGTACCCGACTCGCCGCTTGAGTCACCTCTGAGTCTCCGATTGAGAGCCCACGGTGACAGACCGGACCCTTTGCAGAGGCATCGAGCTATCAGTGATGCAAATGTGCTGGAGACGTCTAGGCCGGCCCTGACGCCCTTCCACCCAGCCTCGTCACTGCCTGATTTCCTTGATTCGTTCGGTCCCCTTATATTTCCCTTATATAGAGCAGCGTTGCTACGAAGGAGAGTTCTTTTCATGGCAGAAGCGCCGGTGCAAATACCCTGTAACTATGGTATGATGTCCTTCTTTGTATACAAGGAGATTTGCTGATTATAGTACAGTGTACGATTTGTCTTTGTTAGCTTCAGTGCCGAACTCTCTCCTCCCTTTACTTGTTTCAGGTAGCTTACCAGCTCTACGACCCCGCGCTCTCTTCAATGTCGGTGTCTATGATATTCCGTACCTCTCGTCCTTCATAAGGGGCTCAGCGGATTCTGAGCGGGATAGTGCCTGGATTGCGTGCAGCACAGATAGTGTTTTAAGCATGAAACCAGAGCTGTTCGATATCCTAGTCACTTTGCCTCCTTCTCATTCGAAGGATGCCGCAGACAAGGCCTACCCGACTATTACTGTGTCTTCTACCCCCGTGGACAAAAAGCAATCGTCACGGACAGAATTGAAAGCCACCCAACGTGATGCACGGCGTTACACAACCCTCCGGAAGGGATTGCGCCGTGTATTCAAGGATGAGGGTACCAATCTCGAATTTAGCGGCGCTGACGACAACTCGGACGCTGCGTCAACATTTTCTTCCAGCCCCATTGTCGAGCCTCTATCGTGGACTCGACTAGCATATACGTCCTTCATATGGTGGGCCTCGGCTGGTGAAAAGCGCGACGGATTTTCCGAGGAGGAAGGGGAAGAGCACGAAGTCGAACAGGATGCGAGGCTCCTAGCGAGCTTAGACAATCTTCCCGAGCTCCCCTCGGGCTCTATCCGACGCCGAAACATGCAACCGGAACAAACACCGACGCAGCCACCAGAAATTGCCCTAATTGCATACTTCCGCCAGCTAACCACGCAAATTTTTGCGACACTCTCAGACGTTATTGCACGACATGACGATCAAAGCGGGGATGATCCAGTACTCAACAGCGGTATTCCCTACGAAGATGAAGCCGATGACACCGAAAATGTGACCGATGAAGTCACTGCCGAAGACCCCAGCGCAGAAGATGACACCTTCCCACTCCTAGACCACAGCCATGACTCCCTCCCAGAGACACAAATCCGCGACATCGACACAGTCAGAATCAGTGCAGAAGACATGGCTGAAATGGGTCTCGACACCTGGAGCGCAGCAGACCGGATCTTCGTAGAAGAACTCGTCCTCACCTGGTGGGGTCGGAGTGCCTACGTTGATAGTGCACGGATTAGATGCTGTGGGATTTCTATCATTTGATGCTCTACTCATACATTACTCTTCGCTGATTTCTCTTCCGGTTGAGCGTCGAGTCTTTCCATGACCTCAACCCACCGTTATGGGTATTGTACATACTATACGTTACATATGGCTATCTTTACGGTGTTTGCTAGGCTAGGGCGGGCTACTGCTTTGAACGGATTGATGATACCTCTGCCGCTTGTGATATAAATTGTAGCTCCGCGCTGCAGCAGCAGCAAAACTTGACTATCCGAAACATTCTTAGGTAAATGAGATTCACAAAAATATACACCGAAATCTAGACAATGGAGAAGACACTAGCTATCTAAGGCAGGACAAAGGAAATGTGCGAGGACATCGCGTATCTAACAAGAGAAGTCGGCAAACAATGCATGTATGTTCTGGGCCAGAATGATATACAAAGACCGGAATCCAAACATTCCAATAAAACGCCCCGGAAGGCCCGAGAAATAGGTGAGAATCAAACTCTCCCAAGAGACCAAAAAGGCACGACAAATAAAGCAAGAAAGATCAGGTCAAAATCAAATGCCCTTGTAAGCAGCAATAAAAAAACGCCATGTCGCTCAAAAACGCTGGGGTATCTGGAGACAGCTTTCATAACAACTCGCCCGGGCATAAACTTCATCTCAAGGCACAACTGTTCAAATCACCCACTTCAGTGATTGCGTTGTAGTAAATGGCCTTATCGGAGTGGCCTAATTGGAGCACTCATGTCTCTGCGATTCTTCTTGACGCCGTCACCTCGCGGATCTGTAGCATTCTGAACGCCGGGAATCCTCCGAGCCAGCCGTGCCGGAGTGACGTTTAGCCCGCCAGCCCGAAAGCCAGCGTCGCTGGCGCTAACAGACCTCTTCATTTCGCTGGTTCTTCCACGCCGAGCTCTGATCTGGGCCAGTGCTTGTTCCCGACTGATGGGGGTACCTGGAGCAATAACGGAGGGATCAGACGCCTCGTTATCACTGCGCAACGGGATGCGCTTGACGTTGTGGATTTCGTTCACATGCTCAATATGATGCAAGTCTTCGTATTCCGGCTGCGGCTGCGCTTCAGTGGCCACTGGAGAAGGATGAGCTTCTGGAGTCAAATCTCTAGAATAAGCCTCGCTTTGAGAAATTGATTCAGATAATGCTTCACGCGGATGGGATTCATACTTCTGAGCAGGGGTTGCGGAAGGAGAGTACTGAGCTTCCAGCCTGGGGTTAAATTTGATTGGCGAAGGTTGGAGTTCCTGAGGAGCAGATTCTTGAGGCTGCTTTTGCGGCGACCGAAGTGGTGAAGGTATGGTGCGGAAAGTTCCCGTAGCAGGCGAGAAGGTGATGAGCGGTTCCCCCACTTCCTCCTGGACTTCATCTTCCATAATTTCGTCTTCCTGGGTTTGCTCTGCCTTGACCTCGTCTTCTTGTGGACTGTCTGTTCGGATATCTCCCTTGGGTTCCTGCTCCTCAGTTTCGGGCTGGGTTTCCAGCGCATGCATTTCCCTTTGAACCACCTGCTCCTCGATATGCGCCTGGATATCAGGCTCTTTCGTGTCCCTTTGGAATTCTTCCTGGCGGGTCACTACCTCTTCGAGCTCTGTTTCAGACGGCCCCGTTATTTGTTGTTGATGGCTACTCTCTTCGGCGCCTTTACTTTCATCAATCTGGCCCTGGGGCTGGTTCTCAGCTGCGCTGACCTCCTTGTTTCCCCGGGCTTCAATCTCCAAGTTCTCCAGTTCGCGGCAGGCGCATATCTTGAACATGCACTGTAGCTGCATAAACTCGACGTCTTTTTCTGCGTTGATCCTCTCGTTCCTCTCCCACCGGAGCTCTAGTTGCAATCTGTCAACAAGCTCTTGTACTGTAAGAGGAGGGCTCTCCCCGAATTGTTGGGAGTATCGTGGAGACAAAGGGTCGGAAAGTTTTATTAGCTTCTTCGATGGCGTATCCTGATGAGAAGGAGATGCGGGCTCGGTTAGCTTGATTTGCTTCTTCGGTGGTGTATCTTCGTGGTTTGAAGCTTCAGGGTCTGCTATCTTCTGTGCAGACTCATCACCCAGAGCGTCCGAAGGTCGTTTGGGTTTTCGTGGGCTTGGAGTCATCAGCAAGGCGAGGTCTCCCTCCGCTATGGACATCCTAGGAGCTTCCAGCTTTCTAATCTCGCGCGCCCGGGCGTGTTGAAGGGTAATCGCTTGGTTCTTTGCTTCTGCCGTCCGTAGTCGACCCTTGACTTCATCGAGCTCCTCTGTTAAGCCCGCAATTGCATATGCACGCTCAAAAGCTTCCTGTTTCGCTTTCTCCTTCGCTTCTCGCTCGGACTGTACTTCCTCGCTTAGCCCCTTCGCCTCGGCTTTCTTGTGCTTCAGTTCCTCTTGCGTTTTCACGAGCGCAGATCCAGCGCGGAATGCCTCCTTTCTAGCTTTTCGTATTTCCTTCTCGAAGACCAATCTCTCGTGGGCCTGGCGTTCTTTGGAGCTCTGTAATTCTTCTAGTAGTGACTCGAGTCTTTCACTGATCCGGCGTTCCCGCGATTGGGCTTCTGAGAGTTGCGAGGATACGCGGGATAGAGCTGATTCGGCCTCCTCGCGTCCAAGGATGGCTCGTTGAAGGGCCGCAGTTCCTCCAGCTGATGTTGATCCTGCTCCGGCTCCTGGGCTACCCGCGCGCGATAAATTGTTGAGAAATGCGACTCTGGCTTGTACATCAGAGAGACCTCTTTGGCTCTTGCGCTGCATGTGCAGACTGTCGGATACGGTTGATGGTGAAGTCGGCATTGTCTGCTGATTCATCCGCTCTGGTGATAGGGGATTGAGCGCCTTTGACGGGCTGGACCGGGTGCTCGACGGCGAATCCATGGCCGTATGGACGAGGTTTGAGCTAGCGTATCTATGATGAGTCGATGGTAATACTGAGCATGGGAAACAATGCAGCGAAAGGTATGTGCGGGAAGAGATTGATGTCAAAGTGTGGGGGGAGAAAAGCGATGTTTCTTCTGCGGTGATGCACCATAACAAGCCGGACCCGCAGTAAACAAACACCAGATTTACCAAGCACGTGACCCCGCGATCAAAAGTGGTCCGTGCTTGTCTTGGCCTTGAAGTCATTCGAGTCTAAGCCTAATCTACTCCGCGATGCTGGGTTTATTTCTCGATATATTATTGCACCAAAATGTACGTCCGGCCTTCTTGTCGCAACGATCTGTGGACTTTTACCAGGCCCACAGACGTCAATTTTTCTGACGCCCTGTCAATGACTGAAAAGTAAAGTAGTGTGGGTTTCAGCATGCACGAGATCTTGACGCTCCAGCTGGGACAGCGGGCAAACTACCTGGCGACCCATTTTTGGAATATTCAGGTGAGTCAACATGGTGGCAATGTGTAACATCTCGTTGTATTTAGTATAAGTAGCTGAACGTTACGCTCAGGAATCGTATTTCACATACAGCGGACAAGAGGAGTCTCCAGTAGACCATGACGTCCACTTCCGACCAGGTGTTGGGGCAGACGGTGGTGAAACATACACACCCCGGACGCTGATCTATGATCTAAAGGGAGCATTTGGCACCCTTCGCAAAAACAATGCCTTGTATGAGCTAACAGAAGATCTGGCGCCCGGACAGGGCCTCTGGTGAGGATTCTCGTTGAGTTTCCCTTCTTTTCGGCTGGACACATGATGCTCATCTAGTTTCAGGGACGGCAAGAAGGTCCAGCAACAACTAGTTCCAATCCCACAGAGCGCCTATCAAAAGAGTCTCGACACAGGGATCCCAGCACCCCAACTTTCATCAGAGACTGTTCGTTTCTGGTCCGACTATAATCGAGTGTTCTACCATCCTCGTTCAATTGTTCAGCTCAACGACTATGAGCTTAACTCTAGGATAATGCCGTTTGAAGACTGGAGCCTCGGCGAGGAATTATTCAACGAGCTCGACAAGGAGCATGATCTTCTCGACCGAGACGTTCGGCCCTTTGCCGAAGAGTGTGACCAGCTACGTGCCTTGCAGATATTCACTTCATCTGATGATGCTTGGGGTGGATTCACAGCTCGGTATGTGGACAGGCTCGTCGATGAGTACGGAAAAAAGGCCGTCTTGGTGTGGGCTATTGAGGACGGTAGAAGGACCCATCAGGTGAGGATGCTTGCCTAGCTCCTAGAACTACGGCTGACAATGTCTACAGAATAGTAGATTGAAACGTGAGATGAACAAAGCTCGATCTGTTTACTCCATCTCTCCTGAAGCAACGATGTACACGCCTATCATAGATCCTCCCAGCCGGCTGCCGAGTACTATGCATGTCAACAATAACTCCGAATGGTACACATCGGCCCTGATCAGTATCGCAATGGAAAGTATAACTCTTCCAACTCGACTTCGACCATATCAAAATTTCGAGTCTTTATTAGCAGGTGATGACAGTATTCGTCGAATATATGAGCTACAGGCCTCATTGGTTCCGCCGGCAGCAGACGATAAGAATGCGAATCCTAAGCCCAATCAGGCGGAATCCTCTAATCCACCATCTTCAAGGGTGAAAACCGAATTTGACGTGGACTTCACTTATGATTTGCGCAGCGACGAGTCCCATGTCTTCAACCAACTTCAAGTCTTACGAGGGGTAGAGCCAGAAGATGATGAGGAAGAACCGTTAGAGGCGAACCTGGGTATGGTTCGGAAAATGCGGCTCTACAATTCAGAGCCGATGTTCCACAGGTGAGAAGCAAGCTCGCTCCGTCTTGTTTCGAATCCGCTAACGTATACGCCCTGCCATGTAGGTTTCATACACCATTACAGTACCCATTGCTTGACAGCTTTCCCAATGACATGATATCGCTGCCGATTACTATGAACAAGATCAACGTCGTTGCCGCACTTACCGCGTCCTCACGCACAGCTGCCAGAATCAAAGGATTAGAGTCCGTAGCGGGCCGAGTGATCGCTGTGGATGAGAGGGAGAATCTCGTCAATGGATTGGGAGAGATTCGGGAGTCGTATGAGACAGGCTGGATGAGCGACTCGGACTTTGATGATGATTAGAGTTTGCGCTGTTATAAAATAAAATAAAAATGACTAGGCACGCAGCATAAACGGTTCTGGGCTACCTCACTACTGTTGTCCCTAAGCCCTTCCTCATATAGTTCAACTGTGCAAACATGACAAACACCTAACGTGGCCTCTTTGTCCGCGGCAACCTTGCGCTCAGCATCACATTCATAAATTCAACCTGTCAACAAGACTTCCTGCCAGGTGGCCAGAAGTACCTCCCAATGAACCTTTTCTGAATGGCTTATTCTACTACTTAATCGCCTTCATTCCTCTTGTTGTGTCATTGTTACTATACTGCACTCTTTTACCGGAGCTGTCTTGATTTACCGCCAATTAGATAGGTCCACTAGAGCATCTGCCACTACTATACCTCTCTTCAAAAAGAGTCGGTTGCTTTGTCTCACTCATTGTTTGCGTTCGGTCTTCTTACCGACTGCCTCGGAGGTACGCTATCTCCTGCAAATCGCGCTCATCTCTGTGACACTTTGCTAATTTAATCTCCCTTGACGTTAAACAGCAGCGGAACTAATAGACAATGGCTCTCGGCAGCCGACGAAGCACGAATAATCCATTACGGCTTCTTTCGACCTCGCCTATCCTCTCGGCCCTGGTCTTCCCGTTTCTTCTCTTCTTTCTTAGTTTCCCCGCTCCCACATCTGCCGCGGGTTCAGCAGTCCTTGGAATCGATGTCGGCACGGAATACCTGAAGGCGGCGCTTGTCAAACCAGGAATCCCGCTGGAGATTGTGCTCACAAAAGACTCGAAACGCAAGGAATCAGCCGCTGTTGCGTTCAAACCTACCCGACAAAGCGATGCATCATTTCCAGAACGATTCTACGGAGGTGATGCTCTTGCATTATCTGCACGATACCCAGACGATGTCTACGTGAATCTCAAGACGCTGCTAGGCCTCCCTTTTAACGACGGAAAAGGCGAACTCATCGAGACATATCACGCACGCTTTCCTTCTCTGAGGTTGGAGGACGCTCCTGGTGAACGGGGTACCATTGGCGTCCGAAGCAACAGACTTGGCGAGGCGGAGAGGAAAGATGCTTTTCTCATCGAGGAGCTTCTGGCAATGCAACTGAAGCAGATCAAGGCTAATGCTGATACTCTGGCTGGTAAGGGATCGGACGTTAGAGATGCGGTTATCACGTACCCGTCTTTCTACACCGCTGATGAAAAGAGATGCTTGCAATTGGCGGCTGAATTGGCTGGCTTGAACGTGGATGCGCTGATCAGTGACGGCCTTGCTGTTGGACTCAACTATGCGATGAGCCGAACATTCCCCAGTGTTTCTGATGGAGAAAAGCCGGAATACCACCTTGTGTACGATATGGGCGCCGGTTCCACTACTGCGACAGTCCTCCGCTTTCAGAGCCGCAAAGTCAAGGATATTGGAAGGTTTAACAAGACTGTCCAGGAGGTCCAAGTCTTAGGGACAGGATCGGACAGGACTCTTGGCGGCGACTCCCTCAACGATCTTCTTGTTGGTGATATGGTCTCTCAGCTGCTTGAGGACAAAAAGCTCAAGGACCGTGTTACCCTCGCAGATGTGCGCGGGCATGGAAAGACCATGGCCAGACTTTGGAAGGATGCAGAAAAGGCTCGCCAGGTTCTTAGCGCCAACACCGAAACCGGCGCATCCTTTGAAAGCCTCTACGATGAAGACGTCAACTTTAAGTACCGTGTGACTCGCTCTAGATTCGAGGAGCTGGCGGAGAAGCATGTTACTCGGGTCGCAAAGCCACTTGAAGAGGCCTTGGCAGCTGCGGGTCTGCAGCTGAACGACATTGACACCGTCATTCTACACGGTGGTTCCATCCGCACTCCATTTGTCCAGAAAGAACTAGAAAAGGTTTGCGGGGGCTCGGAAAAGATCCGGACGAATGTCAACGCCGATGAGGCTGCTGTTTTTGGCGCCGCTTTCAAGGGAGCCGGTCTCAGCCCCAGCTTTCGCGTCAAAGAAATCCGTGCTAGTGATGCATCCGGCTACCCAGTTATTCTTAAATGGTCTTCCGAGTCCAAGGATAGGCAGCAAAAGCTCTTTACTCCTACTTCTCAAATCGGGCCTGAGAAACAGGTTACAGTGAAAAACTTGGAAGATTTTGAGTTCAGCTTCTACCAACAGGTTTCGACCGCCGAGGACGTGGTCGAAGTCCCTGTCCTTGGAGTAAAAACGCAGAATCTCACCGCATCTGTCGACAAACTCAAGGAAACCTTTAGCTGTTCGGCTGCCAATATTACTACGAAATTTACAATCAGGCTTAATCCCCTGAACGGTCTTCCTGAGGTTTCTGGTGGATTTGTAAGCTGTGAAGTCGAACATTCCAAGTTAGGAAGTGTTGTTGAGGATGTTAAAGGATTCTTTGGCCTGGGTTCGAAGAAGGATGAACAGGTGCCCCTTGGAGAAAATGGAGAGGCAACCGAGTCAGTCACGTTGGAAGCTGAGGAGTCCCAAGCCTCAACGTCTTCTGCTGAGGATGCCACTGCCACGGATTCTGCTAAAGAAAGCAAAAAAGTCGCGTCCCAACCCCGGCTGGAAGTTATTCCCGTCAGTTTCACAACTTCCCCGCTAGGTGTTCCTGCCCCATCTCCAGACGAGCTTGCCCGTATCCAAATCCGCCTCGCTGCCTTTGACGCCTCAGACCGTGATCGTCTTATTCGGGAAGAAGCCCTAAATGAGCTGGAATCCTTCATATATAAAAGTCGGGATCTCTCGGAGGATGAAGAGTTTGTGAAGGTGCTCAAAGCGAACGAACTGGCCACCCTCAACCAGAGGGTGGCTAGCGCAAGTGACTGGATCTATGACAGCGAAGATGCGCAAACAAAGGAGTTTAAGGAGAAGTTGAAGTCTTTGAAAGAGATTGTCGAACCGGCGTTGAAGAGGAAGCAGGAAAATGCCGCTCGTCCTGCGCGTGTTCAACTGCTACAGGAATCGCTCAAGAACGCCCAGATGGTTATGAGCGTTATGGAAAAACAAATCCAGCAGGACGAGGAAATCTACTCTTCCAGCCTGGCCGGAGCTAGCACATCAACTGCGAGTGAGTCAGAAACATCCTCTTCGGCATCTCCTTCACCATCGGCGGATGCCGATGACCTAGAAGACGACGCTTATGGCACATCAACCTCCGAAACGTCCTCCTCAAAGACCACGTCAACACCCGCTCCTCTGAAATACTCCGTCTTCCAACCGTCGGACTTGATAAGTCTTTCCGAAACGTACGAATCCGCTAGCTCGTGGCTCGAAGCCCGGCTTCTCATTCAAGAGCAGTTGAGCGAGACGGACGATCCGTCCTTGACAGTGGCAGAGATCGATACTCATCTCAAGCGCATCGAGCGGATCTCGAATCGCATCTACGAAAAGATGGGCGCGGCAGCAGCTAAGAAGTCATCTGGCGAGAAAACTACCAAGAAGAACGGCAAGAAAGACAAGACGGAGAAGCCGACGCAGGAGAAAGAATCTGCCAAGGAGACAGAGTCTGCGAAAGAAAGCGAAAAGCCTGACTACCACAAGAAGGATGAGTTGTAAAGATATAATCGAAGCTGGGCATTTGGCGCCCTTAATGGCATGTCTGCATTATTCTTCTGTTGTGAAGAAATACCGACGTCTTCTTGCCCCTTAGCTTGGTCTTCTGGGTCTCGCTGCTTGTACGCTTAGGCTAGATAGAATACATTATGCATTATGATCATTGGGAATCACTTATTCTTTTGGAAGTCTTCTCGCTAAGCACGGGATCAAAACATTGGTGAAACTAGCGTTGATACTCATACAGCTCCAGTGAGCGATGTCGGGTCTCATAAGTACAGAATGTGGAGTAGACAGCCAGGACACAACTATCAGGGTATTATACACAAGCGCCATGGGGGAAATAATAAACAAGAAAGGAATAAGAGACAGTCCGGAAGAGAAGGAATACAGGCAGGCGCTCCTCGATTTCACACCACGCTTCGGATTGATATCCAAGAACCACTTAGACCAGCAGTGTTCCAAGTTTCTCACTTTCGAGCTCGTCGTTGAGAAGGCGGAGATAGCAGAGCAGACTTGGAATGGGTAGGGCAGATGGTTGTTTTAGATCCCACCCATCTGGATCTCGCCCTCAACCTCATCCCTCCGCCGAAGGAAGGATGGTTCTTCAAAGTCGTCGAGATCCATTGTCTGGCCCGCTTTGTATATCTGCGCTGTGCGACATTGGTAGCTGGCCTTTGGTGAGAGAATGGTCCGCCCGCTTATGTTTGTTCCGGAGTGAGGGTGGACCGGATCCATTTCATCATCCTCGTCATCGTAGGGATCGAAGTCAAAGTCGTGGCGGGTGCGTTTCTTGTGCGCAGTGGGTTCGAGCGTGGAGTCGACGGACTCTTGACTGCTAGGAGGAATAGAGAAGGCGTCGTCTTCTTCTGTTGTGATGATGTGATGGTAGTGGTGGGCGGTAGGGAGGGGTTGAGGGGCAATGCAGGTATATTCGTCCGATTTGCTCATCCCGCAGAACGGAGCGAGTTCTGAGCGCACCGGTGCATCCGAATTGTAGATTGTAGCATTATAGATCGTAGCAGTTGTTATCGTTGGCTTCGGGGTATCATTGTTGGCGTTGTCGCATGAGAAGGTTGTGTATTTATCGGCCTTGCCCTGGTGTGTTTTGTATCCGTCGGCGATGGATTTGCGCACGCGCATTCCAACAGAGAGGAGCGATGCCTGGACTTTGGCGGGGACGACTGGCGTGGGGGAGTTCGTGACGGCGGAGTAATGATTGTATGACAGGTGGGAGGGCGAGGAAGAACTGTTGGGGTCGGAGGATGTCGTAAAGAAGGTTGTGATGGGTGGTTGGAAACGTCGGCGTTTCGAGAGGTCTGATTTGGTTGAAGCCATGCTTGAGGGAGGTATAGGCTCGGTCCAGCGAGAGATGTTTGTGATATCAGAGTGTAGTATGTGCCCGATTCGGAGTAAAGTAAGGGATGGTGGTGGAGTGGAGAGTAGCGTCAAAGAAAGCCAAAGAAGAGAGATAATGAGATAATGCAGGATGAGGTCAGGAGCGAGAAAAGAGGCTGGGGCGATGCGATCGGCGGGGAGACGCGACAAAGACGCGGGAGTCGGGACGCGCAGAATTTCAAACCCAATTTCTTCGATTCTGAGCTCTACACAAGACAACCCTGGAACTCGTATGACCATGGATCTGCGACAAATCTCAGCTCTTCTCTCCTCGTCCCCCGCCGCATTCCCCAATTGCTGTCTAGCCCTGTCTACTCCCCTCCTCGCCCGATTAGCGTCGCTCCTCCCCACCACCCCACAGTTCACCCTTTCAATCGGCAGCGGCGCCGGCCTTCTCGAAGCCCTGCTTGCTTATCTTTATCCCAGTGTCCCAATTGAGGGTGTGGAAGTCAACTCCTCCGTGAACCTCTATGTCGAAGAGCAGGATATGAATGTGGTTGGCGGCACATGGGATCTCCTTCCCCGTGCGTCCGACGCGACGGCGTGGATGTTTGTCTACCCTCGTGAACCGAAGCTGGTCACCAAATACATTAAGACGTACGGGCTGGGGATCAAGATGGTTCTGTGGCTTGGGCCAAGAGCTGATTGGGCCGACTACGAGGCTTGTTTTCGGGATTCGGCATATTCTCACCTGAGTTTCGAAGAGGATGTGGGGTTAGCTGAGTACGAGATGCTGGTTATTGCCAGGAAATGCTGTCCATAATTCATCGATCTAGGGCACAGCAAGCTGTCTTTGGACCATGATTGCTTTTCTATGACGTCCCACTGCGCCGGGCTCGCCGGTCTGCTTTATTTTCGTATTCCAAAAACGACCGGGTTTGGCCAACCAAGCGTTGATCGGCAATGGTCTCCTTTGGTTGGAATGCAAGGGTCGGAAGCTTACTTTGCGTCCGTTCGAGAGCTTCTAACATCTGGATAGCCTCAGGTTTGACAGCTTGTGAAGGCAAGTTTCATTGCCATCATCAAGCAGGTTATCCGTCCACCATAACCAGAGTGCGCTCAATAACAAACCAAATTGGCGTGATATGTCGTCCTTGTAAGTTTGCATAGCAAGCCGGGCTTTGAACCTTTCGGGGAATAACTTTCTTTTTTTCAGAAAAGAGCTAGTCTGTACTCCGTAAGTGACAGCTTAATTTATGGTCCCATATCTTTTGCTCCTTGTTACACATGACAGCCACCCGGTTCAGACTCCTGAAAAACAGATACATGGATTACGGAGTATAAATGGCATGCTGGCTTCTTGCACCTATTCCTGCAACTTTTCCTCAAGTTTCACTCCCTCGCCCTGACGCAAACATGATTATATCTCTCAGCGCCTGGAATATGGGACGGTTGGACGGGTGCATTGCTGTGATCGAACTTAAACGCATATAGCAATGAGATATCTCGTTGGGGCTATATACAGCAGCTATCGGACGTGGATCTATGATCATGGCAATACAATTATGGGTTAAAAGTCTGTGCACACCCGAAATATATAGTACAACGCAACCACTTTAAAATTAAATTACTTAACAACCACAATAAATTAGAACTTTTAAATTAGTGTAAATTAAAGCTATTTAGTACTTTATATACCACCCGCGTGCTTAATATACTATATTTATTTAGCGTGGCATAAAGTTAATAAGTTTATTAATTAAGGCCTGGGGGATAGCCCACCAAGCATTTTAAATAACTTTATAAAAGTAATTTTAATTAGTCTTAGCCCTTTCTTCTTAAAAGATAAATAAATAAAGCCTTAAAAAATACCTTTTTAGTATGTTTTAAACATGCTTAATAAGGTTTAAATTAGGCAAGTGCGGAGGCTAGTTAACCACTTAAATACTATAAGATTTAAACCACTCCTGTGTTACCAAAGCAGTATAAATTTTTATATTATTTTATTAAAATATAAAACCAGGCTTGTAGTTTTTAATAAGGCTATTTTTAAGCACCTAAATATAACTATTTGCAAAGTATCCCTGCTTTTTAGCCTTGGGGTCCCTTTTTATAACTACTAATTTTAATTAATTACCACGCTAAATAAAACCCTATACTATTTATAAAATTAGCTTGCTATAAATTATTAGGTTCACGAGATTTTTTTTAAAGCCTTTTTTTTAATAGTAAAAAATAAATTACACGCTGTATAAGGCCTTTTGTTAAATGCTATATTTATTTAAAAATATTTAAGTATTTTAACCCCTATATCTCCGCTATAACTTAGTAAATTTAAATTATTTTTTTACTCCTTTTTTAAATAAAGGTATTTTCTTTTTAAATTTCTATTTTTTAATATAATATCTCCTAAAAACGCGCTTTATAATTAAAATTAAAAGGGATTTAGGGGTGCTGGCCGCGAGCGCCCTCTAGCTTAACCTAAAAAATTTATGTATTATTTAGTATAAATATTAGGTAGTTAATTAGCTAATAATAATAGGCCTTCCCTTTTTAGGCTTAGTTAATATAGTTTGGTGTGTAATCCAGCGTTTTTTTATATTATATATTACATGTTTAAACACGCGAAACTTAGTTACAAGTTTAGTTAATAATTTCCTAACGGCTAGGCAACTTAAAATAACAGCGTGTAGTTTTTTTAAAAGCTTTGCATTAGGCCTTTAATTTTTACTTATTTTAGTTTTAAAAGACCTTATATTAGTGGAGTTGTGGTGGTTTAAAAAAAAGTTACAGTTTTAAAGTTCTACGCGGAGCGGGAAGTGTGCACAAACTTTTGACCCACGTTAAAGAATGAGTATATCGCTGGGCCGAATGGAAACGGGCTGGAGCTGATTTTTGAGCGTTGTTGATCAGACAGTACCTGAAGCTTACTACCTATCCTATTTTACGCATGATTACTATGGCGAGAAAGCTAGAGGCTTTCGGGGATATGTTGATAGTAGTACAATTTTGGAAATGGCTTGCTTCCATGTCGGCCATCTATCTCCCGGAAGCAAACCAGAGGCATCTCTTAGTCAGGCTGATATTCCACTTCAACATGGCCTTGTAGCTACCTTGTTCGAATTTTGCTGAGTTGCTCTTGCTCTTTGGGTTGACTTGCAGCATAATCGATTCATCTGAAACACTACACGACATGTTCGATAAAATACCAATTTTGTGATATGTTGGAATAGAAGGACTGGTCTACTGCCAATCCGGAATATGCTAATATGATACTGGGATTGATCAATGACTTTATATTCAACAGAGAGAAGAAAATTGGTACCGTATATATTTATTCTACCAGAGCTCCTTAAGGACAAAACGCCGGACAGCTTCATAAAAAGTGGTAAATGACATGCAATCACCTATTTCCCCTTCTACCTCCCCTCTTCGCGCGCTCCTGATGAGCCCTCAAAACAGCCCTAGTCTCGACCAAACTCCGCTTTCCTTTGGATTTCGCCTTGCCAAGCGTCATAAGGAAGTTCTTCTTGCGGGCCTTCTCCTTGTTAGTCGTACTCTTGCCCTGCTCCTCCTTCTTCTCCTTGCGCTTGGCAGTCACACTCTTGTGCTCAGAGCGGTCTGTCTTTCCTTCCCTCGCGTGCGCGATACGCTCCTCGCGCGTTTTCTTGCCAGCGGACAGCGCAGCAAGACCCTCGATCTCCGCGGCGGTCAGGGGATCTTCCTTGTGGCGGCTCTCGGAGGTCTGGCCGCGGCGTTTGGGGCCAGGCACGAGGGCGTTGACGGCGGCTTCCTGGCGGAGTTCCTGGAGCTTCGCGAGATCGGCGGGGGTGAGGATGCGGGTTGTTGCGATGCTGGGTTTATTGAGGTCCGGTTTGGTTTCCGTTGATGTAGCCTTGGATTCGGCGCCGTCGGCCTTCTCGTCGGTTTGTTTGGCTTTCTTGGAGGGGCGGGAGCCCTCGTCGTCGGAGTCGCTAAAGTCGATCTCCGCGTCGCTTTGCACGTCGATCCAACCGCCGGAGTCGTCGCTGTCTTCGTCGTCTTCGACGTTCCAGGCAGCCCAGTCGTTCTCGTCTTCGTCTTCGTTTTCCTCGTCGTCTTCATCGTCGGTGGCTAGACCCTTTTCGGCTCGCTTCCGCTTGCGTTCTTCTTCTTTCCATGCCTCGAGGAGCTCGATGCCCTCGATTCCACCGGCTTCTTGAGCAGCAAAACGCTTCTCCTTCTTCTCGCCGTGTTGCAGGCTGATGGACGCGTCTTTGCCGCGGTCACGCCGTTTGAGCATCTCTGGGTTGATGTCTCTGTAAAGACTTAGAAGACCTCGGGCTCCCATTACAACACCCTTGTCTTTGCTCTTGCGGTACATGACAAGATCTTGTAGAAGAGTCTCGTTCATAGCGAGCGGCTGCCTCGCACAAATCTCTCGAATGGCGTTGAGACCGGCTGTTGCTACTTCGGAGGCTGAGGCTTCAGAGACGAACTCGTTTGCGATTTTGAGGACCAGCGGCTCCAGGTCATCGGGGGGCACTAGGTCGTGTGATGCTTGGGCGAGGGATGCGAGGAAAGAGGTGACGGAAGGTTGACGAGGCGTGAGATACTTTTGAAAGTAGGAGTAGAGGTGCATGATATGAAGCTTGTGCAATCCGACGAGACGGGTCACGAGCTGTAAAACCATGAGCTTCTGTTCCAGGTTCAGTTTCGACCTGGAACTCTGGAGGTGCTTCGAGAAGAGAGACTCGGCGAAACCTTGCGGGTCGTGGAGGAGGTGCAGGGCGGAGAAATTCAGAGGATGAGGCTGGTTCTTCTTGCGCTCTCGTCGTTGGACAGTCGCCTTTGCCTTTTCAACGGCACGCGACTTCTTCTTCGTCTTCTTGTTGATTCCGACTTGGTGCTTGACTCGCCCGAGGTCAATCGCTTCTTCGTCACTGCTCTCCTCTTCCATCTCCTCACGCTCCTTATCTCCACCTAGGAAAAAGCGGACTCCGCCAACAATCACTTTCTCGTTTTCCGCTAAAGAAGCCTCCTTCATGACTTCAACCGCCTTTGCATCCGTCCAGATTTGTCTCTTCCAGAGCTCGCGCGTAAGCTTGATAGCCCATAAGCCCTTCGACGAGGTACGGTCCGATGTGACAAGGTTGAACAAAACAGTCTGCATAGTCCGGTTAAGCTTGTGGTTTGTGGTTTTCGCATTTGACGACCGGAGATCCATCAATATCTTTTGGAAAATCAATGCGCGCAGCGTCTTGCTCGGTGTCGAAATAAGAATCGGGAACAGAGTCTGAAGCAACCTAGTTCCACCCCACGTATTAGCATTGCGCCCTTGGCTTTCACAAATTGGACTTTTGTCAGGAAGTCTCACGTCGCAGAATCGAGCAGATCTTTCTTCCTTAACAGCACAAGACTTCCCACTATTTTCTCCCGCAGCTCGGGCTCGAGGACCTGGTGGTGCTGCGACAGCATGTCAATGAGCTGCTGACTGAAGTCCTTCGTTATGTCGGGGTAGCAGTCGGCCACATGAGCAATGAAGTCGATCAGTTCACGTAACGAGATGAGACCAGTATCCGTAGCGGACGAGGGCGCTGCCATGAAAATCTCCCGGTGACTCTCATACTGGTAGTGCTGGGCGCGGAAATCTTCGATATACGACCTGGAGAACAGAACGGTCAGGATTTGTTTAGATATAGTTTGTACGTTCGCGCGGCAACTCACTTCGGATCTCTGCGGATTTTATGTTGGAGATTGGGCCTGTTAATGAGCGATGGTGCCTGTTAGCGACAGATGAAATCTCTGGGGGTTGAGCGGTCTCATGAAGCCGGGGGAGTGACACTCACAAATCGGCCTCGACCTTTTCCAAGGCCCCTAACTTCCTCTTGACCATGATTAGAAATTATCAGGAGATAGTTCCTGAAGTAGTAAGGAGGGTGGTGGAGGATAGGTGCGTTGGAAGATTGGAGTGTTTTGCGCTAAGATGAAACTTTTTTTCAGTCGGTCCGTATCGATAAGGCTGGTCTGGGGTCTGGACAATTGCTATCAGATTCAGTGTTTGGTCATGGCGACAGACAAAATCTATGGAATTGAACATTTGAAGATAGTTTAGACTACTGTTTAGGCCTATCCTCAATACTTTTACTCGAGTGCTGGAAGTTACCGAAACCAATTACTTGACTAGACAGAACAGGGAATAAAATTTTCGTTTAATGGAGGTTGTTCATGATCGCATCCATACTACTGGAGAAGAAAGCCGTCCGATTCTCTCATATTTTTGGATCTCACTCCCTTTCGTGACTGTGCAGGTATATACAGCCGTGCATGTTGCAAATCGACTGAATCCCAGGAACTCCCCGTCCACTCCAGTAAGCATGAAACAGGACCATAAACGGAGAATACGCCCAACAAAACCGTTTTACCGGTTGCTCTTAGCCACACGCTCAAGCTCGTCCTTCTTCTTGATGGCGTAGGAGTTGGAGCTGCCCTTGGCGGCGTTGATAAGCTCCTCAGCAAGGCACTCAGCAATGCTCTTGATGTTGCGGAAAGAGGCCTCGCGGGCACCGATGGTCAGGAGAGCGATGGACTGGTTGACACGGCGGAGAGGGGAGACATCGACGGCCTGGCGACGGACGGTACCAGCGGAACCGATACGGGTGCTGTCTTCGCGGGGACCGCAGTTGACAATGGCATCAACGGCGACCTGGAGGGGGTTCTGGTCGGTCATGATGTGGATCTGATAATCAAGTCAGTCTGATCCAATTTCCTAACCCTCGGCTGGTTTCCGGGGTGCGGGTGAACGTACGATCTCGAAAGCGTGGGCGACAATGCGGACGGCCATGAGCTTCTTTCCGTTGTTGCGGCCGTTCATCATGATGGAGTTGGTGAGACGCTCGATGATGGGGCACTGAGACTTGCGGAAACGCTTGGCAGCGTAGCGGCCAGCGGTGTGAGGAAGGTAGACGGGAGAACGGATCTGGATGTAGTCGCTATAGGCATTGCAAGTCAGCGCGAGTTCACCCTCGACTTTGCGATGTCCTCCTCCTATGGCGTCGTTCCCTCGCCGAGTCGCGCTTCAGTTGCCCGTTCGCATCCCTTTTGTTCCTCCCACAACTGAACGCAATCCGACCGCAATCCGCCATTGAAAATTGTCCATCGCAGCAAACGCACACAAGGGGACACCTACGTCAAGGAGATGTCCCTGATCTCAACATCCTCGTAGCTCCACTTGTTGAAGAGCTTCACCGTTCCCATCTCGGCGAGAGCATCCTTGGGCAGGGAGCTGTAGACCCCGGCGGGGATATCGACCTCGACTTCACCGTGTTCAGACATGTTGGCTCCGTATGCACCTGTTGTCGAGGGACGGATTCGTGAGGTGTGTCGGACGGTGTCGTTGGTTGGCGATCGGTCGGCTGAAATGTTTCTTCGAAAGGGAAAATGGAGGTGCGCTTCGCTTAGCACTGTGGGTGGGTTAGGGCAGGCCGTGGAGCGAATCAGACTGCCTTAGTCATGTGACTTTGTAGCCAGATTCATGGGCAGGGTTAGTCCTGTTACAGTTAGAAGCTTGGAAGAACATCATCTTCGGACTTCCAGACCCTAGGCTGCTCGATAACGAATCATCCCCTATGGAGTACAGAGTAGGATGATTGATACTCTGTTTTGAAGAATCTTGTTCTATTACCTCGCTTCTTTTTTCCTTTTTTTTTGATATCTAAACTCTTCAATGGGTCGACATTAGGCGCTCCAAACAACAGCTCATGATCTCCAAACACGTTTCTTCACCTTCATCTTCTGCCGCTTCCCCGGCTTATCAGGATCTCAGTTGATTGGAAATGGAGGGGCAAGCAAGGCGCTCCCGGACTCTTGGCTCTTATGCAGCAACTGCTCCGTATGCTCTTCGTCTCCGACTTAGTTACCCTTGTGAATCTGTGATGCCCCCTTTGCAGTCTCAACCTTCAAATATCAAATCAATACAGCCAATATTCTGGTTGGGATTGGCCTACAGAGACGGCCCCTGAAACCATCTTTCAGAGAGTGGCCGTACACGGACTTCCTCCGAAATCCGGACCTCTAGTAAAGGGTTCACATGGCATCAGGGGCAGATGAGCAGCAAGTTGTGCTTGGTCAAAAACGCTCCGATTCGAGAGCGAGTGATGGATCGGTGCGAGATGCATGACCACTGACCAGTCAGTTCATGAAGCGGTTCTCCATTGATCTACGGTACTCTACTCCGTATCACCGCTTGTGGACAAGAGTGACGCCGTATTGAGTACGCGTCCTTAGAACTCCGTACTCAGTAGTTGCTCATGATTCATGAAGCGCCGGGTCCGCTGCTTTGTCTCTGTTGCTCTTGACGTAGGGATTACTGAGCCTCCCCGGTGATGATTGTGGAACGCCAAGGGAACCTCGTACTTTCGGCTGGAAACCATGCCACCCTTGACAAGAACAGGGATTAGCTGTATCAACAATACCAACAAGCCGAGTCAGTCACCACAAACGGTTCGACCGGGGAAGAGTGTATTATTGGCTCTTGGCTCGACGCTAGAACTATACCAAAAATCATAAGATTGTGCCTAGAGTGCTAGGGATATCAGTGTACTATATAGCCATGCACGCTACCAAAATCTGAGCCAGTTTATACAGTTATACCCCTTGGTTGGCATTTCTTTGCTGTGCACAATGATGCTTTTGAGTGTGCAACTCCATTCCACACATAAGTGATTTTTGGTAAGTTGAATATACTCTATACTCTGCGGTGCCGCCACTTGCGCCACAATCAGGCAGGTACATACCGCTAGGTATGCAAACAATGCAAACGCCGGACTCCGCGGCGGGTCTTCAAAAAATTGTCCGCAATGCATGCTAGAATCAAGACCGAGATCTAATCTGATCCCACTTGTTCGCTCTACGCGTGGAGAAGGCTGTCCTCATTGTCAACATTCAATCATGGACGGCACAACCCAAAACACTGATGCTGAAATTCCCAAGCATACCCTGCCGAATGACACCGATCAACCCGGAGAACCGCCGATGAAGAAGGCTAGATTGGAAGAGCCCATCTCGGAGCAGCAAAATGGAGAAGCTCCCAAGGTCCAGAGGCAAAAAGGAGTAGCGCCGATCAAGACAGAGTATGCGCTCCGAAAGTAGACCTTGCGCTTGTACTTTGGCTAATCTATTTTCTAGGTTTCTCATTCCCAAGCCCCAGCAGACTCAATCAGCAGAAACCAACGCAGACGACGCCGCCGAAGCGGCCGCTTATCAGGACCGCGATGACGAGAAGAAAGGAAAGAAGAAGAAGAACACTGGGCAAAATAAGAACCGCACTTTCGGGACGTCAAAAGATTTGAAGGGGCTTTGCGCTACGAGGGTTTTTGCTCCGGAATTTTCACCTGCTGAATGCCAGTTTAGTGACAATTGTCGGTTTGAACATGACTTGCGAGCATACTTGAAAGAACACAAGCGCGAGGATCTCACAACTTTGAATGGCGTTTGTCCCGTGTGGGACGCTCGTGGGAAGTGTGATGCTGGCTGGAAGTGTCGATTCTCTGGCTCTCATGCGATCGAACGGGAAACCGAAGACGGCAGGAAGGAATTAGTGCTGATCGAGGACGAGGAGCGCAAGAAGAAAGCCCAGCCGCTTGTTCCCTTTGCAGCGGAAGACGGCACCGTGAATACGACTACACCCGCAGAGAAGATAGCGCTTGCGAAAAGACAGAGACCGACACCACGAGCTGACGAGTATGGCAATTGGTTGGATTTGACATCCAAGGAGCTGGAAGCGCTCTACCATAAACGGAAACCGAGCAAAGATGACCAAGCAGATACTGCCGAAGACAAGGAGAAAGAAGAGAAAGAGGGGAAAGAAGAAAACCGGGCGACATATACAGAGGCCCCCTTTATGCCCTCTGAGAAGAGGCGACTGTACTTCGGGCCCGAGACACCTGCCCTAGCGCCTCTGACTACGCAGGGAAATCTACCCTTCAGGAGACTTTGTGTGGAACTTGGTGCCCAACTCACCTACTCCGAGATGGCCCTCAGTATGCCATTAATTCAGGGCCACAAGCCAGAGTGGGCTTTGATGCGGGCACACGAAACCGAGGCGATGCCGCCAACCGTCTCTTCGCGCGCCAGCGTAGTACAAGGCTATGACAATTCCAAGGATATGAGGTTTGGCGCCCAGATAGCAGGAAACAAGTACAGATGGGTCATGAAAGCCACCGAGGTTCTCTCCAGTCTTACTCCTAACCTTCGCGTTATTGACCTGAATTGTGGTTGTCCTATCGATCTCCTATACCGGGAGGGCTCCGGGTCGGCGCTGCTTGACGCGCCATCCAAACTAGAGAAGATGCTCCGAGGAATGAACGCTGTCTCGCAAGAGATCCCTATTACAGTCAAAATTCGCACGGGAACAAGGGACAACGCTCCTAATGCCCAAAAGCTGGTCGAACGTCTCGTTCTTGGAGGCCACGAGGCCAGCCTGCTCAACTGTGGTCCTACTGGTGTAGCAGCAGTCACACTCCACGGACGCAGCCGGCAACAGCGGTACACAAAAGAGGCCAACTGGGAATATATCTCGGAAACCGCGGCGCTCATCAAGCGCCTCAATGAGAAGTCAGATCAAATTACGGACACCATCCGAGAGCCTGAAGAGCGGATGCGGCCAAATGGCGGAAAAACCTGGTTCTTAGGAAATGGCGATTGCTACTCTCATGCTGACTACGAAGACCATATCAGGAATGCCGGAGTCGACAGCGTCATGGTCGGTCGAGGAGCCCTAATCAAGCCATGGCTCTTTGAAGAGATCCAAGCAGGCCAGTACCTCGACAAGTCGCCTACTGAACGGTTAGCGTACATCGAGAAATTTGCCAGGTATGGCATGGAGACATGGGGATCAGACGAATACGGTATCGGCATTACTCGGCGCTTCCTGCTTGAATGGCTGAGCTTTGCATGCCGCTACGTGCCCATCGGTCTGCTCGAGTATCTTCCGCCAAGGTTGAACGATAGACCTCCGTACTGGCGAGGTAGGAATGATCTGGAGACACTGATGGGTAGTCATAACCATAAGGATTGGGTCAAGCTCAGGTAAGTTATCTCGCTAGCCTATTGATTTTACCGGATACTGATCCGTCCACCTTTAGTGAGATGTTCCTTGGCCCAGCTCACAGGGACTTCAAATTCGAGCCTAAGCACAAGTCCAATGCCTACGATACAGAAGGTTAGATTATACGATAGGTTTTAGATAGGAATCACGGCATTCATATCGGTGTCTATGAGCACTAGTACTTAGGACACCTAGCCTGGAAGTAGTCATAAATAGCCCCTGGTAAAAAGCCGACTCCGATCTGTTTAGTAACGAGCTTTACGGAGTAGATTCAGGCGTGTCACGTGCTTCCTGTACGACCCGACATGAAACTGTCATGTGACTCGGTCCAGGCAGCTTCGGTTTCCCAAAGGTAATGACATCAGTCTTTTCAAAAAGACCACCTACCTCATCTCTCCAGCTGACCAGGTTTCTTCATATATCACTGCTTCTCTCTCCAGCTGTTCGCCAAGCGAATTCGCTTTTCTAACTTTTCAAGCCCCAAGGTCGACAATCGCCGGTTAAGCTTTTGTTTACTTTCTCTGAACACCCCCTCATCTTTTCTGCCTAAGCTCTCAACAACAACAACCCAAGACAACAGACCGACCTCAGCAAGTCATCTACGCTACCAAGTCAGCAAAATGACGCTCTACTACAGCCTTGTATGTCTTCTCTCATCGTGGCACTGGCTTTTCTTCCGCCCAGCACGCCAATTGAGTTTCGTTGCAGCCTGAAGCATCTCACCCCTCAGGTTGTGTCATGGAGCCTCGTGAGAACTAACGCACGTCGGCTGTAGGTCTTTTGCCTTCTCGTACTTGAGATGGGAGTGTTCATGGGCTTGATTGTGCCCCTCCCCTTCACCATCAAGCGAAAGCTCTTCGCGTTCATTTCCGAAAGTCCAATCATAGCAAAACTACAATATGGTTTGAGGGTACGATTCTCAATACATGCTACATTACCTGCTACTAATACTTTCTTAGATAACGTTCATATTTATCCTCATCCTGTTCATCGACAGCGTCAACCGGGTGTACCGGGTTCAACTGGAGGTGTCCGCCTTTTCTAAGGAGGGCGGTAACGTAGGGTACGTACTCAACCACCGGGTGAATGCTCTCTGTCACTGAATTCACTAATTGATCCGTCAGCAGAGGGGCCGCACTCGGTACCGACCGTGCGGAGGTTCAAGCCCGCAAGTTCTACTCGCAGCGCAACATGTACCTCTGCGGATTCACGCTCTTCCTGTCTCTTATCCTCAACCGCACCTACACCATGATCCTCGAAACCCTGCGCCTCGAAGACCGTGTCAAGCTCCTCGAGGGCAACAAGCAGGCCGGTGGCAAGGACTCGGCTCGTCTTGCGCAGGCTGGTGACATGGGCGAGATCGGTCGTCTTAAGAAGGAGCTTGAACAAAAGGAGCGTGATATCGAGACTCTGAAGAAGCAGGCCGAGGGTCTGACTCGGGAGTACCACAACCTGGGTGACCAGGTTTCGGGTAACAAGGGCGACAACTCCGGTGAGAAGAAGGATCTATAAGTCTTCCCAGTGATCCGGAATTGAGTGCAAAACTCAGTTGACGTGAGTTGGCGACATCTTGTTGCTGCTGCGCCAGCATTTGAGTCCTCTTTTTCCCTCTCCGAAGGTGCCATATTGCACCAGCCGGCCCCCAACCTTCATGGTGATTCCGAATATATGCTATGAAGCTGTACAGCTGAACCTATGCCGTTGTGAAAGCCGAAAATTTGTTTTCTTATTGTCGATTATTGTGTTTAGTGCGAGGGGGTTGTGAGACAGTAGCAAGGAAGCGCAATTCGCTGTTTATTAGCTTGGAGCGTTCAACATCTGAATCAGCACGAACACATAACACTCGTATGTCGTTTCTTCTCAGTTTAAGCTTGCAATTGGAGTGGTAGAGCTTAATTTAACTATTCGTGTGCTAAACCTTAGCGTAAATAAAACCAGACTATAGGTCGGGTATCGGCGCATTTAGCTGCGAGGCGCTTCTAAATATATTTCTTCTAGCTCTCGGCTTTCAGGTACGACTCCGTAGGTAACCTATTACATGATAGTGATGTTGTCACAATTAGGGCAGACAAGGGATAATGAGCGATTAAATAAGCGGAGAGACCCTACTCCTAGGCAGTAAACGATCAAAAGTCACCATCTCGTCAGCATTATTGATAGCTGCCTGTACCGTATGAGTGGGCCGGGGGAATGCCGTTTAAAACTTGGCCTGGCTTTTGTCATCTATTCCAATTGTACGAAACTACGCCCGAAATTGGGTAGTCATACGATGCCTCTTGTACGAAGTACCTTTTTAAGCACTATCTATAGAGTGAACCTACCCATAATCACAGCACACGAACCCCTATCCCCGGTCCCCAACCAGGTCTACGACTTGTCATCCTCCACCTCGTAGCGTCAATTTCTCCGATAGTCAAATTGGCGTGAACGCAGCGAAAAGAGCCACTCTATATCCAACCGCGTGTCCTTGAAACTACCGTCTCGCAAGTCTAGGCCATCATCCGAACAGAGATCTAGTTCTACCCCGGCACTTCCCATCGGCCCGCTCCCAGAGACGAAACCTGATTCCAGGACATAGTATCATCTAGGGCACTCCATAGCCCACACACTATTGCCAGCCGGTGCGTGAACCGTTTGGCGCGGCCTCGGAAACCGGCTCTCCTTTCCCGTGTGCGCAAGCGAGATGCGACGCTTTCAGGCCCCGAGGAGCTCGGTGCGGGTCGCGGTTATTCGTACTCCATATTCGAGGATATTCAAGGATATACGACTCCGGCATGACGCGTCGACGATACTCGGTTGCCCCGGGGCATTGAATGCGTTGATGGTGTCGACGGGGCGGAGGGCGTTGGTGGAGACAGCGGAATGCGGAGCGGAGGCGGAGTAGTACCCTGGTCAGGTGCCGGCCGGAGGGGTGGAATAATACATAGTGATAAAGTCGCGGTCTTGATAATGCATGTTGGGAAAGCGACGGGGCTGAGTATCTAGATTAGTCTATATCTGAGAAGAGCATTAGGAGGTGACTGCGCTGGTTGCGCGAGGAAGTGGTTTCAAAGTTGGTGCGAAATGGGTATTAGGTCGCGGTGGCTCTTGCGGGCGGAAAGATGCGGCGAGTGGTGGTGCGGGGGGATGCTCTACCCGTAGGTAGAGCAACGATATCTTCCGATGGCGTACTGGATGGTTGTTCATTGCACAATAGCACCGAGGATAAACTTGAATATGGTGTGATGTGTATGAAAACTTGAACATGTGGTTCGCGGAGAGCGGGCGTTTGCGGGGCGGGGTGAGGGGAATAGGGGATTGGCATTGCCGCCGATTTACGGAGAAGATCGTGCGGGGTTGGGCTCGTTACGAGGCACTCTGTCGAAAAGATGAGGGGACTTGAGAAGGTAGCCTGACTGTGCACGAGGGAAGCGGTCTAAAGTCTCGCGATCAGACTTAATCCTTGCGTCAGTGTCCAGCGAGGTGTCTACGCGCCAAGGCAGATCAAGGAGGCTTGGTTGCTCGGGTAATTTGGTGACTCTCAGACCGTAGTCAACCTGACAAATCACCGATCTACAGTCAAGCCAACATTATCTCACAGAATATGCTAATGAGGGTTGATAGCTGTCTGACGTGGGAGCACCACATGCCCACGCATTCTCCAGCGGATTGCGAAATCCGTGGGCCGTAAGATAAGGTAAAGGCCGGTATGTAAGGACCTTGCAAGCCAAGCGAGCCAAGGTCGATCCTGTAGCTGTAGTATACAGAAAATGGCAAAAAAGCAACAAAGCGTCATATGACCCTCCCTGTCCCGCTCAAGCAGCTTACTGGATGGCAACGCCGAACGGCTATCCGCGGATTGAGACTGATTGTGCTTCGTACGCCATATGGTAAGAGCTAAGAAAGGGGGCTTAGTGGGCATGCTGCGTTTTTTTGCCTCGACAGGTTTGCAATCGGCGCATTATTGCTTTTTCGAAGGTTGAGCTGGCCGGAGTTGGTCCAGCACTGTGTGTGAATAGGGGACTGTGATTGGTGCGCACCGTGGCTATCGGTGTATCATCTAGGCAAAGTCGGTGCAGATTAAGTTGGCTGCAGGCAGATAAGCTAAAATGAGATGAGATTATGGGTCCTTCATGAGTCAGTCTTTTTCGACAGGGTAATTCGACTGTTCGACAGGGCTTTCTAAAGCGGAATCCCGATTGGGATTGGTCCGGATATACCGTTTTTCTGGCTAAGTCGGCCACGTCTTAACTCCTCATGTAATTAGTGGCTGTAAATAGCCTCACGCCAGCGCCGGATCGGGAAGTTATTATTATTAGTAGCAATAGCAAGAACAAAGAACCGGAGCCAGTACAAGCGGAGCAAGAAAAAATTCGCGGAGGTTAAGGTAGTAATAGCCATGGCCAGGGCCGTGGCCGGGGCCGCGGGGAAGGTATTATTCTAGTGGGAGTTCCGGAGTTAATGCTAGGTGTAATTAAATTCTAAATAAAGGCCTTTTATTGGGCAGTATAAGTGCTAGTTAAATAGTTAGAACTTACGCATGTTTAGCCTGCAGTTTAAACACTAAATTTTATATACCCACCACGGAAGCCAAGTTTCGAATTCTTGGCTCATGGCCAAGTGCCGCCAAGCCAATAGTCTAAATGTAACGTGGCTGAATTTCAGACATACCTACACCTTCTTATGTCGTTTTTTAAAGTAAGATACGCTTAATTTACAGCTAGCACACGCTAAGTGGAGGGCCAAGAATTCGAAACTTGGCTTCCGTGGTGGGTAAGAAGTCGGAATTTAAAGCGCTGCGCCCGCGCGGAGTATTCTGCTATCAAGCTAAACCTAATTAAGAAGCGGCGACGGGTTAATTATGTCAGCACCCGTTCCTAATCGGGGTTCCGCTTTAGAAAGCCCTGTCGAATAGTTGAATTACCCTGTCGAAAAAGACTAACTCTCCTTCATGGGAATGCCTGCCCCGCTTGACCTTGCCACATCCCTTGCCTCCGGGGAAGGTCGACCGGACTCATTATTTCTGGGGTGTCTAACTCTCCACAGATCTAGGCACTATGCTTGCGTGTTCTAGAATTCATTATTCAGAACAATGTCACAGTGTCACCGGATCTAAGATTACGTTCAACGCTGGTTGCGCACTGTACATCGGTACATTTTCTTGTTTATCCTACGAAAAGAGTACTCAGGGGGCAAAGTCTAGGCTATCATTGCTTGGCTGTGGAACAAAAGGCTGCAATTATCAGATCATCCATTGCACACAGCTTGGCAAGTATCATCTTGCCTCTTGGCAGATATCCTCCAGCGCCCCTCGCTTCTTCTTCTGTGGCCCCTTGAATCCCCGGGGCGAACAGGCTGTAGTGGTATCATAGTCGTCGCGGACAAATGTTATAGTAATGGTCCAACAAGAATAGAAAACAAGACTTCACAATGAAAACATTTCCACCAAAGACTTCAGAGATGACGATATCGTGTCCAGCGCGATCCGAGACTCCACGGTGGAGAGCATCGCTACGCTTCAATATCAGACGCTGGGGCTGGCGGCCCTGGGGTGGTCGTAGCCCAGGAAGAGGAATCCCGCGGGGAGGCGGGCTGCAGCGCCCCGGCTGAGTTGGGCGCTGCTGGTGGTGGACGAAGAGCTGCCGGAGCGCTCACGGACTGAAGTGGCATTGGTTTCGGTCTGCTCGTTGGTAGCAGCAAGAGGAGGAGACTGGATAGGAGCCAGAACGAGGAACTTGGAGGTGGGAGTGTAGGTGTACATTGTATTCGGTTATTTGCGGTTTAATTTGGAAGTAAAGTATTGTTGGTCTGAGAAGAAGACTTGGATGTTCAGGACGGCAGAAGACGGTTTTTCTTGAGAATTTATTTGAGAGAGTTGATGGAGAAGGATTCCAGCCGGTCGGAGTGGCCCTCTTTATAGAAATGAGGGAGACAGCCAAGAGTCTTCAGGTTCATGAGGGGTCACCGAGAGTCGTTGATCAGCAGCATGGAATCCATTGCCCTCGGTCAAGCATTGCTCTGCTTATCCCACGCCCCAGGGTGGATCGATGGTCAAACATGCTGTATTCCGTATTTCACATGTCTAGACCGGTATTATTCGAACCGGAGGGCTGGCAAACGTCATTCTCCGCACCCCCTGTTCCAATCCCAGGCTTGGCTTGGGAGATCCGCTTTCCACCGCAAAGGAAGAACCCCACCATACCGGGATGGTCATGGTGCTGACGCTGTACAGTGTATCAGTTGATGCAGACCTGGTGTTGTTCTGGTGCTGCTATTGGATGCCGGCGCCGGTGAGTTATGTTTGTTCTGCGAGCTCTCATCAGCCCAAGTGCCTGGGCCGTCGCGCTCCCGAAACCCTGCCTCGGATGATCAGCAACCAGGAGGTGCAGCCAAGAAACTTGCCTTGACTATCGATCTGAATTGAGCGTTCGAGCGTGGGCTGGAGAGAGCTTGGTGTAACCCCTGGGCGTTCTGGACTCCTTTCTTCGCATTCTTCTGTCCGCCGTGCGGCCACATGACCCCGGCCTATTCTTTGGTCGTCGCTTGGCTGCAGGCTACCTCGCATCGTGGCCAACCGCCAACCTCATTGTTTTCACGATCATAGTTGCAATGCAGTAGGTTGAACCGGGCTGGCTCGGTGGTTATGTAAGTAGGTCGTAGATAAGCGATCGTTCAATGTAAAGTTGGGTCCGCGCCGTTGAGGCTATCTTTCACCCTCGCTCGACCAGCAAGAGGGATCAGATGGTAGCTCAACCTGGCGATTCTAGAATGACACAACACTTTCTCCCCTCGGAACATGTCCTTTCAGGCATTTATTTCTGAAAGACAAACAATTGGCACAATAGCAGGCTCATGGCGAGAGAATAACTGCTGGGGAACGTGAGAAGGGAAGAACGAACTTAACCTTGGAAGCAAGCCCCCCATGTCACGTGCCTTGAGGCTCCTGCGGCCCCAACGCGGAATCGACAAGGCGTTCTCGACAGCTCCAGGCTGCATCCTCAAAGATTCAACGAACGCCTATGGATTCTGCTCGCCGATGGCTTTGATCCAACGGCGGCTACGCGACTTCTGTGCCTCTGGAGATCAACCTGTCAGTGACTCAGTTGTCGCTGTTTTAGCGCCTCGGCCCTTCGCGCCGTATCGCCCGGCTGCTGCACTGCACTGTCCGCTGTCGGTGGCGCGGATGGCACAGAGTGAGCCTTAGGCTCAGGGTATCGTCGGTACCTTGTAGGGTTGTACAATTTACCGTAAAGAATAATTCCTTACCCAAAATTGCTGACCGAGGTTCATTCATTACTGACGAAGTAATGAATCACGTGACNCCCACCACGGAAGCCAAGTTTCGAATTCTTGGCTCATGGCCAAGTGCCGCCAAGCCAATAGTCTAAATGTAACGTGGCTGAATTTCAGACATACCTACACCTTCTTATGTCGTTTTTTAAAGTAAGATACGCTTAATTTACAGCTAGCACACGCTAAGTGGAGGGCCAAGAATTCGAAACTTGGCTTCCGTGGTGGGTAAGAAGTCGGAATTTAAAGCGCTGCGCCCGCGCGGAGTATTCTGCTATCAAGCTAAACCTAATTAAGAAGCGGCGACGGGTTAATTATGTCAGCACCCGTTCCTAATCGGGGTTCCGCTTTAGAAAGCCCTGTCGAATAGTTGAATTACCCTGTCGAAAAAGACTAACTCTCCTTCATGGGAATGCCTGCCCCGCTTGACCTTGCCACATCCCTTGCCTCCGGGGAAGGTCGACCGGACTCATTATTTCTGGGGTGTCTAACTCTCCACAGATCTAGGCACTATGCTTGCGTGTTCTAGAATTCATTATTCAGAACAATGTCACAGTGTCACCGGATCTAAGATTACGTTCAACGCTGGTTGCGCACTGTACATCGGTACATTTTCTTGTTTATCCTACGAAAAGAGTACTCAGGGGGCAAAGTCTAGGCTATCATTGCTTGGCTGTGGAACAAAAGGCTGCAATTATCAGATCATCCATTGCACACAGCTTGGCAAGTATCATCTTGCCTCTTGGCAGATATCCTCCAGCGCCCCTCGCTTCTTCTTCTGTGGCCCCTTGAATCCCCGGGGCGAACAGGCTGTAGTGGTATCATAGTCGTCGCGGACAAATGTTATAGTAATGGTCCAACAAGAATAGAAAACAAGACTTCACAATGAAAACATTTCCACCAAAGACTTCAGAGATGACGATATCGTGTCCAGCGCGATCCGAGACTCCACGGTGGAGAGCATCGCTACGCTTCAATATCAGACGCTGGGGCTGGCGGCCCTGGGGTGGTCGTAGCCCAGGAAGAGGAATCCCGCGGGGAGGCGGGCTGCAGCGCCCCGGCTGAGTTGGGCGCTGCTGGTGGTGGACGAAGAGCTGCCGGAGCGCTCACGGACTGAAGTGGCATTGGTTTCGGTCTGCTCGTTGGTAGCAGCAAGAGGAGGAGACTGGATAGGAGCCAGAACGAGGAACTTGGAGGTGGGAGTGTAGGTGTACATTGTATTCGGTTATTTGCGGTTTAATTTGGAAGTAAAGTATTGTTGGTCTGAGAAGAAGACTTGGATGTTCAGGACGGCAGAAGACGGTTTTTCTTGAGAATTTATTTGAGAGAGTTGATGGAGAAGGATTCCAGCCGGTCGGAGTGGCCCTCTTTATAGAAATGAGGGAGACAGCCAAGAGTCTTCAGGTTCATGAGGGGTCACCGAGAGTCGTTGATCAGCAGCATGGAATCCATTGCCCTCGGTCAAGCATTGCTCTGCTTATCCCACGCCCCAGGGTGGATCGATGGTCAAACATGCTGTATTCCGTATTTCACATGTCTAGACCGGTATTATTCGAACCGGAGGGCTGGCAAACGTCATTCTCCGCACCCCCTGTTCCAATCCCAGGCTTGGCTTGGGAGATCCGCTTTCCACCGCAAAGGAAGAACCCCACCATACCGGGATGGTCATGGTGCTGACGCTGTACAGTGTATCAGTTGATGCAGACCTGGTGTTGTTCTGGTGCTGCTATTGGATGCCGGCGCCGGTGAGTTATGTTTGTTCTGCGAGCTCTCATCAGCCCAAGTGCCTGGGCCGTATTCCGAGGGATCATTGTTCTTCTCGTGAGGGCCTTCTTCATCGGCTGGCCCCATCGGTTGTGAAGATGACGCGGAAATCCATAGGCCGAGAACGCTCCGAGGATGACACACTAAGTTTAGCGACTATAAACTGTGCCAGCATTGCGCAAACCTGCAGCGCAACCTACAGCTTCCTTGACGTCCATTTACTCATTTCGAAGTAGCTCGCCGTTGTCCCTCCTATATGGTCAAGGTTGGGGTTCTAACACAAGGTCCACACCAGAAAAGAAATGAAAGGAGAAAGGTGGGGACGCCGAAGAGGCTTGCAGGTATCACCAACTGCGTCAAGTATTGACTGCTTCATACGTTGGCCGGCTCAAAGAATCAACTCTGGCCTGCTGTGATGACAATGTGATTCTTGCAGACTTGTCTTTTTAGCTGCCCGGCGTCTCCCTAAGGGACCGGCATCGCCGCTGGGTCAAGCGGACGGCCCCGAAAGCCGCTAGCTCTAGATGTCGAAGTGGAACGCGGCAACGTCAAGGAACTGCGGTTGTACCCCTGACCGGCGCAGGTGGCTCGCGAGTCAAATGCCACTGCAGCGAGCGGCTCTCATGTGGGCTGAGAACAGGCATGGGGTCAAGTCCCGGCGGCGGTGCCCCGGACTGCGATATGACTGTAGCCTGTATCAGGAGGGCTGCCTGTATCGGTGCAACCTCACTCGCTCTCGTCTGATGCCAAGTTCTCATGACGACGACGGTATCAGGACGGATGTAGGTCACAATAAGAAATGCCGGCCTGTTGCCTGGCGGCTGCGTGATGCTCGTCAGATGCGCAAATTAGGGCATCAACCGGACTGCGGCATGACCTCGAACGATGATAGACCTGTTGGTCTGGCAGGGGAAATGATTCGATAACGAAAGTGTTGGTCTCTTCTTATTTCTCAAATACTCTCTTCACTAACTGCATACGTGACTGGCTCACCAGTGCAGCGCAGTGTGTCTTCAGTATGATGTCAAGCCTCTTACGATGCGGCCTGGGTTTAATGAAGCTTATGAGCAAGGATGCGGGATCCTGCCGATGACCAGACCAGTGCCCTTGCCCCCATTTACTTGCAAGGGCAGAAATTGCCTGCTTGCACAGACCTCAGAATGGCCTTGACCTGCACAGATGATCCGCATAGCCGGCCAATCTCCCTAGATGTTGGAAGCCAAATGGAGTAGTCTCGGCGAGCTTCAATTCGCGGATAGAACCATTCGATGAGATGATCCCATTCGAGTGTGATGGACTTTTGAATCACCAACTGCTTGTTGCATATTAGACGTCCAGGTCGCTTGGGGGATAAAGGGGGAAATAGGGCAAGGAAGGAAGACCTTGCATCGGAGTGACATTCATTTATCTCACTCACTACTCTTTCGTCCGCGGTCTTGTCCGCGGCGTTTTGCCTACTCTTCCCATTTGATTTTTTATAATCTTATTTTTTTTTCTCTTCTGACACTGTCTTCTACAACTGTCACACCCACTCCTGTTGCTTCTTTTTGTTGTGTTCTCTCGACGGCGTTGTTGCGGCGCAGTCATCGAGCGAGCCCATCTATGCCTTGGGATTGCACCAACTCCGGCGTCTGGACTATTTAAGTCTGAACTATTTAAGACCCTCACCACCCGTCGACCCTTCAATCCATCATCAACAATCCAGCTCACCAGCCTTCAAAGCAATCCGAAGCAGATCCTCCTCAGCCTCAACCACTATTGCCTCGCGCCTTCATTTCATTATCAGAATATCCGTATCACTACCTCTCTATCGACTAAGTCACGATGTGCTCTCAATACTTCTACAAGTTCGACTGCGGCTGCACCCACCCTGAGGGTGATGTCGTCTATTGCGCCAAGCGAGGCACATCTTGCACGGGCGTGCGCCAGCAAATCCGTGTACGATCAGGCTTCAACTGCCCCCAGCACGGCGGCTAGACTTTCGATGTGAGTAGACAAGTCGAGCCGTTCGCAGCTTCGAGTCTAGATGCGACTCGAACTCTCGAGACAAAGAAACCGCGTGCAGATTCTAACAAAGTGTGCAGGAGTTTCCGAACGGCAACTGCAGCTCTGTCTTCCGGGGGGCGAGAGGGATTAGATCGCTCACTTGTTGGATATCGGCTCCGGCGTTGTCCGAAGACGCAGACGGCTTTCCTACTACGTATTCCGGACTGACCGCTTCATGGGCGTTGGTTGTTGTTCCAGGAACTCTGATTGAAGGAGGGATGTGAGGGGGGGAACCAGTTATATGCGTCTTCGTCTGTTATATTGCATCTGCTGCTACGTATCTATGTCTCCTTCGCTTCTGTCGTTTTCTGCTCTGGTGACTATTTTGGCCAGAGTTTAGTGCATGTGTGACTTTGTTTGTATCTATCTTTTCTAACCGCTGCCACTATCCACTACAGTCCCTGACTAGAGTTGCCTGATTGGATTTGTCTGCTCGTTGTTCTGTCATATAAGTCGTTAGTGAAGCCAAATGTCACCATCATTTCCCAGTCATTCACAGGTTTCCTGTAAACGAAGGCGGGGAAGGGACGGGTACTGGGAGAGCCATGAGCTCTCAGTGACGCAGAGTAGTCCTTCGATTCATGTGCAGATTACCCCAGCCGAGCAAGCGTAAGCTTCAGGATATGAAGGAAGGAGTCCCCGGCCTTAGGCTGTTCCTGATGGCTTCTAGGAGAATTCCGACACGCGGGATGTAATCGGCCGATGCTGCACACACCACCTTATCAACAAGTCGTATAGCTTAGTCTGGTCAGGATGCGCGTTGGAAGCTGCCAGTGGCCACTCTTCATGACGCCATGACCGGTGATATGTATGCCTCGGACCGGTGAAGGATAAAAGGAAGCAGATTGGACGACGGTACCAAGACAGCACTCTAACCGCCTCACTTTCCATACGTGAGTGATTTAGCTGTAACTTGGAAAGCATTGGCTTGTGCGCAAAGACACGAATCAGAGAGAGAAGACTTATTAGTTATCCGTTATTTTTTGCCTTCCTTAGCAGTCACGATTAGCACCGTACATGAAAGTTGCATTAGCACCGCATACAGCTCTCATCAGCTGATTTGCATCATCAAATCGGAGAAGGAATCAGAGAGTGTGTGGTTTTGGTTACCCGGTGGCGATCAAGGCATCCAACTCCATAAAGCCTACCGGTCGCGGGGGGAGGGGAAAGGGCTAGCGTTGACTTTGAAAGAGAGTGGGCGCGTCGACGTAAAGGCCATTCATCATTCTGGGAGGGAGGGGTCTGCTGAAAGAGACAGTTTATTATTGCAGCTTTGGGATATAGCTTGCATCCTTCCATTGTGACACAAGATCCATTCGCTGAGCGTCACTGGGTGATGCTCGGTGTCAGTGCCGCAGGAGACAAGGACAGCGAGTCAACGAGGGAGATGTGGGTTAGCGAGGGCCGATTTGCGAGTGCCATCACAAAGAAACTCGCGGGAAGTGGCGCCCCTTCTCGCCGCCAAGAGGTTTATCACAGCCCTTGGGCTTGAAAGAAAGGTGGCACGGTAGATGCCGGCACGCATCCGCTCCACAGATAGAGTAGAGAGAGAGAATCCGTTCTCATGAAGAGCCAGTTGGACGAGATATAAGCCAGGATCGACAGGAGTTGAGGTGAAAGATGGGCGAATGTCCACCCACCCAATATTTCCAAGTGCAGGAGACGATGAAAACACCAATTACAGCGGCAGATTCAAGGGCTCGAGTGTTGGAACTCGGACCTTTGGCATATCTTTGGGCCACAAAGATGGTATCTTGTGGTAGTAGAACCATGGTGATACTGCAGTTTCGTGGCCGCCATTCCTTGGAGATTTTCTCGTGCTGAGCTATTCAGGGCAACCGTTACGGGTAAGTTCCAACGTGGAGCAAGGCCTTGTTCCGTGAACACGCGCTGCTGAGTCAAGAAGAGAAGCGGAAGGAAATGAGGCAGCACAGTGCGAGCCAAAGTGCTGGGTCGGTAGACGCGCCGAAGTAAACCTAAAGCGGTGTGAACCCAATTGCAGCAGGAAGGACTGCACACTGGACTGCTGCGCACAAGGCACGCATCGATGCGGCTCCATTTCTCTTTAGAGGGCCATATCGAGTCGGAAATGCGGCTCGACAACCGTTGTCGTTGCGGTGATAGGGACGATGCACGTTGGGAAGTTGAGGCTGCCCAGGGCACATGATGGCCCTTGCGTCATCACGTGAGCTGCGTGCAATAGTGCTTCCTCCGCTGTCCATCCCAGTTCCGACATTCCAACATCCTTCCGCCTCCACATGTGATGTCCATCGAAGTCAATTGGGGGACCGCCACCTCTGGTCCGGACGGCGAAGCTTTAGCTGAGCGCATTCGTTCTTTCATCCACGATAAATTCCAGCAGGTGCCCCTCCCACGCTTCATCCGCTCAGTCCAAGTTCACTCCTTCGACTTCGGGACTGTCGCCCCTGATCTAGAGATCAAGGACTTTTGTGAACCATTCGCCGACTTCTACGAAGATGACGAGGGCGGTGACTCGACATCAGAGATATCGGAAGAGCTCCAACACTCTCCTCACGACAATCCGTGGGCCAGAACGCAGTCGGAGCTTAATGAAGCTTCTTTTCGAGACGATAGACCAGTAGCTGGCCAGCATGCACTTCGGGACCCCTTTGATGCGGATTTCCGCCAACATGCCTCTTCGCCATTACGGTCGCCGATAGCCCTAGGAGACCACTTGAACTCGCACTTCCTACCCCGCGCCGGCACCCCAGGTATACCCGGCGGAACCTCGACACTGGGTTACCACCTCATGTCACTAGGAGGTCTGTCAGGCACTCAGACGCCTCTTGCGGCCGTCGCCGGTGGCTCGCCATTCACAAACAACTGGACAGACTCGTCAGCATTGGGACAAGGCAACAGAACTGGAAATCGACCGTCCCCGCTCCACCGCGCCGACGGCGATACCGATTCCAGCAACCCAGCTTCTCGCCCTTCGACAGCAAGCACGCATCCATCCGCTTCGAATCATAATAGCGGCGATGCATCGTCTCACCCAGAAGAACGCTCCCATCACCACGAAGATCCATCCTCATCCTCGACGAACCCGCTTCTTCAAGACCAACCGCCGCCGCGCATGCGAGAACGCCGACCTGAAGACTTCCAAATCCTTTGCCACGCCAAATACGCCGGCGATATCCGCATATCAATAACGGCTGAAATCCTTCTTGATTACCCCATGCCCAGCTTTGTTGGACTTCCTCTTAAATTGAACGTCACCGGCATTACCTTTGACGGCGTCGCAGTTATAGCATATATCCGCAAACGTGTTCATTTCTGTTTCCTATCTCCCGAAGACGCTGAAGCGCTAGTCGGCACCGGCCCCAATCTCAATCAGCAGGAGACTCCTGGTCCATCTGCTAGTGGAAGTGGAAGTGGCAATCCAAACCCACATCAAAAGGGCCTTGGTCTACTACAGGAAATTCGAGTTGAGAGCGAAATCGGCCGCAAAGAAGACGGAAAACAGGTTCTCAAAAACGTGGGCAAGGTTGAGCGTTTCGTCCTTGCTCAGGTCCGTCGGATCTTCGAAGAGGAACTTGTGTTCCCAAGCTTCTACACGTTTCTTATTTAGTTGCGCTTGTACCGTTTACGCTGTAGACATATGATTTATCATGCTTCAATTCTGAGGATATATGGACTACCTACGTCAGCGTACGCATCTAGAGTGCCACATCATGTCTACTGCACTCATACTGCATTGTCTGCTCAAGAATAAATAGATCACAAGGTCTAGCTGACTAGTGAGATGAATCATTACCCATGGCCTGGCTCCAGTGTACCTAATCTATAGACTATCCACATCCACATCCAAGCGGGGGGGAAACGAAAAATGGAAGTGTAGAGAAACCGTAATATATTACCTTTAAATAAGTCCTCGAGGGGGACGAGAAGATGAAAAAGGGTGATGAGAAATCTCGCCTCACTCGCCCGGTTATGGACAAGGCATTCTCGCCTTAATACAAGTAAAGTATTCGACCAAAAGCAGACGCTAAGGAGAAGAATAGCGCAAGACAGGCATGTAGGCAGCAAGGAGTCAAATTTACAATCGGTCAGGGTTATAGAAACAGGGAGAAGGTTAGAAAATAAGAGAAAAGAGAAAAGAAAAAGAAACAGAGCTTTGAACAAAGGAAATAAATAAGGAGAAAAAGTTTATCCTGCACAAAGATAACGCAAACATGCTAGATGTGGATATGCATGGCGAGAAGAAAAATGGCTGCTGGTACAACAGAAGACAAACCGATGGCTACATGCAACAGAATGGGACGAGAGTTGCGCGGGTATCACGGGGTATCCAAATAACCTCTCTGCTCTTTCAACACTAGATCCTAGAGCCTGGCTGTTTCACTCGAAACGCGTCAAACGAAACGCGCCTCGATACACACAAATTGACTCGATGTCCGGGCCCAGCGTTAACGTCTTTGCAGCGTTCTTGAATGGTTGGTTGCGAGAAACACGAAGCATAGTCATCATGACCAGATATTTTGGTTGTCTCTTGGGTCTTCTCACGTTGGCCACATCACGATTAAAGGGTTGAACTTAATAGGTTGAGCCCAGTCCACTCAGACCCGAAAAACCTGAAAAGAGATATGAGACGGAACCGAGAAGAATAGTTGGGTTCTCTAGCGTTCATCCCCGGCTCTGGACTTGGCCCGTCGACGAAAGAAATCCATGACTTTGCGAGCTGCCCCGGAGCTACCAGAATGATGCGATTCATTTTCGTACGCGTCTGCGAACCTCCGGTGGTTTTTCTGCAAGACACCGGGTCGATTCGAGGACCGCCCCGTTTGCAACGATGCCCCCGAAGTGTTGTCATGCACACCATTGTATTCGTCGTAGTAATTAGGTGTCGAATGATTGGCGTAATGATTCCGGTAATATTGTTCATTATCGTTCTGATGAACTTGGTCTGCTGAGACTGTACCATATGGAGTCGGCTGGTAGGTTTCGCTGTTGTTTGAGTGTAGAGCCGCGAACTGCTGATCAATGCGAGTCTGGTAGTTCACTGGCTCGTCATGGACAATAACGTCGTCTGATGGGCCATCGGTCGCTGTGCTGGCTATCGTATCGTGGGCTCCGTAGCTCGTAGCTCGAGTACGGGTCCGTACAGCCCCTGCCGATGGGCGCTGGCTCTCACGGTTGTTGGAGAAGCGATCCCCTTGAGAATCTTCGTCAGGCGTTTGCGATCTGCTTGAAGAAAGGCCTTTCAGTGAGAATGAGGGCGGAAGTAAAGAGAAACGACGCGACTTGTTCTCGCTGCCTGTCTCGCTTGCCTTCCGGTTGCCATAACCAAACTGGGCCGAGCGACGCGAGTCCATTGACGCCCTGGTATCATCACCAGCGTACGGATCCCGCATGCTTGTCGGCGGGTAACGCTTGCCAGCTTTCTGCTTTGGTGCACTTGGCTGGCCCCCGCGGCCTCCAAATAGAGAACCAGACCTTCCAAATAACTTCTCGCCGATAGCTGAGACAGTGTTCGACCTCTTGTGACCCTTCGGAGCTTCCTGTCGAGGTGTAGTGTTGAATTTGGCTGGGAAATTCTGGACGCTTGGACTGCCCATACCGGAAGATTCCTCGGCGTCTTGCTGCATCGGTGCAGATATAACGTACTGCTTACTCATCGGCTGCGCGAGTCGCCCTTCAGCATTCGTCGCTGCCACTGTTGGCGCCACTGGCTGCCCGTAAGACCCACGGGATGGCAAACGCCCTGTTTTGAACGAAGCCATTGATGCGCCAGTTGTGGGTCGTGCGGTTTGCGTCGTGCCCGTGAGTGCTGCCGTGTCGGACGTCGAGCGAGGTAGATGCGCAATCGGAGGTGCAGGGGCAGGGGAAGAAGTACTCGGTAATGGTTGCTCGAGTGCTGTTTGAGTGTTGACAGGGTAATCCTGCCCGGTCGGTTTTGACCTTGTCGATACGGGCTCGGTAGGAGACACATTTTGAACCGTGGCGCTGGATCCGGAGGTTTCTCCTCTTGATGTCTGAGACTGGGGAGCGACATATTCAACCTGGACAGTGCGGCGTTTTGTGTCTCGAGGGGTCTTGGATCTGTCGCTCTGGTCCTGCGAGATGTCCCCTGGGTGGTGTACCAGACCCCCAACCGAAGGGCTCGAACCGTGATGTGTCTTCGGCGGCTCTCTGACTGAAGCGCTGCGAGCAAGTGGCGGGGCCTCTCTGGGTTGCTCTATTAAAGACTGGTCAGCAGCGGATAGTGCAAAGTTGAAGGCAGGGAAGCCCATACCGTGAGAGGCCGTGGAAGACGAGATATCAGCGACCTTGGTCGTACTGCTAGTGATATGTGAGACTAGATCGGCGTACTCGCTAAGCCAACTGTGTCGCGCAACCTCAAAAAGATCTGCTCGTTTTCGAGGATCAGGGACCAGGATCCGCCTCAAAAGGTCACGGGCATGGGGTGTAACATATTCGGGGAACGTCAGAGGGGTCGTGACGATATATTTGTACAGCAAATTGATATTATCACCATCGGGGTTCGCTGGATCATCATCAAACGGAAGGTAGCCCGCAAGCATAGCATACTAATATTGTTCAGTAAGGCACAAGAGACAGACGATCCGAGGTGCAGAGCTACTCACAAGTATAACACCACAACTCCACACATCCACCCTGCGTCCGGTGTAAAGTGAGTCGCTCACCACGAGCTCTGGAGCAGCGTAACAAGGACTTCCGCAACTCGTCTGCATCAGGTCTCCTCGGCGTAAGCCCTTGGCGTTGGTTTTATCCAGGCGCATCCTCTTCACAAACTCTTTGTTGGTGAGGTTATACTCAATCTCCTCGCTAAGCTCATCCGTGGGGTCGAAAGTGTTCGCAAATCCAAAGTCTGTGATGATAATATTGCGGTTCCGGTCGAGCAGCAAGTTTTCCAGTTTTAGATCACGATGAACAATACCCTTTTTGTGAAGATAGCCGACACCAGACACGAGTTGCGCAAATAGACGTCGGGCAGAGTTATCCTTCAGATACTTATTTCTCAAGATATGGTCGAAAAGTTCCCCGCCAGACGCATACTCCATGATAATTCCAATATGACGATCTGTTTCAACCATTTCGTGAAGGCGTACGATATTCGGATGATGAAGATCTCGCAGGATCGAAATCTCGCGGTATATCTTGGGCAACCTTGTCGGATTCGACCCAAGCGACTCGCGACGAATAAGCTTGATAGCAACTTCGACAGAACCATCACGCTTCCATCCCAGTTTGACCTTGCCGAATTCACCTTCGCCCACTGTTTGCCCGAGAATGTATTGGCCGAATGTCGTTTCTTTGCGCTTAACGGTATGCTCGGGAAACTCCTGTCGACTTGGCAAATTACCCCGACTCCCGTCCTCCATACTTTCGCCGCTCATTAAGCCCAGTCCCGAAGTAGTAGCGTTCTCGACCGGTGCCGCAGCTTGCCGGGCTTGCTCTCGTTCAATATCGACCGCGGGATCGCTCACTAAAAGCTGATTAATGACTGCGCTTGACTCTTTCACCAATGTGCTATCGCTCGGGACTGTCGCCATGAGGTCCTCGGGTTGAGCGGAGCTTTGATTGTGGGTGCTTGGCCCTCTGGATGGATCCTCGGATGACTTGGACCCCTGACGGCGCGATCGAGATTCCTCACCCTTTTTATCACGGCGGCTGCGCTCTTCACCCTTGCCCTTGTAACGCGATCCCGATCTCTCTCCAGAAGAGGCGGATGCTGTGTTTGAACCACGACTTCTTTGGTTGGATGACGTCCTTGGCGGCGGAATAGGTGGTCCACCGAGGAGATCTGGATACACGGGGGGTCGACTACTGCTGGGGGCGGACGATAGAGCCGCAGAGGTCATGGCTGGAGTGGCATAGGTGCGTGGCAGAGCCTGCGTTATAGGATCGCTCATAGCCGAAGAAGCTGTCGGGACCAGAACGGTGTATCCTATAATCAGGTTAGCCAATTTTGGTGAATAGCTGCAGCTGAGCTCCGCGTGTGATCCTCGTGGAACAGGTCCATTGCCGCAAACTGCACGCAAGAGGACAAGGGAAGACGGAATACTGATATCATGTCTGTAATAGGTGTGAAGGTATAGCCGCTTGCCACATACCTATGCTTCTGATCCGCTAGACTGCTTGCCGCGTTTCAGTCCAACGCGGCCTCTTCAGGCACGCACAGACGGAAATCAGCGATCAGCCTAGTGCGTTGAGCAGCTGCAACCGGGGCCGGGAGGTCCAACACGCGATCGCCCTTCCTAAATTGATGGTCTTCCTCTTGAGTTTATCGGGTCTCAATCTCTTTTCTCTTCCTATAATTCTGTTTGGTCGGCGACTTCGATGATAAGTTCGACAGCTTGTCGGCTCAATCGGGCAGCTGAATTGCAATCGGATTGAAGTTAGTTCATGAACGGTAAGCTGGCACCGATAAGGGGCTGGGCTGGAACTGACAACCAAAAGCGAAGAACAAGACCGCTATCACCGAAGCCGTTGTGGTCGTTGGTATACCGAGGACACCAGGTCGGGCAAAAAAAAGAATACAGAATGAAAGCTCAAAAAAGTGGTCGGGAAAAGGGGAAGCTTCGTAACAAAAGAAATATGTTGTTTTTTGGGGGTTGTTTTTCGATATAATTGTGAATTCGGTCGCAGGAATACGACGGGTGTTGATCTGCACTGCAGAATTGCCTCTGGACTCCAGCTCTCTCCAAAAGTATTGACTCCCTGGTCGGGAATGCGCTGGTGAGGCCGACAATGGGTGGGAGCGACAAACGCGGGCGGGAAGGGGAGCCTCGGGAGACGCGATCAGCACAAGCCAAACGGTCTAGAGTCGGACGCGAGCTATCCCAACTCAACTCTGCTGCTGGACGAATTGAAAAGCCAGGATGTATTCTAGAATATGGCGAGCATGATCGACCGTGGGAGGAATTTGAGCAGCGAAGCAGCGGCAAGAGGGCGTTGTAAGAGGTCGACTCTTCTGTGGTCCCAGTGAGCGGACAGGGGGTAAGGGCAACGGCGCGAGGGGAGACGAGAGCGCGCGGCAACCAGAGCCCCAAGGAGGAGGGTATATGGGCCCAAGGGAGGAGCAAGAAGGGAACAAGAAAGAAAACGACGAAAGGAAGAAAGGAAGGGGAGGCGGGAGGGGGTGGGCGAGAAGAAGGAAGAGAAGGGGAGAGACGGGAGTGAGTAGGTGAGTGAGGAAGAGCAAGCCGTAGTCTACTAGTAGTTGGGTTGCAGGGCGGGTAACAATCGAGGCGCTCTCTAGAAACCGATGATGATGCCATTGATTCTAGATTTTAATTCTGTTTTTTTTTTTTTTGATATTCGATTCCATCTCTACTTTACTGTGCTCGAAGCTCGAAGCTGCCCTCCATTCCTCTGGTGGTGATTTGATGGCCGATGACGAGGTGCATGAATAAATGCAGTTCTTACTCGCAGGACTTGAAACCCAAGAACGCACAGGCTCTGGGCTACTGAGCACTAACTAGAGAGAGCACCGCCAATGCGATTATAATGCCATTGATGGCGCTCGATGCTCCAGGCTGAATTGAGTTATCTAACGTTGAAGCTACCAATGCCGATAACCATGATAATAATAGATCCACCCAGCTTCACCGTCGCCCAAGGCTGGTTCTGAACAAAACCGGCCATTTGCCAAATGATCAGGGGCAGAGAACCACTGTTTCATCGCGGCTGGGAAGTCGCTAGAGCCGCGGGCGCAGCCGATCCTCATCTTAACCACTGCTGCTGCCAAAACATTGCAAACTGGCGGTCAATCACTCAAAACATGACAACTATGCTTCCCATCGACAATATAGCTAGACAATTCGTGCTCATCGAGAGCGTTCAATGGCGCAGGTCCAGGTCCAGCAAAGCTGGAGGAGAGATGGGTACTCGGAGCTCTTTCCGCGGTAAAGGGAGCTCCACTCGACCCAAGAAGCTCTCACCTGGCCTCCCCAGATTCCGTAACCAGCCTTGGTACTATACAGCAATCTCAATCAACTAGCTAGCATTCCTTCATAGTCAGTTGACATCCTATAGACTTTATGGCCATTCCTTGCCCTAACAGGAATATAGGGCTCTGTTCTCTGGTCTCGATTAAGTACTAGGGATAAATAATGCCTATGCGGACTTAAAGGAGCGATATATTTCTGTCTAACTTGAGAACTCCGTGCCTGTCCGCGGCGTTTTACAATAAGCCAATATATCCCGTATTATTTTATTGATCCACTATTGATGATCTTTGATCAACTGTAGACTGTCTATTAAGTATTATATGGAAGGATGATAGTGTATGTTATATGCAGAAGGGTGCTTCTCCCACAATCCGAAGCAGAGATGCTACTGTATATCGAACCCATTACCAACGCAACAACACGCACGTATTGAACAATAAGAAAAAAAAACCAAAGACAAATTAGCCTGCCGTAGCTCGTCACACATAATCTGTAGCTGGGAACAAGAAACAATCGTAAGACCGAAGAAAAAAAGAATAAACTCTATCGATGACCGATGCTTAGCGCTTCCCGCCTGACATACTTGCCCCGCCAACCGAGAACGTTCCCGGAGCACCGTATGCGGGAGGCGGCGTTGGGCTAGGAGATGGCCCTCTGCCCGCTGGACTGCGACTCGGTCCTTGGGGAGAAAGCTCTCCGCCGTCACCCGAGCCGACAACGACTTGCTGTCCATCCTTCATACGTCCAACAACCATACCCTTGGCGACAGATTTGAGAACCGCTTTGCGGCTAACTCCGGAGGCGTCAATATAAACTAACCCCACATTCTTGATGCCTCCTGTCAGATTGGAAGCAACCGTCCCGGCTTCCGCTCCGTAACGATGGCCAATCATTGTAGAGGCAGCCGAGGAACTAGACGTTAGTACATTCCGCGCGCCTTGTTCAATGCCATCCGCCAGTGTAGAAAAGGCGATCAAGGATTTGTTCAGGATACCTGGCTTGCCGTGAGCTGGAACCCTTGAGTTGTCGCCACGAGCTTTTCCATTATCCTTGCGACCGGCTAGAGAAGCTCCGAAATTCTGCGCATACCGGCCGACTTGCCCGACTGTCTTGGATGATATGTCTGCCGCGCCGCTAGAGAATGTTCCAACTTTCCTGATTCGAGTATGCGTAGTCTCTGAAAATGTCGCTGGTTTTGGGTTGGGCTTAACCTTTTTTGTAAACGCGTCTGCGCCACTGGTCAATGCGTTGGCAAGATATGTAGATCCAGTAACAATCAGACGGGAGGCCGTAGCAGATGACTGGACAAGAGACGAGTCTTTGTATGCAGGATGCCGCGAGGTTGCGAGGTACTCCTCCGATACATTGCTGACGCTGACTTGATTGCCCTCGCCTTCAGTAGGTAGTTGAATTTGAACGGGTCCTATCATAAACAAAGTGAGTCAACCGTAGGCCTAGAGACAGTAGAGGTATCCTTACTTTTCGAACCCGGCCTAACGTCAGGCCTTTCGACGACATCGTATCCTTCCATTTCGCCGACCACACTGCCATTCTCTTCGTCGATGAGCACAATCCGCCCGTGCGAATCCGACTTGTCATGGAGTCCCGTAGCATTCGAAGAGGATACATAGCCCTCACCAGGAGCGAAGCTCGCCGGGTTGTACAAGGCATGATCTTTCGAGACCTGGGTGCGGTCATGAAAGGCTGTGCATTGGGCGAGAATGGTTTCAAATGTATCGATATCCTCCTGTGTCACTTTATTGGGTCCGGCCCCAATCCCAGGAAACTGGATACGAATGAATGCACCTGCATCCGGTCCCAAGTCCCAGCGCGGGATCAAATAGCTACTCGGGGGCTGGTGGTAAATCTGGGTGGTGGCAGGAAGAGCGAGATCCAGCTCTGGAGGAAGATGCAAGTGGAGATAGAAGTCTTCTTCAGACGGGGTCTCTTGAGCGGAAGGGAAAGGCGTATTCTGGTTCTCAGTAATGGAAGCTGTCGTCGGCACCATCAGAAGGGAGAGCGTCTGAGGGCCGGACGGTGTTAGACTCGATTCTTCACCGTCCTGCACATGAAAAGCATGGACATTGTTGATGCTGTAGAGAAGTCTAGGGTCATGTGAAGTAGATGCCATGGCCGCGGTAGTGAAACACTCAAAAAACGAGCGTGAGTCCTGGACTCTCAAGCAGAACGGCTTGTATGACGTTATTTGGGCTGCGGAGACCAAACTGCTGTCGAGTCTCGAGAAGAGCGTCAACCACGACGATTAAGAGAAACAGAGATAAAGGAGAAGAGGCGAAAGCGAACAGGGAAAAGGGGAAGAAATAATTAATATGACGCAGGCCGTACTCTTGGGCTCTTGGGGCTTGGAGGGATGTCTTAAGAGGTGTTATCGTGCTGATGAATAAGCGCCAACCCCACGACTGCGCCACACTGATCTCCAGGTTTCACCGCCACATGAACTGTGAGTGGCTGGAATTCAGTAAGAATAGCAACACTGAGCGTCATGTGTGACCGCCAAACGGAGCAAATGGCTAGAAGCAGCTGAAAAGCAGATCAAGAGGCCATTGCTCCGTAAGTTGCGCGCTGGAGACCAGGAGTCGCCGATAACCAACCATTTCAAATTGTTGATTCAACCAGAACCGACCCCGGCACCAACGGCGGCTACATAGATTGATCGGCCCCTAGCAGAGCGCTTAAAAGCAGCTCCTCTCAACAAGGGCCCAATTGCCAGAGCCAATGACGATGGTAGCTCTTCAGATCCTATCGGACCTCCACCTGGAGAATCCCCGCGCGTACGACCTCTTCGACATTCCTCCTAGAGCCCCGTATCTCGCACTCCTGGGCGATATAGGAACCGTGAAGGACGACGAGCTCTTCACGTTCCTGACATCGCAGCTCCAGAAATTCGACATTGTTTTCTTTCTTTTGGGAAATCATGAGCCATACGGTTCCAATTGGCTGGACGTGAGGAATCGAGTTAGAAAGTTCTCCGAGGACGTCAGCCAGCGTCGAGTCCAGGAGACAGGACTAGGAGAATTCGTTTTTCTCGACCAAACGCGATATGATATATCCGACGACGTGACAGTTCTCGGCTGCACGCTGAATTCCAGGGTTCCGGAAAGCCAAGCAGAGAATGTCAGCTATCGCCTGAACGACTTCTACTATATCAGTGACTGGACTGTCGAAGCTCATTCTGCAGCCCACGAAGCAAACCGGAAGTGGCTCAATGAGCAAGTATCGCAAATAAGTGCTTCGAAGCCTCATCAAAAAATTGTTGTTTTCACCCATCACTCTCCAACGGTCGATCCCGTGGCCTCTGACCCTGCGCACGCCAATAGCCCTATATCCTCAGCGTTTTCAACTGATCTCTCCGGCGAGACATGCTGGGAGAAGCCCCAAGTGCGGCTTTGGGCATTTGGACACACGCATTATAACTGCGATTACACAGAACAACGGACTGGGAAGAGAGTGGTGGCGAACCAGCGGGGTTACTACTTTGCGCAAGCGGCGGCCTTTGATCCGGAGAAAGTGGTTCATATTTAAGTCAGAAATTATTTTCCATTTCATCGATTGGCCTGGTCGAGATAGAATGATAGCGAACGCAATGTATTAAATAAGGCTCTGTAAGGTTGAGCAGAACCTCGGGGGTGCATTGCCAAGACCCGACTTTAACCGAGGCAGACCATCGCCTGCTCGTGATTGCTTCCTCTACCCCGGATCCTCTTCTCCATTCAATTTCATGAATTCTCCCTCCCCCCTTTCGTCTTTTTCTGTGCCGTGAAACCCTTGTCCCGTTTTATCTACCCTTTAGAGCTCATTATTTCACGTCTTCCACTTCTATGGCGTCTATCACCCGTGCCCTGCGGCCTCTGTCCCGCACCGTACCCTCTCTCCGCCCAGTCGCAATTCGACCCTTGACTAGCCGACTTCCTCAAAGGTATGCCTGCGCTTAGTCCGTAGGGTGCTGAATCTAGGATATCGTGTCGGCCGCATAACGACATTTAATTGCGGTGTATATTCAACAAATTGCTAACCTGTTTCTCCAACAGCACTTATGCCTTTTCTACCACATGCCGACGGCGGGAAGCCGACTTGTCCAACCTCACACCCACGCCAATCACACATTTCTCCGAAACCGAGTCGCTGATGGCCGAAACGGTATCTAAGTTTGCCCAGGAGCAGATTGGCCCGAAAGTACGAGAAATGGATGAAGCAGAGACTATGGACCCGGCTTTGGTAGAGCAGCTCTTCGAGCAGGGTCTTATGGGCATCGAGATACCCGAAGAATATGGCGGTGCGGGCATGAACTTCACCGCGGCGATAGTGGCAATCGAGGAGCTTGCTCGTGTCGATCCGAGCGTCAGTGTTTTGGTTGACGTTCACAACACCCTTGTCAACACTGCCTTCATGAAGTGGGGTGACGCCCAAGTCCAGCGGACATGGCTACCAAAGTTGGCCACCGGGACCGTTGGCTCATTCTGTCTGTCCGAGCCCATCTCTGGGTCAGATGCCTTTGCTCTGCAGACAAAGGCCGAGAAGACGGCGGACGGGTACAAACTGAATGGATCGAAGATGTGGATTACCAATTCCATGGAGGCCGGCGTATTCATTGTCTTTGCCAACTTGGATCCTAGTAAGGGGTATAAGGGTATTACCGCGTTCATAGTGGAAAAGGACACACCCGGATTCTCCATTGCGAAGAAGGAGAAGAAGCTCGGAATCAGAGCCAGCAGCACCTGCGTACTCAACTTCGACGACGTCGTCATTCCTAAGGGTAACCTCCTGGGTGAGGAAGGCCAGGGCTATAAGTACGCTATTGGCCTGCTAAACGAGGGACGTATTGGTATCGCCGCCCAGATGACCGGTCTAGCACTTGGCGCCTGGGAAAACGCCGCACAGTAAGTCTGATACCAGGACAACCTCGGTCTCCACGCTTCTTGAACCCAAAGTACTCATACATGCGAACAGATACGTCTGGAACGACCGTCGCCAATTCGGTCAACTCATCGGCGAGTTCCAAGGCATGCAGCACCAAATTGCGCAAGCCTACACCGAAATTGCCGCCGCCCGCGCCCTGGTTTTTAACGCTGCTCGTAAGAAGGAAGCTGGCCAGGACTTCGTACAAGACGCTGCCATGGCCAAGCTTTACGCCTCGCAAGTAGCCGGCCGCGTCGCTGGATCTGCTGTCGAATGGATGGGCGGCATGGGTTTCGTCCGCGAAGGAATTGCGGAGAAGATGTTCCGGGATAGCAAGATCGGAGCCATCTACGAGGGAACGAGTAACATCCAGCTGCAGACAATTGCAAAGTTGCTGCAGAAGCAGTACACACGCTGAATGAGAAAATCTCGTTTACATACTATACTGGCTTGTCCGGTATGCGGCTGGGAGAAGATGGTGAACTGGGCCGGGCTGTATCTGGATGTAGCTGTGCTGGACACTCCGACCGCGGAACATGCCAATACTACGGGTCTCGAACAAGCCCCTGTATACATATTTCATTCTGTTCAATGAATTCGGGAAGCCCGTTTTGACGATGATATGCCTGAAACGATATTTCTAGGTAAAGGAATAGTACTAGAACAGCGAAGTGCCTATAGAGGGAAGATAGGCAATACCGCAATAGCACATTTGAACTGGGTATCTATCATCTATACTATACAATACAATAGAATCATAACGATTTACCCTCCGATCTCCACTGCCTAACGTCTTTCTCCACCGAGTTATACTCCGTATGCTCAGGGGTGGCGCATAAGGATATTTTTTCCGCCCACTTATACATGCGCTTTGAATGACGTCAATCCCTCTTATCCCAGGAATGAAGGCACGTTCCTTGTACACTGATAACCGTTTAGAACCCGTGTCACCCAAGAGTTCGAAATCGACCATGCCGCAGGCAACCAAATGCCAACCCCGAATGCGGACGAAGATCGGCTGAGCAAGCAAGCACCTGTTGGCCTTAGATAAACCTGGCAGAAAATTTTGCCTATTTCACCGAGGGGAGAATATAATTTCGATTGCATCGACTCGTGACATGTGCCGCCAAGATGATTAAGCGGTTGTTGGCGTCAGATACCGAGGAACGATCGATGAGATGTGGCAGAGTATCTGGAGGGCGGGTTTCTGAGGGTGTGATTGTAGGCCATACTGCTCGAAGCGCGATTAGCAGAGTGAGTGAGTATTGAGGCATTGAAGGACTTACATATACGGCTGATTTGATGCGAGATCTGTCCTCGCATGACCTGACAAGTTCGACCATTTGTTTTTTTATTTCTGGTGTCTTGCCATAGCCTCCATGTTTTTCCAAAGTCCCAGCTCCTCTGGGAACTCGTTTACTGATCACGACCGGGGAACCCAGTCATATTCATACCCACTCCTCTGAATTTGGGCGGGATGGGTCGGTAGCTGTTGATATTGTGGCGGTGGATGTAGCGTGGGATACGGGGCGGTCTGACTTTCTGATGGTGCTGATACTGGTCGCTGAGCGGACTCGTAGGAGACTTCCGGAAGATGTTGGTGATGGGGTGGTAACTCTAACCCAGCCGGCCGGCCAGGATTCGGGCCGTGATACACCTGCTGGTACGGTTGCTGGAAAGCGGGCTCGGGTAGATGCGCAGTACCCTGAGAGTGATACGCAATGTGAGGATGCTGGTCGGCCATCGACACCGGGACTGGAGACGGGCCTTCGAAAGCCCAGGGCTCAACTTTGACCGGATACCCGGGTTCGACTTTAACGGGATACTCGGTATCGGAGGACTCGCATTTTGAGGAAGAGCGAGTTGAGCTGTAAGGTGGCCACTCACGCGAAGTCGAAATCTGACTTGATGTCGATAGAGCTGACGGCGTCCTGGATGTTGGGTTCGGACCTAGAGCATCGGGGTATTGAGGAGATGGCATGAGCGACGCCGGTTGTTGGCTGTAAGGCTCTTCTACCCGCCAGTCGACGAGAGTCAGCATGTTGAAATTGAGGCAATTTGTCTAGTAGAAGACGACAGATGCAAGCTCACCGATGTTCTGATACCCTGGACTTCCCGTTGCCATAGATAATTGATGTCTCAATGCGCGGATCTCAGTCTCTAATAGAGCATTCCTCCGCATAATCTCGTCGAATTTGTCGCCCTTGGCTCTAAGCTCGGCCACTTGAAGTTCCAGTCGCTCAATGTGCTCTCTTGTTCGCTGTCGAATTGTTCTCTGGGCCTCACGATCATTGGCGCGCTTCCTCTCCAGTTGCTCTGCGGTGAGCGACGTTACTCTACGTGTCCCAGCCCGAGTCTCTTTCTTCTTAGACTGGGAGGAGTCTTGGTTGGAGCACATTCTGGCTCCGATTCGAGTCTCGCTCGAGGGGTTTGATAGGTATGGTTCTCTCGCTCGGGGTTGGCCTTGATGCGATGTAAGAACACTACCTACATCCCAGAGCTGTGCGCCACAGATGCCGGGTTTCACTTGTTGCTACCGCAGTTATAGTCGTGCCATGTGTGTGGGCTGTGGTAAGATGAAGACTAGCGCTGCACCAGAGGAGAACAGATGAAAGAGGCCGAACAAAGAACTAGCAAGATGGAGAGGGGTCAGGAAAGGATAAATAAACGGAGCCCCATCGCAGGTGCGGTGCTAGACAAAGATAAAGGGATCTGCCCCAGTGTAACTTAGTAAGCCACTGGAAACTCGCGGATGTCGACAGCTGAGATCGGCTCGGACTTAGGCCGTATGGTGCTTGGAGGCTTGGACCAAAATCTGAGCACAATCTGAAGCAGCCACCCGATCAGTAGTTTGAATAATAACGTCAATTATTATTATCGATCGTTAATCGGTTTGGATCCCAACGACATTATTAAGCATTAGTAGGTTCTGAGAGTTTGGGGCTCTGGGGCCGGGATATTCCGTGGATACTGACTTCCCAAGATAAACAGCCCTCAGGTGCACAAGGCACCAATCGACATGCACACAGGACGAAAGATACCCTGGAAAATGGTGGCAAATGCGACTGCGAGCAGAACGTTTCTTCCAAGGAGCTACTGCTATGGGTCCGCGCTATGGAATCCTCCGACAAACCCACCCACGGAGGTAAACATGCCCTAGTTCCCAACTGGAAATGATACTCTGTACAAATAGAGGACTTGCTCTGTTGATTAGAGTTGGCCTGTGTGGCTCTGCGGAGCTAATATGAGACCCGATGTTGATCGTGCTCCGTAAAATCGAGGAAAACGATACCGTTTGGCTGTCGGTATGTCTTCCCCGATCTGCATTCCGGGGCTCAAGAGAACTGTATTGTGTGCAAAGTACCATGCTTGTACGCCAGCCGATTGCATCCCATGAACGCAATAATCAAGGGCAACGAATCGGTAGCGTCGGTGTACGATGTTTACCCGAGCCACATGGCTGAAAGTGGCGAAAAACGAATCCAGCAGCTAGACCCTTGAGTTCCATGGCTCAGTCCCGCCAGAACTCGGAATGGCATCGAAATCTGATATATTTGGCGAGGAAGTATATGCTGCTGTCTGCGACGGGACCTCGTGTAAGGACCCTTAGAGACAGGTGTCAACAAGTTGCCCTGGACGGTTGGAATACTGAGTCGCGCTGCCCTGTCCTATTCCATCAGCCATATCCTTCCATCAACTGATTACTTCACATATCACATAGATGATGGATTTTGCAATTTCCAGACCATTGCTTCTTCGCACATAGAGAGTAGAGAGTATCGCCGGCGTAATTACTCCGTAGTAACACTACGTAGTACTACGGGTAGTCGGGTACCGGATGATTGAAGAAATCGAGTCCACAGATCTGTAACCTTGGCGGCCACAAACCTGTCCGAACCACTAAGGTTGAGCGAATCCTAAGAGGTCCTCGCAAGCGGTGACTGCTAAGAGGCCGAGGTTGGCTAGTCTTTGTTAGAGATCATAAGAGGCCTGGGGCCGGCATGCTTCCGTGTCTGATGTTTCCATCGTCGAATCTTGGAAGAGCGCGACTAGAGGTTCTAGAACCGTGGATTGAGCCACGCGCGCGGAAGGTGTAAGCCGACTCCACACTGTTTGAATCTCAAGGTGCTGTAGGTTGCCTGGCGGTAGCAGAGCATCGTATCATCAACACCATCAGCCGTAAGGTGCAGGATAAAAATGTGCTCATCTGCCTTCAATACTATCCTCTATGGCGCGTGGTAGCACCGGGCCTTGTGGCTGAGATCCGAATTCAAAATCATAGCTGTAGGATGAGGAAAGCATCGCTAGAATATAGGTAAGTGGGGATTGGGCAAAGGGACAAAGGCTAAAAGCCAATGACAACAGTTCCTTCAGCCATGCAATGACGTACGGAACATTTTCCGCCCGATCTCTTCGATGATCTGTTCCTGTCACGTAGTTGTCGAGTCGACTCATTTATTATTTCAGTCTCAAACTCCAGACAGCGGAGGCCGCGAAGCGAGCCAGGCGACTAATCATTCTCGCAATATTCCAGAAAAAAACCTGACTCAATTGCTCTTCATGTTCATCCTTCATGAATCATGGTTCGTCCGCTAGGGCGCCCAGCCTCTTTTTCCCGAAGTACCACCGAACTTTGTCACCGCGTAGCGTACCACTGATCACTTGTAACTCTCTGATACAGATATTCGTCGCCCAAAGCTCTTGATGGCTCACCCAATAATTGTCGAAGATGACACTGGTCACTGGGTAGCTCGCGGGATTATGCGGAAATGAAGAACGGAGGATCTTCTCCAGCTCGTCTATCAGTACTTGAAAAAGACAAAGGTATCTGATATGTAGATACTTCGGTGAACCCAGATATTCCGAAGCATGTTGCAGTGTACTCTGACGGATGCTCTGGCGTACATCGGTGTGTACTACAGAGTACACTATACACATGTCTTAGTATTCGTAGATGTGGACCTGAAAACTTCATGACGAGAGAAGAAAGAGGCTGGTCGCTGAGCAAGCATGAAACATGATATACTCGAAACCGTTGCCCCCCGTGGTTGCGCGCGCTTTCTTGTTTGTGCCAGGGTCACATACACACGGTTGTGACATGATTAGCAGTAGATACGTCGAAGATAGCAGTGATGGACGCTTACTGCTTTCACTTCATACCGTATCCCGTTGGACTTCTGAGCGACAACTCAACAGGCGGAAGTCTAACAGGCGTGAGCAACACGCTTGCTGTACGCGGTACCTATATTCGGTAGCTCTCCATAATAGGCATCGGGAAAACAACCTTGGAAGGGATCGCGTGGCGCTCATAGTTCGCAGCTAGACAGTTGACTCCATATGCTAACTCCACGTGTTCAGCAGGCAAAGCTAAATATACGGAGTACGGAGGTATGGACTAAAATAGCCAGCGTGAGGGTTGATTTCGTGACGAGTTTCCCAATCTCAGTCCAAGCTCCGCTGACTTAGGTACCACTCAGAGAGTCGGAGAATCAGAATCAAGATCGCTGGCTTTCCCTCCGATGGTTTTCTCCGGAACGCCATATTAATCGAACCAGACGATCGATCACCCCGCTGGAGCAGTATTTGGAATCAGCTTATCCGCTCGATCGATCTCGTGGATCGGGTGCAGATGGTATATTTGCTCTTCCAAGGTCGGAAACATGCTCGCGCAGCAGCAGCTAGCATCTAGCGATGTCTTCGGAATAGAATTCCAGAACAATCGACTCAAGTGTTCTTTGCGTTTCCGGTGTGGGGTGAGACCGTGAGATAGTCGACGAGGCCAGATTGCTGAGCTCGTGAGAGTCACCAATCCAATCGTCAATGTCGAATTTCGGACAGGATATGGTGATTAGGACGCTCTGCTGCAAGATGGATGTTGTTGCAGCTGATGAAAGTCGTGCCACCAGCGTTGAAACACCACTTGGGCAGACGGGACGCTGCTGTATACTCTGGGGAAAGCATGGTAATAGAATTACCTTATCGTTACCACTGGTCAGGTGGGAAGCGGCACTAGTACTCGTAATCCTAGAACGCGGAAAATGACAGATGGCAATGTCATTCAGGAACAACTCGACTTTCTGTTCACATTCCCACAGCTGTAAAGCTGAACAACGATGACCATTGACGACCGTCAAGTCGCGCAATAATATTGACGCTGTGCCGGCCTGTCAAAATGGACCCAGACTACAAATCTCGTAAGGAGGCATTCGTGTCCAACCTGGCCGGAGGGAGCATTCTGGAGATCAATGCAGTGACCCTCGTTGCTCCTGTTAGTTTTAGATCCATTGCCTTCGTTGCTCCAGCACACTGACGCATTGCAAACAAACAGGCCTCCGTCTTCCTCTGGTCGGTGCTACAATCCCGACTCTCTTTCTTTACACCTTACGGTCCCTCCGCTCTCATCGCCGACTTCTTGCTTAACGTATTGGCCATTTTGTTCGCCACGACCTTCTATTCTTCCGCTCCATGGCTCCTGAATATTCTCCTGGTATCTCCGGCTATTCTAGTCATACTGAACTCACGGCCTCGTCGGACACAAACAAAGGCAAAGCCACCGCAGACCGCAGCCTCGCAACATGAGACAAGAGCGTTACCCACCCACCCTTTCCTCACCACCTACCGAGCAGCAATGATGATTATCACCTGCATCGCTATATTAGCGGTTGACTTTCGTGTCTTTCCTCGCCGCTTCGCCAAAGCAGAGAACTGGGGTACCTCGTTGATGGATCTGGGTGTCGGTTCTTTCGTGTTCTCGGGAGGGGTGGTATCCGCGCGCTCTGTGCTCAAGAGCCAGGAGGCCGGCGCATCGCCGAAGAAAACATTTACACAGCGATTTGCCTCGTCAATACGCCACTCGGTCCCGCTTATCGTTTTGGGACTGGTCCGTCTTTATAGCGTGAAGAATTTGGACTACGCCGAACATGTCACCGAATACGGCGTGCATTGGAATTTCTTCTTCACATTGGGATTCTTACCCCCATTTGTGGAGATCTTCGAGGGCTTGGCCACACTCATTCCATCGTATGAGGTTCTCTCGCTTGGGGTTGCTGTGCTTTACCAAGTGGCGCTTGAATCGACCGACCTGAAGGGTTATATCCTTGTCTCCCCTCGAGGGTCTGATTTGCTGTCGAAGAACCGTGAAGGAGTCTTCTCCTTCCTGGGGTACTTGGCCATCTTTCTTGCGGGACGTGCTACCGGGATTCGAATCATCCCAAGCGGGATATCTCCTTCAACGACTCCGCAACAAGCCCGGAAGCGCGTGCTTATTAGTGTAGGGCTACAAGCACTAGGCTGCGTAGCGTTGTTTGCGCTGAACTCGACCTATTTCCTAGGGTATGGAGCCAACATCCCCGTCTCCCGGCGTCTCGCCAATATGCCGTACGTCCTGTGGGTTGCAGCTTTCAACAACGCCCAGCTATTTCTTTTCTGCCTCATTGAAACTGTGTTTTTCCCTTCGGCCCACCGAGCGTTGGCATCGGGAAGGAATGAGGGAGTGGAACAGACAGCTTTCGCGACGAGCCCAATCATGAAGGCCTTTAATCGCGGAGGACTAGCTGTTTTCTTGATTGCCAACCTCCTTACTGGCGCGGTCAATCTGACTGTCCCGACACTCGATGTGAGTAATTCTCAAGCCATGATCATCTTGATCGGGTATGCCGCCGTAATTACAGGGGTCGCTCTGGGACTCGACAAGGCAAATATCAAGATATCGCTTTGAGCGTCCGACCTGTACCGGCGCCTGCACCATGCGTACTGAAGCACTTAGACCTCATGTTCTTGTATAAAACGAGCTATAACCTTCATTGTAGTTATATTTGAGGCTGACTCGCCTCACACATTGTGCTACAACGAACCTCGGTTACACGGCCGTTACACGGCCAGGGATCCTCGAGTATGAATGTGGCGATTGACAGCCAAAGCCCATACTATATCCGCCGAGAAAGACAAGGTTGCATGCTTTTTATTATGATGCAATAGAATATTCTGGCCATCGCTGGACATGGAGAACAAAAGAACAGGCATAACCAAGAATCACATGCAAAAAGCAAATAAAAATGGGGTAGCTGGAGCTTATCCCAAGCTTCAGCTCCGTCTGACGCTCCACCTCCCAGTTCCCTCTCCAACCTCAGTCGCTGCCCACGTACATCATGGCATCTAGAAAGGGGGATGTCCCCTTCATCAACTACCCAGAGATTCGCGAAGGCCCTTCGCTGCCCTACAAGAATGAAGACCAGTCCATCCCGGTTTTCCGTGGAACGCCGCTGGTCATCGGAGCTTCGCTGTGAGAAATGTTCCTTTCAAAGCTTCCGCTTAAAACTGACGCGCCCCCGCACCCAGCATTGCAAGCGTTGGCTTTGTCCAGAGCTTCTTTTGGCGCAACGCAGGCTTCGGTGTCATTCGCGAAATCCCCAACCTGGACCAGTGGCCCGCCCGCTACGATCCGACCGTCATCCCCGTCCACACCGGTGAGCAGGCTACGCCAAGCGCCGCAAGTCTCCCCGCACCGGAGGCGAGGAGAAAAGGGAAAGCAGGCTACTACACCGCCGCCGACTACCATGCTCTCTACAAGTCAGGGGATGTGACCCCAACAGCGGTCGTGGACTCTCTCCTCTCCGTGACCCGTCGCGACACGAAACCACCCGGGAAGCATTCGGTTGCATTTCTGGAATGCGCGGTTGAGAAAGTCCGCGCTGCGGCTGCGGCGTCCACGCAAAGATACAAGGATGGCAAGCATTTGGGCCCATTAGATGGTGTCCCGGTTACGGTCAAGGACGAGGTGCATATGGAAGGCTACCGACGGACGCTCGGTACGAAGATGGACTTTACAGGCGAGTTCGCCGGGTCGACATCCTGGTGTGTCAAGAAGTGGGAGGAAGCAGGTGCCATAGTCATCGGAAAGTCGACTATGCATGAGCTGGGCCTGGGTGAGTTTGCAATTACTCCAGACCAGACCCCGAATACCCAAGCTAACAGCAAGCAGACACGACAAACAACAACCCCAACTTCGGCACTCCCAAGAACCCCCACAACCCTCAATACTACTGCGGCGGCTCGTCCGGCGGCTCCGGCTACGCCGTCGGCGCAGGTCTCGTCCCCATCGCCCTAGGCGCAGACGGCGGAGGCTCAATCCGCATCCCCTCGTCCTTCTGCGGAGTCTGGGGTCTCAAGCCCTCGCACAGCCGCGTTAGCGGCTCCCCAACCGTCGGTCTCGCCTGCACAGTCGGCGTACTAGGCCCCATCGCCGCCAGTATCGACGACCTAGCCCTAGCCTACAGAATCATGGCAGCGCCCGCCATCCCCTCGGAAGACGCCAGGTCCGGCGCCTTCCCTGACCCCCTCGCTGAGCTGAATCTAGCGCCCGCTGAATCCCGCCCCAAGAATAAAACGCTCGGCATCATGCGCGACTGGATCGACCGCGCCGAGCCCGCCGTGCGCAAGGTCTTCGACCAGGCCCTCGACTTCTACCGCAACCAGGGCTACACTGTCATCGACATCTCGATCCCCTACATCCCCGAAGGCGCCCGCGCACACGTTCTGACCATCATGGCCGAGATCTCCTCGGGCCTCTCGTCTGATCAGATCAAGAACCTGACCGCGCCCAATAAGGTCCTAGTCTCAATGGGTATGCACCAGATCTCCTCCCAGGACTTCCTTGCCGCGCAGCGTCTCCGCGGCCTTATCATGTCCCATCTTGCTTTTCTCTTCCAGAAGCACCCTGGCCTGCTCATATTTACGCCTACCACTCCGATCCCCGGGTGGAAGATTGCCGGTGGAGATGCGGATCTAGCCCGCGGGGTGTCGGACGGGAAGTCCTCTGTGAGGAACATGGAGTATGTCTGGCTGGGAAACTTTACCGGCTGCCCGGCTATCTCTTGCCCTGCGGGCTACGCGGAGGACAACGGACACCGCGTGCCGATTGGTGTTATGGCTATGGGAGAGTGGGGGAGTGAGGAGGACCTTATTGCGTTCGCGAGGGATGGAGAGGGAATCTTGGATCTTCCTGAAAACAAAGCGCCCGCAGTGGAGTCTGGTGAGCAAACTACGGGTTTGACGATTCCGCGTGGTGCGGAGTCAGTGTGGGAGGATGTTATTGCGAATGCTCAAGCGTTGGGTTAGGTAGCATATTCAACTCGACCACAAGGATACAGATACCCCCAGCCATGTCTTGGAATAATTGAGAATGAGCATAATGAAGTTGTCTAGTTTCTAACCTTGCAAACAATGAATATAATACATAACTCATCGCATCGCAAACGGCTGATCATAATGTTATAACCCAACGCCCCCAAGAAAATGACGCCAACCCGATCAAACCTATGCGCCGTCGCTAAACCATAATGATGATTATACAGCCTGGGAAAACCAGGTATGTGGTGTTCATGCCACTGCCGATGCACTTTTCGAACAAATTCGAGTGCAGTAGCAGTATCATGGTCAGAAATAAATGCTCTCGCCGCGCTTAGGAACGTGAAAATCACAACCCAGCCGATTCATCTGCCCGACATCGATCAACTCTTGGAGGATTGTCTCGGCGGCGTCTTCCTCGTCCTGCAAAAGTTCCTTCACATGGATGACATACACCGAAAGACCAGTCAAGGGCTTTTGGGCTTCGGGAACATCCCTAGTTTCGCTTGCCCTTTTGTGAAGAGTCTGGCTATCTATGTCGATGGGAATTGACTCCGAGGATCCGGTGGCCTGTTGAAACCGGCCTTCCGAGAGCGCGCGCTTCTTGCTGCTGCTTCGAAGAGACCCAGATTTGCCCTTACTACCTGCGCGGTCGCTTGGTCCATCCGCTCCGCTGGACTCAGCACTACTTTGCCGTTTGCGTTTATTATTCGGCGACCAGTCCATGCCCTTGATTCCAGCTACAAGTTCAGCTAGCTCGCACAACTCATTTCCCAGGTGGCGCGGGCAAAGGTGGCCAAAGAGGTATAGATCATCAATAGCATCCGTGTAAGAACATTCGATGAAAATGGCACGCAGGTTGCCAGAAGCCACCTTCGGCGCAGCGATGTCCCAGATCTCCTTATTGCGCGGATTGAGAGATATCGAATCTGGCTCAACGTCGCCGAAGATGATGATTTCTTTCCCGGTCTTCTGGTCGCGGAGGAAAAACGCTGAGCTTTCGACAGCGGTATAGAATGCTTCTTGTCCTGAAGACGATTGTCGAGCACGACTTGGAATACTGGATATTGTTAGTCTAGTTCTTTGCAAGGATATTGAAGCGAGCCACTTACGATCCCATGTCTTGTCCACGCTGCTCCTCTGCAGGAGTGCTCGAGCTGCGGCGCTCTTCAATAGCGTACGTCCTAGTACCCGTCTTTACCTTGCATTTCCCATGGCTGACACCGAGACCTCGAGCAAGCAATCCTGACCCAACTTCAATATAACCACTCTCCTCACCGTGGCCCAACATGGGATTTCCACCATCAGCGAGGCGCTGATACGAAATCAATCCAACGCCCTCGTCCTCATCGGAGAGATTCGGCCAGATCAAGTTGTTGAAGATGTGGTTTTTCATTGCCTCCACTACAGAGGGCAGCGCCGCGACGATCTTCGAAGTGTTTCCTTTAGTCAAAACCGGAAGGTTGATGGCCAAAGCTGACAAATGATCCAAGTGAGGGTGTGTGATTAGTATACGCCCGATAATCGTTTCGAAAATGTGCTTTGCGTTTGCACTAGCAGTTCTGTGTGGCAGATGTAACCCAACAAAGGGACCGGATGTGACCATGCTGTTCTCGGTTTGACACTGTTCCGCTGCATGAACAAGTCCGCCAAGCAGGGTACCTGCATCGACGGCGATCATGGAGTTCGGATTCCAGTTAGAAGATGTAGACCGGACAAGGATACCGGTAACTCTATCTTCACGAGGACCCCCTGTCGGACCCTAGAAAGAGAATCAGCCTTAGATCTCGGTGGTTTGCCAGGTGGCAGCGGGTAGATTCTTGGGAAAGGTATGTAATGGACAATGGATTCACCGCGGCAGGACTTACCAAGACGACAACATGTAAGGCAGATTGTGCTCCTTGACCAGTCGGAGAAGGTTGGGCCTGATCCTGGTCGTCCTCCTTCCCCTTGTCGTTTGAAGACTCCTTGTCAGCTGAATAATCTTGGTCTTCCCTAGATCCCTTGTCGATCTGTTTGTCCTTGTCAACATTTCCACCCTTGTCAACATGAGAGCCTTGGTCATCCTGAGAACCCCTGCCACCTTGGGACCCCTTGTCGGCATGCGAGCCCTTGGCGACATGCGAAATCTTGTCGTCAAGAGCACCTGCAGCAGGCTTCTTTGCTCTGCCAGAAACCCTGGGCTTATCTGCACTAAAAACAGTGCTGCTCTTCTTTTTTGGAGACATGGTCGATATGATCTTCACAGTCCGAGAACAAGCCTGGTGGATATGAGGCTAAGCTGGGGGGAATACCTGCAGCTGCAACTGCAGTAACCCGCTGACCAGGGTGCAGGAGGCGCTAATCGAAGAGTGGAACGGTTGAGCGCGGAGTAAGAGCTAGTGCAAGGTAAGCATATGCACAGTGCTCATGAAGCGGTAACCCACTACTGGAAAGATGCGTATAGTCCGGGGTGGGTTTGGTGGCTGGATTCTGGAACCTCGAAGCCGTAGATGTCTGAAACAAGGCGAGTAATGAGTCGCGGAACTAGCCGTCAACTCGACGATACAGTTTGTAGACAATATGATTGTAAAATGAGATGGATAACGAGAGAGCTTGATGGAGGGTGGGAGGCAGGGGAGAGTTGCCTGGCTGGGAGGAGAGAAAATTGAAGAGAAGACAAAGAAGGAGCGATTAATGGAGGCTCGTGCTGGTGCTCGCGCTGGTGCAGGTGCTGCGGAAAGTGTGGATCTGGCCAACTCAGTCCTGAGCACTTTGTATACTGGAGGTACGCCGTAGTGTATATTCCAGGGTGATAAGCATGTCATACATATGTAGTGTCTCCATCGAAGTATAGGCATCCCTGCGTTTTGCGGGGAAACAGGAAACTGGCCCTGTTCGTTTATCAACAGTCATGATTCGCAGTATGTGCGCCCGGCAGACGACTAGGCAAAGCGCGTCAACTCATTTGCTCATACGGTTTAAGTAATAGTAAGAGAGTTATATTGCATATCAAATAAACGAAGTCGACCTAGGCTGTTCCTTGGACAAACAATCAAATTATCCCAATGGCCCACAAACATTCCGAGAGCACCAGCCACCATTTGGCCTCTATGATACCCATACATGGCGTTATACCACCTCCCACTATCACTGAAGACACCTCTTGAGCCGCACATTAGCACCGACCTAGTGTCCGCTCGGTGCACTTTTCCATCCGATCATCCTTCGCTGTAACGTACTCCCAGCAGAAGCATACTACTAGGCGAAAAGATCCATCTGAGCATGTGGAACAATTGCAATCAGTCCAATCGGAGTTCACCATCACGATCCGCTGCTTTATCCAAGGCGTCCGTGATGCGCGACCCGCTACCCTCATAGAGAAGCGAATCATACACGGTCGCGCCCACGAAACAGCCAACGAAGGGGGCAAGCAGCGGCACCACAAAGTAGTAGTTGTCCGCCGTAAACACCTCCCTGCCGTATAGCAATGCCGAAAAGAGTCGGGGGCCAAAATCACGCGCTGGATTAATCGCCTGGAACGATGTTAGTCCGGAAAATCGGCAACAAGAGTCGGGAAACCGCTGATTAGCAAGCGAGATACGTACGTATCCTGTCTGCCAGCCCACAGCAGCGCCAATGGCAACCAGGAGCAGAAACATAGAGAGCTGCGGCGACTGGAAGCGGTGCGCGTTGGCAGGGTCGGATATGCTCAAGACGCCAAACATGAGTACGGACGCCCCGAGCACTTCATTGAAGACAGCCTCCCAATTCGAAGAGAAGAAGGCGGCCGGATAGGTGCAAAAGATACCGGCCGAGTGATGCCCGAGAGGACTGAGAATTGATCCTCCGGGGATCGTGTACTCGGGATCCCAGGCCTGGATAGCTGAACGGTAATTGATGTAGACGATGGCAGCACCCATAAAACCTCCCAAGAGCTGGGCTAGCAGCTTGCCTGGAAGTCTCCTCCACTGGTCAGGCTGTGGTCGCACTAAAGCCATGATGATTGAGATGGCTGGATTGCAGACCGGACTGGGATCGGCCAGGTAGCCGGACAGACAGACCGCTGCTGCCCAGGCCAGGTTGATCGAGAGCCAAGTACCATACTGGTAGTTGGAAAGCAGAGCCTGGGCAACCACTCCGTCGCCGATGACGATGATCAAGGCGGTCCCGAGAAACTCGGCCGCGTAAGGCTTGAGGCCTCGAGGCGAGATTTTCGAGAGAGAAAGGTGCATCTCGCGTGTATGAGCCTCGTCTTGGGACAGTTGTAAGGAAGAATGAGAGAGGGAAAAGGGAAGAGGAGGGGGATCGGCAGGGAATGCGTAGATATACGGTGTATCAATTCCTATCTGTCTTCCTCACCTACTGGAGGGCCTGCCCGAGAAACTGTGTTCGATTGCACCTATGATTGGTTCATTGTTTACTTGCGGAGCCGAAACAGGTTTACGGAGTAGATCTGTCTCAAGCTATTCGCAGGGCTTGACCGGCCCGAGTGATGCAACTCCGCCGCAACGGTGACGAGTCTGACGACAGGGATATCATTGATGAGGCTGAGGAGGTATAGAAAGCCGCGTGGCTAGTGTAAAAAACGCAAAAAAAAAGACACAACGCCATAAACCACCGTGGGCTCCGAATGAGTTCATAAGATACATTAGTCGTTTCAACCTTCCTTCCCGGACACCAAGGAGCGACAAGTCAGAGCCAAGTTCGCGATAAGATAACCAGTCCTGTACATGTAAATATAACACGGCCCTTTCGACCGAGTGACCACGCAAAAGGCCACTAACAGAATCCCGCCCATCAGAACGCCGACCCCCACCCGCTAGAACTCAGAATCTAGAAGTATAAACCGGAAAATCCCATGCATATTTGAGTTAGTGTGTGCGCGAGTCGTTGTCATCTGGATTGCCGACAGCAGCATCGTAGCTGGGAATAGGCGGTTGATCCTCACGAGGGAAGTCTCGGCTGGTTCTCGGGCTCCCATCAGGGCTGGTATATTCCGGGGGTGGAACCTGCTCCAACTCATCCGAAGTGATTAGAGGGACCTGCTCAGGATTGCTGGCACCTGTTCGACTTGACCCTTCTCCGGCATCTTCATGTGAGGGGATGTGCGCGAGCGGGGCGAGGGAGATATCGGTTGGTGATCGGATAGGCCCAGGACTGACGGCTGGTGGTATCCGAACAGTTGAGCTTGTTTGCGCATAGCTGGGGTCTTGGTAGACCCGATGCGCCAAGTGGGCGGCACTTTCTCGGCCGGACTCGAGAAGAATGCTGCCTTGTTCACTTCCATAGGGTGGAGGAGGTGCTAGGCTACCAGTCATTGGCGCCAGACCCCATTTTTTGACATTGGCCTCGATGAATACGAATCCCATCTGACCAAAGTTCACGTGTACAGTGCAGGGTCCAGTAGCCCCGACCGTAGGGAAGAAATTTTGCGATTTCTGGCCGTGAACCACGTCTTCCAGCTTCTTGCCATTGCGAGTAAAGAATATTGTCCCAGACCGGGAACGGTACCCGACTCCAACAACATCGCCTTGTGTGAGTTGAGGTCCATACGGTAGCGAAGTAAAGGGCTGATTATACCTCCGATGGCCGGTGGACTCATATGCAACTGATGCTTTGTGGTAACCTATAACAGTTAGCTATTTTTAGATGTCGTACAGTCCAAGGCTGGCGAACATACCAGGTAATCTGAATAGAGGATATGGCTTCGTAGACATGCCGATGCTGATAAGGCTAGTCTCGGGCTTGTCATAGATCTTTGCCTCCCAATAGTAAACGTCGTTCTGTTTAGGAACCGGTAGGTTCGTTTGAACACTGCATATTGAATCGTAGAACTCGATCTCTGTTCGACCTTCCACAAAACAATTGGCTATTTCTAGTTCCGGCTGGAACTCCCACGCTGAGACGCCCTTTTCTTGAATCGCGAGGAACTGGGATAACGAAATGTCGGTCTGCGTTGACTGGGGCGGATTGGCTTCGACAAACGCTGTATCATACGATTAGCTGCTGTTGCAGGTAACATTAACGAACAAAGGATCGTAGCAAAACCCACCCTTCGACCTCAAGTACTCCGACCTCGACAGGTCATCCATAACTTCGAGGGCCTCGGCCTCTTCGCGCAAAAATGCCTGCTCATCGTCGAATTCACCCGGGCGGCCCATACGATCTAGAAGAATCCGACCACGCTGGGTATACTTGAAAAAGAAGAAAGCCGCAAGTACGAGCACCGCGACTGCTGCCGAGCCAAAGGCGGATAAAACACCGATCAAAATACCCTTCCCGGTCGAGTTACCACTGACACTTATCGCACCATCATTGCCCTGATCCCAAGATGCCTCTGGCATCCCACGTGCAAGTTTCGTTGCGACATGTTGCTGGTCGAATATAGGCGACGTATGGATGTTCGTTTGAGAAGATGGAAGGCTCGTTCCAATGGAAGTCGCAAGGGTCGAGGGAGCATCCCAAAAAGCACCGGGCACCGATGCCTCAGATCCCCGCATCGTTCATTGACTGGGAAAGTGGCCTTCGTCGATAAGGCGTGCAAGATATTGGAGTGCTGATGCAGGAATTCGGAAGAATGAAAGGCAAGACAAGATGACGCAAGCTAAACTGGATGAAACAGAGGATTGAAGAGTGAATGGGGATGGATGAGACGAAATGACGATCGAGCGAGGGCTGGGAAGTCTGGAAGTGGAAGACGGATCGGCGGGAAGAGTGGAAGTCGGTGGCCGGAACTTGGCGGGGGGGCGATAAAAATGGATCTCAGGCGCCAACCGTGGACGTTTTCGGGTCCTGGTCTATTGTCAACAATCCTGGGCTTCTGTTGGTTTATAGTCGGCGAAATCAAGGAGAAACCGGGTTGACCCTGGGATAGCAGCCCTTTGTCTCGACTGTCGAGGCCCTTTGTCGCCTTGCATTACAGTGTGTCAGTGGGAGCGCCATACTCCCTAAGCTCTAGGTGCCGCATCTACGGGAACGTCACCCTAGCGCCCCGTCGTCCTTATCATCCGGGCATCCCTCGCTCGTTTTCTCTGGCCTCACCGGAGTGTTCTCTCGTGCCCCATAGTGTTAGTTCTTGTGTGCCAACTAGGCCATACTTATCCTCGAGGATGCGAGTCTTAGATCTGTCCAAGCTTGACATCTCGCCTGATGACACTTGCGACATCCGCATCACAGTCGAGACCGACTCCGAGTGCGACAAGTATCCAGGTACGTGCCGAGCCGACCCCCTAGGCCCCTTCTATCCAACCGTACACCTCCTTTCAAGAAGGAGTGCGCTTCTTTTCTAACGTGATATTTTCTTGCAGCAAAACAACATGCCCGCAAGGTTGCTGCAAAACTAGGGGTCCGCGACGGACTTATCTATCTCGTCGGCAAGGCTACCATTAACTGGGGAGACTCGGACCAACCGCGTCCTTTCCGGCAGAGGCGTTACTTTTATTACCTGAGTGGTGTCGAAGAGGCGGATTGCTACCTGACGTACGACATTCGCAACGATCTTTTGACACTCTACGTTCCAAATTTCAGCCTGCAGCACGCGATATGGATGGGCCCTACACTAACTGTGGACGAGGCACGGCTACGATACGACGCAGACCGCTTCCGCTACTTCGCAGCTTTACGCGGTGATCTGAATGCGTGGGTGGACCAATACAACAAAGACAGTCCGATCTACATCCTCCATAGCACCCAGAAGCCCGAAATCTCGTCAGAGGGGCTTCTACTGGACGACACGTCACTGATACCCGCAATGAATGCAGCAAGAGAGGTGAAGGACGAATATGAGATCCGAATGATTCGCAAAGCTAACGAGGTCTCTGCCCTTGCGCACCGAAACATACTCGAGAATATCCACCGCATGTCAAACGAGGGTGAAATCGAAGGGCTGTTCCTGGACACTTGTGTCTCCCATGGTTCCAAGAACCAGTCTTATGAAATAATCGCTGGGTCCGGACCTAACGCAGCAGTGCTTCACTATGTGAAAAACGACGAGGACTTCAACGAGAGACAGCTTGTCTGTCTTGATGCCGGCGCAGAATGGAACTGCTACGCGAGTGATGTCACTCGCACAATTCCCCTCGGAAAAGACTGGCCCAGTGCGCACGCGAAAGACATCTACGCCATTGTAGAAGAGATGCAGGAGGAATGCATCAAACGCGTTAGGCCTGGGTTGCGATTCCGGGACTTGCAAGAGCTGGCGCATGTCATCGCCATCAAAGGGCTGCAAAGACTCGGAGTCCTCAAAATTGGAACTGTAGAAGAAATCCGTCAATCAGGAGCATCTTCCATTTTCTTTCCCCATGGTCTCGGCCACCATGTAGGATTGGAGGTCCATGATGTATCGGCACAGCCAATCACCGCTAATGGACACTGGCCCAGGGAGTTTGTACCTGAAATGAGTACTCCACTTCTTCAGGAGGGTATGGTGATTACCATCGAACCAGGGATTTATTTCAACAGACTTGCCCTGGAGAATGCTCGAAGACTGCCGTTGGCGAAGTACATTGACCTCGACAAGGCCGAGCAGTATATCCCCCTTGGCGGGGTGCGCATTGAGGATGATCTTCTGGTCACCAGCACGGGGTACGAAAACTTGACAACCGCGCCGAAAGGCAAGGAGATGTTAGAGATTATCCGTGGCCACAGGGAGTAAACCACCGATACTTGCTCATTGATGTCGTCTCATGATTGGGTTTACTGTAAGATGTGACACAACTCCAACATCGCCAAGTATCTAGGGGTTGCTCGTTACTAGCCCGAGGATCACTGGTAACCTTGTATATAGTCTAAATTATCCGCAACCACGAATACCCAGACAAGTACACACGGAACATTGTCCAACACATTCCCAGTTATCGCTCTTCGTTATCAAAAAAACGGTGCTACACAGCTCCTGAGGCCTACAGAAGACGGTTACACACGTGGCGCGTACCTACAGGATGTCCCATGCAGAGGACAAAATGCAAAAGGAAGCGAGCTGCGAAAGAGGACAGTTTCAGAGTCAGGCCACTATGCCAATCAATCAATCCACCATCATCTTCCTCACCCTTTCACTCTGTAGGATCAAGTAGCCACAGTCAGAGTTTTCCCCCCTTGCGCCATTGAATCATCCCACTGTCATCAGGAGACCGGAAATATTCGCCGCAGCCAAGGACCAAGGTACCCCGTCGCGAAATCTTGTGCTCCGTACACCGTACACAAGCCTCCAAGGTAGGTAGGAACGTTAGTAAGTCGTACCAAAAACCAGCAGGCTCGCGTCATCGATCGGATTCGGATCATCCAGGAACTTCCAGAACCTGATCTTGATCTCAGGAGGTCAGGAGTCAGTCAGTTCTGGACCTTGACAAATATGGGCCGGACCCATAGAGTCATTTATCACGTTTAGGTAAGACCGCAAGAAGCTCAGACATCAACTAGAGGAAGCTCAGGTGAAAAATTAGGTTGAAGTGCCGAATCCGAGCTCGCAAGGGAGAGTCCGGAGCGTACCCGGGAAACTCCGTAGACAGATGCAATGCAGCTCTTCGATGAGGCAATTTGGCACCATATAGTAATGCGATGCTACGGAGTAGTTGTCTAGCTTCTTGGGCTGCTGGGCATCGCCGCATCATGAAGGAAAGCTCGGGAAAGGGCAAAAATATGCAGCAAAGTGGGCCGGGGACCCGGGCATCCGTGAAAATCGTCCGGTGGGCCTGGCATGTTGTCTGCAATTTTTTCTCGCAGGGCCAGGCCGATGTAGGAGCTTCATCACCTGATTGGGCCATAGTGAGTCACACCATACGCTGCAGTCATTCTGCCATGGGATCCGTCATCGTCTCATGTTGTATATAAGGAGTTGGGCCTCCCTCTGCGGCTTCAAGCTCCCTTCCCTTTTCTCTCCTTTACCTCATCTCGTCCTTCTAAGGGGGTGATGGTCACTCCCCTCTTTGCCGTCTAGGGTACCTTCTATACTTCTATCGAGCTTTGTTTTGTTTTTCGTCTACATACTGTTCCTATACTTCCGCCGTGCCCTAGAGGACAGAGAGGGAAGGGGGAACAATCCAAAACGATTCCCCACCCAAAAGTTTCTGCGCTTCTTGTATAGAATGGGACATAAGCACAATCGACGACGAACTCGCCCTCGATCTCGAAAATCCTCCGTCAATACATCACCGCCTCCTGCTGCTATATCTTCTCCGGCCGATCTCGCCCGCGCTCAATCCTGTCCATACTCTTTCAACTGCATTGAAAACCGCCCTGCCTCCACCCGGCACTATAGGGGGTTGACATGGCAGCACAGTGAGCAACAGAAATCTGACGCAGCCATCATGGAGACTGAGCAATACCGACTTTTTGGAGGCGAGCCTGGGGACGACGTGGGCCTTTGCTATCGCATGCTCGAGTACTTCGGAGGACTCGATTATATCGACCCGTGAGTTTTTCGAAATCCGCCGTTATGAAGCGAAGCTCGATCTGACATTGCTTCGTTCGCCAGATTCCAAGACTTCAATCCCTTGCCTGGGTGAATATCACCTGAGGTATCCTGGGGAGCATCGTGACTATGATCCGTTGTGCTGTCGCCAGTGGTGGAATAAACAATTAAAAAAGAGCGGAATATCGATTCAACAACTTCGACGCGATTCGGATATCCGATACACTCATCCCTCGCCAAAACAAACCAACCGCGACAAATGGGAGGCAATCACGCTCCCAAGGCTTAGGCACCAGTTTACATGGGGCACCCAAGTCACCGACTTGTAGCAATGAAGATTCCTCGGGAATCGGATTGGTCTATTCAGACTTGGCCATGTGACTTCTGGTTTGAGAGCCCATGTCCTGGCGGCATTGAGGTGCGCTCCGACTAGACTTGTTCAATGGGTTGAGTTCGCGACCGGTCGGCCACTCTGGCGGGCTCGTTGACGCTTGAATTCCCCATCGGCAAGTCAAACGTCGGACATGTGCCTCATGCTCGCGTACTTAGTAGTACCATCGCAGGGCTTGTGGATCTTCACGCTTGTAGCCAGTCATCATCATCGGGAATCACGGCGAGGGGAATGTCAATTCAGTGGGCCAGCATGTTATGTGGTGTCTTTGCTCAGGGACACAATTAGCAGGCTCAGGACGTCGAACGTCAGAAATGTTTCGATCATCTGTATGCCAGATATTAGCGACCTTAGAGTACCAAGTACTTATGATCATGAATAATGAGTTAGAGAGAAAATGATAAAACATTAATTCACAATCATAGTGAGAGAACAGGTGTAACTGGAGACTGGAGTTAGAAACTTGGACCCTGAAGCAGTGAAGAGCGAATAGCCATTGTGGCCTTACCTTGAACTAGAAGGCGGTGTAGATAAGATGCCCCGTAAAGGACACGGTCTATCACAAAGCAACACCGGCAATAAGATAAGTCAATTCGCCCAAAGAGTTCACGGAGATGTTGCTGATCACCCTGTCTTCCACTCTCCCCCACTTCTGACCTTGTTGTTCTTGAATATTAATCTACCGACATATTTCCTTCAGTTTTGACCAATACCAAACCAACCTCAAGCCTTGCTCTAGAGTAAAAGACGCTCTGCCACAAAGTCGCCCACTGCGGGCAACCGTGTCCACTGAAATCGCTTCATCATGTCTACAGATTATACCTACGATGAACAGGTACGATTGCAAACTGATCGCAAGGATAAATTCTCGATGTCCTTGATTTCTAATGCGTCTTTTAGGGTCAATTCTTCCCGTTCTTCGTTTTGACGTTGACTGGTCTTGTCACTCTACCCTTGACATACAATCTCCTGAAACCGCCGAAAGGTATGGCTAGACGATTTCTTCGAGCTTCGCATGGCTCGCTGTTCTCTAACAACACTGCTGTTTCCTAGAACTCGAAAATACCGCTCCCCGAATACGGTCCAACTTCAAACCCGAACATGAAGACTTAATTGAGGCTCAGAAGCGGAAACGCCTCCGTAAGGAGCGCCGCATCAAGCGCATAGTTACTGTCGTTTTGGGATACACTATCATGGCGTATATGGCCTACTTGATTATGGTTACTGCCCGCGCATCGCCGAAGATCTGGGATCCCTATGACATCTTGGGTGTCTCGAGGGTAAGTACTTTCACCTTCGCCAGGTCTTACCAGTACTGACAGTTTCGATCATAGAGCGCCGACGAGCGGGCGATCTCCAAACACTACAAGCGTCTTTCTCTCATCTACCACCCCGACAAGATCCGGCCTGATCCCGCCAAGAATGAAACCGTCGAGATGCTCAACGAACGTTTCGTGGAACTCACCAAGGCCTACAAAGCCCTAACCGACGAAGAAGTGCGCAATAACTACCTTCAATATGGACATCCAGATGGCAAGCAGAGCTTCAGCATCGGTATTGCTCTTCCGCAATTCATCGTCACGGAAGGAAATGGAAAATATGTTCTTCTTGTTTACGGTTGCTTGCTTGGTGTGCTGCTGCCTTACATTGTCGGAAAATGGTGGTATGGCTCCCAGCGATACACCAAGGAAAGAGTTTACGTCGCTAGCGCGGGTAACATCTTCCGAGAGTACAAAGACGATATCACAGATGGTGGAATTGTTAATGCGCTTTCTTCCGGTGATGAATTCAAAGAGGTCATCCCAGCTCAAAAGGCTGAGTCGGGCTTGGCGAAACTTGAGCAAAAAGTACTTGCTGAAGGCAACAAGTTCCTCTCTGAGCAAGGCCGGGAAGTCATCAAGAGTCTAGACGATATCAGCAGAAGGAAGGCTTTGGCCTTGTTGTGGGCTTATTTGGGTCGTGTTGAATTGGATGACGCTACGCTGAACGGAGGTGAGTCGCTCTTCAATTATTGATAGGATACCTGCTGACTTCTATCTAGAAAAGTACGAAGTCGCACCAATTGCTCTGCGCTTGAATGAAGCATTCACTGCCGTTTCTCTCGCTTTTGGCAATCTTCGACCTCTTCTTGGGTCCTTCCGCACGTCTCAGAACCTGATCCAAGCTGTTGCGCCGGGATCATCTCCTCTCCTTCAACTTCCTCACTTCACAGACAAAGTTGTGCGGTCAGTAGAGGGCGAAGATGTCAAGAACCATTTCACTGTCCAGAAGTTCATGAAGATGTCAGAGGATAAGCGACGTTCCCTCACAGTTGGAGCTGGTCTTCTTTCCGAACAGCAGTACACGGCTGCCATCACCGTTGCCAAACAGCTGCCCGTTCTTCAGATCTCCAAGGCCTGGTTCAAGGTGATGGGCGAGAAAGTGATCACTCCCAGCAGTTTGGTCCAGCTTGTTGTGAAGGCCCGATTCATTCCGCCTGGATCTTCAAATGTCCCTGAAGCAGACCCCGCTGATCTCGAAGACATCGATCCCGAGGAGGGTGACCTGGACGCACTCATGGGTCGCGGGCCCTCCCGAAACCGGTCAGTGAAATTCGCAGACGGCCAAAACAACACCAACACCAACAAGAAGGTTCAACCGCCTCTCGCCAATGCACCATACCTTGCGCTCGATCACTCTCCACGATGGCAGATCTTCCTTGCCGACGGCAAGCAGGGCAAAATCGCCGTTCCCCCGTTCATTTTCACCACTTTTGAGAAGCCCTTGTTCGACGAATCAGGCAACCCTACGTACAATGTTCAGACCCTTAGGATGCAGTTCCAGGCACCTCCTCAAGTCGGGGACTTCCACTTCGTCATGCATATGGTTTGCGACAGCTACATCGGCCTCGATTCCCAGCTCGACATCACCCTCCACATCGATGATCCAGCCAAGGCAGCTGCTCTGGAGGAAGAAGATGATATCAGTGAACCCGATGAGGGTAAGTTAACACCCACTTTCCGCTCGCAGCTTAGAATCATTGCTAACATTATCTACCACAGACTCAATAGCCGGCCAGATGCAGGCGCTGAAGACCGGTCAGCCACCAAAGAAGGCCAAGAAGCCCGCAGACTCCAGCGAGGAGGAGAGCGACACCGAAGGCGACGAAGAAGATACCAGCGACACAAACACCGAAACTGATGTTGACGACTAAAATAAACAAACGCGATGCCCATCCAAATACAACCGTTAGTGACCGAGTGCAAATAAGTGTGGGTCCCTAACAAAAGGAGTCAAGAATACCCCTCGTCATGGAATGAATGATTATTGTTCTACGGACGGGTTTGAGACCATATCTTCGGAGTTTCATTGTCTTTTCTTCGTTTTTTTTTATCCATGTATTATTCTGCGAAACCTAAATTTCAGTTCATATCTTCGACGCTTTACTCTTTTTGCGCGTCTCATATGGTCATTGGGCTAAGATGCCAAGATCGTCTTTTGCGGATGTAGATCATGGCATGCATGCATGAGTTCGAAAATAGAGATTTTACTTTCTCAGACAGTCTACCCTTTACGCTTGCTTCGCAAAGTAGGTTGCCCATACGTAACTTGTAGGGTGATTAGTAGGGTTCTCGGCACCGGCCAGAACGGTGACTACTGATTTGGGAGATTCCTGGCTCCTATTGCCTGCTATAGACGAGTTAATCGGCTATTTGTCGCAATGAGACTTCGACTATAGCACAACAAGGGTGTTGCATCCAATACAGAAAGACCAAAAATAGACTTCAAGTAATTAGTCACAGAATACAGCCACAGACGCGAGTGGGTATATCCCAAAACAAATATTAACACAAAAAGTAGTTGGACAGGTGTATATTTCCAGGGGACATAGAACGGAGGGAGATCAGAATTAAGGTTAGCAGATTAGATTATGAGAGTCTCGACATATGGGGTATATAGCCGTTGATTCAGAAGGAGATCATCGCGGGAGACAAAGTCGTATTATTCACAAGAGTATGCCCACGCTGGTTGAAGGGGGGGCTGATAGATGGGTTGGTGGTCGGGGATATGGAGATTGTAGTTCTCGACGAGGCCGACGGGCAGACCAGCTGCTGTCACTCCCGTCACGGCGGGTAGGACCGAAGGCAGGACAGATGGGCCTGTGGTCACTATAGGCTGGAGGCGGTTGCCAGTCGGTTCCGGGGTGCAGCAGTAGAGATATGGATGCGCGAGTGGAGGGACAGGCGAGGGTATTGTGGTGGCACACTTGGGCTCACTTATAAGAGCCGGTATTTCCATAACCGTGGGTGGCATTGTTCCGCGAAAATCGGCTTGTGGGTAGCCGTGGTAGGGCTCAGGCTGGATAGTTTGGAGAGGCTGGAACTCCCACTTGATGGGGGCATGCTCGGCTGGAGATAGTTGAACGGGGCTGGTCAGGCTGGTTGGTATAGGATCAGGGGGCGTGACGGGCTCTGGTGATGGTTCTGTGGTTGCGCTGCAATCGGTTGAGCTTGATAGCACGCGTGGGTAGTGGAGGTCTTCGGTCTCTTCGCTCGCGGCTGCTTGGGCTGAATCCTCGGCCTGCTTAATCAGTCCCAAGCGGTCGAGGATCGCATGCGTGAGAGGGTATCCGTCGGGCGTCTCAACGAGAGGCTCGCCTGGAAATCCTTCCTTGCTAGCACAGAGCTTGTAAAGCCTTTGAAGTGCCTTGACGACGAGGGCGTGATTCGACTCCAGCATCTCGACGAATCTGCACATCAAATTCGGTTAGGGCCGTCAATTTACACTGAATTAAACGAAGGCGATTAGAAGAAGCCTCACCCTCGAGAGTAGACCTTCGTCTGAGTAGCTTTCCTCTCCCGGAATAGACAAGGGCGGTTGTATGATGAACAGCGACTGCAGGGCTGTTTCCCATCACACTGGCCGGATTAGCATTGGAGTAAACATAACTACAATTGCTAGAAGAAAATAAGCAAACCTTGGTCTTCTTGACTCTGCAATGATCGCATGCCTTTAGAACATGCTTGCGCTTCACCCGAAAGACCCGTTGATCATGCCTCTCCTCGCCCAAAGATATGCGAGAATCGAACTGTGACAGAGACGGCACGGTAGAGAAGCCATATATAGCATCTGGGTATCCCGCTATATGTGACTTTGGACGTAGTTTAGGCTGTCTTAACATTTCGTTGGACATGAAGGTACGGCAAGAAACAGGCTCGGAGAGTATGAGATGATATAGCTGTTTATCTGATGAGCCGAGAATGTTGATAGGCCCGGGAGCTGCCTCTTGACTGGTCACTGCGCGCAGCTTGAAATGAGGGGTAGACGTAGATTAGGTATGCGCTTGCCACTGGGCAGACCGTCTCCCACCCAGGAGGCAGGTTCATGCCAGCGACATGTCATTTGAAGCAGGCGGCGGCTGACAGATCGTGCCAAATATTGAATGAAGATCATGGTTTGCATCCCAGGAAGCTAGCTCTTGTGCAGTCGCCCCGCAAATGCAGCCGACAATCGTTCCCCAGTTGAATATCTAGACCCGTAGAGACAAAGCCTGAGGGTGACGTGGATCGAGCTGGTCTGCTATTACTGGTCTGTTACAATATGGACCGGTACTATCATTTGTTATGCGTCCATCTTTTCGGGCTATGACAGCCTCGTGGATAGTCAATGCTGCCCCATTGACAACCTTGAATCAAGGCCTTGAGTTTGCAGCATTGCCTCAAGAGAGATTGACGACATAGAGTATACCGGTACAGGACACTGGACTCGCTGCGATTGACGCGAAAGAGACCGTTGATGTTTGTAGTTCAAATCACACAGCAAACTCCACTAATACTCAGAGCACCTCTCATTCACACGCCCTGGTCTGTTGACTTGGGCGGCGAAACCCAGAGTAAGCATCAAGTTTGGTGGATGAAGTGGTGAACGCCACCACTAGGTTAGGACATGGATGTTGTAGATCCTTCTTGCCTCATCGCGCAGATTCACGATCATGGGTTCTCATTTTTGTGTCTCTCAGTGTGTAGCATATCCTGGCATCTCGAATACAGAATTGCTCGACCGGGGGAACCCATGTACCGCGGCAGTCGAAATCTGACAGGTAGAAGCATAATGAAGAAACCGGGACCACTCGCTGTCTTACAGGCGCCTATCGGTGGGTAAGACGGTTGCCATTGGGGCACATACGGCAATAATCACACTCAACCGACCGTCTGCAGTGATGTGCTCATGCTTCATCTAACACTGTGCCAAGGTTAAATCGACGTTGACCCAATGGCGAGTGCTCCCGGGGCTTCTCTTTGCTTATTCGCATCTCTGCCCCAGTTCCTCTCGGGCTACTACGTATTCCTTCCAAGTTCCAACTTGCAAGACCAATGATTGATGATTCGTTGAACCTATCGTTATTCGAGTCAGCTCGGTTCAAAGTTAGTTCGAGCCAAAAATCATCTCCAAACTTTCTCGAATATTCCTGGTCGCGTCTGGACTTGGATCTATCTCACCAAAGCCAAGCCGCACATGCTCCACCTCTGATGGGTTTAGACATCGTAATATTCATGGCAGAAGACAGTGACATCGTCTGATGGGGAAGAATAGGAGATTAGTCTCGCCTAATCAATTGCAAATACTTATCCTTGCTGTGGTTCCGAGGAGAGTTACAGTCAAAGCAAGGGATCAGGGTAAAAGGACGATGGATCCATCGGCTCCGAAATCAATATTGTTACTCGATGAGTAAACAGGACGGGCAGTGTGGCTCAACAGTACTCCGTAGGGCGTTGCGGTGTCTGCAGAAAAATGCTCCACCAGACGTCTTCAGAGCTATGCTGAGGTTGTACAGCATAACTCGATTCGGAACCCGTATGTAGTCAAGCATATCACGAACATGCTCAGCTGAATTTCGGGGAGAGATCCCAGGATTGGGATGCTGGATAAGCCTATGAGGACAGAAATTGGGGGAAAGCATCTGGAGTAGAGCTTCCTGCCAGCACTATCCCAGCCACAGCCGCTTTCTGCCGAATCCCCACCGGATTATTGTCTCCGACTCTTTCTTCAGCGAAGTCTAAAGGCGGGGATTCGGGCTGGGTCCGACTCCGTTTCCTAAGCTAGCGCCTGCAACAGTGCAAAGAGGTCCGTTCACCTGCAGCGCGTAGTATTCTGGTATCCCCCGGCATTTGGAATACCGTGATCGAGGTTCTGACTTTCTGAGGCCGTACGGAGTACGGTGGTTTGTCTTGAGGATCTGTAGATAGGATCAGTGATAAGTGGACGCTAAACATGCAGATATGGAGCTATCTTCGGTTTCAGGGTCCTTGGCAGATAGAGTAGCATCGAAGCCTTTCGTTTTGAGCCGCTTCAGCCCAAGTCTAATGATGGGCTATAGGCCCCGTCGATTGTCCAATCATGGGAGGGATCAACGATGATACAACGTTGTAAACTTGTAAAAATGGGAGATGGCAAGATGCAGATGAGAGATCGGGGAAAAGAAAGGGGGGAACGATGGGCCAATGGACGAAGGCCTGGCCTGCCGAGAAACGTGACTTGCTCTCCGTGATGCGCTCTTGATGTGTCACGGAAGACTCGTCTATCTCCCACAAGGCACAAACCCAGGGGAGGCTGCTGTATCTGACGCGTGAAGCTATGGTCTGATGAGATGCAGCTGGGGAGCTTCTCCGAGTCCTATTCCTTCTATCTCCCCATCCTGGTAGCACCTGCATACCTCTCGACGCCATGGCACCTTCTATTTCCACCAGGTCCCCAGTTGCGCCGATTGTGACAAGGAAAGAAAGCTTCATACCACCGCCCGCAAGAATAACCCGCCTAGGGTCAGTTCGAAATCAGATATGGCGAGGACAGGTGAGTCAGGCCTCTGGTTGGTCGGGGCTGGGGCGTGAGGGCATATATTTCTGGGACTGGCATCTGCGAGAATAATCACCTACTACACCACTCCGAACCTGAATCATGGTTGAACGGCATGGCGCGTCAAGCAAAGCTATGTGCGTCCCGCACAGGGCCCGAACCTGCCCTATCCACGAGCGAGAAAGTCGCCAAGACCGCATTGCTTAGAGATAGCAGCGTTGGCTTGCAGATGCTGTAAGAAGATGAGACTCGAGGACACCTTCGGATGGGAACTGGTCAAACAGCTCCTGGCTGTGGTTTCATTCCGCTCGCCGTGCTTCCTTGCTCGTAGACCCAAAGGCGTCAATAATCAACGTGATCGCCTTTGGACTTTGGAGCTGACGACAAGTGGACATGGATTTCTCGTATCGCTATTCGCGGGTATATCTACCTGATCTGACCCAAAATCGCACGCTGCCATGGCCATGGGCCGTGGCCAGACGCCAAAAGACAAGAACTGCAGGAGGCAGCGAAGTTAAGCACCAGTTAATTGAGTTGGAAAAAGCAAGTAGAGTACATTAGGTTACTCGGTGGGCCTGGCTGTTTTAGCCAGCCATCCAGAAACTGCATGATTGTTTGCTATTCTGAAACTGTACCTCTTGGCTCTCACGGCTGAGGGATGAGAACACTAGCCTCGCCAGATGCGAGGAGGTCGAAGCTTTCTTCACTTGTTGCTGTTGTTGGCGAACTAGATGTCTGCCTCTCTTTTTCCATGGTCGATAAAAGACTAGTCGCCTTTTCTTCGTCTGCGTGCCACCGCTTATCTCCGATCCACTCGACACCATCACCTGCACCGCGGACGCCCGCCTGCTGACGGGCCTTCTCGCGCTCCATTAACGGAAAGGCGCTTCTGCTGGAGGATCTTGATCCTGGACCTTCGTCATTGGACAAAGCGAGAGTGCGATTATGCCATTCGCCAAGGAACATGCCGTCTGCATCAACATCTTGACGTACTCGAAGCCACTGATTCATGTTCTCTCCATACAACTCCCGCAGCTCCTGGCCGGTTGACTTGAAATTCTTGGCCCAATGCGGTTTCGCGCCCATATCCCTCATCAGCCACTCGAATGCTTCGTAATATCGGTCCCTACACGGAGGATCTCTATGATATGGACGGTAGAGCGTTGCATTGAGATACAATGTTGGTCCCTCAGAGCTGCTTGGGTCGAGGAAAGGGCGTGGATTTGTGTTTAGCGTAGTGTCTGCAACCCTGACCTCGACAGGGCAATGAACCCACAATCCATCGACGGGGAACGGTATGCGGGCTGTTTCAGTATCACCATGCAGCCAGGCCGACAACCTTGTGATTGCCTCTGGACCCTTCTCCAGGGGCAGTGCCCACTCATTCACGAACTGCGAGTATAGACAGTTCATCAAGAGTCCCGTGCGTGCCTTTTCAACAGCCTCTGTAACGGTCTTTTCAGCTTTAAACCCGTACTGCATACCGAAAACAAACCATTCCACCCATGGGAGAATCCGAGGGAAATAATTTGACAGGGCCAGCAAATTATGGTATACATGATATCCAAGTGACTCTCCGTAGAAGTTCTTTGGTGGGGGCCTCAGTGGGAGATCTGTCTTGTCGGCATACCAATGAATCGCACTTTTTTCGTACGGCATCCACCATATGCGGACGAACTCGTGCGACGTCCATAAGCCCGAGGACCATTCACCCAGTACGCTTGAAAGCAAGCGCCTTCTTTGTTTCCAAGCAATATTGAACGACGGCTCCGAGCGGAAACTAACTTCAACAACTATTCCTAGCGCCCCCAGCGAGATGAGAGCCGCCCGGAAAAGGTCCTGGTTGCTGTTTGCACTGCAGCGTACCAATTGCCCATTCGCCAACATCAACGTCAACGAAACGATGCATTCCGAGATCAGGCCATGTGCCAACGAACTTCCATGAGTGCCGGTCGCAATAACACCAGCAATGGACTGACTGTCGATACTCCCCAGATTTGAAAGCGTCAGCCCATGATCCTTCTCCAATCGTTCCCCCAAGTCTCTCAGCCGTATACCCGCCTCAACCGTGATAACCCCAGTCTCGGTATTAACGTCCAATATGCGATTGAAGTCATCCAAATTCACCATCCACGCCGATGTACATGTCAGGTCGGAAGGCGAATGGCCGCTACCAACAACTACAATGCGACGGCGGCACCGGCGAGCCAAGTTCACGACTTTTTGTATCTCGGTAAGGGATTGCGGCTGGATGTATAACTCTGGCCGTGAGTAGAACGAGCGAGCCCAAGTGTGATGGAGATGTCCGGTAGAGCTGCGGAACGGCACCGCGGGGTCGATCCGGGACAGCTCGCGAGCGACGGCGGGGTCCATGCTGGGGAAGGCTTTATCTGTTTATACTGCAAAGGAGGTCCCGACAGACTAAGACATGGCTATGACAGCGGATGAGCTCAAGAAAGGGGAAGAAAAGAAGAACAAAGAGAAATTGGAGTCTGGGGTGATGATGCGATGGCGAAAATGTCCGGCGAGACTCGAACCGCAGTGGGGCCGCCTCGGCATCTGCAACGGTTGCAACCATTCCCCATCTTCTCCTCCATCCCAGCTCTCATCCAGCTTGATCAGCCCGTGGAGAAACTTTGGACTTGACATCAGATCGATCATCAAATCACGTAGGAATCCTGCCAGCCCCGRATCTGGTACGCTGGGTTTCTCAATGGATGACATCATGCCACGTTATATAGCGAAACAATCATCAACAGCAATGAAACCATCACTGTCTTCCATTTCATGCAATAGAATCAATCAAAAACACCCAGAAAATGTCTTCTTTACCCCAGGGAGCATCCTCACTTGAGATCCTCTCCGAACCGGCCAAACCCACAGCCACCGGGTGGGCACCCGTAGCGGTGATGTCCGGTCCATGGGCTTAACGCATCCTGGGGACGAAACAATCGAGGAACATGAAGGATTCTCCTAGGAAAGGCTCGATGAGCTCCGCCAGAAAGTCAAGGAGGGCATGTTGGTCACCATTCGGGATGTTATGACGAAGCAGACAGTAAGATCAACTCTTCACTATGACAAAGCGAATGGAGGAAAAGAGCTAAGAATGGGTATAGGATTTTCATTTAGTGAGACCAGACTTGCACCCAGAATCTTGGAGGTATGTACTGCATACAACAGAGAATTTCCTTAAATATGAGCAGCCATGGCCGGTGAATCAAAAAAGGGAGGAGAAGGAAGAGCAGGAGGAAGAAGAGAAGAAAGAAGCAGCAAGACGAGGAACGGACGGACAGCCAAAAGGACAAGAAGAAGGATCAAGACCAGCAGAAGCAGGAAGAGAAGGACAAAGGCGAAAAGCCAAAGCTCGCAACAGAAAAGCAGGCATTGCTGGATTGTCTGCGTTACGAACAGCAATATCGGTCGTCCATGCGCAGAAATGATGGAAAAGGCTTCTCACCGTACAAGAATGACGATGCGCATCTATTTGCGCAGATTGATGAGGCCGACCAGTCTTCTCTGGATAGTTGGATCCCTCGCAGCGACAAACTCATCCGCCTGACGGGTAAGCATCCCATGAATGCGGAGGTTGAGCTCTTTACGTTATTCGATGCTGGCCTTATCACGCCCACGAGTATCCATTACGTGCGGAATCATGGCGCGGTGCCACATCTGCTGTGGGAGAATCACACACTTGAAGTTGAGGTTGGGAATAACCTGACTCTTGAAATGAACGATCCGAAGGACCGATTCGAGAGTGCCAATATTCCGATACTATTGGCTTGCGATGGCAATCGCCGGAAGGAATTGAATATTATTAAGGAAATCCGCGCGTTCAATTACACTGCTGCTGCCAGCAGCTGCGCATATTGGAAGGGTAATGCATGGCTTGTAGACGAGAATCCAGACAGGCATTTCTGGGTGAAATTTGAAGGGGTCGACCAACTGGAAGACGCCAAATACGCGAAATGTATTCCGCTTGAATAGGCAATGGATCCCAGCAACGATGCTCTTCTTGCCTACGAGATGAATGACCATCCTATTCCGCCGGATCATGGCTATCCTGCTCCCAGGTTGGTTAGGAGCACGGTCCGTCAAATGGCTGGCTAGGATCTGGATCACGGACTATGAAAACGACAGCTATTACCATCTCTACGATAACCGGCAGCTTCCAAGCTTGCCCAGCATCATGGTTCGTGCAATCGATGAGCTCAGGACTACACAGCCGCCAGAACCAGTGTGGAGCATCACAGGGTACCCTGCCCTCTCAAATATCCATTATACAAGCCAGGGTTATTGACCTCAAACAGAAGGATGAACGACTGCTGGTACCCAGTGCGCCCAGATATTAACGAAACATCGAGTGATAGCGAGGCATGCCTCCTCTTTCGTCACCCCGTCGACGCTGGTAACAGTACGGACGGTTGGATGAAGGAGTCCGCAGAGAAGAAGATCAAGGAGATCAAGCGCAAAGCAGGTGCCCCTGGAAAGTAGTTCACTCGTCAGAAAATTGAGAACCATAACTTGGCGGATGACTGCTGGATTGTTATCAATGGCAATGTATATGATGTGACTAGTGTCCTTAGGTGGCATCCTGGCGGGAAAGGGCCTATTATAGAACATGCTGGAGCAGTGCATATGGATACAACGGAGGAGTTTGAGAGGATCCATGATGATTATGCACAGTCTAAGCTCAAAGGTGAATTATACCTTTGTCCATCTATCAACTCAGCATAAGGCAGCAGCTGATGATATCGCACAGAATGCATAATCAGAAAAGTCACGCAAAAGACCATGGCGCATATGGCAAAGAACGCTCAACAAAAGGCCCAAGAGAAGTCCAATCAGGGCGGCGCCGAAGACTCAGTCGCTCTCGACAAACACAAGTTCGTACCTCCTCCAATCAATGAAGCCTCAAAATACTAACGAAGTTAATCCCATATGGATTCAAGCAAAACTCCACAAGAAACACCGCATCTCATCCGACACCCATCAATACACTTTCACCCTCCCATCCCTGCCAAATCCCTAGGACTCGAAACAGGCCAACATGTCCAAGTCGGCTTCCACTTCCAAGACCGCCCCGTCATGCGCCCCTGCACACCCATTCAGCCACGACGGCACCTTCGACCTGGTCGTGAAAATCTACTTCCCAGACGAAGACCAACCAGGTGGCACATTGAGCAATATCCTCGACTGCATGCGCGAGGGCGAAGAGATCGAAGTAAAGGGCCCTTCCGGCGCAATCCGGGGCCTAGGAAACGGAAAGCTCGCCATCGACGACAACGAATATACATTTGACAAGGTCTATTTCATCCTCGGCGGTTCCGGCGTCACGCCGGGATACCAGGTCACCGCGCGGATTCCGTCAACGTCCTCCGACAAGACGCTGACCACCAAGGCTATCTACGCGAATAAATCGAGTCAGATATACAGCTGCGCGAGAGCCTGGCTAAGTTTGCCGAAGACCATAAAGACCAGTTTTCTATTACGCATGTGCTTTCGCATCCGAGTGATGAGTGGAAGGGACTGAAAGGGCATCTAAATGAAGACATTATAAAAAAATGTTCTTGGGCCCGGGGAGAAATCCGTTGCGCTGCTTTGTGGGCCGCCGACGATGATTCAGAAGGCGGCGTTGTCGGCGTAAAAGGACTGGGGGTATGACGAGGATAAGAACTTGTTTGGTTTCTAGAGCTTGTTGGCGAAATAGTCTCCTTGTTGGCTGGTTTTAGATTCGTGAGGACTATGACTCTGTCCAGTTTGCGTTGACATCTGACAGTTTCTTTACACCATGCCCAGTGCAATAGGCCGTGCAGATTTTATATGAAATGGTATTAATGATATTGTTGCCATTGTTACATTCAGAAAATAACCACCTGCTCCATCATCATCCGAGATGTCTATCCATGCACCCAAACAAAAATAAATGGCACCACACTCCACGCAAGTATGCAGTTGGTATAGCCCGAAACAAGATGACCCCATATAACACAAAATACCATCAAACCATCACTGGCTCCGCGGACAATGCTCCCACTCCAGCGATCAATGAATGCACAAGCATGGTCTCTGTACAGACCAAAACCACTACTTAAGAAGAACTATAGACAGGAAGAAAGCTAGCCGTGTTAGAGAAGTCGGCAAACAGCAAATATACGCACTTAGGATCGAATCGCATCGATTGCAGCATTCAATGGAAATACCTGCGGCGGTCGTTGTAATGGACGTCGGGTCCATTTGCGGAATGCGCTGCGGCAAGCCTCGGGCGTCCCGCCGAGCGAAATGAAGCTCTTAGGAATGAAAGGTCGATCCTGAAGGGATGCAGCAAGGATGCCGTACTCGTGTGCAAAGACGACTGCCGATGCAAACTCAGCCGGCCTATTGGACGCTTGGTCGCCCACAATCACATAGATCTCGAAGAAAGTGTCAAGAATGTAAATGCCCCTCGGCGAAAGGTCTTTCTGCGAGAAAGGCTCTACCTCTTGGATGGTGTCATTTGGACGAATCACTGGAGACGATGAACCTGGACGTCGAATCCAGAATGATCGCTGACCAAGCTCATGATCCACGCGGAGTAACCGGTGGCGGAAACGATCATGGGCCGGTTTCAGCAGCCAATCATCCGATTGTTCATACTCCCCTGTCCCCTTATGTTGAGGGAAGGCCTCGTAGAAACTGCCGGGCTCCTCTCCTTCGGCAACTTCTTCAAATTCACCCGTTAATCCAAGATCCATGCCGATAAGCCGAGCGGCGCCAATCTCTTCAGCAGAACTACCTTTCCCTCGCCACAAGTATACCTTGCCAAACATGGCGGATATCACGAATGGGTAGCCAGTACACAAATTGTGCGGTGAGAAGTCAACCTCGTCGAACACCATCTGCCCGAGGTGTTTTCGTCCGCATAACATGAAGATAGCCGATGAGCTAGAACGGGAGCTTGAGCCACGGCGCGTGATGAGAATTCCACCGAGCGCCTGGATGAAACGAGCGGGCTCTTTCCCCTGGCTGATGATTTCCAACTTGCAGCTATTTTCACGCGCAACCTTCCGTGCGAAAGGCAAGGCAGCATCCACTGCTCCGCCCCATACATCATCGCCGCGCCAAAGCTGGACTTCGGATCGCGTATTGGAATCTTCCTCCTCAAAATAATGGACACACAAATACATTGCTCCTTCGTAGAGAATGTACTCCTGGTTTACCGGAAGATCCTGCTTATTCCCTTCCCCGGTGATCTCCCATATCTGCTTTTTCAAGGTTCGGATCCCGAAACCGTCGCTTTTGTCAGTCAACATTAACTGTGGGTCAATGTTGACGCGATCACTAGAACGGGGAAGCGTCTTGAAGAATTGAGAGATCGCTTCAAGGGACTCATCCGCTTGAGGAACCAAGGAGACGGAAGATCTCGGGGATGATAATTGATCCGTAGAGGCATAAGGTCCTTTGGGTGGGACAGGCGGAGATGGCAAGGACTTTCGAGATGGAGAAAAGTCTCTTGATCGGTTGAGAAAGTTATAAGGGCCACCCAGGCGCGGAGGGGGAGTAGGCTGGGTCTCCCTGAAACTTGACCTTAGCGGAGAAGGTGTTGGGGATGAGTAGTGAGTAAACGAGGTTCGTGGCTGGGTGTTATGAGCGCTTGACGGGGAGCTGGCGGATTGAGATGGGCTGAAAGCGGATGCGGAGGGAGACTTCACTTGGCTGTCGGCTTCGTAGACTCGCCGCTCCAAAGTCAGGGGTCTCTTTGACGGTGTAGAGGGTAGCAGATCGGGGCTTTTATCTTTCTCTGGAACCGGTGGTAAGGTATCATGTTTCTCCCGCACCGGTAATAGATTGTCGGTAGATTCTTCACGGGCACTTATCGATGAGGGCTGCAATGGCTCGATTTCTAGGCCAGTTTCCAAGTCAAGACCTTGATCCGGTAGCGGCCAGCTTCCTGTATCTGCCAAGGGTTGTTCAATTGTAGATAAACCCTCGGTTGGCGTATCTATGTCAACCGATGACGGCGCACTTTTCGATGAGACAACTGCCAAAGGCTGTTCATTCGTAGATAAGCCCTCATTTGGCGTGTTTATGTTAACAGATGGCGGCGCAGCTTTCGATGAGATGTCGGCCAAAGGCTGTTCAACCATAGACAAGACCTCAGTTGGCGTGTCTATGTCAATCGATGACGGCACAGCTTTGGATGAGATGTCGGCCAAGGGCTGTTCAGTTGTAGATAAGCCCTCAGTTGGCGTGTCTATGTCAACAGATGACGGCGCCGCTTTCGATGAGATGTCGGCCAAGGGTTGTTCAGCTGTGGAGAAATCCGTACCTGGCGTGTCTAGGTAGGCCGTGGCCTTTGGTGAGGTATCAAAGTCTGTCGCGTCTGGAGTATCATCTATCGGAGCGATGGCCTTGGGAGGTCGTCTCTTGGGGCCCCTTGCACGGTCTTTTGTCATATGAGTCAGTCCTGGAGCAGAAGCCGAATCCGAATTGCCGAAGAACGGTCTACTTTCACCAGATGTGGATATAGGTATGGCTGCTTTGGACCCGTTCGATAAAGCAGGCGGACCACGGGATAAAAGATTTGCTAGGGCAGGGTTTATTCGGCCTGCGAGGCTACCTTTAGTAACAACGTCATCGTTGGCAGGAAGTACACTTCGCGTGGCGTTTGCCGGTGACGGAGGACGCACCGGTTCAATAGCCTCCGCTGCCGGTTGCTCTTGTCCCTTATTTAGGTTGACATTCGCCAGCTCAATCTCAATACCATTGCGCTCAGCCTCATCCTCTGGCCCAGTTCCGGAGGCTAGGCCTTCAGGTGGCGGATTGGGAGGATCGAGTTCGGGTACGTCGATGGCACTTTGGGCAGTTCCAGCCTCTACAGCAGGTTCATTGTCATTAGAGGGCTCGGGCGAAGGTTGTTCAATGTGCGGAGACTCTGATGTCTCATTCTCTTTTGGAGTAGGTGGCAGGCTGTCAATAGGAAGATTAGTTCTGTCAATACTTGACTTGGTCAGATGTCGGCGCTTCAAGATGGCTTCCGGCACCACTTCGGTGGGAGCATCGCTTTGCTCCAGTGTATTGCGCCGAACGGAACCCCCATTCGCTTTCATTGCGTCTTTCTGCATCACGAGACTGTTTCTAAATTCATCGACTCTTTGTGTTTTCTTCGGGCCGCCGGTCGTGTTCAGAGCCGCCTTGCCCTTGAGAATATTATTCTTAAGCTCATCCGGTGCGACATAGTTCGACGTCTCTGTCTTCCTCAGCTTGCCAAAGACATTCTTAAATTCCGGCTCCATACTGGAGGACTGATCTTTCACGACTTCGCGCTTCCGAAGATTTGCCCTGAAATCAACCACCGGTGAGTGAGGCTTGGGACGGCTAAGCAGGGGATCACGAATAGGCTGACGAGGAGACAGCACAGGGACATCAGTGTTAACCGTAGGAGTCGGTGATAAGGGTTGCGGTACAGGTTTACGCTTCGGGCTATCCTCAGGCTTTTCTTCGGCCTCTTGAGGTGCTTCGGGCTCCTCGAGTTTTTTCTCAGTCACTTGAGGTACCTCGGGCTTCTCAGTCACTTGAGACGCTTGAGGCTCATCAGGCACCTCGAGGACGTCAGATACTTTAGGGCTTTCTGGTTCTTCGGGCACGCTGGGAACATTGGAGGCCTCAGGAGGTCCAGACACTTCAGGAACTTCAACCGGGATCTCGACATCATTGGTTTTCGATGGCGAGCTAAGTTCGATATTTTCGACGGAGAGGGGCTTCGAATTCATCGATGATTCCTCTTTGACTGGGATCGCGTCATTCAACGATTTCTCTTTGGTCGGACTGAGGTCTGGAGTTTTGAGTACATCGGGAAATCCCGAAAGACTTTGTTTCTTCACATGGCCCCCAAGAGGAGTGGTTCGCAGCAGGCCCACTGTATTGACTTCTTTGAAGCTATTTCGGCGGCCCAAATCCACGCTGGCCCTCGACTGCCTATCCTTATTCCAGGTCGCTTGTTGAGATTGCTGCCGCTTATGTCTTGGCGACTCGGAAAGATTCAGGGCACTTTCCAGCCAGGTGGATTTCGTTGGACTCCACCTCCTCGGATCCATTGTCCTAGAAACGGGAGTCGTGGGGCGTGAACTGGAGTCCCCCTGCGACTCAACGCTCAAAATACTACTAGATCTGGCATGTAGAGCCAGAGGAGGTCTGCTAAAGCTCCCACTTCTGCCTGAAGCTGGAGGCGTTGCGGGACGTTCTTCGGATTTGGTTTGACCGACAGTTGTCGCTTCGCTGTGACTCGAAGACGGTCGCTGAGGTGAGAAGGACGAGCCTTCGCGGCTCAGCTTGGGCGTGGCGGTGATATCCGTGTTACTTGGGGCGGCAAAACTGTTGCGATTGCTGGCAAACGAACTGTGCCGGCTGAGCCCTGATGGCAGCTGAGCGCTCCATCGCTTCGATACACTATCTGATCGTCGCAGCATAGCACTTTGAACGAAACCCCCTAGACCCTTAGTTGGTGAGGTCGAACGCTCCGGAGAAAGTCGCCTAGGTGAAATTGGAGACGCTGCCGGGCTGTCAGGACCTTCATCAACCTTTGTTGGTTCGAATTTCGGCGCACTGGATAGGGGTAGCGGAGAGCCGAGACCGGTGGCTGTTGAGACAGATGAGACACTGTACCGGTTTTCCAAACTGCTGTCTGCAAAGCTTGAGCTAGCTCTTGATGGAGGTGGAGATTGCTCCTCTGTAGTAACATGGTGGCCATTTTCCTTTTCTTCTTCCGTTTGCTCTTCCGGTTCGGGCTCTTTCGTCTTGATGTTCTCGACCTGATAGGGCTCGGGATCCTTGATGGGCGTCTCTCTCACGGGAATGTCGTCCACCTCGGCCTGGCGCAAAGAAGACGGCTCTCGCGACGGGGATGAAGAGACCAAAGGACTGCGCGGCACTCCGAAATCCGTGGCTGAGGCATTTGACATCGCTCTCCAGCGGTTCTCGCGTGAAGGCGACGTGGAAAAGAATGTACGGTTTCCACTAAGGTCCCGAGAACTGGGTCGTTGCTGCCAGGATAAAGTTCCGGCCCTGCTCCGTAACGTGGGCGAAGCTTTCGGTGAGACTCCGATTTCGCTTCCATGTCTTGACCCTGCCGGGCTACTCTCTAGTGACGCTGCCTTATCGTCCCGGAATGAGTGGGACGCGCTATGGGTGTCATAAACCGGGGTGCGAGGGGTCGTCGGCTCAAGCTGTTCCGGAGGATCAATGGCTCGGTGACTCAAGGACGACATGCTCAGTCGAGCGGGGTCGAGGATCGGAGAGGAATCTTTTGTTGGGGATATAGACCGTGCCCGCTCTATATCATAACAAAAAAGGGTCAGTTTCAGGAGTGTGAGGTGCTTCGAGAAGGCAGGTGATCCATCCGACGGGGTTCAGACACCCGCAACTCGAAGGTAAAACTCAAGACAAGGAGAGGTCACAAATTTACCAGCTCTCCTAGCCTGCCTCTCCTTACGACCCTGCAGGATCTCCTCTTCCAGCTTCTTTGTGCGCTCTTCATCCTCCTTGTCGCGTTTCTCGCCGAGTTCTCGAATTCGTTGAAGGAAGTCGTTGACATCCCCACTGCCTTCCGCCGCATCGGAGGTGGAAGTCATGGCGGCGCCGAGGCCGATTGAAGGGACTGAGGCAGAAGCCAAATGAGGGATGCGAAAATTTCGGAATGAAAGGCAGGAGTAAAAAGCAAAAATTCCCAGGCCGGTCAGAAGATTGCAGTAGTGCGGGCCTAGGAATTACGTGGGATGCAGAGAGCGAAATGCAAGGTGGGGAGGAGTTGGGTGGAAGGGATAGAGTCGGAGGGATGAAAAAAAGGTCGAGTGTACAGGAGAGTGAGATGATTATGGATTATAGAAAGAGAATGAGAGTGGTATTGCCGTTCCTCTGCTCGGATCTTGATTATTACGACGATCCTACACAATGGTCACGCCTTCTCCGCCTTTTCTCGTCTTTTCTTACTCGCACTTGAGGCGCTCGGAATGAAGCAAGTTCAGCTGCCCTCGTCGCCGCCCCACCGTCTAGTCTACTCTTAAACTATCTCACCACAGCCAGTCTGATACAGCAGGGCTCCCATTGTATAATCATGCTCGAGTCTAGAACTCTTCATCTCTCAAATCTCAACCGGCAGAGGCATCGTTTCATGCCCTTACCTCGGTTGTTTTGATCTTTCTACACACGGTAGACTGTTTACGTTTCCCGCTCGGTTGATGCTGTGGAGTACAGCCTGACCCGAAGATGAGTTTCTCACGATGACGACAATACTGAACATCTGTGACAAGGTTGGATGTGATTCGCGCCCCGGAGTGATACACAGCGTTGGTGCCAGGCTCCAGCTCTCGCCATTATTTCCCCAAGACTCCCAATCGAGTTAATAGCCTTCAAGCGATTCAAGCCCTGTTTAGCGGCGAGTTGGACCATGGAATATGGATACTTGAGCAGCATCCCGCAGAGATCAGGGACCACCGCCACCCATTTTGTTGTAGCCTCATAGACTGGCTCCATCATCTGGATGCGGCTTTGGCCGCCCTAGATTGGGCTATGCTCCACGAAGCCCTGCTGAATGCTGGGTTTGAAACGGGCTGTATGGACTGTTCGCGAATATATATATTTGTCGGCTGATAATCCATGACGAGACGGTAAAGCCCCTCGCACCACAACCATGGAGTGATTTCCAAAAAAAAAAAAACACTGACATTCATTATTCTCTTCCAATCAACAGTTGTAGCCTCATTATATGTTTCATACAAGTATTCTTACCGGGTGCAAGTGGGTGAAACGACTGAAGGGCCGAGAAATCGCCGGACATATAGTAAAGAGACCCGTGCTTAGTAGAGGAACAATCTGTCCTTCGCATCCTGCACGACCCAGTTCAAACCCTCGTGGAGATTCTTCCCTGTTATCGCACTGCAAGGCAGGATTGTCCACTTATGAGTCTTGATCGAATCTAAGCCGAGGTTCTGCAGCAAAAGTTAGAAAGTAGCGCGGTGCGATTTCGAAACAGGGCAAAAAAAAAAGCAACTCACCACCCTGACTTCGTCCTCGGTCATGCATCCTTCCACATCAGTTTTGTTCAGAAAAACTAATAGGCTGGCGCCCATTAAACGCTGCTCGGTCGTCGAGGTAAGCTTGTTGGACCCCAGCGGACAAAGGTTTTCCGGGCGGGCATCATCGTACCTCTTCGAGCAGAAGACCAGCAAGTTCATCGCGACAATCTTCTATTCTCAGCCGGTCAGTGGCGTCGACAACCCAGACTAATGTGTCTGTCTTTTCAAAGTAATTTTTCCAGTATGAGCGCAGTGTTTTCTGGCCTCCGACGTCCCCTGGGCGAGCGTTAGCGGGTGGGTGGCCACGCTGTCGGGCTGCCCTTACAGATATTCAATCGATATCTGGAGGCAAGGTTAGCAATTTCAAACGAAGGGAAGTTCAGGCTCGGAAAATACCCTTCAAAATCTATGGTTTTGATGATGAAGCCCAGTGTTGGGCTTACTGTCGTGACATCTTCCTTCATGATCTGTTTGACGATGGTCGTCTTGCCCGCATTGTCCAGCCCTCTGTACCTCATTAGCGGACATCCAGGGTCTTACGGGCAGGATGGGACTGTACAGCATAAGGATTCGCATCTCCTTATCCTTCAATCTCGCTTTTCTCAATATGGACAGCATTTTGATGGACACACTGTGTGAGATGTGTTCTTGGCGGGGGTGGTGGAGGAAAGAGTGGACGGGATGCAGCGTTTCTTTCCTCAAGATGGTGAGTATCACCCTTCCAGTAGCATGATCAGTTCAATGACTATTTAAAGGATCACTACCTGAGAAATGACTATTATATCAAAGGCTTATTTCTCACATTATGTTTTCTCCTGTTTCTTTCTCTGTCCTTCAGTTGGCTGCTGACAAGGACTTCTACTCATAGGCCTGATTCACTCTGTTGACTTCAATTCAACTACTAACACATTAAATCAGTGAGTACTTTTCAGGTATCCACTGCTGACTCCTACCTAATCAAGTCAAACTGTATTAGCGTTCTTTGCATTGTTAGTAAATGCATTTAATTCCCCTTGGTCTTCTTTTCTTTGCTTATTATAACTTTGCACAGCTGTTGTTCCCACTACTGTATCCTCAAGAAGACCTTTTTACCAGACATTAAAAGGTAAGCATGCTCAAGGGCACAGATAATTATGCCAGTTAGATCTAACCATGAATCAGGGGTTTGTTCTTCCTTGAAAGAAGATGGCAAAAAGTGGCTGTGACAGTCCGGAACTTTGGGCTCAGATGAAGGCTGCCAGAGACAATTTGTTCCAGAATGAGCACTTTCTGAACAAGTACAGATCTGGACCAGGCTTACCCAAAGTTGTCACCAAGAAAAGCCCTCCGCTCAAGCTTGTAGGTGCCATTGGGAAAGAGATACACGGGCTTGAAAATGGTAAAGCTATCTCGAAGTCAGCAAGTCTCACTTCAGTGGCCCAGACCCAGCAGGCAACTTCACCTGAGATAACTGCCTCAACAATTCCTGTGGCTGCACCCTCCAATCTCGAACTCGATAACACCAAATCATTCCCCACTTCCTTGAACTCCTCCTATTCACTCCCTTCCAAGACAAACAACCTAACCCAACCTCGGCCTTGTATTCCTCTTACACGCGCGGAGGCTTTGTCAATAAGAACAAAAGCAAAACACTATCTTTCTTCGGCTGTCAAGAAGTCACCGAGACCCTGCATCCCACGCATCGAGGTTCATCACGTCCCAGATTCACCCCAACACTCCTCTTCTCTGGAGCAGGTTCTTGAGTCTTCCTTATTGGCTCCGACTGATACGTCCAAGGCTCCAGTTGTGATTTCATCAGGTATGCAGTTCCATTAGTACAAGAGGCATCAGTCACACTAACACATGGCAGGGGATACAATACTGATACAAAGCAAGATGGCCGCAAGCAATGCATCGGATGAGGTTTTGGCCCGCCCCCGCAAATGTTCCAAATGGAAAGCGGATGAATCACAACTGGGTCCACGGCCCTCTAGACGCCTCGGTATCCCTCGTCCCTCGTGCAACCAAGAGCAAACCAAGCGGCAAACAACGCAAGGTGGTTTTCTCAGCACAGATCACAGAAGAATCTCGCAGAATTCCAATCAATTGAGCGATGGCTTGCACAAAGGTGTTAGCCTCCCCGTTGACTACCAGTGCAATGAGCCCACCAGCCCGACATTCGGGATGCAAGAGAACCGTTACAACAGCTCGGGAAAAGATGTGGAGAACGAACTTGGGCGCCTGCAGAAGGAGATCTTGATCAAGGCCCATAGAGCTGTGGACCTTGAGCCTACAGCCTGCCCAGAAGTTCTTACCATGTGCAGAGAGGGCCCAGGTACAGATCGCACCTCAGGAGTATACCGTGAGATGGGAAATCTGCGTGCGGTCGAACAGGACATACCGGATACAAGCTACCTGCCTGGATCGTCGCAGGTGTTCTCCACGGAAACAGAAGAGGGTGCGGATTCGGCACAGCTCAAAAACCAACTGTGCTCCCGTTTGAGAATCTTCAAAGAATCCTACAAGAAGAGCCCAAAAGCTTTCCCAGTTCTTCAAAATGAGGAATTCTTACTTGCACCCTGCCCAACTAGAGAACACGAGAGGGCTTTGGCTAAGATCCAAGCCGATCGCGAGAGAGCAGCAGAGCCTGCCAGCCCTTCCACTGGAGGAAACCAAGCCACTCAAGTTTTGAACAATAGCTGGACGGACCCTGCTATTGTAGACTGGGAATATTGTCCTCGTGACATACGCCGGCTTGGAGAACAGGACGAAATTGCCTGGCGTGCTCGGCTGCAGGGCTGGCTGGAGACTACCATCCAATGTGAATGCGCCGTGGACATCTTCCGGCATGCTTTCTTTAACGGCTCTGCGCACGCTGATGGCGAGACAGCCATGTTCATATTAGACATGCGCAACTATCAAACCGTCCTCGATCCCAATGACGAAAAATCCCAGGCCCATGCACATGAAACTGTTGCAGGTTACTGCTACAACTTTAACCTGCGAAAGAGGAAACTGGAGGAGGCAGAAGAACACCGAAAGATTATGTCCCGTCAGGCTGAACTTGAAGCACGCCGCCAGCCCCTGCGTAGCTCGAACAGTCCTGTGGCCAATATCTATCTGCGACCCGTCAACATCGACAAAGACATTGAAGAGCTTATGGCGATTTACAACTGGTACACTGAAAAATCATTCATCAGCCCAAACATTTATCTTCTTAATGAAAATAATGTGCGTGAACGCATTGAAGAGAGCCAAAACGCCCATTTGCCCTTCATTGTTGCCGTCGAACGCCGCACCGAGAAAGTGGTAGGGTATGCCCTTGCACGAGACTTCGACCGCCAGGAGGCAAGCCGCTTCACCGCGGAATTGGAGTTGTACGTCGCGGATGATCATACCAGTCTAGGCATCGGTAGATGTCTCCTAGATAAGCTCCTTGAGATCTGCGACCCTACCTATACCCCGAAGTGCGGATATTCGTTCGAGGTGTCGAAAGCAGAGCGCTCGGGCTATTTCTCTGGGGGCAGGCGCCGACTTTCTCGGCTCATCTTTGCTCTGTCATATGTGGACATGAAGGCCGGCGACATCTCCAAGCACAAGAGGGTGAAACAGTGGTTGAAGGAGCGTGGAGAATTTGAAGAGCAGGGACTGCTCGGCGGCGCCAGAGTGAAAAACAACTATCTGTGAGTCTCCCACATCACCCAGTTCCGGTGTATACTTAACCACTAACCATCCCAGGGTTAATGTTGCGTACCTTGTGCGTTCGATCGGCCCCCGTCATTCGAACAAACTTGTCACATAGGGAAAGGCTTGATTTCGAGACTTGCAGGGTTGGGAAGTAGACACAACCCAAAGTATTATAATCGGACAAGCCGAAGCAAGTATGTTGAATAGTTCCTAACCGAAATTTGTACTTAAAACTGGGATCAATGGTTCTGTCTCCCCTCCCTACTCATACAGTTTGAGGTTGTAGAGCGAATCAAATCAGTTCCCGTTCGGTCTCCGGCGGAAGTCCCTAGGCGGCATCTTTCTGCCATTGTAGGCTTTCCACCGCCTTACATTTGAAACTTTTTTTTGATCTGCCGCCAAATAGTCCCAAGAACAAACTGGGGGATAGGAGGATCAAGGAGGCTTAAATTTTCAAATTGAGCACTGGACCGATCGCACTCACTAGTCCTGAAGTACAGAGGGTAATCTTCCAACTTTGTCTCCCATTCCTTCCTCTCCTGCCACAATGGCCCCCATCACAAAGAAGCGCCCAGACGACGATTTCGTCCTCACATTGTCCGATGACGAGAATGATCGGTTCGACGAGCCCCAGGACGAAGATGCCGCCGAATTGTCGTCGAGTAAAAAGCGCAAGCGGGAGACTGCAGAGAGCGCTGCGCCCAAGAACAAGAAGGTGAAGCAGCAACAACCAGCCAAGGGAAAACAACAAAAAGGGAAGAAGGGGAAGCAGGCGCCCATTGAGCCTGAGAGTGAAGAAGAAGAGGACGAAGAGGAGGAACAAGATGCCGGCGAAGATGATGGCGCCCTCGACTCAGAGTTTGAGTTTGATGTTGGCGGTGTGGTGAATGAAGTTGTGGAGTTTGACGGGTGGGGAGGAAAGGAAGATGGAGACAAGAAGGGCGGGGACAAGAAGGCAGTCGATATTGACGATATAATTGAGAGGAGGAGGGAGAAGGCTGAGAAGAAGGCCGAGAAGGAGAAGAAGAAAAAGCAGCTGGAGGAGAGCGAAGATGAGCAGGACGAGAGCGAGGCCGACGCTATGTCCGTGGACTTCGAGGATGATGAGCTGCTTGCTAAGGATGGTTTCGGGATGGGGGCTGATGGGGTGGACGAAGAGGAGGAAGAAGCTGACGGAGACGACGAGTCTGGAGAGGAGGAGGGAAGCGACGGGGAATCGGAGGATGATGACGACGACGATGCTGCATCTGACAACGACTCTGTCGCTACCCCCGTTAACCACCCAGACGATGACCGCTCCGATCTTGAGTCGGACGCCGAGAGCGAAGTCGACGCCGAGGAAGAAGCCAAGCGCAAGGCGTTCTTTGCACCGGAAGAAAAGACCAACGAAGATGCTACGGCAAACGGCGCGAAGCGATCATTCCAAGAGTTCAACCTCTCTCGACCTATTCTCCGTGGCCTAGCGGCCGTCAACTTCACGAACCCTACACCCATCCAACAGAAGACGATTCCGGTGGCCTTGCTAGGAAAGGATATTGTCGGTAGTGCCGTGACAGGTTCAGGAAAGACGGCCGCCTTCGTCGTGCCCATTCTCGAACGTCTCCTTTTCCGTCCCCGAAAGGTGCCTACCAGCCGTGTCGCCATCCTCATGCCTACCCGTGAGTTGGCTGTGCAATGTTACAATGTCGCTACCAAACTCGCCACCTACACGGACATCACATTCTGTCAGCTTGTCGGAGGTTTTAGTCTTCGAGAGCAAGAGAACATCCTCAAGAAGCGACCAGATGTGATCATTGCCACGCCAGGTCGTTTCATCGACCACATGCGCAACTCCGCGAGCTTTACTGTTGATACGCTTGAGATTCTAGTCCTTGACGAAGCCGATCGCATGCTCGAAGACGGTTTCGCAGACGAGCTGAACGAGATTCTCACCACTATCCCCAAGTCACGTCAGACCATGCTTTTCTCCGCGACCATGACCGATTCCGTCGATAAGCTTATTCGTGTCGGACTGAACCGCCCCGTCCGGCTGATGGTTGACTCGAAGAAGAACACTGCCTTGACGCTTGTTCAGGAATTCGTGCGTTTGCGGCCTGGCCGCGAGGACAAGCGCCTAGGCTACCTCCTCCACCTCTGCAAGGAAGTCTACACCGGCCGAGTGATTGTTTTCTTCCGACAAAAGAAAGAAGCGCACCGGGTGCGCATCGTTTTCGGACTTCTTGGCCTCAAAGCTGCAGAGCTCCACGGTAGCATGAGTCAAGAACAGGTATGTTTTTAACACTTCTAAACATTCGATAGACAGCCGCTAACATGTGACAGCGTATCAAAAGCGTCGAAAGCTTCCGAGATGGAAACGTCAACTTCCTCCTCGCCACCGATCTTGCTTCTCGTGGTCTCGATATCAAGGGTGTCGAAACAGTCATCAACTACGAAGCCCCGCAAAGCCACGAGATCTACGTTCACCGTGTCGGTCGAACAGCCCGTGCCGGCCGCTCCGGTCGCGCCTGTACAATCGCCGCCGAACCAGACCGCAAAGTCGTCAAGGCTGCTGTCAAGGCCGGTAAAACCCAGGGTGCTAAGATCGTCAGCCGCGTCGTTGAACCCTCTATCGCTGATAGCTGGGCTTCCAAGGCCAAGGACATGGAAGAGGAGATTGACGCCGTGCTGGAAGAAGAGAAGCTGGAGAAGCAGCTCGCTCAGGCAGAGATGCAGGTGACCAAGGGAGAGAACCTGATTAAGCACGAGGCGGAGATCAAGTCAAGGCCGAAGCGGACGTGGTTCGAGACGGAGAGGGAGAAGCGTGTTGCAAAGAAGAACGGAGCCACCGAATTGAATGGACCTGGCAAGAAGGATAAGATCAAGCTGAGCAACAAGGATAAGAAACGGTTAGATGATGCGAGAATGAGGCAGGAGGAGGGCCTCGGGAGGAAGAAGAATAAGTCGGAGCGTGAGGATCCCAGGGCCGGCAAGGCGAAGCAGGGGAAGGGCAAGGGTAAAGGGAAGGGGAAGAAATAATCCATTGTATAGACCTTCTGTATAGCCTAGTACATGAATATACCAGCTCATATCAACGCGTCCGCTGTCCTCGACTCTCGCTATACTCTGCGGATAACAAAACTAGGTAGGGTTGGGTCTGCGGCCGAGCTTAGGGTTACCACGACACGCAATTACTCCAACACCAGCATCAATATCTAGATCTCCAAAAGTTTTACTCCAACGTCTACTCCAATATTCTTGGCTGCTCCTAGCGCTTTCGTTAAATACCAACATGAGTCCCAATGTGGGTTTTCCACTACCCAGATTCTCATCCAGACCGAGTCAATCGCTACCAACCATGGCCTCAACACCGAAGTCCAACATCCTAGTAGTAGGATTCGGGGGAATAGGCACCATGACCGCATACAATCTTGAAGCAAGCGGCCTCGCCACAGTGACCGGTGTGCTCCGCTCCAATTATGAACTCGCCAACGAGCGCGGATTCAAGATCTGGTCCTGCGACCACGGCCAGATCAACAGTTGGAGACCTACATCTAGTACGCTCTTCTCATTCCGCCAGCAACAAGCTCCTCTACTAATATGCTACAGTCACAAAAGAAGTCCCGTACGTCAGGGCAGGCACAACCCCCTTCGACTACGTCGTCGTCTGCACCAAGAACATTCCCGACATCCCGCCCACCGTCGCCGAAATCATTGCCCCCGCAGTCTCGCCGCGCCACACGTCCATCGTACTCGTGCAAAACGGGATCAACATCGAGAAGCCTATCATCGCGGCCTTTCCCAACAACGTCGTGATCTCCGGTATATCACGCATGAACTCGTCGGAGCTGCGACCCGGCGAGATCTTCCACCAGGACCACGACACCCTGATCATCGGCGCATTCCGCAACCCCAATTTATCCATTGAAGTCGAACATAGAGCCGCAGAGCGCTTCACAGAGCTGTACAACGCCTCCGGCAAAGCGACGGGCGAGTACAGCAAAGACGTGCAATTCATGCGCTGGCGCAAGCTCGTCTACAACGCCTCGTATAACTCGCTCTGCGCAATAACGGGGATGGACACATCCAAGCTCAGACTTACGGGCTCCGCTGTGACAGAACTTCTTCTGCCGGTTATGCTGGAGGTGAAGAGTGTTGCTAGGGCGGCGGGGTACCAGCTTGCGGCTGATCAAGAGGATGTCTCGCTGAATGGGGACCCGCTAGATGGGTACTTCCGGCCGAGCATGCAGCAGGATATTGAGAAGGGGAATTACATGGAGATGGAGGTTATTGTTGGGGAGGCTGTTAGGGAGGGGCAGAGGCTCGGGGTGCCGGTGCCGATGTTGACGACGGTTTATTCGCTTTTGAAGGTGTTGCAGTTTAGAACGAAGGTCAATAGGGGGCTCGTGGAGTTGCCTCCCATTAAGGATTTCGGGGCAGGAGATTTGATGAGAAGGTCGTGAGATCGTAAGATGATACACTGGGTGTAATGCTCAGTGGCATATCAAGGCTACTAACCATAACTTGGATATCTTCTTGATGTACTGTTACAGAGGACATTTGCGTGTGAAAAACAACCAGCAGAATATGGTACGTAGTAGTCAATCTCTCGGTAACGTCTGAAAAGTGAATACAATCCAGTCAAGACATGTCCTCCCACCACATACTTTAGTTATTTCAAAAGCAGACATAGAGACATTCGCAACACCAAGCCGAGAGTATGCGTGCCAATAGCGTCGAACAGCCAAACGATCAATCCAGGGTCAGGTCAAGCATAAGCTCCCCATTCTCCACACGCCCACGCTGCTTTCCATCGTGGCCCTCCAAGATGAACTCGCCGTTCTCGCCAACATGTCCGTACTCCTTCAGGGCATCGGGGTTATCCAGGTTCTTCATGAAGTCGCCTGCCTTGTCCTTCATCTGATCCCAATCAGTCTCCTCCCACTTCAAAGCTGCCTTGAACAGATCTTCCACGGTGTAGTCGGTCTTCCCGCACGCAACCATGGTCTGCCGGATTAGCAGAATGTGTTTCTGTAACACCTTGTCCTCCAAACTATTCACAAAGCAGCCTACACCAATCAGTTTTGCCTGAGGACCGAAGAAGCCGGCGATCTCGCGAACGTTCTTGATGTGGTCTTGCAGGCTACGCTCGCCCTGACGCAAGGTGACCATCCTAGATATGATGCCTGGGTGGAGGGGGCGACGGCCGGGGAGGTCGTATTGAGCCTTGAGCGCTTCGGCGAGCTTCTTCCAGTCTGAACGGATTTCGGTGGATAGAGTGTGGGTGTACACGAGGGCGGCTCCATAGATACTGGCGAGCATGGTGGCTAGGATTCCGGCGTTCTTGTCCTCGTCCGAGTATTCGGTACCCAGCCAGAGGAGGCGGCAGTCGTCGATCCACATATCGACGGGCATCTCCTCGGGCTTGCCACTACCCATGAAGACTTGGGCGCGTTTGACGGGTTGGGACGCCATGACTAACGCTGCGAGGTTTAGTATTGTTCTTGTGCTGTCTTAGTTGAGAGGCGGGGTTGGCACGTACCTGAGACTGATGGCAGAGATGATAGAAGAGTATCTCGAGAGAGAACTGATGAGGAGGGGAATAGGAAAGAAAGAGGGGAATTGCAGGAGGGAGATGAAGAAAGGAGGGATATCAGCTGGAAGAAACACAACACAACACAACGTGACTCCCCATTCACCACCAACAATACCAGTGACTAGAGGCAATTGAGAGAGTTTTCTTCACTCCAAATATATATATCTACTTTATCAATGAAACATCCCGTATTGCCAGGTTCCTTGTCTTGATTTTCTCAAGACCGGCTCAGAATAATCCGTGCTCTGGTACTGTACAAACGGACACAATCTCAGCAGAACGCAAGATACAGCAATCTTGATGTGCCTCTCACCACCCACCCTCCATCCTAGCGGATACACATTCATTGTCTGAAGCGACGTCCAGACCTCGTTGTGACCTGGCTGAAACATCTCCACAGATATATTACAACTATCGCCGCGTATACGAAGAGTTGCACTCTACCATGCTAAGGCAGCGTCGGTGAAGGAGGCAGGGTGGAAGTAGGCATGGCGTTCGAGATGGGTGAGACTGCGAATGAAGAGGATGCCCTACCCAAGTTCTCTGCGATGCCTAAGTGGGAAATGAATCACTTAAAAGCTAACAAATTGTCTACCTATATCAGGTACAATTGAGTCTCCGGTCGAGGTTCGGGATACAGCAGATGCTTGCCGGTAGCACGATGGTTCGGGTACCACTATAGACAGCTTCAAGCTGGTTGGTTCACTTGTGCGAGTCTGATACAGAGTGATTTGCTGCAGGGCAAGCATTTTCCGTCCTTAAAAGAGTACAGTATAGCCCTAACCGGGACACTATACCATGACTCAAGTCAACCATGGCGTCGGTGAGCATTTCTTCCTGCTTTATGCAGGATATATTTGACTAGAGCCAATATATGGCTCTCTGCAGAGAGACGCATTCCTTGCTTGTTAGACCGTTTCGATCATGCACCACTGGAGGATTAGCAGCATGCATCAATCCAAGGCACTTTGGTCCGCCAGCAATTCCAGCTCTCCGAAACAGTATATGGCCGGGAATAATCGTGTCGCCTATTTCCGATAGAAGACCGGTCTCAACGTCCGAAGGTTGCTGTTAACGGTGGAGAATATGGCCACGAAATGGTAAAGGCGTATCCCATGGGCTGGCTACAACAGCCTGCGCTATGGAAAAGGATGCGGTTTAGATCGGATATTCGCGGCGCTTTGTCTTGGAGGTTGATTGCAGGCCAGGCCGACATCGTGGCTCCGCTGGCTACCGGTATCGGCCTATGCCCCAGTGACTCAGTTAGGATGAAGACGATGCAATGTACAGCAGAATGGCTGTAGGTTGGTATATAGTACTTTTGGTATAGAAACGATGGCAAAATGGACGTTTCGGATGTTCTTTTTGGCCAATTGACTATTCTTTTCCTGTCCATGAGTGGCTTGAAAGGCATGACAGCCACTTCAACGCTCCGCAACCTTGGAACGTTATGAAATCATCCCAAAGTCCAAACCACTCGCTGCTCCCCGCCATCGGATCGGCCCTGCAGCTGAGAACATTCGATTTTTTCGACCGACCATTGAAATTGACGAGTGACTCACTCGCTCTTTGAAATATAGTCTCAATTGCTGGTCTCATTATCTGTCCTCTTCTCATCCTCCAAGTTTCTGCTTTTCCCCTTCTCCGTCTATCTAGACGTCCTTTGTTCTTCCCCGCGTCTCTCCCCACCGACCGGGTTCACAACCACAATCATGCCTATGTACGCATCCCTGCGTCGCCGATAATTCAAGCCCCCGATCATATCAGCTAACCCGAAAAAGGCTCAAAGATCCCTCCAAGAAATACAGGCCGTTTAAGCCTCTGAACCTGCCGAATCGCCAATGGCCCGATAAGGTTATCGACAAGCCTCCGCGGTGGCTGGCCACTGACCTGCGAGATGGCAACCAGAGTCTGCCCGACCCTATGGTATGACCACCGTGGAGATTCCTGCATTTGATGAACTAACATTGTATAGGATGGCGAACAAAAACTCCGCTTCTTCAAGATGCTCGTCGAGATTGGCTACAAGGAAATCGAGGTTTCTTTCCCCTCCGCCTCCCAAATCGACTTCGACTTCACCCGCAGCCTCGTTGAGACCCCCGGCCTGACTCCTGACGATGTCTGGCTCCAAGTCCTCTCTCCCTGCCGTGAGGACCTGATCCGCCGCACGGTTGACTCCCTTAAGGGAGCCAAGAAAGCCATTTTACACATCTACCTCGCGACGAGTCCGTGTTTCCGACGGATCGTGTTCAACATGGACAAGCAGAAGAGTTTGGAAATGGCCGTCCGCTGCACAAAGTACGCACGATCTATCACGAAGGATGACCCCTCTACTGCGGGTACCGACTGGCAGCTCGAGTTCTCCCCCGAGACTTTCTCCGATACTGAGCCCGAATTCGCCGCGGAGGTCTGCGAGGCTGTCAAGGCCGCGTGGGAGCCCACTGAGGAGCGCCCCATCATCTTCAACCTCCCCGCCACCGTCGAGATGAGCACACCCAATGTTTTCGCTGACCAGATTGAGTACTTCTGCCGCAATGTCTCTGAGCGTGAGAAGTACGTAGTATCTGTTCATCCCCACAACGACCGTGGCTGTGCCATTGCCGCCGCCGAGTTGGCCCAGATGGCGGGTGCTCAGCGAGTCGAGGGTACCCTATTCGGCAACGGCGAGCGTACCGGTAACGTCGATCTGGTCACTCTTGCCCTGAACCTTTACACACAGGGTATCTCGCCCAAGGTCGACTTTTCAGACATCAACGCCGTCATTAAGGTCGTGGAAGAGAGCAACAAGATCCCGGTCAACGAGCGATGGCCATACGGTGGTCAGCTGGTCGTCTGCGCCTTTAGCGGTAGTCATCAGGATGCCATCAAGAAGGGATTCAAGCTCCGCGAGGAGGCCGGCGCTTCCGACGACATCAAGTGGGAAATTCCCTACCTTCCCCTGGACCCTCAGGACATCGGACGAACCTACGAGGCCGTCATCCGTGTCAACTCACAAAGCGGAAAGGGCGGTGCCGCCTGGGTTATTCTGCGCAGTCTGGAGCTGGATCTCCCGCGCGCACTCCAGGTCGAGTTCAGCAAGATTGTCCAGAAGCGCACAGAAGAAGCCAACCGCGAGTTGCGACCCACCGAGATTGTCACCCTCTTCGAGGACGCCTACCACCTCAAGTCCAACCCCCGCTTCAACCTGGTCGACTACAACATCACCACGGACCGCTCGCAGTCCCCCGCTCCCCCAGAACCCGGCAAAGCTCTCAACACCAAGAACCTCAAGCGTCGCTTCACCGGTATCGTCGAAATCGATGGCCTCCAGCACGCCATCACCGGTGTCGGAAACGGTGCCCTCTCTTCTCTCGCCAACGCCCTTGCAACCCTGGGCATCGATCTCGATGTCATCGATTACAAGGAGCACTCCATCGGTGGTGGTGCCGCCAAGGGTAGGGACGTCAAGGCTGCCACATACATCCACTGCAGTGCTGCCGGTAGCCAACAGCAAGTGTGGGGCGTTGGTATCCACCAGGATGTTGTCCAAGCCAGTTTGATTGCCCTCCTGAGCGCTGCTAGCTCTGTAAGTTCAACTTGCCTCTTCGTAAATCAGGTTGACTAACCATGCGTCAAGTTCCTCACGAGCCGGGCTGGTTCCCCTGCTCCTTTCCGCCCCATGCGCTCCAACACCCTTTCTGACGAGGACCTCCAAGCGCTGGAGCAACTCGCCGGTTCCAACGGTGCCGGAGTTGCCGTCGCCAACATCTCCGAGGGCCAGTCTGATTCCAAGCCCACAGTAGACCTGGAAGCCTTGACGAGAAAGGCGGCCGGCCACTAATGACCTTCTAAGTGCATATTGGTTACTTTGTTTTGTTTGGGGCAGCGTTGCAGTAAGACAAAAGTATATCGCTTACTATATCCCAGTACATATGATTTGATAATGCATTCTGGTTGTCCGAAAGATAGACACAATCCGACCTACATTGCTTTTCCATTCATCGGGTCCTAAACCATGCACCCCCCTGTTCCCAGCTAGTCCACCTTCCCCTAACTCATCAGCCTAAACGCTGCAACACCACTGAATCCCAAACCCAGGCTGCACATAGCAAATCTCCCTCACGGCCACACAGTTCGTATACACCTCATCCGACGTAACAACACTCACAACCGCACTCTCGGTCTCCTCCACACAGTCCACTTCCGACCCCTGGTCGTAGGTTCCGCAGAGCTCGCCTTGTCCGAGACGCAAGTCGATAACCCCGCAGGTGCTGTTGACGATCAGCGAGTACGTGTCAGTTGCTGTACTGGGGGCGATGCCAACGCCGACGGAGCCAGGTGTGCAGATGTTCTGGGCTGCGGTCGAGGCAGCGAGGATGATGATCGTTGTTGCGACGGTGTTGAGGTGCATTTTGGTTTGATTTCGAGCTGGGGTTGAATTTTGGGTGGTATGAGGTTTTCTTGTGAGCTTTCTTGAAAGCGAGGATGAGGTTGAAGACCGGCACTCTCGCTGCCTGCTCTTAGGTCTTTATATGCTGTCAATCATCCTCCATGGCCGCACTCTAGACTCTACATGTGACCAGCACCGCGTTGAGCCCGTGTCCAACGCAAGGTGAGCTAGTTTTAAACCCGACTAACTCGTATTCAAAATGCGGTGCTGATCACCTGTACCGTAGACACCGACTTCTCGTATTCTCCAGGCGGCCAGCGGGCTATTGGAGGTACGTTGTGGATGTGATATCATCCTAAGGATCGATATCTCAGCACTGGAGGTGATTTGACTCGGAATTGAGACAGTGAGGCACTGCAGAAACTTTAAGAGTCTTGCTTTTTTCGTTAGACCTGCTCGACTCTCGGGGTGCGCGGGGCGACCTCACTCTTCTCTTCCTTCCAAATCCTCTCTATTTCCTCCATCTCCGCCTACAAAGGGCCTATTAGCTGTCCTCTCCGGGCCTGCCTCGCAATCGGGGTCTTGATCATGGGTATATCATTGGTGGAATCAGGAGGATGAGGAATGGTGTTCCCTGCAAGCCCGATTGGCTTGTCCACATCTCGAGGTCTCACCTATGCTTCTGCAACCAGGATCGGCTTTTTTGTATGTCGAGTCAACTTTACCCCAACTCCTGGAGCTCAGGTTAAACTGTGTTTTATCAGTTGCCGCAAAGAAGGGGCGACATACGAGGAATGGGATGGGTGTATATAGATGATGTTGTGCATCATCCTTAGCACTACAACATAAGCCACAACCAATGTTGTTTGTTCAATTAGGAGATGTAGCACTATTCGTGCTTCTCTATTGCTTTTGCCAGTGCCAGGTATTGACATTTGGCTCTGGCTCTGCTGTTTTGGCCAAGGTAAGGGCCCCCTGTTGACATCTGGGTTGCTCCGGATGAGCCCAAGGGTGTCACTCGAGCAGCCAGCGATCTAGCTTTGGATTTCGGGCGAGTGGTGGATGTGAATGGCACGGTGCACCAGAATACCACGATTTCCCACATCAACACGGGACGGTGTTCCTGTTATCGTTGGGGCATTCGGCATATATCTTATCGGCCAGCTCGTCAGTGACGGCAAACTCGACGTCTCCGAGAGTGAAGGCCAGTGGGAGCCCTAGGTTCACGCCGTTATCAAGGATCCTATCAACGGCATTTCTCGTGCTCTAGTGATGGCCGGAAGCAATAGACGGGGCACAATCTATGGTATTCACGACATCTCAGAAACGGCCGTTGTGTCGCCTTGGTTATTGGGGCCCATGCCTCTCCAAGAAAGTGATTTACTCATGATCGAGTTCAAGGACCGCCATCCGCCAAGTATCGCGGAATCTTCATCAATGATGAATGGCAACTTGTAGAATGGGCGGAGCGCAGACGCTGAATGTGTGGCTGTTGGAGCCAGGGGTTGTTCTTCAGAGGATTTTGATTGACTTCGGGGTGGTGGAGAGTGCATTAGGTCCGCCGGAGAGTCGATTCATCGAGGGGTACCATCTATACAATTGAGCTTCAACTGAGGAAAGAGCCAGCGAGGCTCGAATAGGGAAGGAGCGATTGCGCGTGGCCTACCTAGTCACCATCGCGCCTGCCGTTCGAGGTGGCGGCGTCTCCGTCGCACTTTAGGAAGGAGCGATGGGCCGGGGTGGCATCTTGCACAATTGCACTTACTTTCAAATCTATTCGAGATATACGATCTAATAAAGCTGTATATTCGTCATTATTAACTGGGTAGCTGGTATATTATGCTGAAATATATGCATTTGTGACTTGAGTGAGTCGCCGGGCTTCGGTTAGGGCTTTTAGAGAGCAGGTGAGCAAAGATCAAGACCAAGCCCATGTCTGGATTTCCAAAGGTGTGGATATAATAAAATTGTCTGGAGGTACTCTAGTATTTGCTCATGATAACTCAGTTGCTTTGAGTGGTCATTCTAAGTGAGTGATTTATGCCGTGTGTAAGAGGAAGAGTGGCGGGATATATATTTACGTTTTTTTCATCGCTTAGTATCACAACTACAAGGACTCTGTCCAGCTGATAATTCCCACAGTGAGCAACCACTGGCGAACTAGATGTGATAGTATATGAACATGTATTTCAGGGGTATGTATGTACAAGTGAACAAAAGCGATTAAATCAGGTTCGAACCAGAACAGTGGGCTAGCTGATGCATCAGGGACGTAAAGGAAGGGGTTCGTTCATCGGGCTATGCAATTGCAATCAGGGGAACAAAAAAAAGAAAAGAAACACAAGGTCAAAATACCCAAGCGGTGATCTAATTTATTGTAGATAGTCCCTGCGGGCTCCTGGGCCGCGTACATCGGCGTCATATGCTGACTGGTACATCAGCGCTTCCTGTGGCCAGTCCACTTGTTCGTCTGGTGCGCCGGTCGCTCTGGGTTGATATGAGTCACTTCGCCGGGAGAAATCAATGGCGGGCGCTCCGGTGCTCGGGTTTTGTAAGTATCCTGGGCCCGGGCGGTAGGGGAGAGACTCCGCGGGGTGACCCGGTTGTGAAGGAGCTGCGGTTGACCCTCCAAAGTCTCCGAAATCGAAACTGAAGTCACGCCTGTGGCCCCTCGGAGTATCATTACTCAATACAGGGGACTGGTTCTCATTAGTGTCAATAGGAGTCTCCGGTTCGGCTGCTGGCTGAGGCTGATGATGCTGAAGCTCGATCTGCGGCACTTCCGGGATAATCGCCGAAGAGCTGTTGACCAGCGTCAACGAAGGCTCTGCTGGGCTCTCCAACAGAGGTGGAGCGGGAGGCAAAGCCGGAGAGCGCGGTACAGGTTCATCCGGAACAATCGTAGACCGTCGAGCGCTTCGGGCGCTGTGGCCCATGATGCTGCCGGCCTTGGAGCTCTTGCTCATACGGTGCTGTGGAGCAGGCCCGAAGTTGCTGCCTTCCATCTCGCGGATGCTGAACTGCGCGATCGTCCGCAGTTTCCTAGTCACCCAGGATGCTAGCACCTTCCCGCGCTGTTTCTCGCCTAGTCGAGAGCGGGGGAAGTCTCCGTGGGAGACGAACGCTACAATGTCAGCGACGACCTGGTGTTCGTTGAGGACAGCGTTCACAATGACCGGGACCAAGGACGCTAGATAGGCTTTTCTCGCCACCTCGACCACCACCACAATCATGCCACCAGCCTGGAACACAGCACTGTAAAAGTTAGGAAAGATTGTGTGGAAATGTAAGGTTACTTACCATCCGCCGTTCACGATGTTACGGTGGCACTTCTCCACAGAGTTCTCAATATCCATGGGAAAGTGGTTCAACCCATTGACCTCGAAAGTCTCTCCGATTCCTCCAAGTACGAACAGCACTTGCATCTCAACAGGCTGACCTCCAGGTCCGATTGGCCGTGTAACCGTATGAAGGAAGCCTAAATCTCCGGTCCGTACAAAGGATACGTTGGGATCTCCATCCTCAATCCTGCCATCGAACCGCTCAAGATCGAAATCTTGCTTCGAGCCATAGAATGATTTGGCGCAAGCATCTGATTGAAGCCAGATCTCTCCGTATTCACCAACTTGAGACAGAGTGCATGTTTCCGGATTGACAATAGCGATCTGTGTGTTCACAGGCACCATACCAGAGTCCTGCAGTGCTAGCGCTGTTGGGTCTGTATCAGGATCCACAGGAACGATGAGACCACGACGCAAAGCTCGCAGATCCAGCCACACCTCGACGGGTTCAATACACATATAAGACCTGGTAACAATCATGGGGTTGAGAACGTGCGAATACACCACATTGATCGCCGTCCGGTCCAAGTTGGCACCGGCAAAGTGCAGGCGTACTTTTTGGTCTGCGACAACGTTAGCGATCTGCATGTAAACTGTGATCAAGGTTATCCTACAGATGTCAACACGTGGTCGGCCTTCGGCAGATATCATTAAGTTCTTCAGTTCTTGAAGCTGGAAGCCTTTTCCGGGCATTGCACTGATGGCATAGTCCAGCATTTGGCTGGTAGCGTATGTATCCTTGATCTTGTACCTAGAGAGGGCAAGGAATAGCGTCATAGGATTCTGCGCAAAGTCAACTGGTGAGACTAAGTATGTCGGCGCACCTAAGTCATGTTAGCCTCCACTACCCCCGGTCTTGTAACGAACAAAATAACTTACCAACATATATACCCATCAGGCAGGTATGAAGGAAGCCAAGACCCAAAGTGCTTCGCACACTGCCTAGAACCGGTCGAGAACTAGTCATCTGGCATGTCTCTTTCTGTACCTTGCACATGCCCAGTATGGTATCATGTCCGATTGAGACAGAGATCCTCCGTTGGTCTGGAGTCCAGTACGTCCAGACCATAGCCGGTTGATTTCCTTGCAGCCATGCCTCCTTCATTGTGAGTCCGAGGTCCTTACACCCATGAGACTGTTTCGATGGCTTGGTGGTGTTGTAGATGGCAGGCACTCCTATCCTGAGAACTTGCGCAGACTGCTTGATATGTTGTGAAACAAGTTTCTGTCGCATCACATGGTCAACATCGTTGTTGACGATGATCGCCTTTATGTGGAAGTCACTGATAACATGAAGAAATGCAGGGGCATCTTCAGAAAGCCGGTTCTGATCGATAGGCGCAAGAGGAATCACAACAACACCGAGGCAAAAACAAGCGTGGACCGCATAGACATAGTCTTCTGAGTGGGTGTACATCAGAATCACATGGTCGCCCGGGCGAAGCTTGACTTTGTTTCGCAAGTAGATCGCGACGGCGGCAACTTTAAGGTCGAATTTCTTCCAAGTTATGCCCTTTCCTTCCTTTCCGCGGCCATCAATAGAGCAGTACGATAGTTCCTCGGCTTGCCGGGATACCCGCCACTGCAGTAGGTCGACGATGGAGGTGAAGTTGTTGAGAGGTGTGGAGGTGCGATCGTCCATAACGACATCACGATAGTCCACTCCGGAATATTGCTTCTCTGGCAGCTCCAACATAGCTTGCCTGGTTTCCAAGGCCAGAGGCGACCAAATACCTCCAACCGGATCAACACCAATGGGAAGGTTCATGACCGATCGTCCAACGCCAAATTTGACATGAACGCAGGGTAAGGTTCCTGCATCAAAGTCCTTACGGCAAAGCATGTTGCCAATTTCCTGTCTTCCGTTCTTAGTAACCCGCGGAAGGGTATTTGGCGCTGTAAGCATCACACAGTAGACTCTCAGATGGTGTTCCTGGTAAAGAACCTCCATGCATCTTTCTGCAAGAGACTCAAGAAGGGCGGAGTCCAGCTGTCGCGGAGGGCCTCCTGAAGTTGTCGGCGCCGTTGACGCCGCGTACGACTCAAGCACAACAATCGGAAGATGTTCTTCGTTGACAAACACGTCAAAAGCTGTACAGTCGTGTATTTTTGGAATGTTCTTGAGCGTGCTGACGACTAGGTGTTGAACGAAGAAGTAGCGATGTTCCGCGGCTGGCTGTCCATGCTCGACCCACTCTACCTTTTGGCGGATTCGGTCTTCATACAGCCCTAGCACGAAGACCTTGCCCTCAATTACACAACCAAGGAGGCCGGTTCTAAGAAACTCGGGCTCAACCAAAATAGGAGTGGGGTTGGCCTCTTCAAATTTATACGGCCGTGCGTGGAAAATAGCTTCCGTATGTTTGGGTAGCGCCCAGAATCCACCGGAAAGAGAGGGCGAGTCGATCCAGATTTCGCCGATAACGTTGGGTGTGCACAGCAGATTGGTTTCGGGGTCAACAATGGCGAACGTCGCGTCAGGTATAGGATATCCGAAAGCCCCAACACGAACAGCATTGGGCATAGTCCCCGCATACTTCCGGGCATCCTCGCCCATGGCTAATACCACGACTTCATTGTTCTTCAAGGCCTCTTTATCAAGCAGCGCTTCTCCAAGCTCAGTCGTCCCCGTTTGTTCAGGGGCTGGAGCAGATGACCCGCCGCCTAGCAAGCTACTTCCAAACCCGCTGTTCTCGGCCTTATCGGAATTGGCTTCTTCCTTCTTGACCTCCTGATCATCAATTGGGTCCATCTCGTGCGTCAAAGGACAGCCCATCCGTTCTTCGCCTCCTAACCAGTCCCTTACGCTAATTACCATACCGCCATGTTCGGGCAAGCATAGCATCGGCGCGACAATTTCGCGCGCTCTCGGATTCCTCATGGGCCGCAGCCATCTGTCCGCAAGCACCTCATGGAACTCGGCATCAACAGTGAGCGTATCAATCAAACAAAGCTTGACACTAGCAAAGTTAGGTTCCGCGTTCTTCTTGAAATGCCGCGTAGCCATAGGATCTTGCTGGTAGTTGTAAGCAGTTATCTTCAGCCCAGGATAATCAGCAGCCATGATTGTGGCTCTGTATTTCGTCACGAGGTGTGCGTAGAGACCCGGCGTTTCAACCGCGCGGTCTTCCAGCCACACGGTTGTATGACCACCGTACGCTGTGAGAAGCACGCCCAATATCATACCTATACCCTGTCTAGGGTCTAAGTAGCTAATAATGGTCTCTCCACGGGATTGCTGCCTCGAAGACGAAGGCACAGTGGCGAACATCGCACTCAAACAGGCCATCTGATGCATTATCGTTCGGTGGCTCATGACAACACCGCGCAGGTCTCCTGTCGGGGCGCGCGAGAACTCGATATAGGCGAGATCAGGAACAATAAGCGGCGGTGTATCATCCTTCTTCTTCGGATGCCAACTGCCGAATTCATTCGTCTTCCACCACTCTACACCTCGAGGCCAGTTGAGCTTCTGAGTCGTAATGTCTCTCTGGAAGCTTTTGAGGTTATTTTCCGTCGTCAGTGCAAGATGCGCTTGGGTCGACGTAAGAACAAGGTTCAAGCTTTGATAATCGTTTAAGCTGTTGATGGGAACGGCGACAACTCCGGCAATAAAACAACCTAATAATGCAACAGCAAACTCTATAATCTCAGAATCTCGATAGATCAGAGCAACGCGGTCCCCACGGTAAAGGTTGCTCTTGTCACGAATGACCTGGGCGACCTTTTCCGCACGGCTTGCGAGCTTCTCCCACGTTATAGACGCAATTTCCTTTCCCTTTTGATCTAGGACCCAATATGCCGGCTGTTTGCCGCTAGTTCGCGCGCGGTGTCTGAGAACTGTGGGGATATTGTCGAAATTTGACATTGGGGTATTTTTATCATGCGGGTCATGTACAGCGAATGGGATATCGCGGGGCTCGAGGGGCAGTAGGTGATCGACAATAGCGCCTTGCGGGAGATCAGAGGCAGGTATTAATGGGGGCGCCATATTCGCGGTTGGAGAGAATGCATCAGATTGAGAGTATCGGTGGAACCCGCCACCATAGCTATCTCTATAGTCCTCCTGTTGCTGCCCGGCAAAGTCGTCGAAGTACCCTTGTTGCGACTCCAGCATTGTCGACTGTCGTGACACTTCGGGAGGAGGCATATCGTAAGCTCCAACCGGTTCATCAAATTGGCCATTGGGGCCCGTAGGGCTGAAAGCGTAATTCTGGCTCAGGAGGGTCGCTGTCCTCGAGTCCTGTTGTACGGGAGGGGCAGGTTTTGGGAGAAAAAGAGAATCATACGAGGACGCCGATGGACCCCGTCCATGGTGAGACATCATCGCACCGTCTCCATTGAACGGCGACAATCCCTCGTTGCCAGCATTTTGCTCGTACCCGAAGCTTCCGTTACTTGGCGCTCCATGTCCACCGGTGAAAGATTGCGAGGGTCCGCCCGAATCAGCTGTTGGCGGCCGAATACTGAGAAGTGCTGGCGGAGATCTGACGGAACTGGTCATCGACTGGGTTGGTTCGGCAGCGCTGACAGCATTGAAATCGAGAGCCGTAGATCCGAGGTACTGCGAAAGGAGGACGGTTCGCCGTTTCTGATAACTTTGGTGATGTTAGCCCCAACGTCTCGATCATTTCCAACCGCACGCGTAGCGGGACAGAAAGCTTCTCCGTAAAGCGTATAGCATTTTCCGTATATCCATTCCTCCTAAGTATTTTCGAATTATTCGGCGCGGAAAAGCTTACCCCTTCTCTGTAATGTCACCTTCCTAGACAGGATTATCAGCACTGTGATGCAGAAACGAGCTAAGATCCATTAGAAGAATCATCAACATACCTCAAGTTCCCTATCCAGTTCCCGCAGAGCGGACTGGAGTTGGGGGTGTTCCTCCGCCATCTTGACGATGTCGCGGTGACGAGAGGTTGTGGTTCTAGCAGGAGTATCCGCGGGGATGCGCTACCCTCATCGCAAGTTTGCTGAGCAGCTTCGATAGGATGCCTATTACCAAGAGGAACGCTTTTCCTGAGTGTTCAGGCTTGCGAATTGGAGAAACAAAGTCGGTTGAATGAATCGCACGACTTGTCTCTCCGCGTCTAAAGCCACAGCGTCACCTGCTGGTGGCTAACCTCACGGGGCACGGGCCAATGAGAGCGGGCCTCGGAATAAACACCGCCACAGCTCCGAGACATGTTTTAGACGTTCATCTCTCAATGCTACTCTGTACAACGCGGATAACATCAACTTTTCGGCGAAGCTGAAGGTGCAAGTAAGTGGAATAGTGACAGTATTGTCTGAGCAAGAGGACTGCAGCAGGCTTCTATGTTTGCTTTGATGGCTTATATAAGTTCTACTATAGGGCGGCTACGGCGTGTGCTACTATAAGAGACTTAATAGTACTGGAGTACCAGTCCAGGATGAGGTATTGAAACAAAACATATTATAGGAGTACCAGTTATGATTGGTGAGAGATGGATGTATTGGCATAAACCTGAAACTACTCAGATTGTCCGCAGATATGTTGTATTCAGACGCAAACGTCGTAGAGAATACGGTTTAGATTACGGAGTAGCCGCCCCGCGAATGATCAAAGTAGCCTGATGAGCAGCAGATGGTACAACCGTTCAACCCCTATCAAGGATCGGTTCCTGCCGAAGTTCCGCGCTTGACTTGTCGATTGCCAATTGCCAAATGACAGTCACCGTAGCATTTATCGATAAAGCCGTTTAAAGAGGTCTCAAAAATTGGACCATCTGCTGGGGTGTTTGGATTATTGAGGAGGGAAACTGTATGAAACACCCAGTATTTGTTACCTAATAACACGCCAAGAGTGGTATGGTGGTATAATTGGGGAGGCTAAGGACTTTCTGGAAGCACGCTAGAGGCCCGGCTAACAGTAAGGCCGATGGATGACTCCACCCTAAGGTTCAGGCTTCCATGTCATCAGTATACATCATTACTCACTGCTCAGAGCCCACGTCTGGTCTACGTAATGTTTCCATCGTCCATTGGCATGGGATGGTTCCGGGCCTATTATATGACTAGTATACCGTTACTTTCTGACGCGGATAGTAGTGAGTCATAGCTCCAAACAGCTTAGAGCGCATAGACCACTCATGAAGCTATTCAGATGAGCGGTGGAAGCTTTGCTGTGAGCCTGTGACCGTAATACCGGCGTATTGGGCGAATCATACCCGTAGCCGCCGTTCCTCTTAGCGTTTCGAGTCGACCTCACTACTGGGCCATGTCCATAATAATAATAATAATTATTTCCGTTGGCAACCACCTCGACGTTCTGTACTCTTTTCGCTTCACTTCGTCGACAACTTCACCGTCCGTCTATCCCTCCTTTGCCGGCGCCGCTTCGCCTTTTTGTGAACACGGCCCGCTATAGAGACTCGAGGGGTGATTCTGATACGTCCCGCCACCTCCCGAATTCGTCACAATTCCCCATTGCGAGCGGGACATTATCCGAGGGTGGAAAGGTGGACTTCGCGCACCTCTCAGCGTGTACTCTTGATGAGACATAACAGACCCTCTCATCTTCTTCGTCTTTCGCCTCTCCCATCGACCCGACTTCGACAATACCTATCATCCTTACAGCTATTCCCGATCACCCGTCGCAGCATCGTTTCCCGCTTCGGCTTGCTGTTGCGCGGAAGACAGGTAAAAAGATCGCGGATTCTATCGTCACCTTGACCTTTACACGACGCTCCTTCCTTGCGCCGATACACCAAGATTCTAAAAACACACGTCCTTGTTCTGCCATATCTTTGCGTTCTTTTGAGCTCGAGCTCCTCGCAAGCTGCCATGATGAACACGACTCCTCCTATCGACATCGCCACTCGGCAGACTCCCTCTGTTTCGCCCCGGTCGAACTTGACATCAGCTTTGCAAAATCAAGCAGGTAACACTGAACGTGCGGGCAGTATATCCCATGCAAACGGTTTGCCAATCAATATGTTCAAGGCTTCTGCGCCCCGCAAAGACTCGATCGGCACAGCCTCACACCAATGGGGCAATGGTACAAAACCGATCTCAATGGCGGGATCCAGCCGGAATCAACAGCGCCGGGAGTCATTAGCAGGAAGCTTGGTCGGTGGCATGAGCTGGGGTGGTGTCTCTGTTGGCAGCTGGATTCGCGATGAGTAAGTCATTTTCTATGCGTCGCCCGTTGGCCGCATACTGACGGAATCAACGTAGCATCATCATGGCCGGTACCTCTCCTTTCACCACTTTCCAGTCGCCCTCATTCCATTCGTCCTCTTATCTGCCGAAACTCGAAGCAAACTTCATGCGCGACTTTTCTTGTTGTGGTGTTACTCTGCCTACTCTTCATGACTTGCTACAACACTATGAAGAAGCGCACGCCACGAAATCAGGTCATCGCCCGAGCCAGGTTGATAACCGCGCAGCTCTTGCCGCTGCGGCAATTGCGCAGCAGAATCAATCAAACAACAACCAAAGCCGAGGTCTACAACCAGATAGGACCTTTGACATGCAACGAAAGATGAACCAGTCACATACCCCCCAACAACATTCCGATATGGACACCATTGATGACATGGAACTGGATGATGCCATGGATGATACCGATGCATCCTCCCAGTTCTTCGCACCCCAAACACGGGATCCGACTCAAGGAGGATTTGGAACACCGAATCGTGGAGTCCCTAACTTGAACTTATCTATGCTTCCGAACCATCAGGGATTCAAGAGTTCGCAACCGGGAACTCCAGTTGCATCTGGCCTTCCACTTTCACTGCAAAACAATCCCACTGTTTCTTCCGTCAATACACCTACTCTGATGCCGAATCCCCTTCAAAATGCACAGTTCCGTGGCACCCCCGACTCTTCGACCCCGGGAACTCCCGCTGAGTTTGACGACAGCATGCTCGGTCCGTTTGGGGAATTCTCCATGCAGAATGCGATGATGCAGGGTCAGCCGCAGTTTTCGAGATTCACGGGCAATAATGACATGGTGGATCTGTGTATTGACGAACCTGCGAAACGACTGTTCAGCCCAACCGGCGGAATCAACCAGTCTAATGCCCATTTCAAGCTCAGTGGAGCGCAGTATGGCCCGAACAGTGACATTGCCAGACGGATACGCGAACAGCAGCTGCTGGCAGGTGTTCCTGACACTACTTCTATCCTCCCGAACGAGGAACCCAAGCCCTATAGGTGTCCAGTAATTGGCTGCGAAAAGGCGTACAAGAACCAAAATGGGTTGAAATATCACAAAGCTGTAAGTCGCCTCGAAAACATGTCCCGGTACAGCATTGATCACTAACTTTTCGATTAGCACGGCCACAACAACCAGCAGTTACATGACAACGCAGATGGGACCTTTTCAATTGTCAATCCAGAGACATCTGCTCCATACCCGGGAACTCTCGGCATGGAGAAGGAGAAACCATACCGCTGCGAAGTCTGCGGTAAGCGCTACAAGAACCTGAACGGGCTCAAATATCATAAATCGCATTCGCCTCCTTGCAACCCCGATTTCCAGCTTGCTGCTGCTCGTAGCCTCAACTATGGCGGTGGAGTTATGCAGGGGCAGAACATTAATGTTGCTGGGGCGGGTTTACCTGGCATTGGTGAAGAAGGTCTCTTATAGACTCTTTTTTCGAGTCTCTTTCGCCTTACTTCATTTCGGTTCTATGAATTTCTACGGCCTCATTGTGCGACATACGATTTAATGAGCGGGTTGGTGGTTTGGAGTTAATTTGGTATGGATGCCCGTCAGAGTGGTTCATCACAAGTTGGCTCTCTGGGCTTGACGATACCCCCAAGACTTCCGAAGACCTATAATGGCTTTTTCGGTGCTCCTAGAACGGATCTTTTCTGAATCTATTATTTGGTTCTACCATACGGCTTTTTCTGCGTCCGCGCGCTGTGCTCTTTCCTTTGCTCCTGGATTTCGCGGCAGGTTCCCAGATGGTCTGTTCTGTTCTCTGAACGCCTTATCTTTCCTTCGGAACCTTGTTCTCGATATCGAACTGGAGATCATGATTTTAGACTTGGTTGTCTTGGTCACTTGTCTGGGTCTGGTGTTTTTGTTACATCTATCCCTGGGAAACTAAGACAAATGGTGTTTTCTACAGCGCTGTTTGTAGATAGGTATTCTTATGACTAGTTTCGGCCGTGTTTGGATCCTTCTTTGGTGTGGTTATTTGCATTTACATGCGTCTTGCGTTTGCACGGTGTTCTTGGACTCGCGAGTTCTGATTACCCTTTCTACCATCAGGCGTTCCTGATAGATAGAGATCTCATTTCTACCTGACTTTCCCAACTCACAATCATGCTTCGAAGTTTTTTTCTTTCTTTTTTATGAGCTGGCGTGGACGTTAACAGACAGGAAAAGTTTTTGAGATAATGAGATTCAACAACTTCACTGAGTGTTTACTTGTAGAGTAGCGTACAATTACCATGGAAGGATAACCGCTCATCTCAGTTCCCGACTCAGTCCGATGGTTTATAAGGTCCTCGTCATGGCGGGTCGTCCAGCTTAGCGACGCGCATAGTCAAGAATACTCCGAACTTCTTCATCCAGGTACTCTGAATTATTTGGTTTATTTTGAAACGCACCTAAGGTATTCTAATACAAAAAACCACGAAAAAGAAAAGAACCACCGTCTCGTCTGCCTGCATAAGCGCCACCTACCAAACGACTCAGGAGAAGACAAAAACATTGGAACGGCATAGCAACGTTGGACGTTTGAAGTAGTATAAAAGCGACGGAACTCCCAAAGTGGAACAGATCATTTGGTCTGCTGAAGACATCCGAATTTATAGTTTCATATCATTTCGATTTCGTTAAAGAAGTGAAGCATAGTTCACTGTGCAAAGCAACGTTCAGAACCGAACCGATTTTTCCGGGTTATATTTGAGTGGTTGATCGGTCGTGTCTGTTGGGGAGAAGTGGTAGACAGAGTTTTACAGATTCAAAAAGGGTATGGTATGTATGAGTAAGGGAAAACGAATGAAAAAGGACGAGAAGAGAAGTTGACAGATCATTACTGGGAGACGGCACAAGAATCGTCTACCATTCGAACTCACCCTGACCTTTGTGGAAGACGTATCTGTCGGAGTTAGTGAAAATACAAGATAGCAGAGGAGGAAGAAATCCAAAACGTACTCTTTGCCTCCAGTGGTCAAGATACCGTCCTTCAACGTGCACTTCCACTTATTCTTGACGCGTTGAACCTTATCGTAGGTGCAAAGCATGACTTGTCCAACAGCATCATCGTCATCCTCATCTTGAGCAACCAGGTCGTCAGGGTCGTCAAGATCAGAATTGATAGCGTCTTCATCGTCCTCCTCCTTTGTGTCGTCGCCTCCTGGGCCGTCATACTGGGCTTTGGATTTGGAAGACGGACCAGTAGATGCGGAAAGCGAGGTCTTCGGCTGGAGTTCGCGCTCATCGAGAGGAACCATCAGACCACCCCCTTCGAGATCCAGCATTCGCTGCCTGAGATGGTCACGAAGCGCCCTGTCACCCTCTCCATCCGCAGCAGCCTCACGTCTTCGCGCAACTTCTGCCTTCCATTCTGACAGCACGTCGCCAGCGGCACCATCGGTTTGGGCGTTGCTTACGGACGGGTGCGGTACAGGGTGATAGCCCGTCTCCTGCTTGATTTGGTGACCCTGACCGTTGGGAATCTGCTGCATCTGCTGCATGTGCTGCATAGGTTGCATGTGCTGCATGCTAGCAGGGCGCGGTAACCCCAGAGGTGGTTGTGACTGTGCTTGCATCTGACTGACCGAGTTGGCGGCCGCTGCGCCGTACCTCTGCTGTATCAAGTTGGTAGCGCGTTCGCGCGCCGACTGCGTATTCGGTGGGATATTCATCATATGACTCATGGGGGGCAATGAAGGATGGCCGTTGAGACCCGGCTCTGTCTTAATTTGAGGCGAGTGCCCCGCGGGATAGGCACCGCTAGCCCCAACTGAAGCCGGAGCCTGAAGAGGCGGGCCGTTGGGAGGCATGGACTGCGGGTGCGGCACATGCTGGGGATGTTGTGGCTGTTGATATTGAGGATGCGATTGTTGGGGCGGGATATGTTGCTGTAGATGCGCGGTTTGTGGGCGAGGAGCGTTAGAGGGAACTGTTGCTGTATGAGAAAGGTTCTGAGGTTGAGCGATTGTCGGTGGAGCAGGGTCCCAAGGGAAATGGGCGACACCCAGAGAGGAGAGTTTCTTCTCCCAGCTCTGCGATGATATTAGCGACCATGGAAGGAACCGACAAGGGTGATGATAAAATGAGACACATTAATTAGTTATGATGGTGATACAGGCGAAGACGTGTGTCATGAAAACGAAGGGCCATGCGCGATTAATAGTTGGACGGAGGGAGGCAGACGCGCTGAGGAGAGGTGGCTTGGCGGCCTGAGGCGGGTATAAAAGAGGTTCAAAAGCAGGCGCTTCCCCAGCACAAACACCGCCTCCCGCACCTCTCGGCCTCCCCCGCTTTCGCCCAGATCAGGCCCCATCAAGGGATATTCCATCAACTTGCATCTAAAGAAAGCAGTTTCTCACCTTTTTCAAGTCTTCAAGCGTCTGCTGGTCGACGCCGCTCTCCTCAAAATCCACCTGAGACGCATCGTACACCTCTTGGATGACTTCCTGGAAGATGTTGCCCTGCATGACACCCTGATTTAGCAGACATCCTTACAACAAGAAAAGAAAAACAAAGCGTTGTTCGCAAATCGCGTGCGTTCGATACTCCGGGACATGGAAGATAAGGGTGTTCTGAGATGACACTCACCACCAGCTGGTTCGACATGATGACTTGTCGAAGAACAGGGACTTATGGCCGCTTATGTGTCGAGTTTAGAGGACAGCAGGAACGTTTGTGAATTGATTTCTCGCTCACTTTCTAACGAAAAGGTAAAAGGAAAGCCAACGACAAGCTTAGAGACCTATGCAGCGATGGTTTGTTCGACTTATTGCCAGGAGAGCTTCTCGTGGCAGCGGTCGGCGATGACGGGCTTTCGAGATGCGGCGGCTCGACTCCTAAACGACCACTATATCTTATCTCCCAATACTAGCTGTTTCTCGTAGATAGCGTCAACCCCCGGCAAAGCAAAGCGGATCACACAATGTATATGATTCCTAGAACGCGCGGTCGGTATGGAGGCCAGGAGGGCTAGGAAAGGGACGATAGAAGGGCGAGGTGTTGGTAAGGCGAGGTCCTCGTTGCCGGGCGAAATCCGCCTTCTCCAGGCCGATTACTCAGCAGCTAGCGCCACTCTCCTATAAATACTCCTACTGTACTCCTCGCCCGGCTTCATTGTACTCACTTTTGTGTAGAATGCAGATCCAATCCAGTTTAGAATTGTTAAATCACATTTCGTCTCATAGCTCATCCAGAGCTTAGTTTCTTGAAATGCGTCGAATGAGACTGCCTCGTCTCACTTATAATGAATCCCGATGACTGGGGGCCAAAATGACGCCTCCAGGCACCGGCGCTTTCTGAATAGTGCCTTGACTATTAAAGTATTTAAAGCGACCACTGATTTCCGTATCATCACTGCCGTAGAATGATCCCAATTTCAACAATTCCAACCCTCACGCTCTACCGAGGCTGGCTAGAACCAAACCATTACGTCTGGTCCCCCTTCGTAGTCAAGCTCGAAGCCAGACTACGCCTTTCGGGCGTCCCCTACAAGACAGCCTCGGGATCCGTCCAAACAGCACCAAAAGGCAAGATCCCGTACGTCGAGATCGCGGACAGCAAGGACGGAAGCAGCCTTGCCCCAGCAAGCATCGGCGACTCGACGCTCATCATCAAGCACCTGATCGAGCGCGGCATTCTGCCAGACTTGAACGCCGGGCTATCGCCGTCCGAACGAGCGCACGATTTGGCAATTCGCGCTTTGCTGGAGGATAAAGCTTACTTTTACAATGTATAATTGACGGACTAGCCTTTATCTGCTGGTCAGGCATGGGAAGCGAAGTAAGACTCCCAGCTAACAAGCACTTGCAGACTCGCGAACGATGGACAGAAAACTACTACACCATGCGCGACCACGTTCTCAGCGCGATCCCTTATCCGATCCGTATCGTTGTTGGGTTGCTCATCTACCGCTCCACGGTAAAGACTCTGAATGGCCAAAGGACGGGTCGGTACTCAGCAGAGGAGATCCAAGGTCTCCGGGACGAGGCCTGGGGCGCCGTAAATGACTTGCTCGTTGCGTCGAAGGCAAAAGCAAAGGATGGAGATCGTCCGTTTTGGGTGCTTGGGGGTGAAGAGCCGACTGAGGGTGATGCTACGGTATTTGGATTTGTGGTTTCGGCGTTGATATGTGATGCGTATGTTATCCCTCTTCTACTTCGTTGAATGGGAATAGATGAACGGTCATAGACTGACTTTATGATACAGTGGACCGAAGTTGAGGGGGTTGGTGATGGGTTTCCCTGTGATAAGAGAGTATGCTAGGAGGATCCATGATGCATACTTTTCGGACTATGAGTGGGTTGAGTAGACTAATTGACCAGCTTGGTCGGCAAGTCCTAATCGTCTACAGCAGAGGAGAAAGAAGATCAATCGGGTATGCGGATGGATTGAGACTTCTAAAGTGCAATATACGTCAACCTAAATACAACGCCTGATCCCCAACACCTTGCCCCAACACCTTGCCCCAAGAAAACACCGAAGAACTAAAGTAGTAAGGTATGCCAGATACCTATACAATCGAATAGGATAAACCCAGTTACCGAATAGTCATCGACTTGGTCATCTGCGCTTTACTTCCGACGCCGCCCTCGCGGGAGGCCGAGGCGCTGGTTCCAGGCTTGCGCTCAAAGACCTTCCAGAACTTCAAGCTTTCGTCGGCCGCGGCGGTGGCTAGAAGCTGGCCGTCGGGGCTGAGGCAGCTGTGCAGAACACGAGTCTCGTGAGCAGGAATCTCAACGTTGCGGACTAAAGTTGGGTAGCTCCAGATGCTAAGCGAGTTATCAGGGAAACCGCTGGAGCTAACAATCTCGCGGTAGTGGTTGCTCCACCGTAGGCTGGTAACCTGAGAGCCGGTGTCGATGCTGTTGGTCCGAGCACCGGTTGTTGTGTTCCAGAAGTGGATGTGTCGATCATAGGAACCACCACCAGTGGCGAGGAGGTTGAGTTGCCAGGGGCACCAGCTGAGAGCTTTCACGGCGGCGCGATGGTTGGTCTTGGTGAACTTGGGAGCACTCAATGATCGGGCATCCCAGATGTTAACCAAGTTGTCGTTGCCGCCTGTGGCAAGCTGAGCACCATCAGATCTCCACTCGAGACCGCATACCTCGGAGGTGTGGGAGACAAGCTCGGCCACCTTGTGCTGGGCAATGCGAACATCGTGGTTGAAAACGAGACCGCTGCGAGCACCAGTCGATAGGGTGTGCTTAGACCAGCCCATAACACCTACTCGTGATTCGTGTCCGAACATGCTGCGGAGCTTGGTTCCCTCTTCGACATCCCAGATTTGAACTTCACCTGTACCGAGTCCAACACCAACGTAGGCGCCATCACCGCTCCATTTAACGCTGCTGATGTAGGTGTCAGGAGAGGTCTCTAGCAAACAGCTCACATCTCCGGAATCAGCAGACCACACGTATACATTTCGCTCTAGGCCAATTGCAACTTGGTTTCCAGAGCTCCAATCCAGGAGGTTGAGGTAGTAGTCATCAAGAAGGCCAGGAGCATCCAAGACACGTTCTGGGGCAGTCTGAACTCTTCGGCGAAATTGAGCCGCGTTGGATTTGCTGGACTTGAGAGGACGGTTGTACTGAGCGCGAAGGTCAATTGGCTTCGACGACTCGGGAGGTGGTGGTTTGAAGGCGAGGATACGAGTGTTGAGGTTGACGCCACATGCATTGGCTAATGACGACTCGTAGGCAACAGCGTCTGGAGCTGGCTTTGTGTAAGATGCAGAGCTTTCCTCGTCGTCCAGACCAAGGTTTTCTAGAGCCGCAGTGAGGTCTTCATCCGTTCCACGACCGCCAATATCGAATGCGCTCGCCGCACTGGCCAGTACGCTAGAGCCCTTATCAACGCTGCTGGTCTTGGGCCTTTGAGTCTCCTCGGGCTTAGCCGCGCCTGCGGTCACTAGACCCTCACTTGCACTGCGGTTGGGAATGAACCGGTCACCGGCATTGTGCGAGATGCGGACTGTCGTTTTACCCGCCCGTGTGCGACTGGGGACATCCTTACGTAGCCGCTCCTTTGACGGTGTCTGACTTGAAGAGGGACCGGTGCCGGTCAAGGACCACTCAGAGACGCCCAGCTCAAGGTGCTTGGGGGATTTGCGAATACGGGCAATGTTGGACTTGGGCGATTCTCGGTAGGCCACCCGGGTCGTGCGGGAAACGGACGATTTCGCAAAGTATGAGGAGAGATTGCCACCGTAGACAGAGCGAGCTTGCCCTTTGGTTGCTTCAGATTCGAGGCGAGGGGGTGTGAAAGGAGAGGAGTTGTTGGAGGCGATGCTGTCCCTCCGTCCACCGGGGGATGGTGTGAGGGGCATGCGGCCGCCAGCCATCTTGGTCGAAAAGATCCCATGATGGGTCTTGACTGGCGTAGACACCAGAGGAGTAGCCATGCTGATTATATCGAGCTATAGGGCGCTTTAACAGACAAACGGCAAAAACTTTTTGAGCTTCAGATTGTCCAGGTCAATCCAGCCGTGCGGAGGTTGGCCAAGGACAAACGATAGCTAAGATGCGGCAATATGCAATGCAGGGAAAACCAATCGAGGTTATATAGGATGCAGAGTAAAGCAGATAGCAAGACGATGGGGAGGAGAAAAGGTGAATAGGGGAGGAGAAGAGAAGAGGTGAATAAATAGCAGTATAGTCCTTAAGTGGATGACCGCTAGTAAACAAATGTTGGCCGGGAAACCACGAGAAAGTGACCCAGCTTGCACGTGACAAGGGATGGGCTGTGCGGCTCTCGCCGATCAGGTCTTGGCGTCCTTCGCTCCTGGAGGGCAACGCCGAGCGGCTTCTTGATCTTGACCTAACACTTCACTAGACTCTAACCCAACTCACACTGGAGCTTGGACGAGGCGAAATGGGTATTCTCGTCTATCCTACTGTTTGAACGAGTCCTTTGCTCTCGGATACATAGAAGCCCGCCCCGATTTTTACCCGCTACGTCACTCCTGCGTGGCCTAGTAATGCATCGAAGCCATCCTCGCACTATCAACTTCCACCCCAGAATTGGACTTCCGATAGCCTCCATGCAATGGCCCTTTTGAGTCAGTGATTGAATTGCCAGCATTCCTGTACATACAGCTCGGCCATCGTCAGCAGAGCCAAATCGACCTGAATCCCACTTGACCCACTTTTCTCCCCGTTGCCCGCTGTCGCATGTCCGATGGCCGCCTCTACCCCCGCACAGCAGTCATTGCTACCCCAGACCGCATTCCTGATGCCTGCCAGTTCGAGCAGCCGCCCGCAAGGCAGTGCAGACTCACGTCCTGCAATCAACAAGGTCCAGGGGCATGTTCCCGCAATTTTGGTCCATGCCTCGGTAACACATTGCGGCAACGATGAGATCTACGCCTTTGGCGGGTTCGATGAGGATACAGAAGAAGGTTCATATGCCGCCGGAGTTGTTTTCTCCTGTCCATGGTTGATGTATAAGCTAACTGTCGGCATCTGCGCAGTATACAACCATGTCCTACGGCTCAATCTGAAAACTCTTCGATGGGATCTAGTGGACAATTACGGCGATATCCCGGGTGTTCGCTTGGGTATGTCATTCATCAGATCCAAAGCGCCGGATGCCCTACTGTTTTTGGTGCTTGATAACTGACAAAATACTTCTATCTGATAGGCCACACGGCAAATCTCTATCAAGGGCACAAACTGGTCGTTTTCGGCGGGGAAAATGAGCATACTGAAACCTTATCGGACGTGATCATTTTCGATGTTCCTACTGCCACCTGGACGCAACCTGAAGTCCGCGGACATGTTCCTAGAGGAAGAACTCGTCATGCCGCCGTTATTCACGAGGATAAGTTGTTTATTTCAGGAGGCACAGACGCCGGCCTTGTCATGGATGACATGTTCTACCTGGATCTCAAAACTTGGACATGGTCCCGACCCTGGAAATTTATGGCTCGCTATGACCACGTGGCCTGGGTTTGGGGTGGTCGCCTTTGGACATTTGGAGGACTCGGACCAGATCTGGGAAAGAGTACGGATATTTGGTGGTTAGATTTGCAAGCTATTCCAGCTCCAGGAACGACAGATCAACAAGGTACTATGGACCCCCCCGGGAGGGTTGGCAGCACAACTCACAATTTAGACAATACCTTGTACGGCAACATGACGCCGCAGCTCCATGGCCGGTCCGGAAGCTACGCGGCAAATTCTACAAGTGTACAGGTTCGCAATGCCGGCAGAAGAAAGTTCATCGCCCCAGGCCCCATATCTTGCCTTCAGTTCAAATCAGGTCCCAATGTGCCATCCCTCTCATCCGGTACTCATTTCCAGGCATTTGCGTCTGGTGTCTTACTCGACCTTACCACCCCATCAAATACCATACCCACTTGTGACTGTAACTTGTCCTCCTTGGAACTCGATTCCTTGAGATGGCGGAGGCTGGTTGATGGACAGGACATTTTTAGGCCCGGTTATCAATGGCAATACCTAACCGTGAATGCGAGCGGCACTAAGGCGTGGTTGCTCGGCGGCAGCCTAGACACCGGTAGCACCCCCGGCACTGGCGACCACAATCACATGTCTGAAATCCTCTCTATCGACCTGGAAAGGTACGGTCTGTTAGGAAATGAGATGTCGGCCCTGTCTCCCGACCCTAGGAAAGCGGTAGTTCCTGGGCAAACACACATGGGTCCTCTCTCTGGCCTAGGGGCAGATTTATCGACCGTCTTCGATCAACCACCCGAGTCAGGCAGTGGAGCTGATTTTACGATTACTGCCAACGCAGATGACTGCATTTATGGTGATATCAACGTTGAGGACGGGTCTCTAGCAAGCTCAACTGCAGCCTTTCTCCCCGGAAACGCCGTCACATCCTCTCCAATCCACGTGCACAAAATTATCCTGCAGCTTAGGTGGCCGCATTTCAAGCGGCTGTATTCCGCACAGATGGTTGAGTATCACACGAATCGGATGCATATTCCGGAGCCCTACGCTGTTGTGCGTGCGTTCCTGTACTATTTGTATACGGATAGCATCGCCGGACACCCGGAATACTGCGCGGATATCATTGACGTTGCGGGGATGCTAGTGATGGCGAACATTTATGATTTGCCCCGCTTACGCCTCCTCTGCGTCAACCGCTTAGGGCGTGAGCTAGACGTGGAGAATGCAGCAATCATATGGGATCGGGCAGGGCGCACGAATGAAGAGTGGCTTATGAGGCGAGCCGCTCACTTCTGCCTCAACCATTGGGGAAGGGTTGTCCGGACGAACGGTTTCAAATCTCTCAGTAGGCAAAGCATAATAGATCTCTGCGAAGTTGCCGACATGGAGGGTCGGATTATCGCGGGGCCAGAGTTAGAACTTGTCGGCACACTGGGGGCAGATGACGGACTCGGCAGCCGCGAACTGAAACGGTCGTCGCAGCTGACCCTCAACGGCGCTGCACTGGATGGGGACGAGGCCGACGCGGATGAGATGGATGGGGTGGAGGATATATGAAGCGAATCCAGGGCCTATGTGATGCATTTTCTCCCATTTTCACTATATGGACTTTCTCTCGTCCTGGGGTTGAAGAGGCTATGTTTTGGCTGGTGTTCGTTGTCTGATTCTTAGCGGAGTTTCGGGGCGACATTGCACAGGGGCGCTTATGGGCTCACGATATGATTGCACGAGCGACTGATTGTAACTTCTTCTTTTACATATTCATGGGGCAATGATAGGTGTGAGTTTTCCTTTTGCTGGTCGTCTTAGGGCAACTGGGGCTTCCCTTTTGGGCACGGCGAACGGCCCGTCCAGCCGCCACTCCAGTCATCAGTAGACGACTGTCGGTGCGCCAGGAACAAGATAGCTTCGATCTGGTTGGACCAGGATCTGATCTCGCCATGCATTCTGCTGTTACGCTCAGCGGTTGAGTTTCACTGCCGCCGCCTGATCCAGCCCGGGCTCTCCGCCGTCTGCGGATGCACCTCATCGCTCGCGGAGGGTCCTTGACCGACTCGGAAGGCAACTGGATCGGCGACACTTTAAATATTTTCCATAGCTCGGTACCTTTCTGGCTCCCATACTCCGTGCCCTACCGCTATTGTCCTTCACCTTTGCGACCATCCCTCTCCGAGTTTCTCTTCCCGCTCCCGTCTTAAACACCATGGGCTCTGTAGATTCCCCCCAGCTTCCTTCGGACTTCCTTTGGGGGTTCGCAACCGCGAGGTGAGCTCCAAATCTTCATGGAAGCTGGCCATTGGCTTATCCGAGATATTTCCTCCGGCATAGCTATCAAATCGAAGGCGCGGTCGATGAAGATGGGCGCGGTCCCTCCATCTGGGACACCTTCTGCAAGAAGCCTGGAAAGATTGCTGGCGGAGCCAATGGCGACGTGGCTTGCGACTCATACCATCGTACCCACGAAGACATTGATCTCTTGAAGCAGTGCGGAGCCAAGGCATATCGCTTCTCTATCTCATGGTGAGTTTTCCCCTTCCCGTCGGAACCTATGACATCAGACATCACGGTTCTGACGGCCCGTGTTAGGTCCCGCGTCATTCCTCTCGGAGGCCGAAATGACCCCATCAATGAGAAAGGGCTGCATTTCTACGTCAAATTCGTGGACGACTTGCTAGCCGCTGGGATCGTACCTCTCGTGACTTTATTCCACTGGGATCTCCCCGACGAGCTAGACAAACGCTACGGTGGCTTACTGAACAAGGAGGAATTTGTCGCCGACTATGCCAACTACGCCCGTGTCATTTTTGAGGCATTGAGCCCGAAGGTGAAATACTGGATTACCTTCAACGAGCCGTGGTGCAGTAGTGTTCTCGGTTATAATGTTGGCCAATTCGCCCCTGGCAGGACCAGTGACCGAAACAGGAACCCTGAAGGTGACGGCTCTACGGAGCCCTGGATCGTAGGTCACAACCTTCTCGTCGCCCACGGTACGGCTGTAAAGATTTACCGCGAAGAGTTTAAGGCTCGTGATGGTGGTGAGATTGGCATCACTCTTAACGGTATGGACTATCCTCTATCCATATTGTCCGGCTCAAACTAACGAATTGAAGGCGACTGGGCCGAACCTTGGGACCCCGAGAACCCAGCAGACGTCGAAGCCGCCCCCCGCAAGATCGAGTTCGCCATCTCCTGGTTCGCTGACCCTATCTACTTCGGCCACTATCCAGAGAGCATGGTTAAGCAGCTCGGCGACCGCCTCCCGCAATGGACGCCTGAAGAAATCGCTCTAGTAAAGGGTAGCAACGACTTCTATGGCATGAACCACTACTGTGCCAATTTCATTCGCGCCAAAACCGGTGAGCCCGACCCGACGGACGTCGCAGGCAACCTGGAGCTCCTACTCCAAAACAAAGCCGGCGAATGGGTCGGCCCCGAGACGCAATCGCCTTGGCTGAGACCGTCTGCTATTGGATTCCGCAAGCTCCTCAAGTGGCTCAGTGACCGCTACGGCCGACCGAAGATCTATGTCACAGAAAACGGAACCAGTCTAAAGGGCGAGAACGACTTGCCGCTCGAGGAGCTGTTGAAGGACGATTTCCGCGTAAAGTACTTTGAGGACTACATTCGCGCCATGGCGGAAGCGCACACCTACGACAATGTCAATGTTAGGGCTTACATGGCTTGGAGTTTGATGGAGTGAGTACCGGCACTACCACCCTTCAACTGCTGAACAATGCTGACATACTGTCATCTAGTAACTTTGAATGGGCCGAGGGCTACGAGACCCGCTTCGGCGTCACATACGTTGACTACGAGAATGACCAGAAGAGATACCCCAAGGCAAGCGCAAAGGCTATGCCGGAGATCTTTGCGAAGTACATAAAGAAGGAGTGAAGAGAAACGTTTGTTTTTTTGTTCTTTGGTATATGAGCTTCTAGATTGGCCACTTACATATGATTAAATGAATCCTATCCCCACTTCAAACCTAGAAGTGACCATCAATATACCTAGAGCATCTTGCAAGATTGTACCGGTGCTAAGGTCAATCCAGCATAGCGATCTCTAGGTGCAACAGGGGAGGTAGGACAACGTAAGTCAATCATCGACCCAGGTGGATGTCTATCGCACCTTCCTCGAGCTTCAGCTCACCAAATAGGCAAGTGCGATGGACCGGTCGCTCCTTCCTCTTGTGGGCAATGTGCTAGCGTGCTTTCCTAAAGGTATTTGTTGCCAAGTAGGAAGGAGCTACGGACCGGTCGCTCCTTTTATCTCCATTGGACTGCCCATCGCACCTTCCTAAAGTGGCTTTGTTTAGGAGGAAAGTGCAACGGGACCCCTGACGACATACAGTGCGCTTTTCTCTGAAACCCAGTCATTTCGGTTCGATAGTCGTCTCTATTCGAGTCATACTTCGTAGTAAAGTCTATTCTATGTCCATAATAACCGGCAGCGTGAAACGCACTCATATAGCAAGAGTAAGATACCAATTCAAAGCGCATACCGGAAATCCTTTGACTCCATGTCCGTCATGTCCTTGAACCCATCCAACACAGCCCTATCCTGCCTCGTTGCGCTCTCCTCGACAGTCAGCTTCCGATCGCGTCTGACATTCTCAATCTTCATAACGGCGTACGCAACGCCTGCAAGAACAATCATTCCCGCGTAGCAGATCAGCAGTCCCGTAAGTGCGGAGTAGTACCGGGGAGCCTCGCGCGCGAAGAAGATATTCGAGCCTGCGACGTTCCCGCCCGCGTACAGTGTGAACCAGAGACCGTTGGCGATGGAGCGCTTTGTGTGTCCGGCTATATTTGTGGAGAGGAGGTTCCATGAGACGATGACCGGGGCGCCGATGATGTATTGCAACCAGGTACAGCCGACGAGCGTCCAGCGGTGCGAGAGGTCTGTGAAGCGGATTCCCAGTAGCCCCGCGAAGGGAATGAAAGAAACGACGGCAAGAACGATACAACGTGAGTCGCGGACATAGGTGGAGATGAGACCGCAGATAGGAACGATGACGGCTTCAATGGCGCCTGTGGGGAGCTGTAGGAGAGTCGCATAAATGCCGGAAAACCCGTACCCTTTGATCAGGGAAGAAGCGAAGTTGGAGACGCCGCCGTTGATGACACCGCAAGAAATGCCCATGCCTAGAATGCAAAGTACCTTGACATCATAGAATATTTCTAAAGCCTGGCGGAATTTGAACTCTTTCGTTTTGACGCCAATCATGTTCTCGGAGACGCGCTGGACGGCGATGATGCGTTGTCTGTGGGTGAGGAACTTTGCGGAGCTTGGGGAGTCAGGAATAAACCAGAGGAAGAGGATTGCTGTGACAAGGTTGAGTAGACCAATAACGAGGAAGATGAGTTTCCAGCTTTCAAGAGATGTGTTGTGCACATGGCCAAGTCCGAATCCGAGTAGGGCTCCAACCATTGTTGCCATTCCATTTGCAGAGAGCCAGATGGCCATGCGCAATGGTTGCTCGTCTCGTTTGTAGAACATGGATGTGAAGCTCATCACTGTGCTTGTTAGCAGGATCCCCTGTATTATGGTGGATATAACACGTACTACAAGGGCTAACACATGCTTCTGCCATTCCCAGAATAAATCTCAGGACTAACATTCCAGCATAATTCTTGGCTCCAACGTGGGCAATAACCAACGCAGCCCATATGACGAGCGACCCTCCCATATATTTTGCGAGCGGCAGTCGTTGTAGAAGAAGGTTTGAAGGTATAGCAAATGCAAGGTACCCAAAGTTGTAGATTGCAGCAACCCATGAGTACCTCTGGCCTTCCAAGCCTAGATCGGGTATCAACGTGTATGCAGATGCATAGTTCAGCGAAAGCTTGTCTAGAGCACAGAGTCAGCCGACAAATCCAAGAGTGGGGTGGTAGATCTTGAGCGCACCCAGAAACTGAATGCAGTATGTCAGGTAGATCTAGGCACTATGTTAACCAGATCTTCCCTGTAGTGGATGTCAGAACTTACTATAGGCATGACCCGTCTGTCGAGGATCTTGCGCACCTCGGCACCTTCACGCTCGAGTTCCTCGGGGGATATTTGCTCGGCTTCGGCGAAGAGCTGCGCTCCGATGTCTCGAATTTCTCCAGAATCCAATACGGTTCCTTTCTCAACGCCGGGCTCATCTTGTGCCTCTATCTTCATCTCTTTGATATCTTGCATTGTGGTGGGTAATAACCGGGAGTCTTGTTCTCGAAGAATGAACAAGCTTGGTGATGGCGAGGCAATGCAAGGCAGATGATTGTCGCACAAGAGGATCAACCAGCATTGTCCTCGCTCTTATGCGGTTGAGTCTTATCATGGCCCTTGAGAGCCAAGTTCCCTTATCAAATGTCGATGATAGAGAACAAGGTAGTGTTATCTGTTGAGATACTCCGTATCTTTTGGCCGACAAGCACGGTTCCGCCGGCTTTCATCGCACAGGTGGCGCTTGGGTGTCATAAGGTTATTATACTTATCATAGACTTCGGCCGCCCTGGCCAATTAGTATGGGAGATAGCCGGGTACTCCAACTTTCTGGAGTAGATCAGCATGAGCCTAGCAAGTCCATTCGACACGCATATCAGTTGGAGTAACTGCAGCATGGGCTTCTCCTAGATGTCATTGGCCCCTTCGGCCGGTCCGTTGGCTATCCAGAGGACCCGATAACTTCGATCCATGTCATCTGGCGGACATATCTGCAGGTTTCAGCTTGTTCATAGTTCTACAAAAGAATCATTAGTATAGAATAAGTTCTGGCTGCATCTGTTCACTCACCTGATATCTGATTGAGCAAGAAAGCAAGATTGAACCAACAATGTCATCCGTAAGCCTTTCTTCAGGTACGGTCTTAGCCAAACTGGAATGTAACTGACGAAACCATTCCAACGACAGACCTCGGATTCCTTTAGCCTCATTGACACAAGTATCTCGGAGCTCCAAGAAGCTCTGACTTCAGGATTGACCACAAGCGTTGAACTTGTGGCACGATATCTGCGGAGGATTAGCGTTTATGATGCGACAGGGCTCACTTTGAGTGCCATTCCCATTCTCAACCCATCTGTTTTCGATGAAGCAGATGCATCGGACGCACGAAGAGCCGCTGGGCTGCCGCCCAGGCCCTTAGAGGGAATTCCTTATCTTGTCAAAGACAGTATCAAAGTGAAGGGGATGACTGTAGCCGCCGGGTCTCCCGCGTTTGAGGGTTTAATCGCTACAGATGATGCTGCTTGCGTGAAAATACTTCGTGATGCAGGTGCAATTCTTCTCGGCAGGACCAACATGCCCGTACGGTGGAATGCAGCGTGGCTCCTATGGCCGAGCTGAAAGTCCATACAACATGAACTATCTGACGGCAGCATACGGATCCGGATCTTCCAATGGCTCTGCCACGGCCACCGCGGCAAACTTCTGCGCTTTTAGCCTAGGATCTGAAACGGTCTCTTCGGGAAGATCGCCGGCGTCAAACAATTCGATCATTGCATACACGCCGTCAAGAGGTCTATTGCCACTCCGCGGAGTGTGGCCGCTGTACCCAACGTGTGATGTGCTGGTTCCTCATACCCGCACCATGTCGGATCTCTTCAAGGTACTCAACGTACTAGCCATCACGGACCAAAGCCCCGAAGGGGACTTTTGGAATGAGCAAGGGTATATCACGTTGCCCCGTGCTGAGAGTGTCAGGCCTACGCGCTTCGAAGAGTTGAAAAGATTGTCTTCCCTACGTGGCAAGCGGCTGGGGGTACCTTCTATGTTCATCAGCTCAGGAGACTTGCCAAATAGCACACGCACAAGGCCTTCTATTCTTAAGCTTTGGGATTCGGCCAAGGCCGCCTTGCAATCATGTGGTGCAACGGTTGTCGAAGTAGACTTTCCTCTCCTCTCCATATATGAAGCCAACATTGATCGCAACCAATTGGTGAATGTCAAGTCCCTCCCAGAGAGATGGCCAGCAAAAGAAAGAAGCGACCTGGTTGCCCACGCCTGGGACGACTTCTTGATCGCAAACGGCCAGCCGGGGCTAGACTCTCTGACCTGCGTGAACCCAGATGATATTTTCCCTCTTGCGCCTGGGTCTCTCCGAGGAGCACCCCTCCCATCAAACCAGCTCCAGTGGAAGCAGATTGTTGAATACCCGAAGACCAAGCCAGATTCAATTTTCGATATTCCGGAAATGGAGCAAGCACTAAAGGCTCTGGAGAATGCGCGAAAGGAGACGCTCGAAGAGTGGATGGACAAGGAAGGCTTGGATGCGATAGTCTTCCCGGCGAACGCGGACATTGGACGCGCGGATGCGGATGTCAATCCTGATTCTTCTCAGTTTGCGTGGGAGAACGGGGTCAAGTATTCCAATGGAAATCAGGCTATCCGCCATCTGGGCGTTCCTACCGTTTCGGTGCCGATGGGCGTGATGGAGGATACACAAATGCCGGTCAACCTTACCTTTGCAGGCAAGGCGTACGAGGATAACAAGCTCTTGGAGTATGGTTATGCGTTCGAACAGGCGACGAAGTACCGCTCGCTACCGAGGCTTGTACCTGAGCTGGACTCAGATGTTTTGAAGATCCCAGGCAATCGAGGAGGCGCTGGTACTGGCTTTACCGAAACAGCGCAGATCGAAGTGCAGGAGCAGTCTAAAGAAATCACTGATTCAACGGTTAGCGTCAAGGTTCAAGGGACTTTCAATCTCACCGAGGATAATAAATTGGAGCAGTTCAGCTGCTATGTCAATGGAAACCCAGTTGAGATAAAGGTGGAAGAAGCACGATGGAGTTTGGTGGAAACTTATGCAAAATCTGCTCGTGACAACATGTGGTCCAGATGGAGAAGCCCAGCTGCTCACCAGGTCATAATAATTCTCGTTGCGCGCTTCAAAACAGCTCGTGCTGTGGGGAAATTATTATTGCTCTAACTACCTACAATTCATAGCAGCAGTTAATCTCAGAAAGGGCTATCAGTGAAGCGCAACTCTCGCACAACCATACATAGAAGAGGAAATGAAACGGAAAGTGATCATATAAAACATTATGTGCCAGCACATCAAGCCGTAGCGATATTAGTGTGATGGTAGGAAGACCCTCATTCCCTAATCCATTTCTGGTTCACCTTGTCATACCCGATAGCCGCAAGCTCAATGTTAAGCGTCTTGAGCATCATATCCATAGTAAACTCCTATGAATTGATCCAAATTAGCATATGCTACCGAAATAACGAAGCAAGAACCGACCTCAGAGTCGTCCCCATGCTCCTTAGCATTCTTCTTTTCAATCTGTTCCCTCATCTCAGCCTTGCGAGCCTGCAGTTCATCCTCGTCCAGATCAAGCGCATCAGCGTCCACATTGCCAAACCAAGTCTCCATCTCCTCCTGCTCCCACCGAGCATCGTCGTTCTTCATTCGTTCCCGCCACGCCTTGACGCCCCCCATTCGCGAGATTCGCTCCTGAGCACCGGTAAATACCTCTTCCGCTGCATCCTGGCTGACTCTCTTCCACTTCACAATCAAAGCCTCCAGCTCCTCATCTCTATTGGACGACTCGATCCGAAGGGCTTGCTGGACGGTGTCGAGCTCGGACCGCAGATTTGCCAGGCGTGACTGGAGCTCCCGTTGGCGCTTCTGGAGATTCGTTATTTCTGGGTCTGGGAGTACAGGCTTCCGTGCGGGGGTAAGGCGCTGCCCGGGAAGCGTTCTTTTGCGGAACGGTGGTGGCGTAGCTTGCGGATTCGTTGAAGGGGGCGTAGGGAGGGGAGCGTCCGTGTTTTGCTCATCAAGCTTAGTATTTGCAGTGGACGGCACAGAATTCGCTCTTCCTTCGGCTGCTGATGCTGTAGGCTCATCCTTCACTGTAGGAGTAGGTCTGCGAAGAGGTGACTTGAAGGGTTTGGAGAGTGCGTTTGTCGCCTGGTCGAGACGGCGCCGCTTGCCATTAGGGGTATAAGAAGCCATGCTCAGGAAACAGTTTGCTCTGTTGAATTACATAGTCTAAAGGTTCGAATACCGCAGTGCTGTGGGAATGGAAATGGTGGAATGTGCGCTGTAGACGGTGGAAAGAGAGGTAGAGGAGTGCTAGTCGCTTATCGATAAGATAGGTGCCGGTACAGTGACGTCTTCGCTGGCCCCGGATGTGGGTGTTGAATGTGTGGAAAGATAGAATGGTAAATGATCATACATTTCCCATGGGGCGCTAAAAGTCATAACATACACGTATAGAAGAAAGATGTCGATAAAGGGCTAATGACCAACCCCGCCAGCCACCCATTGAGCAAACTCTGGATCCCCGGGCCGTGGGAAGAAACCCCGGTTGTTCGCGTTGGCTTGCCCTGCTGCATTCGCGCCCTGATTATCGTTCTGTCTTTGACGGTTATTCCGTTGTTGTCGCAAGTACACCAAGACCATGAGGGTGGCAGCTAGCGATAGGATGATGAGGCCTTCCAGGATACTGTCCTCAATGTCAAGGTCGAGTTCGTCGTAATAGCCGTCATCATGGTCATCAAGGCGGTGATGTTCACTACTCGACAATATATCGTCGTCGTCCTCTTCGCCCTGTTTATGGAGCTGTGCGCGGTAGTTCGCTTCTTCCTCTTCGTCATTTTCAATGAACGCTGCAATCCATTCACTAAAGGTACGACGGGGTTTAGGTTCTAGGTAACGTTAGCAATAATTTCAACAATCTGGCAAATAGGAAAATTCGAATCTTACCATCGTCCTCTCGAATGGAATTGACCTTTCCATTAGTGAATCTATTCCAAGAGCTCCGTGCCCGCAATTTCAACAAGCTGAGCTTAACAGGCAGGTAGGCCTCGCCGCTCGTCTCCAAAGCCAGGTCATAATACCTCTTAGCCATGTGGAAATCTTGCTCAACAGCAACCCCGTTCTCATGCATCCAGCCGAGATTCCAATACGCCTGCGCACTGAAGTGAGCTTCGGCGGCGGTGTGATAACATGTTGAAGCTTTCTCAGAATCAATACCAATGCCATTACCACTCAGATAATAGTCACCCATTTTGAGCAGAGAGTCGATGTTGGCCTGCTTGGCTGAGCGAGTCCAATGAATCAGAGCCAATGCGGCATTTCGAAGCAAAGCAGGTCGGGGCTTCCTCAATCCAGGTAGGACTTTCTCCAATGGTAACAATGAACGCTGTTCATCAAGGACAAAGGCTACATTAGCCTGGGCATTTTCGTACCCTTGCTCTGCGGCCATAAGCGTTGGGATGAATGCTCGCTCTTTGTCACCACTCTCATACGCAGCGTTCGCTTCGGTAAAGGAAGAGTGGATCGCTTCTGCTTTCTCTGCGACCATTTTGTAGTACGACGCAGCGAGTCCACAATGTCGTTGTCGGCCAACACCATTGTTGGCCAGTTCTGCAAGATAATAGAAGGCTTCCATCCAGCCCCAGCGAGCAGCAAGTTCGAAGTACTTGGTAGCTGTTGCGACGTCACCTTGGTCCAGGAATAATGCACCTAGCCGCGTTTCCGCCGCAGGGTAGTCCTGATCCGCTGCGGCTTTGAAGTAAGAAGAGGCTTTGTAAGCGTCTTTCTGCACTCCATAGCCATGCAAAAACATGAGCCCAATTTGGTGCTGGCAAAGCGCGTCCCCGTTGGCCAATCCAAGTTTGAACCACGTGTAAGCGGTTTCGAAATTCTGCTCCACGCCTTCGCCACGTAGATACATTAGGCCAATGTGTCCTGCTGCTTTAGATGCCAATTTCTCGATCCCAGCCGGATGGTTCGGGTTCAGTGAATGGTCCTTATTCCAGTATCGTTTTGTGACCAGTTTAAAGTATTTGAGCGCCTTCTTATAGTTCTTGGGCAGTCCCTTCGTGCCTTCATAATGCATCTTCCCCAGGCTAAACGTCGCCTTCACCTCCCCTTTCCGAGACATAAGATCCAGATATTCTAGAACGTCTTCTAGGCTGGCCTCGGTAGAACCCGAGCCATCACGAAGGGCGTTAGGGCCGGAGCTGGATACGCTGGCACCCTCCCCATATACGCCGCCCTCTTCGTCAGCCCAACGGTATGATTCGCGGACCATACTGTGGCCACCAGGCGGTCCAGATCGATAGTACTCAATGGCTTTATCCGCCACTTGTTTGTAGTAATAGGTTGCCTCGTCGCAATTCCTGGGGGTGCCAATGCCAGCATGATGGCGATATGCAAGAGTCATTTCGGACTTCGTATTCCCCGCCTCTGCGGCAAAGGTGTGGTACAACAGTGCCTTGGCCTGGTCGCGTTCAACCCCGCCTCCGATTCCCGTGGCATACATAAAACCAAGCATATACTGTGCCGTGCTATTTCCGTCCCATGATGCTAGACTCTCGTACCAGCGAAACGCCTGCTGGAAGTCCTGGGGATGCGAGAAATTGCCGTAGAAGTTCATTTCTGCTAGTAGGAACATCGCATCCGGATCGTGGTCCTCCAAAGCCGCAATTCTGAGTGCGTCGACGGCTTTTGTAATGCTCGGGTTCATTTTCCTCCGCGCGGCGCCGCTCGATGGTGGTCCATTCATAAAGAGTATTCGAAAGGCTTCTTGCGCGTAATGCCAGGTGTTGCCGAGGACGCCAGATGGCTTCCCCGGAGGCGTGACGACCGGTATCTTTGCCTCGCGTAGAACATTGAGGGCATATCTGACGCGCTCTAGAACATTGAATACGTCAGCTGAAATACAACAGACGATGCGCTATCAGCGCGGGGATGGATCACCATTTGTAGGAGCATCGGAGGACGTATCACCGGAGGGATTGGGTGATCCCTGAGCAACATCTGAAAGGGGGTTTTGATCATTTGGTTGAAGCGCAAACGTATGCTGGAACACTAATCCAAAGAAAATAAGTGTCAGCAGTCGCTTGAGAGTGTCTTCGCCAATTCAGTTATGGGAACATACAGAGCACCAAGGGCAGGAAGCGCCATAACCATATGTACTTCATCTTGCTTGAAAGGACTGGTTAGGTGTCGACAGGAAGAAACGCATGGCGACCCCTCTTATCACCTGTTCAACGTAATGGGAGAAAAGCGGATTGAAGTATGCTGTCAGCCGGGGTCATGACGGACTGCGGAGCTCCTCATCGCTATCGGCCACCTGGCGTTGCGGAGCTTCATTTCGCCGAATACTTGGCACTTCTTTACACGTGAAGAGTTTCCTACTGTAGAAGTGAGGATTGTCTCATAAGCTCTTTCATTTCAAGTTTATGACATGATTTCGTCCCCTCCCTTCCGACCCAGAACTATCTTCTCTAAAAATGTGTACAGGGTAAAAAGAGAACTCCGGTCGCGCGCGGTATTAACAATCTCATCTCCATGCAAACCAAGGCAAATAGCGAAATAAGAAAAGCGGCCTTGCCTCTCAGGGGACCTGGGAGTGAGAATGAGACCTAGAGGTCTTCAGTTCTAATGGAGATCGCTTGCCATTTCAAGGTCTGTAAAAGAAACGCAACGTAACACATCGCCAGCCCATGAGAAGTCGCTCGCAATCTCACGGACCTGGCTCGAATGCGAAGAATAAACCATGACAAACCGTTTAGGTTAGAGTGCGAGATACACCGCATACATTAAAATGAAGGGGAGAAATCGAGAGGAACGAAGAATTCAGAGAAGGCTAGACATGCCCAGATTGCAAAAGATATAACCAACCAATTCCGCAGGGAAGATGCAAGATGTTTTCTTTTCTGGTTTCAAGGGGATTTGAATGTGAAAAGTGATAGTACAAGAATACAAGAAGCGCCAGAAAGAAACCGCTAATGGGTGATGTGGCTTCACTGACGGGGTGATCTGGTGCGTCAAAGTCAGTAAGAATGTTTGGCTATTTGTGGTAAAATAACTTACGTAGGGCTAAACGCCGGCGACGTCGGGCTGTAACCAGGGGACGTGGGACCACCGGGAGAAGTCGGCGAGCCGGAGAAGTTGGGAGAAGTGGGAGAATACGTCTGAGGGCTTGTGGGTGACCACCCAGGAGACGTAGGTGTATACTTCGGAGAAGTAGGCGAGGTTGGAGACAAGTGCCGAGCACCACCGATAGCAGGGCTGGTAGGGCTGTAACTTGGTGACGTTGGGCTAAACGCAGGTGAAGCCGGACTGAAGCTGGGCGACGTGGGGCTGTAGTTCGGCGACGTGGGTGAGAAACCAGGCGAGGTTGGAGAGTACGAGGGCGACGTCGGCGAGGCCTGCCCATACGCTGGCGATGTGGGCGAATACGCCGGTGATGTTGGGGCAAAGGACGGACTGGCCGGAGAAAATCCTGGGGATGTCATAAACCGCGGGCTTGTGATACCCATGCCGGGAGATGTGGGCGAGTAGCTGGAGGTTGGAGAGTAGCCAGGCGATGTAGGGTTGGCACTGAAGGGACTGCTGGGAGAGTAGCCCGCTGGACTGGTGGCGGCAGGGCTGAACCCACCACCAAAAGCGCTAGAGGGCTGGTATTCGGTGAACCCGCCAGGAGTTTCAGCGCCCGCCTGACGGATGGGGGAGAAGTTCGAGTCGGGGTCAGGGGTACCAATGTAGGCGCTTTCCTGCATAGGCGAACCAGTATCATACTGCGTCGCGGCGCCGTCATTGATGATCGCATCTTTCGCTCCTAATGCTCCCATGACTCCATAGCGAGCGTTGTTCGATACAACAGTGTTCAGCATGTTCTGATCAAGGTAGACATCGAATTCTCCGGTACCAGCCGGCGCCATCTGTCCAAGAATCAAGTTTTCTGACACTCCACGGCAGTCGTCAAGTTCCCCAAAAGCGGCGGCTTCGAGAAGAATCTCAACAGTTTCCTCAAACGAGCAACGCATAAGCGCACCATTGTCGGCACGGTTGATACCATGACGGGTGACTGGGGTCAGATAACCTCGCATGGTCATCACGTCGACCAAAAGGGCCAAGTGACGATGGTTGACGTAGGATCCATCGAAGGACAGCACTGCCGTGAACTCGCGGAGAACCGCGGATCGCGCAGCTTCAATGCCAAACACTTCGAAAACCTCGATGAACTGATTCGAGTAAGTGCGAGTAGCATCGACTCCTGGAATTGCCAAAACCTCCGCAAGGGAGGAACCGCTTGTTTCAAGAATCCACTCTTTGCACAATGGGTCAGACGATTCATCCGTCAAAGATCCGTCTTCCTTTACCCTAATCTTCTTCTTCTCGTTGATGAACGCACGTTCAACACCTTGGACACCACGAAGGTTTAGTGTGTCGAGAAGGTGTTGCTCGAGTTTCTTCAACGTTACATCGTACTCGATATCATCATCATCCTCGTCTTCCTTGTAGTCCTGAATCTGACGGATACGAATGACCTGCTCGTCTGCGTTGTTGTCACTGAAGATGACAGCGATATCCTTAGGATAGGCCTGCTTGATCTTGGTGGCAACGTCCTGCACAGTAAGACCCTTATCCAGAAGCTTGGCACGACTCAAGATGATACGGAGCAACCACTTAGACTGACGAGAAGAATCGTCGGTAACGTCCTCCGGAATGATGAAATATGACTCAACCATGTCGCGATCATTCTCAATGACCGTTGTTTGAATGTCCGGATCATAGTAAATCTCCGTTGCCTCAGTGATAGACCGCAAGTTTGTGTATTCAACTGCGCTTCGAAGTTGCTTTGCTCCTTCCTTGTCATGAGCCCTTGAAGCCTCCTGGTATACCGTCATGGATGGAGTCTTGATGTTGGTTGCAACGTTCAAGATTTCCTTAAGACGGGGTACACCAAGCGTGACGTTCTTAGACGAAACACCAGCAAAGTGGAAGGTGTTCAGTGTCATTTGTGTGGCCGGTTCACCAATGGACTGAGCAGCCAAGACACCCACCATCTCACCGGGAGCCGCGGTCGCCTTAGCAAACCGAGATTCGATGGCTCCAAGCACGTGCTGGAAAGCGAGTTTGTTCATAGAATACTGAGTTACCAGTCTCTTGAACGCAAGACGACTGCGTAGCTGTGCCTTGAATAGCATAGTCGCGCTCTCCTGAGCCTCTTGTGAGATCGGGTCATCACCACGGACGATCATCAGCCTGTTAAGGAGAGATTGCACCTGAGGAATGACTTCCGCGGGATGCAAATCGCTAATCGTCCCTTCGCGAATCCTGAAAGTGGTCCGGGCCATTTCCAGGATTCGCTGAATGTTGATGGGGAGTGGCATCGACTCCTCTGTGCCCTTTGCAACATGACGAACAACGTCCCGAGCCTTCAGGAGCTCTTCCCACTCCTCATCCAGATACCTTTGGACTTCAACGTCTCCAGCAATCTCATTAGCTTGCTCCAGCACGTCGGAGCCAAGACTAAGAGCAGGATCCATGAGGTCAATACGGAACCGCTCCTTGAATTTCGCATCGGAACATGTGAGAATATCAAGTTTCTGGTGCTCGATATGTGCGCCGTCGAGACCGTCTTCTCCGTAGATAAACTGAATAATGTCACCGAGGGAGTTTCGGACAGTGCCGTCATATTTGACCATGACTTCTTCCAGAGCCTTGACCAGCTTACGCTGAATATAACCGGTTTCAGCAGTCTTGACCGCAGTATCAATCAGACCCTCACGACCAGCCATAGCGTGGAAAAAGAATTCAGTTGGAGTCAAGCCACGAAGATAAGAGTTCTCAACGAATCCCCTAGATTCTGGGGAGTAGTCGTCTTTTGTGAAATGAGGAAGGGTGCGGTATTTGAAGCCGAAAGCGATACGTTTACCTTCTACCATTTGCTGGCCGACGACAGCGGTCATTTGCGAGATGTTGATAATTGATCCCTTCGATCCAGAACGCGACATTTGCACAGCGTTGTTCAGATCCTTCAAACTATTCTCGGTGGCAGTACCGGCTTCATCACGAGCTGTATTGAGGGCGACGGAGACCTTACTCTCGAACGTTTCTCGCACGTTCATACCTGGAAGAGGCTCGAGTTTGTTTTGGGTCGCAATGGCAGTAATTTCCTCGACTTCCTCCTTTCGCTTGCGCACACAGTCCTCAATGGCTTGGATAGTCTCATCGTTAGGGATGGTATCACCAATACCGATACTGAAACCATTGTGCAGCAACCAGTAGTTGACAATAGCCTGCGCGCCGTTGAAAAATGCTACAGCAGCATCCGCCCCGTACTCATTGAAGATAATGTGGATCACACCACCACCACTCGCACCCACGATCTTCTTGTTGAGCATTCCATACATCAACTGACCCTCATGAATGAGGACGTTTCCATCCTTAAGAGGAGAGTATTTCTCAGAAGAAGGTGCTGCGCCTTTAGAGTCAGTGCGCATCAGATTGAGACCAGATGGGAACACCATGCTGATCATCTGCTTTCCCGTCCACCTGGGTCTAGGTTTGACAATCGCAGGCTGAGGAATCACACCATCCCAGTCAGGGACCCACATCATAATGTTCATCACTTGCTCTTTGGTCAGAAAGACATCACGGCGACAAATCTTGTAGATGCCGCAAAGAGTATCTTGGACGATACCCATCAGAGGACCATTCCGCTGAGGAGACACGATGTTCTGCGGCACTAGCGCAAGTTGTAGAAGTTCAGCGCGTGATTCTTCGCTTTGGGGAACGTGCAAGTTCATTTCGTCGCCGTCGAAGTCGGCGTTGTATGGACTAGTGACTGACAAATTCAGTCTGAACGTCGAGTAAGGCATAACGCGAACACGATGACCCATCATAGATTCTTTGTGAAGAGAGGGCTGTCGGTTGAACAGAATCACGTCTCCATCCATGATGTGGCGTTCGACCTTCCAGCCATATAGAAGTGAATGCCCGCCCGCGCGCTTTGCGTGCCGAAGATCGATGCGCTCGCCATTATCCCGGACAATATACCGTGCTCCAGGATGTTCGGTCGGACCGTTCATGACAAGCTGCTGCAGTTTCTCAATGTTATAAGGGGTGACGACCTCGGGGTAGGTCAGTGTCCTGGCAATACTCTTGGGAACACCGACTTCGTCGAGGGACAAGTTCGGATCACCAGTAATCACGGTACGAGCAGAGAAGTCTACACGCTTTCCCATCAGATTTTGTCGTAGACGACCCTCCTTACCCTTCAAGCGGCTTCGAATAGCTTTGACAGGTCTGTTCGACTTTTGCATAGCCTTTGGCTGGCCAGCGATATCATTATCCATGTAAGTAGCAATGTGGTATTGTAGCAGAGACTCGAACTCGCGTACGACGTGCTCTGGGGCGCCTTCCTGCTCGCACCGCTGAACATTTTGGTTTGCTCGGACGATTTCAGCCAGTTTATAGGTCAGATCGTCTTCACCACGCTGCCCAGAGGTGCTCCCACCGACAACCACACTTGGACGAACAGGAGGAGGCGGAACGGGCAAAACTGTAAGAATCATCCACTCGGGACGCGCATAGTCGTTACTCAATCCCATGATGCGAACATCTTCGTGGGAGATGTTGCGGAAAACATTCAGCGCAATTTGCGGCGTGATTGTCTTCTTCTCCGGCTGCTGCATGTCCATCTCATCCATCATGCTCTTCGATGGCTTCCATGTTCCAACGAGCGTAATCCCTTCCTTTCGAACCGTGGGCTGCGCATTGCCGCATCCGCCGTGGGATCGCTGAGGCTTCGAGCTTTCTTTTTGGTACTCGTCGTCTTCCGCAGGTGGGTCGGCTTCGCAAATCAAGATATCCTTCGAGAGTCGCCAGATGTGGTCAAATCGGCGCTTTGGATCCCGAATCCGCAGGGCCTCTAGAAACTTCGGATCGGACTGGTTTCATGTCAGCATATTTTGCCATAGATTTGCCATCCCGTAAGGGATGACTAACCGCGTTGGCTTTGATCTTTCCACAGTTGTGGCAGACCGTCTCAAGCAACTTCTTGATCCGTGTCAAGAAACCTAGCGACATGTCAGATTTATCACGTAGGAGTCCTTATCTTCCCGCAAGTCACCTACCGATATGGAAGACCGGAGTCGCAAGCTCGATATGTCCGAAATGTCCAGGGCATTCCTTTTGACCTTCTTCACATGTTTCGCAGTTCCACTGTCGGTCGATCGTCCCTAAACGAGGATCATTGAGACCTTTGGTACGTGGGCGCTGCCTTTGGTCGTCCTACGTTGTTTGCACATCGCGTGTCAGAAACTCTCATATAAATCATCGGTTGAGGTTTAAAGGAAGGTACGAATGACTAACCATGGTCTCTGGATATTCGACATGGACCACGCTCATGCGCTTTATCTCCTCGGGGGAGAAGAGGCCGAACTGTATCTCCGCTATGGTCCTCAAAGGGGCCTTGGAGTAAGGGAAGTAGACTGAAGACCTCGATTAGCATGCGTTCTCGTTGATCGAGCGATGATGGGTGGGTTGAAATACCATTCGACATGGTGAAAGACGGTGCGGGAGCCAAAGAAACGCGAAGCAAGCAACAGGCGACGGAAGCGAAGGGATAAGAGCTCTAAAGTCGATAAAAACGAGCCAAGAGAAAGGTTTTCCGTTTTATTGAGAGTAGGTGCAAGCGATTAGCGAGAGATGTTGTGAGCGCAGGGCCAGACGAGGCCTCTCGCAGGCTTGCCACGCAGGGCGCCTGCGACCCAGTCCACGACTAAAGGGCGAAAAAAATGAATGACCACGTTCGGCGACAGCAAGTCTCGAGGTTCGTGAGGTATATCAGGATGGTCCGATGGCGGTGGTTGTTTTGGCGATGGTCGTAACGGCGTGTTAAGGTTGAAAGGAGACGGGCAGTCGTTGAGTGTCAAGTCTGCTGTCGTCGAGATTTCTGAGCCGCAAGCCTTCACCGCCTACCAAGTCCACACCCAACTCTCTACCCCAGTTTTTGCAGCTTCAAGCCCGACAAACAACCGCTGGCATTGAGCTGGATGTTCGTTCACACCTTTTTCTCCTGGCCTCTTTCTGGGCTGGGAATCTCTTATAACTTACTCACCTTTCCCTCTATTTTGGCGATTACCTGAGCCAAATTCGAACCCTTCACCATGAATCTCTCGCTTGTCGACCCCTTCGTCCTAGCTCAGGACTACCCAGACACGTTATCAGAGAAATTACGTATGAATGGGATCTTATGAATGAAGAGAGTTCTTTGTTCGCTAATAGATATTTTAGGAAGTGGGCATGCGACATGCCTACGCTTCAATCGCAAGGGTGATTATCTGGCGTCTGGGCGGGTTAGCTTCTCTTTCAACATGACAAGCGCCATTGCGAAACTGACTTTCACTTCCAGGTAGATGGCACCGTTGTTATCTTCGACGTTGAGACGAATGGCGTTGCGCGCAAACTGAAGGGCCACATCCGGCAAATCCAGTCACTCAGGTAACCCACGCGACCGTGGCTGTAGTCGGGGAAAGAAAGCTGACACTTGTGTGTAGTTGGTCCAGAGACGGTCGCTATCTTCTGAGCTCTTCCCAGGACTGGAAGTGTATCCTGTGGGATCTGAAAGACGGTTCTCGGGTGCGCACCGTCCGTTTTGAAGCTCCTGTATATATCGCAGAACTCCATCCTTACAACCAGTACGTTTCTAACGCAGTTCCGACAGGCACTAAGTCGCAACAAACTAACACTCTTCTCTACACAGTCTGCTATTTGTAGCCTCCCTCTTCGAAGATCAGCCCGTTCTTGTCGACATCTCGTCCGCGAAACCCATCAAACGCATCCTTCCCTCCGCGCCGTTTCGCGCCGCACCCTCCAAAGACGAGGAGGTCGACCCCGCTGTCGCCGCCAAACAAGCCGCGCAAGATGCAAAGCACTCCACTTGTGTCACCGTCTTCACGGCGCTCGGCAATCATATAATAGCCGGCACATCAAAAGGCTGGATCAACATCATCGAAACCCAAACTTGCACTACCATCCACTCCACGAAACTATGCGCCGCTGTTATTATCCTCCTCCGCCTCGCCAGCAACGGCCGCGATGTTCTAGTTAACAGCTCCGACCGCGTCATCCGCACAATCCTCATGCCCGACCTCTCTCAACTCGGCATCGACCTCGAACCAACCAACATAAAACTCCAAGTCGAGCACAAATTTCAAGACGTTGTCAACCGCCTGAGTTGGAACCACGTCACCTTCTCCTCAACCGGCGAATTCGTCACCGCATCCACCTTCATGAACCCCGATATCTACGTCTGGGAACGCAGCCACGGCTCCCTCGTCAAAATCCTCGAAGGCCCCCGCGAAGAACTCGGCGTCGTAGAATGGCACCCAAACCGCCCATTCGTGGTCGCATGCGGCCTTGAATCCGGCTGCATCTACACCTGGACCATTGTCACCCCGCAAAAATGGTCCGCGCTCGCCCCGGACTTCGGCGAGGTCGAAGAAAACGTCATCTACGCCGAGCGCGAGGATGAATTCGATATCCACCCCGCTGAGGAAATCCACCAGCGCCGCCTTGACGCTGAAGATGAGGAGCCGGACGTCCTTACCATCGAGCCATCCAAGAGCGGCGATATAGAGTCCTTCCGTATGCCGGTGCTGCTGGATTTATCTGATAGCGAGAGCGAAGAGGATATCGTTGCTGTTGGGCCAGGTACTATGCGGCGCCGGAGTCCGGGGGCTGGAAGTAAGTGGAACGTGAATGGTGATGGTGAGAAGGAGGGGCGGAATGGGGCGACCGGTCGAGGGGCAAGGGGAAGACGACGATGATAACAATCGTGCGTCCATCAAGAGATATATATGTCTTATCTCTTTATTGTTTTTCTTGACATGTGTGAACACGATAGATTTACGGCATTGCCGTTTGGGCGTTTGGGATGTGCTTGCTGCATGGAATGGGTGCATGAGATCTATATGAGATTAGGAGTTTAGGCAAAAACCATACAGGTTCAGGAATCCCAGACAGTTGCTTCTGCTCAGATTTGCTATTTATTTGTTTTGGGATGACTACCTATAGATTGCCTTAACATGCAACATCTGTTATCGCATGCATGAGACGCAGGAACTGGTGAGCGGGACCCGGCCTGACTCGGGATTCGGGAATAATATATAGTGGCCATGTCGTGCCGCACCACATAACTCACCTGGCATGGGCCGTAATTCCTCCGATTACTCCTCATCCTAACCAATATGATATATTTCTTTTTGTTCCCCACATCCGTGTCTTGTACATGCGATACGGACAATCCCATGGTATTCTCACTCCTCAAGCGGCCCCGCTGTAGAGAGAAGGTCGCTGTGTCAGTCCCAACTACAACGACGATTCCGCGCACGCCGACAGGACGAGGCTCGTATTCAGTCGATCACTGACAAAGTCAGGTCGGTGAGTAGGTGGTGGATGAAGAGGATGCTTCGCGGGAATGTATGGTGGGTGAAGCAGGTTGGGATGGCATCGTACGACACCCAAGGCAATGGATAAAGGGCGTGTTAGGGAAGGATCTCGTCGTCGTTTGTATTCCTTTCGCGCGATTCGTTTTCTCCGCTGTCCATGTCCGATCGAGTGGGTGTGCACTAACAGGTCACGAAATCCCCGCCAGTAAATGCAGTATTCCTCCTTTTCGCAATGCGTTCCGGTCTGTGGCCAGCCCTCATCTATCTCAACGGCTTTCGAGCCTGGTATATATGCAGAATATTGTAGGCATGAATCTCTTTGTTGAATGCTTCCGACTTCACGTCCGCGGCAAGTTGCTGAATTCTCTCAACCGGCCACCCAAGCGCACGGCTGAAAGGCGCCAGACTAAAGTTCTCGATGCTCTCCGAGATGGCTAGATTATACCAGCGCGCCACTTTCTTCTCGTGTTCATCCTGATGCCACGGGTTAAGGGGAAGCCCCACTATTTGATGGTCGATGTCCGTAAAGCCGGCCTCTTGTAGGTCCCTTATCGTCTCTCGTGAGCTATGAGCAATTGGCCGCATCCTATCCGCTGTAGCTTTCTTGAGCCATGTGTACCAGTGTCGCAGTGCCATCCCATCCAGCGACCGATCATCACATCTCGGCTCGAAATCGATTTCCACCTGCTCAAGCCAAGCACCCGGACGAAGATGTGCGAAAATCCTCCGGTATAGGTTTGGCCAGCGTAAGACACTGCCGCAGCCCATCTGCAGGTGGATCAAGTCCCAAGAGTCCTCTCCCATAGCCCAAGGTCCCTCGAAGTCGAAGGGCGCGTAGAACTCGCAGTTCTTCGGGTGATTGGGCGGTTGTATGGGAGCCAGATCCACGCCAGCAACAAACGCATCGGGATACTTGTTCGCTACCTCGATCGCCCAGATACCAGTTCCACATCCTAGGTCTAGGAATCGGCCGTTGGCAGGATGGGGTGCGTAGATCAGGCTCTCCGATACCCGCGCCACCGTAAAGAGCTTGTGGAAAATGTCGAGACGATCCTGTTCTTGCTCGTCGCATGGAAGAAAGTAAACTCCATTACGGAAGCCATGGTATGTGCGTCCGTTCTCTTCATAAAAATGATCTCGTTCGGAGTTGCTAAGACACAGAAAGAAAGAAGGAGATTCACATTAGCCATTTCATGCGGAGATCAAACACAGTCAGGCTAGGAGGCTGATTGGGCTCGAACGAAACGGGAAGAAGCGGAGGGGTAAGAGAGATATACTTGCTATACATAGGGCTCATTCTGGAAGACCCGTTGCGATCCCAGGGCCCAGGGCCACCAACTGCCGAGGATCTTGGCGTAGGCTCTCGTTCGGTAATTGATTGGATATCCATGGCGTCTGAGTTCTGTCTTGATCGACCAATGTCGCTGGAGGTCGGAGAGTGGTAGCTGTAGTGATTGTGGTTGTGCGTGGGAGAGGTCATGGCGGGAAGACGAGTTCCCACCGGACCTTTTTCAAACATCAGAGGCGAAACAATAATGTACAAGAGATCGGTTGAAGGTGAAAAAAGTGGAATGGGATTGTTTGCGCGGTGGACTATACAATAGTGTCCGGAGTCGTGGGGTGCGCTCGGCGGCGGGTAGGTAGGCCAGCCGGGAGGGAGAGAGCCAAAAGAGTGTTTATTATAGATCAGTCCAGAAGCTGGATATCAATGGCTCGTCCAAGAGTCCCAGTAAGCACGACGTAAGTGGCAGATTGAAAAGTCAAGGGAAAAAAAATCATCAGAGTGGGGGGTGGCCGATCAGGAAGAAATTGTGCCCGTTGAGTTGTAGCGGAAATTGAATGTTGATACACGAGGGCTGAGGGGTTTATTGTATCGCCAGAAGAAGAGCCTCCGACAAGGGAAACAAGGACTGAGTGACAATTGACAGGACAAGAAAAGTAGCGGTCACGGTGCGGGCGAGCGAGTGATAGGGAGCGACGATAATAAACAGCGAGACAGACGACACCACCACCAGGCGTTAAAGCAAGCAAGCAGCGCCGCCGTCTTTTCTTTAAGGTTGTCGCAGCCGCTCTCTTGACCCGGTTGGGCCCACGGGCGCGAGGGGGCGGGGCGGGAGACAGATGCAAAGGCAGAGCAAAGCCGACGAGATTGGATCCTTTTTATTGAGATCAGGGGGGGGGAATGCCTGGCGGAAGGACGAGGATGACTAGGATCAGGGCCCCTGTCTGTACATCGAGGCCTGTCAGCTGCGAGTCTAGCCTCTTGTCTGTAGACGTGACACTCTGCTATATCAGATTCAGGACCCTCCCTTAACCACGGTCCACCAGTGCGCTACTGCTAAGTCCAACGGTTGTAACCGATCCCTTTCCAGGAACTGAAGGCCATTTAAAAAAGGACAAGGTAGACTTCCCGGCGGGAGGCGGCCCCCCGTCCCCGTCCATTAGTCCTGGCCTCTAGGCTTCCTTTGTTCCAGCACTCTGGGTGCAGGATCCTGGCTGAGCGAGGCACACTCCAACTCTTACCTGTTGTGCTGCGTCCACTCAAAATCAATCCCAAAACTAGCCAGACTGTCCCAGGGCTCTGGGACCAAGTCGAGTGGTGATTCGTGAATGCTACTGTAGCAAAACCTTGTTTCTTTGTCTGGTGGGACAACCGCCAAATATATCCTGGCCTAGGTTCCTTTCGTGCTCCAACGCCCGTGCTCCCACCTGCCACTTCCACTCGTTTGCTGGACTTCGCGCTGAGCTGGAGCTACCGAACTCTAGAGATCCTCGACTTCTCGTTCTTGTGAACGTCTCTCTATGTGAAACCATTGATCTCTTGAGTCTGGTACCATATCAAAGCTCGTGGATAAGCGCCTTCTGTTCAAGCGTCAACCAGCGCTTCCGAAACGGCTCCCAGAGCTAGATTGATTGGCTCTGCTTGTTCCCAGAGCGCCGTCGATGTCGCTCTCAGCTCCCCGTTTGGGTAATGGTGACCGCCAATTCGCAAAATGACGGCACGGCTTCAGCTCTTTTCTCTCCTCTAGACTCTGGAGTAACGTGGCTGAGGGGCCGAACGTTGGACAATCTTGAATCCACAATCCGCCGCGAAACACGAATCCTGCAAAACCCACAACCCGAAACGGGTCTCCAATATCGCCGAAACGAACGCTGGTCGACGATGAAACACGCACATGCCCCTCGAGCAGTAGTGGCCCGACCATCTTTCTCTCTTTTGGTTCGGTGATTCCCGGTTCTCCAGTGTACCCACCCATTTTCCACGAGGACCAAGAGGCTACTGCCGGGTCACATACCTACATTAAGTCACACCTCTAGCGACCAGGCCGCTGCGTCCGTTTCGACTCCTTTTGAGGGCACTGACCGGGGGGCCGCCTATACTCATTGGTGGGCAGCGATGCGGCCTTATGCACACTGCGCGAGGCTAACGCCTAAAAGGCTCTTTGCCGTCTATCATAATCGACTGGGAGTTACATCTGGAAAAGGGTTGATGGTACATATCATAATATTGCTGCGAGCCTCTGAGGAAGCCTCATGGAGCAGGAGGTGAGTTCCGTTCCATCTTCACCGACTTCTCTGATGAGCTCGCAAGACATATTGGTACCGATTTACTGCGCTTTCAGCGGCAATGCTTCCGTACTTGACCTGCTACGTTCGGCAATTGCATGATTGCAGCAAGTATATCAATTAGTCAACTCTTTTCTTGAGAATGACCCGTCTCTCACGCCCACATTGCTTCATGTGAACTTACGAATTATACATACTTGCAAAAATAAGGTCCTTGGGAAGGACCGACACTGGGACATACCTTGCCGGGATAACCAGAAGAGAACAATGGTTATTGGACCGTCAGCTGTAGTGCGCTAGCCACAGCTGTATTAATCTCCCCGCTATCTTCTTTCCGATCATCGGACAAGGGTCGACATAAGAGGCAGAGCCCACTCGGTGATATCACCAGGAGAATTTGAGCGGCAGCCTCCCTTGGTCCGTTTCGCGGTACACCCCGTAATGAAGACGTTGCTTGGTCAGACTGCCAATAAGATATGCAGACCCAGGAACACATGCGTGCCTGCGAAGCCGAATTGAAACTGCTGCTATCCTTCAAAACTCTCAAGTTGTTCACCACCATGGATCGGCTTTGGACGGCCGCTGGTGGGTAAACTGCCTCATGTTTGCCAATCATGCTAGCCGTGTTTTTCATGCCCTGAATCATTCTGCGGTCTGAGACTCAGAGTCGGAGATTTACTCCACAACCCACACGGACTTTTCGAAAATAAAGAAGCCTCCATAGGAAAAACAATGAGTGGCGTTGGATGGGACCTATCACACGCCGCATGTGTCTCGAATATCGCTCAGGCAACTGACCCTCAAGGATGAATGGAGATCAATCAACTCTACGCTGGGCCCAGGTAGAATATCGATGCTAGAGTGTAGCAATCAGAGTAGAGAGAATCAATACTCGAACCAGCAGCCCAAATGAAGTTGGAGGGCACTGTCTGGGTACTATATTCTGTTACTGCCTGGGGAATCAGGCACCACATAAGTCTTGGCTTTTTCTTGTTCTTCCACTTCTTCTGCATCTCGGCAACCAGGAAGTGAAAAGACCATAATAGCGTCGAGCCGGAGATTCTCCAGACAACAAAGGAATCCCGTCTCGAATTTTCCTATCGGGTCGGGCCACGTCAGGTCCACCAACAACTCAGTGGAACAGTCCAAGAGAAGAAAGAAGAAATTTCCCGGAGCGGCTGGACTGGACAACCCTCGCATATCCACTCTCTTGACTGGGGGAATTGTTGGATCGCTGGTGGCCTGGATCCCACAAAGAGCAAGGCACTAGCCTGTTTTTACCCTTGTGTTGCAGAGCAATCACACTGCCGTCACTGTGCCGAGTACAGTTTGGCTTGGGACATATCTACCTACCTATTTGGGGTCAATCTAGTCAAAGCCTGGAGAAGAGCAAGCAGACTCGGTCATCGCCACATCCAAGCCATGCACCTGCTGAAGCAAACCGGGCATTCCTCACTTGGCTTGCCGGAGGATAGCTACATCTATTCAATCGTGCCATCTTCTCGAACAGAGTTTGCAGCCATCTCATCTGATGACTCGCTACGCATATTTGATGCGAACAGACTTAGCCACACATCGTTATTGGCTAACAACGCACACGATGGGGTTACTTCGCTGCAGACTTATGATGCTAGCAATCAGCTAGTGGTTACTGGAGGGCGAGACGGAAAAGTGAAACTCTGGGATCTTCGCAATGGGAAGAACTCCGCGGTTGTTGCGGTGGAATCATGTAAGACTCCGTTGCCTCTGCATCTTATTGTCCTTTAGTTGTCCACTGGGGCGAACTCACTTCTGGCCCTGAAGTCTGCCTTGATTTGCGCAGCCTGTGCGAGCTGCTTACTGATCCTGCCACAGCGAATCAGGCCCCTGTGCTGTCCACAGCCACTTGCTCCGAAACCAACAGCCTTGTCGCTGGAACAGAACTGCACTCCCATCAAGCAATCGTTGCATTCTGGTGAGCTTACCCTTCTGCCTATGGACGCGCTCTATGCATTCTTGTATGCGGACTGTCTTAGTGAATCGTTCTACGCATGTGGTGGATCTCACGAGCTGCTAACTGACGCAGGGACGTTAGATCCGCAACCCAGCCTCGTCTCGAATACGTGGAAAGCCACAACGACGATGTAACTGAGGTGCGTCTGATCCAGGCAACGTATATGGCACTCTTTGCTAACCTACCGCTAACTAATAGCTTCAATATCACCCAACCCGCCACAACATTCTGCTCTCAGGAAGCACTGATGGCCTGGTCAACATCTACAACACGACCATCACCGACGAAGATGAGGCTCTCGTTCAGGTCATTAACCATGGCTCCGTACATCATGCTGGCTTCATTAACGAGCGAACCATCTACGCCTTGAGCCATGACGAGACGTTCGCGATCCACCCGGCTACCGATCCAGACGAGGAAGCGCAGGAGCCCGAACCAATTCAGTTTGGCGACATTAGACAGCCCCTCAGCTGTGAATATATCGCGCAGCTCTGCATCGGCAGTCAGGGACCGTATATCGCCGCGGGTCATAAAATGTGCGTACAATGCTCTGTCCAACTTCTCCACTCTTGCTAACTCTTGCTCGATAGCGATAAACGACTTGACCTCATCCCTCTCGTGCCGACTCCCTCGTGGCGCTTCGACGAGCAAAGCCTATGGCGCCTTCCTGGCGGCCACGGCGAGGAGGTCGTGCGCTCCGTCTATGTCGATGAGCAGGTATACTCCCTCATAACTGTCTGTATACCCATCGAAACTAACGTACTCAGAATCAATCCGTGTTTACTTGCGGCGAGGACGGCTTCGTTCGTACTTGGAAGCCAGAAACAGAACAGGGTCAGGACAACCCAGTGGAGACACCGCGGAAGGAAAAGAAGACGAAGGAGAAAGCCCGTTACAGGCCGTACTGATGTAGACTAGATAAAAGAATTAGATATGCAATTGCTTCGATATTTTTTTATCAGAAACTGGCTTCACTTCGGGGTAAGTCTGAGGGCCCGTGTATATATACATTTGCGGCTTTATCGAACTCCGATCCCAACAGTTTCCTCCACAGCTTCAAGCCTTATTTAACTTAGAGGTACTATAAGGATTCCCAGCAGTATGAAAGAACATATGAACTACCCTAGGCGCAAATATCCACAGAATGTATTCGATATGCCAAAAGAGAGCGGCGCGACTATGTGTTAAACCTGAATATTCAGGCACAAACAGCATCTTGGCTCGCTCGGGCAAATAAAACTCCCCCGCTAGCTTTTCTCCGCGGATCTTATCGCTCGCGCTACTTGAAATTTTTTGTTCCTTCACGATAACAATCAAGCCGACGGTTCGGTTCCTTCGTTTTCTTTAGTTGCTCTCAGGTGGAAATAGGTCTACGGTCGATTGATTTCTACTTGCCATCATTTATTGGAGCCCTTTAACCACCGCCCGTCCATTAATCTCCCGAACATATTCCTCCCCGTCCAACTTATGTGTCTACCATCGCGAAGCCTACCTACCCTCTGATCGCCCGACGACCTTCCACCTCTCCGTCCACTCTCCGCTCCGTTTCTGCCCTCACTTAATCACATAATCTTCACCACCTAATCGAGATGGACGCCTACGCCTACCTAATCCGCCACGGCTGGTCCGGCCCCGGAAACCCACTGAACCCGGACGGCGCAGGCGCGCGCTCTGGTCTCGGCCTCACAAAACCCCTTCTCGTCGCGCGACGATCCGGAAACCAAGGTGTGGGGAATAAGACGACGAAAGACCCGACGAATCAGTGGTGGCTGCGAGGCTTCGAAGATGCGCTGAAGGGCATTGGCGCGCCGAAGGAGGACACGATTATCGGCAAGGGGAATGCGTTGACGAGCGAGCTTTATCGGCATTTTGTTCGTGGGGAGCTTATTCCTGGTACTTTGGGGAAGAAGCAGGAGGGGAAGGAAGAGAAAGGGGATTCTAAGAAGAGGAAGAGGGGGGATGGTGGGGGAGAGACGAAGGAGGAGAGGGGAATAAGGAGGGAGGAGAAGAAGAGGAGAAAGGCTGAGAAGGAAGCGAGGAGGGAAGTGAGGAGGGTGAAGAAGGAGGCGAAGGCGAAGAGGGCTGCGGAGAAGGCCGAGAGGAAGGAGAGGAAGGCTAAGGAGAAGGAGGAGAAGAGGGCGAGGAAGGTTGAGAAGGCGAAGATGAAGGACGAGAACTCTGAGGACAGTTATCCTACGCCGGTATCGATGGATTTGGACTCGACGGATTCACAAGACGGGGCTTCGTCTTTGGACGCAGAGAAGCTGAAGAAGAAAGAGAGGAAGGATAAGAAGGAAAAGGAAAGCAAGAAAGATAAAGTCTCGAAAGAGAGCAAAAAGGACAAGAAGCGAGAGTCCTCGTCCGACGAGAGCTCGAAACGAAAGTCAAAAAAGGCCAAAACGACTTGATAGACTTGTTGGCATGGCATCGCATATAGATCTGGACTAGACTGTTTATAGATACCCATTTGGCTTGGTTATACAAAATGTATATAACCTCATCATTGCATATCGCATGAGTGCATTTCTATCAGCGTTTATTTCATGATGGAAAGATAATCAGGCGTCCATAGGCAACTTCCCTGGCTTTCCTGAAAGAATCCACGGCCTCCGCTCCCAAAACTCATCCTTGATGATATCCACATGGTCAACAACGACCTGCGCTTTGCGTCGTAGCTTGCGGAGCTTCTCCTGCTGTGTCTTCGAGACGTTCTCCTGTGGCAGAGCGCCCTCTTCGTCCCCTGCGCCCTGCGGCGTCTTCGGATCGAACCCCAACTCTGCCTTCGTCTTGGCCTCTTCGAGTTGATACTAATCCACCTTAGCGAAGAAGACCAGGAAAATCAAAGTAGAGCCTGACATACCTGTCTGTAGACGACACTGCCTTTCTTGTATATCTCCTCCTCGTTGTTATAGTTGATTCCGAACCTCTTGAACAGTATCTCGTTCTTGTCTGAAGAGACCGTTCCCTATGAACCGTTAACATGAACATATATCTTAAACATCCCAGCGCATACCATCGGTAGCGATGATGGATGGACAAACCTTCAGCTCATTCTCGGCCTCCGTATTACTCATCCCACCGCGAAGAACCATCATCCAGAACGTGGTGTTGTAGAGGTTATTGATATGACCTGCGCACAACGCATCAGTAAACCCAAACACCAAGCCATCACCCCTCATAAACCCGATCAAGCTAGCGATACGCACAATCAACCTGCCTCCAACTCATATAATCCCTTAGATTCCGCGTCGTCGGATACACAACCGCCCGCCCATCAAACGACGGCAAGTACGGCGACTGCAGCGGCATATCGGGGAAGAAGCTACTCCATTGGTGGATGTAGTGCGCCGTGAATGTTGAGACGATGGTTGTTACCAGTTTCCTGTTGATATCGGTCAGCATCTAGCCCTACCCTCGATTACGGGAAAATAATATGCTAAGAAGCAGAATGGAACATACGCGCCCCGCCGCTCAAACAGCTCACACGTAGGATGGAAAACAAAACTAGACGTTGTCAGTAAGGTCTGGCCGCCCATGGAAGATGATGGCTGAGACTGGGTGAGACAAACCTATACTCATCGCTAACGCCATATGCGATCGCCAAATCCGGAAGGTCCTTTAGGACTTCTACAGCGGCGGCATTCATTAGATCTAACGCGCGACGATCATTTGGCTTTTTGAATGCGTATCGATCGGATAGTCTGTCAGGTTGACACGATAAGTAACCTATTCAGACGCAAGGCAAGGCGCAAGAAAGAGAGATAAAGAGTTCAAGCCAGGCGAAACTGACTTATGGAATCCACGGCCATCAATCCGGACCACAATCCAGGTGTTTGGGAGTAGAGCGTCTGGCTGCTCGAATGCCTTGACATATTCGAATCTGCGCGTTGTTAGTCATGACTCATCTCATGAGGAATGCCTGACGGAGTACCTTGAATTTGCCATGTTATCGAGGATATATAGATTATTACGAGAGTTATTCAGTTCGTGATATTGGTATCGCACTGTTGCTTGTCAGGACGGTGATGGCTGTACCTAACTAAGGTTATGGTGGGAGGAAGACATTGTGGGGAAAGCGTTGATAACCGACGCTTCTCAGGTACACGGTACGGCACAGCCTGGGAACCTTTTTCTGGCAGGGCAGGAGCTTACGAAATCGATTAGAAGGTGGATTATATCAATTGAGCTTAAATAAAGATATGCTGTGCGGAGAAGAAAAAGTATAGTCTAGTAAATGCTGCGTGGGACAGCTCGTCTATACTATAAGATAAGATAGGAGAGTATAAAGAGTGATTAAACAGTAAGCTAGACAGTCTCCTCTTCCGGAATCTCATCGTCACCAAATTCGCTGACCCGCTCGCTGGGCCTCTCGCTCGTCTCACTAGCCGCTTTATCGGATTTCTTCGACTTGCGGCTAAAGAAACTAAGGCTGCTCCTGCTGGGGGCACTAGACACGGTGCTGTCGATGCTCTTGGCAAGTTGACCCTCGCCATCGCCGTCCTCATCATTGTCGCCTTGCGAAGAATCCCCCTTCTTGGAGAACAGACCGGAGCGGTCTTTCCAAGACCCGAACTTGCTGGAGCTGCCTTTCCGGGTGATTTTTCGAATAAAGGATTCTTTCGAACCCGCGTTGTCTGTGGAAGTCGCAGATGGCATGCGTTCGAGAGATTCATACGAGTCTCTAGGGAAGTTCGACAGGGATCGAGAATCCCTAGACGCACGGGACTCCGATGGGGAGCCGTGGTCAAAGGACATGTCAAAAGACGTGTCTGCTTCCTCGTGGTCCAGGTCCCTCTCATTGCCCTCCTTCTTGTCTGACCTCCTTCCCGTGATTATGGTTTTGAAGGTCGGCGCTGCCGGATTCAGTTTGGGGGTTATTGGGCGGTGGGACGACGATGGACGCGTGCCGATTGGTGCTTGCAGTGGTCGACCCTGCCTTTCGAACGAGTCATCAATGAAGTCAGGATCAGCCGAAAAACCCAACGGGAGATGGCCGGAAGAACCGTAGTGAGTGGTAGAAGGGCGTCGAGATTGAGCTCTCGACCACGTAGACGGCGAGGTCCAGTTGAAACCAAGAGGACTCCGGTGACCGGGCTTGTCAGCAGACGGCCAGCCGAAGTGACGGTTGTCTGTGGAGGGATGCGGGAGTTGGTTATCAAAAGAGAATGTAGAGGATGGCCTGGGAGACAAAGAACCCCTTCTCCGAACGGCACCTAAAATTGATGACGGGTCAATCGGATCGTGCCTAGGACTAAACTGATTATAGCCAGTGCTGAAATCGGTGCTGTCTCCCTTAGACAAGCTACTGCCACTTCCGAAACCAAACCTGCTCGGCGAAAATATGCTGGAGATAGCGGTACGTCTGGACGGCAAATGATCAGATGAGCTATCTGGGGTGGCCCCAGCTGTGTGAGTTCTCGGTAGCAAGGACATCGGGTTAGCCCAGCTGGTGGTGTAGCTCAGGCGACGACGTCTAGGTCCGATAGGCTCGATTTCATCCATCTCCCTAGGGAATGACTGGCTTTGGCCCTGTTTCAATGTTCCCAGAAGCGGCGGCTCTTCTGCGAGTGTTTTACCACGCGGACGACTGAAGTTGAACAGCCCAGACAACCGTCTCGAGGCACTTTTCGGTGCCTCATCTGCATCCGCTGAGGATGCAGTCTGAGTATTAATTTCCTGAGGGGCCTTCTGTGCCTCCTCAGGACTACCCAAGAGACTAGCCGGCTGGCTGCCAGCAGAGTCTGGTGAAGAAGGGTTGGGAGGGAAGCTCTCGCGCTTAGTAGTAGTTTCTTCGAGATCTGAAAATCTCGGTCTGAGGATAGGCCGTGGCAATTCCGGTGATTCTTCATCGCCAAGCAAATCGGATGGGAGCAGAGCGTCGGCTCGGGGGCTCATCTGGGGGTTGGTGATCGAAAAGTCGGAGCCTCTGCGGTAGCTGCCAGGTTCGGCGGTCAACCCAGGAAGAGTCATTCCATTATTGATGTTAAAGAACGATGAGGCCGGTGCAAAAGTAGGCGAGCTGGTCGTCGGAGGGTTGTAATTCATACTGGTAGGAAACGGTTCTAAGGAAGGGAAGTTCATTGGCGACGAGACATTGCTGTTGAGAGAACTGCGATGGCGCCGGGGTGGACGAATGGCCGCCCCGGAGGGTAGTTCTAGATCCAGAGGTGGCAGAGAGAACGGCGCCGTACCAGCTCGTTGCGAGGTCAGCCATTTGAACCGCTCCTGTGCCTCTTGATGCTGCTGCTGAGCCTGGGCATGGAGGTTTACAAGCGTAGCGTAGCGTGCTTGCAGATGGCCGAGCTTGATTTCCCACTGCCGAGCCCGTTCGTTGTCAATGCGATCCAGCTCATTTCCATCCTCCCCATCTTCATCCGTGTATCCTTTTCTCTCGTCCTCAAGTTTTTTGACCCGTCCGCCTTTGTCTTGAATCTCCTCATCGATGACCCTCATCTCGGCTTGTTCCTTCGCGATCTTCTCCCTAACTTCATCTGCACGTTTCTTCCCCTCCTCTTCAAGCCGCTCTTTTTCCTGTCTGGCCTGCGCGGTGTCGGCGGCAATCTGGGCCATTTGTTCTTGCCAGCGTAGAAGATCGTTCTTCCGCTTCTTGCGATCGGCCTCCTTCTGCTGAAGCACCCTCTCACGTTTGACCTTTTCGCTCTGCACCGTCCGATTGACGCTTTCCAATTTGTTAACGTGCTTCTTCAGGTCGCCGCTGGCCTCGTCCTTCTCCCTAACACGCTTCCTCAACTCATTTCGCTGCTTTTCAAGATCCTTCAATAACGCAATGTGTTCTTCCTCTTCTTCGGTAGTCTGCTTTTCCACGGCATCGTTCTCATGCTGTAAATTTTTCAGTCGATCCGCTAGCAAGGAAATGTCTTCATTTTGATCGTAGGAGGCGGCGCTGTGCTGCAGGTTTTCGGGATGACTGTGCGAAACGTCTGTTGCACCGGCCGCAGGGGATTGTCGACGCCCAACGGATGATCGTTTTTGCAAAGGGCCTCCACTATGTTCGCGGGCCATCAATGGTGCCGAAGGGGTGGGAAGCCCAGCAGTTGACCGAGGTATCGAGGCTCGTATAGTAGGACCAGATGACGGAGCATTGCCTTCCGATTGGGACGCTGGAAGGGACTTGGTGCGCACATGGATAACTGCACTGGGCGTTTGAAAGTTTGCTGCGCTGATGGACGAGACACAAATATGGTATATGCTTCCGGGAGCTAGATTCAAGATTTCGACAGCGGTTTCGGCTCGTTTGGATTCTCCAACTGTTAAAAATAAACAAGTTAGGAAGGAATAAGCGTAAGGTTCGAACGACAAACCTTTAGCGCCATTGACTTGTATTATATGCTTGTGGATAGAGTTGTGGAATTCCGGTTGCTTCCAGGCAATCCTTATCTCGCGAGCGGTTATTTCCTCCAGAGTAACTTCCGGCGGCGGAGGAATGTCCAAACCAAGCTTCTCGATTAATACCTCGTTGGAAGTCTGACAGACCTGCCATGCACGGTATAGAAGCCTTTTCTGAGTCAATTATGCCCATAACGAATCAATCCAAGGGACGCGCAGACTCACCAGCTCAGAGCCCACAGGATGCTGGCTGCCAGAAAGAGAGCCATGACGCCTCGGACCCTCACACGGGGGATCACGCTGGGGTAGGCGTCAAGGGGAAGATAAAATGGTTCATACATCCCAGCTTCGGCCCATGGGGATGCCACTCTCACAAAAGGAAACTCCACGGCAGGGTCTGCTCTCGGTCGCAACTCCGGAAGGCTCGATAAAATGAGCGCGGAGTGGCAGTGGGGAGATCATGTGATACACATTGAATCAGGCGGATCTAGCCACGTATGGCTAGTGATTGAAAGAAGCTTTTACCACAAGAGGCTAGATTGGGCTGGTCATGCGACAGGGCTGATGCTGAATACAGTCTAGCGTGGGATCTAAAATAGTGCAGCACAATTCCAGTGATATCTCATGCTGATGTAACCAATTGTGCCTCCGGACGAGCCCAGCTGATTGCATGTTGGGCTGTTGAGAGCTGCATCCACCTCTCAACGATCGCCTGTCGACCTCCTTGAGTGTCTCCTCCTCGGCTATCGCGGCCTTTTAACCCCTCTGTTGCCGACCTCAGTCCATTCGTTTACCCTGCCTTCGTGCTGAAATGAGCTGCGGTCACAGGGCCGGCACTACTGGGATCTGAGACTTCTCATACCTCATCTTTCACTCATTCTCCACTCGGGCATGTCTCTCGGCTGTCACATGGGTTCGAAGTAGGCGGCAATCCTTGTGATTTCCAACGTCTTCAGCTCCGTACCCCTTCGTTCTGTTCCTGCGATTTCAATTCTTTACAACTTTATACTCTGCGAGGGGAACTCGCTCTGAGATTTCGGGATGCAGTACGTCAGGAGTATCAGCGGTTCGGTCTCCAAGACCTGGAATTCGATCAATCCGGCCACACTAAGCGGAGCCATCGATGTCATTGTCATCGAACAGGAAGATGGTATATTTGCGTCTTTGCTCATTGCGATCGACCTCTGCTAACTCTGCGGTCTGTAGGAACGCTTGCGTGCTCACCTTTCCACGTCCGATTCGGCAAGTTCTCTTTGCTCCGGCCATATGAGAAGAAGGTATTAGCGACCGAGACGCTTCCGAGATAGCTGATGGCTAATTCTGTCAAGGTGGAATTCAAAGTCAATGGCGTCAAACAAGATTATGCGATGAAATTGGGCGAGGGCGGGGAGGCTTTCTTCGTCTTTTCTACGACGGATGAAATACCGGAATCGATGCAGACGTCGCCCCTGATATCACCGCTATCTAGTCCGAAAATGCGCAGCGAGGAAAACTTATCCTCATTCCAGGAACCAGAATACCTGGACTTAGATCAATCTAAAGGAGCGAACCACCCCCCGCTGGTGTCTAGGACTGCTCGGGCGACTAGCGACTTGGGTACAGTGGCCTGTGATACCAATACATGTGTTTAGAAGCTGATTTGTGGCAGGACTGGTTACACCAGTATCCCAATCCGATGACGGCAGTCCAGAGAGACCCGCCCGAGGCTCATTCGGAGCTGATGGGAAGTTGGATCGTGCGCTTTCTGATGGCATCCTACCGGCTGGAAGCCACTCCCGCAGCAACAGTGCGGGCGACTATAATTTTCCGCTCCAGCGACCCGAATCAGCCGTTTCAGACGAAGGTCCTGATCACCTTCGACGCTCCCAAAGTCCTCCTCCGGTGTCTCTGAAAGAGGCTGCAACACGGGCGATGACTTTGTCCCAGAAGCTTTCAGCATCCAATATTCCTTCGCGTGTTACTGACAACGGTGACCTCATGCTGGACATGACGGGTTATAAGAGTAATGAGGAGGATGCTCTCCGAGCGGAAGTACTTGCACGAAAAATCCTTGCAGAGGAACTGGAAGGGAATTATGACATAGGGGCTCTTATCGGGGCGGATGAGCACGGAAACCTCTGGATATACAGTAGCGAAGACGCGAAGGCGGCGGCCGATCGCCGCGCTACACTCAACGCTATGCGGCCCAGCTCCGCCATGAGCGATAATGCGATCTCTGATCCCGGGTATCATAGCGACAGCGACAACTCTCTTCGCGACCCTTCGTTTGCGATGCGGCACCACCGTGCGAAATCTGACGTCCAACCGGGATTTCCTACACCGCCGCAATCGCCCCCCCATACTTTGCCAGCTGAACCTGTCCGAAATTATGCGAAGACCCTGAGACTTACAAGCGACCAGCTCAAAGCATTGCAGCTGAAGCCCGGCATCAACGACATGTCCTTCAGCGTGAATAAAGCTACATGCACAGCCAACATGTATCTCTGGCGCGGAGACACCCCAATTGTCATCTCAGATATTGATGGAACTATCACAAAGTGAGTTTCTCCCAGTCTCTTGACTTTTACCACTAACCGCAGCAGATCGGATGCTCTGGGCCATGTCCTGAACATGATCGGTCGAGATTGGACTCACGCTGGCGTGGCCAAGCTGTATACTGACATTGTAAATAACGGGTACAACATCATGTACCTTACTAGCCGATCGGTCGGTCAGGCAGATACTACTCGTTCATACATCTATGGCGTCAACCAAGATGGATACAGACTTCCGAAAGGGCCCACTATCATGAGCCCGGACCGGACGATGGCGGCCCTCCGCCGAGAAATCTATCTGAGAAAACCCGAGGTGTTCAAGATGGCTTGCCTGCGGGATATCCTGGGCCTTTTCAATGGAAAGGAAAATCCTTTCTATGCAGGCTTTGGCAACAGGCTTACGGATGCGCTCAGCTACCGGTCTGTGAACATCCCGTCGAGCAGGATATTCACCATCAACTCTAACGCGGAGGTTCAACTGGACCTCTTGAGTCTAAATAAGTACAGGAGTAGCTACGTTTCCATGCGTGAGCTAGTAGATCACTTTTTTCCTCCAGTCAGCTTGCTGGTCCAAGCTGGCGGTGAAGAATATACCGATTTCACATACTGGAGGGACGTTCCACGAGACCTTGACGATATTTCAACAACGGACAGCGAAGATAAAAGCCAGGCGGATGAAGAGAACGATGTGGAGGATGAGTACGAGGACGAGCTGAGCGATGAAGGCAGCGAACTCGATGATGAGGAGATCGCCGAGGAAGACTTCGGAGCTAGTTTCATCTCCCAGGCTACGGATCCGTATGAGGAGGCCGAGACACACAGCAATGCTTCGGGCGACGAAGAAGATATCGAGGAGGAAGAGGAAGAACCCACCATATCGATCCATGGGAAAGATTCAACTCCGTCCACACCTCGCAGATGAAATGAGATATTCGACATATGTGACGATATCGAAGCGTTCGCAGATTGGGGTCTGATAGACTATTGCATTGACGGTGTTTTCATTTGGCAAGCCGCGTAATGGCGTCGACGGTTGCATATCAGCGTTGATTATTCTTACGGCAGCTGTACTTTTAATAGAGCAACAATCCGCACAATAATAGATCAACTGGAGCTGCTTTGGCTTTTTTTTTTTTTTTTTTTTTTTTTTTTTTTTTTTTTTTTGGCTCTACGGAATACTATTACCGTTTCTGACAGCCACAGGTAAAGGCTATTTATTTCTCAGGATTCCAAAATGTCTGCGCGCACAAGTTGCACCGCACAAGTTCTGCTGACAACCTAGGTAGTGTCTCTTTGGCCTCGATTTTGGAACTCGGCAGATCATGGCCAGGGCATGAGAGCAACACCCCCCGTTTCCTCACATCGCCTCCCCTCCTCCCGCATTCGCAACAACGTCGCCAGATCTATTGGAAACTGATAGCAATTGCAGATGACATAAGCTGCTAAGTAGCAGAGAGTTCAGGTGAGTTGAGGTGTTAGAATGAATAGCAAAGGACACGAGCTGACTACCCAGCAAACACCAGGCTTCGGCGGTGGCACTAGCCACAGTGCTCTCTCGATTATCCATCCCTGTCTGCATGCTGCTCTTAGCTCTTTAAGGCCACAAAGCTTCCCTTCGCTATTCGCTGGAGAAGCTCTTATGGGTGGCTTGGGGAAGTGCTCACAACATGCAGCCATTGATGCCAGAGGCCGGCTGGTCGAATCAGCTTTATATAAGCACAACTCAGCACAACTCAGCACAACGGCACTACGTGGCACGAGGCTGTGATCATGCTTGTACGGATAAGTGGGAAAGGGAATAAAAAGCCAGTGGTGAGCCTGATATTTCCTGTTCACTTTGATTGTTGATTTGCTGCTACTCAACTGATACCTTGGTACGCGGGTCTACCTAGGGTAACTTTTCCCCGGGATGGGCTGGTACGGACCTGGAAAGACCCATGGCAATGAAAAACCACGATGTGACCCAACGGTTGCTCGAATGCGGCGGCATCGGCGTCAACCGTGGCAATCGCGATGGATATACCGCAGTGGAAATTGCCGTGATGAACAACGACCTCCCAACAATTCAACTCCTTCTCCAGAACGCTGGGACCATCAGTCCCAGGTTGAGGTCGATGTAGTCGGGGAAATGGCGCACCTGGTGGGAACAAACGTTGCAGGTGCTAAGTCTCACAACCTACAGCCCTAAGCGGTCCTCACATTCGCCGGCAAAGGATGAGCTGGATGGCGAGCGCCTCGCTAGGTCCCTACAGGTCAATGGGATCTTAGGGAAGAGGCGGCGCTGTCAAGACAAGCATTCAGGCTGCTGAAGATTACGGGTAAACAGTTCCAAGCACGAGACGTCGGGGATCAGCTGCTGGATGCAGTATCGAAAAGTCAGTACACCATGGTGTAACTCCTCATTTACGAGGATGTTGACCTCAATGCCGCCGCCGGATCGAGTGGATGGGCCTCATTGCACGAGGCTGTATCAAGAAGTGACGAGTGAATAGTGGAACTTCTGCTTGATGGTGGTGCAAACATCAATCTACCTGAATCTCTTGAACAACGCAGCGAAGCAACAGGTCGTACTCTACGACAGGAAGACCCGGCGAGCAGATGGTTTCCCTTGCCAGTGCCATTCTAAATACGGTAATAATTTACCAAGCTCGCCTTGAGCTCACACCCTTGATTCCATAAGCTCAAGCCCCGTCCAATGGAGCCCAGGCCAGTCTCGACGTTCTCCGACGAACTGGCAGTTTAGTTGTGGAGGAGGAAGCCGACGACCGCATGACAGTCAGGAAGCTGATAATGGGCTTTTCCTCCAATTTTGCCGGTATGCCGCTTCAAGCCCCCAGCGGTCGTGAAATATATGGCTATGAGTCTATGGACATTGTACACAGCTCACCGATGAGTGAGCTAAAGCGTACGTTGATCAAAAAAGAAACGGCCCCCTGGAGCGACCTACTCGCTCATATTCCCTGTTTGTTCTGCTCCGATCTCGGTGATTTTCATTCTTGGATTGCGATCAACAACTTGTGCAGCGCCTTGCAATACATTGTCTACTGTTCATAACTATTTGGCCAACACGATTCGCTGCATTGAGTGTCTCGCTGGCAAGGCCGGAGATCGCGGTATATCAACAGCCACGCTTTCTCCGGCGGCTGGATATGGAATATGTCTGGAAGCCCCTTTGACTACTGTGGCCATGAATACGACGGTGCCAAAGACTGCCACACCGAGAGACTCTTTCTGCAGGTTATCCGCCGCAAACGACAACCAAACGGCCATAAACGCCGCGAGATCCCTAGGGAGGGCGCTGTAGTCGTTGGTCGGTCAAGAAGTGAAAGAAGGAACCGCATGGCGTTCCAATGGCATAACTCAGCAGTGTCAAGGTCTTTGGTTCCTGGTGGCTATCCTTCATGGTCGTGGAGGCACATAGTCTTATAGTTGATCTGTTTGTTCTTCCTATGTTATGCTTCGCAAACTTTGACTTCTGTTTGCATGAAGTCTTTCTATGTGCGCGTCCTTCCTGCCTCAGGACCAGGTGTCTACCCGCACTGATCTAGATTTCTGACAAGCTGCAATTGAATACTCGGGCAGTATACCCTTATCATATGGATATTACTGGATCCGTCTGTCCACCCAACATTCAAAGGCCAGGACCTATCTCCTAAAGCCATTGACGCTGCAATGAAGAGGGCCCTACCTAGCGGCGAGCCAACACCCGTGACGGTCCTTCTATGAACGCGGGAGCAACACCTGCATCGTTGTGTCAGACACTTCCTACCTTTACTATCAACACTGCCTAGACTTCTCCATACTCAGAGCTTCAGTGGGAGGCATTGGCGGTTGTTGTTTCTCTCCTACAATCGATGTATGAAGTTCTAAGCACTCATTCGAACAGCTATTGTCTAACACATTCAGAACCAGAACACAACCTTCCGCAGCAACCCTGGGATCATTGAAAGACTCACTCAACCATGGCAACCGATTTGCTACAAGCTGCCTTGAATGATGATGAAACTGCGACGCGACGCCTCCTACAAGACGGCGCGGACGTGCACTCGAGAAACGAACAGCGGGAGTCCGCACTCATTGTTGCCTCTAAGCACGGTCACCGGGACATCGTGCGGCTATTGCTCACAAACGGAGCCGACCTGGACGCGTCGGACGAGACTGGAACAACGGCGCTACATTGGGCTGTCAGCCATCAACATAACCAGGTGGTGCGGCTATTGCTCAAGGAACGCGCGGACACACAAATCACGGATAATCACGGACGTACTCCTCTCCACAAAGCAGCAAGCCGGGGCGATGCAATACTTACGCAGTTGCTGCTCGACCATGGGGCAAATGTTGCCGCCATTGATGATCTAGGAATCACCCCTATCACGCTGGCGAAGATTGGGGGACATGGGGCCGTCATTGAAATTCTCTGCCAGAAAAATGGGCATGGAAGTGTTAACGAGACCACAGCAGGCCCCCAACCTCAGTTTTAAAAGGCCGCACAGACAACGTGGTTGGCGTTGTTTTCTCTCCTGATGGTCGCCAGCTATCTACTGCGTCTTTCGATGGGACCATCAAACTATGGAACACAAGCATCAAGAAGAGTACAGCTACATTCTACACCAGGTCCGCCAGATGCATGTTGGTGTCCTTTTCAAAAGATGGGTTACTTCTTATGTCTTGGTCCACCGCTGGAGATATTTCTATTGGGCAACTATGGCAAGTAAATACGGAAATACTCATGGAGGATCGGTATCTGCACAAGAAAGAGGCGCGCAAAATGGTCTTCTCACTACTAAGAGCATTGTCGTCTACGTCTCCTTTATCGACATCATGCTCGTGGACACTACAACCGAGTCGACAATAAACCTCGCAACAGGCCATTATGGCAGGATGGACAGTCTAGTCTTTTCCCACGACGGCCAGTTGATTGCCTCGGCCACAGAAACAGATGTGGACGCAATTATGATTTTCAATGTTACAAGTGGAACTTTTGTCCGGGCTCTGCAGCGAACAGGCGGTCCCGATTCTCAAGTGACGTTCTCTCGGACAGCAAACTACTTGCCTGCAAAGTGGGAGATTCGGTTGTCTTCTGGGATACGCAGGATTGGAACGTGGCAAGAAAGCTGAGTGACGACAATCTGGACTATAGACTCTCGGACGTTTCCAAAATTGCACTTTCCCCAACTGGTTGTCTAATGGCGTGTTCACATCGCTGTAGGACAGCGCGTAAGGTGCTCCTTTGCAATTCCGTGACTGGTGAGCTTGTTTCTGCGTTGGTCACACCGAAGCACCAGTTGTTTCTGGACATGGCTTCCTCCTCTCCGGATGGCCGAGTACTGGCTATTGGGACAAACCAGGGCGTGGTGTTGTGGAACCTATCAGAGGAAGTGGCCATGGGACGGCGCAGCGAGACTTAACCAGCTGATTGACCTTGGAGCCTCAAGGGACCTATCCATGAATATGGTTTAGTGATAATGCTGGCATTTGCCAGGGTCAAATCTACCCTCGGGTTTGTGGCACCGAACGGGCTGATGTGGGATTGGATTAATCTTGCCCTAACTTTGAGCGGATGATCCCGTTTGACCGCAATTAGGAAGGGCTATTGGGCTACAGCACCGGCGTGCCTATCCTAGAAACGGTAACGATCACCAGAGTCTTTTAACAACTTTCATACTGGAATATTACTCAGGGCAAAGGCCGAATTCCTCATATCTTCCGTTATGATAACCCCTAGAGCTCAATAGATGAGCTGATCTGTCCACGCGTAGATGGTAGAGTATTACGTGCCCCGATTGATCCTAGCTCTAAGCTTCACGCCGTCCCTAGCTCGTGAGTTATCTCTTCGATAGCACATACGGTAAGTCCCCCAGACCCTTGAGGCTGACACGCCCCGTTCAACATCGACATTCACTAACCCTATTTGCCAGGGTCACCATGAAACAGCCACGCCAGCAAGCATCACTCTTTGCCCAAATAACTACCATGTATCTACCTAATTACAGCCTAACTACCTTACTCGATGGGCGCACTTTCTCCGCATAAATGCACCTCCAGACCAAGGGATACTCCCTCTAACCACCCAAGCTCTTGAAACCCAAAGCTACATACATCCTATTATCCTGGAGATGGCTGAGGCCAGGTAACCACCTTACCATCCCCGGGTTACTTACTCGCTTTATTGATTAACTGTTTACGTCCGATTCTTAGGTTAATGGTCCGGATCGAGGCTAGTAAGTCTAGGACTAGGGTTAACAAATCAGGCCGGGAGAAAGAGAAAGGTCTTCTGGATAAAGATGAAACGTGCAAGGCGGACCTTAAATGAGCCCTCTAACGGGGATAGAGAAGCTATGGAAGGTGTATACGGCGTATACATATGGGAGAACCCAATCTCATTTTGTTCAATATAATTTTTGTATGTTTTTAAACCGAGTACCTACGTAGCTTGGCCTGGCTTTCTGCTAGGCCACTAGACATGAACTTGCAGTACTCAGCGGCGCAGCCCTCGTACCTTGACAGTCTAAAGTCCTATAGGCGAGCAAGGAGCCTTTTCTCACGCTCTAATATTGTAAAGTACAGTGTAGCCACCCATCTACGCTCTCCCGCGGATCCGCCGTCTTAGCCTACCGTAGCCGGCTAGCCCTAATAATTAGGACAGAAGCAGAAGTATCCGTAGCTAGCAATATAAGCCTTGATTGACTCTGCTTGGCCAGAGTCTAGAATCCTATCGAGCTATTACTGAGCATCTCATCACAATCCGTATGCGAGTAGAATGTAAGTAACAAGGAGTAAATAGTTCCGACAATAATGTACTGGATTGGCCAGAGGCTGCGAACGAATTAGAGTGCGGGATCTTGGCTTACCTAGTCAGTGACGGACCCACTTTACACCCCAGAATCAACGCTTCTTTCCTTCTCCGATCCTGATGAACACATCCCAGCTCTTGCTGCCACTGCTAACCATTTCAACTCCGCCTCAGCCACCTGCACTACCTGGACACTCTTCTTAAAGACAGGGTAGTAAAGGAAATATTGATAAACACTGGAGTGGTGGGCGGCCGTCTGCGGCATGCAGCGTCTCAGCCTTGCGCCATGCCATCCCTGTCAGCTGAACCCCGCTTCCTACTATCTCTAGGTAAGTACTGTTCACGGTCGCAGAGTCAAGGTCTCTCTCTTATCGATCTTTTCTTGACACTGGTGTCTACCATGGCTGAAGTTCCTCAATGGCGGATCAACCTTTTCGGCCTTCGTCTCACTACGGGCAACACCGTTCTTCGAATTTGCAGCGGGGAAGACGCAATGCGCCGACTACTAAGGTAGCCACACCACCTTGGTTGGTGGCTGCACCTCGCAGCTTCAGCCTCGCGTGTTGGCCGGCCGGCCTTTATAATCCTCTTGTCGCCGGAGCTCGTCCCCGTATTCCAACTCTCCTGAAACAATACAAGCCAGACACCTGGCACGATGGCAAGTGCTGTAGCCAAGGTCGCGCGCCTGAAGCCAGAGATTCGCCTTGGCCAGGCCATTTCGGAGTTCCAAGCTGACCTCTCCCCATCACAAAAAGCTATTTTGCGCACCCAGCAGGTTGCTGGAACACCACCGACGATTCGCGATGTCATGCAACTCACTGCGGAGATTAATCGGGCTACGGGCACTGGCGGCCAATGCTATGGACCACGGCTTACGAACGTCCTTCAGGCTGTGCAGGAGTTCGCTGCTCTCGGCGATATCGTCCTGGGTGGCACGCAGAATCTTCTTGCTTGCGGAGTATGGGGTCTTGTGCGCATGACGTTTCTTGTGAGTGTTGGTCTCTTAACTAAGTGGCGGGTGATTGCTGACCTAAATCTCCTAGTCCATCGTGAAATATTCGACATACCTAGAGCGGTTATCGATGATGCTTATGGGTGCTGGCCGGTCCGCGCCACGCTATCAAATCATGGGCGCTTTATATCCCAAGTCCGAGCGACTGAGATCCTGCATGCTGGAGTACTTCATTGTTATTGTGAATCTTTGTCGCCATGCTTTGCGGTTGAGCCAGAGTTCGGCCCTTGGTCAGTGGGTGTCAACTCTCACGGATTCGAGACTGGATAATTTCCACGCAGACTTGGATCTTTGGACCACGATGATAAAGGAGGAGGTCAGCCTGTTGATGGCGCAACAGGCGTCCGACGAAATCGCTGAGACCGCCTGGTTCAGAACTCGAGTTTCTCGGCATTTCGAGTCACAGTCGCACGCAAAGAGGCTTAGGTTGAGACAGCGTATACTGGACGCATGTTCATCCCATGATGTTGTCAGCAGTTGGAAGCGAATCCGAAAATTGGGACACACAACAATCCAGAAGAGTTCCACAACATACGCAACGTGGATGGAGCAAGGGGTATCAAACACACTGGTCTGTATAGGGACGCTGGGGTCGGGAAAAACCGTTCTCCTTGCCAACATTGTCGACGACCTCAATCTTCAGGCATCGCAGAAATCGACGATATCGTATTTCTTTTGCCAGCATGATATGAAAACCAGCCTGACAGCACGGACGGTCATTGGCTCCCTCGCGCGGCAGCTTTTGCATACACAGCCGGACCTGGATTGCGCGAGTGACGTCTTGCAAGAAGGGACCGCCAATCTAGACATTGATCAGATTCTGGCGCTGATTCTTAGGATTCTCCCTTCGACTTGCAAAGCGTATTTTGTTATCGATGGCTTAATGCAATGTCATGCCGACGAGCGGAAGGTTGTTATTGATGCACTACGATTGCTACAGGGCAAGATCTCCATGTCATTGTGCGTGTCATTGAGGTCCGAACCGTCTGAATCAATGGACGAGCTGAGGGGTTTGTTCGCATTGTCAACATTCACCATGCCAAGTGATAACCCTGACATTGACGAATATATTGATGGGACACTTGAAAGATCCGTGGAGGCAGGGACTCTGGTGGTTCAAGACCCTTTCTTAATTCTGGAGATCAAGGACTATCTCTCGCACAGAGCCCAGGGAATGTTTCTCTGGGTCACACTCCAAATTAAAGCACTGTGCTTTGAACGAACAGACGCAGATATACGCAGGGCTTTTGCAGACATCCCCGACGACCTTTCTGGCATATACCGACATATCCTCACCAAGTCCCGCGTCGCGGGCGCCGAATATCAACTAAGGATCCTCGAGCTTGCCTTGGCTGCATGCCGCCCTCTTACCCTAGAGGAGATGAGAGAAGCCCTGGGTGTAACACCGGGATGTCTAACCTGGGAGCCCCAGAGGCTTTTGAATAACATCAATGCGACGTTGGCGTGCTGTGGCGGCTTGCTCAGGATTGACGAGGAGGACTTTAGTGTTCGCATAGTTCACCACAGCGTGAAGACCTTTCTCAGTGACTCTCATGCATTCGAGGGGTTTGACTTGCACGAGGCAAATTGCCGCATGGCGAAGATTATCCTCACATATCTGAATTATGCGACTTTCTCAAAGCAACTGTCTACCCTCAAGGCACCGCGGGTGAAAGCAGGCTCAGTGACGTCCGCGGTAATTAGCTCAACCGCTGAGTCTGTGGGACAATCCGCCAAGCTGGCGTTGAAACTTTTGAGGCTGAAGAAGGGGAAGGACCGAGATATTGGCCACACCCTACTACGAACACTGGGTCAGGGACAACAGAAAAAGGCGACACCGTTGGCTTTCTACGATTATGCGTCTAGCTGTTGGCAGGAGTATATGCCGTATATGTTCCTTGAGGCAGAGGCAACTGCACAAGACAACAACGCTTTTGATGATCAAGCAGATCCCCATTCAGGCGGGCCAGACGCTCGACCGTATCCCTCAGTATCCCAGCTTCTGAAAGGTCTTTTCCTGGCCGTCAACGTTAATACAGCCGACTCACAAGGCCGCACGCCTCTGTCATATGCAGCTGAATTCGGATATTACATGTTCGTCAAGCTGCTTGTGTCTCAGGGAGCTGAGGATCTAAGTGATTGTTCAAAGAACACACCACTCATGTGGGCTATTAAAGCCGGAAGTTCACAAATCATGGAAGCCCTCCTGAAGACAAAGCATGTTCACCTCAATGCAATAAATAGCGACGGCCACACCCCTCTGTCACTGGCTATGAGATCCACAGAGACTACAATGGGAAAGAGGCTACTGCAACACCCAGAAATTGACGCAAATCTTCAAAATGAATCTGGCTGGACACCCTTGATGTGGACTGTTAACGCCCAGTCCAGCGAATGGGTGACCCTCTTGTTTGGCCTAGCAAAGGTAGACCCAAATATTCCAGATAAAAACGGCGACACCCCGTTACACGCCGCCGCCAGGCTTGGAGATGTGGAAATAGCATGCCTCTTGGTCCTTGCAAAAGCGGACCTAAACCCGCGTAATCGACTGGACTGCACACCGTTTTGGCTTGCTGCTTACCATGGACGCATGGGCATGGTAACGTATATGCTTGGATTAAACGACGCCGAAGACGGCACAGTTCAGGAAAGGGTTTTGGTTAATGCAAAAGACAAGGATGGAATCACACCGTTCATGATAGCGGCACTGCAAGGCCATGACAGGGTGGTCAATCTGCTAGTAAGCCCAGGTGTCTTACCATTGTGTCTTACCACACTCGACTCGGTCAATGAAGCTCTTTGGGCTGCTGCGGCAATTGGCCAAGCAGCCGTTGTGACTCTGGCGCGTATTGAAGGGGTCAACATTAACTACGAAACCCCTAGATGCTCGACGCCGCTCTGGATTGCCGCCCATAATGGGCATGCGGAAGTTGTCAAGTTCCTTGTCCATCAGTCAGGCGTGGATCTGAACGCAGTGAACAGTTCGGGGGTCACGCCACTCTGGACAGCGGCTGAGGCAGGGCACACAGATGTGGTGGAAATACTAGCAAGCCTGGATGGAGTGAATTTGCATGCAACAGACCCTGGGGGGACGAGTGTTCTGTTGATAGCATCTCGAAATGGCCACACTGACGTTGTGCTTAAGCTAGTGAATATCACGCCCGCCGCGGTGGCTGTTGAGCTCTTCACTCTGGCTCAAAAAGAGTGTGTGGGCGATCTTGTTAATATGCTCCGCTACTTACGTTTCAACAAGACGCTGCAGCCACACCTCAAAGACGTATTCTGGCCTCTGCTGCAGGGCCATGGCAACTGGGACCTCACACGCCGTGTTCAGCAACTCCTTCTCCCTACTATAGACTGCGAGATAGATTTCCACATGTCAGGGTCTACCAGCAAAGCATATCCGCAAGCACAGCCAACCGAAAAAAGTGAGCAGTCATCTCGCAATGCAGGCGAGCAGGCTCCCAAGACGTCTACTTCAATTCGATTTGAGCTGGGAGAAACATATATGGCCGCTGTCCCGGAACTGACGACTTCAAGCTAACCAGCATTTTATTCCTAGCACGAAATTCAGGGCCCCATCTTTTCGGTGCTATTCGATGTGCGCCTGTGGATGGTGAGACGGTGTATGGTCTATCCAAGTGTGCAGGTTCGTGGAGAACCCCTTCGCCAACAACTCCTACAACACAGATGATGATATAGTATGAGGGAAGGGTATGGGGGTCCTTTTGGTAAGCCCACCAAATCACTACTTTGGTTATTGAGGCGTATGTTCAACCCTAAGCAGGCAGCCCCCTCCCCCCATCTGCATCACCCTCCTTATCCCCCATCAGCACAGCATTAAGCAACACGCCGACAACAGCTGCAACAATAAATGGGGTCTCGACGATCAGATTAACACCCTGCAGAAACCCTTGGAGGTTGACATTGGACCCATCGTACGCAAGGACCTGACTGAACCAGTCAGGGGACACAATATCCATGAATCCGATACCGAGGGCTGCGGTGAGAATGAACCTGTTCCGGCGCGTAAAGTCCACCATGCCCAGTACACGGACTCCGGCTACGGCGATGGTGCTGTAGAGGAAGACTTGCATGCCGCCGAGGACGGAGGGCGGCATGGAGCCGAAGACGGCGCCGAATTTGCCGAGGATGCCCATGAGAATGAGGATGAAGGAGGCGCAGAGACCGGCGCGGCGGCTCTACCCAGTTTTATGAGTAGGTGAGGTGGTTATGGGGATTAGAGAATACGTACAGCGCACCCGGTCAGGCTAATCACCCCGTTATTCCCTGCCTGGCTCACCATGGGGAGACTCGTGCCTAGGGCCGATATCAGACTTCCTAATCCATCGCAAAGGACACCACCCTGGATTCTGGAATGGAACTCCGGTCCGTCGATGGCAACCCTCGATATCTCGGCGGTGGCTAGGATATCAGGCATGCAACTGACGGCTTCACACACGAACAGGATGAGCATGGGGAGGACGAGCGCCCCGTCAACCGACAGCTTGAAGTTATGCACCCAGAGAAAAGTGCCCACAGATGTAGCGTCGATCTGGTCCCGAGACCAGTAACCCGCTGCACCGGAGATCGTGCATCCGACTGCCAGACCCAGGATCACCGAGGCAGATTTCATGAGTGGCGACCCTATAAATTCGACGATGATGATTGTGATAAAGACGCTGAAGCCGAGACCGATGAGCTTGGGGTCGCCCCTGCGGATTAACAATTAGCCAACCTTCCAAGTTGTTATACCCAGGGCTAGGTCCTACCAAGGCAACGGCCTCGGCGCCGAGATATCGGGGCAAAGGGCATAGAACCCACTTCCCCCATTACAATTGCTCGAGCCGCCCCAGTTCTGCATGCCATTCCCAATGAGATACACCCCAATGAGCAAGAGCAGACTCCCCGTCACCACCTTCGGAAAGATGCGGTCCAGGATCCGCGGCGGGACAAGCGACATGGCGATCTGCACCCACACCGTGCACAGCATGGTGCCCAGCATTGCGCCCCACGCATCTGGGCAGGGGAGCCGCCCTCCATCGGCGTCCGTCGGACACGTCCCGTCTGCGTATCGGCGCTCCGTGTAATTGAATGCGACAGCGAGGATATCGAAAGTCGGCGCGACGACGGACAACAGACCCGTCCCGATGTACAGCGGTGTGCGTGTGATATGGAGTCTGGTAACCTGCATCGCCGTCGCGATCCCCGTTGTGATGAATGCCGCGGAGACAAGATACTGTGTCTGCGAGGACTCCAGGTAGAATGCGCCGCCGGCGATAGCGAGCGGGGGCGAGACGACCGACCCGATCATTGTGAGGGCGTGCTGGAGGCCCAGGAGGAGGGTGAGCAGGATTGGGACGGAGTCATTGAGGCCGTAGAAGGGGGGCTCGACGTCTTTGTATTTGCGGTTCAGGGGCCAGATGTTGGGGGTGATGAGGTACATGTAGTCCTGTTTTGTTAGGATAGTACCAGGGATAGGATTGGGGAGCGTACGTAGTCGCCTATCCAGCCTTCTCGACTGGTCAGGTAGTGCCGCCATTCTTGCCAGCGGGATATCGCGATGACCTCGCCGGGGCGTGTATAGGTCTCAGACGGGATTACAGTCTTGGTCTCCATTTGCAATGGCTTCAGCTAAAGAGTTGGAGGAGGGAGAGCAGCCCCGCTTATATTGGAGTCCGGGGATCCCTGCAGCTGATATGCAGTTATGCACTGATAGACTCCAACTCTCAACACTCACTGATAACGCTCGGCCGAGCTTTCTTTTGATTTCCGCATATCCTCGCTTCCTCTCCCCCCTGGCCGTCAGAAACAACAGGAAACGAAAATGTCGCCCCTCTTCCTCCAAGCCACCATCATCACAGTCAACCCCTCGCGCGAGGTCATCCACGATGGCTATCTCCTCGTCACCGACAACCGCATCACTGCAATCGGCAAATGTCCTCCACCAGATAATATCACCGCCGCAGCGTCCGAGACCATTGACTGCACCGGCCAGATCATGATCCCCGGGCTAATCAACACCCATGCGCATCTCGTCCAGTCGCTACTGCGAGGGTTGGCCGAAGACCTCCCGCTCCACAATTGGCTCTGCGACGCGATCTGGCCGCTGGAATCAGTGTATGAGGGTGAGGACGGGTATCGTGCAGCCCGACCTACCATCACTGAGATGCTGAAGACTGGGACAACCGCTTTTCTGGATCCGATGGTCACGTATCGGGCGGGGTGGGAGGGGGTATGCAAAGCCGTGGGTGAGATGGGGATCAGGGGGTGCCTGGTACGGTTTCTTCCGGTTCATGATATCAGGGAAAATCTTGGCTCATGAGTGCTGGTGTCTAGGGCAAACTCGTCAAATTTTCCGAGACAAACCGTCAGCTCTCCATCACGGACCCGCGGGATCGAGATCTCATCAACATGTCCATTCCAGCACTGGTCTCCCGCCATGGAGAGTACCACGGGCAACACAACGACAGGCTCCACGTCTGGGCCGCAGCCGGGACCCCACGGGGCGCACCGATGTCTCTTTACCGCGAGCTCGGCGAGGCTTGTGCCGAGCATGGCATCTCAATTACCATGCACTGCGCCGAGGCCCCCAGGGACCGCGAAATCTACCATGATGTATACGGATGCAGTGCGATGGAGTTTATTCGGGACGCAAGATTATGCGGGCAGCCACTACCTCTACCTACTTGTGGCGGTAGCGGTGACAAAGATGCCTCAACCTCAAAACAAACGCACAAGCTTGTCCTAGCACACATGGTAAACCTCGACCCAGCCACCGACCTGCCACTCCTCTCCTCCACAAACACCGCCGTCGCGCACAACCCAACCTCAAACCTCAAACTTGCATCGGGCGTCGCCCCCGTTTCCGCAATGCTATCCACCACATCCCCAAATCCGATTACCGTATCCCTCGGCACCGACGGCGCCCCCTGCTCAAACCACTACGATCTGATCCGCGAGATGCACCTCACGTCAATCCTCCACAAAGGGGTGAACAACGATGCCTCGCTGATTCCCGCCGAAACAGCACTCGAGATGGCGACGATCAACGGGGCGAGAGCCTTGGGTCTCGAAAATGAGATTGGGAGTCTGGAAGTCGGCAAGAAGGCGGACCTTGTGCTGCTTGACCCGTATGCGGCGGGTGTTGGTGCAGCTCCGTGGGATTGGAATGATGAAAATGGGGTTACGGCTGTTACGACGCTTGTGCATGGGTGTACGGGGAGGGATGTGCGGACTGTTATGGTTGATGGGGTGGTCTTGGTTAGGGATGGGTTATTGGTGGATGGTGGGAGGAGGAAGGAGAGGGAGATTGTCAGAGAGGCACAGAAAGCTATTAGGGGGATAAGGGCGAGGTGTCATGCTAATGGAAGTACGATTGAAGGGAGGTTGAAGTGTGGATGGACGAATGTTTAGCCACCCTGGCCCTGCCACCAAAACAAACATACTACCATCCTAGAACCTCTTCACAGCCCTCAAGTTCTCCAAATCTTCTAAACTTTCAACCAAAACCCTCGAGCTCTTCACATCCCCCTCTAAAACCCTCTCATAAACCCCCGCAAACTCACTCGCCCGAACAACCCCATGCTTAACAGCCTCCTCATCAACCTCAACCCTCATCCCCAGGTAAACCTCATTAAAGCGGACATTCGTGCCCTCAGTCTCGCGCGCCGCAGCAAGCGCAAAGGAGAACAACGCGCCCTGCGTCATTGCGGGCAATGGGTGCGTTGCGATGTCGCCTTGCGAGCCTGTGCACAGCGTCCAGGTTGTTGGGCTTGGCTGGGCGAGGAGGTAGGGGATTGTTGCGCGGTATGCAACTTTACCAGGTGCGTTAGCAGGGGGTACAACCGGCGACCTCAGAGATAGGGGGCTCACAGAACGCAGCCTCGAACATGGCATTCATATTATACCGCAGGCGCTCGGTGCTGATATCGAGGAGGGAGTCGGTGGTATACTCGCCGCCAACTACCATACAGTCAACACTCTCTTACCTCGCCTGAAAGCTCGACCTGGTAAACGAATCAAGCATACCACAAGAATAAACATGCTGAAACCCCGGCACCTCGCCAGCGCTTACTCTCTCCACAACGCCCTTAATACCGCGCTCATCATCCGCAAGGACATCTGCCTCGACGAACGTAATCCCCTCAGAAGAGCCAGAGCCAATATGGTGAATGAGTTTATCAGCGGAGTCCTTGTTTCGCACGATGGCGAGGACGTGGCGGTTTGAGGATAGGGCGGCCTTGACGGCCGAGACGCCGATGTTGCCTGTTGCGCCGAGGATGAGGACGGTTTCGGGTTCCATTTTTATGGGGAAAGTAGGTGGACTGGATTTGATGAAACTTATGGGAGTCCAGGATCCTAGAAGTGAGGGTGTTTCTGCAACTTATAGGCATCATGTTGGAGTATACCATGCCTAGCATCTTGAAGTGGGTCTTTAGGGCTAAAGGCTTGGATCGAGAGTCTGACAAATTTGGGCGCTTGGCGATTAGAAATGGCTCGCTTTCGGCCTTGAACAAGACCGAAAGGATGCCGCTGACAAAAGATGCAGGAAGGGTTCGGAGAAAGTCGGATGGCAACTTGGTGAGTAGCCCTAACATCCAGGTCCAACCTGCTTCGAGTCGTCCGTTCCAAGGTGCCAGGATTACATAGTTAGATGGTCATTATCTATTGTTATTTCTATTAGAGATTGACATCAAGCCATGAATTTCGAGGAAGATGTTGTTTATCAGATTAGAAGAAATATATTGCCTCCTTGATTATATACAAAAGCGCACCACAGAACTTCACTGCCTCAAGACACCCAAGCGCCCAAAATACAATAAGCAGGTAAAGTGTTGAAGCCCCCGTGTTGATGTTCCGCAACTCATCTCCCGCCGAATCATGTCTAACAGAAGGAAGGGTATTTAATATGACAGCACAAAGCACCAAATTCGACCACGCCCAGCCTATCACCACCTTCTCAGGATAAACCCCCTGACCACATTCGCTGCTTGGGGGCAGCTTTGCTGCTTGAAGATCTTGACCCTTCCTGTCTTCTAAATCTTGCATTATGCGGACGTATGCGTTATCGAGGTCTTCGTCATTGTCGCTGTTGACTTTAATCCTGCCTCTGTGGTCAAAAGAATAGTTCGTGGGCGGGGCTTTTTCGTCTTTGGATGCATCTTGCTGCCCGAGCTCGGATGCGGAAGTGCCGGTATACATAAATGCGGAGATGTTCATAAAGTTGACGTGTACGAGGATGCAGAGGACATGTTGGATGCTCTGGCTTTACGTTAGCTCCCAGTGTACCTAAGGTACAGCGACGGGGGTAGTTGAGGGAGGAACATACCGCTGTTAGGACGATCCAAGGGTCCAGGAACAACAAGGAGGTGAGGAGCCATATAGCATAGATGGCGACCAGCGGGAGTATCGCTATGAAGAAGCGCAGTTCGCTAAACCATCCATGGAAGCCCATTCCAGCGTCCATCATATCGTGAAAGGTAGGCTTGGTGGTCTTGACAGCAACCACAATGATGGCGGCAAGTAGGTATACTGCGAGGAGCATCCATCCGGCTGTGATGAGAGCACGAACGACACCAAGCCTTCTACTCCGTGGTTGGTGACTGAGTCCGCAGAGAGTTGAGATCGCTAAGAGGAAGCTGTACAATGTCAATATGGCGGTCTCTGTACCCGAGCCATGTTGGCCAATGATTGACTCGGAGGTGAAATAGTGGTTGATGAAGAAGAAAACCAAGAAAGTGTTGCCCTGATCCCAATCAGCCCTAATCTCCACCGACCTCAATGACAACGGCAGTAACTTACAATTGCGAACCAGGAAAAGATTAGTTCTAGGCATAGATATACCAGTAAAATCATAAACTTGAATTTCCGAAATATTCCAGCTATGCTGCGCATGGTGCTCAACGCGTTGATCACGAAAGTGACTCTGTCCTGCATGTAGTTCTGCCGGCGAATCAGATATTCCCTAAATGAAGGAGCTGGGACATGGGCTTTGGCTTTGCAAACATAGTCCAGTCGATATCGACTTCGATACTGGGAGAGAACGCCAAATGCCCATCGCCGACGATCCGAGATACAGCTGTGCCATGCACTCGGCATAGACCTGGCTCGGATGGACCCGTCTTCCAAGTCCCCTGGTGACGTCTCTTCACATTTCACCATCTCCTGCTTACACCTGAAAATAGAAAGCTGAATTGGCAATACAGGCGCAAACCCCATGAACGACTGGAGTGGATTGTCCAGCAAGCCTTGCAGCTTCAACTGCATGCCATGGGCGGCTGCCAGCGGATTCAAAGCCCATGTTAGCACCGAGGCTCCCATGTCCGTTCGGCCTACTGCACCCCAGCACCTTGGGTGAAGGTCTAATCGTTCCCACAGACGATAAATAGCGTCGGAAGATGGCATTACCCCAGCAGGGACAAAAACGCACATTCGCGGGTCGAGCTCCGGCATGATTGCTTCAGTGAGCCATCTGTCGCAGTCTTCCATGCCTTGACGACTTTCGTTGAGACAGAGTATCATCTGGACAGGCGTTTCGAGATATTCCGGTACGGGGTGTATAGTGCCCCCTCGTAACCTAACACGGGTGGTGTGCTCGAAAAGATGAGCGAGGACCTTCTTGCCCCCAACGTCATGCACTGCGAGGGCTGGCTGCCAAAGCCCAAGAAGGCTCAGGGCTGCTTTTGCCTCGTCCGTTAGTCTACTCCGTCCGTCGGCAAGGATGCAGACAACGCATTTCTTCCAACCCCGTCGCTTCCACATCTTGGCCTTTTGATCGCAGATGAACTGGATGTTGGCGAAGATGCTGGTCAAAGTCCGACCGAGATCAGTTCCAGATTTGCCGCAGAGAGGTACTGTAATGAGAAGCTCCGTTCGTCGAGGACTGATGTACAGTTTCTGGCGGAGGGTGAATCGCTCCTTCTCGAACATGGCGGGCTCGCAGGTGAGGGCCGAATACCGGACGGTCGCGAACTCTTCTTCATCGTCGCTCACTTTGCCTCGGATCTTAGAATGAACTGGACCAGTTACCACGACATTCCCATAGATTAGATCTGCCTCTGGAGCGGGTCTTGGTCGCTCAACGGGCACCAGCTCGGTTGTCGGTCCTGCTGTGACCGGTTCGGTCCAGGTCCGCCGCGAGCAGAGCTCTGGGGGGATGAATTCCACATCCGCATCGAATGAATCTTGTTCCATGCCTCATGCTTGATGTCTGGTAAAACTGCAGAGTCGTTCTTGATATCATGTCATGCAGCTTGCCCGTCGACGAGGGTCCAGCACTGCCCCAGCCGCAACTTGGCAGCCGTGCGTTAGCCCCAGGTTAGGCTGAGTAGCAGCCTCTAGTATGCTGCAATTCTGGCCTTGACGTACAAAAGTGCTATTTATGGAGCTTGCACTGCCGAACCCTTGCGCTCAGCCGCTGCAGTTCAACCCTCAACCTAGCTTGCGGCCATAATCATAAGCAGCCGCTGCCATCCATTCTCTTCACAATCAACTTACACCAACAACACCATGGCCGACGCTCCGCAATGGCAGATCGATATTACGGGCCTTTCACAATTGATATTCAGCGCTGGCGCTCATGGATTGAAGCAATTGGCATTGGCCGGCGTCGACCCTCACACCATCGGCTGCATGCTGATGATTGCCGAGTATACGCCTGCATCGCAAGATTTTAGAACCAAGCTCAGCAAGGCTCGCCAACAACAACGAATGGATCGGCTCTGGCTTCACAAGCTAGTGGAAATTGGGGCCAGTACAAACTTTCTCGCCGATCAGATGTTGAAGACGAGGGCGGGCGAGAACGTCGTGGCTCTCATGGCAGCCGTCGCTACAGTCATGGATGAGCAGAACTGCACTGCAGTACTATTGTCCCTTTTTGAAGCTGCAAAAGCGTCCCTGGATAATACGCCTGGTATCTTGCAACTGCAGAATATTCGCAAGTGTCTCGCCTCACTGGCCAGCAAGATGGGATTCTCGGAGAAAACTCTACAGTACCACCATTTCTTCCTATCGCTACTGGGCCGAAAGGATGAGGGAGAGTCTCAGAGGCCAAAGGAATCCCCGTATGAAGGTCTTCCGGATGTCAAGGATATGCCGAAGATGATTCAGTTGATGCACAGGCTGATCATCTCAGAAGACGGCCGATGTGTTGTCCGGTACACTGGCCTTCGCGGTGCAGCGTGGATGGCGACGTATGCCTCGTACATCCTTGGTCTCCGAATCTGCGCAGTGACAGCAGACGGTACTGCAGTGCCCATGACAAGCAGTTACGAGGGGGCGCAGGTAATCTTCGAGGTATCCGCCCCCGAGAGCACCGGCGGTCTCTACCAGGAAGGAGATCTTCAAGACTTGATCTCTCTAGAAACAGCTCCTGTGTCTATCAACAGCGGCTGGCGCGTTGACTGCTCCGTGGTGGACTTTGTCAACCTGCATCATCCGGACTTGCGCCAGTCACAGCCAGCACCTTTTTCTCGCATCTCAACGTTTGCAGCCATTGAGCTGCTCAACGAAATATCCACCTTCAGCCAGTCATTCGATCCCGTGGAGTCTCCCGCAACCTGGTACCGGTCTCAGTATCCACACTCTAAGGGCTTTCTCTCATTTACTCAGGCTGCTCTCCCTGACATCCAGGCCCGGGCTCTGCGCATCCTAAAAATCCTTGGTTTCCGTCCGCCTGAAAGTGGATATCGGTTTCGACCACACGGTGAAGTGGAGAGATACTCGTGCTACGGTCACGAAAGCGACCCAATGCCGTTGCAAGAAAGCTATTCTGACGCCGAGGGATCTGATAATGATGATGATGCTTCGTCTCATAGTGAGGAATCCAAAGGTGGCTTTTTCAAGGGTTTTAAGAAGTTTGGGCGCCGACAAAGAGAGGGACCTAAGAGGACAAGAAGAATGTACGAGTCTCGACGCGGACAGTATGTTGAACGGGGCAATCTGTCCATGGGCAAAGACACGGACCTCGAGCGCCTGAAGTATTATCTGGACGATCACACAGATCCAGTCCTGCATAGAGCGGCAAAATGGCGCCGCGAGACATTCCGTGACCTGCTGCAAAGCATCACCGTCGCCGTTCACTTTGCGTCCCGACTGGCCTTCACCGACTGGGACGTCAATCTGCGTATCATGTCTGCCATGGTCATGTCTTATAGAGAGCTGCCACCCCCACGCGTCAGTCATAACAACAGCCGCCATACCAACTTCGAGGGGCACATCCACGAGGCAATCGAGCTATGCTCAGATAGCATGCCAATTGAGAGTATCGAGCAGCGTCTGTGGACCGCCGACTGGATGGGCCTCGACATCGATGGCATCGTGATCCTCCGCAACGCAGCCATGCCTGACTCCTGGGCCAGCATGAAGGGTGCCTATCTGGGCTTCCGGCGAGGGCGCATCCTGCACGAGAACCAGCAGTACACCAAGATCCGGACAGACCGCATCAATACGCAGTCGCAGAATCTCGTCGCAACCAATAAAAAGTCCTGGACCACGGCCTTCCCTATGAACGGCTGCCCGTCAATCGAACCCCGTGCGCTTATCATGCCCATGGCGGATACAATCTTCCTACGCCTCGAGGCCTCTGCGACCCCCGGGTCATCTGTCATCGGCGACGGCAGCCTATCGGCCCTCTTCACCCCTGACTACATCGTCACGGCGCCCTGCAAGCATGGGTACGACCCGAAAAAGACACCGGTAGCAGCAAATTACCCACTTATTGAGGACTTCGCGGAAGGCCTATTCTTCGACGACAGCGCTCTGCTCGACAACTTTACGCGGTCAGGGACTCAGCAAGGCGTCAGTGTCTTCTACCAACTGACGAGCGAGAATAAGCTGGCGCAGTGGCTCGCATCGCAATGGCGACCTGCCAGTGGTCCCTTCCAATGCCTCCGTATTATTCAAAGGGATTGCTGTCTTCAGTGTCTTCTTGGGAATCTAGGTCGGGTCCTTGAGGAGCTGAATAGTGGAACGCATTTCTTTCCGTATAAGCAGTATCCGGTTTGTATTATGGCTGGGAAAGAGGAGGGTCCATGAGATGTGCACTGGGGTAGATTCTGTATATATAGCTGTTCGCATTGTCTCTCATTGCATCATTAAAAGTCTTCCTCTCATTCTTGGATAGCGAGGCTGGCCGCGCCTGGGCTGGCTAAGTTGTTGAGGCCATGGCCAACTCCGGCTGTGGACGGTTGAGGAAGGAGCGAGCTCTTGCACCCGACGGACCCTTCGCTTCTCTCCTCCTTCCGCCATCATCTTCTTCCCAGCACATCTCCGTCACCCCAGTCATCATCTCTGCTTATTCTTATGAAATCACTGATTCTCAAAAATGGCCTCCTCGTCGGACACAGGATCAGACGCCTTGAGCAGCCACAGGCAGGCCCTCCGCCGACGCATGGATTCCGGACAGGTCCAGGGAGATCCCTCTACCGAACCCACTCCCCAGAAATACCCATTATTCTTCGTTGAGTGCTCGCCATATTCCCCACGAAGAGCAAGATGTAGGTTTCCCGGTTGTGGCGGCAAAATCGAGTCTGGCGACCTACGTTTTGCTGTGGTCTTGACAAAACCAAACATGTCCAAGTCGTCAACCAAGCTCAAGTCAACAGCTGGTAAGTTGAGTACAAAATATTCCAGCCTTGCTCACCTGAGAATGATACTAAGACGAGACTAATAACATGGACTCTAGATCTCTACCACATCCAGTGTTTTGAGAAGATCGCCGATTTTGCACAAACGGACTTCCTAGATCGCGTCTTACCCATGACCGGAACCAATTGGAGACTCAGAGGCATGAGCTTAACGAGTATGGGGGATGGGAACTATTCACTGCCGGGTGCAGTAGAACGCCTGGTCCCCCAGTGGGTATCGACACGCAAAAGATTGATTGAGAAGCGCGATGGGCTGTACGATGAAGCCGAACAAAAGGAATGGGAAAATGAGCATGCAGACCTTATGGCTTTGATGTTGAAGGCTGGGTCCTCGGAGTACAAGGCACAGCCCGCGCGAATTCCATCAGGAGTTGATGAGGCCACGTATAGGCTTCTTTCTGAGGAGCTAGCTCCGAATGAGAGTGACGGGCCCGGCGACACGCAGGAGTGGAATCTCTTCAAGACGTACATCAATCCGACGGTGGAGGCTTTAAATGATCCGCATGATCTGAGCAGGATGTTGCTAAGTTGGTGCAACGATATGGTGAGTTCACCTAGTCTACATACTTTGCTGCTTTTTTCTATGGCGAGGGACCGCTAACCAGGCTTCTAGGCACTGATTAGCAAAGACGATAATGACCTAGACGAGCAAGACAAAGCAGCAAAGGTAAGGATTGGTGACAAGGGTATTAGAGGGCTCAAGCGTCTGGCTGTGATTCATAAAAGATACTAGTTTGTGGGCATGTAATATAGGTACAAGGACGAGGCGAACTCAATGCCAACGAAGCTCGGACTCGAAAGCCACTGTTCGTATTATAACTCGCTCTCCACAAATCCGCCATCTGCCTTCAATGTTGCATAAAATAGCTCCGTCTCAGCAGCTATGACCATGCGACCCTTGCCTGCAAAGTTGAAGTTCGCTGACTGCGTCCCCAACCAGATCTTGCCGATGAGTTTTCCAGACGGGTTGAAGACCTGCACGCCGTCTTTGCAAGCCGCGTAGACGTTTCCATTTGTGTCACAGTGGATTCCTATTCATGTATGTATACAGCGATTAGTACTTGTTTGGTGGGATGTCATGGGTTTCTGATTTACCGTCGGGATTGCCAGCGCTTATGAATGCGAATGTCTTGCGGTTTTCAAATGTCCCGTCTTCCAATACGTCGAAGCGGTAACTAATAAAAGGTCAGTTGCTTCGCCTTGCCTTACCACCTACTGCCAGGGAAATTAAGTCAGGGCAGGCCATACATCGAAGCGGGCTCAGTAAGGTTCGTTCCATAGAATCCATAGGCGATTCCTGTATCAGCTATGTAGGCGTACTTTCCATCAGGGGAGAAGGTCAGGCCTAGATGAAAGTCCAGGTCAGGATTCGTATTACTGGGCAGGAGCAGGCGCTGGAGTCCTACCGTTTGGATGCACAAATCCGTCCGCCACGACGCTCACGGCCCCCGTATCCGGATTGAAACGGTACACCTGATCCTGCAGTCCCGGTGCCGGCCGGAAGTCCTGGACGTAGCCGTAGATCGTGTCAGTGAAATAGACGTCCTTGTTGACGGGGTGGACGTTGACATCGTTGAGGGAGTTGAATTGGCGGCCGAAGAAGTTGTTGAGCAGGGCTGCCCATTGTTAGCAGGGCTCGTGAGCGCTATTTGCAGTTAGAGGTTGACTTACGCTTGGTAGCATAAGGCTCCCTGGGATCCATCACAAACAGACCAGGCGCAATATCCTCGCCCTGTCCCTCCGCAGTGAAGATCAGTTTGCCTCGGAAATTCGTCGCTCCTGCGCATTCAATTCGTCAGGCTACCACTTGCGCAACTTGGCTGGTGAAGGTACTTATGCTTACCATTAGGATTCGGAATCAACTGCGTCGGATTCACAGTAACAACATCCACAAGCCCAGTTGCATTCGTCAGATTGGCCACGGCCTCGGCCTGCTCAAGGGAGATCTTCTGCACGATGGCGGACTTGTTGAGACCCGTCCCTGCGTCTCTTGCGCCGGCGTTTTGCACGAAGAATATTTCGTTTGTGGCGCGGGACCTGTTTCATACTCTTTTCAGTCATCCTGGAAATGGGGATTGAGATAGGGAGTATGCCGTACCAGGTGACAGCCTCGTGGAATAAAGGGTCCTTTGCAGTCTGGGCGATCAGAGTCAGGCTTGGGTTTGGGCCGATGATATCTAGGAATTCTTCGTCGTATACGTGGAATGGGCGGTTCGATAGGGTGGCTACTGTTGTGTCTGGGGGGATGAAAAGCTTAGAGTGCATCAATATGTGTTTCAGTCGGCCATAAAAAGGAAGGGGTATGTAGTACGCTTGATGCATTGAAGTCAGACGGCGGCAGCGTGGCATTCAATACATTGAAGGATCTCTGGTTGATGAATTGCGCGCGGGGCGGGAGTTTAGCAGATTCCACGCCAACAAATACGCCTAAGAGCAAACAGGCAACAGGGAAAATCATCTTCTCGACTGAAGAATATAGAGAATTGAACACTGGAGGAGTGAAGAGAAAGCAAAACGGACCTGGAGCGGGGTACCGCGAGAGATTTATGTGCAAGCCGTGCGTGAAGCGATTGCGGGGGCAACTCCATCAACTTCCAATTCTCCCCTGCAGCCAGTGTGGCCTTCCTTCCGGTGGGCAGACATCTAAGCTTATCCGAGTCCTGACGATCGGATATAGGATCTCTTGTTGGTTCTCCGGCTCTCCACAAAGCACACTTGCGGGGCCCCGGGTTGGAGATCTCGGAGGTTCTCCGCTTCGTCCCTGGTTCAACGATTGTACCACTTTTCTGAGAGCTGTTGATGGATGACATATTCTTAGTTCACTGCGGCGAGAAGTATAAGGTTCCTCTTCGCGAGTTTAGCAAGCGGCAGAAACACATGGGATGGTCTCCAAATCCAGCGCCGGCATACGGACTTGGCCTACCTAGCATCACAGCCAAATAGCATTCGGGATCGGATTATAGCATCAAGCTCTTTTATGGTACCAAGCCCTCCACAGAAATGATTTCTCTATCGGATCTGAGGTTGGCGGAAAATCCTCAATCCTAGTTTTCGAACTCCGTACGAAGATCATTCTTCTAGAGAATCAGAAGATAGCTTCTCGACAAAGCCAACTTGTGAAGACTTCCAGAGCAAAAGATTTTTCTCTTGAGCCCGGTGAAAAACAGCTTAGTAGTATAGACAAGAGGGAGCCCATCAGCTCCGTCCCTGGCCAAATTTCCGACTTACTCCTTACCTCCACGCGGTAACATTACTTATCCTCGCTACTTCAAATTCTCGCAGCTATGTGGCTTGTCATGTTCACTTTCATCCAGACTATTCTATCGGCATTCGACAGTAGAACATCGAGATCTTAGTTATTGTCATTTCCCATATTTTTTAGATAGGTACAGTTTTCCAACCGCGACTATGCAGAAGCAGTGAAGGTGTAACAATTCAAGTATATTGCTACCTCAATGGATCCTGGTGTGGATGTGCGCTTAAGGGTTTGATTGGGTCTAGCGTGCAGTATTTGTGGCATGATGCTCGGAATACTCTTCACAGATAAACAAACTAATACAGTGTATAGTTTCACAAAGAGACCATATAGCGACATTGTTAGCTCATAATAATTAACCAACAAGCAGCATAACAGCAGGCCTTGGTGGCTTACCCAGTGCTGCAAAGTGTGTACCTAGAGCAGGAAGGTGTATACATGTTCCTATATCAAGACTTCTGCCTATATTTCTAGCAACCTGAGCAAGAAACTTGCGCAGTGAGGAGTAGATAGGGTTAATAGTGTCTGCCTTGGTGCCTGAAGTAAAAATCATGTGATGTCATAACCAATCTCTCCACCGAGCCGGAGCCGGGACCGGAGATAGCAGGGCGGTGAATGTTGCGGGGCAGGAATTTCTTGAAGGGATGAATCACTGGTTACACAATGAGTAACAGCACTCTCCTTCACCCTCATTCCTACGGCCCATAACACCTCTCCAGTGGGGCACTGGACTCTTCCTTCTTCCACCATCCCATCCCACTCGTTCATCCATCAATTGACGACATCAACCCATCATGGCCACTCCTTTCGTCGTCTCGTACGACCCCGCCACCGCCTCCGACGGCCTCACTCTCCAGCAGATCGCCTACTTTGGCCGTGTGTTGATCAAGGCCACTGACCTCGCTCAGACGGAGAGCTTCATCCGCCAGAACTTCCGCCTCCTTGATATCTACGTTGATGCCACCAGCATCTCATCGAGCGGTGATCTTGTTGACATCCTCAATGCCGGTGCAGCCAAGATCTTCATCTCCCTCGACCAATTGACCGCCCTCAGCGAGGAGCAGTCCGTCCCCTCCTCACGCCTCGTTGTCTACACTTCCTCCGACGACCAGGTCGAGACTTTCCAGAAATGGGTTGTCAAGCATATTGAGCGCGAAGAGGCTGGTCTGTGCATTGCCTCCGACGCCGTGCACCCCGTCTCCGTGAAGCTCGGCTTGAACCCCGAAGCTCAGCTTCTCTACCGTACATACTCTGAGGAAATCTCGGAGGATGCTATCAAGGAAACAATGAAGCAGGGTGGTGTCAGTATTGTGCCTGCCAGTACTCTGGCTGTTAGCCGCGAGGAGTCGAGTGGAAAGATTCAGGCTGGTTCTTTGATTGCCGCCCGTGGTGTTAAGGACCAGGGCAATGGCCTGTATGCTACGACTGTCTCGGACGAGAGAGGTGTTAGCCTTGGATTTGTCTGGAGCAGCGACGAGAGCATCGCAGAGGCTCTACGCACTGGCACCGGTGTTTACCAGAGCCGCAAGCGCGGTCTGTGGTACAAGGGCCAGTCTAGCGGAGACGTTCAGGAGTTGATCCGCATTGGTTTCGACTGCGACAGTGACTGCCTTGTCTTTGTTGTCAAGCAGAGTGGAAGAGGTAGGTCATCTCTTGTCTTGTGTTACTTCACGCGCTGACTTTTTAGGCTTCTGCCACCTCGGCACTGCCAGCTGCTTCGGTCCGTACACCGGTCTCTCACGTCTTCAGAAGACTCTACAAGCCCGCAAGGCCGATGCTCCTGCCGGCTCATACACTGCTCGCCTGTTCAACGAGCCCAAGCTTACTCAGGCCAAGATTATGGAAGAAGCCGACGAGCTTTGCCGTGCGGAAACCAAGGAGGATATTGCCTTCGAGGCCGCCGATCTCCTTTACTTTGCTCTTACCCGTTGTGTTGCCGCTGGCGTCAGCCTCGAGGATGTGGAGCGCAACCTTGACCTGAAGAGTCTGAAGGTGAAGCGTAGAAAGGGTGACGCCAAGGGCCCTTGGGCTGAGAAGGCTGGTCTTGCCGAGAAGCCCGCGGAGAAGCCCGTTGAGAAGGCTGCCCCCAAGGAGGAGCCCAAGGAAGACACCTCTCGCATTGAGATGACTCGTGTTGTTACCGCTTCCACATCTGTCGAGAAGGTCCACGACTACCTCAAGCGTCCTTCTCAGAAGTCCAACGACGCCATTGTCGGTCTGGTCAAGCCCATCATCAAGGATGTCGTCGAGCAAGGCGATGCTGGTGTTCTTAAGTACACCCACAAATTCGAAAAGGCCACCTCCTTGACCTCTCCTGTCATCAAGGCACCTTTCCCCGCAGAGCTGATGAAGCTGTCTCCTGACGTTCAGGAAGCCATCGATGTCAGTATCTCCAACATTGCCAAGTTCCACAGCGCCCAGAAGGGCAGCAACGATTCTTTGTCAATGGAGACCATGCCTGGTGTTGTCTGCTCGCGCTTCTCGCGCCCCATTGAGCGTGTCGGTTGCTACATTCCTGGCGGCACCGCCGTCCTGCCCTCCACCGCCATGATGCTTGGTGTTCCCGCCATGGTGGCTGGCTGCAAGAAGATCGTTTTTGCTTCCCCTCCTCGCTCCGACGGCAGTATCACTCCTGAGATTGTCTACGTTGCTCACAAGGTTGGTGCCGAGAGCATCGTCCTAGCTGGAGGCGCCCAGGCTGTCGCAGCCATGGCCTACGGTACCGAAAGCGTCAGCAAGGTCGACAAGATTCTCGGCCCCGGTAACCAGTTCGTCACTGCCGCCAAGATGCTGGTTTCCAACGACACCTCTGCCAATGTCAGCATTGACATGCCCGCCGGTCCTAGTGAAGTCCTTGTCGTCGCCGACAAGACCGCCAACCCCGCCTTTGTTGCCTCCGACCTTCTGAGCCAGGCCGAGCACGGTGTTGACTCCCAGGTCATCCTCATCGCCATCGACCTGAACGAGCAGGAACTTAAGGCCATTGAGGACGAGGTCGACCGCCAAGCCCGTGCTCTTCCTCGCATGGACATTGTCCGTGGTTCTCTCGAGCACTCTGTTACTTTTGTCGTCCGTGACCTTGAAGAGGCCATGGCTCTGAGCAACAACTACGCCCCTGAGCATCTAATCCTTCAGATCGACAACGCTGAGGCCGCTGTCGAGAAGGTCCAGAACGCCGGATCCGTGTTCATCGGCCAGTGGACTCCCGAGAGTGTTGGCGACTACTCTGCTGGTGTCAACCACTCACTGCGTATGTTACCCTCATTCCTATCATAGTATAATAGCTAACTTGTTATCAGCCACCTACGGTTACGCCAAGCAGTACTCCGGTGTCAACCTCGGCTCGTTCCTCAAGCACATCACCTCCTCGAACCTGACCGCCGATGGTCTTCTTGGTCTGTCTAAGACCGTTGAGACTCTCGCCGCTGTTGAGGGACTTGATGCCCACAAGCGTGCAGTCAGCATTCGTGTCGCCGCCATGAAGCAGCAGTAATGGATTCCCATTCGGCGCTGATGGTGTTACGGCGATGACGCAGCATTTAACGAAGTTTTCAATGTTTTTCTTTTCGGCGCTGGTCACGATTTGCATAGTTTCATGGGAGCATGATTGAATGAGCAATCAGGAAAAAAGTGATGTCTTTAGCATTCGAGTGGTATCCAGACGCCTAGTTTAATAATGACAATGACAATGCAATGCAACCTATTGCAGCAGCAAGAACAAGAACTTTTCCAGCCGTCGTAAATCATCGCAGGAAAACGAACGAAATCAGCATTACCTCTTCCGCTCCTTGATCTTGAACTTGAGCCCGTTCTTGTTGACGCCACCGACGGAATTCGACATCTTCGCCCGTTGTAGATCGAGCGCTCGCTCTGCGGAACTGATATCGGCAAACTGCTTCTCCAGCGCCTTGAGCTTGTTCTGCCGGACCTCAAGAGCCCTCTTCTTCAGCTTCCTCGCCCGTCGCGCATTAACAAGCGCCTGCTTCTCAGCCTCAAGCTCTTTCCTCGTCTTCCTCTTCTGCTGCTGTGCCTGGCGCTCCCCAAAAGTCTCTTCTTCATCGTCACTCCCACCCTCAGCCAACTCCTTCTCCAGTTCCTTCCGCAAAGCCCTCTGATCTTCCCGATCATCCGCAAAAACCAGCTTCCGCGCCTTCTTCTCCGCAGCCCCGAAGTCAAAGTCGTCGAAGTCCGAATCCTCATCCTCGTCCCGATCCTGCTTATCCCCAAGCGCCTCCCCAAAACTCTCCTGAACCCTCAGTTCCTCCTTAACCTTCTCCATCTGCCGTCTGACCCGTTCACCGACAGTACGCAAGTATCCCGCATCCTGCGTCTTGAGGAGCTTGATCGCATCATGCGAGAGACCCTGCGCCGTCGCGGAGTCGCGCATCCCAGTCCCATGTTTGCCCTTCGCGCTGCTGTGCGAGCTCATCATGCCGAAGGCGAATTCGTCCGGGTTGCGGTCGCGTACTTTCTCCTCGAGACGCTTGATCTTTTGCTTTTTGGCGTTGTAGTCTTTCGCGCGGAGGGAGTAGTCCTATCATGGGACAAAAAGTCAGTGCATGTTCCATATATTTGGAACAAGGGAAGCTGGGTATCGCACCTTGTGCTTCTCGAGGATACCCCATTTCTCGCGGCCCTTGAGCTGGCCTCGCTCGCGGTGGTTGCGGCGTTGGACGGCGTTGCGCATGGAGGACATTTTTGCGGTGGTTTTCGAACTCGATATTAAAGGGGGGTTTAAGAAATTAGATACTAAATATCGGAGGACTCTGCACCAGAGAAATCTCGGGAGGTACAGAGTAAAGTAAAAGGGTGAGGTTGAGTCGGTGGGCGTGGTCGAGTCAAAGATGTCGGAGATAAAAGTTCTGAAATGAATCTGCCCAGAGCGGAGCGGAGGAGACTAAAACCTCCAGCTCTGCCGAACCTCACCACCTAGCTACCTAGACCACCATCCCACGATTCTCCCCGCCGCCAATCGCTCCAATTCCTCGATCCTCTTCACTTGAACGCCGCATATATCGAAATAGCGGGGGAGACAATAAAATACCGCCGAAAATGACAACCACAAATCCCAAATACAACCTCCGCAACCCGCTCCCCCTCTCCGCCTCCCAAGAAGCCGAAGTCAAGCAGCTATACTACAAGCGCGTGCGCTCGCTCTGCGCGCCTGAGATCAAGGGTGCGCGAATATCTCTCCTTCCCCTTCTACGCTCTTCCACGACTTTGCTGACAATGAACGGCTTGGCTAGCTTTCGCCGAATGCGCCGTCAACCGCACGGTCACTGCGACATGGGTGTGCCGAACACAGCGGCTTGCGATGAATTCGTGTATGGTCGAGCACGCGAAGCCAGAAGAGGAAGATCGGGCGCGCGAGGAGTGGTTTGCGGGGCATGAGGAGCGACGGAGAGTGAAGCAGGCGGAGCTGGATAAGGTTGAGAGGAGGCGGGAAGAGGTTATTCGGATGATGAGGGAGGATGAGAGGAGGAAGGCGGAGGGTAAGGGGACGGCTTCTGGGACGTCGAGTTGATGGGTGGAATTGTGGTTGATGTTGATCCGGCCGTGATGTGGATGTTGATGTTGATGCTGATGCTGTATACATATGGGATTTTGGCGTTGGGTGCTACTATACTTTCGATTGATGACTGCTTGCGTTGACTAGCATTTGCATATGGGCTGAGCTAGGTTGGTTTTATTCTGCAGTGCTGTATAGTAAGATTACTGGTTGGATTAGAATTGACCGAATCTCTCCTTTGGGTTGTCTAGAGCTTGGGTGAGAAGAAAGGGATGGAGGTATTAGGATGTATATTGAAGGAGAATAGGCAGATGCTAGACATCCGTCATATGTTTATCCCCATCATCATCGCCCATCACCGCATCTTCCCCAAAAATGTCCTCCATCTTCCCGTCCTCATCTTCATCGCCTTCACCCTCGCCCTCTTCCCGCTCAGCACCAGCCATAACATCGTTCCTTTCCTCTGGCACCGGAACCTCCTCCTCGCCCTCGCTCTCCCATTCATCACTCATCTTCCACCCCGTCCCCGTAAGGCAGAACCTCTCCGGCGGCAGCCGCATCCCCGCCATAAGCACACCGTTACTAGCAGCCGGTTTCGCAGCACCCGCATCAAACCCTCTCGTCGCACCCGGCAGCGCTACCCGATTCCTCTCCGCCGCAACATCCATAAGAAACTCCTTCGGCAGCCCCGTCTGGAACTGGTAGTGTAATCGCGACGCAATGCTCAGCCGTAATGATGGCAATGTAACCGAGTTCACCTCGGGCTGGTTCTTATTTCCCGCCGCAGCGGCAGCCTCTGGTCCCGCCCCCGCGTATCCTTCCGTTGTGAGATGCACGGCGTCCTGCAGGACACCCGATGTATAGCGGTACGCGAAATCGAGGAGTTGCAGCGGGACGCGCTCTTGGTAGGATGTTACGCCCTGCGCGGCGAGGAGCATGTGGATGAGGCGGACATCACGTGGGCGGCGCGACTTGCCGCTGTCTTTTAGGGATGTTGAGGGGATCTGCGCGGGTTGGGCTGGGGCGGGCGTTGTTGTAGGCGCCGATGTTGGTTGTGTCGGTTGTTGTGAGGGGGCGGAGGTGGTGTTTGTGGCCGTGGCATTGTTGGCTGAGGAGGGTTCGGCGGGAGGTGTGAGGGGTTGTGTTGATGGTGCTGCTTGGGATTGGCTTGGAGAGGCCATGATGTTTTCTGCCCGACTTTCTGTCGGGTTTCAAGTGGTGTGGAGAGCGAACGGGTTTGGGAAGTGAGGACAGTTGGTGAAGTCGAATCCGGATGCGGCCTAGGGGAGAATCGTCAAGCAGTTGAGGAAAGATTGGTTGCGCTGACTTCTGAACGCGCGGAGTGGGGAAGATGAGGCGACAATGAAGGGATTAGGATAAGATGAGGTGCAGTGGAGGTTGACTGTTGCTCGTTGATCCTGAGATTCTACGGATGAGCGCTAGACCCAGATAGGAAGCGTGCTTAACCACCACGTGACCTTTCAGTACCACGTACTGCGGGGGTACTGCGTAGCTTACCTTCATTGGGAGTTCTTCTTTAGCATCGAAGTGGACAGATCGAAGTTGTGTGGTGTCAGTCACAATCTGCTCCCGAAGCGAAGCATATTATTACCGACCTTCGTATACTTTCTTTGTGAGTTTGCCACTCCTGCCAACATATCAAGTACCTAGGTATCGGACCCGACAAAAGAGTCCTGTCCAAGCTCTGCATCGTTCTAGCTCACAGCCTCTGAACATGGGGCTTCTCGGTCTCCCTGTCGAGATAATTCTGCTGATTGTTTCTCACCTGGACTATGAGTACGAGGTCAACGCGCTATGCCGCACTACTCGGCGCTTGCATGAACTGTTGAACCCCATCCTGTACAAGCGTAGTGTCTCGCACCGCAAGGGGGGCTACACATTGGAATGGGCCGCTGACCATGGGTCTGTTTCTACCTGTCGCCTAATTCTCGGAGCTGGTGCCCCGCCCGATGCCTGCGGAAGCAAGTCCTGGCAACCCTTTGCCTTGGCCGCCCTCGGGGGGCATAATGAGATTCTGGAAATGCTATTTGAGCATGGGGTAGACCCATCTTCCACAGAAACTGACTGGGAGAACCATCTAGACGATTGGGGAGGTTTCCGACGCTCGTCTGGTATGAACCCGCTCTCCTTGGCGGCTTCACATGGCCAGACTCATACCATCAAGCAACTGCTTCGATATGGTGTGCCCCCAGATCTCACAGACGACTCTGTTCAGCAAACAGCCCTCCATGTTGCAGCATTGCGCGGCTTTGATGACATTGTCGGTATATTAATCGATTCGGGATGTTCGGTTAATGCCCAGGATGCGCAAGGATTAACGGCCCTTGCATGTGCAGCCCTGGGCCATTTGGATATCGTCCAACTCTTGTTATCTAGAGGAGCAGACCCTAACATCGTCTCTGAGAATATGGAGACATCACTTTGTATGGCGTCTCTATCCGGTAACATCGACATCGTGCGCTGTCTTCTCGACCACGGGGCCACTATCAGCCCATCACACCCAGACGGCCTAAAACCGCTCCTTCAATTAGCTTACACAGCCAAGGAAGGGTATGATGACATTGTCGAGCTGCTGCTCACTCGATTTGATTACGTCAAATCCTCTACAGAGCCCTACCAGCAAGCCGTCCTTCTATGCGTCGCGGCGCTAACCGGCCGCACCGCACTGCTAACTGATCTCTTATCAAAGTACAATTTTGACCCCAACCTCCGCATCACAGACCAACGCATCCTCCGCTCCTCCCATCCCCGCTACCCCTCGCAATTTGGGAATTCAATGCCGAAAACGGCTATTGACTGCGCCGCAGAGCGCAACGAGCTGGCCGCAATCGCCATCCTCCTCTCGCATGGCGCAAGCATCAACCCACATTTAAACGACACTCTCAGCCAAGACAGGTCTCCTCTCCTTCGTGCAATTAGCAACGGCCACAAGGAAGCCGTCGCAGTCCTCCTTGAACATGGTGCCAACCCAAACGAACCCCCCGGCCGAGCTCTCGTCGCAGCCCTCCAACACCCACCCGTCGTTTCACTCCTCCTTTCTCACGGCGCAGATCCGATGGCAAATCTGGAAGACTCTACCGGACACAATGTCATCAGCAGTGCCATCGAATCTGGTGCCGTCGACGCCCTCCATATACTGCTTGACCCCGAGACCACAAAGAAACTTGCCGACGGCTTAGCATCAATGGGACAACCGGAGAAGGTTAGTGTAGCGGTACTGATGGATGCCGTCAAGGGCGGCGAAAAGACCGTCCAGTTTCTCCTCGACCGGGGTATACTGATTATGCCAAAAGAAGTCCCCGAGAATGCTGCAGAGGCTTGCCTCGATATTGCGGCCCAAGATGGTGGCATTCCGCTTATGCGTCTGCTTCTGGACTTGGGACTTGATGTCCACGCGGGTAATAACGCTGGGAAACTGCTTCAGTGGGCTTCAATGAGAGATGAAGAACTCCTTGATTTCCTCTTAGAGAATGGATGCAGCATTGATGATCCAACTAGCCAAGGTGAAACCGCGTTGGTCCTTGCAGTGAGACACCAGGACACGGACGGTGTGCAATTGCTCTTGGATCGAAAGGCGGACCCTTTGCTTGTTTGCGCTAATGGTAAGACAGCCCTGTCAGCTGCAGTGAAAGAGCACGACTCCTGGACCGTTGAGTTGCTCCTGCAGGTGTTTGAAGAAAAGGGGCACGGGTTTGGTGTCTGTGAGGTTGAAAGGGTGTTGAAATGGGCAGAAACCTATGAGCTGTTGGAGCGCGACAACGTTAATCATTGGAGGGACATTGTTAGGGTGCTGCGTCGGTATTATTGGCGGACGCGCTATCCAGTGTGTCCCTGACTCCCTGATTCTACTCTTCATCTCGATCAGGCCGAGATTGGTTGAGATATTCGGATTAAGGGGTGGACACACTGGATCTTAGCTCCAACCTAGGGTTCTTGGGAGGACATGTTTTCTCTTCTATTTTGCTTGTATTTACTAGCGCCTGACCGTCAAGTCCAGAACTCTCCGATACCCGGGGTGTCTTCATCCAAGTTCTGAGACGGTCATCCGCCTTCCCGTCATATTCTAACCACTACTTCAATCTATCCTTCAACTATGAAGCCCGTCTCCTTGTCACTCGTCGCCCTCACCTTTCCCCCTGGGACACCCGGGACAAACGGCAGCCCAACTCGTCATCCCAGACGGCACCCCGCCCCAGGTCTGAAAACTATCCTCTCAAAACACCCAACTCGGCAGGAACCGACGCAGCCTGGAGAGAACGCCAGGACCCGCACCCGGGTGCGCCAGGGGGCCGAGGGGATGGTCTGCGCACATACGGACGTCGCTGAGCAACACGCCCTCAGGGAGATCTGCTGGGTCGATCCTCATCACGCCCAAAGAGCCGCACTCGGCTTCGGCGGCAGCGACCTCGTCGGGGGTTGCGTCTGGGCGGATGGCTGCGAGGGCGGAGGTTGTGGAGATGGCCAGGAGGAGGGTGGTGAGGGGTTTCATGTTGGAGTTGAGCTGGATCAGGCGATGGGCTTAGCGTGGCGTGGTTAGCCCTAGAGCGAGATAAAGAAAAGTGAAATGGAAAACAGGGTTGTTCGGTGCTGGATTCCAACGCTTAGCCTGGTGGGGAGCCTGCTTCTTTATGTATGCAGCTAAGACCGCCGGCGTCAGGCGAACAGGCGACGTGGTCGAAAGTCGCCTGGGCAGCCCGATTGGTCAGTACCCTTGTTTGCTGCCTGGATGGACAAAAGGTTTCACTTTCCGGGTGGATCTATCCAACTACAGGCCCTTCGAGTTCAGTCATGGGTTCTCACCCTGTCTGCCTGCTTGTAACTACGACAGCAAGCGCGCAGGACTGACCTCATCGATTTAACATCAGGAATACCAAGGTACTCCGTACTCCACCTACGTTGTTCGGAGTATGAGCGAGGGCAGGCAGTGGGTGCGCCGGAACGGCTCGACCGTTGAGCCCTGATGACGCAGGACTTTCTTCCCTGTTTTCATAATCAATGGTAGATTATCCCCGTGCCGAGGACCCTAGATACTGAGGGGGCGGCTCGCGTGTCTTAGTTGAAGGGGGCTGAGCTGCCAAGGGTCCGGTCCCTTGACTAGAACCAACAGATCTGAGATGACAGCAACTTTAATTGGCCAGCGGCGATCAAAAAGGCCCTTTGGCGGATCATCCCGACACATTGCTGGGCGAGCTGCAGGGACGAACAAGGGCGAGTGGTGCCAGACAGCGAACAAGCCAGCAGAAGAAAGATCAGCGTCTGTTCGATAGGCAGGCCAGTTTCGATATGACGTGTTGTGCCGACTTTCGATTTGATGGTGATGAAGGTGGTTATTCCATAGGGCGTCGAGGGGGCTATGGTTCCAGTTCATCAGATGTCGCCAAAGTGCTTCTGGCGGATCCGTTCCATCGCCAGTTCGTCGGGCATGGGCTCCAGAAACTTATCGATCTCGTTGGCCCAGAAGGAGTTTTGCGGGTTGACTTGGTACGCAGATGTATACTCCCAGTACGAAGGATACCAGCCCGCTGTTTCCCAATCAACGATGCCCACAATGTCATCTCCAGAGACCAGAATGTTCAGGCTGCTCAGGTCGCCGTGCGTGAAAACCAACGGCCAGGTTCCGCTCTCGTGCTGTGTGATGAGATCCCGGATTTCCGCGTCCAGCCTCGAGTCAAACTCCATGCCCCTTCGGAGATGCCGATGGAAGTCCTTTATCGTGCTGAAAGGGCCAAAGCGCAGGGTAGGCCCAGGCCCAGGGACCCGGCAGTCGTACAGGGAGCCACCGTCCACAGAAGCAACGCCCATGCTGTCTGGGGGCTGAAGCTGTCGCATCTCGACGATTATTCTCGACAGTTGTGCAAGAAGCCTTGATTTTGATTGCTCGCGCCGGTCTACCCAGCCACTACCTAGGATCTCGCCTTTGATGCGCTCCATCACGATGTACGTCTGCTCGGCATGGGTAAACGCACAGAGAACCTTTGGGACCGGTATGGATGTTCTTTGTGATATAAATTGCATTGTTGATGCTTCTGATAGATGGACTCGGCGTCCATATTTGACACATAAGTTGCTTGTCAACATGAGGACGTTGCCGTGGCGTGGTCGAACACGCTCAAGGAGTTGGACAGCTAGAAGGGTCAAATACCGATATCCAGCATTGTTGCGGAGCGTAGAGACGCGTGACGTGCTCGAACATGGGGGGCTTTTTGGCTCCTGTGACATGGCACTGGGCAGGGGTAATCGATAATGTTGCAAAGTCCAGTTGTGAGATTACGGCGCCCCTCAAGTCCCGTGATTTTGGACATGTTCATTCAGGCAACAGGGCAGAAACTCTCAGCCCTATCTTCATACCGGTTGATCATGGTCATGCCTTGCTAGAAATGCCCGGTGTTATAGCGACACACTAGGGTTCAGGAGTTCTCTCTTTTGCGAGGCCTTATCGCAAGTTATATATACATTACCGAACACTCATACCCGTAAGAGGCTTCAATACGCAACCCCATCCTCCATCTTATCATCAAAATAAACCTCAACCTGCTTCTCCAGCATAACGAGATCACCAACAGCAGCTTTCATATTGACAATGAGCTGGAGGAGACCATACTGCTCCAGCTCATCCCTTAGCCGCCGTCTATTCGCGACGTCTTCGATCGAAGCAATATAATTATTAAGCGATGTCAATGCACTGATCACGTACCGCCGCCGTGCGCGTTTAGTGCTTGGGGACAGGTTTGCGTCGGCCCACTGTAAAAGCTGCACGCGGATTGTTGTCAACCAAACTTCGGGCGGTGTTGAAGATGAGAGGGGAGGAGGGTCTGAGGGTCTGGACGGTGCAGTGGGCACATCACGCGACATAGTCCGATCCTCAACCCTGAGTCCGTGGTGTGTAGGGATGCTGCTGTTTTGGCGCTCAGTGCTGACTGGCCTGGGAATGTCGATGTTATATGCCCCGGGGATGGTGATGTGCATTGCCTCGGGGATGGTGATGTTCTTGGGCTCAGGAACAGTGAACGGGAGTATAGATCCGCTTGCAGCTATGGATCTCAGAAGCGATGTGTCTTTGAAATTATCAGCAACGTTGTCTACGTTATTGACAGCATATGGCCATTCTTACCGGGAGTGTTTGATATCCAAGATGGGGCATATCCTATGCTTGACGGACTTTTCTTCGTCGTGTCTGACGGCTTGATGACTTGTCCCATCGTACGGTGTGCCAATCTCCGAGGCTGTGGTACCGCGTGCTTGGATTCTGTCTGCAGTCGTGTTGGGGTTTGTCTGTCAGACCGTAGAAGGACATCCAGAAGGATATCGATGGATGAAAGACACCATTGCATCTCGCTGTGAAGTCGTTCAAGCCAGTTCGTATTGGATGTCCAATGGCTTAGTGTGTTGAATTGGCCGCTCAGAGCTATTGAGCCACTGCAACTCGAACTGGTTGTATGTCGATTGCCCTCGGCCAGGGCTTGAAGCTCCCCTAGCGCGTCGCTGCAACGGGATATTAAGACGTCAGGCCTCTTGAATACGTTGCTTGTCAACGAGTCCCGGCCGCTGATAGACGAGCCATTGTCGCGGACGTACTTTGAGAGGTGGTTTAGCGAGCAATGAAGTGAGAAGAGTAAATCAGATAGTTCTGTGACGGCTGACGACGCCTTCCCGCAACTCCGCAGAGCGCTATAAAGTGTATAAGCTATCTGGGCCAGCTTGCTCACCTCGCGTGGCTCAAAAAGACGGTCACGGTTTGTCCAGACTGGGCGGTTCAATCCCTGGGCTTGCCGTACGCGAACAGTCTTGGAGTGGAATGCTAGCGATGTACTCTGTTCGGTGGTCACGATTGAGACATGGGCTGCGGGCACGACTGATAAGAGATCTTTGGCGTATGCAGCGGCGGTAGCAGCAGCAAATGGCTGCCAATCTTTGTTCTTGTGAGAGTCGCAGTAGTCGCAGACTCCCCGGATGACAAGGCAGGGGAAGCCGTTCATCAAGCCCGCGGCTTCCATCTCAAAGCAGAGCACACCCCCCAGTTCTGCGCTCAACTGGTCCCTTGTCTCTGCGTTTCTGATCACTTGATTGCCCGATGCGATGGTCCCGTAATGTATCTCAACAGCTTGATCCGTTCTCGGCGTTCGAGTGACTACGTGCTCGTCGTCGCATGCTTCGCACATAGGGCCGCCGGCATGAGTATATGTTGGCTTGAACAGTCTATCAACGCCAGCATGGCCACGCTGAAAGAGAGGTAGGCTATCAAATGCGGAGAGGTGCTCCATAACCTTCGTTCGTTGCCTGAGATGGTTCGCTCGCAGCTTGCTTAGGGAATTAAGCAGGATCGGAGGCGGGGCATTAAGAAAGCCCTTCCGTACGAAGCCCGATGCAGTTGTTGTTCCAGAATCATACTGCACCACTCCACCATGGCTTGCAGATGGCTGACTGACCACCACATCGCCGAGTCGCACGTCAGTCGCACTGGGCACCCCTCCTCCAACACCCACCATCAGCCCAAATCGAATAGCAGGGAATTTGGCTTTCATCTGGATGGCCGCGGTGGCCGCTGATGTTGTTCCATACCGGCCAGCGGGAAGACAGACAATGACCACGTTATGGCATCCTATCCGGCCGAGGGTGTAGATGTTCTCGTCGTTCGGGTCGTGAGGAAGCGCCGGGTGCTCCTCGTCCAGCATCTCCGCCGCAGCAGCAAGCTCGACCGGGAGGGCGCTGACCCATCCAACGGTGTAGTCTTCCGCTCGTAACATCGTGAGTCATAGCAGCGTAGAAAGATGAAAAGACTCTCAACTTGATATGAGAAGAGAAGCAAGGCTGAGACGGGCGCCAAGCAGAGCCTCGCGAGGCTGAGCTCGTGTTGGCATCACGTGCAGACGCAGAGGACGAGGAGTATTAATTCAGCCTCTCGCTTCTCTTCTCCCATCTCTCATCTCCTCATCATTAAAATGGTTTCCGTCACTTTTGAAGAGCTCCATGGGGAGGGCGATGACTTGAGCAGCACCACCCTCGACCTTTTACCAGAGACCAAGCTGACCGACGTGGTCGCGGTGTTGAAGAGCGAGGGATATCGTGCTCCTGACGCTTTTGTCCGGGCGAGGCAAGATGGAAGCCGCGGCCCTCAGTATATCCCCGGGAATGTCTATGACCTCGAGGATCGGCTCCAGAGACTGGAAGTTACAGCTGACTGTCCGTCAAGTTTCGTTGAGCAACGCATCAATATAGACGACACATTCCTGCACTATACCAGCCTCGGTAGGCCCGGAATTGAGCTGTCGGCTCAATTGGCGGACGGTCAGAAGATACTGATTGACGATAGCCTGGAGCTTGAATTTCATCGCACCCTACGCATGCCGGACGATAACAAGATCCATCCACTCCCGGCTTCACAAGGTCGCTTTCCTCTATACAACGTCGATGCTTTTGCGTCTCGCCTACCGGAGCGGATAACCAAGCGAGGTGGCGTATTCTTCCCGATGTGGCAGCGTGAGGCTCTCTGGATCAACTTTCACAACCGCAATCGAAAAAAGCACTACGCAATTCGAGTCAATGTGGGCAACGTCAACGCCATCAGTGGCCTCGACATCTACGAAACGACTGGTAAACAAGATTACATTGTCGTGCCCGGGCAAGACTGGTTAGACGGCATTGCGGTGGGACCAGGGGTTGTGCGTCAGTTTGTTGCTATGCCTCGTGAGTTCCCAAGCCCCAAACTCACCTGCTTGTGCCCAACTAACAGACGGCCTAGTCGGCTCTGGCTATACTGTTGAGGGTCAGGTCACAGGCAAGGAATCTGTTGGTGGGATCCAGATCGAGGTTATACCTTCTCATGAACGAAATCAGCACACGTTTGCATACACAAGTAACCAAGGCCAACGCCTGGCTATGGAGGAGCACGGTACTCCACACGACTACTACCTGAACGAGAAGGACATTCTCGTCACTTCTGCTAAGCTTTTGGGAAATCCAAGAATCTGTGATTTGTTGGACGATGCTGAGAGATTGGATGGCACAGAAGAGCTCACTCTAAAGGTTTGTTGTTCCCAACAAGAGGTGTGTAACTTATTGACGTTGAGGGCTGAACGGTCCAGACTATATACCTTGAACCTAATACAGGAGTCGAGCAATCTATTCGTGCCAAAGGATTTTGGTGGAGCGGGAAATGTTCAAAAACGAGCAAAAGGCCGAGATTGGAGGGCGGACCCGGGGACTATTACGGCATGGGCATGGATTTCTCTGCTATCGATCACAATGCACCAACTACTGGACCAAGTTCCAGAGTTGAGATGCCATTACCGCCGCCGCCGCCTCCTTCTTCCAGAGGCCCTTGCAAACTAGCCAAGGTCCACACAGAATCGTCACCGCAGAAACCCCGAATAGAGAGCTTAATGGATAGCTCAGTGGATATACAGCCTGAAGCGCAGTCTTCTCGACTGCAAGAAATGGGAATTGCGGCAGGAGGAAAGCTGATGCAGGATATAACCAAGGACACTTTGCCAAGGGGGATATGGAACACCAGCAGGAAAAAGCTGCTCGACATCCACATCCTTCATCCGCTTGACTTCGAGGCCGTAACGCATATCGTTCCTCCTCCGACACCAATCACCAAGGAGGAGTACATAGCGGCAGGTATTCCCTTTTACGCGGTAGAAGAGGACCCGGACGAGCGGCTCGACGGATCTACAGTATTGGCCGGGGTCAAGAGTGTCAGCGCCATGGACGAGGATGTCGGCGTGCAAAGCAGTGACACCAACTTTGACCCGCTGAAGCCGAAACGCTGCGCAAAGTGTGCGGTGCGGTTGTGCGATTGCATGTACGTCTCTCTCAAATATCCACTCTCAGATTACGCAGATATTAACACTCTATACTCCAGCATTCGACCGTGCAACCACCAATTCTGCCATGTGTGTATCAGGGCTGTTGCTTCGCCCACGAGTCGGGGACAAAGACGCTGCCCGGTTTGTTCAACTAATGTCTCCCATGTTGCGGGATTCTCGGCGCCCATGAATATCCCCGGAGAGGAAACTTTCAAGGTCGATGTACCCGTGATCATGCTGGAGGTTGAGGATGGGAGAGCGGCGTTCCAGTCTGTGGTAAAGATGAGGTTGTAGCATGGCAGTCTTAAGATCATATGGGCTTAGGCACCAGGAACCCTAACTCACTTCGTAGTGACCTGGGAGGCTTTCTAAGCCTTGATACGAGTATCACGAATCTTCTTCTGTGTATATGGAAAGCTTCATAATCAAGGAAACGAAGCAAACATTCTTTATATCAATTCAAGATTCGAACATGGGACGCAGAATATAACTTGTTGAATGTAATCACAACAGAACATAAACCTAATACAGAACAAAAGAAAAACAACCTTAAATATAGCAAATCATCCTCAACAACAACACGTCAAGCAATCCAAACAGCATTCACACGTCTCCCCACAAAGCCAGCAGCAGAATATCGTTGCGAGACTGCACACTAGATTAGCCCATTGACGCCAACATCTGATGTATACCTAGGGAACAGTACTTACCAAGTAGCCAGACACCCCCTATCCTTCTTTTCTTCCTGCACGATAATTTGGGGCGGGGGTTGTTGGTATTGCATCTTGATCTGTTGTTAGTATGCAGTCACTCTCACCACTCGACTAGTCTGGTCTAGGTAAATACTGACAGGAGGTCCCTGAGGCGGGTAGCCACTAAGAACATATTAGCTGATCTGCAAATCGGAAGTTGACTCTTCAAGCGGACATACTATGGCTGCTGCTCGTACGGAGGCTGCTGATAAGACATGGCTGGCTGGGCGGTTATGATTCCTAAAGTTCTCCACGGACAGAGGAGCACTGTTCTACCACAAAACAAGGGCGTGCAAAATCGATGGATCGGAAACTGAAAACTGAAAACAAGACAGATATAACTGCGACACGAACGCCTCCAGCCCTACACCGTCCCAGGCAGCAGAATTAACAGAATCGGTTTGCCCAGCCCGCCATGCATCTAAGCGCCGCAACGATGGCGCCCGAGATGGAACGGACCAATACGGACGCGGAATATGGACAGGGCTCAGAGACAGAGTCAGACTACGTGACACTTGACACGCTTGCAGGGCTGGGCGTATTCGTACGCTAGGGCTTAGTTGTTAAGGCTAGGCTAGCCAAGGCATCCATATCCATACATACATCGATAGTACGTACCTCATTCTATCCTACCTAAGAAAAGACCAGAAAAGCTGCTACCTAGTCTACCAGCACCAATCCCGCATATAAAGTCTACCCCGGTGCTCGTGCAGGTAGTGCTAATCATCATACGTCTCCTCATAAATCTCCTCGTACTCCTCCCTCGCCTCCTCAAGCGCCTCTTCTTCGCTACTCGATGCGTCGGAGTCCTGGGCGGCTAGCTGCGCCTGCTCGTACTCCTGGCGAGCCTCAAGGACGTCCTCGCGGTCGCTGGAGGAGACGGAGTCACCGTCTGCCGTCTCGTCGGGGGGCAGACCATCGGGTGGTGGTGCGACGACCGGTGGTGGTGCCGTTGCGCCTCCGGATGCGGCGGCCGCGGCGGCGCGGGTTTCGTCGTCGGAATCGTCTGCTATCGTTAGAATTGTCCAGTTGCAAGGTAAGTCTAGGGTAGGGTGGGTGAAGCATACCAAGAGCATCGGCGATCAGTGCGCCTCCAACCGCACCAAGTGCGAGTCCTCCAGCGCCCGCAAGAAGCATGTTTTTCTTGTCATCCTTGCTCTTATCCTTGGCCGCCTTCTCACCACTGTATTGCTCTCCTCCAGCTCCATGCGAGTAGTCATACCCCGGTCCAGGCGGATACCCTCCCTGCGGCGGATACCCACCTTGAGATGGGTACCCGCGGTCCTGGCCGCCATAGTACCCCTGGTCTTGACCCCCATGCGGTCCAGGGTACTGACCAGGCGGATAAACCGGCGCCCCACCATACTGCGGGACCTGGGACTGCCCGTACTGCCCGTACGGCGCCGTGTACGCAGGCGGCTCCCACCGGGAAATACCGGTTGCCTGCTCGATGTAGTACCAGCGCTGGCTGTTGTGGTCGAACTGCGCGACCCAGCCGGGGGGCAGGGGCGGTGCGCCCGGTGGTCCGGCGGGCGGGCTGCTCACTGCAGGGGGTGGAGGGCCGCCGTAGGGGCTCGGGGCCGGCGATGGGTCGTGGTAGGCTGGAGCTCCGTAGTTTGGGTTGGAGCCGTAGCCGGAGTCGTGGGATGGGTCGTAGGCTGCTTAGCCACAGATGGACGTTAGTTGGACCGTTCCATGGAAGGTGATGCAGATCGATCGTAGGCAGAAGGGTTTTGTGAAGTATAAAGGGTTAGGTTGACTCACCGCGTGTCCCCTCGCCTTCGGGTGCATGCTCATCCTTCTTCTCCTCCTTCTTGTCCTTATCCTTATCTCCATCCCCAGAAAGCGAAGCCTTGAGCTCCTTGAACTCCTTCGTGAGCTCCTTGAAGAACGACATTCTACCTAACAAGCTTAGAAAAGGAAGATGGGAAGAGAACAGAGAAATGACTGAGCCACGACCCCTCGCCTCCGCTTTAAATGCCAACCCCAGGGACACCCTGAGGAGGGGTTCAGGGCCCTACGCCACATAGACTGTGGCACGACCTCCAACAAACATCTTGGCATTGACTGCGATGGAGATCCAGAATGCTGCTGCCTGGAGCTCGCCGAATGAACGCTTCCGCCTGTCTTGGCAGGGCATCAAAGCAGTCATGATGTTCACTGTCTCTGTACCTCATTGGTTGGTTTAGACAGGGCTCAGCGTGTTCTCCACTGCTTGTTGGGGGTCCTGTGGTGGTAGTTAAGCAAGGCCAGCCTTGTAGGGCTAACGTCATTTCCCTCTGGACCTACCATAATTCTCCCGAGCTGCCACACCCCGTTCGTTGCTGCTGGGGTTTACGTTGAAGACAGGAGAGATGTTTGCGTCGAATTATCTTCTTCCAAAGCTCGTTTTGCTTGCGGTTTATTTACCGCTCCGCCATGCGTTTCCGTTGAACGCCGTTTCGGGCTCTGCTGAGTCTTCGGAGAGCAATGACTCCGACCTGTGGTTCAATCTCAGTGCAGCGGTCGCGCTGGTCCTGATTGGAGGCGTCTTCGCTGGACTGACGATCGCGTACGTCCCACATTTCCACTGTAATTGTCACCTAAACTAACCATATCAGACTCATGGGCCAGGATGCAGTGCATCTCCAAGTCCTCGCGACATCCGGCGAAGGCCGGGAGCGAAAACACGCGCAGACAGTCCTCAACCTCGTTAACAAGGGCAAACACTGGGTCCTTGTTACGCTTCTGCTAGGCAATGTCGTGGTCAACGAAAGTCTTCCGATCGTTCTTGATAAAACGCTCGGTGGAGGGTGGCCGGCCGTGCTGGGGAGTACGGTTTTGATCGGTACGCGTGCCCTGCGGTGTAGAGACTGCGATATCACACCGTAGAAGATGATTAGATGGGGCACTAACGAAATGCAGTAATCTTCGGCGAAGTCATCCCCCAGTCCGTCTGCGTCCGCTACGGCCTCCCGATCGGCGCGTATCTCTCGCCCGTGGTGCTGGTGCTAATGTACCTCTTCGCGCCCGCCGCTTGGCCAACTGCTAAGCTCCTCGATTATCTCCTCGGCGAGAACCACGGGACAGTCTACAAGAAAGCCGGACTGAAGACGCTCGTGACGCTGCACAAGTCTCTCGGGTCCCAGCCCGCAGAACGCCTGAATGAAGACGAGGTCACGATCATCACCGCTGTGCTCGATCTCAAAGCGAAACCCGTCAAGAGCATCATGACGCCCATGGAGCACGTCTTCACCGTGGCTAGCGACGCGGTGCTCGATGAGGAGACAATGGAGCGGATCCTCTCCGCTGGATTCTCGCGAATCCCGGTCCATGTCCCTGAAAACCAAGGTGATTTCATCGGGATGCTGCTGGTCAAGACGCTTATAACGTACGACCCCGAGGATGCAAAGAAGGTTGATGAATTCGTCCTCGCCACACTCCCCGAAACGGGTCCGGGCACGAGCTGTCTCGATATCCTGAACTACTTCCAGGAGGGCCACAGCCATATGGCGCTTGTTTCGGAGAGCCCGGGGGAGAACGGCGGCGCGTTGGGCGTCGTCACGCTCGAGGATGTGGTGGAGGAGTTGATTGGGGAGTATGTTCAGCCCTATCCCTACCTAGCCCTAACTCCCACCTGGGTGGTACCTTGTTGTTAACCAAGTGTAGGGAAATCATCGACGAATCTGACCGTCACGGCGATCCTTCCAAGCCAACAATCCCCTCCGTTCCAGTCCCAACGCCCCACGTGCAGAGACAACCCAGCTTCCCAACCCCGGACACCCGCACCCTCCGCCGCTCGTCAACGAACCCGATCGCAAAAACGGGGCTCATCAACTCTATTACCCCTGAGCAACGACAACACCTCGATAACCTTGCGCCGTCGAATCTGGCGCGGAGTCCGAAGCATACGAGGTTCCCGTTTGTTAAAATCAAGCGGGCTAGTGCTGCTAATGGAACTGGTAGTCGGAAGGATGCGCCAGCTGATGAGAGAACGCCGTTGTTGGATTCTTGAGCGCAGTAGAACCGTAGATTGATGCGAAGTGTGCTATGATTAGTCGTGTATATATAGATATCTGCTTGGTAGAGAGCCTGTTGTCAGTTTACTGGTTGATAATCACAGACAGTGTCAGCTGCCATACCGCACTAGGTGGGCATAGTATACCACCAACCATGCCATAAACGCCTCCAAAAGTGCGCAGCATCCCTCCCTAGATTTAACCGCTCCCGCTCTCAGCTAAACACTAAGAGATCCTACTCGATAGGAGTCTGATACGGCTCCGAGGTCTCGCTCTTCAGTGCTGCATGCGTATGCCTGGGCTGTCCAAACCGAAGAAGAGAGGTTTCGCGTGATGAATATGGTAGTTTGGAACGCGTACAGTGCTGTATACGCACATCATACAGAAGGACATACTCCCTTTCAACGTTATAGACCGGTATGCTTCCGAATCCACTCATCCCTTACCAACTCCCCCGCCGAGGCCCTCTCCTCCGGCTCCCACTGCAACATCTTCCGCATTAACTGCAGGAAGAGCTTCTTGTCTTCTTTATCCTCGTCCAGCGTTGTCTCTCTCTTTTCGAGCGGGGTATATTCTCTTAATAAAGACGTCTCGAGAAACTCGCCAGCCTCGGAGAAGAACCGCCCGCTTCGCTTTCCGCGCGCGAGAACGCTAGGTGGTGGTGGGCCAAGTAGGTTGATTATCTCCGCTAGGTGCGCTTTACTCTTGTATGTTTGAGACCCGGGGTCGATGCCTGTGAATAGGGAGCCGCCCTCAAAGATGTTCCATATCTGGAAACGGTACGTCAATGATGTTTTCAATGGTAGATTGGATGTGATGTACGTACCATGCACCCGACGTTCCAGATATCAACGCTGTACGACCATGGCGCTTCGATGATTACCTCTGGCGCACGGTACTGTTCAGGCTGGATATCCTCGTAGTGCTCCACATCGCCAGTCGCAGCGGAGCCAAAATCGCACAGGACCGGAGCACCTAGCTTCCCGGGTTGCATTGCGAGTTCCCGCGATAGATAAATGGTTTGTCCGTCTTCTTCCTTTCGAGGGGAAGGGTTCTGCAGCTCTTCCTGCTCGAACTGCTTGAATGGCCCGTCGTCTGCGAAGCCAAACATTATATTGTCTGCTTTGATGTCTAAAAGATGATGTGAGTATCGCATTGCAGCCAAGGGGTATGAGGTATATACCAGTATGAATAACCCCGCACTCTGTATGTAGGTAGTCCAGCGCAGAGAACAATTGGTGAAGAGTGAACGCCAGGACGGATGGGGGTAGCCTTCGGATCGGGTTTCGATGAAGAAAATCCCACACACTCTCAAATAACGGCGGATGAAGGAGGCATTGGTGTTTGTCTTCATTGCCGACGATATTGAATGAGTCGAGTAGAGGCCTGATCGCCCGGCGACCTGGATGCTTCGAGCCTCGAGAGATCCGTTCGTACATCTTCAGCTCGTGATCGACATTCTGGCCCATGGAAGCGGCATCGACGTAGATTTTGAGAGCGACATATGACCGCTGTCTGTCTCTGGTCAGTGGGTATGTCGCAGGTAGGACAGAGGGCTTACTCCATATCGCGTGCAAGCCAAACGGTCGAAGTGACTCCATATCCCAACTCTCCTACTACCTGATATCTATCCCTGATCACCTCGCCTATGCGAGTAGGATAGTATCGGGACGCCAGATAACCTGGAATAGTCTCCTCTTCAACCCTTTGGCCTGGCGCAATGATGCCAAAGTTTGGGTTCGAGAAGTCGAGAGGTTTCCATTTTGGCCAGGGCGAGAGCCTAGAGAGAAAGCGTAGGATGGAAGGTCTCATGGAGATGGCGAAATGATAAAAAGATGTCGTGTTGTGGTCGGATCCTGTCCCTGGGGTGATTGTTTACGATTACATAATCACCTACTTCTTTTAACTTTATCTAGGCCCTGGGTGCATTCGACCTTTCAACAATGCTTACAGTGGTCATTGAGGTGCAATCCTCCAATTCAAAGTCCTTCAAGTGTCTTGAACTTCATCCCAGGCTCCCCAAAGACTCCTATAGTCTCTCTGCCGTCGAAAGAAAGCGTCGGATCCGACAGATACGAACCATCTCCGAGACTAAGGGAAAGGCCCACATGGCTGCTGTCAGTGCCCACTCGGCTTTTGCACCGATACGCCTGGTCACCCTGGTGCCTCGGGGTAATCCTTGAAGTAGGCCTGAGTGGCAGTGAGTGAGGCTCCTGTCGTCATTTTCATGTGTTTCTTCAAATATCCCTGCTGAGCCCTCCAAGCCGTGACTTTTCTCCTGAAGATCAGACAAAACTCCCCTCTACACAGTGAGTCCTTACCTTCTATACTCTAAGCACACTCTAGTCTATCATACTGACGCAAACGACTACTAGCAAAGCAGAAATGCCGTTAATAACCCGCGGAATCTCCCTCGTCAACTTCACGGTCGCGTCGTCCGCCCTCGCCTTCCAGGTCTTCGTCCTGTACCCCTGGCACAACCAGCTCGACGACGAGTTCAAGGCTCTTAAGCGGGAGCATCTTCGGGTCCTAGGTCAGGTTGAGCGGGTGCTGGCTTCTGAGACATTAAAGCTTGGTACTGTGCAGCAGGCGCAATCGCAGTCATAATAGGACTCAGGGGGAAATGGGGGGGAAATTCATGCGTCCGGTTCCGGGTTGACGTGCTGAAGATGCATACCTGTTTCGCCGTGGATTTCTAGATATACAAGGTGCGCTCTACCGCTCAGGACTATCCATCTTCATCCGTAGGTGGACTCGCTCTGGTGCAAATGCTGACTTGGGATTCGAAGGTTGTGGAACACTTCAGTCTAGTGCAGTTCTAGAATACGCTTGGTAGCTAAAGCATGCGAAATCTAAGTGTTGGAGCGCGGGCGCAACTTGATTAGCAACTCTTTCCTGGAAACAAACATATTTATTGACCAGTTCTTTATTGCAATCCCAGTTCCAGTACTCTTTCACCCAACAAATATGAATATGACAAGAAAGCGACACGACGACCCCTCGCCTCGACACCAGACCTAGATGAAAACAAAGTCATCGAAAGCCCTGCAGCATCTTCGATAAAGGGCACGTTGAAGTGCCCTTGGGCAAATCACCTCCCCAGATAAGGTCGCACATTTGGAGTCCGGAGAGCTCCGAACCTTCCTGAGGAGTCAATTGGTTACCATGACTCCAACCGCGTGAATAGCATTTAATCCCCCGCGACCCCCAGGTATCTTAACTTCATACCTATCCTATCCGCAAGAATGGCCTCCTTCCACTATATTTTCCTCTCACTTCTCTACGTCCTCGTCGCTAGTCATGGTATCAACTCCGGTCTCACGGTCGAGACACCACTTCGCCCAGCGGGGAGACACGACGTTCCCTTTGCCATTCGCGCACACTGGATGCATCAAACAACGCAAGCTCTCAGAGAACAGTCGTCCCCATGCCCATTCGCGGCATTCGGAACCGCCATCGTAAACCACACAGGCGGCAATGGCCTTGGCGACTTGATCTGTACCGGCGTCAATGATATCTCGAGCACAGGGAATCCAACTCACCACGGTAAGTGTCCTAGATTTAGGTAGTCCGCGGCGGAATCAACCTAACGGACTACTCAACACCAGGGGAGATCTCCGCAATCGACAACTGCACCCAGATCCTTCAAGATCCCCACGGGCGGTTCAGGCTGAGCCCTTCAGAGACCCAGGCTGCGTTTACGGATTTGACGCTGTATACCAATGCAGAGAGCTGCCCGATGGTACGTGCCGATTTCTCCATCCAAAAGTTTTCATAGACGGTACGTTGCTGATCAAGATGCCTAGTGCGCCGCCGCAATCCGCTGGGCCGGTTTCCGGGAGTACGTATACAGCACCTCGATCGACAAGTTAATCGAGTTCGGATGGGGACAAATCAATATCTCGTCGCTGGAGATCTTCGAGCACTCGCGCGACCTGTCGTCGCCATACCCTCGGGTGATCAAAGATCTCTTGCCTGCGGTAACGGATCCTCTTTTCCGCTGGCAGTTTGATGATTCTATGCCCTGTCCTCTGGGATGTGAGAGGGTTGGAGATGGGTCTACTTGCAAGATTGCTGTTTCATTCTAAATAGTGATTAACAGATACGGCGATATCGGCTGCAAATTTAGTATGTTGGTATGGTAGATCTTGAAACATGTATCTTCAGCAATCCATCCCGCAGTCGGCTGGTTTGCCAACACGCTGGAGCTAGCGTGTTGTTATACTAAAATCCAGTGGATACGTTGCCGCAACGTATCCATTTTTTGGGTGTGCTAGGGTATGTACACCCAGTTTTTACTAAGGGTGGCAACAAAAGCTTGGCGGCGTGGCAACAGTAAGGTTATGTAACCTTAAAGTAATATATACCTAAAATACGCTATATATCCAGCCTAAGTGGTAGATTGGCTTAAAATACCGTAATATTACACTATTATTACCATGGCCAAGAATTTCCACATACTTTACTCCTAATTCCAGCGTATCATGGCTGGGTGTTCATACTCTAGCATGTTGGCGAACCAGCCGACTGCGGGATGGATATGAGGACAAAAGGCAGGCAGAGTAAAATGAAAGACATGGATATAAAACAAATAGCAACTAGAACATGCACAGGGAGCAGTCCACTTGAATAGCGAAGGAAGTTCAAGACGTGTCTTAGAAAGCCGAGATGCAAGATCCGAGTAAGGTACATCGAGGCACACTTTCCAGATCAGATCTTGAAGTTCAGGGAATAGAACATCACTGTGACTTGCCCACTTGCGGATGGGGGGAGCAGCCAGTTCGTTCCGCAGAATTCCGCAGAACGTGAAAAGAAATATACTGTCTTGTCGAGTACTATAGCAGAAAGAGACCACGAGGAAATCCGCGTAATTACGGGGCACCCTCGACAACTACTTTCTGTCTATACCCCGCCAGCCAACACATTTCGGTGTATATAAGGCTGCTTGAAATGATTCTTTAGCAACCATGTATTCCCTTGCTTGGATTAAGTGCCTGAGATTTCACAAAGCATCTCGCCATGTCAATAAGCTCAGTCCGCAATTTATCTTCTACCGCGAAGCGAGCGGTCCTGCGCCTTATCGGTGATGTGACACTGGACGACGTGCGAGAAGTCATTTGTGTTGTTGCCCCTTTGCTCTGAGACGATCCAGCATGTCGAGTCGGTCATCGTCGTTCATGATTGCTATCTTGTGTTTTCCCAGTCCGCCAACACAAGCGAGGAAGAGCTCTGGGCCGTGGAGGCGAAGAATGTCGTGAACAAACCGCTGGTAGACTTCGATTTTGCGATCCGTGGTAGGAGTTTGTAGTGTGAGTATGGCAGCTTTAATGTTGTTTACCGCTTTATCATCAAGTCGTCCTGTTAACCTGACCTGGAGGACGAGCCTCTGCAATAGATCGAAGCACGTGTCGACCTTTGGTTGCAATGGAAAACGTCCGAACATTGCGTCTAGTCAACTCATTCTCGAAGGAGGAAATACAATGCCGACACTGTTGTAAAAGATGCTCCAGGGCCGCCGTTTCAAGGTTGGAATAATCATTGTTCCAAGCAACGGCAGTGTTGTCCGCAAGATGTAGCCTTACTTGTGGGGTGAAAGTGGACAATCCTGGAACGGAAGACTTGGGAAACCCACAGTTTACCGCGTAATTCCGTGGATCACTGGCACGGCTTGAGGGTTGAGGATTAAGTCATCTTACTCAGCAACGGTCGAGGGGGGGCAAGGTCGAGGCCGACGCTGGTCCGTTAACTTCCGTTGTCAAGGCTGTGTTCTTGGCATTTCCTGACCCAACTTTATTATGTTGGTAGTATTCCGTCCAACGCTCTTTCCTAAGCTCAACGATGAGGAAGGCATGGAATCTGCCCTGCTATAAACGGGTGATCGCCGGCCAAGCGGCTCCAACAGTGAGAGTTGGCTGTTCTCTCTCCCCTCTGTGCAACAAAATGCCTCCTGTTTCCAATTTGATTGCCGCCTCACTCCGATCCGTCTCGTTCGCGACTAAATGGGCGACTGTTGCTGCAAACATCCCAGAAAAGCCTCGAACGTTACCGACGGCTGGCTTTCCGCTAGTTGAGCCTGATCAACTCATCGAGGAAGAGGAAATTCCCGACTACAAGCACAACCCTGATCGATTCTACCCCGTTCAATTAGGCGAGGTTTTCAACGAACGCTATCAGACAATCGCAAAGCTCGGCTTTGGTACTTCGTCAACGACCTGGCTGGCCCGGGACCTGAGGTGAGCGAGATTTACGCGAGAGGGTACACCACATTTGGTCAGATAATTAACATCTGCAGAGACCGCCGGTATGTTGCCCTGAAAGTTTACGTCCACACATCACGGGCCCACCGCGAACTTCCCTTTTACCAGCATATCCAACCGCAACTGAAGGAAACCCCACCAAGGGGACGTGTGAATATCAGGCGACTCCTAGACTCCTTCCAGATCACCGGTCCCATGGCACACATCCCGCGCTCGTTTTCGAAGCAGCACAGTTGAGCCTGCGGGATATGCAAACCGTCTTCTTCCCAGGCGGCTTTGACGAGAGTTTTGTCCGTAGTGCGGTTCTTGAGCTCCTGATAGCTCTGGAATTCCTGCATACGAGGGGTGAGACAGTGCATACTGGTATGGTACTCCCTATCATCATCCGCTCTCTATAAATGGTCCTGGATAGCTCGGCCCTTCTGACGTTTCTTTGCAGACGTGCATTCAGGAAACATGCTCCTAGGCACATACGATAACGACAACGAAATGTTCAAGAAGCTCGAAGAAATGGAATTCACATCGCCTGTGCCGCGCAAACAGGACTCATCCGGCAGAACCATTTATCTCTCACAAGCGCTGAAACCAAAGGTAGGGCCCATGTTACTCTCCGACTTTGGCGAAGCGAGAATCGGTCGAGGACCTCACGCCGGTGACATCATGCCGTTGGAATACCGGGCTCCAGAGACATTACTGTATGTGGGATGGAGTTTTCCGGTTGATATTTGGAGCGTTGGTCTGACAGTAGGTCGTTGCGTCTACAGTAACTGCGAGTGATTAGGATGCTAATAATGTTCTGCTGTGAGCAAAAGGCCTGGGATCTCCTTGAGCCAAAGAGACTTTTTACGGCGCGGGACGACGACGGGGATCTGTATGATGCTGCGCATCTCGCGCAGCTCATTGCCGCGCTGGGGCCACCACCGCCTGAGTTTCTGGCTAAGAATCCAGAGAGGAGGGCTGACTTTTGGAATGAAAAAGGTACCTACTCTTCCCGCGTGTAATGTAACAGCATTCAGCGGTGTAGCTAATCAACACTGCTCTAGGTGAATGGCTGGAGCTTGCACCCATTCCATGGACTCGAAGCTTGGAGGCCCTCGAGACTCGACTAGAGGACAAATCAGGCTTCCTCCAGTTCCTCCGGAGAATCTTGACCTGGCTTCCTGAAGATAGACCAACTGCTAGCGAGCTCTTGCAGGATCCTTGGTTGATGCGTCAAGATGTGTGATCTGGGAATCACGTCTCCATCCAGTTAGTTCCCTTTGCGCCTCGCGGAGCGAGATGCAGTGGCCCATTTTCCAGTCTTGATGTGTTGTCTTCATGGTTGAATCTGAATCTCATCTCTAAACAGTCATAATTGCGAATCCGCCCACCTTTTCTATCTAGTGTCCAGGCCTTGAACAGATAAGACAACCTATTGACACATTTCACGAAATATCGTTCGCTCATTTGTACCCGTTGATATCTCTGCCTCGATATGGTACCAAATACCCCACGCGGGACTCTGACGTCAAAGCAAGTGCCTGGTGTCAGCCGCAAATGCTTAGAAATCAAACTTCTATTATGGTAGACTGGACCAAGTTCCCCTTAAGAAATCCACGCCTTTACTCTTCCCAACTCTCCAGGTTCCAACCAATAACCACAACCACAACCACAACCATGCCATCCCCTCCTGCATGTGCCGATGACCTCTTCCCCAACTTCACCACCCACACCCTACCCACCCCCCACGGCACCACAATCTTCGCCCGCGTCAGCCCCGACAAATCCAAACCGCCCCTCCTGCTTCTCCACGGCTTCCCTCAAACCCACGCAGAATGGCACAAGCTCGCGCCCCTCCTAACACCCCACTTCACACTCATCCTTCTCGACCTGCGCGGATACGGCGCGTCCTCAATCCCACAAAGCTCAAACGGCTCAGCCTACACCAAGCGCCTAATGGGCCAAGACTGCCTCTCCGTAATGGAGCAGCTGGGATACAGCAGCAGCAACAACAGTACCAAGAAGTTCTCGATTATCGGCCACGACCGCGGCGCACGGGTCGCGTACCGTCTCGCCTTCGATGCCCCTGAACGCTTGGAAAAAGTCGTGGTGATCGACGTCGTACCCACGGCCTCAATGTTCGCGCGGTTCGGGGATCCGGCTGCCGCACTGAAGGCGTACCACTGGCTTTTCCTCGCGCAGCCGGCGCCGTTTCCGGAGAATATGATTGGGAAGGATGATGGGGGGGGATTATTCCTTGAGCAGGCGCTGAGTAGTTGGACGGGGGCTGGGACGTTGGAGTGTTTTGATGGGGCCGCGATGGAGAGGTATAGAGAGGCGTACTGCGTTGAGGAGCGCATCCATGCGACGTGTGAGGATTACCGCGCCGGTGTGCATTATGATCGTGTGTATGATGAGGAGGATTTGGAGGGTGGGAGGAAGATTACTGTTCCGGTTTTGGCGGTTTGGGGGGAGGAGGGCGGGTTTACGGGGCCGAGGAAGAGTGAGGTTGAGAAGGAGAGGGAGAAGAAGGAGGGGAAGCAGGAGCAGGGGCCGCTGGAGATCTGGCGGAGGTATTGTGTTGATGTGAGGGGGAAGGGGTTTGATTGTGGGCATTTTATTCCGGAGGAGGAGCCGGAGGCGTTGGCGGATGAGATTTTGCGGTTTTGCTGTGATGATAAAGCAGGACTTCCCATAACCTCGGGGCCGGGGTAGTGGGCATCCAAATTCCCTGAGGTGATGAAGCAGGACGGGGCGCCGCTGCAGCAGTGGGTGCCTGATGGTCTGTGACCTGATACGTTGAAGATGTGAGGATATCAATTCAAAGAAACCGAGCGACATACAATATCATTTCTCTTAGCAAATTAGGGCCGACCTCGAGACAGCAGCAAGATCACTCAACAGCCGGCACAGCCAATCTAAACAAATTCCCAGCATCAACCCTCCTCTTCAATGCCCTGACAAGCCCGGCTTTCTCTCCATATACCTTCTCCAGCGCTTCATCCGCACCCTTCGCGCTCGCAGAGTCCCAAAGCGACAGATAAACCGTCGGCAACACACTTTCCGGCTCCGCATTCTCGATCTCGTTCGCCATGCGCTCCGCCCACCTCTTTGACTCCGGCAGCAAATCTTCACTGGTTGCAAACCCCAACACCTCAAGCATATAGTGCGGTTGCCTGGTTACAAAGACATTTCCCTGACTCTGCGGGCTTGCAGACGGAGAATCCCCGCGTAACTGGTGGATTGAGAACATGGCCCCCGGATCGGAGGGCATAAGCGCAAGATTGCGGCCGATGACGCGGGCCAGTTTGTCGCTAATAGAGGAGAGGTTGTGCGTGTGGCTGCTTCCGTAGAGGGCTTTTGGGAGGTTGCCGTTGCTTGCGGACCATAAGGGGACGGATGTGGGTGTGACGGCGTTTAGGATTGCGGGGCCGAGATTGCTGATTTTCTGGATCCAGTGCTGGCCTTCTTCGAGTTGCGAGACTGAACCGCTCCAGACGAAGCTCACGCCAAAGGTTAGGGTTCGCCCGGTGGGGTTGGGCATGTTGAAGACGAGGCGTTGGAGGGTTAGTTGGGATGGGAGGGATTCGGAGGCGCAGAGGGCGTTATAAGCGGCGTTGAAGGCGACGAAGGAACTTTCAATATCACTGGAGTCGAAGACGATAGGGCCCGCGAGGAACTACACACTGAGTCTTAGTAAAATGACCAGCAGAGAGGATGGTGAGACATACCCCCGTTAACGGATAAACCCTAACAACCAACTCAACCACAACACCAAACACACCTCCCGCCCCTCGAATCCCCGTAAGAAGCTCCTCATCCGCATCCACAAGCTCCCCTTGACTATCCACAACCCTCGCGCCCACAATCTGGTCAACGCCCAACCCCCAATGTGACGAGAAAGCCCCGTACCCGCCATACATGGCCCAGCCTGCATAGCCAACATCAGGAATAGCCCCCGTCGCCGTGGCAAGGCCGTGCTCCCAGAGCTGTGCACCAAGTTCATACTGCAAGATTCCGCCGCCAACGGTTGCCGTTTTGCGGTCTGGGGATACACTAACGGAGTTCAGAGCCCGCAGGTCGATGAGGAGGGCGTCGTTGGCTACCGCGCGGCCTTCGAGGTTATGGCCGCCTGATCGGATGGTGAAGGGGATGGAGTTGTTTTTGGCGAGTTTTATGAGGGCCGCGACATCAGAGGGTGTTTGGGGCTGGACGATTGCGAGGGGGGTGTGCGGGCGCGAGCGGACGAAGACTTTGGCTAGACTGTTGAAGGAGGGATCCGATGGGGGTGTGTACTTTATCCCCGGATGAGAGGTGAGGAAGGTTTCCAGGGCGAGGAGGGCCGTTTGGTTGGTGGATGTCATGGTGGGTAAATCTTCGACTCGTGAACAATGTTGGTGGTGGAACTGGAACTTTCAGTCTGACTTGAGGAAATGACGAGACAACCCAGCCCTTTTAAAGAGACAAGCACATACATCAGCTGTACTTCCATACCCGCGGGCATCCGCGGACATCGATTTCAGCTGGAGTGACTACTCCGTAGACGAGCTATCCAATGAGACGGCGATTCTAATTCTTGGTGTCTGGGGTATTTGCCGGAGCCGAATGAACATCTACCAAGTAATTTCATCAGCAATTAGTCAGACTTCGCCAAAGCCTGTTCATCAGCCGCAGCTGAGAAGCGCGACAGGAAGGGATCTGGCATGATCTATGATCTGGCATGATCCGGCGGAGTTAGGGCTCAAGCTGCGGGCCTTGGATCCACTCGTTAACGTTGGTGACAGCTGAGACTATGGATTGGGGACTCACTTCAGTAATGTAATTCAACCTTTGCAACACCAACGACCTCAGTATGATCAACCACCTATGCATCCGACTGCGTATTCGTCCCCACAAAAACCACCAAAACCGCCGCATATGCCGCCGTACTCGACAGCACGTCCATGGGCTTCTCCAACGCATTCGCCATAAGCACCCCAAAACCAAACACGCAAACAGACGTCGACACAAGCGCCGTATACCGCGTATTATGCAGCACCATGAGCCACATGGGTCCGATCAGAAACAGTCCACCGACAACCGCCGTCAAGATCCGCCCCCAGGTACTCCGTAGCCGCGACGCGCGAAGCTTTGCTCGCCGTGTGCCCCCAATTGGCGGCGCGCCTGTGCCACCTGCAGAGGGCTCTTGGAAACGCGCGTCTTGCGTCCGGCAGATCGCGGCCCAGTCGTCGCGTGATATCTTTGTTTCGCGAGGCCAGTTCCTCTCGTTCTCGCGGTGGATGGACTCGAGCATCCAGAGGACCGTTTCGTCTTCTGTGTGTGCGATGAAGGGGTCTTCCGTCCCTGTTGATAACGCTTGCGTCATGTACTCGTAGTCGCGGTAGGCTTGGACTGCGAGAGGTAGTAAGTAGATGAGCATCAATTCGCTTTAGCGCAAAGCAGTCAGCGTGGAATGCATAGGAAGTGCCGTACTAACTATACTGCTGCAGAGAGGTTTCCCACCCGTCGGGCTCGACCTGGCCCAGATACATGTCGGCGACATCCCTCACGAGCACAGACTGCAGTTTCCGCAGGCGCATCCGCTGCAGCTCGGCGAAGCTGACTTCAAGGCGCTCTTCTTGTCCTGCTGCCGTTCTCGCTTCCACTTCGGCGGCCGGGGTCTCTGACGATACGGGGACGTTATCGTCCGGCTGAGTGCCTCTGGCTAGACTGGGCGCTGATGGTGGTTTCGTTCCCCTGAAACGCCGTTTAGCTGCGGCGCTTAGGGCACCGCTGAGGCCTGACGGGTTCTTGCGGTGCTTGGCGATGAGATTGCCCTGGTGATGCTCAATCACCCATCCGTGGGCCGAGGCCGGGGCCAGGGGCTTGCGAGATTGTTCAGCGGATGAACCGCCGGAGCTATATCGTCTCTGTCTCTTTCGTGCAGATGATCTGATGTAAGTGACAGAGCGAGTTTGCTGCCGGGGACTGCTCCCATGGCTCATAGAGCGGCCTGGACTGGTTGTGGGGTCGAGGTTGCGCATGGTGTAATTCTCTTTCATCCCTTGAGGCAATGCCATTTTCGGTTCTGGTAAGGGCTCTGATGGAGGACGCGTCGCCATCGCGAAGCGGCGCTAAAGGAGTCCAGCCTTTGCGCGGAGAAGAATGCTCGCCTTTCTCGCACATTTCCTAGTCCCGCCCTAAAGGGTCAAAGCTAAAAGGGAGCGGAATAATATTCAGAGCATATTCAAAGCGGGGTACGTAGCATTCCGCCAGCCACCGTCAAGAGATGCATTGCGTCACGAGCTGGCACCCTACATGTGCTGATTGGTGTTGAGATAGAAATCTCACTAACAGGTTGGAGCAGCACACGCTCATTGGGTCAAAAAGTAACACACTGTGAATAGGCAACGAGGCTGAAAAGAAAGTTGCCATATAAGCCTTGCAGGGTGTACTTCAGGTACCTACCGCATGGATTGCACGAACTCACCTTACATATAGCAGATGAACGCACTCTCTCACTCTCACTCTCCGCTTGAGCAAATCCATAAACCATCATTAACGCACCTGAACTGCGTTAAAATCCCTCGCTTGCCTTTTGGCGGAAGCAACCATGACGAACACACCCCCAGCCTCAGCCTCATCCTCATCCTCATCCACAATCGACGTATGCTACTACTTCGACAGAAAAGAGCTGCGGCTGGAATTCCCCTACGCCGAGCAAGCCACCGCCTACCAAGCCCTCAACCACGAAGGCCGGATCCTCCCCGACGAGCCGGAAAACGTCTACCTTCCCATCGGCAGCGGCATGCAGTATATCCGCGACAGCAGCATTGGCTTGGTGCTGGGGTTCGCCAACAACCCCGACGCAAAGGAGTGGTGCCGCAGGTCGGTGCTGGGCCATATACACTCCAGCACCGAGGTGCACTTCCAATGTCTCTGGGAGGGCAACTCGCTTGACGAGAAGCTGCGGATTTCGCCATCTCCAGAGTCGGAGCTGGAGCCGGACGGGTACATGTCGGATCCCACCGAGAAACAGCAGGCTAAGGCTGGAGGTCTCAAGTACGCGATCCCTAGCTCAGGACCGCGCCGTGTCGCGCAGTCGAGTATGAACGCGGACGACATAAAAGAGCTATTGCAGCGTAATCATCGCCTCCACCTCGCTTAGAAATTGCCTAGTCAGCTCGCAGGCCGATATCTCACCTAATCTCTCCCTGGGTGCCTCATCTAGATACGCCATCCATGCATTCATTTTTCATCTTTCCTCTCCTCTTCAAGAGGAACTCTACCAGTCTCCTTCACCACCTGCATCAGCCAAAGCACGCTGGAAGTTCTGACCCAGGAGGCCTGCCAGGGGCAGCCGGAACAATTGGTCTGTGTCGCCGCTGCATGTTCATCGCCGGAAGAAATACTAGATGGGCTCTATTCAGCTTAGCCAGATTGATATCATGAAGCGGCTGTGGTAGGTCGATGAACGTATTGTAGCTTCGACACCCGGCCGTGCGTCGCTCGCTGAAGATCCTGGCCTCTTACCTATCTGCCCTAGTTCGAGTCTCCAAAGCATATACATCCAGCTATCCTGGTTGGAACTCCAGAACTGCTTTCATGGGCTCTGTTAGCTTGTCTCCTGCAGCCTAATTCCGATTTCAGATTGTCATGTCGCTGAGGTCAGAGGGACTCAGGCGAATATTTGTCATTGCGGGTGAGATGGACCGAACCAAGCGGAAAGAAATGTCAAGAGATCATCAGCGCTTCTCGCAGCCGGAGCGACATGAACTAGCCTCTCGCGTATTAGGACGAGTGGCTGATGCGAATCCGACATGGGATCCAAGTTGAAAGGCTTGGTAGGGGGATTGGAGGAATCGAGAGGTCGAAAAGGCACCGAAACCGAATCGGGGAAATCGAGAACATCCAGAACGCTGAATGTCTTGCATTGTGTTGTTCCGACGCTTTTGCGCTGCTTTTCAGTTTACCTACCATAGATTAGTCTGGGGCAATATGTTAAGTTCAGACTCTTGCTCGGGAACCTTGGAAGACGTAACGCGATTCTGAATTCTTCATCCAGCTTGTAGGTGGCGCTGTCAGAGGCTGCTGCCTTGACCCTTGCAGATTCTCTCTGTGCCAATTGTGAACATGGCAACTGGGGGAAATGAAGGTTGAAGTAAAGTAGGCCGGGGGACAGGCAGAGTTTCGAGAGAAGGCAGGTAGTGGTACCTATGGTATAAGTCACGTGATCCAAGATACTCACTTGGACATTCGCTCAGCCTGCTGGGCCCCGATCCTAGATGGCTCTAAAAACGGCTGCGAAAGATATCAAAAACATATTTGTTGTTAAATGCGTATGCAGGTTTGATGGGCCTCATGAGGGTGACTAAAGAAACCCGTGTTTCTTGTGCTTTCCATGACGGAAACTCCAGGGCTTGGTTTCAGAACAACCACAGTAAGTTGTGCGCATAAACCACAATATCTTTGTGCAATTTGTCGTGTTATGCATTTTGTGACGGGCGACTGCGATCAAGTAAGTCTGACTCTGCAGCGAGTATTGTTTGCTGCAAGTCTGCCACACATCTGCACCGTCCATGGATGTCAGTTGACGGTTCAGTGTAACCTCGGGGAGGATCGACAGGACCGCCCCCGATCAGGCCTAGCGTTTGTTTACCCCAGTCGCCCGTGTCAACACTATTCCTAACTTAGAAGGTATGATCATGCCCACCATCACCACAAAGTCGGCATCCCCATCATGCGACAGTGAAAAGAGGGATCACCTTGATAGCGCACATGCACTGGCTCTCAGCATGACAGCAGCTTCGAGGTCGACTGCCAGCCTCGGACGCGAATGCGAACGGCAGTCCCTGAACTGAATGCTGCATGCCCATGCCGGCAGGTGTGCTACTAGCTCCCCTTTTCTCCGCCTGCTCTCCACTTCTCCTCACCATCCCCCCGCCCCGATCTCATTCTTAATCTCGACTCCGTCGCTCGTTATCGCTAGGGTCTCTTTGTTTCATTTCTAGTTTCTGTTTCTGCAGAATCCTTACAGGACGCGTAGTTATGCGGACGCTCCTTGCCCTTTCGGCCTTAGCCGGCCTGGCTGCTGCCACCCTGCCGGCCTACACCGTCAACCGTCCCGTCATTCGCCGCGATTCTCGCGCGGATGCTGTCAAGGAGGCCTTTTCTCATGCCTGGGACGGGTACTATACCTATGCTTTTCCTCACGACGAGCTGCATCCCATTTCGAATGGCTTCGGAGACTCGCGGAATAACTGGGGGGCGTCGGCGGTGGACGCCTTATCAACTGCTATTATGATGCGCAACGCCACGATCGTCAATCAGATTATAGATCATATCGCTACTATAGACTATTCGAAGACTGGTACAATGGTGAGCTTGTTTGAGACGACAATTCGATATCTCGCCGGCATGATTTCTGGGTACGATCTGCTCAAAGGCCCGGCTGCCGGGTTGGTGGAGGATAGCAGGGTTGGTGTGCTACTGGAGCAGTCGAAGAATCTCGCGGACGTCCTGAAATTCGCATTCGACACGCCCTCCGGTGTTCCGTACAACATGATCAATATCACCTCCCGCGGGAACGACGGCGCGACGACCAATGGACTCGCTGTCACTGGCACACTGGTACTAGAGTGGACACGCCTTTCGGACCTCACCGGAAACGACGAGTATGCGCGACTGAGCCAGAAAGCTGAAGACTACCTTCTTCACCCCGAGCCCGCGCGCTACGAGCCATTTCCCGGCTTGATCGGCAGCGCAGTTAACATCAACGATGGCTCGCTAGCGAATGGCCACATCAGCTGGAGCGGCGGCGCGGATTCGTACTACGAGTACCTGATCAAGATGTACGTCTACGATCCGGAGCGGTTCGGCCTGTACCGAGACCGCTGGGTCGCGGCCGCCGAGTCGAGCATCGCGCACCTAGCTTCGCATCCATCAAGCCGTCCGGACTTGACCTTCCTGGCAACATACAACGAAGAAAATCAGCTTGGTTTGTCGAGCCAGCACCTGACCTGCTTTGACGGCGGAAGCTTCTTACTCGGTGGGACACTGTTAGATCGTCAAGACTTTGTCGACTTCGGCCTCGACCTCGTCGCAGGCTGCCACGAGACTTACAACTCGACTCTGACCGGTATCGGTCCAGAAGACTTTAGCTGGGATTCGAACGGTGTACCCGACGATCAAAGAGTCCTATTCGAGAGCGCGGGTTTCTACATCACCAACGGGCAGTATATCCTGCGCCCCGAGGTCATCGAGAGCTTCTACTATGCATGGCGTGTCACGGGTGACGAAACCGTACGCATTTCCTTACTCTCTATTACACGAGGAAGTACGCTGACTTTTGTTGTTTAGTACCGCGAATGGGTGTGGGCGGCCTTCTCCAACGTGAACAAGTACTGCCGCACGGCATCCGGCTTCGCAGGCCTCCATGATGTGGACGCGGAGAACGGTGGCGGCCGCATTGACAACCAGGAGAGCTTCATCTTCGCGGAGGTGCTCAAGTACTCGTATCTGGCTTTTGCTCCGGGTATGTCCTTTTCTTTCTTGGAATACGTACTAGGTGTGAGCTGTGCTAACGAGACTATTAGAGGACGAGTGGCAGGTTCAGAAGGGCAGCGCGAATACGTTTGTGTATAATACCGAGGCGCATCCGTTTAAGGTATATACCCCTCAGTAGATGGCCGATAGAGGGTGGATGTGTGTACTGTAATGTACCTAATGCATTATTACCTCCCAAGCAGACAGATGTATCATAGATGTGGTGGGTAGCCATGAATTCATTGCCACTATGAACCTCCTCGCGAGAACAGTGGACTTACCCCCAACAACCTATAGCGTACATACAACAGAGCATCTCATCAACTGCTTAGTGAGTATTCCTGTGACCCAATCATCCTACCCTCCAATTCAGTCTTCCCTCTTGTACTGTGTGTGTAAGTATAGTAGATGAATCACGTGCTCCCCCAGACCAAAAATCAAGCTTGACCCACTCAGAACAAGGTCCCCACCAGTCTAACCAGAAACAGCCTAGAGCGGGCTACATTTGAGCACATTTGAGCACCTTGAAGACAATAAACATGGGGGAGGTGTACCTTGGTAACTGATATTCTGCTCAGGGTGTGGCAAGGAGGATGCCATTCTACCATCCTTCAGATATAGATATATGAGAGGCAGTCCAGCTGGAGTCTTGAATTCAAATGCAGAATCAATCTATCTTCCACCCACAACTTTGAACTCTATACTTCACCTTGTTGTCTCCACTAAGTATACCAAGCAACCACCGTTTACCCGGACTCTGAAATTGAATACCTTGGTGATAATTACAATGTGTGGACCCTCCCGCCCAGCATCCGGCCACAGAGTCGCCATCATGTTTGCCTCGCCTTCATCATCACCATCGCCTTCCTCGTCGGCATCGTCTCCATCTGCGTCCCCCTCACCCTCACACGTCGCTCCAAGAGAATCATACGCCCTCTTTTTCAGAAAATCAGCACAGCCAGAACAGACGACGGCCGTTCTGCAGGTCAAGGACATAAACACAATCGATGCGTTCCGGACATGCCGGGGGATTGATTTACGGATTGAGTATGTCCATTCCTCTTTCTTCCTTCCAAAATTTAAATGGTATCCACGTAAATATAGAGGAAGACTAACATGTCGCTTCTGCAGACGACACGGCGACCTAACCCTCTCTCCGACAAATACCGACTCAATCGGGCGCGTTCCGCCTCTATATCGCTTTCTGCTGGATCCTCCATCTACATCATTAACATCAACATCAACAACGAAACCGGGGGAAATCGAACTCGCCCTCCCGGCACGCTTAGACCTCGGCGTTTCAGATGTCGGGATTGTAGGACGCCAGGTCACGGTGACTGCGAGGGGGGTAGACGGGGAGGTGCTGCAGATGGGGAGTGGGATTGTTGGGTATGATTAGCTACTATTTGCACTTGTAATGCATGAATCAATGAATAAATCACTTTGATAGGCTGAGCCGGTTACCAAGGTCCTACTAGGGAGATGATGTGATTGAGTGATCTTCTGCTGTAAGAATGTAATGTGCTCAATCCTGCTCATGGGGTCCTCAGTTGCGTCTTGACTAGGTACCCCGCCGGCATCTACTGCGGCATTCCTATCTACCTACAGACCTGAGTATAAGTACTCAGTACCCCGCTGCTAGATCTTAACTTGTTCTCTTCTCCTTTCATCCATCTCCTCATCTTTCAAACTTTCCCATCACCTGCCTATCCATCTCATCCGACAACAAGTCAAGACAAAACACCAACCACCATGTCCACCCAGAAGTACACCCTCCCACCCCTCCCCTACGCCTACGATGTACGTCCCTCTCTCCCTTCCTCCCTCTCTTTCCCGAATCCCAACTAACCTCTCCATCTTCCCTCCCCTCCAGGCCCTCGAACCCGTCATCTCCAGCCAAATAATGACCCTCCACCACCAAAAACACCACCAAACCTACATCACAAACCTCAACGCCGCACTGGAAGCGCAATCCACCGCGTTGAGCACCCAAAACATCAGCGCCCTAATCTCCCTGCAACAAAAAATCAAGTTCAACGGCGGCGGCCACATAAACCACTCCCTCTTCTGGGAGAATCTGGCGCCGTACAATTCACCGTCTACAAACATCGAGAGTTCGGCACCAGACCTCAAGAGAGCGATTGAGGCGCAGTTTGGGTCCGTGGAGGGTTTCATCAAGGCGTTCAACGCGACGCTCCTTGGGATCCAGGGGAGTGGATGGGGCTGGCTTGTCAAGTCCAATACTCCAGAGGGGAAACTGGAGATTGTGACGACGAAGGACCAGGATCCTGTTTCGGGGCTTGTGCCGATCTTTGGGGTGGATATGTGGGAGCATGCTTATTACTTGCAGTACTTGAATAATAAGGCCGGGTATGTGGAGGGGATTTGGAGGGTGGTTAATTGGGGGGTTGCGGAGGAGCGGTTCAGGAATGGGATTGAGGGTGCGGTGAAGTTGTGATTTACTTCTACTTTTTTTCCCCCAGACTTGAATGATGATACCTGGTTCGAGGGTGGAAAGTGTAGTGACTGGTAGCGAGGTATGGGAAATAGAATCTCTAGGAGTATATGCAATGCCGATGGTTTTCAAATGCAGTGAGAATATCACGTCTATGAGAAACTACAGTATACATACCTACAGCAAAACTACACAGGCCCTTTCCGAGTCAATATGCAAACCTCAAGTAATTGACCACGGCCATCTCTTCCTCCACCTCCTCAAGTCATGTCGTTCTTTCCCCTTGCCTTTCGATATGTCTGTCGGATCGTCTCCTACCTGCATACCTACGCCGTCTCTAGACGATCCCGATGCCAGACTCGGCTGCGTAATCTCCGTCGACCCCGTAGATGTGCATCCCGAAGACTGAACACAACCCGAAGCAGTAGTGGACGCACTGAGCGTCGACAACCTATTCTGACCTACTACCTCAGTAGTCGGCCGGTGCGATCGGGGTACGGGCGCAGGCAATGCGTCTGTACTCGTCCCAGCCGTTGGAGCAGCCTCGCCAGCTTCAGCAGCGTGTTCTCTCCATCGACCTAGGGCCGATAAATGGCCAAAGACCACGGCACCCTTTTTCTCAAGCTTCATCAGGTTAACTGGCGCTGAGCCCCGTGGGAGAATGTTTGGTTTCCACGGCTTCTTTGAGACAAGATACTGCACGGGGTGGAGGTGGCAGCGCGCATCCAGTGCGGCGCTCGCTGGGCCACAAAGGCACTCGCAGGTCTTGAACGGCTGGTTTTCTGGAGAGATCCACAAGATTTTGTTGGTCATCTCGCCCAATCCGAGGCCCGGTTCTAATCTTTGAAGTCGTTTCTCGTGCAGCATGTTCAGCGTGGAGACTGACGTCGCTAGATAGTCCATGCCCATGGGGACGGATTTCCAGCGGGCGCAGACGGCGTCTGGATCTGTTGGTCTGATCAGATCGCCAAATCCGCTGCCGAAGATAGTGGTGACTCCTGTGGACTGGACAAAGTCTATCCAGCCGTGAGTGTGCGAGGGAAGGATTTTCATGCGAGTCTGGATGGGGCCGAGGGGGTTAATGACGTCTAGGATGTCGAAGCCGACGATGCCCCTGTGCGTGTTGAGAGTCTGTGAAATCTTGATGCCGTCTTGAGAGGCAGCCTTCACTTGCCTGTCGAGGAGGATCTCTAGTGAATGTAGAATCTTTTGGATTCGATCTCCGAGCGTCGAGAAGTGTAATTCAGGTGGTTGGTTGCCGCGATCTATGCAATCCTTGACGTACACTGGCAGTTTGAGGTTGTCCCAGCATGTCAGTGTCTTCAGCGCGGTAAGACGTCCGGTGCAGGAACCATTCCAGGTGTCTTTGAGTCTACTGGGCTCGGAAACCCAATCATATGGGGACTCTGGGTCTGATTCGTCGAGATTCAAAGAGATACGCACGAGATGAAGGAGTGCAGATACGCCATCAACAAGCCACGCTCGGCATTCTGAGGTGTCGTAGAAGACGATAGGCTGTAAGCTAATCCACTTAATCAGGCTTGGATAGTCGCTTTCACGCTGAAGCCAGAATGGTCGCTCCTTTTTGTTAATGCACATGTTGAACCCCCCAACGAGGTGTGCACCTCCTTCTAGATAAAGCCGGTCAATGACAATAGATGGCGGCGGGATCGGCAGTCCGGACGCTGAAATGTTCTGCAGGGCCGCTGCATGCCCTTTATGCCTTTCAGTATTAACATTGGAGCGGGATGCGTAAGGAAAATGCTTACCGCAGTACTCTATCGCATTGGAGCACCACCCGACAATATGACGGCTTCCTTCAAGGGATCGAAGCAAAGTCTTTTCTGACTCTTGGATGCCCATAGTATCCAGCCGAGGATCGATGTATGATATCCTTTCATGAGCGCTGGCGCTCGTCAAGAGATGCCATAAAGTAGTGCCGCTAGTACAAAAAGTCGCAATGGCAAGCCAGCTGAATCCTTTCATGATCACCCTTTCCCCCCACTGCACAACCTGCTTTGTGCGGATCAACGCAGTCATAAGATTCAATGACATTTCAAGGCCTGTATTTGCCGCCTGTCTTTGCAGAATCGGATAGCCACTGACCAGGGTCTGGTTAGAAAAAAGAGGTCCCCAACAGAAACCGTGGGCGGCGCTTTGAATCTTGGGCTTTTCCATGAAGCCGAGAACTAAGCGGCAGGAACCCACAGCAACAACTGAATGGTCCCTGTTGTCTTCACTAACGACAAGATCTGTTATATCAGGTGAGCAGGCTACGACACCTTGCATGTAACCTTGCGGTACCTGCAATGCTGACGCAAGCCACCCAATTTGTTCGCCTAATTCAGCAACAAAGTAAGGGCTGCCAATGACAGATACACAGCACGTTCCTGTGGGCTGAATCTGCGCTCGAACTTCCGCACCCTTCGGCCCCGGAAGATGGTCTAGAGTGTGTTAGTAATATACTACTGAGGGATATTTACAGGACCTTACAATAGAGTTCTTTCCCTTCAGGCAGCTCGATGAGCTGGTGCATCAAAGCAATAAGGTGTTGCCCTGAAATGGGCCAAGTTTGTCGTAAGTATTCAACAGCGGTCGTCGCCTGCGCTTCGTTCCAAGTGCCCGTTAGACATAAAACGCTTTCGAGGACGTTCGGGGCTGGTATGTCAACCCCCAGGTCCTTGAAATACTGCACTGGACTCCAATCAACTGTGAAGGTCATTGACACCAACGACGCCTTCCGACGGCTGATTCTGTGCAGCCCCTTCTGTGCGCGTAGCCTGTTTCTGAGTGTCTTGCCTATATTTGATACTACGCTCGGATCATTGAGTGTGACATTCCCGTGCTGATGTATTTTGAGCAAGAGCCATTGGTAGGCATCCGATGCGCAGATGAACCTTTCGTAATCTGGCAGTTGAGAGAAGTGCTCGTCTCTTGCTGAAGCACGACCAGTAGTCAGATCTCCAGTGAGATCTTCTTGGCTGGGGGAAAAGCCGGCTGAGGGTTGTTCGCCAGGGCTTGAAACTGGAACTTCAAGGTTGCTAATCCAGTTGGAAAGAATGTCTGGAGGTTTTGTGAATGTTCTGTGTTCCGACAGCCCGCTATAACCCTCCTGGCCCTCCTGGCTACTGACAGATTCAAGGCCAATGCTGTGTTCATTCTCGGTTTCCTGAGGCTCCAAAATCAGTAGGTCAAGTATCTCCCTATCGACAAAGCATTAGCCCTTTTCGAAGGGCAGGAAAGGTATACAGTTGGGCTCACGTCTGCTTTTGGCGAAGAATAACAGATGCTTCCCATTGGAATGGGTTAATGGACTCTGCATGAAGCTTCCACGAAAACACTTTCAACAAGGAGCCCAGGTACGAGGATGGTACTTCTGAAAGGGTGGATAATTTCGATACATGCTTGATATCATGAGCCAAGCGATCAATGAACACACGAATGTAGCGGCGTTGTCGATCGTCTACCCCGGAACCTGTGGAAAATGTGGTCTCCGCATCAACTGCGTCTTCTGGTAAAAGGGTGTTTAGTTCAAGCTCAGGCTCCAATCTCACCTCAGAGGTTGGAGCCGGAGAGCTGCTTTCAGATCTCGAACTCAGGTTGTCTTGTAAAATAGGCTCCGAAACCTGCAGAGCATTCGAGGTAGGTAGTCGTCTCTCTGCGTTGGTTTGGGCCTGAGAAGTGGTCGCTGTTGACGTATACGCTCCTCCACTGCGCGTGTCAAACACGGAGGACTGCGGTAGGCTTGCCGGTGTCCCATGAGAGACTTCAAGATCCGCAAGTCTGCACGACTGACAGCAGTACGGTGCACCCAGAGTCTGTCGGTCACAGACCAGGCAGAACTCAAAGGACCATTCCGTAGCTTTGAGAGAGACTTTGGCGGATGTTTCAGTTGCAGGGCTCTCGATGGTGTCATCACTGTAGTGCTTATCAGTATTGTCTTCTTCGTCTTGAATAGTCCTTAGGACGCTATGATACTCCACGCGCGGGTTTGGGTCTTCAAGGTTTTCTTGAATCGCCTTCAAAAAGCCGTGGTATTCTTCGCGCAAAATATTCTCTTGAAAGTTCAAGCCTTCCGCCGCTGCGTGCCTCGGCCTAAGATCAGGCATTATAGTATCCCGTTCCCATATGGGGCCGAAATAGAGCGAGGGATGGCAACGTTTTTCGGCTTCTTTTAGCTGCTGGTCAGTCGAATACGGCCAGGATGTGTCGTCATTTATGTTCTCGGTGGTATGGGAAGGTCCATGCAATGAATCAGATTCCATATCAGTCAGGCTTAAATTGTCGGATGGCGTAGGAGTGGCCAAGATACGGAGGATATTTCTGAGTTCATGGTAGATTTCCTGCGCAGTGGATCGAGATACCGGATCAACATCAAGAGCGCGGAGAAGTATGTCGTGAAATATCAAGCACGTCCCCCAAGGCATTCGAGAATTCGCTTTTCCAGGTATGTCTTTAACCCAAGACTCGATACGTGGATTGAGTTCGGGTGGATTCCCTCGGTGGAAGGCATCATGCTCGTAATATGACTTTCCGTCGTCTAACAAGCGGCGTCTGTAATCCAAGTACTTCAGCCCACGAGCGCCATCGAGGCCAAATGCGAGGACGCGAACCAATATGCATCCAAGTGACCATACATCAGTCTTTCGCCCAACTATATTCCCGTGAAATATTTCAGGTGATTGGTACGTTCCACGCAATGTTATACCGTCCGGAGGCGGAAAGTGGTCTCCATCGAGATGCGCCGGGCTTATAGTGGAAAAGCCGAACCCTGAGATTTTCCATTTCCCAGCGCGATTATAGCAGCTTTTGAAAACAAGAATATTCGAAGGTTTTAAGTCCATGTGGCAACAGATGTTTGCCGATTTCGACCCGCCACGCTCCTGATGCAGATATTGTAGAGCGCTGGCAAGTTTGCAGGACTCAGAAACTAGGTCATGAAGGGGAACGTCTTTCGACTGCTCTGAAAGTAACATGCCAAGATCCATGTCAGGCAGCTCATACAGAATATTGGATACATCGCCGGTAGTAATGATTGCAAGGTAGGGCATGATTCGGTCATGCTGAAGCGATACATCCCTTAACAATCTTAGATTTTCTTTTTCCTTTAAGAAAGCAGACTGGTTCCGATTAGTCTTGCAAAGAATGATATATGTTCCCTATCAGTTGCATAGTTAGTCTTGCCCTGCTGTATATGTCGTAATGTAACAAAAGGCATTTCTTACACGATGACATCCACGGTTAGGTTGTAAATGCAGATGCTCGGTCGCGATAGCACGCGCAGAGAAGCCTGTACCAGAAATAGGCGCAGTATAGGCTCGTTTTGCGTCCTTGAAGTGGCTGTCGAGAAATGGTAGCCGGTGGCGTTGGGTGTACTGCGTGATAGTCCCTTCCACAATGTCAACAGGACAAAAGAGGTATCTTTTGTCAAGAAACTTTTGCCCCCAGCTTCCCAGGAAAGATTCATCGCTGAGCGTCTGGTAGTCGTGCGTCAATAAGTTGCCATCCGAACGATGTGGATATTCAAGAAAGATGAGGCGGAAGTTGTCCCACTGATTCCACCTGATGTAGATCAGTATCGAGATTGTCTGCATGAATTGAGCACGAATGATGGGAATATCCGCAAGATTGAAAGCTCTGTAATGCTGTGCCATCTTTTTCAGGCGATCAAGCAGCCAGATGCCTTCGAGGCTGCTGCGAGGTAGAAATTTCTTGTTGGCATCATATCTGTTTTGCATCGCACGCTGCAACTCCTTCCGAATATCCTTCATAAGATGGTCGCCGGATTGGAAGGAGAAAGCCATTTCAGAAGATAGGGAAAAATCGTATAGATATGTGTAAGGATGTCAGGACAACCAGCGCAAGCCTTAGATATGATCAACGGCTCGAAATGCTCATTGATGGAAAACCTTAGCGCTTGTTAAGTCTGAAGAGAGTGCTTATCACACCTCAGATCTCTACCTCAAGGCAATGAAGAGCAAAAGGCATTGATCATAGAGCAGGCAACGGGAAGACATCAAATACCTTCAACGACTGGCAAGGCGGACACAAGCGGAGCTGCCTGCGCCCTCCATTGAAAAGCAATATGAGCGCCTCTTGAACCACCACATCCCTGCACGTAAGCTGCGCCTCATTCTCACTTCTTACTCCGTACGTTTATCGATACCGGGCAGTTCATTGGAGAGAGAAGTTTCCGCTATCCATTGACCATGTCCCGTGCGGTTTGACGAGGCATTGTGATACGCAGTCAATCTGGAGCGTGCAGGAAGTATCTGTCAGTCTTCAGGACCTAAATCAAATCAGAAACTTGCTAGATCATGACTGGAGGCGAAGCTTAAAGGGAGAGTTTCTTACTCGGGCTGAGGCTGAGTGCGCAGTGTAACACCGGCGATGAGTTGCCAATTGGCTTCAGCAGAGAAGCAGGGGAACGCGAGGCCAGACTCCCTGGGACAATGGCCAGACCTTTCTTCTGTAGGACAAGCTTGAGCTCAAAGTGGAGAAGCGGCGGTCATTCTAGCGAAGAGAGGTTACAGGGAAACGGGAGGTAATGGCTGGGAGAGGTATCCTGAGACCGGCTGGAGACCTTTAGTTTCTCCTTACTCAGCAGTTCGTGGACATAGCCTGGGCCCCCCTGGGCAGCTGGTCGTTCTTTCCGTGTGGCGGTTCTTTTACTGTACTACGACATCAGGACGCCTAGTAGGTACTAAGGTATGACAAGTTGACATTGGTTATACGCAGGCCAGCACATGTGCCTCAGGTGCACGGGTTATTTAGTAAACAGTTTACAGAGAGGAGTATGAATTACAATCTTCTTTATTCCTGAAAATAAGCCCAGTTGAACTGCTGAAAAGCTAAGAAAATAATGAAATGGTATCAACAAGAACCCGCTCTAATCCAGCTCTCCTAAGATAAATAACGATGTATCATATGAATACCCAGCTAGTACATCGAGAGCCAGACAGAGCTCAAAACGAAAAGAAAAAGTACAGTCTATTCCTTTTTTCCTACAGCGTAACTCATGCTCATGCATCGGACGTCTGCTCAAACAGCGCAATCGTCGAACAATACGTGCTCTCGTTGCCCTCTTGCGGGACAAGACTGCTGCCATCCGAGTTGGCAATCATATTCTTGGACGCAATCGTGCTCAGGCCGAAGATGTGCACGTCCGAGCAGTCCACCTGCACCATGTTCTCCTGGCACGAATCACCCAGGCACTCCTGGTCGTAGTTCTCGAAGAAGCTGTACAGGCCGGCGCCGTACACATACACCTCGGAGGAGTTGGTCACGCGCAGACCCCAGGATTTCCGACACGCATCGGTCGTGCAGTAGCTGAAGTCCGGATCGTTCCAGGAGTCTTGCGGTGTAAAGGGGACGAGCGAGTTCGGGTTCGCTTGGAAGTAGGGCGTTTCGGTTTGGATGAGGCCCATGAAGATGTTCTTTGCGTTGCTGACCTGGTAGTTGTACAGCTGGTTGTGCTCGGCGGCGGTGCCGTACATCCAGACGGGGCCCTGGGATTCGATGAGGATGCCGCGGCCGTTGTAGATGTTGATTTGGTTGTGGTCGGAGAGGTCGAGTTCGTGGTCGGCGGTCCAGGACCAGACGTTCTCGAGGTATGCGGTGGATTTCTCGGTGAGGTGGAGGAGCATGAAGGCGCCGATGCAGTTGGCATCTGGGGTGGTGGTGGAATTAGGTGTCTTAGCGCAGGTATCGGATTGCAGTTCTGTGCCCGCTGAGCCACCCACGCGGAAGTGTACGTCCCACATTCCGACGGAGCCGGGGGTTTCCTCGGCGACGTTCCATTCCATGAGAATTGCGCCGGGGGCGGGGCCCTTGGTTAAGATAGTCAGGTCAGAGATCTCGACGGAGCCAGTCTCGCCGGGCTGGCCGACTTGCAGGAGGGGGATGGGGTTCTGGTCGTCGGAGAACTTGTCGCCGTGGGCCATGAGGACGGGCCAGACTTCACCGACGATCTTGATGGTGGAGGGGACCTTGATTGTGTCGGTGATGACGTAGGCGCCGTGGTCGAAGAAGACGACTTGGTCGGAGGTTGCGCTGTCGAGGATCTGTTGGATGGCGGCTGTGTCGTCGGTTGAACCGTCACCCTTGGCGCCGGAGGCCTTGACGCTGATGAATGAAGAGGCGGAGTAGCTCTCGTAGAGGGGCTTGGAGCGCTCGAAGACCTTGCTGCTGGAGCTGGAGAGGAGAGAGTTGGGCTTGGTGGCAGCGGGGAGGGCAGTCTGGATGCGGGTCTTGGTGACGGTGCGGGCGGAGCATTGGCCTGAGGCGGAACCGGAGTCAGAGCCGTGGATGGCGCCTGTGGAGGTGGATGCGCTGGTGACGGTGCCTGAAGGGGCTTGCGTGACGGAAGAGGTGCCGGGAATCACAGGAACAGACGTAGCGGTCTCACCGGTGGCTCCAGTGCCAGGTACTTGGGCGACAGATGTGGCAGTCTCGCCAGTAGCTTCAGTGCCGGGGATTACAGGAACAGACGTAGCGGTCTCACCGGTAGCTCCAGTGCCGGGGGCCTGAGCAACAGAAGTGGCAGTCTCGCCAGTAGCTTCAGTGCCGGGGATCGCAGGAACAGATGTAGCGGTCTCACCGGTGGCTTCAGTGCCAGGCAAGAGTCCTTCGGTAGTCTCTGCAACATTGGTGCCCGATTCCGTGGCTGAGGGCGGAGGCAAGTACGGGGTGGACGAGGCATCACACTCGTACACAGTCTCAATGATGGTAGAGATCACCACTTCGTCATCGTCCTCGGCCTCGGCAGTAGGGTGCACGGCACGCTTGCTGGCAGACGAACCAGGGCGGTAGACACCACCCTGAACCCAGTTGTCAACGACCGAGCCACCGGCAAGAATGGCAGAGCCGTCAACGGCAGCAACACCGGTAGTGGAACCGCTGAAGTCGACGTTGTCCAGAACAAGAGTACCGGCACCGACGGGGATGCTGTCGCTGCCCCAGGCGGTAACAACACCAGTGGGAGTGTTGACGAAATCGGCGTCGAGAAGCAGAACGGAGCCAACAGTCTGGTTGGAGGGCGAGTTGGACATGTTCAGGCCGAGCTCGCAGTTGTTGAAGGTAACCGACTTGAAGGTCCAAGCCCAGTTCCAGTTCATGTAGACACCCGTGTTGCAGTCGTTGAAGGTCAAGTTGCGGCTGGTGAACTGCTGGTTACCAACGAACATACCGTAGTTTCCACCGTTGAAGGTCAGGTCAGTCATGAAACCGCCGGAGCCGTTGTCCATGAAGATACCCTGCTGCTTGTTCTCGGAGCCGCCGCCCTTGATCATCTCGAAGCGGATGTTCTGCAAGCTGGTGGCCTGTCCGACCTGCCAGTGAATACCGGCTCCGGAGCCTTGAGGCATAGCAGTCAGGTCGACGACGAAGTTACGGATTGAACGGAAGAAGTTGTTCTGATTGGTGTACCAGTTGGAACCGTCGTCAGTGTATGGGTCTGCGTCGACAACGGCCATGCCGGAGAAGTCTGCCGAGGCTTTGAGAACGGGAAGGCTGTTGGCGTCACCGATCATCTGGGTGTAGTAGTACTGGACGATGGGCTTGGAGACGAGGTATGTGCCGGCAGGGAAGTAGACTACGGCGGGCTTGGTGGTGGACGAGTCGCAGCCCTGGCCACAACGGCTGCCGGAGGAAATGGCCTTGTTGATGGCATCGGTGTCATCGGTTGTGCCGTCGCCTGCTCTATTAGTATGTACACGAAACTTAGAGACATAGACACTCACCAACAGCGCCGAAATCCTTCACATTGCGGTGCACTTGGTAGCTGGTGTCGTTGCCGAAAGGCACCGCCCCTCGATTCTCTAAAGCGCCCACCCAGTATGTCGACGTTGACTGTCTCGCGACGATCTTGTTGTCATTTGAAGATAATGGACTCGCTCCAACCCAGGCGGACCCGGCCAAGAGCATAAGGATGTTGGTAAAACGCATGGTTGCTGTATGTTATGAAGCGAAAGATGGCGAGCTCTCACTGACCAGCAGCGAGTTGGTGATGATAAAGAAACAGTCGCGGTCAACTGACAGATGACGAAGTGGAAGACGATAAAGTGCAAAGGGAAGAAGAGAGTCCACGGGAAACAGTCAGGAGCTTAAAAGATTTCGAGACTGGTGTTGCTTAAGAACCCAAAGTCTATAAGGACAGAAGACAATGACGGGTGACAATAACAGTAAACAGGGTTTCAGAGAGTGAATGAATGACAACAAAGGAGTGAATGCAGGACAAAGCAAACCTAAACACGATCCGGCGCTGGGGAAGAGTAATAAAGAAAGTGAAGAAGAGATCAGGCGAAGCGATTGTTCTTTAGGTCTGGCGATCAAAGTGTTGGTGTATTGGCAGCGCTTGGATGTAACGGCGAATACAGATCGGCCGCCAATCAGATGGGGCTTTTGTGTCGCAGTGTCCAATCACAGGCCAAAACCAGTGTAATCCCGACGATGCTGAAACAATCGATTCAGGGATGAAACGAGACGACTGAATCGTTCACGGGGTTGATTGGGGCCTGATGACCCTTCTTTATTAAAGCAAGTCGCTTAGAGCGTGTAGAACTGTAGGTAGGCAGAGATAGGTAGTCTTAAGGAGTGACTAGAATCAGAGCAAAATACGCAGAAAGAAAGAAGGCTGACTGAAGCCCGGCGAGAGAGTCCAACGAGATATACCACTTTCAGAGCGGGATCCGCATACCCTGCGTGGCCGAGACAACGCCTTTCTGCTAGTCCTTATCGCTTTCTCGGTATGGAAGCCTGCTGGTGCGGCTTAAGTGCACATTCCTGTCGCCCGGCAGTTATCTTCCAAGATTGTACCTCGTCAAGTATGCTCAGTGCTGGCGTTACTCGGGAAGCACACGGTTACTCTGGAGAGAAGATGGGCCTCGACTCTCGAGTCTCGACTCCATGGCTTGAGACGCTGAAGATAATTATAGTTATCTGCCATGGCCAAGCTTTGCTACCCGCTCCAAGTGCACGGCGTCTGTTCCGATCGAGCAAAGTCTGGCCAGGAGCAATTTCGTCGTCGAACTATGAAACCGCTAAGACTGATAGTCGGAGTTAGAGCGTCAAAGATCGTCCAGTGGGAATTGATTTTGCTGGTTTATTCCGGGTGGGTTCTGCTGCGGACTTTCCGGGCCTGTCGGGTACGTGGAACTGGATTCAAAGGGGAGTATGTGACGCGTCCTGGGATAAGTGCCCGTTCTATCCTGATTTCTGAAGAGTTAAGAGACTCGAAATATGCCGAGAAATCACACAGCCATGGCACGGATCACAGTGACACAGCTGGACTAGTCAGGAGAAGTCCGTCGAGTCGTCGACCTTCCAATTGTGTCGATCGGTCAGGCGGGCGTGTCACTCCGATCGCTCGCGTCGCGCATGCGATTCATATGGCGATGATCATCGCATATCTTCCCCGAGTCTCAAAAGTGGTCCCTCTACAGGTTTACTTTTTCCCTCCTAAGTCCACAGCTCACCCTTCTTCATAAGTCGCAATCATTCCCTGTTCGTGTCATCGCGCCTCACGTTCGTCCGCTCGTTCGATCATCTGCCGGATCGCACACGCCAGCCGACGCACCCCCTCCGCCAGCTTCTCCTCCTGTTCCCACGCAAAGCACAGACGCACGTACCCCTCGAACTCGTTGCTCTTGGCCAGGTCACCCTCGACTCGGAACCGATCCCCTGCACCCACTATCACGCTGTGCTCCTGCAGTGCGACCGAAACCAGGTCACTCGCCCGCAGGGGCTCCGGCAATGCAGCCCAGATAAAGTAGCCTCCCGCGACGGAGGGCCCTGTGAATGGCAGCGTTACACCGAGGGGGTAGAGTTGGGTTCGGATCGCGGACATCAGGCGGTAGTATCGTGATGCGTATGCGGGGCGCAAAACCTCGTCGATATGGTTTTGCAGGAAACCGGAAGAGACGAGCTGGTCAACCATGGTGGACGAGAATTGGGAAGGAGCGCCTCCTGATCGTTGGCAGCCTCTGCTTCAGTCAGTGCTGGGTGGCTTGGGGAAACTTCTCTAGGTGGATGCTTCGTACGCTTGTGAAATGCCATAGGCGACTTTCTCTGATCCCTCTGCCCATCCCGTCCGGATCCCCGGTCCGATCAGCTTGCTGAAGCTGCCGTTACTGACAACGTTCCCCCATTCATCTTTCGGGCCGCCGTCTAGATAGCGGTCGACGTCTACGACACGAGGTAGTAAAGCCGTTGCGTGCTTGTCCAGTGTCTTCTCAGACTCGGACGGCCACTGCAGGAAATCGTAGACATCATCTGTGATGATCAGGGCATCGAACTCCCGGGCCAGCCGTACAAGGCCCTCGCGATCAGACTGGGACATCGTCATTGTAGACGGATTCGAGAATGCCGGAGTCGCATAGATGAGATGTTTGTAGACCTTCGCCCACGGCCGCAGAGGTGTAACCTATCCAATCAGCCCAACTCGCTCATGATCCTACTTGAGCATCCATACCGGCTCCCCGTCCCTCTTACCCCCGCGCTCCTCAGCCGCAAGCAACTCCCGCCTTAAATACTCCAAGTCCAGCCCCCGCTCACTCTGCGGAATAGCCCTCAGGCGCCCCGCAAAGCCCGCGTCGTCAAACATGCGGCAGACCAGGTGGTACGTCGGCGCCACCAGCCACACATTCCGCGTGTAGCCCGGGTCGGAGAATACCGAGAGGATGCACGCGATATTCTGGCTCGCGCCCCCGGTAATGCAGATGCGTCTCCCTGTTACAGGGTCAGAGGGGCGGTAGAACGACGTCAGCCATTGGGCGATGTGCTCGCGCAGTGGCCCGTACCCCTCGTCTGGGCCGTACATCAGCGCCGGCGTGCGGATGGAGGGGTCGGCCATCACCGTGGCAAATGCGTCCGACAGCGCGCTTGTCGGGAGGAGCGACGGGTTTGGCCATCCTGTGTGAAGATCGATGGTGTCGTTTTCCATGGTGGCGGGAGCGGATGAGTGAGCTGCTCGGGGCTTCGGTGTGATGACTCGGAGTTGGAGATGATGAGTGAGCTGCTTGGGGCTTCGGTGTGATTACTCGGAGTTGGAGATGGACGCTTACTACATCCGGGCCCGGGCGATAGATATATTTCGGCGCGCTTCTATCTAATCGTTTATCTTTGCCGGTCGGCCGCGCCGATTTTCGACTGGGATTACTGTTTAGCTTAACTTAAGTAAGGTTATCGTCGCGTCGTTGATTCCGACTATGATAAGGTGTGATTAGATCGATAAATTTAGTTGCATTACCACTAGGGCACTTTATTTTGTCGTCGACTTGTCGGGACTCGGTTGCCTGGAGATGTTGAAATTCAAAGCACACGACAACAGTGGCAGTGCAGGAACATCGTAACTCCGACATCAGTACCAGAGTCACAAAGTGCACAGCTCTCAGCCATGAATCAGCCATGATCCATGATCCGTCTGATTCTTACATGTCAAAAGCTCAGTTCCAATGGTCGACCTGGGGCCCCCAGTTGGGAACCTTGGTAAGCGGTAAATTTGAAGGTGTAATTCTCATCCGGAGCTCGGAGACGGAGAGAAACTGAAGAATGGCAGTGCTTGAAAATGGGACTCTTACGTACGCTGTGCATGGTTAGCGCTGATATATTCGTCCTCCTATACGCAGCTATTTATGCTGCTGTGGTTGTCAGTTGCCACCTCACCCCTTGACTGTAAAAGAACATCTTATGACGGGAACACCCAGTGTATGGAGTATACTCTGTGTAGTAGTAGGGATAAATAGGAGAGTCGACCTAGAGTAGTGTGACGTGATAAAGGAGGCCAGTGTGCTGGCATTCATCTGGCATTTGATCATTTTGGCCCCTGATCGTATCGCTCCACCAGTTTGGGGGCTCAAGTTGCACCGGGGCTGCGAGCGTGGCTATGAATAAGATCGCCGTTCATAAAGTCGTTCGTGTTGCCAGCCTGGATTTCAATAGTGCACACTGTGCCTTGCGACTCGGATATTCGGAATGCGAATCAAATATCGCGGAGGAGTTGGGAGTTGAGGCTACTCAAGGTGAAGCGTCCAAGATGGATTGGCTGACCCGATTCCGTGGGCCGTCAATTAAAATTCTATAAATATCGCACTTCAAACAGTTGTATACGTATGCCCCTACAAACACAGTCTGGGGGAACAGTATTCAGTGAACTGGCATCTGATCAACAAAACCGGCACAATGTCATTCAGAAGAACCAAGAACATCTTCAGTAAAGCATGGCTGGAAGGATTGTACGGTCCGCTAGGCGGCGATTGAGAATACAATGCAAGACACAAAATACACATGGGGCATCCGGAAGCAGTAAGGCGCGGACCCGTGGAAGTAAGATGGGGAATTGATTGGTTCCTGTCCCAAGCTTCAATATTTATGATCCAGTTTCTTTCCTTCTTCTCCGGTTCCCCCATTCCTCCCTTCTGCCATACTTCGTACTTGTACAGCTCCTGTCTCCTTTTGTTGTCCCCCTGGACAGTATCATCGCCCTTCGTTTCCCTCCAAGTCTCTACCAACTACTCGGGTGATCGACTGTAGAACACCGTCCGCCTCGATCTCTCGCTCTTTCCTCATTCCTCCCCGCTCCCTCCTGCAGATCCATTCCGCAACCCCCGTCGGGTATCGTCGACAGCTTCAGTACGTCCAGTAAGAGGAACAGGAACCGCCAGGCTCCGATATTAGGCCGTGGTCAGACGTTTTCAGCTGCATCTGCATTATTGTCAGCCTTCGTGCATGGTTGGTGGCTGTCATTCTTTCCTACCCCCTCACGCTCAGCCTTTGCTCACCTGCTCACTGCTCCTTCCCTTACTTACATTCCTCGTCGCGGCTCTCTCCGTCGCGTCTCCTCTCCCCTCTTTTTACTGCGTCTCATCGATCTCCTCATCCAGCTGCTGTTCTTTGGGGCTAACTTTTTTTTTTCTGCGACCGCTAGCTCCGCGAAGATGCTGTCCGCTCCTGTTAAATCCGCCAAACGAATTTCGTCCTTGTTTTCTTTGGGTTCACATAAGGATACTCCCAGTCCTTCTTCACCGCGCTCGCCGAGTCTTCCTCCCGATCAAGCTGCGCAGGATACGCGACCCCGAAGTAGTTCCAGACCAGCTCCTCGTCAATCCTCCGCCCCCGCCGTTCCCAACTTCTCACATCCCGGAAATGGCGCTTCCGGCAGCCCAATGAAGGATAACTTTGAGGATTTGGACGCTCCGCTCCCGCCCCCTCCGTCACTCTACGCGGTCAACTCGGACCTGGCCGACAGCGCAAATAACTCGCCCGACGGTGGACCACAAAGCAGAGGCCGACGTTTGAGTCATAGTAGACCGTCTAGCTCCGGTGGCTTAGCTGTCCCCGGCGGCCCTGATTCACGGCCTGGAACACCCTCCAAGAGACGCAGTTGGATGCCCGGGCGGGCGCGCGCGAGCTCCATCGATGTGAGGTCCAGTCCGCAGCTACCGAGCGCTTGGATTGCGGGACTAGAACATAAGATACTGTACGATATGGGCCCCTTGGGCAGGGGAGAACAGGTACGTAAGACTCAGTCGCATCCACCACACACCACTGCATACTTCTTGGTTTATCGGAAATTCCTTGCGACCGCGACTGAGACATTGTATGATAGATATCCGAACTATGGAACGAGACTGGCGACACATACGTATACTTGTTCCCTCAAAACACCGGCCGACCTCCATCGTTCAAGATTCATTCCACTGTTTTTGCCGACTCAGCCTCGCTAAACTTCCTCGCTCGTGGCTCCGACCCGAGAGCTACCGGCAACCTTGAGCGACAGGCACGAAGTTTGTCCCTGAACCCTAATAGCACACCTACCTCGCCCCTTACCCCTCACAATTGGAATGATAACGATAACGAAAGCGCCGGTAGTAGGCGCATGTCGTTCGAGGATGATGCGCAGGAAGAGACTCAAGAACTTCATCTCTACCTGCCGATCCCGCTGAACAGTGACGTGTCCAGCGAGGGCGCAGAAATCTCTCAAGAAGACTTGGAGACGCTTCTTCTCTTCCGAAACCTCTTTGCCTTCCTCCTGGGCCAGTCCTTGATTGCGACACCCCGATCTTCATCCTTGTTCACAATCTTTATGGACATCGCCACGCTACTGGCTCGCTTCGAGTTCACCAATCTGGATGGCTCGAACTTTGGCGAAATTGCGACGTCCAGCTTCAGCAACTATTGTGATGAACTTTGCCTGGCTGATGTCCGAAAGAGCCGAGAAAAGACGATCGAAGCTATCATTTTGGGAGAAAGGCTCCGTTTCTACCCGCTCTACCTGGAAGGTTTTGTGCATGGTGTCGGCAAACTGGACGAGCTGAAGCAGCTTAGGAGCCCTAAATTTGGGTTGATCAGTGCTATAACCCAGAAACGACTCGAGCGTGGTTTCATTGACCTCGACGGTCGTCTCAAGGTCTTGCAGAGCAAGCTCAACGACTTCGAATTCCCTTCGATTTTCTCCGGTTCCGCAAACTCCCAAACATCCGCCGAGAGCAAGGTCGTGCGATACAAAGCTTGGAAGGCATCGTTCCTTGAGTTCCGACGCTTCATGCTTCAGTACTACCGTCAGAGGTATGGCTCGTGGCCACCTAAGCCATCGCGGAAGAACCAATTTGAGGAGACTGGCTTGAACCGTCAAGTAACGAAGGAGATGTACGAGGATATGTGTAACCTGTATGATATGCTTGTCGATCGGACGGCTCTCACCGATCGAACATTGGATGTTACACCAGAGGTCGACGAGTCTGCCGGTCCAGCAGAGCTACAAAACCGCGCAATGCGGATAGTTCTCAGTGAATATGATCGGAGTACGCCACCAGTCCAGCCGCCTATTCCGTTTGATATCCCACAATACCCGTCCCTACAGCCGCTCCTACGAAAACCCCTGGACGCCAAGAAGGAAGCGAAGCAGATGACGAAGAAGTTGAAGGACTCGGACGTCAATGCAGTACTAATGGGTTCCTATACTCGTGAGAGTCTAAAGCCGACGCCATTTGTCGAAGCGTTCATGCAGTTCGAGCGGCGGTCTGGGCATGGAAAGTGCGTCAACGACTTGATCGACCTCCGGTGTGGTCAGTGGATCCTCATTTACTGTATCATCCAGGCATTGCCGCTGGTCGTGGTGGATGTCCAGGATGTTCGCTTCACTGATGACACGGAGTATTTCCTTTGCATTGCTCCTCGTGGCGGCGCGCCTTGGGTGAACAGTGACGGCAAAGTCGCACGCAGTTGGTTTGGTGTTGCTGGCGGCAATGGTCTTGTCAGCCTACCGTCTGATGTGGTCATTAACGGCGTGGAAGGTGTCTACCGCCGCAGTCATTGTTGGCAAGTGGCCGAGCAATGGGCTGAGAAGGATGCTATTCTGGGCCCTCCCACGGTTGACGACCCGTACGAGAACGAGTCATCGATCTCCTCACCATATCCCGCACACCAGTCCTCTACGGGGTCATCATCAGAAATGCACCCGCACCTACAGCAGCCCATGCCAGGGCAGCAAACACCCCCAACGCCGCTGTTGACTCCCGGCGGCGGTCTTGCGCCGCCACCTGCTATTCCCCGGATGAACTCGCCAGCTCTACGGGCAAGGGCGGAGCACCGGCACTCGATCAACCCCGGGCTGGAGGCGCTGCCATTACCAGCAGGTGTTGCGCCGATTGACCCTCCTGCCCGACCAGTCAGCAAGTTCAACCCCAATATGAGCTTCGACGACATCTTGAAGCAGGTCCCAAATCAACAAAAGGGCAAGAAATGATGTTCTGCGACTGAAATTTTTTAATGTTCGAGCTTGGGCGATACTGTCAAAGTTGCATCTTACTATACACCTTAATCACTCTATTTATCATCGTCATCCATGTTCCTCTGTAATAGTACAGAAGGCAGGACTGGGACCGGGGCGGCGGCGTACATGCGACACAAAAAGAATTTTCCTTGTGATTTTTTGCGGCGAGCATTCTGATTCCGGGATTTGTACTTCGGCCTTGTCTTACCTTTTCTTTTGCTTTTTGGAAACTGCTGCTAGACGCCGTCTCCTGACCTTGCATACTGTGGATTCCCACGAACCTCGACCCCTCGGATTTCTGTTATAGTAGAGCGATAGAATAATAAATAATTGTCATGATGAGCCTATCTTTGTCTTTCGGCCTGGGTTACCTGTATTCTCATTGTGCAGCAGCAGCACCCATCGAGCAATCAGCATTCATCCTACTGTATACAGAGTAGCACAGAGACTAAACTGATTTAGTGCACTGGATTCAGGCCCAACCTGCAGCTAAGCGATTTTCTTTCTTGAAGACTTGAAACCGGTTCAGCTGGGCGCCGGGAGCTCGTATTTAACGGTCTGGACCGCCGGCTTGTTTTTTTGGTGTCTGCACTGCATTTTAAACGCGGTTCGCTATCGCAATCGCCATCGCCATCCTGTTTTCTCTCTCCCCGCGCGAAGGACTACGACGCCTCGACGAGAAGAACATTGCAGTCGCAATACGCTAGACCAATTACTTCAATGCCTACATAATCCTACTTCACGAGACGCTGTCTCCCCACATAACCACGATCGCGGATAAGAAAAGCAAGTGAGCAAGCGATAAGAAGCAAAAGAGAAGAGAAAAAAATCGAGACACCAAAATGGCCGACGCCGACGCCCGCGCCCGCTCCCGCAGCATCACCAGCTCCAACAACGCCTCGACCCACGGCACCGACCGCCTCGAGCCGCGCCTGCTGAAGGCCTGCGCATCGGATGCCACCTCGGACCTGCACGATGTCATCGCGATTGCGCGCGAGACGGGCCAGCTGACGGATGGGTTTCTGCGCGTTGGGCTAATGCGCGCGTGCGAGAGGGGCGGGATTAGTGCTGTGCGGTATTTGCTGGAGATGGGCGCTTTGCCTGATCACAGTGCGCTAGGGACCGGGACGAAAGATAGCGGAGGAGGGAGAGTTACGCCTTCGCCGCTCCTCAAGGCCGTGGAGCGGAACCATGTCCGCGTTGTGCAGATTCTACTTGAGCACGGCGCTGCGGCTGAGACGCGCGATCGGAAGGGCCGCACGGCGCTGATGACGGCTGCGTGGCGGAACCATTTCCATGTTCTCCAGGTCCTCATTGACCGCGGGGCGAACGTTAATGCGACGGATAACCGGGGCCGCAATGTATTGCATAACCTGGCGGCTGATAAGACGTGCGATTGGGGCGAGGATGTGGTGACGTTGCTACTGAGTACAGTTTGCGCTGTTGATGCGGGGGATGAGCTGGGGAGGACGCCGCTGCATTGGGCTTGTGCGACGGGGAAGGAGCGGTTTGCGGAGATGATGCTTATCCGGCCGTTGCTTGTTAGTACGAGAGGGAGAGGAGCTGGGCTTGGGGGCCCGGCTATGGCGGGGGCTGATGTGAATGCTGTAGAAGGACGGAACAAGACAGCGCTGCATTTGGCTGTTGCGCATGGGAATGAGAGCATTGTATCGTTGTTGCTGAGGCATGGCGCTGACGTGAATGCGCGGAGTGATGGCGGTTGGACGCCACTGCATAATGCCTGTGATAGGGGGAGTGAGAGTATTGCGAGGCGGTTGATAGCGGCAGGGGCGAAGATCAACGCACAGCTGCTGAATGGGATTTCGCCACTGCATTTGGCCGCGCAGGGAGGGCATCGCGAGGTCGTTGAGTGTTTGCTTGAGCGGAATGACATGAAGCAGCGGCTGAGGGATAACTTCGGGAGCACGCCGTTCTTACGCGCGGCGCAGTTCAAGCGGAAGGATATTGTTGCGCTATTGGCACCATATAACAATGTCGAGGCGCTGAGCGAGGATGCGCGTGGGGCATGCGAGGGATTCGAAGCGACCGTGGTTGATTTCGGAAACTTCCACAATGAGAACCGGGTAAAGCGGACGTCGGTGTTCAATCTGCTGTATGGACGTGATACGGAGAACTACCGGAAGCAAGCATTCAATGCGCTGCCGATGCATAGCAAGGCGACCGAGTTCCGGTGGATCCATCTCCCGGCAAACAATATGGCCTGGGTGGAAGCGTTACTGACGAAGGCGTTTATTGAGGAAGGGGCGCACGATGTTGACAGTTTCAAGGGCCTGGAGAGGTCGTTCAATTATCAGCATCGCGGGCAGAAGATGCATTCCAATTTCATGAGACCGTTGTGTCAGAGTACACATCGGGCGCCGAAGTACCATGATAGTGTTGATAACAAGGAGGAGAAGGTCGAGGAGGTTCAATCACCGAGGATATTGATCAATGGTATGTCGAGAGATCTGCCATCGCCGCCGGTGCCTCCGCCATCTCCAAAACCTGACGGGAAGAAGAAGCAGAGGCCAAGCGGAAAGATGGAGCGGTTGGATTCGCAAGATGACAACCAGAGCACATCAGGAAAGAAAAGCAAGAAAGGGTCAGCAGGAACACCTAAAGGCCTTAAATCGCCTCCTATTCGACGAGACAAGTCTCCGCATCCAACGCTGTGTAAGGATAAGAACGATGAACCGGAGAGGAACATCTGCTACTTCATGCCATACCTGCATTTCGAGACGGTAGAGGGACGAAATAGGATGCAGGAGGCGATTCACAAGACTCAACAGGCTCAGACCCCTCGGCCGGGTCTTGACCGCGCTCCTACGCGCGATGAGTTGCTCCTGCGTGCTCATCTCACTTCTTCGTCAACGTCCTTGCATATCCGTCGCACACTGGACCAGTTCTTCTATCCGAACATCGATACGCAGACACGAGACCAGGATCAGGTTGTGTACCGGTACCAGAAAAAGAGATCCCGTGTCCCGGAGCCAAAGATCTTCATGGTCGACCAGCTGTGGATGTGGATTCTTGGGCCTAGCTTGATCGTGACCAGCTTTCCGCAGCGCTGGGACCAGCCAAAGAACGACCCATTGAATGTGCTGGACGGGATTATTGAGGATATAAACTCGAAAACACGCGACCCCGTGCGCTCTGTTTATGATCTCGCCATCACCATCACCAATCGCTGCTCAGGAGTCTTCGATCGGCACCGCATGGGCGATGACGAGTACCAATTCTTGGACATGTTTGAGTCGTCCATCGGCATCGCAACAGACCGCGAGAGCCACCTATTCAATCGATTCAACCGGGCATCAGCGCAGGCATCAGACTGGCTCAAGAACCACCGGAAGCATAATAAATTCGCACGACGACAGGACAAAGTAGCCAAGAATCTGGACAAGGAAGAGAAAAAAAAGCAAGATGGTGACGAAGTCGACGACGAGCCGTTGTTCGTCGACGAACTGCTTGATATCGGGCAGGAAACGGACCTGCTCGCCGAAGCCAAGGATATCCGCGACGAGCTCAACATGATCCGCATGGTCCTGCACTACCAGAAAAACGTCCTCGATGACTTTGAAAAGGTGGTGTCCGAGATCTATCTCGGCCAGAATCAGAATCAGAGAGATATGAAGAAGCGGTTTGGGGAGCAGCAGCGTACCATCGATATACATTTAAAGGACATTGACCGTATGGACAAGCAGGCCGAACGGATCTATTCGTCCATTACGGACCTTCTCGACCTGAAGCAGAAACATGCCAACGCGTTTGAGGCGCGGTTTGCTCGCGATCAAGCGGCTGGGACAGCTCGCCAGGGAAAAATCCTCATGGTCTTCACGATCGTCACAATTGTTTTCCTGCCGCTCTCGTTCATTACATCGGTCTTTACCATCAACATGCCAGAGTTCGAGAACAACCTGTCCATGGGGTATGTAGCCAAGTATACATTTGGCATTGGCTTTGGGATCTCAATTCCATTGGTTTTACTGGCGCTGGTGCTGGACGATATCGGAGATATCTTCCAGGAGGGACTTCGACGAGCAAGAGGGTGGATTCGGACCAGCCGACACTCACGAAACCAATTAATGCTAGATAGAATGAGAACGCAGCGACAGAGTCGAGAGAGGACGTTGCTGCCGACGAGGGAGAGGACGAAGGAGAGAGACCGGGAAGTGTTGGAGCTGGACTTTGACAAGACTGTATAACTTTATGTAAATGAATCATGACTAATGACACTTATGACGGCTTATGACTGCCGAGGTTCTCCGCATCCCATCAACAGCATAAATCCCCCGCCTACACTCTCCTCAGACAGTCAACACAAGATAGAATGGAGTACTCTTCAATTGTACAGCACAAGCAGGAACAACTGTGGCAGCGCATTCCGCAGGAATGGCGTCTTTCTCAGGACCAAATCCCTCCTGGGATGCACTCTCCAGCGGAGTCTGTCACCAATGTCCACTACGACAGGGTCAATGTTATGGACATTCCTCGGTCATGCGGTCTGCTTTCTTCGAGAGAGATTGAGATCACGGAGAATCATGATATTGCCGGCCTCTTAAGACAGATTCATACACAGCGCCTTACAACCAAAGAAGTCATTCGGGCATTCTGCAAAGTACCCCAATCTATCCCCTCTCATGAATGTCAAACTAACGAGCCAGAGAGCTGCCATTGCCCATCAACTTACACGGTGTCTAACCGAACCTCTCTTTGAGTCTGCTCTCCAACGTGCCGAAGAACTAGACGAGCATCTCCGCCGCACCGGCACCCCAACTGGCCCCCTCCACGGCCTCCCCATCTCAATAAAGGACTCATTCAACATCCGCGGCGTCGACTCAACCGTCGGCATCGCAGCCCTCGCCTCAAAGCCTGCCGAGAAGGACGCACCCCTAGTCTCACTCTTGAAATCCCTCGGCGCAATAATTATCACCAAGACTAACGTCCCGCAAACAATGGGCGCCCTCGACTCAGCAAACCACCTCTTCGGCCGCACCCTCAACCCACGCAACCGCCAGCTCACCGTCGGCGGCTCAACTGGCGGCGAGGGAGCCCTTCTCGCCCTTCGTGGTAGCATGATGGGCTTTGGGACGGATATCGGCGGTTCGATCCGTGTCCCCGCTATGTGCAACGCACTGTACGGGTTCAAGCCAAGCCAGGGCCGTGTCCCATATGGCGGGCAAACAGACGGGCAGCCCCGAGGTAAAGGGCGAATCTCGCTCCAGCCTGTCGCAGGTCCAATCGCGCATTCTGTGTCTGATATCAATGCCGTCATGACGCATCTGGTTCCTAGGGCTCAGTGGTTCGGCGAGGATTGTGTCCCCGGCGCATGGCCGTCACCTCTTTCCTCGTTTGGAACGAGAACGAGACCAATTACCATAGGCGTCCTGCCATCCGATGGAATCGTCGTGCCTCATCCACCGATTGCAAAAGTTCTCAATGAAGTCGCTGCCGCACTCCGCCGTACTCCCGGTATCAACGTCATTGAGCTGCCTGTGCCCAGAGCGTTGGCAAATTGCCAGTCTATAGCCGGCCGTCTCATGGGCGTCGACGGCGGTGCCACAATGCTCGATCTCCTCGAAAGCACCGGCGAAACGCTCATCCCGTGGCTGAAGGGCCGCACGAAGCGTGGGCGCCCGCTTCTCCTCTCACAACTAGCTGAGCTCCAGGCTGCACGTGGAGACCTGGAACTTGAGCTCCGCAGAGAACTGTGGATGCATGGTAGTACAGCGCATGAACAGACAATCGACGCAATCATCCACCCCGTTGCGCCGCATCCGGTCCCGGAACTGGATCGGTATAATGCGGTCGGGTATACGTCTTCTTTTGTCCTGCTGGATTATCCCGCGGGAACTGTTCCGGTCAGGAACTTTGGGAAGGAAGATTTGGAGAGCGGGACGGAGATGAGCGAGCGGGTTATTGGGAGTTGGGATAAGGCGAATCGGGAGCTCTGTATGTTTTCATACCTTTCTTTGCTATACTTAACCTTTTTGCGATGTGCTAACGTTCTGTTTAGGGAACGAGAAGACAGTCGATCGAACGGTATACCTGAACTCCCCGCTGAGCATCCAGGTGGTTACACCCAAGCAGCACGACTACGAGCTCTACCAGGCCATGGACCTAATTGACCGGGCCATCAAGACCGATAGATCGAAGCTGTAGTTCTTCCTGCTTATAAAACCATAGCATATTGTTTATAGTATATACCATCCATAGATCTACCTATAACCCACGAGCATCCTTCAGCATAGATAAGTAAACTACATCCTTCCCTTCAAATGCGCCCCTCCATCCGTGGTGATAACACTCCCATTCAAATGCCCCGCAGCCCTACTCGCCAAAAACACCACCAACCCCGCAATATCCTCAGGCCTCCCAAGCCGCTTATTCGGACTCGCCTCTTCCAATCCCTTCATCCCCCCCTGAAGCTCAATCAGCCCGTTCGCCATCTTACTCGGGTAAAAGCCCGGCGCAATAGCCGTGACGTTCACATGGCTAGGCCCCAACTCAACCGCCAGATTACGCGTCATATGCAGAACCGCCGCCTTGGACGCACTGTAGCTGAAACTCGCGTTCTTCCCTAAACTGCCGAGCGTGATTCCCGCCACAGAGCCTGTGATAATAACACGGGACTTATTCTCAATGCTAGCCTGCGCAGAGAGGAGCGGGAAGAACTTCTGGATCGTGAAGAAGACGCTCTTGACGTTGAGGTCGAGGACCTTGGTGAATGCGGACTCCGGGAACTTGGCGAATTCCTCGCCCCATGTTGCGCCGGCGTTGGCGAAGAGGATGTCGATGTGGTCTGTTGTCTTGGAGACTTCGGACACCAACCGCTCGATCTCGGAGACCTTTGAGGAGTCGGCGGGGACGGAGATTGCTTGCGCGCCGGGGCGGAGGTTCGGCAGGGCGTTTAGGGCTGCGGCGGCGGAGTCGCAGGCGGACTTTTTGCGCGAGGTGATATAGACTTTTGAGCAGCCGGCTTGGAGCAGGCTATGGGAGTAGGAAGGTTAGTCTGGGTTGAAGAATTTGGGATTTGGAGACGGAAGGGACTGGGAGAGGTACCCGCTCGCAGCGTAGAGCCCAAGGCCGCGGGATCCGCCGGTTACAACGGCGACTTTGCCCTCCAGGGAGAAGATGGAGGGGAAATCTGGTAGTTGGACTTGCTCCTCGGCGGACATTGTGAATGAATTGAATGGGCTGGGTATACGGTTAGGAAGTTGGAAGCTCGGGAAGATATACCTATCGGGGTGAAATTATGGGGGAGCCGTGAGCCGAGGTTCGAGACCCCGCAGCCGCCATGAGGTCTCGGTAATCGATGGACATCAGTCGTAGGGAGAATTAATCTAATCTCCTAGATGAGAGTCCTTTATTTTGGCTACATGTTAAAGAAATGCCAAGTTCCGAAACTTCCATGGATGCAGCCGTTGTCGCCGATTTGGCAGGACGGTTAGGGCTATGGAAGTAGACACTTGGAGCCGAAACCGCCGCTGTTTTGGGCTGACTGAGCATCCCCGACTCTCGAGTGTCGCGAGCTAGGACGTACCCAGGTATACATGAACATTACTCAAAAGACAGCATTATAGAGCGTATAAAGGTAACATCACTTCTCTAGTCTAGCTAGCTAGTACAAGTAAGAAATAGTATAGTTTTATACACGACGAACACGCAGGGAAAGAAAGACACTCCAAACAACGACTTTCATGACCACTCAACAGTCAGCCGAGTCAGTCATTTACTCGCGGGAGTACAGGGCCTTGAAGATGCCGGACACCCAGTTGAGCTGCTCATCGGTGGTACCGTCGGTGGGGACGCCAGTGGAAGCGGAGGAAATCTCGGTGGCAGTCTCGGTGGCGGTGGTGGTCTCGGCAGGGCGGGTAGCGGTGCTCAGGGTGGTAGGGACCTGGACCTTGGCCTCGGTGGTGGTGGTGGAGGTGGAGGTGGGGGCAGCGGTGGTAGCCTCAGTGGTGGAAGTGGAGGAGGTAGCAGCAGCGGAGGAGGTTGAGCTGGGGGCCGCAGCAGCAGAAGAAGAGGAAGAGCCGCTGGAGCCAGATCCGCTACCGCCAACAGTGAAGTCGACACAGGACTCGTAGGTCTGGTCGATGCTCTCGGCGTACCAGTACCACTGGAGAACACAGGCACCGGCCTCGGAACACTGGGAGCCCAGGTCGTCGGGGATAGTGACGGAGAAGTTGGTCTCGTCCTCGGTGACACCAGTGGCGGTGGAGGCGTAGACGTCCCAGCTCTTGAGGGCAGAGCCGATGACGCTGTTGGTGGCGGTGTCGACGACCGAGACGTTGGCGACACCGGTGTGGGGGGCGACGATGTCGATCACGAAGTCGACGGTCTCACCGGCGGTGTAGGACTGGACGTTGTCCGTGTTGTCGTCGAACTGGTAACCCTTGCACAGCCAGATGTGGCAGGCGTCGGCGTCGTAGTCGGACTGGGAGTTGGCGACCTGGAGCTCACCCTGGACGTTACCGGCGCGGTCGGCGGCTTGGTTGTTGTAGACTTGCTGACCGCAGGCGGAGGACATGGCGGAGCCGGGCATACGGGGCTGAGGGGTGGTGATGTAGCCGTGGGCATTGGCGAGGGAGATGAGGCCGGCGGCGGCGAGGACGGAGGCGGCTTGCTTCATTTTGGCGGTTTGGATGGTGGTTTCTTTTCAAAGAATGAAGATAGGTAGATAGAGAGTGATTGGACGGTATAGACCAGTATACCGATGAGTTTGTTAAAGAGAGAGACGGTCACAGACCGGTGTTTAGAAGAGAATGTGGTTGGAAAGAAAGAACCTGCGTGCGTGAGAAAAGAAGAGATCAAGAGAAGCCTTGAGCGAGCGCCTTGCTGCCATCTATATAGGGCGGCCGACCCCTGCGTCCACGCTTCCTGACAGACGCCATGAAACACAGCTAAGACCCGAGAGGAGGAATTGCCATCCTGCAATCCACATAAGAATCAGGGGCGTGGCATCGTGCGACAGGAACGACGTCAGGTCGGTCAAGATGCGGCCGGGGCTCGCAGGCGGTTGACGCCAGGGCTGGCAGGGACACCGAGTCGGGATGAACCGAAGCGAGGTATAGTTTCAACTTGATTAGCCTCAATCAAGGCTGTGGATCTAGATCTTGGCCAGCCTGGCAGGGGTCTCAGCGTTGGCTCCGGGTTGGGCGCGTCGCGGTTTCAGCTTCATTAGTCTGGGCGGGCCGGCTGCGATCCTCATGCCTGCGGTAATAACTGGCAATTTATATGGCACGGCTTAATAAACGGCCATCTATTTCTCCTGCGACGAGTCAGACTTAATATGTGATAAAAGCATAGGGCTTCGCTCTTGCAGGTGACTTGCCTGTTAGTCCTGGTTGTGTGTGAATGTGTGCCATTTGACGCCTTGCGGTCCGCCAGCTGCCCACACTGCTCCACTTTGTCGACACTATTGATCCTAAGATGAATCAGATAGATGCATTGCACTGTCTTGGTTAGTATGGCAAAATTAGTAGGGCGGTTAAACAACAAAACGCAAGAATTATTCAAGAAATTCATTCATACTCCGCAAAGAGGTATCACAGGGTATAAATACAAAAACACGGAATAGACCACAAGAATAGTAATCAAAACAAGATTCTTGGCTAAGGACGCGGGTGCTGCTGGGCCGGCTGTTGCGCCATATTCCACCTTTCTCGCTCGACTTCCCGTTCGTCGTCGTCGGCGGCGTGAGCCGGGATGGTTGACGGAATACTATAGTTGTCTGCAAACGGGTTCTGCACCTGGTAATCCTCGGACCGGTATTCGTATCGGCCTCCTGTTCCAGTCCCGCTCGCCATTGAGGTATCGGACTGCTCGGTCTTCGTTGTAGCATTCCGCTGGGGGCCCCTTTCGGGCGAGACTGGTGATACCGGCTCAACCAGCGGCGGAGTCTCGATCTGGGTTCGCAGCGGCACAGGAGGCGGAGGAACCGGGCGCGATGCGGTTGCGCTTGTAGTCGGCTGCTCGCTTGGCTCAGGCGACTGTTCAGCTGTGGTCGGCTCGGCTGGAGGGGTTTGCTGGCCGAGTGCTTTCCGCGCCTGCAGCATGGCGCGCTGATGCTTGGACAGCGCCACAGACAGTTCGTCGTTTGTTTCGATGAGGGTCAACAGGGTATCCTCGTCAGGTGGAGGGTTCGTCGCGTGGACATAGTTCGAGATGGCGCGTTGTGCTCGTCGAGACCGAGCGGAGAATTCCTGGATGAGGTCGTTGGACAGCATCTCGGTCGGCGGGGTCGACTGCACGAACTGCATTAGGAGTTTCGCTGTGGTCTTGGCCTCGGATATGCGAGCGACAAGCTCATCTGGCGGCGGCAAAGTATCGACACGCTCATGGCGGACAAATGTATCCGAGTTCTGACGCGACACGGATGATCGCCAGCTGTTCGATCGACTCTATACTAGATCAGCGCCTGCATCTTGTCGGAACAAGTCCGCACGCACCTTCACGTTAAAAGTTTTGTCCATCTTAGCCTTCTCCTTCTTCCACATCTCTACGAGCGGCTTGAGATCCTCATCCCACCCTCGCTGCATTTCCATAGAATCCAACGTCTCCCGGAGGAACCGCTGTACACCCAGATCCTTCTCCGTACGAAGCACATCCTTGACCGTCGCGACGAACTTGGCGTCTAAGTTGCGACTAAATGTATGCCCAGGGTTGTCGATCAGGATGCGTATCAGCATCAGCGCATTGTACTGAATATTCGCGGCTGTAGAGTTCGGCGACGAGAGAAGTTTCCGGAGGAGATGGGCGGCTTCACGCGCGGCATTGGGGCTCGATTCGGCGCTCTCGACAATAGTGGGCAGGTGGACGAACTCATCTCCTTGCTGTTATTCATCAGTTGCCGCACGGATGCAAGTAAAAGGGGCTCGGCGACGTACCGGTTGGTTCGGACCCTGACCCTTTTCGCAAAATGCAGTCTAACGCGGTCAGTGTCTTCCCCGCATCTGATTAATCAGATCGCACGAACCACTTCTTTAAGGATGATGCTTTCCGGCGAGTCCTGGGGGTATTCGTCGCGCGAAGGACCTGTTGACGTTCAGTAAGGGGCCAGTGGTAGAACAGGAGCTGACTGACTCGCGTTCGGCCGCTTGTTGATGGTACTGAGCAGACGCTTCATGGTGTCGGCGGGCTGGTAGGAATACTGGGATAAAGGTAGAGGATGAATGGATTGATAAGAGATGAGAAAAGAAAAAGAGAGGGGAAAAGGGAAGAGCTAGCAGCAGCAGCTAAGTATGTGACGGAGGCATCTGGGGAATTTTAGGCTGGCTCACGAGCCAAAGTCCAGACTAATAAGCGCCTCACAGGCAGAAAGAAGCGACGATCCCAAGCAACCTGATCACAAGCCCAAGTGGCGCTTTGTGCTTCGTCGGCGACGCGCAAGGGCAGCAGAATGTCACAGCCAGTCAGCCATTATAGTAATTAGGTAGAATGGTTAATGGTGATGCCTGGGGAAGATGGATCCTGGTGGTGATTTCGACTTCCCCACCACCGCCACAGAGTTGCAATCAGCGGCTTGAAACACGTATGCAACCACAATCGGTCGCGAATGCCGTGACTCAATCAGCCAGCTGCTGATGATTCTGACCAACTATTCGTCGTGTGGTTTTAAGCTCAAGAGAAGGACTATGCGTACTGCAGCACCGCCACCCTTGGCTTCCGTGCGCGACACCGTCTCACTGACCATGGACGTAAGCTGTAGGTTAAACGGCAGATATATATGATTGCAGAAACTGTTCTATGCAGGCTGCTTACGAGCGTCTTCCAGTGAGAAGTACTTGACCTTATGTAGTTGGTATGCTCTAGGGATCATAGATCATGGTAGTGAAAGAACAGTGGCTGTATTGCGCCAAATCCAAAGTTGTACAGTTCCGCCATGCCGTGCAAAAATAGACTGATTTCCGTCGCTCAGCCCGCATTCGAATAGCTTTTCAGAGAATTAATCTTTTGAAGAATCTTTTGTATTTCCTTCGTGACCAGGTATTTGTTCCGTACAACAGAAAAACTCCGGCTATCCCATTCAAATTCTGACCACTTCATTCACTCCTCCCCGACACCCAGTCCGCTTACGCCGAGGTGATGGCCTTGCGGATCTGAGCACCACGCTGCCGGGAGCTGAGACGGGTGCGCTCGACAACGTTGGCCTTCTTGACCTCCTCCTCACCCTCGGTAAGGATGAGCTCGATGTGGCAGGGGTTGGTCATGTAAGGGTTGATCTAGGTTCGTGTTAGAATAAGCGGCAAGCGGCTATCAGTCAGCGGTTGGAACATACACGACCGTGAGCACGGTAGGTACGTCTGCGGCCCTTGGGAGCCTGGTTGACCTGGATGTGCTTGACAACAAGGTTGCCGGTGTCGAGACCCTTGGTGTCGGCGTTGGCCTCAGCGTTCTTCAGAAGGTCGAGGAGGAACTCGGCCGACTTGACGGGCCAGCGGGCACGGGCAACACCCCACTGCTTAGCTGAAAAACGGTCAGCATCTCTCTGAGCCAAATGCTATGATCCGTTCCCCGGTGTCCTCCAAGTCTGCCATAATCACCACCCCATGAAATCTCTGCCCTCGATCCAATAACCTTCTCTTTCTGGAGGAACCATCGCTTCGGATATCGTAGGAATGCACTCACCCTGAGCGCAGCGACCAGTGGAGCTGGCGAATCGGCGGAAAGGAACGACCTCGGTCTTGGTCTTGACGTTCTCGAGGAAGGTAAGGGCGCGCTGCAGCTTCATGCCGTTGATGGCCTGGGCGGTCTCGCGGGTGTTCTTGAAGCTGACACGGAGGTAAGAGCCCCGAGCGCGGGCGCTCTTAGCGGCCGGAATGTCCTGAGCAGCGTAACGGACCTGATCGAGAAAAAAAACCCATCAGCATTCCAGTCCAGCCAATTTTCCTGATCCCAAACACAGATTTTTATCGCAGCACGGGTCGTGATGTAGGTAACGAGAGCAGTCGAAAAATCGGCATAGAGACACAGGAAGGCGTCGAATTGCCATCGTGCAGCGGTTCCCTTTGCATTTGTTCCCTTTGGGCGAGCGTGCTTCGACGAAAACAATCCTCCTCATGATCCTGAACGCAATAATCGATAGTAACTCACCATTTTGATGTGGTTGCCGGGGTGGTCCTCGATGTCGGGAGAGAAGATTGTCGTTTGCGTCGTCGGCCGTCAAACTTTGGAGATCGCGAGAGTCGCTCGTTGTGGTGCGGATTTCGCTCTTGGCACTGATGCCCTAAGCGAGCCCTAACTAGCTATTTCTGGTCACCGCCTCCGCCCCGGCCGGCAGTATCCACTCAATCTAGCCCGTGTCCGCGAAAGTTACAACTCTACGAAAAACATCTGAGAATCAAAAACAATTCAATTTATGTCTAAGATACTATGGCATATATCTTCTCTTGTACTACTTCTTCTGTTCCGGCACCTGCGTGATCAACTCGCCCTTCTCCACTGCCGACCGCAAGTTGTCCAACACCAGAATCTCCATCTCCTTCTGTGTTTCATAGGTCATCGTACCGATATGCGGCAGAAGCATGACTCGAGGGTTGTTGAGCAAGCCCAGCTCTACAATCGGCTCGTTCTCGTATACGTCCAGACCGGCCGACATAACCTACTAACTTAGCGACACTCATCAAAAAGGAGCAACGGTCTTACCTTCTTGGACTCCAGTGCAGCTACCAGCGCCTTCTCGTCGATCAGCGCACCACGAGCGGTGTTTACAATCACGACACCATCCTTCATCTTCTGGAACTCCTTTTCGCCGATGATATGGCGGGTGGACGGATTGAGCGCCAGGTTCAGACTCAGCACGTCGGACGTGGCCAGCAAATCGTCAAACGAGACGTATTTAGCACCGTTCTCAAGCTCAGGGCTCAGTTGCGACCGATTGTGGTATTGGATTGTCATCCCGAACGCTTGTGCTCGCTTGGCCATTTCCTACATGGGTTACATTAGTGATGAACGGACATGACGCGGGCGCGGTGGACCTACGCGACCGATTCCTCCCATGCCGAGGATACCAAGCACCTTGCCTTTGGGGTCATGACCTAGCGTAGTCTGACCGTGCCAGTTGCCTGTGCTATCAGTATACCGTATACCCTTCGGTTGTATGGACGCCCGTACCCTCTCGGATTGCAGTCAGGGGCACGTAGGCCTGTCGCAAGGCACCAATCATAAGGAAGATGCCGACATCAGCCGTGGCGTTGTTGACGGCAACTGGCGTGCTGGAGACGGAAATGCCTATGGTAAACCTATTAGTTCGATCCGCGGTGATTATCGTTATGACCCACCCTTCTCCGAGCAGGCGGGAATATCGATATTGTCGTACCCGGCTCCGTTATGGCAGATATATTTCAGTGATTTGGGCAGGAGAGAAACCAATTCTGCGTCAAAGGGGCCGGTGAACTACGCATGTCAGCGCGATTCAGTAACGTATTGTTGAAGCGGGAATACCTTTGTAGAAGCATTGGATCGGTAGAGAGCCACCAGATCATCGTATTCCCCGTTCTTGAGGTTGCGGATGAAGTCTTCTCTGTTTCCTGAGGGGAATTCCTGCAGTATCTGTATTAGACACTGCGCTGACCATGCGCAAGTCTTGATTACTTACCTTGAGGGTCAGGATGGACGAGAGATCCTCCCATTCTTTCCTGGCGTGGGTGATGTCGCCGATGAGCAGAGCGGAAGGCATGATGTCAGCGGGGTAGAAGCACACGAGCTGGGTGTTTTCGGAATGCGAAGGGGGGGAAGAGGAGGAAAAAGAGAAAGGAGAGCAGGAAATGAAATGAAATGAGAAGACGATGGAGAAATGTCCGGTGGATTAATATCTGGCAAGAGGCCGGTATACGCAGGGACAGCCGGTTAAACCTATGAACCGCGAGGAGCTCCTCCGCGTGGGGTTCGTTACTAGAATCCCTATCTATACAGAGCACAATCAGCCTTCGGATGCAGATGTGATGGGCAGCTCTGCGCTACGCTCTTTATTAATCTGCTATCGCGCATTGGATTCAATCATATCATTGCTTCCACTTTTATCTGCGTCAATGAGAGATATACCAGCATGCTGCATCACCTGCATCATCTAAATGTCGGCTATTGACCTCGTTCAATACCCGACGCGGAGCAAATCCGGTGCTGTCAACCCCACGTTGCGGGTAAATGTCCGGCGGCCAGCGATGAACAAATAAATACTCAATCGCCTCTAAAAGGTCGCCATTGACAAACACTGTACTATATCCAAGCTCAGAAAGACATTCATCCACCATGGCCACCTGTCAAGCCCTCGTCCTCCACGGCGCAAAAGACCTCCGCCTGGTATGACCCCTCCCCCACCTATTGTAGGTATAGAAACCCCAGACTAACAGCTTCACAGGAGTCCAAGCCCGTCTCCTCCCCCACTGACGCTGAAGTCCAAGTCGCCATCCGCGCAACAGGCCTCTGCGGCTCAGACCTGCACTACTACAACCACGGCCGCAATGGCGACTTCGTCGTCCGCGAGCCAATGTGTCTCGGCCACGAATCCTCCGGCATCGTCACAGCCATCGGCCCAAACGTACAGCACCTGAAAGTTGGCGACCGCGTCGCTCTAGAAGTCGGTCTTCCCTGCCGCAAATGCGCCCTCTGCCTGTCCACCCCAAGCCGCTACAACCTCTGCCCAGAGATGAAGTTCCGCAGCTCAGCCAAGATCTTCCCACATCTCGACGGCACACTCATGGAACTCACTACCCACCCCGAAGACATGTGCCACAAGCTCCCGGATTCAGTTTCATTCGCCGGTGGCGCACTCGTTGAACCACTAGCCGTCTGCCTCCACGCCATCCGCCGCTCAAACCCACCACCCAAATCCTCCCTCCCACCAAACTACAACAGCACAGCCCTCATCTTCGGCGCGGGCGCAATCGGCCTCCTCCTGGCCGCAGGCCTCTCAGCCCAAGACGCCTTCGCGCACATCGTGGTTGCAGACATCGACGCCTCCCGTCTGGAAATCGCATCTTCACTCAACCTCCCCAACCTCTCCACCTTCCTGATCCCTAAGCCCTCGAACCCCCCGCCCCGCGACGCCCCGCACGCCGAGCAAACCGCCTTCGCCCTCTCAACGGCGCAGGCAACAGCCGCATCTCTCAAATCCGCTATTTCATCCGTCGACCCATCCGGTCTAGGCTTCACACGCGTCTACGACTGTACCGGCGTGCCGGCGTGCGTGCAGGCCGGTATCTACGCCGCTTCGCCTGGCTCAGTCCTTGTGCAGATTGGCATGGGGAACCCCGTGCAGACGGTGCCGGTTGGCGCGGCGGCATTGCGCGAAGTCGACATCATCGGTGTGTTCCGGTATGATGGGCACGCGTACCCAGCAGCCATTGAGCTTATGGCCAGTGGGAAGATGGATGTTGTTGAAAAGAAGGTTGTTACGCATAAGGTTGGGCTGGCGGAGGGGGCGAGGGCGTTTGGGCTTGCTGGGAAGGGCGTTGATGAGGAGGGGAGGCCCGTTGTCAAGGTTGTTGTTGAGAGCTAGATGTTTCTTCTCTAACTTTCTGGGTCACTTCGAGATTTTATTTTCATTTTCGTTCTTTTTGCATGTGGAATACCCGGGGTGTGTTGAGCTTTGATGTGCATGGGTTGGTGTGGGGTGTATCGCTGGCGATGTGAAAATGCCTGGGGCAAATTGTATATGAAGTGATGTCAGTTACATATAAAGATCAATTCAAACAAGTTTAAAACATCGAAATCTCACACAGCCAAACATGGATACAATTCTGTTGTTTGATATACCCCCTCCCTTGTACAGCTCAGATATATATTCGGTAGTACGAGACGGGAGTACTTGCACCCTACAAAAGCTCAGTCCGTACCTCTGGGCGTAACATCTAAGAGAATCCCAAATAAAAAGACAGAAAATATTATCTATTCCATATAGACACACAGAAAGGGAAGGATCCAAGAAAAGAAAGCTTGAAAGAAGACGGGGATCGAACAGACAGAAGTACACCAGTCATCTTCTTCCCTCTTCCTCTCCAACAAATTAAGCTAAGCTAGATACACAGAGAACCAGATATTTTAGATTGAAACCAACACTTTAAGAAGGTTTACGTTTACCAAGTAAACGCCTCCTCAACAAAATCAATAACCGCACCCCGCCCAATCCTCCTCCTCGCCGCATCCCTCACCTCATCCGCAAACGCGCCAGGCCCACAAACCGACACCAGCGTCGCCCCAACTCTATTTGGAATCGCCTCGTCCAGAACAACGTTTGGCCTACATCGCCCGGGAAACATCTGCACCGTCGCGCTGGGGCTCACAATCTCGCGGCTCGACTTGGGTTTCGAGACGAAGAGCTGGATTGTTAGGATATCGCGCCGCCCTGGGAGTCGCAGGATGGAATCCATCCACTCTCGTACCCAGGAGAGGTGCTCCGTGCTGCGGACGGACCAGATCAGGTAGATCTTTTGCGTGGGGACGCGGCCTTGCGAGGCGCGTGTGAGGAGATCGCGCACGGTCAGCATGTGGTGCGTTATTCCTGCGCCGGCGGAGAAGAGAATTGCTGTGCCGTAGGTTGCTGGGTCGGAGGGGTGCGAGGCGTAGGGGCCTTCGATGAAGCCTGTTGTGAGGTATGTGGAGTTAGGCGAGGAGAGGGCCTTATTGTAGAGCTTGCGGGTCATGCCCTTGCGGGCGGCGACAATCAGGGAGACGGATGTTAGCTGGGTGGAGTTTGCGGGGAGAAAGTCGGTGTGGTTTGAGGGTGGCATGGGGAGTTGCTTCTCGAGATCCGCGCTGTACTTTGGGGGCTTGTCGTTGTCAATGTAGCCTTGGTTTGTGACGGACGAGCTGGGGTCTACCCACGCGACGGAGAAGGGGTGTGACATCCAGAGCGAGAGGGCGGGGATGTAGGCGTAGACGTGGGAGCCTGCTGGGACGTGGACGCGTTTAGGAAGGTGGAAGGTGACCTTGCAGGCTTCGCCGGGGAGGGCTTGGACGACGAGGGAAGTTGAGCCGCGTTTCAGGGAGAAATTGAGGTAGAGAAGACGGCCAAGACGGGCAGTGCGGTCGAGAAGCCAGAAGATACCAATGGCGGTGATCCAGGGCATTTGAGGCAGGACGTCGAGTTTTATGTGGTAGTAGACGCCGAGGAAGGCGAGGAGGGCTGCGAGCTGGTGGAGATGAATAAAAGTCTCGTAGAAGGCGTGCCTAATTGGCGAGGGTGAGTGGACGAGGAGGAAAGTCATGGCGACGGTTCCTACTAGACCCCAGGCGAAAAAGGGTGTGTTGCAGAGGCGATCCAGCATGTCGGAGACGTTGGTCTCGTCGACGGCATTGACGCCCCAGGCGACTGTGTGGACGATACTTTCAATCACGACGATACGGCCCAGCCAGCGATGCAGGAGGTTGTAGGTGTCGAAGCTGATGCGCAGCAGGGGAATCAATGGGTTGTTGCGGCCAGCGAGTATGAACAAGGGCACCATGTTGAGAACGGCCAGCGTTCCCGATCGACCTCGAAGCTCTGCAACGAGGGCGGCCTTGACGTTCTCATCGTAGTCGAGCAGCGCACAGTAAGCGATTTGGCTCGCGACGTACAACACGATCAAGATCGTTTGGAACCTAGATGGCAGCGTGCCCACGTTGATGGCAGAGGAAAGCTGAATTTCACGGTTGTGTCTCTTGCTGCCAATGGGCGCATACAGGACGTGCTTTTTGATGTTTGCCCATAGTTGCGAGTCTTCGATGCTCCAAAAGTTCTGCTCCCGTTTGCTGGCTGTGAGGGAAGATATATGGCGGAGGTAGGCGTGGCTAAGCTGTGCGATCCGGCCGCAGAAGAGGAAGAAGGCGACGCCAATGGTAGAGACAAGAATGATCCGGGTAAAGAGAACATCTCGGGGAACATTGACACCACTCAGACCCCGTGAGTAGGCGTAGACGTAGGTCTCATTTGTGCTGTAATTACCCCGGGGGACCAGATGTCCCGAGTGGCCTTCCATTGAAATCAAATCGAAACTGTTCAAAAGGTAGACGTCAAGTCTATAAGAATGGATAAACTGCTGAAAGGACCGTGGACGATAGGCGACCCCTCAATTAAGTCGCAGTGCTGGGTGCTATGAGGCGAATTCCTGGTGGCCGGGGAACGAGAGGAATGTTGCAGCTGTCACCCCTTGACGCCAGAATCTAGCGGGAATCTGGCGAGGAACCGAAGTAAACAAAAAGCTTGATCAAGGATAGAAACCGAAAAGTCGGAATGGAGGCTGCCTTGGCCGTGTCAGGGTTGTGTTGCTGCAAGTGTATGTCGATAGCTGAGCTGCACAAACATCAGAGATTGTAGATCAGGCATGGTGAATGCATAAAGACTGGACTTCAAACAAAAGAATATGACAAGCAGTTTCCCGTACCTTGTCTGGCGGAGCTTGGTAGCTATTATATGACACGTCAAAGGACGCCAGCGTCTCAGGCAGGTCAAAGAAGAAAGAAGCAGAAAGTGCAGTGGTTGGATTCCTGGAGCTCGAGACAAAGAGCAATGAATGAGCAGGACCAGCCAAACGAACGAATAAGGGCTGAATAATGAATAAAGAGTGGAATGTTTGAAAGGAAAGGAGAGCTCATGAGGGATTGGAGGAGAGGCAGCGATGGATATACACAAGGGCGATGCAGCTAGGCGCCGAGGCCAAGGCTGGATGGACCAACTCTTGCCGGCTGCTCGAACCGTTTCATCTTCACGCCGTCCCAACGCCAATCATATGGAGCTCTCCCGATAGGATCTTGGGATCGAATGACCGCTTGTCCAGATCATCCGACTAGTTTAACTGCCATCGGTCTTGTCTGTGCAGTCTCCAGAGACTCAGGGTCCCGAGATCTCACAACGTCGGAGAATAATCGCGGACCAGGCACTCGTTTGCAGGTGAAAACCTTCATCCAACACAATTCTAGAAAAGATAACTAATATCGGATTGGACAGGTCTCCTCCTGGATCTCGCCTTAGTGGTGTGACCTTGTGGTGCCTTATCCCTGCCCGTGGCTGAACCCGCATGAATTTTCCGAATCCCACTCGTCCACAACAGAGCGCCATGATTTTTTCAGCTGTCAGCTCACGCTAAAATATTGGTTTTAAGTTTGCTGCGATTCCTATTTGCCAGTCGCTCTGGCAAAGGAAACGCCGAGGAAGCTGTCAGGAACGCCTTCGAAGGATGGCCAACGGCATTCGCTCGGGCTGTTTCAGGTCTGCTCCCTGGTCCAACTCACTTCGAAACACCCGTCCTGAAGGGGGAATGATAAGCTGCCATCAAAGGTAATCAGAATAGATTAAGATATATTATCCTTGACTCAAGGAATCGCTTCTGGCCGGCGTGTTAATCTATCGCAGCCCCTGGCTATATATTGCCTTGCTTTATCCTCGATCCTCCTGGCCTGCTTCGCCCTCTGCGGGCATCATACGGTGAAAAACGTGGCATCCCGTTCGTTCATCCCACTGACGGTTCTTGCTTTGCAGATTGTGTGGAAATGAAGGTGAGAATTCACATCGCGCGCGCGTCCCTCTTTTCTGCTTACCGCGATGAATGACTTCAATGCACAGGATCAAATAGCACTTCCGATTCGCCTGATCAACCGGTCAGTTGAACGTTGGTGGCATGATCGCATGCGGTTCCCGGCCTAAAACTGGGTGTTTTCGAGTCGTTTCTTGCTCTGGAGTCTGGTATCGGAGTTGGACCCTTGGACGACAAAATATGCCCCGGCGGACCCATCGCACTCGAGCCCCGTTCTCTTGCCTCTTCAGACCACAAGCCCCGTTTCCGTTGACAAATCATTGACAAACCAACCGAGGTTCGATGAGCACGCGAAACGAACAGCAGAATTTGAAGAGCCTGCGTCGATGGTTGTTGCGTTTGACGATTTCGACCATGTGCTGTCATAGAAGGCTTTGGAGGAGCCGTCTGACATCTGCACAGAGTCTGGAACCCTCGACCAGAACCCGGCCAGCAGAGTTCTGCTTTTTCAAACCAATTCACATCGGTATATTCCAGGGAAAGATGAGTTGAGGATTGGATGCCAATGGGCTGTTGCCGCCGTGATGTTGTGTGTAGACTTGACCTCCACAAGTCAACTCGTCTCACATGGGACCTTGAGGGCTTGTCGCATGGTCATTTCAAACTCGCAGCCAAAGCTCAACAAATCCCTTGTAGACATCTTTTTCCAAGGACATGGTCAGTGGCCTGATATCATTCCTATTCGTGATTCTGTGCTCAGTGCTTTTGATGCCGGCGAATCTGGACTTCCTTTCAGCCGGTCGGCCTGGTCAATTCCAGCAATCGCGACTCAGCGACGATAGAAAGGATGCAGCCACTTCTTGACCTTGCCATCAGGTATTAGCGCGAGTATAAACTATTGGATGAGGGGATTGTAAAGATGAAAAGATCAATTGGCTGCGAGAAATTCACCTAATCTATAACAGGTGAACTCAATAGCCGACAAAGGCCGAAATCCCCGCACTCGGCAATTGACACCAGTTGGAGACACGTGCCTGGTATCTTTACCGTATTGGGGGCTAGCCAGACACAGGTTTACCGTACTCAACTGTCAACTGTGAACTATGAAGAGTTAAATTGTGACTGAGTCTGGGGAAACATGCAAGCTAATATATCTCTGTGTGGAGTAGTTCACTAGACATCTTTTTCTAGACTAAAGAGATGCTTTGAAGATACTTGGTTCATGTTCCACGCTTTTAACATTGGCTGCGTTCTGGTGAACAGCGCCACCCTCGTGCCTACTAAATTAATCTTAAATATACAAGGTATGCCAGTCATTGCTACTTCAGACACTGCGTGGAATCTCTAAGTATTATAGTATCACTGCTCACTGTAGATCAAACTGTTTGACTAAGGGCCTTTTGAAGTTAGCTGAGTACGTATCTGGCTGGCCCAATATATTACCATGATATGTAAGGAAAGTGTAATACTCTTGCCCGTCCGAGACAACACTTATCCTTCCACGAGTCCTGCAATTGCCCCGAGCAAGGAGAATGTTACTCCCTTCCTCCTATCGATTGTTGGACCAACCACTGAACTATTGACAATTCTGATTAGCCGCTTGCGCACAGAAAGCGTTAGGCAGCGCTTGAGTGTGTGGGGAGACTCCAGGCCTTGGGAGAAGGATTCATGCGGAGTTTGTCCGCTGTTCAACGCCACGAGAACTGATCATCCCTTCATATTTGCTCATATTCTACTTTTCCTACATTCTTATCCAGCCAGAAGAAGGCTGTCATTCCGTTGTAGCGTCGAAAATGGCGACCGCACAACTCTAACTCTAGTTTTTTTGTTCGCCAGCAATGGATGTCACAGAGCAGGAGGAGCAGTCTCCGCTCATGGAGGGAGCCCCGGCATCAAAGCCAAAGGCCCGTTCAGACCATCTCATGAAGCGTGTCTCGAGAGCATGCTTGCATTGCCGACAACGCAAATCCAAGTGTGACCTGTACGTTGTCTACCCATAGGCGGGGTGGATTCGTCACATAGCCACTGACTTGTCTATGTAGAGATGCCAGCGGCAGTCCCGGGGTGCCGCCGTGCCAGCGATGTATTCGTGACCGTCGGGAATGTGTCTTGGGCGGCTCGAATCGTGGAGGTCGTCGCATCCGCAAGAACAAGATAAAGAACTTCACGCCGGATACAAAAGCATCAACTCAGAAACCAGACGCACAGTCGACCAGCCCCGCCAACACAGAAAATACCCAACCGAATTCCAACTCATATCCAGGCCCTGTCGTCTTTGTACCGCCCTCGAATCCTCCTGCGGCGACGGTGGCGACGACAACGTCGGTATCCGTTGACGATGAAGATGCGGCGTCTATCGGCTCTGTACCTCGAAATCCTTCCGACGCCTGGCAATGTCTGACTGACATTGCGAAGCGAGGTACCGATGGACCTAGCCCTGCAACAACAGACTCGCTACGTACCGGCACGGGTGGGTATTCTACATACAGTGCGTTCCAGAATGGCGACGTGACAAGCCTTCAAACGAAAACCGGTATCAAGGCGTACAGGCTGGTGCAATCGCGATCTCTTGACCCAGGAACTGTTTGGCAGCTGGTTGCTCGCTATGCCCAGAACTTCCATCCGTACCTTCCTCTTGTTCCCCGGAAATATTTCCACCGCACCGCTTTGGACGCCTTCGCAGATAACGAGAAACATCTCCTCACGGCCGTGATCACGATAGCATCGAAAGACCTAGTTGAGCGGCCAGAAATTCACGAGTACTGCTCCAAGTACATGCATGAATTGATTTCCGGCATTGCTGCCGGAGCCGACTGCGATGTGGAGGCTGTGGAAGCCCTTCTTCTGCTTGCCGAATGGGAACCCCAGGGCCTGAGACCAAAGATTGAACGTGTCGGACGTGGCGAAGAGGATCGCGCTGCTTGGATGCATGTTGGGCTTGCACTGCGCTCAGGCTATTTTCTGGCCCTGGACAGGACCTCATTCCGTGGGGACGCCTCGGGAGACACGGAAGCGGAGGCACGCAGACGACTAGCATGGACCAGCTGCTACATCTCAGACCGTCTTATTTCCGTGAGAGTGGGACGTGCGTTTTGGTCGCGAGGGCCAGGCCCAATGACTGGTCTCGTCAGCCAGGATTTTCCATCGCTACAGCCTGTCAGAGAGGGGGACGAGGACTATGCGCAGATATTCCAGGCTACGTTGGATCTCACACAGCTTTATGGAAACGTCCATGACCTCCTTTACTCTGGAATGCGGACGAGTAACCAGATGATGTTGATGGGTGATTATGTAAAATACGTGGACGATTTTAGACTGGCGATTCTGAGATGGAAATCGCGCTGGGGTACACTAAAGTGTACGCTTTCTATCTGCCTTTATAGGGAATTCTTGCTAACTGGTATAGGCTCGCCGGCTATGCAGACTACCCTGCAGCTATCGTACGAATATCTGCGGCTCTATACCAATGCGTTTGCTTTCCAAGCAGCAATATCTCAATCATTATCTAAGCAGAAGGATGACAGTCAATCTCAGAGGGAGCATCTACGGGCAACATTTGATAACGTGGCCTCAATGCAGGATGCCCGGTTCATCATCGAGTCGTTGGATGCCGCCAAAGCCTATTTGACTATACTCGTCGAGACAGCCGATCCTGAGAAGCATCTTCACTTTATGCCCCTTAGATTCTACCTGTATGGCATCTACGCTGCGGTCTTCTTATACAAGGTACCCTCTCCCCATTCCCTCTACAAACATAGGGCTGACAAACTAGGCACGATCGTTTGGTGTCATGCTCCCCGCAGAGGAAATGAACGTACGCGACCTCGTCACTCGAACTACGGAGGTTCTAAAACGAGCCAGCGCTGGGCCTGACGACGTTGGAGCCCGTTATTCGAGACTCCTAGAACTCCTATGGCGCCCTAAAGCGACTGCTCCAGCATCGCCTGCAGGAACCCAGCAGAGCAATGACGTCGTAATGCAAAACACTAACTCCCTCAACTACATGCCCGACCAAGATGGCTATGTACACTTCAGCCCTGCAAACGACTTTTCCTGGCTAGACCTCGAAGCAGTTGGAGATTACGTCTCCGGTGATCCTGGCACCCTGTCGCTGGAAGCGTTCCAGAATCCTGGTCTATTCCAGGCTGGCTCTGACAGGGCATGGCAGACTCCAATGTGGTCGGGCGATATGACGAGCAATCTTCTATTCTAGTTGTCAAGGGTAGGCCTTGGCAAACTGTATCGTTGCCAGGATCTAGTCACACCGGCAATAGCAGGGATCAAATCCATAGGCCGCCCTCCACACTATCTGATGCGGGGCATCGGGAGTTGCTCCGATCCGAGGGGTAGCCCCTCACCCATGGGTCCTTAGCTGCTTATATCTGCTCCAGGGCCGCGATCATCGAGCCTACTCCAACTCCATAGCCTCCTACCCTTACGAAAATCGACCATGGCCCAATTGAATGAAATTCGCGGTCGACTCGCCCTTATCACCGGGGCTTCTGGAGGGTAAGCACCCCTTCTCTATATCACCATTTCATCAACCCCACCTAACTTGCACTTAGAATTGGAGCGGCCTGCGCTCGCCAACTCGCCGAGAGAGGCGTCCACCTAGCATTAACGTACTCCAGCAACCTCACCGCAATCACAGCACTCAAAGATGAACTCCAGAGCACATCCCCAGATCTCCGTATATCCATCTACAAAGTCGACGTTGCCTCCGCGGAAGAAATCCAGCACATGTTCATTCAAATTGATGCATACCACGGTCAACGGCCAGACATCCTCGTGTCCAACGCCGGGTACGGCAAACGCGTCCCCCAAGTATGGGACATCACACTCGAGGAATTCGACTACACGATAAACGTCAACCTCCGCGCATCGTTTGTCCTCGTTAAAGGTGTCGTCGAGCACATGCGGAATCAGCGATGGGGCCGGATTATCTTCATGTCCTCGATCGCGGCATCTGGTGGTGGGATCAATGGTTGCCGTATGTCCTCTGATTTTTCTACCACCGACTTCATCCAACAACTAACCTCAATCCGTGCAGACTACGCCGCCTCCAAAGGCGGCATGACAGGCATGATGAAGAACCTGGCTACGCGCCTTGCCGAGTTCAATATCAGCGTCAACGACGTCGCTCCGGCCATGATCGGGGACACCGGCATGATCCCCAACGCGCAGGCGATTCCTGAGGTTGCGGCGGGGATTCCTATTGGCAGGCTGGGTGTTCCGGAAGAAGTTGCTAATGTTGTGACTATGCTCGCCACGACGGGATACATGACGGGGCAGAGCTTGTTGTTGGCTGGGGGATTGAAGTAGTGGATAGCTTGAGTTTGCCCTCAGAATGTGAGGCTCTTACCAGTTTCTACTGAGTTCCAAAATTTGGGGCGCTTTTGAGCTCAGCCTCATGTTAATATTATGACCACGTCATTGTCGCTGTACCTAATACGCGCCCTCAAGCTTCAGGGAGCTCCAGATTGCCGCTACAGATATTTCTATCCAACCTCAAAATCAAGTCCAGTCTGAGCCGCAGCCGCTCGCCCAGGAAACAATTATCACCACTCCCTACCAACAGGAGCAGAGCAAACCAGGGCCCCTTGAGTATTGCTGCCCCTTTTGTTCCACCGGGGTCTCCATCAGGCCTCCTTGTGTTGCCAGGCTCAGACGCCACATATTTGAGAGTCACTTCCGTCAGTACAATTACTATTGCGCTGAGCCCAACTGCCCTGATGCCATTGCACGCATTCCGTTCAAGAGGAAGGACGTAATGGCTGAACACTACAATGGAAAGCATGGCAAGAGACTGTCCTCCGAAGAGTGGAAGCAAATCCTACAAGAAGAACCTCAGCCAGAGATTTGTGCGGTGTGCCATGCTGCCGTTTCCTCATGGGATGATTTCAGGAAATGTGTTGACAAATGTGTTCTCATGCTGCTTCAAAATGGCATTGATGATAATGCAGCATTATTGAGGACGTCGCACGCACAGGAAAGTGGACCTCAACCTCATCTCAAGTCACACGGGTCCGGCTCACTTGTTGGGACAGGGTCGGATTGCCCTCATCTATGCCCGTCCAAAGACGTAATCAGTCAGAAGGAAAGCCAGATTCAGGACCTTCGGATGCAATGCATCTTGCTCGAACAGGAAATCAAACGGCTTGCTGTGACACGGATGGCGCGCGCCGCGACGGGGACTGACTCTTCCTGCGCATTTGGGATCGGGAAAGAAGATTGACATACACATCCTTCCACTGACTCATAATATCGAGAACAAGAAAGAAATTTGCAACTGTCTCTCGATGTCTGGAGTGCCAAAATCGGTAAGATCCTAAGCGCAAGCATCTCATTGCCAGATCCTGCTTGAAATATCTAGAAGAAAGAGATAATGGCTCCATCTGCGGAGAATGCGGGGCCTCTTGCAATTGAAGCTGTAGGGGGTCGGCGAGTGATGAGTGCCCGAAGGCTTACTCGCATAATGAGCAAGCGACGTAGGGCCGATATACTGTAGGAGTGGGTGTTTACGGCCATAATGCAAGCTTCCTCGCCATCTCTATGTAAGCAATGCGCAGATTGTGGACTTTATATATACAATCAATTCTATCATATAGACCAAGCAAACGAATCTAACAGACGGTCTAATCTAATCAAGATCCGGAATCGGCAACCCATTGACAATCTTCACCTTCCGCCCCAGCTTATCAAGCGCCTCCTTCGAGTTCTTCGCGCGCAGATCAGCTGTCTCCTGCTCAGAAACAAGCACAAAGTTGTACGTCAGCAGCTTATGGTCCTCCTTAACGCCATACTTCTCCGCATACTCCTTGCCCGCCGTGCCGATATCCACGACCAGAGAATCCTTCACGCCGAAGACCGCATCGCTCGTCTCAAACGGGTCATTGCGCAGGTACAGCGCCGTGATCAGGTGGTCGTATCCCGCCTTCTCAAACATGAAGTGCATATGGCTGGGGCGGTAGGGATGACGGTGTAGTTTCTTCAGGAGTTTGCCTACAGGGCCATCGTGGGGGATCGGGTACGGCACGGGTGTGATCGCGTGGAAGTAGAAGATTCCCTCCTTGTCGGAGTGCATGACGCACCGGCCGTCCGGGCCAGATCGGTCTGCGTGCTGCACGTCGTAGTGGCCTGTTGAGTCCGTCTCCCAGATGTCGATCTTCACGCCTTCAATAGGCTTGCCGTTTGTGTCTTTGATGTTGCAGACGACGAGGAGGGGCTCCCCTTCGGGGTCCTTGGACATTGACCCGCCCTGCGAGAGTTCTTCGGCTTCGTGTGTGTGGAAGGGGCCCAGGACTGTGCCTTCTGTGCTGCCTGGGGGCTTGGGGTGGTCAATTGAGTCGACGAGGATGGAGAGGCCGAGGACGTCGGAGAGGAGGATGTATTCCTACAGAGCAAGAGCGCATTAGTCTTGGTGTTTGGCGAAGTTGAGGAAGGGATGCATACCTGTCGCACATCCGTACAGATCTGGCCGACCTCCGTCAAAAACTTCAAACCGGTCATCCACTCGGCAGAGGAGAGTCGGGTCTCGCGCGCAAAGTCATGAAGATGCGTAACAAGTCGCTCGAGAACATATTTCATTCTCTGGTCCTCGCAGAGGGAGTTGATGCGGATGACATTCTCGGTGATGTTCTCCACCGTGAGGTTTTTCATAGGGGGGATTTTGACCTGAGACGGATCCATTGTGCTTAATTTTCTTTTGTTTCAGCCCGGCGAGAAGGAATCGAGTCAATTGCTCTCCAGAAACGCGGGGAGAGGAGATATATAAGAAGTGAAGAGGGGTTGTATCTCCGGAGAGCAAAGCTAGCCACCCCGCATGGAATCGGGGGGTTGTATAATGATCAATAAGCAATTCTTATTTCTGGGGCTCTGTGATTGGTTGATTTTGCTGTCTCGGAAATCCCCCGCCGTCGATCATTTCACTTTTGACCGCTGGCGGATATACGGCTTTGTAGATTTGTAGCATAGAAACGGGGTCATTGAGAGGCGGAGGAACAGAATTGCCTAATGCTCATGCGGATTGGTTTTGCGGTGTCGTTAAAGGTATTAATTGATCTTCTACTTCGTCCAACGGTCCAAGTAGTCCTCCGTATGCGAGGAACGAGGAACGGTTCCGCTCCCACACCCCACACTCCGCGGTAGAGAATTTAACCGACAGCGACTGCCGAAGTAGGTGCACGGAGCAGTGTCTCTATAGGTCATACGACGTCGAGCTCACTCGAGGCTCAGGACTGATTAGTCCCTGCCTCGACCATTTCCCCGAAATCACTGTCCGTCTCCCGCCCGGCGCTGATTTGCCCGTGGCCTCCCCGCAATTGCTTCAATCCCTCCTCATCTTCAACCCAGCCCCCAATCTTCTCCATTCCGGATATATACTCCGAGGCTACTCGCAGGTTCTGGCCTGCCGAGAGTGCCCGCTCGATTCTCACCTCTCGGGATTCCGATATCAGTACACGGAACACATGTGCCAAGAAACCGTTAAGGATATCCACGCTCCAGTCATCTGGGATGATGTTGAGGACTTCACGGACGTCGAACCATGCGGCGAATCGCCCCAGGAGATCACTCGTGCGTTCGATCCGCTCAGACAAGTCACGTACCTGTAAGAATTCATCCAGTAAATACCGGAATAATTCAGATTGGCGGGATTTCTCGGCGAATTCTAGAGGAGCGCCAGTGGAGCTCGTGCTTCGAGGACCGCCGAATAAACAGTACCGAGTAGCGGCGTCATAGTCACCTAGTCCATGGGTGAGAAGACGAAGGGCCTCCCGGTGCCGACCCTGTAGTCCGTCTAAGATAATAGATTCGGAAACCAGCTCGTTTTGGAAGGGCTCGATGCGAGCGAGAACAGCCGGGATGGAATAGTTGAGGCTCGGTGTGGGGGCGGATGTGAATTGGGTGGTGTTGCCTCCTCCGAGCAGCTGAAGAAGACGCATCCGCGACTGCCACCACGGACTTGATGGTAAATTCTCCGTGATAAAGTTCATATAGGTAGGTTTCGGTGGGCGGAGGGCACGGTAGGTAGAATAGGATTCGGAAAGAGATGCACGAGCTTCGGGAGAAGTTTCGAGTACGGATATTACGGTGTCGAGATAGTATTGAAGAAGGCCGTCGGCGTATTGTGTGTACTGCACTCATTAGCATAAAAATTGCGGAACAAATATGGCGTACATACATTCTTTGAGAACACCAGGTGCTCCAGATATTCCTGAACAGCGTTTGGTGCGCGTTCTTTGAGCAGAGCCACGGCATCTGATGGGTCAAGTATCACGCGGCTTGAGTTGTCCGCAAACACTTGAATACCTAGCTTGGGATTCCGCTGAGCAAGCCACGAGCCATATTCCTCGACGAGTTGTACATCCTTGATCTTCACCAAGTACCGCCGCATCTGAACCTCGACGCCGGCGGGACTTATTTCACCACCTGCATCTGTTTCACCTTCAATGATCCGCCGCCACGTCTTCAGGACATTCCCAGACATCTTCCGGCTTTGGTACAGGCGGCTCAGCGCATAAAGTCGATGATAGCTCTCCAGAAGTGAAACTGCATGGTCAAAGTTGCCCTTCCAGTGATCGACAAGTCTGTTGAGTTCTGTACGAAGTCCCAGAGACGCAACCTGTTCCGCTGTCACGCTGTTACACTGCGAAAGCACAAGACGGAGGAGAGCTGCATCCACACTGTCAAAAACATATGTTTCGTCTGATATACTGCCGTATCCACGCTTCTGCTGCCACGAGATCAGGAATCTCTTCATCATGTCCAGAATTCCAGCATCAAAGAATCCTGTGAGTGCCTTGCCTGCTTCGTCGGCTTGTCGCCAGTAAGCCTCCGCCGTTTCCGCCAACCCTGCATGGATCCATATTCCTTGAGGGCTTTGTAGAGTTTCAGTACGTAGAAGAGGAATCAGGATCATAGCTATACGTGGATCCAGGTCCCCGACGATGAGTGCTTTCTCTGTCGTATCGATCACTTGGCCATTCCTAGCCTTTGGGTCCATAAAAAGCAGATCGCCCAGAAGAAGGAGACTGGCCTTCTGCTTCAGGAAATTCAGCCCGAGAAACTCTGCTTCAGACCTGGGTTCCGTTTGTTGAACCATCTCGATTATGTGCCAAACAGCGTTTCTATCAAGGGTATGTCCACTGGTAAAAGCCGCTTGGGACGTCTGCAGAACATCGTCAAGTTGTGTGGTCAATGGATTTCTCACGATGCGCCAGATCTGGTTCCCTGCCCACATGACAAGGCTACTTTGTGTTTTGCCCATCTCTTGCGCGATCTTGGCCTCTTCGGCGTTTCGGTCGGCTTCCCAGTCTGTAGCTTTCTTCGTTTCGCTAGATTCTGCCAGTTCCTGAGACTCAAACAGCTCCTTTTCTTTCTGCAGCTGCTCAATTGACGCCTGGGTTCTTGGATCCGCTGATGGTGCGTATACGCCCAAAGTCGGGGTTTTCATACGGACCATGCGTAATAGCTTTCCTAAGCCTTGAATCTCCAATTGAGTGGGACTGAGGGTGTGATTGATTCCGACATGCTTTGTCTGCTCGTCTTCCATTAAGGGTATTTCTACCCAGCTTTTGTGGTCCTCCGCTTCAGCTGGATCAACATCCCATGGCTGCACCTCCAAAAATCTCCGCATCTGGCCGTCTTCGTCGGATTCTATGACTGCGATGACATGTTCGTCTTTTGTGTTTTCCGCAGATGGAATCATATTAGTTTCCTCGCCCTTGTCGATGATAATTGATCTGGGATATCTGTGAAATGTAATCGTGCCGCGGACCACATCACCATCTACGTTGACAAACATTCCAACGCCGGGCTCCGACTCTTCGGAGCCTCTTACTAGTAGAAACTCCGAAGACGTCGGAGAAAGAATATGAGGTGTCAGCTGGGTAAACCGCTGATTTGGCAGGGGTGGCAGAGGTTTCCGTTCATCTGGGGCAGCGAGTTGCGGCTCGCGTGGGGGCAGTTCAGAAGATACCCTTGGCGAGGCCAATGGTGAAGATTGCCTGCTACGTTCCCTTGATACTGATCTTCTCGGCGTCCCGGCCTCCGGGTGCTCCGGCGTCAAGGATCTTGACCGATCTTTCGAAGAGGACCGTGGGGGAATTGTGGGCTGCAACATCCCGCCCAGCGTGTTAAGACTGGAACTTCGCCCATGGCCGGGACTCCCAGGAGGGGGCGAGCTTGATGTTGAGAGTGGTGATTTGGGAGCAGACGAAGCTGGCATATCCTCTACTTGACCAGAGTCTTGCATTTCATCGGCAAAGGATATTGGGAATAGAGGAATCTTTTGCTGATGCTCCACATCGAGTAAAGAGTAGTTCCGCCCGTCTGCGACACAGGATATGATTCCCCTTCGCGACGTAGTCAGGCAGTTTGGGAATTCGATCCCTCTGACCAAGCGAGGTGCGTCACCAATCTTGACCAACATGAGGCGACTAGTCGTTGAGATCATGATGACTGGATTTTCAGGTTCATCCTGCCCCATATTCAAGTCCAAGCCCCCAACCCAGCGGCAGTTTTTGACCTGTGTACTGCCGCCAAAGGCCGGGCTAAGCTCCGGTAGCATATAGAAGGTAGCTGTTCCATTGCAGAGGACGCAAGCCTTGTTCGCGGTAGGTAGAATAAGAATCTTTTGGACACCCGACTGATTCGGAAGCGAAGAGCCTTGAGAGAAAGGGATTGGTAGTCTTGAGGCTAGGATGAAGGACGGTTCGTTCGAGTCGGAGGGGTCAGGTGGAAGGCAGACGAAATGCAGGATCTCCGCTGCGGAAGTTCCAATATACAGATTGTCATCTAGAAAGAACAAATGATCAGCATCGCATCCTATAGTCTTGTCGAGCAAAGACTTACTCCAGTACTCCACGCAGGTGATATGTACTTCCTCCTCCGCATCGTCGGCTTTGACAGGTACCTGGTCGAAGAGCGATTTGAATATGTATGGAGCAGCTTTAGGAGGGCCAAGCTTGCGCCTCTTGCGCGCGATAATGCCCTCCTCTTCCGACGCCATGATGAGACCAGCTCTGGCGTCCAGAGAAGTGAAGCTGGAGCTTCAATGATGGGAGCGATTGACGCTGCGTCGGAGTGCGGAGTGGATCGGCCGGGGACTTGAGCCTTGCTGAGTCAGGTGGAGCCTCAACTTGTTCCTGAGCATCTACTTGAACACCAGATAGGAGTACAGGATCACACATGTACCTTCGTGGTGGCTTTATAATGAGCTATTCTCTATGGGCGCTGCCATATATGTTTTATCTAGCTCATTACGTTGATGTTGAGATGTCTGCAAATAGCCGCCGTCATACCTGTGTTTACACTTGTAGATCGCAACAGTGGATCAATCAGCTGTCTTTCCACAACAATGTCTTTCATCCTTAAACAATCGCTGGACAACCTTGAGTAGAGGAGTCAGGCCTTTGCCAATGTAGTATAAAGCGAATTGAAATCGCATCTACTAGGTACATTGCAGGCTGATAGTGAGGGCAGCTTACGCGTCCGGAATTACTGTCGGGCCGCTCAGGGTGTCTGGGTTCCTCCGCATCGCGATATGGAGCCTCCAAGCACTCTCCGTCTTTCTCCAATTCGGTCGTCATTCGGGGTAGCTTATTGGCGGCTATACGGATTTACTCGTTGATGGGGTCCTCTTCTCCGAAAGTTCTCTCATCATCAGCAACGCATCGACCAAGGCGGGGAAAGACCGACGCCGGAAAAGAACAACATGGACTCTTTCGCGATTACGGAGGGGATCATTCCCCAACCCGACAACCAAGAGGCCCAGGCCCCTGATTCCGGGTCCGCCGCAACACTTCCTGAAGGAGCCAACAAATTCCAGCGTGCCATTGCGGCCTGGAGAGGTACCTTACAACAAATGCTATCGTATGTGCTTACGTGCTGACTCTGTGACACTCCGAAGGCATCGACCTGTCCAATACCCTCGCGAAGCTAGACGGCACCGCCTCTGATATCGTCGCCGAACAACGAGATGCGCTGGTACAAAGGAAGGACCTTGCGCAGAAGACGAAGGACTTTCGGAAGCTCGACGATGCCTCCAAGCTGGCGGAATACAAAGGCCTTTTAAAAGGTTAATCCCCACGCCTCATTGCTAGTGGTACCTCGCATTGACGTTGTGGATAGCCTACCAGGGATTTATTGATCTCTTGACAAACCAAGGAAAATCCTCTTCGTCCGCATTCCTACAACTATACTCGTCTCTGTCCGAGGCCCCGGACCCGTATCCGCTTCTCGAAACTTCAATCGACTCGCTCGTCCTCGCCGAAGAAACGGTCCCCAAATTGACCTCCGAGCGCGATCAGCTACAGGGTTCCGTTGACCGCCTTACATCACAGTTGGAGGAAACGGAACAACGGCTTCAAGAAGAGCGGGCCGCCAGGAAGAAGTTGGAAGAAAACCAAGACACGAAGATCAAAGAGATTGAAACATCATGGTCGGCAGTTCTGACAGAGAAGACCAACAACTGGACGGCCAAGGAGAAGAGTTTAGAGGAGAAGGTGGAGAATCAGGAACGGTTGATAAAGGAACTAAAGGCAAGCTACGAGGTCTCGCAGCGACTAGGCCAGAACGATGAGGGTGGCAACCAGTCCCAGAACGGCGCAACTGCTGCAGAGCTAGAGCTGGTGTCTAGTGAGTTGGAGAAGACTAGCCTACGACTAGCGGAGATGGAGGGGCGGAACGAGCAATTGAGGCTTGAGCTGGCTCAAGCTGTTTCTCACTCCAAGGAGGAGCAAGCGACTTCTATTGATGACGACCCAGCATATCTCCGGCTCCAGTCCGAGAACTCTTCTTTGTTACGGAAGCTGGATGCCGCACGGTTTGACCGCGAGTCCGAACGGCATACCTGGGAGGCCAAATTCTTGCAGTCAGAGAGGCAGTGCTCTAAAGTGGCAGCGGAAAAGGAAGAGTTGAAGACAAGGCTGGAGAAGGTGGCCGATTACGAAGACATCCGCCGCGAGCTGGAGATGATCAAGGTATGCTCTGTCTTGTTTCTTGCTATCCAAATCTGACCTGTTTTAGTCAATCGAATTCTCGGCCGGCGACGACGAAGATGTTGGGGATCTCACCGATGCGGTTGGCGCTAATGGCACCGTGGAAAAAGCCAAAGAAGGCGGGAAAAACAGCTCCCTGGAACAACTTTTGTTGACGAGGAACAAGAAGCTCACCGATGAGCTTACAATTCTGCGCGTCTCGCACCGCGACTTACAGGGCCAGCTTGAAGCCCTACGTGAGGACCTCTCTACCACAAAAGAGGAACTGGAGAAGTCGCAGAGCCTCTCTACCACCCTCGAGAATGACCTTCTCCGGCTACAACAGGAGGCTGCGAACGCCTTCCCATCCTCGGCCATGTCTGTGGCCGGCACATACACCTCAAAATACCCCACTTCTGCACGAAGAGGAGTCTCCCCAACATCATCCATCATCTCCGGCTTCGATAACTCGGCCATGTCCAATAACACAATGGACGCCATTCGCGCTGGAGAGCCAGTCGGTGGAGGGTCTGGCCTCTTGCCTATGATCCAAGCCCAGCGTGATCGATTCAAGAAGAAAAATTCGGAGCTGGAAGAAGAGCTGTCCAAGCTCTACGGCACGGTGAAGTCTCTCAGACAGGAAGTGGCCTCCTTACAGAAGGACAATCTTAACCTTTACGAGAAGACGAGGTATGTCTCAACATACAGCCGGGGCCAGGGAGCATCATCTTCAGCATCCTCCTACGCAAACAGACCGAGTGCTTCCTCTATTCATGCATCTGCCGATACTCCCTCCGGTCTGTCGGTCGATCGCTACCAGTCCGCCTATGAAGCCCAAATATCCCCATTCGCCGCCTTCCGAGGGCGCGAATCCACCCGCGCCTACAAGCGGATGAGCCTGCCGGAACGAGTAGTCTTCTCCCTGACGCGCATCATTCTCGCGAACCGTACCAGCAGAAACCTCTTTGCAGGGTATTGCTTCGCTCTACATTTCCTCCTCTTCATGATGCTGTACATGATGAGCACCATGGAAATCGAGAAGCACAGTGCGGCAACTCTTGGCGCTACAGCGGGGGCGGCTATGGGTGCAGGGAGCGGCGGTAGTGCCTACAGCGGACAGCTTGATGGCGACGACTGGCAGCAGGAGGGATTTAACCATGCTAGGTAGGATGGTTGATTGTATTTTTAATAGTCCCGAAGCGATATTGTAGGCGTTTAGGTTGGGTTGATGGGCTTGTGACACGAAGTGAACATATTAGCCCTAACTGTATATACATCCAGTTGACATTTTCTTGGCGCTTGTATCCATCCATTCGTGTTGATTGCCATTGATTGGGAAGTACCCTTACTGCAAGAGATGTACATCCTCGCGCGACACTTACCACACTCACCACCCCCTCTCAACCCCCTGCCTCACCAAATCCCGCACTGTCTCTCTAAACCTCCCATACGAGAAACCCAACTCCCTCCCCGCCGTCTCCCCATCCAACCCATGACTCTCATCAACATCCTGCTTCTCATCCGAAACCCCATCCCTCAGATCCTCAAATTCACCCTTGACAACCGCCGCCGCAAGCGCATACGAGAACCTCTCCGGCGCCGCAGGCGTATACCTCCTCCCCCCAACCTCCTCATTCAAAAGAGCGCCAACATGCGCACTCGCCAGATCCCGAACATCGATCCAGAACGGAACACGGGCTACAGGGAGCGGTTTCCCAACTGCAACATTCCACAGCATCGCATTGGACTCGTTTAGGTCCTCCACTGTCGGGACAGGGTGCACGACGGGCCCGAACGTCATGGGCGGACAGAGCGACACAAGATCAAAGCTCGCCTTTGGCTTTCTGGTCTTAATGAACTCCCACGCCGCCAGCTCGGCGAATTTCTTGGAGCCGCGGTATGCGACGACGGCGCTGGTGAGTGGGTGCGCTGCTTCGGCGTAGGAGAGCGGGTTCCAGTCGGCGGATGTGTAGGTGAAGTATCCGGATTCTGTAGTGGCCGCTGGTCTGTTCGCGTCCATGACGGAGGCAAAGGAGGATGTTAGGACTATGCGGTGGATTGGGGGTGTGGAAGTTGCTGCGGCTTCGAAGACGGCGTTGACGCCGTTGATCGCGGGGATGATGAGCTCTTTTTCGTTGTTGGTTGTGTTGTATGTGAAGGGCTAGCCGACCACGTCCGGTTAGTTCCCTTGTATCTTAACGCAAGGTATGGTAGATAGTAGGTGGACTCACACTCGCAGTATGAATAATCCCATCGACACCGCTCACGGCCTCAACTAGTCCACCAGGGCTCTCAAAGTCGTCGATCTGAACAAACTCGAGCTTGTCTTTGTATTGCGGACGTGCTGCTATCATTGCCTCGCCTTTGGCCATGGAGCGCGTGGCGCCGCGCACGCGGAGGCCCTGGGCGAGAAGGGCATCGACGATGTGAGCGCCGATGAAGCCGGTTGCGCCTGTGACAAGGACGAAGTTTATATCCATATTGCAAGATATACCGGTTTCCACGAGGATCGATGATGGAATGCGGGGAAGATAGGTCTCTATCATGGTGGCGGTTATATAGGGCCAAGGTGTCGGCCGGAGATACTCCGAATGTATCTACTCTGCGTCTCTAGTGTATTGAGTCAAGTTTCTAGCTCGAAGCTCGGTTTTGCTGGAAAGAGAGAAGTAATAAATATAGGTGTACTGATGTCCGGAGAAACGAATAGGCAGATAGTGACCATTACCGTTGGGGCAACATAAGTCGGGGATTGGCGACAGCGTACAGTTCTCCGCACGCGAATGGGCACTGGGTGATTCTCAAACTTCTGGAGTATCTCTGAGCGATTAGTCCGATAGCAGAACTCCGCAGGTTGATGATGCATTTGACCAACAAGAAACAGCTCGAGAGTGTACCCGAGTATCCCTGTGTGTAGATCATCTAAAGGACGAACGACCATGTGGGCTCATATTGGTAAGCAGTTCAAGGACAGACAAACTGAGTGCAATCAACAACTCAAGTCGTCCAGGTTTAGTTGCTTTGCATGAAGGAAGCTAGAGGCCGTACTGGATGAGAAACAGCTACTACGGAGAGGACAACCAGCATAACGTCACATGATTATTTGCTCGCATCAAGACCAGGCGAAATGCATTGTACGTAGTATGAACAAACCCAATCCTCGAGAATGCATAAGATCAAACACCAACAGCCGGGGATATCCGCTAAACCGCTGAAACAACATGCCAATTCTCAAATATAGACACAAACATGCAAAGTAATCACGGAAAAATCATCACACGAAATGGGAGAATCATGCTCTGATCATATTCCGATCTCGCTCCTGATCCCGCTCCCTGTCGCGCTCGCGCTCGCGCTCGTTACTTACTTCATGTACAGTGCCTTTCGCCGCCGCGGCCTTATATGTGTCCATGATGGCTTGGCTCAGCGCATCCGGAGCATCGTCATCCCGACTTGGCTCGTTGTTCCGGTTGATACTGAACCGCCTGTCGTTGTGGACATGCCGGTCATGTCTGTACGACAGACCGTGGTTATGGTGCATTTCGCTCACAGCTCGTCGCGGAGACACCTCCCTCACGGCCGGCGGCCGAACAACAGGGGCAGCAATCGGCGCGGATTCCCTACGCACGATGAGATCCATCGGGACCTCCCGCGGTCTTTCCGGCTCTGGTATTGCAGCGACTGGTGGCTGGAGTGGGGCCGGTAATGGAGCTGGTAGCGGCGCAGGCGCTGACGTCGGCGTCGGAAGGGCGGTAGATGGAGGCGCTCCTTCCGAAGCCGGAGCAGTAGGCGGGCTGGCCGAAGTGTCCTTTGAGTGCGACTCATCCAAAGGCGCTCGGTCGGCGCGCCGGGCCTCCCGCAGCTCATCCTCCTTCACGTCTCTCCACGAGCATTTGGCGTGCTTTTTGGTGCAACCCATACACGCAGTAAGGTTCTTCAAGCAGTCCATATGAAGACGGCGGCATCGATCGCAAGGCGGCATAATACGTTCACCTCGTTGCAGCTCCTCCATGCGCGCCACCATCTCGATTTTAAACGGACCGCCATCGTCCTTCTCATGATGATGTGATTTTGGGGGCGGAAGTAACGAGGTGGGGGTATTCGGGATGGCGACGGTGGCAGGTGAGGGTGCAAACATGTTGTAATCGCCGCCTTCTGACACCCTGGGTCTAGGGCGGGATGAACCGCGATTGCTCGACCCAGCAGCCTCTTCATAGGCTCCTCGTACCTGACGATCTTGAGTAGTAAAGAACTTCTTCATCAGCTCGGCACGTGTGGTCGGAGAAGCACCTTTGATCGATGTCCCGTTTATAATGGTGACATTGTCCGTATTAGAATGGGAGAACAAAAATTGCGACGACAATGAGTTCTCCTCCGGAGGTACTTCCATCCCGGCTCGAGAGGTGTTGACCGCGACAAAACCGGCGGATGGAGAATGAGCGTTAGAGGCGCCGTTACCAGTTCCGTTGCCGTTGCCGTTCAACGAGTTATGGGGAATACCGTTGGCGTCGCCCCAGGCAGGGCTCATGGAACGTTGCTGAGGTAGATGTTGTGCTTGCGGTAGAGGCTGCGGTGGCCGAGAATTATGGAGAGTCACATCGTTTTCGCGCCGGGTGACGATCGCGGTCCGACGATTCTTTAGACGATGGTTGAGTTGTCGTGCACGGGCAGAAACTAGGAAGAGATCGATTAGTAATTGACATGGCGGGCGAAGTTCAAGGACAAACCTTGATCTGCAATTTGTATGATCGACTGGAGGTTTTTCTCTAGTATCTCAAGTGCGCCGAGTTCCTTCTCTTCATCTTCAATGATAGGCTGAGGGGGAATCATCTTCTGAGGCATCCCCGACTTGATCAACACAAAGTCCTCCTCGCTAATTTCCACGCGACTTTGTTTTGTGTAGAACTGGCATACTCGCACGCCGTTGCGCGACTTTTCCAGGTTGAACTGTTCAGGCTTGTTCTTCGCAAACTCCACCACATCTAACCAGGTGACGTTGGTGGTGTCCTTGCCATGTGACTTGAGAACCCGCGGCGGGCCGTCAAAAAGGCGTTCAAAGCGCTTTATCAAGATCGGGCCCAGAGGACACGCGCCTAGGTTTCCAGCAATGCTTTCATGGCGATGCAAGACGCCATCGTATTCGCCAATCAAATGGATTATGGCAGGCATTGTGTCGTCCAGCGAGACCAGAGGAAGGTTATCGGCATATTGGCGCGCAAGGTAGTTGATTTGGAGGTGATTTGAGTGAGTCTTGGGCACTTTGGATGCAATCGGCGGAAACTCTCCGGAATCTGAGCGAGGCCGCTTGCCGGGGGCCTCTGCCGTCATTGTTCGAGAATCCATGAGAGCGGAGATGTTCGGGAGGAGAAGTCCCTCCAGTTCGCGATAGCCGAGACAGAAGAATCACAAAGTCGCGAAGGCACCGATAAGGATACCTAGGAAGGGAGACGGGCGAGAAGCAGCGGTCTCTCAAGGGTCCGGGAAAAATGCGAAGAGTTTTGGAGGGGAGATTGTTGAGCGACGAGGGGCGTGTGGTTATTGAGTAATGAGAAACGCTGGCAGAGGAGGTGCTACCGATGGCGGAGCCGGACGCTCCAAGGCGGGTTTAGATTCGGCCACGAGGCGGCGGGCAAAGAGGGGCCTGCAAAACGAGGGGAAAGAGGGGCGTGGTGTCATAGGAAAGCGATATCTTTGGGGGAGCAAGACCAGAAGAAAGACATGGCAGAAGAGAAGGGCAGGCGAAAAGACAGAACAGACGGGAGCCAGCAGCAGGGCGAGGGCGGAGGGATCCGTTGACTACGAGGATCCCGCCAGCGAAAAGTCAGCGGAGTGCGACGGGACTCGGTCCAGGGCCTTACCCGTCATGACCGTAATTTAACACTGGCCTACTGCTACGAGTAACATATCAGTCCCTTGCAGTTGAGAGCTCTGACGTGCTTCAGAATTTGGAAGTTCAGTCTGCCAGACAATGTTTGATACTTGGATATGCTCCGTATTCTCCGCGACTAAGCGATCCCCGGCACTCGCTGCCTGACCAGGATACCCCAATAAACTGCCCAACCATTCAAGATCACGTGACTCTGTTCTATCTGTGTCCTCCGTAGAGAACTAATTTAGGCCGGCGACTATCAGTATCGTCAAGAAACAGCTGCCTCAGCTTGATTAGGGTCAGTCTGATAGAGCCGGCGCGCCATGCTACTGTCTAGTTGAGACGCTCACAGGCCCGTGCTGCTCGTGGAATTGGAGAAGGAGCGCTCTGTTCCGCCCGGATTCCTTGCTGCCTAAGCCACCATCGCAAGAAACGTATTGTAACGGTATTGTCACAGGCCACTGACGGCATCAAATTCCTCCCGTGACTTGGTTTCCCACCAAGACAAACAGCCAACCGGGCATCGCGGTCCAGACTCGACAAATAATATCTGCAGTGCACTATCGCGGACTGAGCTTTGCCGCTGAGCCAGTGAGCCAGGTTCGGAGACTATCTGCTGCTGTGTTGCGTGGACTCAACCCTGGGTCCAGGAAAATCCCTCATACAAACCACGCCTGAGCTCCCCTTCCGAATCCTGCCTGCCACTACGTCGGCCTTCCGCCCTTCGCTTCATCCGGACTGTCGGACAGTGCCATCCCACGAATTGTCATTGGTGACTCAACCCTGCCAGCCTATCGCAACTGTGGACAGACCAAGTGGGAGCTTCCCTCTTCCTCCCACACTGTACTGTAACTGCAGGCTCTGACTCTTCCCCGCTCCCCTCTCTACGGAGTATACCTCATCCTCTCGATTACATAACCTGGATTCGAGCCCCGATTAAACTAAAGACCAAGGATCCCAGGCTGACCAGCACTTGAAATCTCCGGTCCAGCCAAGCCATGTCCGAACGAGGCTCGTTCCGAGGAGGTGGTCGCAACCGCGGCGGAGGTTATGATCGATCTGGCGGCCGTGGCGGACACGGGAAAAGTGGCGGTGCAGGTGGCGGTGCTCAGCAGCAGGAGAAGCCCAAAAAGGAAAACATCCTCGATCTGAACAAGTACATGGACAAGGAGGTCCGCGTCAAGTTCAATGGTGGGCGTGAGGGTAAGTTTTCAGTCTTGTCTCGGATGACTATTTATTGGATATCTGACCAAACTCTATCCAGTCTCTGGAATTCTCAAGGGCTACGATCAGCTCATGAACCTGGTTTTGGACGATGTGAAGGAGTCCATGCGCGGTAAGTTGTGCATCGTAACCTCACGGAAGTTTCGGTGACTGATCCTTGCAGACGACGAGGGCAACGAGAACACACGGTCTCTCGGTCTTATTGTCGCCCGTGGCACCCTGATCGTGCTGATCTCTCCCGCCGATGGCAGCGAGCAGATCGCCAACCCATTCGTACAGGCAGAGGAATAAGCGACTACTGTTTGCTTGACGTATGCATGTACCCCGTCTGGCATGGCCTCGAATAGCCAAACTTTCGTTTGGTTCGAGTGTCTACAGTCTACGGCCTGACATTACTCCGCTGGGATTCTACCTCATCCCTGCCCGGAATCTTCTCTTGCGGATGCGATCCACCTCATATATATGATGGAAGCCGAAGCATGCGTTCTGGAATGACCAAGGAAGAAGCCTTGACAAAACCTCATGTGAAATAGAACCAGATCTAATGAAATAATGAGCATAAATTGCATAACCAGCCGTGACATCATCTGACAGCTGCCACGACTTCCCCGCTCAATCAGACCATCAACCGCCTGCTTGATTCTTGGTTCTGAGTCTCCGGACCGCGGGCTCTCGACCACTGCCATTGCTTGTATTGATGATGGCGCCAGAATGATGAATCGCTCGTATCGCCCAGTCTGGATGCCAACCCAGCTCGTATATATCCTCAGGGCCGCCAGGTAACCACTTTCTTTCTCCCCTGCCCATAATATATCCTTTTTGTATAGAAGTATATATTCTTCATCAAAATGAAGCTCCAGCTCCAGCTCTGGGCTCTAGCGGTTCCTCTCTGCTCTGCCTACGCAATCCAGGACATCCTCCACGACCTCAAGGACATAGAAAACGAAGTGTTCAGATCCGATGCCGAAAACCAACTCGACAAGGCCCTCGAGTCTTCCCCCACATTTACCCCCGCAAAAATCATCGATGGCGCCGAGATCCACAAATACTTGGATAACCTCAACTTCAACAGTGACACCAACTGGATAAAGTCCTTCTTCGCCAGCCACCCCTTCGACTCCGTCACCAACGCCCCATCAACCCTCGTCGACGACATCAAGACCGAAGTGAAAGCCGAAACAAACCCACATGCATCCGACAAAACAATCTACCAGCTCATCTCCGAAAGCAAATACACCACGATCCTCGCCAAGATCATCGACGAAGACTCCGAGCTCGCTTCGTTCCTCAACTCGACTGAGCATAAAATCACCGTCTTTGCCCCGACGGACGATGCATTCCGCAAGATCCCTCATCATCACCGAGACCATGACCATGACGGCCATGACGAAAGAGATGGCGGAGACGACGACGGCGATCACCGCATCCCGAAGGAACTAATCCGTCTCTTTGCGCACTACCACTCCTCGCCAGAGGTCCTCACAGCCGCAGAGCTCTTCCACGCGCATACAATCAACAGCGCACTCAACGAGTCTCTCCTCGGCGTTGACGAGAACGGCGACGGCCTCCCGCAGCGTCTTGCCGTGCGCGCTGGATTTAAGGGTCTAACAATCAACTTCTATAGCCACATCGTTGCGGCAGATATTGTAAGCTTCCACCCCCCATACTTTTACACTTAGAAAAGGAGGTAGTATGATGCTAATCATACGACCAGGGCGCATCCAACGGCCTAATCCACGGCCTCGACAGCATCCTCCTCCCCCCACCACGAACCCTGCTCGTCCTCGACATCCTCCCAACAATCTTCTCAACCTTCAACCTAGCCCTAACAAAAACCTCCTTAACCGCATCCCTGAACACAACGGCCCAAGAAAAAGCACACGGGTTCACCCTCTTCACCCCCTCAAACCGCGCGTTCGAGCGCCTAGGCCTCCGCATTAACGCCTTCCTCTTTTCCCCGCATGGCCTCCCATACCTGCGCGCCCTGCTAAAGTACCACATCGTGCCGAACCAGACGCTCTACAGCGACGTCCTGTATAAAGACGGGCGCATCAGGCCATTTGGGATCAAGGGGTCGACGCATCTTGATCTGCCGACGTTGTTGGAGGGCCACGAGATCAGCGTTGATGTGGCGCGCTTTGGACCGTATACTGGGTTCAAGGTGAATGGGTGGCAGCGCGTGGCGTTTGCGGATGGGCTGGCGAGGGATGGGGTGATTCATGTTTTGGACCATGTGTTGATTCCGCCGAGGAGGGTGGATGGGCAGACTGAATCAGGTGGGGTTGGAGAGGAGGGGGGGTTGGAGCTTGAGGAGTTTATGGAGAGGTTGAGGCCCTATGTTGAGGATGGAGAAGCGGAAGATGACATTCATGGTGATCTATGAATGGTTGTCAATCTTTCCAAGAGAACTGACAATGCGCTGTATACGCCGGCAGCTGCTGCTTCTAGCATTTGGATTGAATCTGTTTAATCTATCGACCAGGTCATTTGAATAGACTGAATGGTATTTCTACTAACCGCGACTGGCTTTAATGCAATGTTCAGTATGAATGGTCAAGTAAGACACTTTCTAGGCAGATGAGCTGCAAGTGCCAAAATCCCCTCCAGGGATAGATCCGGTCAATCACTCATGTCATGCAATCCTCATCATATATACCAGACTCCGCACAAAGGTCTTTGACTACTCATAAACAAGTATCTAATGAAGCCTGCCCCTGCTAGGCTTCAAGAGTGCCTGGAAGGATGATTCTAAGCCCTTCTTCAACTCTTTGTAGCTGACGATAAAGCATGTCTGCTCATCACGACTGACTAGCGTGATTCTTTCGTCGCTTCCAGCATCCAGCTTGTTCAGGCATGTCAGCACGTGGCCGAGATCAACCACGGCATCTCCCGAGGCGTCTATCTGATGGAAGACGTAATCCCGGAATATCTTCAGGTAAAATCGCTCCCCGTTTTCAGACCACTGTCGGTCATGATCGTGCTCTGGACGCTCGTTGATAAAGTTCAGTTTCGTCAAAAGCCGTACAAGGCGCCCGTTTTCGAGTTCCCGGCTCAGGTCTGACGTGAGTTGGTCATCCAAATGAAGAGCCGAGTCAAAGGTCGACATCAATTGTGAGGAAATGCCGGTGATCAAGATATCAATATTCCGCTCTTGGTCCTTTTGCATACCGCTGAGCAGCCACATTACAGTGGTTTTGAGCTGCGGACTGTACGCACGGGTAAAGTGTTCCATGGCCTTTGCGGTGTTATGTATGAGGTTCGGTTGATTGGCACCCAAAGTAAGAATAAGCTGCCCGAAATTCACCAAGTCTTGACGCTGGAGATCGGCGACAGATCTCTGGGTGTCGAATTGAACCACATCCATGATAGCACAGGCATTGAGCCGTATGCGATTTCTCCCTGTAAGCAGGATTTTACTGGCATCGATAATCCTTGCTGCCAAGCCTCCGCCGTGTATGTTCTTCAGAGCGTTGGCGATTTGGGTTATATAGCCCCACAAGACCTGCTCGGGAATGTGAGCATTATGTGTAGCATGACGGGTCTGAAACCTCGCCCCAGCGCTCAAGTGCTGTTCCGCGAGCGTCTTCGAAAGTGGGTGGTAGTCAGTAACAAATATTAACGAGCTGTCCTGGAAGCTTCGGCTCGTGAATGCATCGTGGACCGTGACCATGCTACCGCTAGCTATACGCTTCCAAGCCTGAACTGACCGGATGGCTTTCTCATTCGTTAAACGAAAGCCTACGAGAAGTCAGAAGAACGTTCTCAACAGATAAGATTGGGGTATAGAAATTACCTTCCAACCGGCGAAGCGCATAGAAATTCCCGTCTTTGGTGGATTGCGCCTTGTAGACCCAACTAGGATAACCGAATATGGCTGCGTTTTTCTGGTGATTGAGGTCAAGAGGCACAAGGGAATGGAAGTAATCCACCTGGGCTGGTAATTGAGTATCTACACCGCATCAGTGGGCATGTTTCGCCAGGCTGCCTCTGCTACATACTGGGCAATGTTTGCAATGTGGCGGCCGCTTTCTTTTGAAGGTCTTCTCTGATGTCATTCGGGAGGAAGAGATCGTGAACATTGCGCTGATACGCTAGGGCATTCTGATTGTGCGGACCAATAGGTGCGTATAAATGATATTGAACCTAGGAAAAGAGACAATCGTCAGTCACGTAGGTTCTGGCCACAATAACCGTAGAGACAACTCACTGGTTGCTGAAAACCTGATTGATTAGCGTAGTATGCGGCTCCACCGAGCGTAGCAGCGGCGGCATCATGAGAGAAAGGGTTGGCCTGGACTGGACCAACAGTACCTGGTGCAGCAAGGGGATTCGGAGTAGTAACGAAAGGATCATAAGCATTGGCCGAGGCCACGCCGGGGTTACCATTGCCGTGTAGAGGAGACTGTGAATACCCAAAGCAGGTGTAACTTGTTAGCGGAAATCCATCATGGTTCCAATAACGGCGATAACATTTATGACAGCAATAACCCCGTTCACTCCAAAGGCCACTATTATGACCCCGATAACCCCGCTGGCGTTCCCGCGGCATTATTGATAGAATGGATAGAAATGGACCTAATGGAGGCCAAGGGCAATCGGCGGTTCGTAGATGAAGCAGAACCGAAACCCATGAGGAAGGTGCGACTGGTTGGACGAATAAAGGAATAGACGTACCATATGCGTTGGGTCAAAGCTCTGGGGTATGAATTCTTGTGCTTCGGCAACAGACCATTCGGGAGCCATTGTATCCTGCCGAGCCCCCGGTGTGCTAGCATTTGACCCTATTCCCGGTCAGCGGGACTCGCGAGCTTGCAACTGGCGTCCACTCACTGGAAGCGGCGGTTCTGGGCTGGAAAGGAGCAGCATTTGCAGCCTTCGGGGATATCGTAGATGCTTTCTTCAGGGACGAGCTCGAAGACGTTGGGGAAGACCCATTAGAGGGCAGTAGGGACGGTGTGAAACTTGGGGAATCGACATTGAAACGCTTCTTGTTGGCGCTATCGAAAAGTCTCCGTTAACAGCGAGGCACTTATCAAATACGAGTTGCTGCGAAATGGATTGCTCACTTATCGGACTGGGTTGAGTTCCTATGCGGATCATGGTTGAAGGCGCATCCTTAAGGAATATCACAGTCAGATAAATATAAATCAGAAAGCTCTACTTCGGACCGGCTTGAGGCACCTTTATCTTCATAGCGACATCGACCATAGATGGTTACGTTTCGGCACAGGGTATCTTTCGCGTTTTCTAGGAATAACGAAACAAGATGTCAGCGGTTCGCCTGCATGAGAAAATTCCGCATCGAATCCGCGCCCAAGTCGAGTGACTAGCAGTTCAACCACCAAAAAACGCACCTCGCGCCTTCATTTTCGGCGACCCCGTCACACGACGGGCGTCATCCAAACTAGGCTTCCCGACGGAGGCCATGATGTTTCCACAAGCAGAATCGGGTCAACGGAGGGGATTGTCCATTGATTCGAAGAGATATATCGGCGGGCAACAGAGGATACACAGAGGAAAACCACATTCCTCTATCGACGGGGCGTTGCGAGTAAGCAGGAGATGCCGGCGCGACAAGTCGTGGTTGGGCTAGAACGATACCAATGGGACGAAGAGAGGCGTTCCCGGTCGGTTCTATATCTTAACACATTGAGTCACTGAGATGTAAACAAATCAACCGTATATCGTCGTACTTGAACAAAACGCGATGGTAGCCTCGTGTCAGTGATGGAGGAAGGGAGAGCAGCGGGAGGCCGCACGGCGACGCTGCAGAAGACGAGTCTGCGGGGAGGGGAACCAGGCAGGCCGGACGGAGTGAAGGGCGGTCGGGGCTGAGACGGCGCGGGCAACGTGACCTCAACCGGCGATGACGGAGCTCTGAACTGGACAGCTCGCCGGAGCTACTTTCCAACTCACAGCGCAGACGCGACAGACTAACGGAGGAGAAGCCCGATCAGATACATATCGGTTATCGATTTGCTGAAATCTCACTTGCCTCTGTTTCTGCGTCTATCCACCACAATTCATCCTTACCGACAAACCGACTACCTTTTTGAATGAACGCCCAGTGGCTTGTTTATGGATGAAACGTTGAATTGACAATGTCCTCTTCATCGGGGCCAGACATTTCCGAGCTCTCGGATAGCCAGAGATCGGCTCTGGAGACGTATACCACAGTGACCGGCCAAGAACCGGTGGAAGCCATCGCATTGTTGAGCCGATCGCAATGGAATGTCCAGGTAGGATGTCCCCGAGAGAGTATTTGCATGACTGGCTGCTAAATCCATCGCAACAAGATTGCTATCGCGAAGTTCTTCGATGGTGAAGGACCTGATCCTGTTGAAGAAGCCCGCGCATCTCTCGAGAGTGCCAGCCCTGCCCGCTCAACCCGACAAACGCAGAACCTCCTGCATGAGGATCTGACTGCGCGGATCTCTCCAGCTGCCGTTGCCGCCGACCCAGCTCCCCGAATCGTGACCCAGCCTGGAGACCAACCCGTCTATCGTCCTCCGTTCCTACTAGCTCTCCTTTTCACGCCGTTCAATTTTCTGTACAGACTACTCTTCGGCTCCTTCCGTCTTTTCGGCTCCCTATTTCCCTTTCTCCCACGATTGCTCAATACAACAGCGAGCCCTGCTCTACATGGAACCCGACGGAACACCAATGGGCGCCGACCGCTTGCACCGAAAGATACAGCCGCGAGGTTCATTCGCGAGTTTGAGGAGGAATATGGAACCCACTCGCTCACATTTCTGGAGAACGGATATAACATGGCATTGGAAAAAGCACACCGGGACTTGAAGTTCCTCCTAGTGGTTCTTTGCGCCCCTGAGCATGACCACACAGATGCTTGGATTCGAGAGACACTCCTCTCAAAAGAAGTCACCGATTTTGTCAACGACCCGGAAAACAACATCATTGTTTGGGGTGGCAACGTGCAAGACGCTGAGGCTTACCAAGTCGCAAACTCCCTCCGATGCACCAAATTTCCCTTCGCCGCTGCGATAGCTCACACGCCAGGTGTCTCCTCGACTGCAATGTCTGTCGTCGCCAGGATCTCTGGGGTTACCTCGCCCGCGGAGTTCGTAGAGAAGCTGCGCACAGCGATCGCACAAAATAAAGAGCCCCTCGAGCGAATTCGGTCAACGAGAGCAGAACAGCAGGCCTCTCGGAGCCTCCGAGAACAACAAGACTCAGCATATGAGCGCTCACTCGCCATTGACCGGGAACGAGCGCGACAGAGAAGGGAGGCCGAAGCAGCTAGACAGCGGGAAGAGCAACTAGCAGCGGAACGCCAAGCAACTGAAGAGAAGCGGGTACGCGATATGGAGCAGTGGAAGCGATGGCGCGCACAGACTATCCGCGACGAACCCCCAACGGACGTCAAAGACGCCGTCCGAATCAGCATCCGTCTCCTCTCGGGCGATCGAGCCATCCGCCGATTCGCCCCCGATGCCGACATGGAGGAACTATACGCGTTCGTTGAGTGCTACGACATCACAAAGGAAAGAGGAACATCAGAAGAGAAGATCGCAGCAGAGAAGCCAGAAGGGTACGACCATGTATACGGCTTCCGTCTTGTATCTCCCATGCCACGAACGGTTTACGAGGTTGGTGCGGGCTCCATTAAGGACAACGTCGGCCGCGGCGGAAGTCTCCTCGTGGAGCTCATTGATGACGAAAGTGATGAAGATGGGGAAGATAGCTAGTTACGTCCATACTCTATATAATGTTCAGTCTCATCAATGGCCCTTGCCCAATGGAGGTAGCTCTGTATCGCTTCGACGACATTCATATTCCGCCGGAGATATATATTGTGACCACGCTTGGCATTCGGAGACATCTCACTAGACCCCGGCCGGGATAGATGTTTGACCAAATAGGTATCCGCTTATTACGGGACAGACAAGAGGGACTAGGATTCTACGGTGTAAATGCTGCCGAGCTCGTCGTCCTAAGAGCACAGCGATAGTTGTCATTATTATTACGAGTGCCCAGACTTCATTTCATAAGTAGGCTCTACATCTCAGTGCTCGCAAGCAACGCGGGCGATTTAGTCGACCCGGCCAATCAAGCCACGATGCAGAAAAACATCAGGCAGCGCTTTTGCGGCGTCGAAGTTCGAACTAGCGTTCCGGTTTAGTTCTAGACTCCGATACCAGGGTGATGGATGAGGCATTATTGAAGTAAATCCTCGCGGGACCCTGGTGCTCAGGGATTCCGTGAGACTTTCGTGACTCGTGAATCCTGCTCAAGGAGCCAACTGGATCCTGATGCCGGGATTTGCAAATGCAGCCTATGGATGAGTTGTTCGACTCGCGTGGATGGTCAGCTCGGCTGGGCTAGATAGGTTGCAACTTGCATCTTATTGCGCAACCTTTGTGCAGTCTTGGCTTTGCAGGGCTGATCACGGGCACTCAATCTCAATCTATCCGGGCCAGGGTCCAGTTCCAGCCAACGTTGGAGATCCGAGAACAATCTTGGGAGTCGAGACTCGAGACTCGAGATGAAACGTAGTTACGGAGTGCTTCTCACGTCAATGGCGCTCCGGTCTGAGTCGCAGCACTGCTGTCTACGTAGGAGGCTTCGGTCTTGAAGTTGCAACTTGCAAAGAAGGCTCGTGCACTGCGGTGCATCTCCATGGATTCAGTGGCTTTGGGGAAAGTCTCCGGGGGCAATTTATCCGCAGATTAGCCAGACGGCGACGCCACGAGTGACGAGTGATAGCAGCAGGGATTCTGGTAAGGGAGCCTAAAGGCTAAAACATGGCAGCCCGGTAATTGAACGAAGCTAGCAGCCTGGCCCTCGCTTAACGGTTAACCCTTGCTTGGGCTCAACACGTCCAAACTGGAAATCAACTTCGACGCCCATGCAACTGCAGTAAGCGTTCTGGTTATGCAAGCTTAAGCATGACTTTCTGACCCGTGCCATGTGCCCGTGCATGAATCAGTTCGGGAAGAGTCGCTGAGCGAGGTCGACAAACGATGTACGTCGGTACGATAAACGGAGCTCGTGACCGGAACGGGGAAAAGGTCGGGGTCCCATCTTGGCGCTTACGCCAGCTTTGGTTCTGACTTAGGACTGGGTTCCCTGGCCCAGGCTGAACCCGGCCGATTATGCCAAGATCAGCAGCCTGTCACGATGATGACAATGGCTGATGCCGGCAGCCAGCAGGGCTAATATATAAATAAAAACTCTAAAACGAACGTTTCTGTCTAAAGACCGGATCGAGAACATCGGACCGTTGACGGTTGGATCAAGCGTTGATCTGGAATTTTCCAAAGGCCAAGCTACCCGTATCCGGAAGAGGCTGCGTCCGTGCCGAGAGATCGGTGGCTCAGCGACCGGGCAGATAAGATCTGGATAGCTGAGTCACCAGCATAAAGGCGCATAACCCTTGTCGGGATGGGAAGAGGCCAGCCCGAAATGATAGGGGATGATTCACAATGAGTGGCTTTCGGGACCGGGAAGGCTTCTTGCCGCCCCACCGCCACCCCTGACCAGTGTTTGCCATTTGGCTGCAACCAGCAAATAATCCATGTCAGCTGAATAACCGACATGCGGGGATAACAGTGACCAGGGTCAGTATCCGGGCTATTAGGTATACAAAGTGTAGTAGAATGTGTGGCATATCCTGATCATAATCTACAATCGTATTGTGAGTTGGGAATGGATACGCGTTACGGGTCCCTGAAGCATGGAGCCCCATCTATTAGAATTGACTATGGAGACATGGGGCAGACCGACAGGGGCATCGCGAAGAGGCTGACGGCAGCACAGCATCCCAGTATAGTGAGTCAACTGTCAACGGCAATAACAACCACATTAGCTAATTGTGCACTCAGCATACCATTAGTATCGTCGACACTGACAGGGCAATGACTCGGGATGAATTCATCAAGATGAGTCTTACATCGGTCCTTCATCATCTCTAGATCGCTTAAGTCCGTTTCCTCGGGATTCATCTCAGCTGGACCCGTTCGCTGTGCTCGGAAGCCAGCTGCAGCCGCACCCGTTTGGCCAGATCCGCAGGTCATGACTCCGAGGCCCAGACTTTGGCCCGCCACTAAATTTCTGTTTTTCTTATTATACTCGGGGTAAACCCGTGGCAGATAGTTCTCACTTTCTTCTTCTTAAGCTACGGGGTCCGTCGATCAGGTTGCACAAGGGTTGATCTTCTTCGCAGCTCCCTCCTTTCCTCCTTTCTCCCTTCACTGTGACATTCCTTTACTTCCACCACAACCCTAATAACACCTTGCATCTGTTTGCTTATCTCCCCCCCACCAGCCTTCGGGCGTCCTTTCGCTCTTAATATTCTCGAGACTGGTTGTCTCAACTAACAGCAACCATGTCGTCTTTCCTCGGAACTGGAACCTTCACTCCGGGCGGTGTTAGTCCGTCTCACGCGGTGGAATCAAGAGGAACTGAGAACCACGGCAATGCGACCACAGAAATCGACGAGTCCGTGCACCAAGAGCCTCACCAACATTCCACAGGCGAGAAATTGGCCGCCAGCTCAGCCAGCGCACTGAGCTCGACTGAAACAGCCCTGGAGAAGGATGAGCGCGACTACGAGTTGGAGGCCGAAGAGGAGGTCACCCGTCTGGCTCAGCAGCTGACGCACCAGTCGACCAAGTACTCTACCCACAACATCGAGAACCCGTTTATCGACGTCAATGAGGATTCTTCGCTCAACCCCGCCAACCCCAACTTCAAGGCGAAGAACTGGATGAAGAACCTGCTGGCGCTCTCTTCCCGCGACCCGGAGAGATACCCTGCGCGCCAGGCTGGTGTCTCGTTCTCCAACCTCAGCGTCCACGGCTACGGCAGTCCGACGGATTACCAGAAGGATGTTTTCAACTCGGTATTGCAAATCGGAGGTCTTGTCCGCTCTCTCATGGGGGCTGGCGGACAGCAAAAGATCGAGATTCTCCGCAACTTCGACGGTCTGGTCAAGGCCGGAGAGATGCTCGTCGTTCTCGGTCGTCCTGGCAGGTAGGATTGGACCCTGGCCGTTATGGAAGTTCCACATGAAGCTAATTTGCCACAGTGGTTGCTCCACTTTCCTCAAGACGATCGCTGGTGAAATGAACGGTATTCACATGGACGAACAGTCCCAGCTCAACTACCAAGGTATCCCGGCCAAGCAGATGCGCAAGCAGTTCCGAGGTGAAGCCATTTACACCGCGGAGACCGATGTTCATTTCCCTCAGCTATCTGTCGGTGACACCTTGAAATTCGCTGCGCTGGCCCGTTGCCCCCGAAACCGCCTCCCTGGTGTCTCTAGGGAACAGTATGCCACTCACATGCGTGACGTCGTCATGGCCATGTTGGGTCTGTCGCACACGATCAACACACGTGTCGGAAACGATTTCGTCCGTGGTGTCAGTGGTGGTGAGCGCAAGCGTGTCAGTATCGCAGAGGCCACTCTGAGCGCCAGTCCCTTGCAATGCTGGGATAACAGTACTCGTGGTTTGGATAGTGCCAACGCTTTGGTAAGTCGGACCATGGTCGGATTGGCGTTTGGTACTAATTGATCGATAGGAATTCTGCAAAACCCTGAACTTGATGGCCAAGTACTCTGGTGCCACCATGGCTGTCGCTATCTACCAAGCCTCCCAGAGTGCTTACGATGTACGCTGTCTTAATCAATCTCACGTGATCCCTGCTAATCTAGCCCTTTAGGTCTTCGACAAGGTCACTGTCTTGTACGAGGGAAGACAAATCTACTTTGGCCGCACGGATGAGGCCAAGCAGTTCTTCGTCGATATGGGTTTCGAATGTCCTGAGCGCCAGACGACCGCTGATTTCCTCACGTCTCTTACCAGCCCTGCCGAGCGAATCGTCCGAAAGGGCTTCGAGGGCCGTGTCCCACAGACCCCCGATCAGTTTGCGGCCGCTTGGAAGAACAGCGACGCCCACGCGCGGTTGATGCGTGAGATTGAGGAGTACAACCAGGAATTCCCTCTTGGAGGCGAATCGGTCAACAAGTTCATCGAATCTCGCAAGGCCATGCAGTCAAAGAACCAGTGAGTACAACAAATATACCGCTTTGGGTAATACCCAAACTGACACTTCACAGGCGCGTCAAGTCTCCGTACACCATGTCCGTTATGGAGCAGGTCAACCTTTGTATGGTTCGTGGCTTTCAGCGTCTCAAGGGCGATGCCAGTTTGACGCTGAGTCAGTTGATTGGAAACTTCATTATGGCATTGGTTATTGGCAGTGTGTTCTATGACCTTAACAACGACACCAGTAGCTTCTATTCTCGTGGAGCTCTGCTGTTCTTTGCTGTTCTGATGAACGCCTTTGGTAGTGCGCTCGAGGTATGTTTTGATCACTGACTTCCTTGGTGCCTGACTGACAGCCTATAGATTTTGACTCTCTACGCACAACGGTCCATTGTCGAAAAACAAGCACGTTACGCCATGTATCATCCGTTCGCCGAAGCCATTGCTTCCATGCTGTGTGATATGCCATACAAAATCGTCAATACGTTCACCTTCAACCTCCCGCTCTATTTTATGACGCATCTCCGTCGCGAGCCCGGCGCGTTCTTCATTTTCCTGCTCTTCTCCTTCATCACGACCTTGACCATGTCCATGCTGTTCCGTACAATGGCCTCCTCATCTCGTACTCTCTCCCAAGCGCTTGTTCCAGCTGCTATCCTTATTCTTGGACTTGTGATCTACACTGGATTCACAATCCCTACTCGGAACATGCTGGGTTGGTCTCGCTGGATGAACTATATCGATCCCATCGCCTATGGATTCGAAAGTCTGATGGTGAATGAATTCCACGGCCGCTCTTTCCCCTGCGCCGCATCTGGACTGGTCCCAGACTACGCTTCCAGTGATATTGTCAACCAGGTCTGCGCTGTTGTGGGCGCAACCCCCGGTCAGAGCGAGGTTGACGGTACTACCTATCTCCGCGAGAGTTACCAGTACACCAAGAGCCACGAGTGGCGCAATCTGGGTATCATGTTTGCTTTCATGGCCTTCTTCTGCTTCACACACCTGACTACTACTGAGTACATTTCCGAGGCCAAGTCCAAGGGTGAGGTTTTGCTCTTCCGCCGCGGTCAGACTCCTCCCGCCACCGACGATGTGGAGACCCACAGTCCCGTGACCGCGGGTGAGAAGGTCGACCAATCAAACCACGACACTGCCAACATCCAGAGACAGACAGCCATTTTCCACTGGCAGGACGTGTGCTACGATATCAAGATCAAGAATGAACCCAGGCGCATTCTAGACCACGTCGACGGTTGGGTCAAACCGGGAACTTGCACTGCTTTGATGGTAAGATTCGCATTCTTGTTTGCAGATGCAACTGTGCTAATTTGGGTGGGCAGGGTGTTTCGGGTGCTGGTAAAACTACGCTGCTTGATGTGCTTGCTACCCGTGTGACTATGGGTGTTGTCACTGGTGAGATGCTGGTAGACGGCCGTCCTCGCGACCAGTCTTTCCAGCGCAAAACAGGTTACGTGCAACAACAGGATCTTCATCTCCACACTACTACTGTTCGTGAGGCATTGCGCTTCAGTGCTCTGCTTCGTCAGCCGGCCAAGACCCCCCGCCAGGAGAAACTCGACTACGTTGAAGAGGTGATCAAGCTTCTTGGAATGGAGGCATACGCGGATGCTGTTGTCGGTGTTCCTGGTGAAGGTATTTTCTTGTGCTCATGAACCATGGACGTAATGCTAATCCTGATAGGTCTCAACGTTGAACAGAGAAAGCGTCTTACCATTGGTGTCGAACTCGCTGCCAAGCCCCAACTTCTTCTCTTCCTCGATGAACCCACCTCCGGTCTTGACAGTCAGACTTCCTGGTCTATCCTTGATCTTATCGACACTCTCACGCAGCACGGCCAGGCCATTCTCTGCACTATTCACCAACCTTCTGCCATGCTCTTCCAACGTTTCGATCGATTGCTATTCCTCGCCAGGGGTGGTAGGACAGTGTATTTCGGTGATATCGGTGAAAAATCGTCCACTCTGGCCAGCTACTTTGAAAGGAACGGTGCTCACAAGCTCCCCGTCGAGGCCAACCCTGCCGAATGGATGCTTGAGGTCATTGGTGCTGCGCCTGGATCTCACAGTGATATTGACTGGCCTGCTGTCTGGCGCGAGAGCCCTGAACGTCAAGCCGTGCACCAGCATCTGGCCGAACTGAAGCAGACCCTTCCCCAGAAGCATACCGAAACCGCTGAACCCGACCCATCTGAACTCAACGAATTTGCCGCTCCCTTCTCCGCTCAACTGTGGGAATGTCTCCTCCGTGTCTTCTCTCAGTACTGGCGCAGCCCTATCTACATCTACTCCAAGGCCGCACTGAGCATCTTGACTTCGCTTTACATCGGTTTCTCTTTCTTCAAGGCAGAAAACACCAGGCAGGGTCTTCAGAACCAGATGTTCAGTATCTTCATGTTGACCACTATCTTTGGTAACCTTGTCCAACAGATCATGCCAAACTTTGTCACACAGCGTGCCTTGTACGAGGTCCGCGAGCGTCCCTCCAAGGCTTACTCTTGGAAGGCCTTTATGACAGCCAACATTATTGTCGAGCTCCCGTGGAATGCTCTTATGGCTGTGATCATGTTTATTTGTTGGTACTACCCCGTCGGCCTCTACCGCAACGCCGAACCAACCGATGCCGTCAATGAACGCGGAGCCCTCATGTTCTTGCTCATCCTCACCTTCCTCCTGTTCACCTCTACCTTCGCGCACATGATTATTGCCGGTATTGAAACCGCCGAGACAGGCGGTAACATCGCCCAGCTTCTCTTCTCCCTCTGCCTCATTTTCTGCGGTGTCTTGGCGGGCCCCTCCGTCCTCCCGGGCTTCTGGATCTTCATGTACCGGTACGCACCACTCCTTTTATGCCCTCCTGAATGATTGAAACTAACAATTAAGCCAGAGTTTCTCCTTTTACCTACCTCATATCAGCAATGTTATCAACGGGAGTCTCTGGAACCGATGCGTACTGCGAGCAGGTCGAATTCGTGTCGCTCCAGCCACCCGCCAACTCGACGTGCTACGAATACATGGGTGAATACATAAGCCGCATGGGCGGGTACCTCCAAAACGACAACGCCACCTCCGACTGCCAGTTCTGCCAAATCTCCTCGACGGATACATTCTTGGCCTCCGTCTCCAGTAACTACGACGATGCCTGGCGCAACTTCGGTCTCATGTGGGTGTATATCGCCTTCAACATCGCGGCAGCCGTCTTCATCTACTGGCTTGCGCGCGTGCCTAAGGGGAACAAGAACAAGGGTTCCTCTTAGACTTCCTCTTCTCTTCTCCTTTGATTCCCCATTTTGATCTGTCTCAGATCCTTGGTTTTTACGTACGTATATACATACTTGCAAGGGTTGGCCGGTTTGCTCTTTTTTGCTGCGTTTTGGTCTGCATATTGTTCATACAATACAGCACATACATAATAGACTAGATCTCATCTTCACAATCACTGAAGACTATACACTGACCAGTTGGTTACCTACTTACTGCTCTCCGCCGCCCGCGCCTCGTTTCCTGTTACTTACACAACGCACTTACCGGCCTACTTATACAGGTGGCTGTCCGCTTTCCCTCTTCAGCTTTCTTCCTTTTCATTTCTGTGCGATTCGTCCATCCTTGCTTGCCCTCTTCTTTTTTCCTTTTTCTTCTTCCTGTCGAAATACATTCTCATTGGCCGCTAGAGTCAACCTAATTTTTTAGAAAACCGGTCGAGTTTAGAACTGGCCTGGATAGATAGATCGCAAATTAAAGTTCAATATGTCAAGTCAAGCTTTCTGGGTTTCCGGATCCGATTCCGTAGGGACTAGGTGAGACGTTATCATCCTGATCATTGGTCGGTTGAGTTGGACTTCGTACTTTGGCGTAGTGTCTATATTATCTATATCTAGGGGATGGGAAACGCTATCGTTCTCTTTCTGGATATCTCAAGTAGATACCTTATGGCGATGAGATGCTTGCGCTTAGGATCTCATATTGATTCTGGCACTGCGGACGTCGACACGCAGGCGCGACTTCTTTCTTGCTCTGCTCTCATCTACAGCCGGCACGGCACCACCCTGGACCTACGACCTATGAAACAAGGGGATGGTTCCCTAACTCGGCCGCGGAGATAAAGCGGGATATATTTCGCAGCTAGTTTCGTTTCGGCTGCGAAGCTCGGGAGCGGATTTAGTAGGTAAGTATTAGGTACGGTATTCCGGAGGAAGGTTCGCCTCGCTCGCCGAGACATCCCACCACCTCGCGGCGAGATCTTCCTAATGTCAACCATCCTTTTCTTTCATTCTGAATTACGATCTCGGAACACGTTCCTCGCGTTGGGGGTCGCTTAGCGTATTCGTTGAATAGTTTTACACTGCCTTTCCTTGAACTAGGCAAAGCAGCTCGAGCGCCGTGGCGGGCGGCCCTTACTTTTTCCTGCTTGCAGGATGCTTTCGACCATGGTCGACGGATTGGACAGTATGATACGTCGAGGCCAGGAAGCCTTGGAACAAGGTTGCAGCGGGTGGGCCAGACTCGTTGATTGCGCAGTATGGCTGCTCATCGAGAGGCGGGGGTGTTACGCGCAGTAAGCTCTATGAAGGCATGAAGTGCTTGCGTGGGGAGACACTGATACGTCTCAAGCCAGGGGGAACTTCGGTTCAGCACATAGAAGGCACCATACACCTAAACTTTACAAAGGGTAAGAAGCTGGTGCTGAACGATCCTGACTCCCACTTCTTCGAATCGTTGCCGGCCGAGTACGGCTTCTTGACCCGTTCAAGGTCATCTTGATCCTTGCTCTCCGATTCAGGGCTGTTCGCCAGTCCAACCTCAAGGGGCTTTTATCGGCCACCTCGAAGAACCGAGGGAGAAAGTTCGATTTCCTCCACAAAGAAAGACCGGTGTTTCCCCGATTCATCTCAAACACTCCCAACTACAGCATTGACTAGACCCGTGAGATAGATGCCTCGCAGCAATTCATCGTCAAAATGTCGAAGACTGCCGGCCTGACCGGCTACATCAGAACGCACAGCTTGCGTGCCTGGCCGCTCCGGGAGTTAGCGCACACCTTTATCGAGAATAAGGCTGGTGAGGTCTTCACTGCAATCGAGCTAGTCAAACACATTGCTCACCATAAAGATGTTAGGACTACAAAGAGATACATCGGAGAGCTTCAGATCGACTTCCTCACATCCCGGCTGGAGCAAGCCAAGGCCGCCAACGATCTATCGATGCCTTCGCTTATAGCGCCCTACAAACGACCAAGAATCACGTCGGCAGAGATTGATCTGGCGTTATCAGAAACATTCACCAACCCCGCTGGCGCAACCTCGAATGATCGCGCCGCTGTGGCAATCCAGGCGGTTTCCCGGGTGCTCGTTGAAAGCTACAGAGGGTGTATGAGGCGGCAAAGGTTACGATGATTATTAGGTCGCCTAACTTCTCAGGTTGCATGTCTTAGTGTCCCTGTTGTCTCGCAAGTCTCCGTTGTGGATTGGGACATGTCTGTAAAATCCGATCCTGTATCCTTTTTTCTGAGTATCCAACAACCAGTTGAGATAGAGGGTCGACGGTGCTAATCGACGGGCATTACTTGAAATTATCAGAATTCTCCAAACCGCAAGCGAAGCGATACGTAAAGTAGAGGACCTGAAAGAGGAGTGGTAGGTTCGGGAAAGGATTGCATAGGACTTCAGTAGAGAAATCCAGCTTTATGATCCTAGATGTGCCTGAGCCACGAGGGTCTTGGATGCCTGTGGGAGCTATGTAGGCATTTCGTTGCCCATGCCCATACCATGTCGCTTTTGCCTATTCATTAGGAATGAGAAAAAAAAAGAAACGGCTCCATCCGCGGATCGAACGCGGGACCTCTCGCAGTTAAGCTTTAGGGTTTAGCCCTAAGCGAGAATCATACCACTAGACCAACGGAGCTAGTTATTGATTTAGCTGAATTTACTCTAACTTATATAACTAAAATACGTTTACCCCACAAGATGTGCTCATGATCTCTCGCAATCTTCCACTTTTTTTCGGCTAACGAATGTAATGACATATGAAAAGAGCTATTAGCCCTGTGTTATATCGAATGAGGCCACGGACTATGTATATGTATTCTTAAAAAAGCACCTGTTACTGCTCGATCATCAACGCTGGGTGCATACAGACCGGCCCGTCTTCCAAGGTTTATTGCTTAACATGCCAGCTAGTACGGAGTATCTATCGTTTGGTTGGGTTTAGAAGCGGACTGATAATCGCATACCTAGGTAGCTGGGAAGCCCTTGCTTATACAATGGAGTTAAATAGGCCATGTCCGTATCGTAGTTGCCAGATGCAGGTTCTAGGTAGGTTGGGGCGTAGGGCAATCTGCGGTATTGGTGCGGGTGGATGAGGCTTGGACTGAGGATGCCTTCCCCAACAGATCAAGTCCATGGTTGGAATATTCCTACTATACTTGACACATGATATATACCTAGGCTGGGTGAGTACGATGGGACATGCAGGGGCTGAAGAATGCGTTTTGATCTAGACGGTACGGGGCTTGGATGCGACTGTTGGGATTGGGATGGCGGACGCAGAGTCCTGACCATGGCCCACCATTGTGCTTCCTGCTTCCTGCTTTCGTAGGCGTATGCGCTTATCGTTATAGAAGGTACGATGATGTACAGGGAAGGTTCAGGTGAGGGTTCTCCCTCTATTCGCTATTGCGACACCATCAAGATCAACCTCGAAACCGCCCTTCTACACCCCAGAATAAAAACGAATAATAGATAGAGTCGAAGCATGACGCAATCAAATAAGTTAGGTATCTCGGTGTATCAACTACATATATACAGTAAAAGAACCAAACAGCTTGCCTTCCCAACACCCGTTCCCACCTACACCCCATAAATATAATAATTCGCCGCATACTCAACCGTAAAGCTGCTCTCCATGCCCTCGCACGTCTCAGGCGGCGACCCCCCCGCCGTATCAACCCGATACACACTAGAATATTTCCCTATGGTCCCATTCGTCCGCGAAAGATAAAGCCACGCGACGGCAGCCTCATCGTCGCTCCCGCGCACCGCCGAGCTCGGCGCCGCAAGGTCCGCCTCTTTCTTGACCTTTGCGATCCCCAGCTGACGCGACGGCGTGGTGTCCAGGTTAAAGACTGGGACTTTGCCCTCGAAGAAGTGGTGGCCGATCAGGTTGAAGTTTGAGGGCGGGAGCGGGTCGTATTCGTTGCTTGGGAGGGTGAGCTTGTAGGCTAGGGCGGGGAGGAGCTCGATTGCGGCGGGCAGGGCTGCGGCGAGGCAAGTTGCGTTGTAGAGGCGGGCGACGGCGCCGGCGGCGACGGGGGTTGAGGAGGAGGTTGAGGAGGTGCAGGTGTAGTTCTATTGGTTTGTTAGTGCAGGTTGGATACGAGGGGGCGTTTTTGGGGTCGGCTGACCTGGGTGCCGCGGCCCAGTGCGACGTAGAGGGGTTTTTGGCCTGTGGGGGCTGGGAGGCCCGAGGCGAAGGAGGGGAGGGTGATGGAGGAGGGGTCGCAGGTTAGGGCGTTGATGTCGCCGTGGATGGCCTGGCTCACGCGGCCGAGGAATTCGGACATGTCGTTGGAGAAGTTGTAGAGGTTTTTGAAGGCGGGGGCGGCGGTTGAGCTTGCTGCTAGGCAGCTGGCGATGAATAGAATTGAACGCATGCCGGATGCTGTTGGTTGTTGTATTGAATTGAGGGTGAATGGGGAAGGTCGTATTCCAATGTCCGAAGGTCAAGAAGAGTGGAGAGTGAATGAAGGAAAGTGATGACCACCAGGGTATCAGCCGACAAAAGAAAAGGAAAGCAACGGCAACAGCAACAGAGTCAGGGCTGAAGAAATGGAGATGGCTGCAGAAACCCCAGCGCAGGAGGCTGGCGGTTATATACCCAGAAAGGTAGTGATGGCCTCCTGCACGCGGCGGGTGCGACCATGCAGACCAAACCGACCAGGATCTCTACCCGAGACCCCAAGTGTGGGATCTATAAACAGCGGCGAGTGAGCAGCCGGGTGAAAGCGCCCGTGAGGGAAAAGCTCAGCGCAGCTCTGCCATTGGCCCCTCCATGCGCTGACAAGCAAACGTCGGCCTGGCCTAACGGTCCTAAATCGGGGAGCAACAGGGGGCTGGGCCGGCGCATCGAGATTTGAATGTTCAGGCCGTTCTGAGCGGTGATTGGACTCGCGTATAGTAGTCTGCAGCTGAAGAAGACGCCCATTCGCAGAAATTCCCCCGCGATCTAATAATATCCCCGTGGGCGCTTAGAGATCGCCCTAAGGGACTTGGCTGCCGATTGGAGATGGGCGCTCCGAGCGACTGCTCCAAACAAGCTTAAGACGCGGCTTGCCTCCAATTATTGTCTGCTATTTTGGTTGGTTGAATAGCTTGACGCACTCCGGCGCTTTTCTGACCGCGGGACTTTCCGATTGAACTCGGGAGGGGCATAGTCTCTCTGCCCAATCATCCCATTTGATGACCATGGCGGCATAACCTAAGCGCCGTGCAATATCGAGCTGCTTGATTCGCATGGGCCCTGTTTCATGGTTGTCGACCGGCGGCACAACGACAGGTGGTGAGAGCATCAGTTTCCCGCGTGCAACCCTATCATGCAGGTACTGATTCGAACAGTGTAACCCTCCATGAAGACTCGCAGCCCCTTGGACCGTGTCCGGAAGGTCATGCGAAGCTTATGTCGTAGCAGTCTGGGGTGTACTCCGCATATATCAGCGGTGGTTGGTGCGCTTCCGTCAGGTCCAACCGCCGGGAAGTGTGTTCCTTATTATCTCGTACCGCTCTGACACCAAAGTGTTGCACTGCGGTTTGGAGCTCGGTCCATATCTCGTCGTTGCGACTCGCGGTTGGTATGGGGTATATTGCCGTGGAGAGCTCTCTGCAGACCAGGCCAGTGTTCCATGGATGAACCGGCAGTCTGTAGGGAGTGATAAGAAAGGGAGGGACCTTGGGGCACCGTGACACCATCATTTTCCGAGAAACGTCTATTGTTTGATCTGGGGTCTGGGGAATGTGCCGCAGGACTCGTGCATGCCTGTCGTCCGCGTGCGGGCCTACCGAGGTCTCGATAACACTTGGTCTCGTCTAGGATGCGTCCCATGTGCGAGCACGGGTGCTGGACTGCTGGGTATGACAGCGAGGCGGCCTTGTGGCATCACATGGCATTGAAGGGCGGTCCATCGCTGTACCTCGAGAATCGATGCGTCATAGTGTTCGAGGAAATGACCGCTGATTGTGCGGCCAGACGGTCGTAACGGGAAGCAGTGTCCAAAGCCGGAGCAACTTCCTCGCTCGTCACTCAGGATCTAACCATCTGGGGTTGAAGCAGTTGCATCATTGTTTCAGGCATGGATATGGCTTCGGAGGCGACCTGGCTTCCTGCGCAGCTTCTGTTGTGTTGGGGTCTGTAGATAACCCGGCGCCGCAGTTAGCGACCTCTAAGCTGGCGATTAAGCAGTTGTCTTCGATTAAGCTGTTGTCGGACGATAATGCAGTTTTTTGGGTGTGAAAGATCAAAGGATTGTAGTATTCAGCGATGACTTGAGGTTCGCGATTGCCCACATTGTGGTAGAAGAGTTGGTGGATGCGAGGTCCGTACAACGGCTGCGGCCTGCGATAGGCATATACATATGGTTATTGCTACCACGCTGCTGGTTGAGGCACAGGCGGGAAAAGAACAACTAGTAGAGCCAATTATTATTAGTATATCGCAAGGCCATTTCTGCTAGAAGTTGTCCCAGAAAAATAGTGAGTATGTGAGCAGAAAAAAAAAGAAACGGCCCGATCCGCGGATCGAACGCGGGACCTCTCGCAATCTAAGCTTTAGGGTTGAGCCCTAAGCGAGAATCATACCACTAGACCAACCGGGCGATTGTTGAAAAAAGTGAATAAATATGCGTACATCACAGGAAATAAGCTGCTTTGATGTCAAAAGTCCGCAGCGGCGTGACAATAGAGAGTGTTTGCCACGGGAGCGCTCGGCGAAATCCATTAAATTTATAGTGCTGGTAGTTTTAAATTAGGTAATATTATATAACCCCAACGCGGCGCGCTAAGTACACTAAATTATTAAATTAAGTATAATATTTATAATACTATATAATTTTATATAAAAATATAAATATTATATATAATATATTAATTAATAATATTAATACCCCCCCTAATATCCCTGGTTACTAAAAATAAATAATATAATATTATTTATAAGCACCTTAATAATATATTTTAAAAAAAATTAATTAATTAATATTATTAATTATATTTACCGCGGCCCTAAGCTTTACTAGCCCTTTAAATTTAATTTTAATTAAATACCGCGAGAGCGCTAGTTATTTTACTTTTAATAAAAAAAAAGTACTTTTTTTTATATAAAAATTTCCTGCTAATTAAAAGTAGCTTTAATACCTAAAAAATTTATTAAATTATACCTTTTCTTTATTTTAAAAAAATTAAATATTAATATTGTTATCACTATTATGGTGTTGCAACTGCGCAGTATTATAATAACGCAATCCGGCGGCCTAAGGCCACCAGGCGGAGGAACTTTGGTACTAAACTAGCTATATACAAGGCAGCGGCTAGTTATATAATATATAAAATACTAAGTTTAACTTTAAACTTTAACTTAAAAAAATTAGTAATTAGTTTTTACTATAAATATATAACGCCTTTTTTATTATAATAATTTATATTTTTTTAAGCTTACCGTAGTATATAAACATAACTTATAATTTTAATTATTTTTTTTTTTAAAAAAAACCTATTTTATATAATAATTAAGTAATAAACTTAATTTTAGGGGCTAGTAAATAATACTTTAAAAAAGTAATTATAAACCCTAACTTAATAACTAACTAATATACTTAAAAAAAAATTTATAAACTTTTAACTAAAAAATCCCAAGGGCACCTTTATTATTAAATTTTAAATTATATAAAAAATATTAAAATATAAAAGGCCTGCCCAGGGGCAAGAAAATAAAAATAATAAAAAAATTATTAAAAAATTATAGGTAATACTAAAAGTAATTTTAGCAAGAAAAAAAAAATTATAAAAATAAAAATACCATAAAAAAAAAGAAAAAAAATATTAATAAATTTATGCCTAAATTAAAAAGGCATGCTAATAAATTATAAGGGCTAAAGCTAATTAGTAAATATATAATATATTTATTTAATTTATTAAGTAACTAATAGTCCCGCGCTAAATAAACTTTAATAATCTTATAATTTTAAAAAAAACTATTAAAGGGGTTATAATAATAATAATATAACTTAAAAAAAACTTTTTAAAAAAATTACTATTTATAAAACTATACTAGATAAATAATATTAAAAAATTTAATAATTAAAAGTTAAATATAAAAATATACTTTAAAACCTTTTTAACTTACTACCTAAATAATAGCTATAAAATATTTTAATTTATTAAATTTTTAGCAAAGGACCGCAGGCGGGAATAATTTAATATTTATAAAATAAAAATTATATTTACTTAAAAAGAATTTTTTAACACGCTAGTTAAAATAATTAATAATAAGATAGTGCTAATTAATAACTTATTAATTAAGTAAAATAACGCAAAGCAGTAACCATGGTAAATTATTAGGTAATTTATATAATTACTAAATTAAATTAAAAAATACCTACCTTATAAGTATAAAAATAATTAGCGTTAAGAATACCTATACTAAAAAATCCTAAAAAATATATAAAAAAAGTTTTTTATTTATAAACACTAAGAGCTAAAATACTATAATAATTATATATTATACTTAATAAGTGTTAAGAATAACATGCCCAAGTAAAAAAAAATAATTATAAAAAAAAAAAAAGTTTCTTAACTAAACTTATATAAAACTATTAATAACTAAAGTTAGGGCACTTTTTATTACTAAAAAAAGTATAAAAGTAAATATTAATATAAAATAACTTAATAATTTAAATAATTCCTTATTTATAAAAAAGCTATACCTAGGTAAATACCTAAATTATAATTATACTAAATATTTTAAGTAATATTACTAGTTACCAGGCAAAGGTTAAAAAAAAAAGTATTTTTATAATAATAACCCCTAAGTAAATTTAATAATATAAAAAATATAAAACCCTAAAGCTATACGCGGTGCAAGCTTTAAAAATTTATATAAAATAAAAAAATATACTATAAGCCTGGGTAATTTAGGTAAAAATAAAAAAAAAAAAAAATAATAATATATAAAAATTTTTATTAACTTTAAAGTAAAAGTAAATTTTATAAACCAGCGCTGGGTAAAGTCCTACTTAATATAAAATAAAAAATTAGCCTATAAAATACGCATAGTTAATAGCCATATAATAATATTTTATAAAAAATATATACTTATAGTTTATGCTAGAGATTCTGCGTGTAATATATAGTATTATTAGTAAAACTTTAAAGTTATTAATATTAATAATTATAATATAATTTTAGGATTTTTATGGCTGCTAGCCGCGATGCCTATTTTAAATTAGTAAATTAGTAATTAAATATATAGTTAAAAAGTAAAGTATAATTTAAAATATTTATAATATATAATAATAATATAAAAATACACCGCAAAGATTATTATAAAAGTTAAAATACTTTTAGTATAAATTTTTAAGTAAGAAAACCATGTTATAATATACTT